TTTTTTTTTTTTTTTTTTTTCTCATCATTCATTTTGACTTTATTTGGCAAAACGTTTTTTATTTGCCCAGAGTCAGGGTCAGGGCGGTGTTGATGGGGCATCCATGGGTGGCCTGGTTGTCGTCCGGGACGAGGTAGGCGTCTGCGCAAGCAGTGTCGCCAGCGGCGCAGGTGGCATTGGGGCAGGACGAGTCGTCGGAGACGACGGCGAAGCCGTACTTGGTGAAGGCGGAGTCGGTGCCCATGTTGATGCACGAGAGGTCCCAGTAGATGGTGTCGCCGGACTCGGTGTACTCGAACTGCAGGACGTCGTCCTGGCTCTCCGTGGTGGACAGCTTGATGGAAATGCCGCCGCCGTCCGGGTTGACGCGCCAGCTCTCCGAGTAGGAGCCGCTGCCGGCCTCGAGGGTGATCATCGGGCCCGACGTCTCGGACACAGACCACGCGTAGATGGTCGTGTTGAGGTTGTTGATGATGTCGACGCTGCCGGAAGACCCGCTGCTGGTCGTGTTGCCGCTGCGGCGCGAGATGGTGGTGGGCACCGCCGAGGCGAGGGAGGCAAAGGCAGCCGCCAGTCCGAAAGTCTTGGTGAACATCATAATGAATGTAGTTGATAAAAAAAAGAAGATGATGATAAGAAGTAAAAAATAAATGCGTGGATTGCTCAAGGAATGTCTGTGAGAGTCGATCTCAAAAAGGAGTGGATGGATCTCAAAAAGGAGTGTGTGATGTCCGAAGACTAGAGAGCGTTGAAGGAGAAAAGAGAGGGGGGGGGGGAATAAGAGAGGAGGAAGGACAGCCGCTTAAATAACTGGGCAGGATGTGTCACATCCATCCATCTCCTTGGGTCGGGAATTAAAAAATGAAAAAAAAAGAGGAAGAAAAGAATCAAAAAATGAGAAAAAAAGGGAAAGAAACCAACAAACGAGAGATCCAAAAAAGCAACCCTCCATCAGTATAAATCATGACGAATCAGAAAGCCAACCACAAATCTTCCCCGGTGGCTCCCCCGACGAATAGCCGCCGAGGGAGTGGGGCGTTCCTGAGCCGAGTGGAGCCAGCCCTGTGGCCAGCCACTAGAAAAGCCACTTGGGGGCAGCCACTTACTGTTGTGTCAGGCGGTCTAGGCCAGGAACAGCCGTTTGACTGGCCGCTTCACCGGAGGAAGTAGAAGGACAGACAGTGGACAGACAGTGGACAGACAGTGGACAGACAGTGGACAGGCAGTGGACGGCAGGACAGACAGGGACAGAAACTAATACCGGCGGGTAAGTAGGCACTTATGTCGTATAGATATACAGTATGGTAACTAAGAGGTAGATCTCTTAACATAGAGTTAGTACTCCAAAAGAAATACTTTAATCAATATTTGTCTGTACCCAGGTATAATATTGGCCACAAAGAGATAAAAGAAAGAAAACTTGGGAGAAAACTCTGGGAGAAAGACTATTACTCCGTGGTCTGTCCTCGTTCGGTGGCGCAAGTGCGTTGGATTAGGCAGTCCTCACCGTCTCCCACACTGTCTTTTGGCTCGAGAAGAGCCTGCTAGTGGTGGCAATAACCACCACATGGCCAATATGACGGCTGTCCAAGTGCTGAACACACAGACTATCCTCTGGATCCGGAGAAGTCCCGTTCAGAATGGATTCTCTGGATAATGAATCTAGATTCTATTGATTGGATTGGGATGGATTCGATAGAATTCTCTGGACAAGGGTCCACTCGATTATCCACTGTCACTGTCCTTCCTCTCTGTACTATTCGTTACTCTGTTCTTTTCCAGTCCACTGAGGCTTACTGCCAGACACTGGACTGGATACTGCCTGCTGGGTAGAGTTTTCCAGCCTAACTTTCCACGGATGCCTAATCAATAAGAACCAGAGGGTTTGAATGAGGGGTTTACCACAGACTACCTAGTACAGAGTACATGTTACTACTAGGTAGACTCTACTCGGTGTTAAATCCATTAACCGTGACAAGGATTCAATCCTCTGTACAGAGACGGAGTACTCTGTACACCAAATTTCCTAGCTAGTTAGTTACTACATAGTTACTATCTAGTTACTTATTGAATACTGTCAGGTACGGATACAGTTGTCAGACAACTAACTACTGCAGGTACTATGTAGTAGGTCTTACCATCGCCACGTGTCGTATCATGACCTGTCACCACGCACAATTGAATAGTAAAAGCCACTTCCTACATACATAAGGCCTTCCTTGCAGATCGCAATTACCTCATACTACTTCATCAAGGGTCCTCCTGCCTGGCCGTTGCGTTGGAACGAATCGCTTGGCTAGTCGGTCTGGATTAGTGGGAAAAAGAAAAAAAAAAGTAATATAAAAAAAAAGAGATAGAGAATAAATAAATGAAGATGTTATTGACTAGGATTTACCTGTGCCTACAGGTAAGAGTCCGGAATACTCGGAGTCGTATCTAGTTCGGAGTTCTTCGGACTTGACTCCAAAAGATTTACTCCATTCTACCAATATGGCGACCGCATGCTGGCCAGGGTGGACAGCGTCCCCTCACCCGCCGCCTCTTCCTTCTTCCGGTGGCCCGCCAATTCCAGGTTTATCTGCCGATGGATGTGCACCAGCCAGTCCACGTAGCTCTGGGCCTCGTTGTTGCGGTCCTCCAGGAGCAGGCGGGCAAACTCGAACTCGGCCCCGTCCAGCCCTTGTCGGGCCAGCTGCACCGTCACCGCCTTGGACCCCCGCGTCGTCGACAGGTATTGCAGCAGATTGCGCACCTGGGCATTGAGGTGCGTCTCCAGCACGGGCACCGATGACGTGTTCGCGCTCAGCGCCTGCAGCGACGTCGCTTCCGGCCCAAACAGGTCCTCCAGCAGATTCGGCGACACCTGCGAATGGAACCATACCAGACACATCTGCCCGTTGTCCACCAGGTACACGCCCCCTTCCTCGATGTTGGAGAAACTCGCTCGCAGGCTCGGTGGTACCTGCAGCTGGCCCTGCTCGTTCGGAAACCCGTCCTCCGGCTGCATGTTGTGGATGGGGATGATCCGAGGGTAAAGGTACATCGATAGCTCTGCGCACCCGATCGAGCACAGCATCCGCATGTCGTGCACCCGTCGGTCGGAAGTTTCGTGACCGCCTGCTTGGTCAGACTACTAAAGCTAAGAGCGAGCGAGAGAGAGAGAGGAGCTTACCCTTGAACGCTCGACATTTGATCAAACTCAACATGAACATCGAAAACTCTTTTAGATTCTCCGGCAAGACCAGCTGCCCCGGTGGGTGTGAGCCGGAGAAAATCTTGCGGTAGCCGCTGAAGATGTCCACCGTCTTCTCCGTGATGTTGGCGCGAATGTCTTTCAGCGATTTCTCGAGGACTTTCGAGGCCGCTATCATGTGTTAACCAGGGAACAAAAGAAAAAGGAAAAAAAAACATACCCTCTTTGGCAATGATGGCGACAACTGCATCCTGATCGATGAATTTCATCGTCTCTAGGCCGCCTTCGTTCACTGCCGCCGCAATGTTGATGCATCGCACCCGGCGTTGACCGTCGGCAGAGGTATACAGTAAAGCCGCCTGGAAATGAGCGTCCAGCTTGGTGTTGAGCTTCCCATCGTAACTGAAGAGCACACCGATCGCCTTGTCCGCATCAATGGAGCCGATTTCCAGATCCGCGCCAAACGTATGTTGCAGGAAGTTGCCGTGATAAGCCGATACCTGCAGCCCATTCGAGCACCGAACTTTCATCAAAGCTTGGTATCCCGTCTCACGGTTAACCGCGTGCGCCAGCTCGCGCGATAACTTCAGGATATCCCGTGGAGCATGGAAGTTAGGATAGAAGAATACTTCACCGCCGGTGACTCCGGATGCGTGACCTGGCCACGTACTCATCAGCCACATGCACAAGTTGTTGGGATGAACCCAAAAGAAAAAAAAAAAAAAGAGAAAGCATCACACTCACCGATAGTCGCAACATCCATGTAGGCACCTCCCGGCGAAGCAATAAAGAAGTCAACACCGATCCCGGCCTCGGCCAGTTTGGTTGCGGTGGTTCTCCATTCCTGGTTCTCCGTAGTGAAGAGCTTCTTCTCCGTGTCCGTACCGTGAGCCTTCGGGTCTTCTCTCATCACCAGCCTGCCAGGACCCCAGGTCGGCAGACTTGCCAGAGAGCAGATCACTTTTCCACCCGTTGCGTGCAATGCCGACAGTGCGGCGTTGAGGGCTGGGAGCAAGGCAGGCTCCGGGTTTTTAATCTGCGAGAAGAGCGTCGGGATCTGGTTCAAGAGAGAGGAGACCACGGTCCTAATAAAAAGAAAACAGAAAAACACAAAAATTAGCACCTGCGTCACCATTTTTTTTTAACCTTTCGCAGAACATTTTGGGACGTACCTGGACTCGTAAGGGTCAACAAAGAGACCTTCGCTCAACGGGACAAACGGCTCCTCCAAATCGGTCATGACCATCATCTGCGCCTGTTCAAGTTGTCCCTGTCATTTTATAGTGAGTAAAATGGAGTCCTTGTTTTTTTTTTTTTTTTAACATGAATTGCGTGTTCTGCAAACTGAATGACTTACGCTAAGATTGTAAAAATGCACTTCCTTATCAAAAGTAACAATACCGATCTTAGAGCCTCTGGGAAGCTTGCGGGATGGCGACTCGTTCTCGCCTTCGGCTGCCGGTTCATCGTCGGTACCATAGAGAGCCTCCATGATTCCCTTGCACACTCCGTCCAGGAAGCCTCTGTTGACCGATTCCTGGCTGACATCGACCAAAAACAGCCATTGTAGACCAACAGGTTCCTTGTTCCAGTAATCCTTGGGGACCACAAATTCGACCGTCCCCATCATCAACTCAGGCCGCTGCATGCGATCGACACGGGAGCCCGACGGATCCACAGGCGCAAAGTATTCGGGAGCAACGTCGTTCGGGAATGTACACATGTTGCAGACAAACTTGCTGCCTCCGGATTTGAAAGACATGAACGGGTTGATATATGTCCTACACCTGCGGCATCGCGGAGGACCTGCGTCGCCGAAATCCAGTACCGGTATCGGTTGCTCGCCGGGGTCCAGACGAGCCAAGGGCTGCAGGATCATGCCCAGCGGCAAAGCCGTGGACGAAAGGAAGTCAGAGGTAGAAGGGATGTTGTTCAACGTGAGACGGCAATATTTAGGAGACGAGTTTCCTTGATCATGGGCAACAAATGGAATGGCGGCCGGAGGGGGGAGGTGATGTTCCATGGTGGGATACACATGGTTGAAATAATGATGCGCATAGATGTCGCGAGACTTGGGAATACTGGGGATCTGCTCCGGGTCAATCTTTCCTTGAGTTGGGACCGATTCTGAACCGCCGGCTATAGGGGCAACTGGCGGGACAACTGGCGGGGGCACCGCTCCGGGGACAGCATAACCCGGTTGCTGGAAACCAGTTGCTGGAGACACCGGTCGCAAGGGCTGGCTCAATCCTGTATTCAAAAATTGCGACGTTGGCTGTTGCACGCCTCCGTTGAACGCTGGCGGGGCTGGAGCGACGGCACCACCACCACCACCGCCACCAATATCGTGGTAAGCATGTCGATGCTTCTTCTTATGATGGGGGCGAGCAGTTCCCTCCGTCGATATCCCCAATCCTCCCATCTGTGAGGCTAGTCCGGCCATGGTATTGTCCCCTCCTCCGGCGTACGGGGTTGCGGGGGAGGCAGCCGATTGAGGGGAGCCATACGGCGGCCATTGTTGGTTCAGAGGCAGATTGGCATAGGCCTGGGGGCTCGGAAGACCCTGACCCATTCGGTTCTGGTTCGCAGGATCGTCACCAGGAACACCTCCCTCGCCGAGAGCGTGATAAGCTGTGTGGTCCGTCATCGTACCTCATAATAACGCGGGTGTCCAACACAAGCAGCGGGTCTGGAATGGCTACGGACGGCAGGTTCCAGTCAGCACCCTACCATAGCCTCTGTCCGGGGGGGCAACACGCGAGACTTGCACCGCGGCTGGCGTCTGGGGTGGGATAATCGTCAGTGTTTGCTTTTGGCTGTAGTATTGACCACCTAATGGACTTCGCGTTTCAACAGAGACGGAATTACGTCGCTCCGATGGCCTGTTCTGGGCGGCACGTGCCGCGGACCCTCATGGCAGAATTGCAATTCCAGCATTGCAAATAAACTGCAATTTTGGCAAGTTGGCCGAATCGGGCGATTCTTCGTGGTTTCTCTTTTGGGTGAGCATGTGCTTCCAGACCCCTCGTGCCTGCTGCTTTTGTAGAGACTCCGTACTTAAAGCGTAGAACTGCTACTGCATGCTGTTTCTCAAGTCAACCTTACCTCTCTGCGGATAATGCCCAAGGCGAGGCCAAAACGCGATATTTGCACGCTAGATCCAAGCATTTTCAGTGTCGAGCTACAATATTTTACTGATAAGTTGAACATTGTACAAGGTGACCGTTACTTGGGTTGCGAGCACCCTCTGACTGACAAGGGACTGACGACAGATAACAGATCTCCCCGCAGCGAAGCCTATTTAACTACTTAGGTAGTTTGCAATAATACAAGCGAGGCACGGAGGATAGTGAGTTTGGGCAGCAGCGGACTCAAAGAGTCGGCAGTATTATTTTCATAGCATGAAACGGAATCCGAAAGAGTGCTGACGCAATGGAATAGTGGATAGTTACTTCCCCTGCGAACAACTTCCGAATCGGAGCAACGTCATCAAGGTTATGTTCACTGCTTCCTACCTTATATATAAGCAACTCCGTTCATCCAATCATCGTTGCTGCCCAGATAAACAACACGTAAAAAAAAGGGACCTCTGGTTGGGCATGGGTGGGAGCTCGGAGGATGAACGGAAGCCCCAGGGTTGTCTACAGTCGCTGAGGGGTCCGTGATGACCCTATAGCAGGACAGATTCGAGATCATGGAGCAATAGAGCGCCTGAGTGGTTAAAAACGTCCTTATCTTGATCAACACTTGCAGGGGGAGTCTTCCTAGCACGGATTAACGTGCAGGACCTATGTCGGATGGCACCCCAATCCCTGGTGGATGTTCGAGAAAAGGCACAGAGCCGGATTGCCCTCGGAGTCAAAAAAGCAAATATACATCTTGTTCAAGGTGGTCTATTTTGGGCCATAATGATCGTAAAGGCTTCGGATCTCATCTTTATCTTGACGTTTTTTACCATCTGATGTTTGGTGATGATTACCCAGCCGCCCCCCCCCCCTTTGTGCGACATTCCCAAATGGCGCATCTCACGTTTAGATGCCTCAACCCAGATACACCAAGTCTCCCTATCTTGGCCTAATTTTCCCGGCTGGTGGATCTGAAAAGAGGTCGATTTCCCAACCACGCACGTCTTCGCTCACGACTACCAGACAAGCATCATCATATCAGCCGGGGGCCAACGGCTGTTGTATCGCGGGGCTTACCTCACCGTCTGTTCGGATTTTGGCGTTTCACTTCCGAGCCTACGCTCCCTCAGGGATCCTTCATCGGTGGGTTGTAATTATTTATATGCATGGCTGCCTCCTGTCCCACGTCCCGGATGCGCAATGTTGCTGTATTCCTTTTGTCTGATCTGTGAGGGCGAGAGAGGCGCATCAAAATCTCCCGTGCATACTTTCTTGTTTATGCGTCATGGATCTGACCGCGACCGCAACCCCTGCAGCGGCAAAGGACCGCGAGCCAAAGGACTCGAAAGTCCCCCAGGAAAGCATTGGTCCTCCTTCGCGACCCTACTCCATGGCCACAATTCAGGATGATGATGAACTCTTGCTCGCTCGAATTGGATACAAACAGGTAATTTAAACCGATTTCCTTCCTGTTTTAGCCATTCCCCTTCGCATCATTCTTTATTGACTAACGAACCCTGTTCAGGAGCTGAGGCGTGAATTCTCAAAATGGTCAACCGTCTCTTACGCCATCTCCATCCTGGGTGTGCTAGGCTCTGTCCCGGCGACAATCGGATCCCCGCTGGCTGCTGGTGGCCCGGCAACTGCCGTCTGGTGCTGGCTTATCGGGTCATGCATGGCAATGTGTATAGGTAGCTCGGTGGCAGAGCTTGTATCTGCGTATCCAACCGCGGGGGGTATGTATTTTGTCACCAAATATGTTGTACCTGAAAGCCAAGTACCGTTGTTCTCCTGGGTTCAGGGGTGGTGCAACCTCCTCGGACAGACGGCCGGTGTTTCCAGCGTCGCGTACAGTGTCAGTCAGATGATACTCGCCTGTGTTAGCTTGAATTCGGATTTCCAGGACGGCACCTATGCATATTCACCGTCAGACCCCAGGATATTGTTCCCTTTGGCCGCCCGAATCTAGTCAGCTAACGTTGAGTAGGACCGCCCTCCAAACCGTCATCCTTGCCATTGGGCTTTTGTGCATCATGGGAGTTATATGCTCCTTGTCCACCAAAACGCTGCATAGGATCATTCTCTGGTTTGCGCCAATCAACAGTATGATGATTTTTCTTTCTCTTTTTTCTCCTTTGATTCCAGGCGTCAACATTACGAGACTAAATAGCGAACAGTCTCCGGAACCATTGCCATCTGCATTGCCCTGTTGTACCTCACACCGGATAAGCAGTCTGCCACCTGGGTCTTCACCCATGTGACAGATGGCTCCGGCTGGGGCTCGAAGACATTTTCGTTTCTGCTCGGGTTTATATCTGTTGCATGGACAATGACCGATTATGACGGAACTACTCAGTAGGTCATTCGCTAATCAGGGATAGAGACCCCGACTTACTTGGTTTTCCCTTGCCTAGTATGTCTGAGGAGACCCATGACGCCGCCGTTCGAGGACCCGTGGCCATTAGGACGGCAGTCCTAGTCTCCGGGCTGTTCGGTTGGATGCTTACAGTGTCGATTTGTTTCTGTCTGAATGATTTTGAAGGCATACTGCAGTCCCCAACCGGGCTCCCAGCAGCTCAAATCTTCTTTAACGCCGGAGGAAAGACAGGAGGGACTATCATGTGGGCCTTTGCGACTCTCATCCAGTTTTTCACGGGATGTTCTGCTATGCTGGCCGACACTCGCATGGCATATGCTTTTGCTCGTGACGAAGCTCTGCCATTTTCCTCGTAAGTCATTTACCACTTAAGAATTAAGAAAGAGATCCGTTTTTCCCAGTTGTGTATTCCCAGACTGACATCAACCCCCCCCCCCCCCCCAGTTTTCTTTCAAAGGTCAACCAGTACACCCATACTCCGGTCAATGCAGTGTGGTTTGTGGTGTTTTTCAGTGTCTGTCTGAATTGCATCGCTATCGGGTCCACAGAGACCGCCACTGCTATCTTCAATGTCACCGCGCCTGCACTGGATCTGTCCTACGTATCGGTGATCTTGGCTCATCAGATATATAAATCAAAAGTGAAGTTCATCGAAGGCCCCTTCACTCTGGGGGCATGGGGCACACCAATCAATATGGTCTCCATTATCTGGGTGCTCTTCATTAGCACTGTTCTGTTCTTCCCCACTACAGTCCCAGTGACGGCTGAAAACATGTAAGTCTAATATGGCAGAGAGCAAAGAGCGAAGTTGCTGATAGTAACTTATAGGAACTATGCTATCTGTGTTGCGGCTTTCATTGCGATATTTGCCTTGCTATGGTGGTTTATATCGGCTCGAAGGTATGAATTTACATTGGCCTTCCAGGCTTGTTACCCCCAGGATGGTTCCTAACAAGAGTTTCCTTCTACAGGAAATACACTGGGCCCCGAACCAACGATATCATTCGAACCATTCCCACTGAAGACCTTGGAAACGACTACGGGACGATGCAACATATGGGGGTATAGATGGATGCCACGGGTATGAAATTTTGGATATGGATCTTGATAAAGATAGACTTGATATTGATAGACTTTCGGTTTTTTCTGATGATTTAAATTAATACAAGATGTTAATGATTGTTAATGGCGCCGTATATTTCATATTTCATTATTTATCAGCTGGAGACTATAAGATTGCTGAAACAAGATTTTGAAATAAAGGACAGGTTGATATGAGTATCGTATAGGTACACGGATATTATTGTCACTGTAGAATAGTTGAATATCATTGTATCAAAAACAACCCCCCCCCACCCCCAGGCCTTCTCAAGTCCCCGCCACAACGGCAAGTCCCTCGTAGATTTTGGTCTTGACCGCGAGGAACGTTCCAGAGGCATGGCCCATGGGCAACTGATTGGGCGCAGCGGCGTGCGTTGCGGCCTCGATCTCGATCCTGCCCGTGCCGGACTTGCGCACGGCGACTAGCCCGTCGATCAGCAGGGTACCTTCGCCGCGGAACTCAGCCTTGTGGCCGGAGGCCTGCATAATCTTGCGCAAATCGGCGAGTCGAAGGTCGCCTACGTGGAGAGGGCGCGTCATGGACCGAGTGCCAGCCGCGACATTGGCGGGGAGGACGTCCAGCGTGGGGAAGGCGTCCGGCTTGTCGGGTGTGGGCTTGACCTCGTCGATGGGGGCGGCTGCGGATGATGCTGCGGCTGTGCCGGCTTCGTCCTGCAGCAGCTTCATCTTCTTATTCTTGCTCGACGAGTCCGCCGGCGAGAAATCCTCCTCGTATACGGCAGGTTGGTCGGATTGGGGCCCGCGGAGTTGCGCCGTTAGGGTCACGACCCCGAGATTGCGCACGTGCTGCCATTTGAGCCGACGGACCAGGCTGGTGCTCAGCTTGACCATCCAGGCGTTCGTGTCGACGCTGGCGTCCACGGACTCGCCGTTAACCGGCGTGAAGATGATAGCTGAGTCGGCGGACGAGGAGGAATCCTGGTTGCCGCCGTCTACCTTGACGGCGAGCAGCTTCTGACACTCCGCTGCCAGCGCGCTTGTCTCCTCTTTCATGCCGCCGACGAGAATCAACTTCCGAGGCTGGATGAGCGGGATGAGCATCTCCAGGCTGCGCTTGTCGTGCAGGCCCATAAAGTCCACAAAGGCCAGGCGTGCGTTGATGGTGATCGTCGCGGTCTTGAAGATCGCCTTGGCGGGACCTTCAAAGGGCTGGGGATCCGCCTCGGCCCCCTCATCCGACGACGCGGCACCATCAAAGCCGTCGCTCAGGTTATCGGTAAGACCGAGGGTGTCTTCATCTGTCGCACCGCCGTCCTTCGCGAGACCGTCCCGGGCAGCATGGTGGCGTTTGTGTCCGCCACTGGAGAGCTTGCGCCCGTTCGGACCGGCCTCGTCCCACCGCCGCTTTTGCCCCAGCTTATTTTCGCCCCGAGTGTCAGACGCGTGCTGCTGCAGGTCGGCTTCCTCACGTTCCTCTGCGCGCAGGTATTCCTCGGGTCGGATGAATTCGCCGTATTCATCGCCTCTCTTTCGAGGGGCAACGTAGGGGAACATTCGTTCGCGGCCCTTTTTCCCACGCACATCGTAGTCGTACACGTTTTGCCGCCGCAGTAGAACGTTGATCCCTAGGTCTGCATCGCTGAGACCCAGTTTGTTTCGATTGGAATGAGCCAGGGAGGTGGAGAAATTGAGGGCTCTGCCTTGTTGTTCGGACTCGGAATCCTCAGAGGAGGTAGAGCTGGACCGGTCATCGAGGGGATCGGCTGTGGTGTCCAAGTTCTCCTGGCCCCGGGATTGGGTGGTGTCTTGGAGCTGTCTCTTGGTAGCAAGATATTGTTGGTAGAGGATCTGGTCACCCGCGTCAAGACGCTCGCGTTCCACTTCTGTCCACGAGAGCTCCCTGCCGCCGCCGTGTACTTGTTCTAGCAGCTCACCGTCCGAGGCGGTCTCTAGCGCGACCCCGTCTCTCCGCTCTTCATACCACTGCCAAATCATTCGCCCCAGGGTCTCTCTCTGAGGGCCTGGGCCGGAGGAATCCTCCGAGGGCTTAGATTGATGGAAGGACTCCGTGAGTAGCAGCAAGTTGTTGGGCCCCTCTGCAACCAGCCGTAAAGACTCCTTGGCGAAACCCCAGTCCAGCGACTGGTCAGACGCCAGAATCACCTTGGGGGTCTGATCGGTAAGGATCTTCTCCAGTTTCTTTTCCCGTTCCACGGTTTTCAGGTGCTTGAAAGTAAAAGGGCCGACACCTTTGGCTGCACCTTGGCTCTCTGCATTTCGTTGCGCATCGCCTCTGGTCGCTGCATCCCCACCTTCTGCCGCCTCGAATTCGCGGACGATGTTTTCGTCCATCCACTCCAACATGCTTCTGGCGAGCCGCATTGTGGTATTCGCCTTTCGCCCGGCGAGATAGAGTGAAGCATTTTTCAGCACATTGTCATTGTCCCCGTCGGCTGCAGCCTCGCGCCATGCATGCTCCAGCGCATACGCCAGCTCCAGCACTCGCGCGCAGGTATCTGTAGGAATCAACACGGTGCCTCCTTTAGCGATACAGCTCCGTATCATATCGAGAAGGATATCGTCGCGCTTCTTGCGTCCGCCATGCAATGCAAATTTATCACCCCCCTTGGTACTGCAGACGAGAGCAGTCGGTTTGCGTAGCTGCTCGATCACATCGGCCCCGCTGGCCCCGGAGCCTCCAAACCAGGCAGCGCCTGCGACGACGCTTTCGCGAGCCTGGTTCCAGTCGACAGCATACACGATGGACTCCATCCCGTGTTGGATGTGCCATATTGTGCCTCCGACAGTATGGCCAGCATTGTAGGCCGTAAGCGTCAGACCGTTGAGGGGCGGCGAAAACGGAGACGGTAGCGGTTGATGTGGTTGCGAGTATTTCAGAGGATGTATGAGGGAGAAATATCTTGCGATTTCCTCCGCACTAGGCGGCTGGAGGAGAATCCGCCCGGCGTTGGCCGAGCCTGCTTCCCTGTCACCGGTGGCTGGGTCCGCAGCCGCCGCCGTGGAAGCAGTCGCCGTAGACGCTCCTGGTTCAGATATTGACGCCTTTGGTAGGAATGTCGCAGCCAATGGTGACGACGCATAGAGATCTTGAAGGAGGGTGCGGCCGAGGGCGATGACAGGACTGGTCGCGTAGACCGGGATTTGTGTAAAGAGCGGGAAGACCTTGCAGCAATGCGCAAAGGCTCCGATATGTGCAGGTGTTGCGTGTGTTAAGAGGATCAGGGATAGAGTCGGGATTTGTCTATTGGTAGTTCAAGCAAGTAAGCATCAGAAGCAGCAAACAGCACGAGTCCTGGTTCTGCGGGGAGCATACTTCTCCAGCTCGACTAGATCGAGAGTATCAAAGGTGTCGTCCCAGCCAACATCAACAAGGATCTTGATCCCACCATCCAGCTCCAGAATCGATTGAGATGCCTTGGACGACGATGATTGCGCCCCCAGTAGGGGCGTGAACGTGAACATCTTCTCGATGGGGAACCGCGTAAAACCGGGGGTTCGAGGAAGAAGGATTGGCTCAGTCGGGTCAAACGGAACCCTGGAAGCGTCTGAGCAAGTGCATCTCCCGGACTGAGCACGAGGTAATCGACAAGAGCTGCGAAGATCAACCCGGGCGACTGAATAACGGCCCAGAATAATAATAATCCAGGCCGTCGTTGAGATCAACATCTGGAGATCATGTTTGCACTGTTTGCATAGGAGCTGGTACTGCGAGCCTTGGAGCCTCAGGCATTAATAAGGCATCAATAAGATATCTACAAGACATCGAGAGGACATTTTTCGTAGACACTCTGGATAATTCTCTACACAAATAATATCTCGGAAAAGAAGTGCCATTTAGAGATCGTGTGAGAGTCTATTAGACCTAATTTATTGACAGACAGAGAAGCAAATACACTCCTATATATAAACAAGCATAACTATGTATAGACAAAGAAAACAACACCCCAAAGAGTACTATGAACAGAAACGGAAGAGATGAATGGTTAACGAGTAAGCTGTGAAATGATATCACTCGAGATGACGTGATGGCTGCTCAGAGTGTTTCTTATTCAGCCCAGGCACGTTTAGAGCTTTGGCTGCGTGTAACTGGCCTGCTTCTCTTCTTCCGGGCTGCCTGCTTGGCTGCTTTTCGCTTCCGTTTAGCAGGCCGCGGTGCTGCAGACAAGGGGTCCTCCTCCTCTCCATCTTCTTCTTCCTCCTCTCCCTCCTCATCGGGATCCGGTTCTGATTGGTAGTCCTCGTCATCAGAATTATCCGAGGCTGCCCCGGACAAGTGGGCCTTTGGTCTGCTGAACTGCCGGAACGGTCTCTTGGTGGTTGGGTACCCTGGCAACTTCTTCAGGTCTTCGGAATCGAGTTTGAATTTACCCAAGGTGTGGCCAGCCCAGATTCTGATGCGGCGGAATTTCGGAGTGTCCAGTGCAGGGAAGTACTTGTCTCTCATCTTTTTAACTCGCAAGGAGGCAATTTCCTCGCCCCTCCGTGCTTTGGAGAGCTTTTTGAATTCCGGATCCTCGAGCATGCTCTTCAGAGATCCAAATGTGGGCAGTTGAGCTGTGGGTGGTTGGGTTGTGGAAGATTGGACTGCATTGCCTGGTTTGCTCTTCCTTCCAGTGTGAAGGGGCTTCTGTGGCTTCTTGGGGCTCCCTTGCTGACTCGCTATTCCAGCAGCCTGGGGTGGAACTGCTCGCTAGTTAGCATGTAGGTCAAAAGCCAAGAGGGGGTCTGTCCGAGAAGGCATTACCTGGCATCCCTGCGTTTTTCAGGTTTTTAATCGCCATGGCCCCAAAGATCTTAAGGAGACGCTTGTGTCTATCCTCGTTCTTCTGTTCCTCGATTTTCTTTTCCGTCTCGCCGTCTGAGCTCTCACTGGGTGAAATGTTGCCATCCCCATCGTGGCCGTTAGGACTTTGGCCGGTGATTGTAACATTGAGAGCCAGTACTAAATGATAAAACAAGTAGTTAGCACTCTAATATCTAGCAAACTTGATTGTCTCCATGAAGAATGTGAGATATGTATTGATATGCAAGGGAATGGCGAGGAATGCCAGATTAATCTCCATCTCAACCCAGTCGTTTGGAGACTGGACATGCATGCACGTCAACATTGATTGGAGAGCAGGAAGATTAAGCCTGGATTGACACATTCCTAGTTACATCACTTCACCTGATTATCCCAAAGGAATACAGGAACAAGGAAAGAAGTATGCCCATCAACAGGGTGACTACAATAAACCACAGACATCTATACTTACCGGCTGGCTGAGGCTGGCCATCATCGGCAAGTACCTCCTGACGCAAAACAGAGGTCTTAGCCAGAGCCGCCTCCTTGTTGATATCGTTGGGAGATTGAGTATCGCCCAGTTTCGGCACCAGACCTCCAGAGTACTGGGAGCCGGGGGCACTTTCCCCCATGGTCCGAAGCTTTTGCAGATTCGAGCCCGGCCGAGCTGCCAGTGATGGGCGCTCAAAATCTCGCATAGAAGGATTTGGAGTGGGCGAAGCCCACTTGATTACCGCGAGCTGTTCAGCGACGAATTCATGGCGCGCTGGAGCAGGAGGAACCGGAGGCATAGGATCCTCAGTGTTTTCGACTAAATAGCCCAGCACACCGGCGCGAATGGCGCCTGCAAGCTTGTCCTTCATCTTCGGGTTACCCAGCGCTTCCTCAAGCTCGTTCCATGCGTATGTCACTAGCTGAGATTTCGTATAGCCCTGCCACCTGTCCTTTGGGCCAGGGTCAAATTTCCACTTCAACTGAGCCAGGCCCTTTTTCTCGGAGGCGTCCTCCCCATTGCGTCCCTCACCTTTTGCCTGCGGCAATGCTTGGACAACAAACCAGCGAGGGGGATAAGCATTCTCCCCGAATTGGACCAATGGCCTCGGACGGCTCCCAGACTTACCGGGACTCTGCCTAGGAACAATGGGAAAAGGAGGTAGAGCAAGGTCTGGCTGCCGAAGCGCAGGTGGTTCAGGCTTCTCTGGAGACACTGTTTCCACATGCTCAACCTCGGAGAGATCTGAGCTGGAGACCTTCCTGCCCTCTCCCTTGCCAGAGGAGTTCTGACCTTTCGGTGATGGCGGCGATGACATTGTCTTCCAGAGAAGTGGTAGCGGATTGTGTAGGACAAATACTGTATAGATCAGTCCTGTCAGCTGTCGCTCGCCCTATATTCTGATGATGAAGAGCCCACCTACAGGTTTCTCCCCAGCGAGTTGCGATGTTACCTCTCAAAAGACACTCCACAGAGTGTCAGAAGCTGTATACCACAATGTATCCAAAAATTCTGTTGAAGAGAAGAAGAAAAGCAAGCTGGGTTGAAACACAGTGGACAGGATTATAAACGCCTTTATTCCCGTGGCGCTCAATAGCTGGATCCTTTAATGATAAAGATAGAAGAGACACCTTCTCCCTATTCTTGCCTGTATTTTCTGAGCCGTCAATGGCCTGTGGGCTCTCTTTGTTGGTCTCTTTGTCCTTGGGCTAGAGTGGAGCAAACCGACTATGTAGTATGTAGATACCCCTGCAAGAGCAACACATTAGAAGGGGAATATTCTCTAAGAATTTGAACAGTACATACCTGTAAAATGACTATGGAGTAGTAAAAAGAATCACACCTTTATGACCCTAACTTATTCCTTTGTAGACAATTCACAGGTCATCGTCCGCTAAACAATAACACCCCCCCTACTACGTACAAGTGGAGAGGGGGGAGAGAGGGGGGAGGGGGGGTGGGAAGATCCGGAATAAAGAAGAATCCTATAACGTCAGGATTGGCCAACTCCGTCAGAAAAAGAAGAAAGACTAACCAGCCATGCTCTCTCCATACTCCTGCATCGATCGACAAAGACCCGCCATACACATTCCTCGGAAACGGCATCCTCTGAGACCCTGGAAAAGAACGGCCGACGGGGCATATGTAGGAACCGCTGCGTAGTTACTACTACACGTCCATTCCCGGTGATTGGAATGCCAGCATGGAAAGAGAAAGCAGATGGTGCCCTGTGTGGGGGATGAAAGAAAAGAAAAGGCGAGGAGGTTGCAGGGGGGGAAGAGGGGAGAGAGAGAGAAGGGGGAGGAGGGAGGAGGACAAAGAGAGACCACCTGATTAGAACAACACAACATAATCCTGCCTACCAGTAAGTACTTGGCCATGGAAAATGTCTATTTTTGTCCACAGTCTTCCTGGGTGAGTCTTTTCTTTTCACTTTTTTAAGCAAGGATGGGAAAGGTTAATCTAAGTCTAGATCAATCTGGCCAGAGACGAGGTTTGAATATGAGAATTTTATGATAAATATAGACTATTGGAATGTGTTCCATTAAAGAGAAATAGTGTCTTGGTTTAGATAGAGCAAAGACAGGTTTTGAAGCAAAAAGGTGGGTTAATATATATCTATAGTTTCAGCTTAGAACCATTGATTGATGATACGTTTGAAATGATAGAGCTAGAGGGGAAAATTCATGACTCTGACAATCCCCCTATACTCACAGCAAACACCGCAATGGGAGAGATTATTATTGCCAGTATCTCGGCTCGTCAAACACGTGGTAGCGATGACCACGGACTCCCTGGCCTCGGAACATGGCTGGGAAGCGGCGTCCCTGGGGCACCGTCTCCTCGGGGACGCGAAGCTCATCTTCCGCCTCAGGTTCGCCAATGACGAATTTACCGACCTGCGATCCACACGTGAGTAAAAGAGAAAAAGAAAAGAAGAGAGAAGAAAAGGGGGAACATACCTGGATCTCTGTGTCGGTGATGGTATCCCGGCTCACTCGGGCGTAGCCGGTTCGCTTCAGTTTCTTGTAAAGAATGTACTCGCACCATCGGTCCCAGTCGGTGGGATCGATATCCTTCATGCCGCTCGTTTCACTGACGTAGGTGTTGTAGTTGCCTTCCAAGGGCTTGGTGACGAGGTAACTCAGCAGGATCAATGGTCGTGGTGAGTCGCCCATCAGATGGGACAGGTACTCGGTCTGGAGGCGGCGATCCTCCGGGTCTTCTTCTTGACCGGAGTGGAAAACAACCACATCTACCATTTCCCCATACATGTCGAGGGTGGCGTGGATGGCCGGTGCCAATTCACCAACGGGAGAAGGCAGCAGGTGGTGGGTTGAGTTAACGATCGGGAACTTGGAGAGAAGCGCCGAGCCCCAGGTGTGTTTGTTCGGCCCAGGGCCAAAGTCCACGTACATGCCCAGATCCTCGGCGAGGAACTGCGTAGCATCCCGGTTACCCATGATAATCCGCTGGTTATCCGACTCGAGGAGACCGATGACGTCCAGCTCGAGCTCCTTGATCACATCCCGCATCCGTCGTTCGGAGGACCACATGTTGTTGTCCAAAGCAAAGTGGATCGTCCAGATACCGACGGTGGCAACCTTGTCTTCCTTGTGGTAGGGGACGTAGTCGTTGGTTGGGAAACGCAAATACGCAATCGACACCGAAAGAAGCTGCAGAGCGGCCAGGACGTACACGTAGTAAGACTTGGTTCTCTTGCTGTTAGGATTGACTGGCTTGTGCTTTGTCGGGCCAGAGTTCGAAACAGACGCCGAGAAAACACCAGCGCCGAGAAGCAACATCATCGTGGTCATAAGCCAATCGGTATGTTCCCGGACAAGGGGACCACCTGGAACGAAAGCGTACGCAACCACCCAGACGTGGAACAGGACCAAGAACACATAAGCAAGAAATCCTAGGCCGAAGGTAACCGCGGGTGAATGGCGGACCGCAGATGAAATCAGAACCGGGGTCACAGCGAGGAGGTAGAACGTGAGCACGAGACCGCCATAAAAGCCCGTCCAGTGACTGTAACAAGTGAGGAAGGCGGCCCCGATGGACCCAAGGCCAAAGGCCGTCCAGCTTCCAGCCAAGCGTGGGTTGAAGACTCCATATACGAGCCCGGCACCCATTGCGAAGATGGTGACTGCACCATGAGGCACAGCGATGGGACCCCGAATCGGGTATCCTTCCCAGACCCAAGCGATCATGGTGCTGGAGTCAGACAAGAGAGAATGCATGGCGAAGATGAGACCTCCAATTCCAAGACCAGCCAGAACGGGAGAGCCCTTCTTGCCAGTCGAGGGAAGGTAGTCACTTCCAGGAGTTGCGGACCGCCGGGTGGAACGGAGAATGGCAAACACAGCGAGTGCAATACCTAACTTGTTCCAACCACCATTTTCGGCATGCATGATTGGCCAAATCGGATTGTTGGTTCGGCAAGCGAATTTGGCGATGCTGGACATGGTCAAACCCGCGGCCCATGCAAGGATACGAGCGTCCAGGCGAGCGGCTTGTCCTCTTTCCCCGAAGAAAGTAGCCGACCAAGCGATACATGTCGTGGAAACGGCGAAGCCGGTTACGAGCAATCGACTGGCCGGTTCTTGTACTTTATAGGCGAGCAACCCGGCCAGAGACAGGAGATGCAAAATGCGAGTGTTCTTTGTTGCAAGGGACCTGAGCCCAGGAATGGCGAGCAGGAATGGAGCGATGCAGCTCAGAAGCACCACCTCATATCCAGAGATACCCATCGACCAAAGAGGGAAGTCTAAAGATATCAGCGAGCAGCTTTTTGGGGCCTGTGAACCAATGTCACTTACACCAAATTTGAACACCCAGACTGGTAAGAATGGACCAAAAGACGAACTAATCCACCACCATCAGTCACAGTCCAAAGCAAAAAGAAGACGGCCGAATTTACCCCATTGTAGACATCAGCAGCAGCATCGGTGATCTCGGACCAGAAAAAGCCCTCGCCAAAAGTGTTGCCCACGGGCTTTCCCTTCCTAGCTACGGTGTTAATGTGTGGTCAAGGGATTTTTTGATTGATAGGATAGAAAACACACTCTTTTTCGAGAACAGCATCCGCGGTGGTCTTCAACTGTCTGTATACGGGGATTTAGAAAATGGTTCTTCTCATATCATGATCGACTCTGGCGACTGTACATCTCTTTTCTTCTCTGTGTCTTTTGCTTTTACTTTGGAAGCCACTGTACATACCCTCGACTGACGCCTTTGACATCCCGGACCACCAGCTCAAACCCTTCAAAATCAATTGCGGTAATCGCATCGAATCCCACATCAAACAGGATGAGAGACCACTCAAAAAACGCATACCGGGTGTAAGCTAAGAAAGTAAAACCGTTAGACGGAGTGTGATAAAGCTTTTTAGGTGTCGTTCGTGCTTACCGCCAGCAACCTTGTGGACTTTGTGTTGAATGAAATAATAGATCAAAGGTACCAGGGTACCGAAGAACAAGCTAGCCATGATCTTGCGATACTTCACGGCACGGCGGTTGTTGGGGCTTAGAGCCAGGCAGCCCAGAGTCCACGGCAAGGTGGCGACAAGGTAGGAAATCATGAAAATGTCATGCCAGTCATGGTCATCGGTCGAGGTTACATATGTCCAGCCTCCACACATGAGCGTGCGGAAGATTCCTGTGCCCGCCACGATCTTGGGGAGCGCCGAGTTAGGACGCGCCGTGAGGATGTACCACAGGAAGACCAGGGCAAACCGGGGACCCGACGTGATCGCAATAAAGACCTGGAAGACGGACCGCTCTGGATATCGATCGCCAATTGTTGCCGATACCGAGGGAAACCACTCGTCGGGGTAGCCGTAATGCTCGTTTTGGACGATCTTGTGGAAGTGCAGACTCATCCCGACGACAAGCGCGCTGAAGAAGGCCGCATACGCGACAACAGTATGACTCCATGAGACCCATTTGCCATTAACCTGTAATTTGCCTCATAGTCAGCACAAAAAATGCCCCCCTCCAAAAAAAAAACCCCACAAGAACGAGGGGTTTGGGGGACTTCTCACAGCCACGACGGCATCCCCATCCTTGAACTTGGGTGCCATGACGGCGCGTCACAGAAGAAAAGAATCCGTATCAATAAAATCCGACAAAAAGAAAAGGTAAAACGGGTTCTAAAGAGCGTCGAGAAAAGGAATAAAACAGTGAAAGGAACGGGATAGACAAGATCACCAACCCCTGAGAGGTTGTCAATAATACTCAAGATGGCCTTCCGTTGTTGCCAGCTCGTTCCGGCCTCCGCGGGCCGCGGACCCCTGTCTGCGCTAGACCCGATACAGCCAGGCCTTGGCGCGTGCACGTGCTCTTGAAGCTAATCTCTTTTTCAACGTGAGGAGGAGAAGGAGATAATCGAGTATTGGGCAGGCTCTTTGGGTAGAGGGCGTGTGGTGTGTTTCTGGCGCCATAATGTCTAGTGCAACGGACAAAGCTCGTTATTTCCTGGAGCAGTCGATTCCGGAGCTCAAGGAGTACGAGAGAAAAAAGATTTTCAGCAAGGTAGGCTGAGCGCGATGCGGTATTTGGAGATGGATCGAAGAAGAAAGCTGATCTGTTTTTGTGTTTCCTGACAGGATGAGCTCTCCTCGATTATCAAAAAGCGATCTGATTTCGAACACAAACTGAATTCCAGGGGATCGCAGCCGGTAGACTTTGTCCGCTATGCAGAGTACGAGATGAACCTCGACCTTTTGCGCCGGAAGCGAGTCAAGAGGCTAGGCATCAGGGCAGCAGGGTTTTCAGGACAGAGACGGATCTTCTTCATTCTCGACCGGGCGACTCGCAAGTTCCACGGAGATATTGGTCTCTGGGTCCAGTACATCGAGTATGCCCGACAGCAGAAGGCGCATAAGAAACTTTCGCAGGTCTTCACCGACGCTCTTCGCCTGCATCCTACAAACGCGGATCTCTGGACATACGCAGCCAAATACATGATCGAGGATCATGCCGATATGACCCAGGCGCGAAGCTACATGCAGCGGGGCCTGAGATTCTGCAAGCGGTCGAAGAAGTTGTGGATCGACTACGCCAAGCTGGAGCTGATCTATATCACAAAACTGGTTGCCCGACAGAAAATCCTGGGGCTTGACCAGCCGATCAAACCCGCAGCGCTGACAGCGGACACTGCCTTTGACGATCTCGACGCTGATATGATTGCGCTGCCGCAAATCACCGAGGAGGATATCAACCCCACGGCGGCTGGGGACGACGAGGTTGACGAGACGGCATTGAAGAACCTCAGCGCCACCCCTGCCCTGAGCGGTGCGATCCCGCTCGCCATCTTTGATACTGCCATGAAAACCTTCGACAACGACGACAAATTTGGGCACGAGTTCTATGACATGGTTCTTGGGTTCGCGGATATACCCTGCCTGTCCAAGATTCTGGGACACGTGGTGGAAGTTCTGCTGGCGGCCAAACCCATCAGCCATCATACGCTGATATGTTACATCCGGTTCCCCACTGTGGGCATCCGGACCGATTCTGCCGACTTCCCCCGTGCATTGGGTACTTCACTAGGCCGTCTCAAGGAGCATCGCCATGATCCGAAGCTCGCAGAAGAAGTCATCAGTTGGCTGCAACCTTTGCAACAGACCGAGGGACTGGATCCTGCGTTGCAACAAGTCATGGCTGCTACGATCCGAACGGCGGAGAAAGCCCTTCAAACGAAATGAATTGTATAGATAGGGTGGGGTTTAGTATCAGCGACACATTATCTTTGCTCGAGATCGGCGTTCAGGGCCACAAAACAAAAAGCATGGGTATATATCTAGAGGTTCTTTGTGTATGTAGTTTCATGTAATCGAGTCCATCATATCCTAGTCATCATACTTACTCCCCCGCCGACTACTTTTCTTGCTGCCCTGGGTCTTTTTCGCCTTGATACGGGCCTCGTTGGCAGCTTTTTGTCTGTCCAGCACTAGAATTAGCTCTTGATCTAGAGGAGCATCAAACAGCAGCATCAACAGCAGCATCAACAGCAGCATCAACAGCAGCATCAACATACAACTTGTGCACATGGTCTCTCTGCTCCTGGCTGGTCTCCCCCGGAATGGCATTCTTCACAGAGCTCTCCACCAGCTGGTACAGCTTCTCATAGCACGATTCCACATTGGTCGCCTGCTTCCGCGACTCGTCCGACTGGATCACCAGCGACTGGCTCCGCTCGGCCGCATACCGTGATAAACGTATTTGCGGGTGGACGATCCGGGGCAGCAGGGGAAGCAGCGAGTCGAGCGAGACACGAAGCGTCGCTTTCGAGTTCACCCTGGCAAATTAGACAATTCAAGCCATGGCAAAATAAATAAATAGAAAGAAAGGAAACATCACACGTACTTGTTCACATTCTGCCCTCCAGGGCCACTAGACCGGCTGAACGAGATCTCACATATGCTCCGTGGGATAGTCTTCGCAGTCAGCTTAGACAGCCACTCTCTGGCTACCTGGACGTCTGCTTCATCCTGGCAATCAATCACTGCTGTGCGTCTGGACGCGAAAGCTCTTCTTGTAGGAGCAATGAGATACGCAACACACCGTCCGTCCCAAAACGGGGGGAGAACTCTCATGATCCTCCGCTCCATAACACAAGAGTTTAGTACTCCGTTAGTACCTTACTCAGGAAGGTACTAGGTACGGATACAAAATAGTAAAATACCACAGACCCTTTTTTGCAGCCAAACCCGCGTAATTTAAAACATAGCCTCCTGTTTTTGACCTTACTGCTTTGGGGATCCTCCGGCGGTCTGGCCCTCGAGCTGAAGCTTTGAACTATTTGCGTTCGTGACTGACAGAATCTTCGGATCTGCTTTGCTCGCTAACATCTTCTAACAAACAACAGATAAGTCAGGAAGAAAGACGCAGCATAGAAATTTGAGAATGATTACCTGAATCCCTCTGTATTCTAGCAGTCGCTCTGCCCCTCTGCCTTAAGTACCTGGTGCGAACGCCGAACACTGACTGAACGAACAGTCGGTTCAGATCGCGCTCTGCCAGCCCCACCTTAGCTTTATTCCAGAATAAATCCTCCTTCCGGCCGCCTCCTCTTTCGCTCCCCCTCCCCAAGGGAAGGATTTTCCAGGACACCCGTGGAGTGTAGATGAATCGGCTGCTCTGCTTCAGTCTACATGACGCCCAGTCCGCCAGATGAAGCTCTTCACTTCCGTGGAAAGACTCTGACTCCCGAGAGCCCGCGCCCGCTTCATGTAGCGGAACCGACCAATATCCCGGTGCTTTTCAATCAAATGGACCCCGTCCTGAATGATACAGCACACTATAAGCAGTCGGAGTCTGACCATGGAAGTCATATGTCATCAGGTGAGGATTTGCCCAGAAGAGGGAGGAAGAGAGGAGGAGAAGAGGTGCTATGTCTTCTGTAGACAAGGAACAAGATCTAACTGTCGGGTACACAGATCCCTCCTCCCAGTTAGCCCAAGACATCTCCAACGACCCCTCCCAACCCCCCTCTGTCTTTGTCTCCTCCCTCCCTTTCTTTCCAACCGTTCCGGTGACGGCGACTGCCGACGAGCCTAGGCTGGACCTGGACCTGCCCTTCAAGACGCAGCATCGCCACTCAGAATCCCAAAACCCGCGCAATCCCGCTGCTGCCGGGGAAGAAGGCGTCGACTTCCAGAACCTCCTTGATAACCTGCCCCCTTCTTCTTCCTCGACTGCCGCCCCCGTGCTCGTGAAGAATGCCCATCAAGCAGCGGAGGACCCTGCTCTCACACCCGCTGCTGAGGAGTCTGTACATACTCCCCTAGGGCTCCCTCCTCGGCCCCCGCCCCAGAACAACTACCCCAGTGATGACTTCCATCCATATCATCCCCTCCCTGCCCCTTCTTCAACAACCAATGCACCTCCTTATCCATCCCAACAGAGTAATTACCCCCTGGCTACGACAGGCGCTCCCGGCACCTCCTCCGGGTCCAGTAGCCTACCCCCTCCCCCGGTAGCCACTTTCCAGCAGCAGCCGCAGCAGCAGCAGCAGCCTGTCCCTGCCCCAGCTGCGGGAGCCCCCGAATCCCCCAAACAAGCAAATACCAGGAGTATACGAGTGGAGCGGCTAGCAGGACGCCAGTACAAGCCGGGGGATGATGATGCACCGTGGGGGCCTGAAGTACAGAAAAAATATGACGAGTTTCTCCATGATGAGAGAATCTATGTAACAGAGGGGCTCTGGGACCGCTTTCCTCCAGGATCCAGGCTCTTTGTTGGTAAGTATATGCTGTCCACCTACTGTCTGCTTGTTTTCTGACATGATTATAGGGAACTTACCCACCGAAAGAGTGACAAAGCGGGATTTATTCCATATTTTCCATGAATTTGGCAAACTGGCTCAAATATCGATTAAACAGGCCTATGGTTTTATCCAATTCCTTGATGCATCAGCCTGCCACCAAGCACTCCTAGCAGAACAGGGTGTAGTAGTGAGGGGAAGAAAAATACGTCAGTCGTTGATCTTATTCAGATACCTCAGAACCAGAAAAAAAGGCTGACATGGACTATCTTGAGTAACAGACCTTGAGATCTCTAAACCACAGAGAAATACCAAACCTGGCGCACCACCCTCTGCTGATCCGGTAAAACCCCGACGTTCCCGATCTCCTCCGCCAAAGCGCTCCCGATCCCCAGAATACCTTCGGAATGGCCACGGCACCCGTGGCCGCGGTCAGGGCGATCGTTTTGATCGCCCGTACGAGGCAGGCCGAGCCCCGTTCGGCAACTTCCGTGATGATCCGGCGTCCCGTCGACGGGATGAATATAGACCCCCTCGTTCGCCGTCGCCACGAGGCTTCCGTGGAAGAGAGGACTATTGGCCCAGGGACAGGTCCCCTGAGAGATTCGATCGACGGGACAGAGATGGGAGAAGGCGCTCCCGGTCACCGTATGGTAGGGACAGAAGATATCGCAGTCCAAGCCCACGACCTCGAAGCGGTTATGAGGGTGACGCGGACCTACCGGTGCCTCGGCGGGCCCCCAGAGATGTTCCAGATGTGCAGATCCTGGTCCTAGAAGAAATTGACCGGTAAGTCGGGCCTTGTCTGCGTGTCATGCCCTTATGCTTTCTTTGACTTATATACGATCCAGGAACTTCCTTCTCCACGTTGAAAGCGCGTTCCGCAACCGTGGATTGAGAGTCGATACACTGACGCTGGGTCCTCGGATTCCCTTGGCTGCTGCTCTCCACCGTCAAATCGTCGAAGGTGTCCCCGCAATTGTGAAGCTTTCGCGCTCCCATCAGTATTCAAGCAAGATCTTTCTACAGACGTTTGATCGATCTGGTGGCGCAGACAACGTCCGTTCTAATGGTAAGAATGAGGACTTGCAAAACATCGACTGTTGAAACTAATACTTGAAATATCAGACTATCCTGATATCGACGCCAATGCTGCTGCCGACTTTGTACTCCGTGCCCAAGCAATGCAGCGTAGCGGTGTGCCCGTTTCGTATCCTTCTAATTTACCATTCACCATGCCCGCATTTCCACCCACACAGGCTGCTCAGCCTGTTTCAATGCCCTCCTCGCTTCCTCAACCTCCGAATATTGCCAACCTCATCGGCTCTTTGGACGGGCCTGCGCTTCATTCACTGTTAGGCGCACTTCAGCAGCAACAGCAGCGAGCAAACCCCATGCCAACGGCACAGCCGTCCCTTCCCACAACAAACTCTATACCCGGTGCAGACCTGGCCAACCTGCTAAGCAATGCAGCTCGACAGACTACTCAAATCCCACCCGTTCTTGCATCAGGCCAGCAGCAGCCGGTCCTTCACCCTCTCCCCCAGTTCCCAATGCAGGCACCGAGCGCTCCGATGATATCCGACCCGAATCTCATCTCGTTGCTTGCCAAGGGCCTAGGAGGACAACAACCGCAACAGAACCAAGGGACCAATCCCGACATCCACAACATCATGCACCAGCTGGCGAAATGGAAGCAATGAAACTCATGCCTTGTATTGTTCTCTAGGGAGCTTGGCGTTAAGATTAGAAGAGTTTGTAACCCGTCCTCCTTGCTGGTAGGATTCTTGTGATCATATTTTCTTTTCTTATAATGATGATTGAGCGATTATGATTTTCTTCTGTACCTGTTACTACTTTATAGGGCAACTAGGATCTTCTCCCACCAGGCATACTACTCCGTACACACACACACACACACACACACAGTTTGAAGTCTTGTTAATAGTAATGAGATAAACACAATTTTACAGACCGTTCCTCTCTATCTAGTAGCGTATTTGTCATGATAGTGGTATAGTAGACGCTTCATAATATAGTACAATTATCATTCTCTCCTTTTTCATCGAACGTTCTTTATTTCGGCGTCCAGCCCTGCGCTTTCAGCTCCGCAACCTTTTCCGAATCCTCCTTCTTTATCCGCTCAATAGTCTTGTCTCTATTATATTCCATGACGCGTTTCTCCTTGAAGTATTTAACCTGAAGAGAGAAGGGTTAGCTAGTGACTTGGGTTTTGCGAGGAGGGGGGTCATGGAAACAAAAAAAAAAGAAAGAAAAAAGAGGGCCAACCCACCCAAGCTCGCGCGCACGAGGACTCAAACTCGGCGATCTCCTGGCCGCACTGCCGCCGGGCCTCCTTGTCCTCCTTGATGGAATCGATGATCGAGTGTTTATCCAGACATCCGAAAAATGCGTCGCGGCCCTCCCAGCAGCGTTGGCGCGAGGATCGGTCCGGGGCGATGCGGCCGCCGTCTGTGGCTTTGGAGGATTTCTCGGTCGAGCTTGACCAGGGGAGCCAGCTCATGTTGTAGAAAGTAGACTTGAAAGTAGACTTGAAAGTAGACTTGACAGTAGACTTAGACTTGACAGTAGACCAAGTAGACTCAGGTTGTAGTACGGAGACTGAGTGGATCTAGATCGGCGGTTCTGCCAAGCCTCCCGACAACAGTTGACGGTTACTCTCGTACAGAACAGACACATCAACTACACCTACTACATACAACACCGTGTTCATTGACATAACATCCTTCTCGAGGACCTCTTTCGCTACCATTTCATTCTTCTATCTTCCGTCTTGACACCTATGCCCCGTCGGCGCCCGCTAGGAGGAGCCCGAGACCTTCCACCGCTGAAGATCATCCGCAAGATCCTCCTGCTCCAGCTCGCATACTATGGCACTGCGTCGGTGCTGATCCTCTTCACGACCGTCGTCTACGGGACGGTGTTTTCCTTCGACCTCATCCTCAGCTGGGATGCGGTCCGGGGTGATACAACCGTCGGGTGGATGTTAGGCTTGGTCTGGGTGTTGAGCAGTTTAATATGGTAAATACGAACAGACAGACTTCACGAGACCCAAAAGGATCCTGCTAATCGCTTTTATAAGTGTCATCTTTCTTCTCCTTCTCGTCTCCCGCTCGAAACTCATCCCCGACTTCGCCCTCACCATCCACTTCCTCCATCTGATCGCCACCTCGCTCTACACGCATGCCATCCCCACCAACTGGTTGTGGTGGGGGCTCCAATGTGCCAGCGCGAGCCTGATGACCTTCATGGGTATCTGGGCGTGTCGGTGGCGAGAACTCCGGCCCATCGCTTTCGGAGGGAACGGTTCTGCCTCTACTGCTCTGCAAACGGCTGCGTCTGGTGACGCCGCGAATGGTCACCCCCAGGAGGATGGGGAGCATGAGTCGTTTACTCTCTCGCGGGGGCGCGGGCGTGGTAGAAATCTTCATGATGGGGGTGGCGAGTACGAAATGGTCCAGATGAAGGAGGAGACGGGGAGCAATGCTGTTTGATTTTGAAACGAAGACGACATGATCTTTTTTTTTTCTTTTTAGGATTATACCCTATTGCATCTGTACAGATGGCGTTATTTTCTTCCTTTTATATATTCCAATAGACATGTTAGGATTGTTAATAATACTGGTTATTATTGATTACGATTATAACTATATACTACCTACTATATACACTTACTACCGCCCCCTCCGTCGGCCATCGCCCTGCCCAAAATTATTCGGAACTCGTAGCAGAGGGTTTGCTCCAGAGAGTCCGCCACCCATCGATCCACCGCTGGCGCTGCCGCCGCCTTTCTTTGGCTGAGTGAGCAACGCCCACACTTCAGCCATGCCCGCCCGTCGGGCAGGGAGCATGCTGTACTGCATGCTGTACAGGTTGCGCCGGTGGATGGGCGGGACGAAGCGGCCGGTGATCAGGCGGAAGATAACGCGCGGGGCGAGGTAGTGCTTGCGCAGCCGATGGCCTAGCTGGAAGTATTGGTCGAACATGGCGCGGAGGGGGAGAGGAATAGACTTGTAAAGAATTAGCACTGGAATGACCTCAATAATAGATGGATTATAACGTACTTCAAGGTGAATGTATGAGACTGTAGAGGGCGAGTCGGTGGTGGAAAGGGATTTGCTGTGTTCGTCTCGAAGCTCGAACAGAATTCCTCCTAGAGATGTGTGAGTTCGGTGGATATAGAGGTGATCACTAAGAGGAAAAAAGATATACATACCTGGCAATCGACGAGAGTCCTTGACTCGAAGCATCAAGGCAAACAAGGGGAAATGGTTCAAGATAGCCTGACAGGTATCGAACATGGCTTTCAGCGAGATGATCAGCATCCGCGCAGAGGCAAATGCAAGGTAGAACACGATGACGGTCGGGAGGAGGAAGAAGAGCACGGTGAATAGAATGGTGCCGAGGAGCAGCTGGTCGAGATCATAGTCGCACGAGTCGATCCGGTTGCGCAGCACGTTGCGTTTCTTGCCACGAAACAGATGGAACAGCGATATGATGATACTCAGCTGCCAGTTGAAGATTCTCGCAGAGGCGATGTAGAAAGAGTAGATGTGGACGGTGAGAATGGACAGGAGGTCCGAGAATAGAGCTATGGGCATGCTGGCCCCGGCGAAGCTCGAACATCCCACGACGTATATTACGTGGGGGAGATATGGCTGCAGATTTGCAATGCATGCTACGGGCGTTAGAAGAGGAGCTTGAGAAAAATAAAACAAAATAAATAAATAAACATACCTGCCCAATTTTCAATGACCCAGAGAAAAAGGTCACCCAGGAAAGCAGCCAGCTCATTGTTGAGCTTCAGGCCGGCCGGCCAGTCCATCAACCAAGAGATGGTGCGTTGCAGCCCCTCGACCGTCCAGCCGGTCAGGATAGCGTTGATCTGATACGCGACCCAGTTGGCGTTATCGATGATATACGAGCCCAGGGCAATGCCGATGATCACATCGTTAGCGACGAGCCAGAGGCTGTTGTAGAATCGGATGTACTCCGGATGACTGGTGGTCACGCTTTCCCAATTGTCCTTGCGCTGGCGCAACTTGGCATACTGGATTGGCCAGTAGCAAAACTGCTGGAGCCGGATATCGACCTGCTGGGCGGTGGCGGAGATATCCTTGAGCGCGGCGGCGTCCGGGCGTGCGCGCCACTCGAGAATCTGCAGGACGACTTCGGCGATCGAGCGATGGCCCACGAGGCCAATGACGAAGACGCGGGTGATGACCGGCCAGATCCACTGCCAGAAGACGTACGAGACACCCAGGACAAACATGTCCCACAGAGTCGAGGCGGATTCCACGACGCGCTCGCCCACGCTCATGCTCCGTTTCACGCGCGTGCCGATGAGGTGGCTGTTCTTGTCCATCAGCTTGCCCATCTCGTACGCGCAGTTCACCTGGTTGATGATCAGGGGCAGGGCCTGCTCCTTCTGTGAGGGCATGTGCTTGATCACGGTGTGCAGCTTGAGCTTCTCGACCAGCTTCCGGGCCCGTGCCTTGTCCAGTTCTTCCCCCGTGTCGATGGTATCCACGACGGCGCCGCGTTCGGCGGCCACCTTGTCTCCCAGGGCCAACGAGATGGGATTCAAGGACATGTACTCCATTCGAGTCGGGTGCGGGCGGTGGAACATGATCACCTGGACGGAGATGTTGGCCTCGGGAGGGCAAAAGATGCGAGGAACTTTGGAAGAAGGGCTGGTGGTCACGTAGAGATGCGAGGTACTGAACATTGCCGGGGTCTCCTTCGGATTCGTCGAGCCGAGGACATGCATTGCGGATCTCCCGCACAGCGTGAAGATGCGCACAATCGGATGCGGGCTATTTCGAAACAGAATACCTGCTCGGAGCGCATTGTCTACATTCCGAGGCTAACAGAATCAATATCTCTACCCTCGCAGCACAGAAAGAAAAAAAAAAAAAAAAAAAAAAACATACCTCGACATCCTCAAGGACAGTGAGCACAAAAAGATCGAGCTCCGAGTTACGCCATCCGACAATCACCCCCGGCGACGAGGACCGGGACAGGTCGTACGGCCAGAACACCCGCAACAACCCATCGCTCACCAGCATGTTGTCATCCTTTCACCCACTTCTCAACTAGAACGAGCCCCGACGGCGTAGTTGTTCCCGAGCAGAGATTCCTTGCGTGACAGAGCGCGGATGCTAAGGTAGTCAGGAATTGATTCAGCAGGGGGGGGAGGGACAGGGGAAACGTACCGTCTCTCCCTCCTGGGACGCAATATGATGGATCGGAAGCACGAGAAGGAAAAAGAAGACCGAAAGCAGGACGAAGCCTTTAGCAGTTCGCGTCTAGTCAGATTAGCCATCCTCCTTCTCGACTTCCTAACGAGGGCGGGAAAGGAGACTCGAGACTCCAACGTACCACAACCCCGTGGTCCCATGCGAATATGGCCAGTTCGTATAAACGAGTGACAAGATCCCACCGCGCGGTGATATACCCCGCTACAAAGATCCCAAGCGTGATGGAGAAAGGGTGCATGAATTAGAGCGAGTCCGCGTTTTGTCCATCGGCCAGAACGGGGGCGTGGAGGGGTAGGCGTTCGAGGGCGTCGACGCGAGGAAAATAAGCAGAAGCAGAAGCAAATGCAGAAGCGGAAGCGGAAGCGGAATGATAATGCTGTGGATAGCAATTTCTCCGTCTGCTATTGTCGGTATTCAGATCGCATGGATCCAGACAGTCATTGATGGGCTGAACGCAGAGCTGTTTGGCGTTTCTTCCAGGCTGAGCGTCAGACAGCGTCTAGACCGCACGTGACTTTATAGTCACTTTGAGTCTTTGACTTTATAGTAAATAATACTATTTACAGGTAATTGAATAAGTGATTGTATAATTATTTATTGAATGGTTTATTGAAGTAGGTAGTCGATTAAATTAATATCAGCGCCAAACACCGGTTCAAGCCCGTACCCGAAAGAATCAATCCATCACGCAAGGCTTCACAAGGCCTGGATACTCTGGAAGACCTTGTTGGCTCGCAGTTTGTCGTCCGCCTGGACCAGATCGCGCATCGCCTGCCGTTTCTGCTCGGCCGTGAGGGTCTTGCCGGGGGCTTCGATCTCTGCCTTCCACTTGAGCAGCATCGCTTTCACCAGGGCGTTTCCTTCTTCGATCTCTTCCTGCGAGTACTCGTCCAGGGAGGGTCCCTTTTGTGCCTCCGAAGAGGAGGAGGAGGAGGTGAAGTCCTCGAGTTCTTCCGCCTTCTGCCGAGCCATATTGACGACCTTGTCTGGGAAGCGAACCAGTTCTGCAACGTGGATGCCAAACGATTGATCGCAGATGCCCGGTTCCACACGATAGAGCAGAGTCACCTGGCGTTTCTTCGTCTTGGCGTCATCTTCAGAGGGAGTAATAGTGGTCTCGGTGCCGTCGCCGATAAAGGCTACGACGTGAAGGTTCTTGACGGATTGTGGGTACCGGTCCGCGAGAGCTGTGAGTTCGTGGAAGTGGGTTGCAAAGAGGCCGAAGCAGCGGATCTCGGTGACGATGTGTTCGGAGATGGCCCAGGCGAGGCCGAAGCCGTCATAGGTGCTGGTGCCGCGGCCCAGCTCGTCGATGATGATCAGGGACTCGGAGGTGGCGGACTTGAGGATGTTGGCGGTCTCGAGCATCTCGGCCATAAAGGTCGAGACGCCCTTGAGCTGCGAGTCGCTGGCGCCGACACGGGCCAGAATGCAGTCAAAAATGGTCAGCTCGGCTTCAGAGCAGGGCACGAAGCAGCCTGTCTGTGCCATTAGGGCGATCACGCCGATCTGCCGGATGTAGGTGGACTTGCCGCCCATGTTGGGCCCGGTGATGATCAGGAAGGACGAGTCGTCACGGACCAGGGCGACGTCATTGGTGATGAAGGAGATGTCATCCTGCATCTCCATGCAAGGGTGGCGCGCCTCCTTCAGGATGGTACTGCCCGTCCCGCGCGGGTGCATCTTGGGCCGGACGTAGGCCGTCGGGGCATGCACCGCCGCATGTGCAAAGCTCACAATCACATCCAGGTGCGCCAGCACACCGGCGAGCTGTTCGAGCACGGGGCAGTACGAGGCCGCCACGTTGACGACTTCACTCACGAGGCCCGTCTGCGTGCGGTTGTAGTTGGAGGAGAGCTGGTCGTGCTCGCGGCGCAGCGACTGCATGGCCGAGGTGGTGAAATAGACGCCGTTCTTCTGTGTCGAACACTCCTGGTAGCCCTTCTTGTTGCGGATGCAGCCGGCCTCGGTGCGGGTCAGTCGAAAGCACCAGCCGTGGACGCGATGGTTTTCGAGAAACAGTTTCTTCTCCATGTCCTGGTTGAGATCCTTGGCGACACGGCGGTGCTCGGCGTCCATGTCATACTTGAGCTTGTCTAGCTTCTTGCGAATGATGCGCAAGCTATCGTCGAATTCGGGCTTGATGATAAACTCATGGTTCTCCAGCGCATCCAGGTCGACGGTGGTCTCGACCATCTCCTCCAAGCGGGCCAGGCTATCGGAGTGGGCACGCAACTTGGCGGCGTATTCCGTCTCCAGCGGGGCCTGGTACTGCTCGTCCATGACGTTCTCCAAGGTGTTGACAAACCCGGGCAGGCGGATGGCAACCTGGTACGCCCGCACCACATCCTCGAGGTTGGCCTGCTTGCGTTGAAATCGTTTGGCGAGGCGGTACAGGTCCGGGATGGCGCGCAGGTGCTCCTCCTGCATGGTCTGGCGCAGTTCCGTGTCGACGACAAAGGCCTCGACCAGCTGCTGGCGCTTCTCGATCTCGGCGAGATCCATGAGCGGCTGCTTCAGCCACTGGGCCAGCAGGCGCGCCCCCACAGGCGTCTTGCAGTGGTTCAGCAGGCCGTACAGGCTCATGCTTTTCGCGCCGTCGCGCGGGCCCGGCATGAGGTTCAGGGCGCGCAACGCGGCCGAGTCGAGCTTCATATACTGCGACAGATCATGCTGGTACAGGCGGTACTGGCCGAAATTTGACGGATCCGCCATGGCACCCAGGTACTTGATCAAGGCCGCTGCCGCGCCCATGGCCAGCTTCAGCTCCGTCTGCGGCAGGGAGCCCACAGCACGCTCATCACGCAGCAGGCGCGTCAGGTCCTGCTCGATATCCCGCGTCCCAAACTCCGCCACCGGCCGCTCCGAGATGGCAATCCCGCAGCTGTCCGCGATAGCCCGTAATTTCGCCAGCTCGACGTCCTTGCGTGCCGCATCCGCCTGCACCAGACACTCCTTGACCCCGAGCTGAATGACCAACGACTCAAAGTTCGAGTAGATGTCGTTATCCAGGAACTCGCTGACCCCCAACTCCCGCACGCTCGCATCCGCAAAACACACCCCGACGCTACGCGCCTCCCCAGCCCTCGCCGTGACCTTCACCGCCAGGATCGTCGGCGCAGACTCCATCATCATCATCGTCGCCCCCAACCCGCCCACACTGCCCAGCTCCTCCTCCACATCCTGCAGATTGCCCGGACTGGCCTGTTTCACCCGTTTCCACGACCCCTTCCCACCCCCTGAGGACCCAGGCCCCCAGATCTCCACCCGCTTGTTGAGTCGGAAGAGCGCCTCCCGCAGAAAGTTCCGGAACACAGTCACGCTCATCGTAACCGAGGGTAACCCGCCGCTCTCGCTGCGGCCTAAATTCCGCAGCACAGAGGTCGTCTTGTATACTGTCCGGGCAATGAACTCTGCATCCCGCCCGTGAGCAGAATACCAGTCGCCCCGGTCGAAGACGCGTAACGTCTCATCGTTGGTGTCTCCTCCTGCTATCGAGCGGAAGAACCGGATGAATCCGACCTCGTCGTCCACCTAGCCAGTCAGTTAGTTAATCATATTCTCACTATCTCCTCATTCTGTCACTCATTCAGCAGCAGGATTATACTGTACTACCTTCAAGTCGGGTCGAGAAGCCATGTTGTTGTGGTGTGAGAGTCGTGATCTTCGCTGTTGCAAAGACTTGAGCGCGTCGCCACGCGGTCACATGATACCGCGTCGCGTCAATTAACGAGTACGGACTCAAACTCAGAGTATAAGAAAGAACAGACAGTTGTAGAGCATTATTAAGTATTAGTATTATACTACATTATTAAGTATTGTATTATACTACGTACAAGTACTAATATTATGAAGTTGATAAATTAAGGTAGAATTCTTACGCTATGCTATGCTAACGCTAGGTATACAACAAACGGGTATAGTTATTCAAAAGGAAAAAAAAATTATACAGCCTCGTATCCAATCTTCATCTGGGCAACCTTGGCGCCGATATCCCTCGGGGAGACGTCGCTACACGACTTCAAGACGACGGACTTGACGTGACGGACGGTGACGAGGGCGACCCAATGCCCCGCGACGTCTAGGCGGGCGAGGATTTCCACACACTTTTCGACCTCGTCGCGCGAGATGGGGTTGCGGAGCGAGTCCTGGGCATGCTGGACGACCATCTCCAGCTGGAAGGGTTTGCGCTGGACGACCGAGGAGCCCGGCAGGGGCGTAGGTCGCAGGAGGGCCAGGACGGCGACGACCTCTTCGACTCGCTGGGCGGCGGCACGGCACAGCAGGGCATCCTTGGACGGCGGGGCGGGGAGCTTCGACTGCAGCAGCTCCTTGCTCTTGATGCGGCTCATCAGGCTCTGGCGGCGGTCGGTGGTGGTGTCGAGCGGTTTGGGGCCCACGGGCTGGTCGGCCTGGGCACGCAGCTGCTCCGTCTTTGCTCTGATGATGCCGCCCTTGAGGTCCTGCAGTCGCTGCTGGCCTTTGCGAAAGGATGTCAGCGGGGTGAGCGATTCGTGAACGGGCGCCAGGCCTAGGGTCGAGGAGATGTCGTCTGAGCAATCCGTTTCTTGTTCCCTCCTCCTCCTCCTCCATATGGAATCGGAAATCTCTTCAAACCGCTCCTGCAGGGTGTCTTCGTCAAACCAATCTTTGGCGGTGCTCTCCTTGTGCAACACCCGCTCCAAGCAGATTTTTCCCAGCCCGTAGTTGGCGATACGATAGCCCAAACACCGCTCCGACGCAGTCTCGTCCTGACTCCACACCCAGACCAGCCGCTGGACATCCTTGACGACGACTTTCCGCTTCCGCCAGATCCTAGTCACGCTGCCGAGCAAGTCTGCGAGGTCGACGGGGGCGGAGCGACCGCGTTGTGCGAAATGGATGGTCAGGGCTTTGAGGAAGGCGGCATGAAGGTTCTGCAGGTCGAGTAGGGAGGGAGGGTAGGTTTTTTCCTTTAGTAGTGGTGACAGCAAGGGTGACGGTGACGGTGACGGTGACGATGACTCTGGAACGATGGTTTTCGTGCTTTCCTCAGGCGTCGCCGAGACACTGAATTTCAACGTCTTGGGAGAGACACAGTCTTCGCAACTTCCCAGCTCGTTCAGCTTCCTCTTCTTCGACGGCGAGATGGGCAGCAGCGCGGTCTTGCCCTGGGCCTGGGCTCTGACGCCTGGCTTGGTCGCTCTTGCAAAATTCTGGATGGCGGTTTGGCGGGCCATGGCGATACTGAATAAATTAATACTGTCACTTGACTGAAGTCAATAATTGTAGACTAATTGTAACTGTAACTGAAACTGTAACTGTAACTGTAGACTGTAGACTGTAGACTGTAGACTGTAGACTGTAGACTGAATGAATCCTTGAGTCCCACAAGAAAACTCCTTGTACGCGACGCGTCGCGCAGTATTACACTAAGAATAGAACAATAATACAATAGATAGTAGAATAGAATATCTAGAAAAATCGAATAGATAATAGAAAAGAATATCTAATGAAATCGAATAGATAATAGAAAAGAATATCGAATATAATAGAATAGTATAATAAAATAATTACAAATGTTGTCCAGCAACGAGGAATGTAGCATACTAGAATACCTAGTATCCTCGTGAGTTCCTATCATACTCTTCCTAATACTATACTACTCACTTATACTCACTATACTCACTATACTCACTATACTCACTATACTCTGTAATATTCACTTATAATACTAAGGTATCTGCTCACTTCTTAAACCACCCCGAGACCGTCTCCTTGGCTTCCCCCGCCTTCTCTTCCACCTTTCGATCCACCTCATCCACACTCGCCCCAACCCTCGCCGCAGCATCGCGTCTCATCCGATCAATCTTATTGATTCCTTCTTCTGTTTTGGACCGGAGTTCGTTGACCTATACTTATCAACCTTGGATTCATTTCGAAAGACGAACAATCGAAAGATGAAAGACAAAAAATGAAATATAAATAAATACCTTCTCATCGAACGCTTCCACATTCCGTCCCACCTCCCTCCCTACCTCTTGGCCTTTTTTCTCCGCTTCAGAGGTGGTGGGTAACTTGTCGCGTGCTTTCTGGACGTCATCTACTAACTTAGCATTATATCTTTCATATAGTAAGCTCATAAAGTAAGGACGTACGTTTCGCTTCTTGTCGTGCGCCTTGGGGATCTCCTCCCGCCCGGTACAGGTAATACCCTCCGGCGCCGGCGAGGGTGAGACCCAGATACAGGGGGACTCTGTTTGGCATGTTTCTCTGAGTGAGTGGGATTGAAGATAGGATAAATAGGTACTGTGAATGATTGTAGGAGTAGGAAGTGAGGAAGTGATATAAGTATGGAGTTGGAGTGGTGGCCGGTTTTAGGTGGCGATGACGTCGTCCAGTACAAGGTGGTACTCCGGACTCCTGGTACTCCTGGTACTCCTGGTACTACCTTAACTTTACCTTGGTCAAAGTGCAAGAATTCAGGGTTAAGCTTTTCATAGATTACTCTACATCTTGTGACAGTCTTAAGAGTAATAATCGTAATACTGAATATAGCTACCTAGGTAGGTCTTTATTCACCGAACAGCCGCCGAAACCCACGACCAATAGAGGAAACTCCATATGTCCAAGCCCTTGTGGATCATCGACTGAGGCCAGGGGTATCTCCGGAATTGAGCCGTGCAACGCCACGCATGCATACGTACATGAAAGACAATGAAAGACCAACAGGAAACAGAACCAACGGCCCCTAGGGGCCTATAGAACACGTCAATCATCAAGTCGTCACTTCGTTAGCTAAAGGAGTAAACAATCCAAGTCAAGTATCAAGTGAGGTAAGAATAAAGAGAAGAATAAAGAAGAGAGAGAAGAAGAAGAAGAAGAAGAAGAAAAAGGCTAAGCAAAGAACTTGGTCGCGCCCTTGTTCTCGCTTGTCGCAACCGCAACAAGCGCCTCCAGTCGGCCCATATCATGTCCGCGCGAGGACGAGTTGTAGTAGTCTGTCCGCGCCTCGGGCGCGTTGGCGGGGTAGTTATTCGAATGAGAAAGGGGGCAGACCTAAAGCATTAGTGAGAGTATAAGTGAAAAGGGAAAAAAAAAAAAAAAAAAAAAAAAAAACTTACTGTTTGATCAGGAAGAGGATGCGGCTCAATGTAGCCGCTGCTGTGGACAATCGCCGGGTGGTACTCGAGAGATGCCGTCGAAGGCGTATGCACGCCCTCACTGCTGCTGGAATCTTCCGGGGAGGTGCGGGGAGCGTGCGAACTCGAGTGGGGGCGTTGACCGGTAGAATCGAGGCCGTTGGTCATCGAGGAGGAGGCCACCGAGGACGAGTGGCGATGATGTTGAGGATGGTAGGATGATGATGGGCGGGATCCGACATTCTGGATCTCGGCGATGGTCTGCTGGCTCCAGTGCGAGGCGTCGCGCTGCTGCTGCTGCTGCAGGGGTCGGTCTCGTAGGTCCAATCCGGTGAGGTTGGTATGTAGGGTCATGTCCCACGACAGATGGCCGCGTCGATGCCCAGGGCCTGAGATCGGGGGTGGGGGACGGACTGCAGGTGGTTGATAGGATGACGACACGGTTCCGAATCCACGGGGCTGCACCTCAAGTGCCAGGGGGCTTTGTTTTCGCAGTGGAGGGGTCAGAGACCGTTGCTGCTGTTGTTGTTGTTGTTGCTGAGAGATCACCTTGTCAAAACTCTCAATGCCTGGGAGTCGCGGCGGTTGTTGGTCCGAGTTGGAGTTGGCGCCAAACGCGGGCTGGAGGACGGTCTCTGGGGTCTGGTACTGGTTGAGCCCACTGGTGGCCGGTCGACTATAAGTCGAATAGGTGGACGGATGCCAGGTACGTCGCCGCATCTCGGCCTCGGTTGGAGTCAGAGCGGTGATGGTGGACTCCTCGCGCGAGTGGGAATAGTTGGAACTGGTGGGGCTGGCGTAGACACCGCCATTCAACTGTGCTGTCGTCGTTGAGCCAGCATATCCCGGAGGGTAGGCGGAGGCGGCAGCAGCAGCAGCAGCAGCAGCAGCAGCAGCAGTAGTGGGGGGTTGGGGATTGTTGTGAAGGTGTTGGGGTTGAAACTGTTGCTGCTGGTGGTGGTGAAGGTGGAGGTGATGTGGGGAGAAAGGATTCGTGCCACTAGGCACGGAGAGACGACGGGCGGCCGTCTTGCCATCCCAGAAGCCGGCGGCGGACATGGGAGAGGCGAAGTTGGGACTCCCTCCGCCGGCCGAGAAAAAGTGGGAGGGAGTGTAGGGGGAGCCGACGACGGCGGCGGGGGGCCCGCGGATCTGGCTGGGGGGGGTACTGGGGGGTTCGCCCAAGGGATCGAGGGCAGCGAGGCGGGCGCGGGCACTTCCATCGTTGGCCATGATCAGGGGAGGTGGTCGACGACGGATTTCCGGCGGCTGACTGAAGGTGGAGGCGGTCGAGGCGATACTGGAGGTGGATAGATTGCGACTGTGGCCACGACTGTGGGTACCCTGACTGCCCGCCGTGCCGGCTCGGGCGCGACCCTGAGGGCGGACGCGGTCGGTGCGGATCTGGCGCTGGAAGCGGGTGCCCGTGGCGGCGAGCGAGTCGCCGGGGATCTCCTCGTTCACATGGACGGTCTGGGCATGCTGTCGCAGGTTATCCAGGCGGGAGAAGCGGCGCGAGCAGTGACACTGGAAGGGACGTTCACCGGTGTGTTTGCGGATGTGCCGAGCCAAATGCTCGCTGCGAGTGAAGCTCAGGTTGCAGGGGGGGAAGTCGGTACAGAAGAAGCGTTGTCCTTTCTTCTTCTTGGATGGAGGAGCGGTGGCGCCGCCGCCGCCGCCGCCGCCGCCGCCGTTCTCGGCCTCGTTGTCGGTGGCATCCTGGTCGATATCAGAGTCGCCTGCTGTCCTGATGTCATCACCCACCGAGGGAGGACTGCGGTGCTTGCTAGACAAAGGGGGCATGTCGTCGAGACTACCGTTCGACAGCCGATGGGTATCTTTCGGGTCTGGACGGGGGGTCGGCGGTGCGGGGGCATCATCCATGATGCGGTCCTGAGAAGAAGAAGGAGGAGGAGGGGAAGAAGAAGAAGCAGCGGGCATATTGTTCACGGGTAGGAAGGCTGACATAGTCGCCGATGGATTCGGCGGCCACGAGGTTCCTTTTTTCCCACCCGGAGGAAGCAATAGAAGCTGTGATCTTGGGTGTACTCGGTCGACTGCAGTAGCAGTGGCAAAAAAAAACCCACGGTGGTGGGTGTTGTTGGGAGGAGAGGTGGTCAGGGGTCAGATGTCGCGCGGGCAGTCTTGAATTAGAAAAAAAAAAACCAGTCAGTAATTTTGGAGCCAGGAACCAAGAGAATGAACTGGCTTGCACGTACCAGCCCGATGAGATTTCGGATGATGGAGATGGAAGCCTAGTGGACAGCCGAGGGCGTGAGGCGACCGATGACGAGACCCTCCGCACGGTGGGATGGCGGTGGGTGGACAGGGGAGCGAGCCGATCAACCGTACAGGGGCATGTCTCAGCGAGAGGAGATGCGCTCGACGTGATGGCGACGAGTCAAGCAACGGAAAGAGTCTCGAGTCGAGTCAAGACAAGCCGAATCCGAGCTTTTAATTCGAGTCTTTTTTGAGGTTGGAGTCGGCTGAGATCGCACAGACGTTCCGCCGGGGCCGAGCCAAGAAGTGAAATAGAGTAGAAATAATAAGAAAAGAGTAGAGGGTAGGTAAGTCCAGTGGAGTGACAAAATATATATATATATATATATAAGTCGAGAAGACAAGGTTGTACGTAAAATAAAAGTCAAGTAAAGGTAAACGAATCGAATGGAAGAAAAGGAGCGTTGGTGAGATCAACTCTCCAGCTCGATGGGGGGGAAGAAGCGAGACACACGGAGGGGGGAAGTTTGAGGCGAGATAAAATGGAGAGATAAAATGGAGAGAGAGAGAGAGAGAGGGAGGGAGGGAGGGAGGGAGGGAAGACTAAAAGACCGAGGGAAGGTCTGAGAGGGACAAGAGGGACAAGAGGGACAAGAGGGTCAAGTCAAGGTCAAGTCAAGGTCAAGTCAAGAGGGTCCGAGAGGGTCTGAGGGAGGGTCTGGAAGGGGTGGATGACGGCAAAAGCTGCCAGGGAAGGGGGAAGGGGAAGGGGAAGGGAAGAGGAGGGACTAATAGGAAGAGAGGAGGGCGAAGTGACGATACGCAGGCTTATCGGAAACAACGGCGGCGAAGCGAGGGGCAGGGAGAGATAGATACAGTAATCGAACGATAGGTAATAGGTACGAGGAGTAGAAGAATAGGTACGAGTAATAGAGGAATAGGTACGAGTAATAGAAGAATAGGTACGGAGTAATTGGTACTTGGTAGTAGTGAAGATCATGGCTGTCTACAAGCTCAAGTACCTGCAAGTACCACCACGACTAGCCCAGAGCGGCGTAAGGCTGGTCCGGGTCTGCGCGGCCATGGATCCAAGGCTCAGGCACTGGCGGTGATGAATCATCGAGAGTACGAGAGAGGATATACTAGAAATTGAAATAAATATTAGCCTGTCTATTTAACTATGTAGTATGTAGTATGTAGTATGTAGTAGTATATAGTACTATGTAGTACTAACTATGTAGGAACTAACTATACTATACTACATAGTTGTAACTACCTAGTTATAGCTACTAGATACTAAGTCGACACTAATATAGGTATGTAATAGGTACCAGGTAGGTAAGGTACCTAGTAGTCCGCATTCAGCAAGCCTAGACCGACAGGCACAGACTGCAAACGGAGATTCTTGGAACTTAAGTTATTACCAAGACGGCGTAACGTACTAACTACGGGGTATGTATAGTGGCGAAGAACTGATATAGAGTACAAAGGTAACAGATGTGATAGTACTAATATCAAGTATCTTTAACATATACTTACATACATATACTTACATACATATACATATACATATATATATATATATATATATATATATACTAAGTATTAAATCTCTACTATCTTACTATCTTACTATCTTATACTATATACTGTTACTGTACCTGGTACCTGCGCCGGCCGATAAGGATCGCGATCGACATCGTTTGCTCCACTTGACACCACTCTGACGTCTTTGATTTAGTCGTAACTTCGTCCGCCGACTAATGATCATGGATCCGCACTTAGAGTTCGACCGCTGGATTCCATGAGGATGCTAGAGCCAATACTATATGATGTAGATAGCGGGGTAATACGATCGTCGGAGTTTATTCTTGTCGTCGTACGGAGTACCTAGTATCTACAAGATTATACCCAGTATATTACTAGTACTACAGGTAGTACTACTAGTAACTACTCTCTAGTAATATACTACTAGGTAGTTACTATGTACAACTTATTAGCTAGTTAGTTAGTTAGTGTCTGAAATAGGTACTACTACTTAGTAGTAATGTACTTTGTATACATATATGACATACTATCTTAACGCACTGCTCACAGATCCAACCATGACAGCCGCCTCGCGCTCCCAACCCTCCCCAGCCTGTTTGGTCCCCGGCACCTGCAATCCCCGCAGCACGCACTCGCGGATCTCCGTCTTCAGCCGCTCGCGGTTCGATCGCAGCGTGCGTGCCGACACCCCCCCCCGGTTGAGGATCTCCTGCACGCGCGCCGTCAGCGACGACGCGATCGACCGCCAGAAATACGACGGCAGGGACGAGGTGTCGAGCAACTGAAGCAGTGGCTGCAACAGATTCGTCTTGTCATGACTGTAAGGTGATGGTATTGTTGTTGCATCGCCCAACGGTAGTAAAAGAGGGTGCGTCGGCGGCTTCAACGTCGCCAGGATCGCTTCGAGAGCGACAATATCCTGGCATTTCCCCGCCACATCCGCCAGCGCCCGGTCAATCGTCGGAAGCATCGCGAGTCCCCGCGCCAGCGTGCTCAGCGCCGAGCTGATCGCCGTCTGCATGTAGCCTTGTAATGTCGACAGCAGCAGTTCCGGTCGGTACTCAAATACCACGGGGACCCCCCCCCGCCCCGCCCCGGGAGAGAGGATATACAGCGTCGTGATCGCAGAGACGAGACGCGCCCGCGCATCCCGGGCCTGCTTGTATCCCCCCGCCGCCGTCGCATCGGTCGAGCCCGCCCCAGCCGAGAACCGCTGCACGGCCTGCTGCGCTCTCGCCTTGACCGTGTTCTCCGCGGGGACGAGCAGGTCGCCGCGCAGCGTTCGCATCGTCTTTACCCGCCCCAGACCGTACCCTTCTTCCCCCTCCGTCGTCGTGGCCGAAAGCAACCGGCGTAGATTGAGAATCGTATACGCCGCTCGCTCCAATGCTCGGAAATCATCTCGCCCGCTCGATATCGTAGGTGGGGTTTCGTTTATCGGACTCCCGGCGAGATTCCCCCCGCGGCCCGTCACTTCCACAAGCTGGCTCTCCAGCTGTCGTCCCAACGTCACGCACCGACCGACCGCTCGCGCAAGTCGCACCGTCGCAAGCGAGTTGGCCGCCGCCACGCGGGCCTCCTCCGCACCCTCCCACTTGCGGAGCACCTCCTTCTCTAATCGCTCGTACCCCTGCGTCACGGATCCTATCTGCTCCCCGGTCTCCTGTAGGATGTGCTCCGCCGCCGTGGTCTGGTCCCGCGTATGCGTCAGCAGAGGCTCCGCCGCCCGGCTGGTCAACGTGTGCAGGTGGGTGTCGATTTCTTGCACATCAAACAGCACGCGCGACAGCGGTGTCGACAGGTCCAGAGGCGTGTCGTTGGCGTTGTTCGTGCTGAGAACTAGCGAATTCGCAAATCCAGCGGGTGAGAACCCTGGGTCCAGAAACGCCTCGTAGTCTATGTACGACGGCTCGCCCTCCGCCATCTTGTTTCACCTCCTGGGCTGCCTTGGGAGTTAAGAGCTGTGCCAAACGTGCCTCTTCCTCAGGTGTAACACATCAAGTCTTTGCGGTCTGCTCTGTTGGCCCTGGATCACTTCCGGTCTTTCAATTCATCTTAGCTCATTCCACTGGGCGATTCCTCGAGCAGTCGACCTTTGTGATAGTAACGTTGTGCAACACGTGGATACGCGGATAATCTACGCGTCACGTGGTGCTTAGTCATCCATAGGGAATGGAAGTATGAGATTGGTCAACTTTGCTACGTATAGGCTACTATTTACTCAAGTTTATCATTATTCAATTCGCTAATCTGAAATTCGGCATTGGTCATCACTCTAGGACCCTCCCGTTGCTCTCCTCGACGACAAGCTCGTACTCGGGCTGGAACTCGGTAAAAAAGTTGTGCTGCTGCAGTCAGAATGGCGTGCAATCCAGCTTAATCTCCAGTCACTTACCGTGTTCTGGACAGCGTCTGCCGTGAACTGTGCCACGTCATGCGGGATGATCTTCTTGGGCAAGCCGTTCGCGGCGGCCGCCTCGGCTAGGAGCTGCGCATGGCACGCATGCTCGAGGCTGGTGAAGAGCCAGGCGGCCTCGTCGACGGTGCGACCGACGGTCAACAGTCTAGCGAGGGGAGTCAGTAGGAGGATGGAAAACGGCCGTAGTATACGCACCCGTGGTTCTGGAGAATACAGGCGATGTTGTCCTTGCCTAGCGCTTTGGCTACCTGTATACCTTCGTCCTGCGCCAACGCAATACCGCCATGATCATCATAGACGCTCAGCTTGCCGTAGAAGTTGCAGGAATCTACATCATATTAATACAAACGACTTGCGGACAACTCAACAGGAGAGCTTACCTTGGGAGAGCATGTCGATAGGCCGGCCAAATGCACTCCAGGTCTTCCCGTAGATACTGTGCGTGTGTGCTGCGGCGACAACATCCGGTCGCGCCTTGTGAATCTCCGAGTGGATCATGAAGCCCGCCTCGTTGATTGCCGCCTGGTTGCCTCCCTCAACAACATACCCCTCGCTGTCCACAAGCACCAGGTCGGAGGCCTTCATGGAGGAGAAGTGTTTGGCGTACGGGTTCATCCAGAAATGATCCGTCAGCACGGGATCTAGACGATTAGTACAGCACAGTCTATGTGGTATAGAGCAGATGCTCACCTCTCATAGAGATATGGCCTGAGATCCCCTCCCCGTAGCCTTGCTTTCCAAAGAAGCGGAACGCAGCCGCCATGTGCTCTCTCATCCACTGGCGTTGTTTATACGGGTCCGTAAAGGACGGGACCCCCCGCAACTTCAGCGTCCCGCTGCGGTTCCCACGGGCGGTCGCTTGGAAGATTGCATCCTCCTCGGCCGTGGTCTGAGCCAGGGGCGGTTGTACAGCGACACGGATGGTCTGAGGAGCGGACTCGGTGATGGTTGACGTCGACATCGTGGGAGGTTCTGTACAGTAGGTGAGCAGCTTGTAGTATACTAGGTGGTAAGAGATAAAGAGGCAAGTTTCTAACCAGGTAGTAGTTGGTCAAGTCGAATCTCACGTAGTGGTAATCTACTGACTTGCGGAGTGGCTAACTCAGGCACCACCCCGGGGGTCAAAGAGGGGTTATAACATCCTCTGGATGCTTCTTATCTAGACTGCTTCCGGTCTGATGCCGGGCAACCCCCGCTTGGATGCCAACCAAGTCGTTGTTTTGATGCAGTGGAGAGCGACGCAGAAAGCGGCTGGCCAATCCGCCTGGGGAGGTTTCCGCCTGGATTGCTATCCGGCGGGATCGATAGCTAAAGAGAGAGCCACTATGCAGTGGGATATTGGAAATCAACCGGATATCCGTATTACTTGGTTTCACTTTCTTTTTTTTGTTTTTTGTTTTTAATTGTCTGACTGGTATTTCTGGTAGGGTATTTAGGCTAGTATTAATAATAAAAGTTCACTTGCTTTTTCAATGGTATTTCATCTAGACTTCAGGCAGAAAATAAGAGTTTATTATTGTACATCGACATATATGATCAAAATTCATCTCATAAGACAGTCATCACGCTAGAATGGAGAGGGTCTGGTAGAATATGGTACATTGGTAGAGGTGATGCGATAGACACTGTCGAGTATATATCACAGTCAACCAGGTCAGAAAACCATCAGTACGTTAGGCACCTGAGGTAGATACCTAGTATGAAGCGCATCTTGCTGCCCAATCATGTTGGTTTGAGATACTCTGCATCGTTCTCTTTGTTGCTCTTGCGAGCGTCTTCTAGCATGGACTCGATACCTTTGTCCTTGAGAACTTTCTGTTGCATATCAGACGAGACTCCATGCCATCACGCACCCGGGGAATAAACATACATTCAGGCATGTCCTGTATTTCTTGAAGAGCTCTTCGCATTCATTAGACGACGTGTTGCCTCGCAGATATTCTATCCTGATTAGCTCCGGTGTCCGAATCCTGATTGCTCTTGGTTTCTCAGTCTCATACTTTCGCTATACCACTTGAGAAAACAAGTATCGTACTTCCTGAAGCAGAAATTAGTCTCGTAGACAGATGGGGGGGATGTCATAGAACCGTACTCTTTAATCTCGTTGCATTCTGGAGCTATAGACGCCGCCATGGCGAGTAAACTGGCGTTTTTTTCAAGGGACTATATCTCCAGCAAACCACACCAAGTATCAAAACGTCATTAAATAGTCGAAATAATGCACGGAAAGCTCCTAGTCCCTGCTCTTCCTCAATCCTACAGCTTTGATGAAGATAGCATGCATAATGGGATCTCCGATTGATGGTTGCGCTAACTATTTTCAGTTAGCCGTTTACCGCCTCTGTCCACCGGCGGATCTATTTATCCGTGGCGATAAATGTTCCTTCTCTGGGCAACTTTTTCTGAGGCCGATCAGTTTGGGGCATTTGATGGGTTGAGGTGTTGGTGTACCCTTCTTGTATTGATTTTTTTCCTTTTCATTTTATATAGTCTGCTATTCTGATTCCTGTACAATGGACTCAGCAGCAGATTTCCCCCCGTTCCAGGAACGGCTCACGTCCAAACTGGTGCAGATGACGCGCACCGTAGGACAACTTTCCTCCGAGGATCTGAATTTCTATCGCTCCTCCAGCTCAGGGGTCTCCGAGTCTCTCGACGAGCAGAGCGAACGGATCCTCTCGTTGACTTCGTCTATTCTCAAAGCCGCGACGGCAGGGACAGAGCTGTCCGCTCCCGTCTTGAAAGACGAGGATTCGATTGAAGACAATTGGCGGGGCGTGGTGGATGTGATCGACGCGCTTCTGGAAAAGGCAGACGCCTGCCTTGACGAGTTTACTGGCGTGATCAAGAAGTTGAGCCCCTCGCAACAAGAGCAGGCCAAGACGACGTACGGGAAAAGAGCGGCGGCGGCCAAGTTCCCCAGCATCTACGACTATGGGCCGTCGAAAATCCCGAAACCGCAGTTGCTGTTTGAGCGCCAGCCCGACAATACTGAGACCTCGCCCTTCCGACCGCTTCTTCGCACCAAGCCGCACGCTCGGCTGCCTCTGGAGGAATCGATCGAACCGAGTGGTGGTTCAGAGACCGGCTACAGGAACCCGTACGAGACCGAGATTCGCGACGCAGAGTATCCTCCGTCTACACATGCTTCCTCGCCACCCATCGACTATCAGCCGTGGGAGTCAACGACTGCGACCTTTGTCGACACATTAGACGGGGTGAAACAGATGTTGGACGAGCTCAAGTCGGCCAAGGAGATCGCCATTGATCTGGAACACCACGACGTGCACTCATACCATGGCCTGGTCTCGTTGATGCAGATCAGCACGCGGGAGAAGGACTGGGTGATCGATACCCTCAAACCGTGGAGGGAGGAACTTCAGGTGCTCAATGAGGTCTTTGCCGACCCTCACATTCTCAAGGTCTTGCATGGATCGTCAATGGATATCATCTGGTTGCAACGCGATCTCGGTCTGTATGTCGTGGGCATGTTTGATACCTACCACGCTGCCTGTGCGCTGAACTATCCCAAGAGAAGTCTCAAGTTCCTTCTCCAAAAGTTTGTCAACTTTGAAGCGGACAAAAAGTACCAAATGGCCGACTGGCGCATCCGCCCGCTGCCATCTGGAATGTTTGATTATGCGCGATCTGATACCCACTATCTCCTATATATCTACGACCATCTGCGCAATGAACTGCTCAAAGAATCCACCCCCGACCACAACCTGATGGCGTATGTGCAAGAACAGTCGAAGAATGAGGCCCTGCAGCGGTATGAGCGCCCTGTCTACGATGCGGCCACTGGAATGGGTCCCGGGGGCTGGTATGATGTTCTGTCTCGCAACTCGCTGGTATTGAGCAAGGAGCAGTTTGCTGTTTTCAAGGCTGTCCACCAGTGGCGCGACGAGATCGCACGGGCCGAAGATGAGGGTGTTCAATGCGTCTTCCCGAAACATGTCCTCTTCAAAGTTGCACAAGCGATGCCGCTTGACGAGGGAACTCTACTGAGGACGCTGTCCCCTGTGACTCCAATTGCCAAGAACCGATCTTCCGACCTTTTGGAGACGATTCGGACCGCCAAGGTTGCGGGCGCGACGGGACCAGAATGGCGTGATGTTTACAAGCCGTTTAAGAAGGCCGGTCTCACTACAGCAACCGAACCGACCGAACCGTCCAAGCCTGTGGACGAAAGTTTCCCTATCGCCGGGCGCTTCGAGGTGTCTCAGTTTTGGGGTGCCGTCTTGGACCAAGAGGAGCTATCCACGCCTCCCGAATATGCCCTTGTCGCTTCCGCCGAAGCCCTCCGCCTTTCCCTGCCCCTGCCTCGCATGCCACTGACCGTATCCGAGGCACGGGACAGACTGGGTGTGAGCAAATCTGCACCGGCTCCGGTACCAGCACCACCGACTACCGCCACGGCTCCTTCCCCCCAGCCAGAGGAGAAGAGTAAATTTTTCACGGTAAAGGAGCTGGGCGGGCCTCGCAAACGGAAAGCCGCGGTGGCACCCGAACCCGTCAAGGAGAAACTGGTAGTTACGCCAGAGCTGGACGAGTTGAGCGGTGAGACCAGCTCCGCGCCGGACGTGACGGAGGACAAGCTTTCGAAGAAACAGCGGAAGAAGGCCAAGAAGGACAAGGAGAGGGAGAAGGAGAAAGACAAGGAGAGCGAGCAGGCCGAGACCGCCGTGCCATTCGACTACACGAGGGCGGACTCGATGCTTCACGCTGCTCCGGTGCAGGCATCCGCCGCGCCGAAGAAACGGCCGTTCAACCCGTATGCTAAGGCGCTCGACACGTCGACCGGGCTGGGCAGAGCGAAGCGGGAGACGGCGGGCAAGAACTTTACCTTTAGGTAGCTAGGTAGATTAGGTACCTCAATATGTAACATGCCGCCAGATTCCAATTCCAGAGTCCAGAGTCCAGACTCCAGAGAGTAAGTGCTCACATGACTTGTTAGCCTCAGGCTGGCGGAGTTGACCGCCTCACTTCCTTCCTATACCACCTTGACGCCCTCCTTATATCCCCTTTTTTTCCTTTCTTATTATTCTCGTGAGAAGCTGTCTTAGTAGCAAGTACTATCATATCATCGAGTTTGAGCTTGAGCCGCGTCATAATCCTACTTCTTTTCGTGATATCTCTTAGTCCCTACAGCTGCCCATCATGGAACGTTGGCCTGTATTACTTCGCTGCCTCCTGCCAGACTTCACCTGGCCGGACAATAATAACGCGCGGCCACTCATGAAGACACAAATCCCACCCACGCCTCGACCAACACCGCCCCGACTACGCCGACTGTGGGGGTTTCTCCATACGTACTTGCGACGGTTTTCTCAGACGTACTGCGGCTGGGCTGGGATTGCCTATGATAATCAAATCGCTCAGCTTCCGTTTGGACTGATCCTGAAATGGTCTGACGGAACTCGGCTAGAAGAAGTTCTGGCCATGCAAGTCGCCCGAAGAGCTGGCTTTCCGGTTCCACGAGTTATCTGTTATGGAGAACATCCTGATACACCACATGCGCCCGTCTCGATCCTTATGACTCGGGTGCCTGGCCAAGAGCTAGGCCAAGTATACGAGACACTGAGCAACGAGGATCAAAAGTCGGTTTTACAAGAGCTGAAAGTCTATCTGGATGTGATGCGTGGATGGCCACATCCCTGGGGCGGAGATAGGATATGCTCTCTGCTGGGCACTGCGGTGAGGAGCGTTCGCGTTCCGAACCACTATGCTGGCCCATTTGAAGGCGAGGAAGAGTTCAACGATTATCTCATCGAGCCTTCTTGGTCGGGCGGATTTCCATCCGAGACAGCATATCAAGACGCTTTGCAGCTGGCTCGAGGCATGAGGAAGCTGTCACATCCAATCGTGTTTACTCATGGAGATCTAAAACCTCATAATATCATGGTAAAAGGGGGACGGATCACAGGCTTCCTAGACTGGGAGTCAGCAGGATGGTACCCTGACTACTGGGACTTCACCACAGCACTGAGATTCACACTAGAGGATTTCTGGTGGTACAGTTTCATGCTTGAACTCGGCGGCGACATGTACTTGACAGAGTTGAAGTTCGATCGTGCATTGAATTCATTAACATGCGATTCTTATTGTTGGTGATACCTGCGTGATCCTTCTGTTTCTCATTTCAATATAACTAACTATATAATATCTACTATCCAATCAACTATTCTCTTGCACTTCTCTGTAAAAAATAAGGAAATATTCATAGATATCTGTAGCCAGAATAGGGTATAATTGTATATATTTATAAATATCCTATTCCTGTAGGCTTAATCAAAGTCTAGTTCATCTTTTCTAGTACTCCGTATACTGGGCACTGATAGAACTGAGTTGATTCGTCGACTCTGGAGATCATCACTGACTAATACGGACTAAACTGCATCTAGAAAGCACGGCCGTTGCAGGCCTGAGGCTGCCACAAAAGGTCACTAACTATAGGCAGTTAGTTACTTAGGCACCTGACTGCCTAGTTAGGACTCTAGGAAGTACCTCTACCTACCTCTGACTAGACCCTGACCGTCTTCCACCTTCTATCTTCTTCTTCTCCCCCTCTCCATCTGTTGCAAAAAACATCGTTCTTAATAGATTGTCAAATGCCCACACAATCATCGCCAGCTTCTCTAGGCCGGAGACGTGATCAACCGGTCTTGAGCTGTTCCTTCTGCAGAGGACGCAAGTAAGTCAGGGTTCTTCGCAATCAAGTGTCTGATCAAGGCCCGGCCTGTTGCTAGCACTCCGACAGGCTACGGTGTGATAGAAAAACGCCATGTGGCTCTTGTGTAAGGCGTGGCAACACGGAAGAGTGCATATACGGCTCCTCGGAGCAGGAGCGCAGAGATGCGGTTGATTATAGGCCGCATACCAGAACCAACAGGCCCGTCAGAGAGTCACTCGGCTGGAGAACCTCGTGACGCAGATGAGAGATCAAATGAGGGAGATGGAGCAGAATTCCCGTCAGGTATCGGGTAGTACTCTATGTCCACCCGCCGAGCCCTCTCGCATCTCTGCTGCATCAAACCTTGTTCCCCAGGAGGAAGACCATATCGTAAACACTGTGGAAAAACTAAGTCTCACCGATGATCATGCTGTCTATATTGGCAGCAGTCACTGGGTTACCATCTTGGAGGATGTGCGTGGTAGCCAATATAGTAATTATCTATTCTATTTTCTGCTGACCTTTCTTCTGCATCTTTTGCCTCCCAGATCCAAAATCTCAAAGATGAGCTGTTCGATGATCACTCGGAACACTTCACAAGTCGGGAGTCGACTGTTTTTGATGCTAGTCCGAGCGACAATCCTCCAGCCACCAGGATATCACTTCTCTCGGGCCACCCCTCCCTTTCGAAAGAACAGATGCATCCCATGATCCCACCCCGCAAGGTTGTCGACCGCCATGTTTCTCACTTTTTTGATACGTTTGATTTTGCGCCTTGTAAGGTCTGGGGCCCTCGGTGGCATATCCTTGCTAACGCGAGTTAGGTATTCTCCACCGGGGGAAATTCCTCACAGAGGTCTGGTGATTTCTCTCCTCCAACTGCATTCAATTGCTCTTATTCTTCTTCTCTTCGGGGATTTGCTCATTTTTCTGCATGTAGTACACTACGTTTTGGGAGAACCCTTCGGCTGCGCCCATTATGTGGGTAGGGCTCTTATTCAGTGTCATGAGGATTTCCGCATTCATCCAACAGCAAGGTGCTGGAGGAGCTTCGCAGGAGTAGACATACCGAACTCTTACCATCCACTGCTTGATTGCTGGGGGTTATCTACGACCGAGTCGATACACCATCGAAATCTTGACCCTGCATTTCGCAGTCGATCAACAGATGAATCTCAACACCGATACTGAGAACTGGGTCCTCATCGGTGTAATCATCCGGCTCGGGCTGCGCATGGGCCTTCATCGTGACCCATCCCACTGGTCAAATATTCTCCCCTCGGAGGCTGAATTCCGACGTCGGCTCTGGATCACACTCTATCATATGGACTTCTTTACGAGCACGCAAGTCGGGCTGCCACGGACCATTAAGGACTCTCAGTGTGATGTGCGCCCGCCTGCCAACGTGTTTGACGATGACCTGAGCTTCGAGCATCATGAAGTACCCCCAGAACGCCCGTTGGCGGATCCTACGCCTCTTTCGCACATTATACAACGGCAAGCCATTATCAAGGTAGCCGCGGAGATATACGACGCGACGGAAGCGGGACCACCGTCATCCGCCATAGTCGAGATGCTCAGCGCCAAATTAGATAGTGCCATTAACTCCATCCTTGGGCAGTCAAAGCACCGTTCGCTCGAGACATCCATTGCGGAAACCCTCAAGACCATCCTTCACCAAATATTCATTGATATTCTCATTAACAAAGGCCGTTTATCTCCTTCATCGACGGAGCTTCATGAAGAAGGGTTCCGTGGAAGAAGAAGCCACGAGGTCCACTAGACTGTGCATCGACACTGCCTTGGCCATACTGGAACATCAGCGAAGGGTTGACGAAGAAACTCAACCGGGAGGCATTATGTTTGGGATCCGCTGGCAGGTGGCCTCGTCGCTTAACCATGAGTTTCTGCAAGCGACGATGATGCTATGTTTGGCACTGAGCCGGTTCCACGAGGGCCACCTCGGCTCGACTGGCTCTACTTCCCTTCATCGCCAAGGAGAAATCATACAGGCATTGACCATGGCAAAAGACCTGTGGAAAAAAGACGCCGACCGATCGGTTGACGCGCGCAGGGCAGCAACAGCCATAGCGTCCGTGCTTATACAGGATCTCGGTAAAGAATCATTAGAGGAGACTACACTACCAACGGCCGAGGGCTCTGCTAATACTGGGTATCCCATAGGGTTTACCGAGCCAATTCCGGGAGCGGCTGCACCGAACTATCTTGGTAGTTTCCCCTCTGGGCAGAATATGGTTATGGATCCTCCTTTCTCCACAATAGATGCTGAAATGATAGCATTCGAAAGTTTGTGGGATGACCTTGTGACTGGGTCCATGGAGGGAAATTGGGCGGCGATGCATTGAGACAATCTCGCCAGAAGTATACTACTACCTTGTCTACAACCCTACTCTATAGACATGCAAAAGCGAAGGAAAGCCACCAATCAATTCAATGGCCCTTGGCTCTATGGCCGCACTACATGCCGCCAACCGAAGTCGCCTAATCGTCCTTCCGGAACACCAATTCCAATTTCTTCTCCTGGAACTTGAGCTCCGTCATATCCCTCTTTTCCATAACGCTTATCCGACTACTTTGGATCTCCGGCCGAGTGAGGATCTCCTGAAACGTGTTGTCAAAAGCTGACGCCTTGAAAAACCCCGTTCTCTGAGCTGACTCGTCCACTTCTACACGCAAGGCGATATAAATCTCGTTGAAGCGCACATTCGTCTCTTCGCTGTCGCGACAGGCCACATTGGCCAGGGAGTAGAGCGCGCCCTGGGTGAAGGCTGGGGCCGCACGCATGCCAAAGTCGCCCATCACGCCCGTGCAGAGAGTCCAGGTGCTAGTCGAGTGGTTTTGTTCCAGCAGATATGCAATTGTGGCCCCACACATTCTTACCCCAGTCCAGCAATGGGTACTACATCTCAGACTGTAGGGCTGTTCAAGGTGCATGATAATTACCAACCTTGTACAGCCTGGATTAGCGGTACTAGAGTGTTAGATGCATGATTTCCCTCGTGATAGACGGACGGTCGGACAGTGGAGCGGACGGTCGGCGGGTCGGCGGGTCGGCCCGTGAATGCGATCGTCTTGGCAACAACTTTCCCGATCCGGATGAGTTTAGGGCTGCCTTGTAGACCGTCCTTCTCCGGCTTTCTCACTATTTATCGAGGGAGAAATCCATTTATAGACCGACATGGTCAAGAAGAAATCTTGTCTCACACAGTCCTAACTATGGATCCATCTATTGACAAGTCGGAGGAATTCGACATGGAACCCCCCGAAGCTCCAGCTGGCCATGTTTACCCTACCGGTATGAAACTCGGACTTCTAATGACCTCCCTCTATATTGCCATGTTTCTCGTTGCATTGGTAGGTTTAATACTTCTCTTCTTCTTCTTTTCTGATTGATGACAGGATAAACTCATCATTTCGACCGCCACATAATCCATCACGGATGAATTCCACGCCTCGAGCCAGGTAGGCTGGTATGGCGCAGCGTACATGCTGACCAACTGCGCGCTCCTGCTTGTGTTTGGGAAGATCTATATCTTTCTCAACGTCAAGACTGTCTTCCTCACGACCGTGGTTCTGTTCGAGGTTGCGTCGGCGGTTTGTGGCGCGGCCCCAAACTCGGTTGCTTTCATCATCGGCCGGGCGATTGCTGGTTTAGGAGCTGCGGGTGTACAAGAGGAGATTGTACGTGTTTTTTCAAGTTTTTTCTTTAATATTTTTTCTTCAGGGTTTCTTCTAATATTTTCTAGTTAGTTCTTATTGTCTATGCTGCCCCCCTTGCGAAACAACCGCAGTACCAAGGCTTCTTTGGAGCGGTATATGGCATCTCCTCGATTGTCGGCCCATTAATCGGCGGTGCTTTCACTTCCAACGTCTCCTGGCGGTGGTGCTTCTACATTAACCTTCCCTTTGGAGGCGTGGTGCTTTTGTTCGTCTTCTTCCTGCTCCGTGTCCCTGAGGGGGTTTCGTTCAGGGATTCCCCTGCGGTGTGGAAACATAAACTGGCGCAACTGAATTTGGAGGGAGTCGTTATTCTGCTCTCTGGAGTGGTTTGCTTATGTCTGGCTTTGCAATGGGGTGGGTTTACATATAGTGTAAGTTTTGTATACATGGAGAGAGAGAGAGAGAGACTGATTATACAGTGGAGTGATGGACGCATCATCGCCTTGCTGACAGTCGTTATCGTCTTGTTGATCGCTTTCATCTCGATCCAAATCTTGAGACCCAAGACAGCCACGGTACCACCTCACATCTTCATCCAGCGAAGCATCCTCGCGAGATTTTGGGTAAGTTGTACGGTTGGTGTTCATATGACGCTGTTTGGTGAGTTATTTACGCAATGCACCACCCTCCGATTTAAAAAAGGAATCACCTAACAGATAAGTATACTACCTTCCGATCTGGTTCCAGACGGTGAAAGGAGACTCGGCCGTTGAGAGTGGAATCCACCTGCTCCCGATGGTGATTGCCATGGTGGTCTCGTCTATTCTGAGCGGCATCGGAACCGTGCGAGTCGGCTACTACACTCCCATTCTGATCGCGGGGACATGTCTTGTCTCTGTGGGCTCGGGACTTCTGACGATGCTCCAAGTCGACAGCACGACAGGCCAGTGGATCGGATACAAGATCGTGTACGGGTTCGGGTTGGGGTGTTGCTTCCAGGCGCCTAAGATGGCGGCGCAGACGGTGCTCCCTCGCCGGGAAGTGGCTATCGGGGCCTCGCTCATGCTTTTCGAGCAGACTCTCTTCGGGGCAATCTTTGTCTCTGTCGGACAGAACGTTGTGGACCAGCGTCTGGCTTTGCTTCTGGCTCGCATTGCGGGTGTTGGTCTCACGCCTGGGGAGATTGAGAGCGCGGGGCTTACGGGACTGCTCGATAGGACCCCCTCGGAGGATCATCCTGCGGTGCTGGAGGCTTATAATTCGTCTCTGCGGTTGTGTTTCCTGGCTGCTCTTGCCTTTGCCTGCCTTTCGGTCATTGGTAGTGCTGGAATGGAGTGGCGGAATGTTAAGGGGGGGGGGGCAGAAGCAGGTGAGGGAGGAAGTCAAGGAAGCCGGAAGAACGCGTAGTCTTTAGTCTAGTCTTTAGTAGATCATCAGTCATACTATAATTTAAGAATGTATTTATTCTAAATACCCGCAGTATTGAGATCTTAAACTAGAAGATATCTATTTAATACTATCAATATCAAGATGAATATTCTAGGTAAGAAGTTCTAATTCTATAGTATGATAAGTATTATCTCTGCTAATATATAGTTATAACTATAAAGATATATAGTACTTGTGGCCTGATCAGCCTGAAGTCTATCAGAAACAGGATTAAAAATAGTTGAGCTACATTATTTCATTTATAATAATAGATAAAAGTAACTATATATAACTACACAACTATCTACATCTATCCTCAGGCATACTCCGTACTACATAATACCCCCCACATGCTGCAGGTACCCCTTCTTCTTCGTGTTGGACAGCCTTAGTGGACTCTTGGCGGGGTCAGGTCAGGAACAAAGAGTTTCAGCAGGGATATTTCTTACTTGGACTGTTTTATTCTGTTCTTAGTGATGTACTAATTAGTTAGTTACATGGTCACTCTTGAATACTGCTTGAAACGTGCCACTATAAGTGACATTCCCTTGCGTCTGCTCCCATGGAGGAAGGAGGTCGAATCCAACAGTAATACATGATCTTGATGAAATCTATCTACATAGACTCGGAATTCAATCATAAATCTAAGCATATAATTATAAATTATATCACAGATAGAATAGGTACTGAGGAGTTGACTATAGTTATATAGTAAGTACCTGGTAGCCCCTATTCGCTTCCACTGCCGTTTTTTGCAGGTTTCAATGCAGACCAGCTCCACTCCCATCGCCATCTCACTAAAATCATGACCAACCCGGTTGTCTATCTTTCTTTTCCTTAAGAGAACATCCCCTCTTCTATCCGGCTGCATCCTGATGCTCCATTAGTGAGTGGTATTGTTCTTGTTATCCTTCTCCTTCTTCCTCCCCTCCTCTCTTCTCCTGCCACCGCTGCCTTGCGCCCTCTCGTACCTTTTGACTCAACCTCCTCTCCTACGGCCACTGCACACCCTCTCTTCCCCCCCCCCCCCCCCCCCCCCCCCCCCCCCCCCCCCCCTCTCTCTCTCTCTCTCTCTTTCTCCTCCCTCCCTCTCTCTTTAATTCTTACTTAATGCTGGTCTCTTTCTCTCCTTGTTTTTTCCCTCGGAATTCCACCTCTCGATAATAATTCTCGCCTCGACGTCGACCTTCCTGCCTCCTAAAAACTACCCTCCCTCTCCCCCTCCTCGCAGAAAAACACGTCCCCCCCGGGGTCCTTGTACCAGCCACGCCGGTCGCGAATCGAATCCCTCATTAATTGATTGACTCTCCGCCCTTGTGTGTTCGCGAAAGCTGTCGACCCTTCGGAACCTTTGGACAATAATTCGACTCCAACCTCCCTGCAAACCCTGGCTGGACTCGTTGCAGAACGCGTGCGATAAGGAGGCACGATCGCAAGTCTTCCAACCCCCGGTGCTTGCGTTCGTTTCGTGCTTTCTCCAAAAAAAAAAAAAGTCGTTATTATCCTGCTCTTCCGATCTCCTTGGTCCTATTCCTCGAGATAAATCAATTGCGGGTTATCCGGTCGGACAAGGGGTACCCATTCGCAGTGTTCACTCCGTCTCTTCCAGTTATTTTCTTTCCTCTCCCCAGTGAGCCCTTCTCGACCACAAAATGTCTGTGGCGACCATGTTACAACCGGCATCCAGAGCCTCGAGGGCGTCCACTTCGTCGTCCTCCTCCTTTCAGCCAGTCACTCGCCAGAACACCATGTCGTCGCATGACACCCGCTCGCTCCGTCAGTCCAAGCGGCTCTCCGTCACGGCCCTGTACCTGTCCATGTCCGCCAAGGATAAGGATCTGGAGATTTCAGACGATCTAGCAAGAGGTTAGTCTTCTCGCCCTCATCCCCGACTCGTGTTGGTCGTCGGCATTTCCGCGCCTCTCTAACCCCCCCCGGTAATCAGCTCAGAAACATCTGCGAGAGCTGAAAATGAAGATCTCGTCGCAATCGAAAAAGAACTTTGTTCTCGAAAAGGACGTGCGCTACCTGGATTCCCGCATAGCTTTGCTCATTGCAAACCGTATGGCGCTGGAGGAAGTATGCTTACCACCTTGGCTTCCCCCTTTTTTTCTTCTTCTTCTTCTTCTTCTTCTTCTTCTTCTCTTTTTGCTAACACGATTTGCTCTCCAGCAAAATGAAGTGGCTAGTCATCTTGATGACACTGCAGACCCCCAGGAAGGCTTCTTCCCAAACGATGAAAAGACCCAGAAATACGGGAACCTGCTCTTCCTCCTCCAGTCGGAACCCCGCCACATCGCCCATCTCTGCCGCTTGGTGTCCATGTCCGAGATCGACTCGCTCCTCCAGACCGTCATGTTCACCATCTACGGAAACCAATACGAGAGCCGCGAGGAGCACCTGCTGCTCACCATGTTCCAGTCGGTCTTGACCTACCAGTTTGACAACACGCCCGAGTATTCCTCCCTGCTCCGCCAGAACACCCCGGTCTCCCGCATGATGACCACCTACACCCGCCGCGGCCCGGGCCAGAGCTACCTGAAGCAGGTCTTGGCGGATCAGATCAATGCTTTAATAGAGCTCCGCGACGTCGATCTCGAGATCAACCCGCTCAAGGTGTACGAGAACATGGTCTCCCAGATCGAGGAGGACACCGGATCGCTCCCCGACTATCTCCCCAAATCCGTCACCGCCGAGGTGGCCGCCGCAAACGAACAGGTGCAGGCCATCATCGCGCCGCGGCTCAAGATGCTGACGGAAATCGCCAACGGCTTCCTGACCACCATCATCAACTCCGTCGATGAGGCGCCCTATGGCATCCGCTGGATCTGCAAGCAGATCCGCAGCCTGTCCCGCCGCAAGTATCCCGACGCGCAAGACCAGACCATCTGCACCCTCATCGGCGGCTTCTTCTTCCTCCGCTTCATCAACCCTGCCATCGTCACGCCGCGCTCCTACATGCTCATCGACGCCATTCCGACCGAAAAACCGCGCCGGACCCTCACGTTGATCGCCAAGATGCTGCAGAACCTCGCCAACAAGCCCTCCTACTCCAAGGAGCCCTACATGGCCAAGCTGCAGCCCTTCATCCAGCAGAACAAGGAGCGCGTCAACAAGTTCATGCTGGACCTGTGCGAGGTCCAGGACTTTTACGAGAGTTTGGAGATGGACAACTACGTGGCCCTGTCCAAGCGCGATCTCGAGCTGCAGATCACCCTCAACGAGATGTACGCCACGCACGCCCTGCTGGAAAAGCATACCGCCGCCCTGGCCCAAGACCAGCACTCCCACCTGCACGTGCTCTTGCAGGAGCTGGGCCCGGCGCCGACGCAGGTGCCCCGCAAGGAGAACCGTACGATCACCGTCCCTCTCTTCAGCAAATGGGAGGCCGCCCTCGATGACCTGACCGCGGCCCTGGACATCACCCAGGAAGAGGTCTTCTTCATGGAGGCCAAGTCCACCTTTGTTCAGATCTTGCGCTCCCTCCCGCCCAACTCCTCCGTGGCCCGTCGCCCGCTGCGCCTCGATCGGATCGCCGAGGCGGCGGCCACCCTGAAGAATGATGCCGTCATGGTTCGCAAGGGCATTCGCACCATGGAGCTTCTGAGCCAACTGCAAGAGATGGGCGTCATCGATCGATCGGATGAATTCAGTCTCCTGCGCGACGAGGTCGAACAAGAACTCGTCCACTTGGGCTCCCTCAAGGAAAAGGTTCTGGAGGAGACCAAGAAGCTTGACGAGGTCTTCCGCACCATCCGTGACCACAACGCCTACCTCGTCGGCCAGCTCGAGACGTACAAGTCTTACCTGCACAACGTCCGCAGCCAATCCGAAGGCAAGCAACGGAAGCAACAGAAGCATCAGGAACTCGGGCCCTACAAGTTCACCCACCAGCAACTCGAAAAGGAGGGCGTCATCCGCAAGAGCAACGTCCCGGAGAATCGACGAGCCAATATCTATTTCATGTTCAAGAGTCCTCTCCCGGGCACTTTTGTCATCAGTCTTCATTACAAAGGTTTGTTGCCCCCCCCCCTCTGAAAAGATTTCCAAATGCAGAAACTAATATTCTCAACAGGACGTGCTCGTGGTCTCCTAGAGCTTGATCTCAAACTCGACGACCTCCTCGAGATGCAGAAAGATAACCTCGAAGATCTAGATCTCGAATATGTGCAATTCAACGTTTCCAAAGTGCTCTTGCTCCTTAACAAGCGATTCGCACGGAAAAAGGGATGGTGAACACCCTCCCTCGCCCCTTTGTTTAATGATATGATCACGTCCACGAAGCAGATGTTTATCCCAAGAGGAGCCGCCTTGGGGCGTCATGGCTGCGCGCAACGTCGCTGTCTCTCTCCAGGCGTTATGAACGATGACCCGATTCGGGATTTTCAGAATATTCCATCTCCAATTAGGCGAGTAAGAAGAAATCTTGCTTTAGTCTCATCATTCGGAGATGGGAAATTCAATAATGTATACCTGAACATCACTCTGGTCCCCCTCCCCCAAGCGACCAGCCTGTCTCTGGTCTGTCGCCTTGTTCATTTTTTAATCTTTGCTTTTTCTTTTCTTTTTTTTTTCTCTTGACTCTGATGCCTTGCTTTGCTTTGTTTTTTTTTTTTTTTTTTTCGACATTTCCTCTTTACATGTCCCTTCAAGATATCAATTTCTGTTTACCCTTTACCCTTTCTCTCTTATTGTGGATCATATAGCACGGCACATGCGACATATATAATGGCTGTGAGGGAAGCAAGGACATATCATGATTCCAGATTAATTGACACTTGTGTCTGCTGGCTCAGGCGCAATGATTTTATGCAAGTTTCACATTTCTTCTATTTTGTTTTTCTCTCTCTCTTTTTCTGGGCAGCAAATTTGTCTTTTTTTCCCCTGTTTTTTTTTTGAGGGTTGATATACCCCTTTTTGTTCCATTGACCACGTTTTGCGGCATGGAGGCCCCCATTTGTTTTGTTGTTCCTGTTCTACTGCTTCCATTGTCATTGTTCTATACTTCTGTATATCTCGGGGCCCTTGGCCTTCTTATATCCTCTTCTTTTTCTCTCTTCTGTAATGCCAAGTTCTATGTGCAGTCTTCTCGATTCTCCTTCCCCTTTTCCCTCTCCCCCTCCCCCCTCCCCTATTCTGGTTGTGGAGGCTTCATGAACTCAATCTGGGGTTTTCTTTTTTTTTTAACCCTGTAATATCAATGTCTCGATGTTAACACGTATTCGTTATTGTTTTAAGATTGGTTAGCATGCTATATACATCACTTGGCTGTGGTGGACAATGTTCTTATGGAGTATAGACACTGAGACAGTGACAGCAGCTAGCACAACATTAATCCACAGTTACCTCTGTTCCCCCCTCTTCCCCCCTCCATTCTCTTTAAATATATCTGAAGCTTTTCAGTTGCCTGAGTGGTTCCCTGGTTTGCTCACCGTCTCTCTGTGCACAACCCACTCTTCAAGGTGGGTTTTCGCAGCTGTTAGCGCCACCGCCTGCCACAGGTGAACCCCTCGTCTCCGCGCATCAACTTTCCTTACACTCGTCCTCTCCTCTCCTCTCTTCAAAAGATTTAAACAAGATCAAATATTTAGAGGAGATTCTTAGTTTTCTCCAAAGACCCTTGAGAACCCCCCCCTGTTTAGCGAGTCTCTACTCATTTCTCCTCCACAATGGCCGCCACCGCTGAAAAGCAGGCGCCCTTCGATCCCAAATTCGACGACTATGACTTCCCAACCACTGCGCCCGAGTCCAAGCCTGGCCACCCGGGCCACACAACGTCCGAGCAGGATGAGAAGGTCGCTCAGCTGCGCTCCGAGCTGGAGCAGCTCGGTTACACGGAGCGTCTGGATACCCTGACCATGCTGCGGTTCCTGCGGGCTCGCAAGTTCAACGTCGAGGCTGCCAAGACCATGTACGTTTAAGAAAATTCGTTTATTGCATTTTTTCCCCTTTCTTCTGACAGTTCAGGTTCATCGAGTGCGAAAAGTGGAGGAAGGAATTTGGCACGGACACGCTGGCGGCCACGTTTGAGTACAAGGAGAAGGCGGATGTGTTCAAGTTCTATCCTCAATACTACCACAAGACGGACAAGGTAGATTTCCACCTTCTTCTTTTTTTTTTTTTTTTTTTTTCTTCTTCTCCTCTTTCCCTTGTCAAGATATATATGCTTACTGGAGATATAGGACGGCCGGCCGGTGTATATCGAGAAATTGGGCAAGATCGACCTGAACGCAATGTACAAGATCACGACGGCGGACCGGATGCTGCAGAACCTGGTGACCGAGTACGAGAAGCTGGCGGACCCGCGACTGCCCGCATGCTCGCGCAAGGCGGGCAAGCTGCTGGAGACGTGCTGCACGATCATGGACCTGAAGGGGGTGGGTATCACCAGCATCCCGTCGGTGTACGGGTACATCCGGCAGGCGTCGGCCATCTCGCAGAACTACTACCCCGAACGGCTGGGGAAGCTGTACCTGATCAACGCTCCCTGGGGGTTCAGCAGCGCCTTCAACGCCGTCAAGAGCTTCCTCGACCCCGTCACCGTCGAGAAGATCCACATCCTCGGCTCCGGTTACCAGAAGGAACTCCTCGCCCAGGTCCCCGCCGATAGTCTCCCCGTCGAGTTTGGCGGTACCTGTCAGTGCGAGGGAGGCTGTGAGCTCAGTGACATGGGCCCCTGGCAGGAAGCCGAGTGGGCTAAGCCCCCTAAATGGTCCTCTCCGTAGGTTCTCATTACATAGACATCACTGCAAGTCACTACAAGTCTAGAGCGGACACTCTTCTTTTTTTTTTCCCCCCCCACCTTCTGTTCTATCTTCTGTGCATTGATTTTGGGTCAATATGAAAAAAAACAATTCCAGCCAAGAATATACATTTGTGAATGCATGTCAGATCTGTGGTCTAGACTATTTCAATTGAGAGCTTCGTATCATACCGTTTCTTTTTTTTTTTTCTTTCTCCTAAATCTTCTCGACTACTTCCGCCGCCCTGGCTGCCCGTTCCGTCTTCCCCACCGTCGTAGCCAGCGCATGCGTACTATCCAACTCCTGCCCTTGCGTCTTCTCTGCAGGTACGCCATCCACCTCGCCCTGGAGTCGGAGCAAGGTTCGCAGTGCATCCTCGTAGACCTCTGCCATCTCACCGCTCTGCCACCTTTCTGCCTCGTGGTCTGTCCCCAGCGGGACGTGGAGAGTCCAGTCCGCTGGACGCAGGCGTTTACGTCGCCTAGACTGTTCCTGTGTGTCTTGCATATCGACGTCTGTATTTTCCTCTTCTTTATTATCGTTTTCTTCTTTTTCTTCGACTTCGACTTCGACTTTGTCTTCTTCGTCTTCGTCTTCAAGGACCCTCTTCAATTGCGCTGCGTACTCCCTCGCCGCTCGCGAGGGTGTATCCCGTCTCAACTGTGCAACGGTGGTAGTCAACGATTCAAGCTGGGCGTACAGCGAGGTGACCCGCGCCGCGAGATCGGAATCATAAGCCTCGTACTCGACTGTTTCCGTGGTGGTGAAGGACGCGGGAAACGGGAACTGGGGGGACGTCGAATCGATTCCGTTGATGCTTACTGACGAGGCGGCGGATCCGAATGTACGATTTATAAACTGACTATTAGTGAATATATATACATCGGTATAACTATATTAATGATTGATTGTACCTCATCGACGTGTTCTCGGACGCGTTCGCGCATCGGGTCGGGCGTGTCATCGTTTGTTGCGGAGAGGGGTAGATGGAGATCCAGTTTGCGACGCGACAGCGCAACGGTGTTGGCGTAGAGATAGGTGAAGTCTGCGGCGGACTGGAGCTCGATCTTGCGGTAATGAGCCATTGTGAATGGTGTATGGAGATGTTTTAGCTGGTTGTATGAGATTGAGGTCTTGGACTGGAGGCAATAATTAATGCATGAATACACGGTGCCAGACTAGGTTAGTGTAAGGCGGTCTGCAGAGTTGAAAATTGCACAGACTTACCTAATCAGTCTTGTTCAATATTTGCACATGTTCAACTAACTGCTTAACTAGTACTAGGTACCTTGCTTCTTCGCCCATTACTATACGTAGCAGTAATAGCTTCCTACCTAGAGATACCAAATCAATAGTCCAAGTCAGTCTCATAGCAACTCAATTATCAGGTACTCCGTACTATCACTGCTCTCCTCGTCTATTGGCAGATCTTCGCCCCACACGATGTCATGGCCAGCTTCGAAGGTTGTTTCTGGTCCTCTTCACATCATACTTGAGGGTGAGAGGTTTCGGTATCAGTCTCCTCTCTGGCTGGGTTATTTCCACTGGAAGGGATCGTTCGACTTTAGGGGAGCTCTGAGCGGTGCTTTGCTGATTACCTACTACACCCCTTTTTCATTATTTCCAGCGACCAGCGAGGTGACGTCAAGATTCATCGCAATGCAACTGGTTTGCCGGGCTTTTCTGCACTCTCGACAGCACTTGGCGAGCTTATAGAAAGATCGAATAGACATACGAGCGGTTTGACGACCTCCCTAAATCAATATGGAGAACCGTGCCAGCATTACACTTGTCGATAATACCGATCCTGGCCAGCAGCCGACGGGCGACGAGCTGGCTCTCTCCGCTTCTGCGGTTGAACGTTCCAGCTTCACCAAACGATTGGGAAGGGCTTCGTACCAACAGAGAAAATACGCTAAGTGGCAACCGGGCAAGCTTGGAGGTACAAAGCAGACAGGTGCTGCTGGGGATTCATCGCAACGGCAAAACTCCCTCGCTACAGAGGCAGAAACCGCGCACACCAGAGATGGGAACAATCAAGCAGTCGAGGCGACCGATTTCGCTTCGCTACAGGACCAGGAACAGAGGCGCGCCCGGGATGCACAGATGCACGAGGGCGAGTCGAAGCCGCCGCTCAGCGAACTCGATGTGCTGTACGAGAACCAGCGGGGCTGGTTCTTTTTCGGTATTCCACTCTATTCGCACAGCTCGCTACTCAACTTCGACCCAAGCGCCTGGGTCACACGCGACCTGAAGGACAGCGCGGTCAATATCATGAACGCGCAGCTGCCGGACCCAAGCTGGGAGTGGGTCTGGAAGACATGGTATGTGGACATGTCTGGCGACATCGACGAGCAAGGCTGGCAGTATGCATTCTCCTTTGCCTCCTCGTCCTGGCATGGCACGCATCCGTGGTTTCACTCGTTTGTTCGACGCCGGCGCTGGGTGCGACTGCGTGCCAAACGGACATCCAAGACGAACGGTAGAGAACGATCTGAGTTCGAGATGGCCCATCGCTTGAACGAGGACTACTTCACCATCCATTCCAAGGCGAAGACCCGCGATTCCAGCGTAGGGCCCGTCTCGCGAGTGACATCCGCGCTGCGGGACACAAATATCGAAGACGAAGTCGTCCTGGAGGATGTCACCAATATACCATCCCTCATGCATGCCCTCAAAGCTGCGGCTGTGGATCGGGAAAAGCTCGAGGTGCTCAGGCGATTTATTGAAGAGGGCGACGAAGAATTACACTACCTAGCAGAAACGGTGAGTCTTCCTCCTCCTCCTCCTCCTCCTCCTCCTCCTCCTCCTCTTTCTTTTCTCTTTTTACTGACACCATTGTGAGATACCGGATATCATGATGCTTTTTGTATTCCAAACGTCTAGATACCAATTCTCCACATATATGGCCAGTGTCAGAGACCAACTGTCCGAAAAGGCAACCGACACCCAAGGCATCGAGGCGGAAAAACTCAGTCGCAAACAGGAAAACCTCGCTCGCGCCGTTGAGACCGCCAAACACCACGTCACCGGCCCAGATATCTTCAGCGACGCCAAGGGCGAGTCTGGAACCAGCATGTTGGATCTGATTTCTGTCCAGAACTCCGCCCGCAGTCGCCGTGAATCACGTCTGCACCACCACAACCCCATCAAGGGTATTCCTCAGGCAGCCGAGATCGGCCGCGAGGATCATATCTACTAGAATGGCTGACAAGAGTCATCTTTCCAATTGCATTGTCACTGCATCATTATTCCACAAGGTAGCATTAGCGAGCATTTTAACGAGCTTAGCGCGCAATCCCAGTATTCCTCCGATATTTTTCCATCAAATATTTCTCCTCCCTCTTATAATAAGCAATAGTTTAGTCTCAAGTAAAGAAAACCCGTCGAGAAAGAGTAGAAGTAGATCATGACTTATAAAAGTGGTGAGTATTTTTGTATGTGGTTCGAGCTCGGCCCGATCCCAGCCGCTCAATCAACTCCTCCAGGACAAATTTCCCGGTGTCTGAACAAAGTCATTTGGCCAACATCAACGAACCAAGTCCACTCCCCTTTTCTTCCCCCTCCCCTCTTGTCGCCACGGCATCTCTGTTCCCTCAGAGCTCTGCCCTTATGTTCTCGCGCGGCCGTCCGTGTCTGAGACACCACGGCTTATCGGCTGTGTTGGACAACGCTACGGTCGGATCGGAGGAACCGCTGCTTTTTCTGTACCCCCGGTGGTTTACTACAGGGTCACGATACGGATACGCAAGACCGATCACGTCGATAGCGCCGCCGCCGCCCTCGTCGTCGTCGGATACAAGGAAGTGTCAAGGATCGGAGTGCGTGTCACGGAAAGGTCGTGCCGTCTGTCCCGACGTACCGCGTGTGACTGGGTCGTCGAGGCGATGGATTTCGTCGACTCCTGTCTCGCCGCCGCTCGGGGATGCGTTTGAAAGCACCCAGCCGGCTATTGGGGGATACCAGATTCGACGATCTGTCAGCAGATCTGTCGAGGGGAATAATAGTAAGGAAGGTGTGCTGAGTTTGAACCACGAGTCCCGGGCTAGATCGGCGAGGGACTCGCCGAATTCAACACGGGTACAAACACCTGCTACGAAGGGCGTACGCCGAACCCATGATATTCAAACCGAGAAGAGCGATGCGAGCACCACACATATTCGTCCTTTCATAGAGACCGAACCGCCCGGGCCGGAGGACAAGACAGCAGGAAGCCCGGGCAGTCGGCGACGGTCGCTAGTTGGGATCAAACGGATGTCTATCACGGAGCGTCGCAGGTTGAGATATCATATCTATGTGAGTCAATGTGAAAGAGAGCGTGGGTTGAAGCAGAAGCTGGTCCCCTGGGCGGAGGCCATGGACCTGCTGGAAAAGATGCAGCAGCGGGACCATGCGTGGACCAAGAAGGGAAGCAAGTTCTCCAAGGAAATCCGGATCCCCGAGGAGACCGTGGCTCTCCTGGGCGGCCTGACCGCCATAGAGGAGAATGTGTGGTACGTTCCCGTTCACAATGGCTGTCGGGTCCACGTCCTGTCTCCGCAGGAGAGCGACGACATGAATCGAAGAGTGATCCTGTCTGGCTCGGAACGAGTCGTCGAGCTGGTGGAAAGCCGGATCCTCCAGGCGCAGAAGTCGCAGGAGATGGGGGACCCTCTGGTTGAGTTCAGGAAGCCTCCGGTGCCGGTTGTTCCATCTTCAGAGGCTCTTGCCCGCAATAATGTGCCTATGCCACTGATACGAAGTGTTTGGACACATGATCACTATTCTCACAAGACGACGATGCACGAACTGCCTCCGGATCTGACCATGCGTTCGGTGAAAGACCTGGCCGAATTCGTGGATGACCTAACCCGCGCTCAGATTCCGTCCGGTTTTATCAAGGCCCAGGGCGTGGAATCGGCGCAGGATTTCATCGTCCGCACCATCAAGATCGTGCTTTTGCTCGATGCCAACCAGAAACTCATCTCCACTGGCGCTTTGAACAGAGCTCTATCCTATCTGTGCGACAATGAGTTCCTCTCCACCGCCCGCAGAATCTTCTCCCGGGCCGAGCATGTTGCGACGACGGATACGTTCAACATTCTTTTGGAATCGGCTTCGAAACGACAGGACCTTCAGGTCTTCTTTCGGTTTTTGACCGCCATGTCTAGGTTGAACATCAAGCCCAATGGGAGAACTTGGATGGCCTTTGTCAATATGACTGTGTCGTCCAAGGTGCGGCAGTCTCTCCTGATGTATGTCACGTCAAAGGGCTACCTCGCTGGGGTCCACGATCTTCGCTCGGCGCACCATTCCGCGATCCAGCAAGAATTCCTGGCTCATCTGGAAGACGGCGGGAGTGTGGATGCGTTCGTCGATGCCATGGCTCAATCTCAATATCTGAACTGGTTCAACGGGACGTTGGTCAATCAGATGTTTGGCGTTGCTGCCCGGCTGAAAGACTTTTCTGTGCTGCAGCGGCTGCGTGAGATTTGCGATGAGCGTCGCGTACCGGTGGATAGCAGTACCTTGAACCACATCATCCCCGCGTTCCGAGCAAATATCCATTCTGCTCTTCGCTATGTCTTCTGGGTGATGGACCGAGGGTCCTCGCAGCTCCATCGTGAGACATACGAGCGACTCTTTCTGATCGCTTTCAAGAACCGTTGCGTCAATATCTGTCGGGTCCTCTGGCGGTATGCCTGTTTACATCAGGCTGTGACGTACAAGATGAAGCAGTGTGTGCTCGTCTCGCTGTCCAGCAACAAGCCGCAAGCCGCCAAGGATATCGTGGACAAACTCTGGAAGACTGGTGCGGGTAAGACCATCGTCGGCCTGGATCTCCACCGACCGACGCTGCAGCTTCCCCCCTCTATCATGAAGGATGTCCCGTCTGAATTCTCCGACAACCCCGTTGCCTACCTCGCCAGCGGATTCCGAGAGCAGGGCGCAGCCCGCGACGCCCAGCTGCGTGTCGCCAAGGCGCTGGTCCACCGTGACATCCAGGTCGGGTCTTCCTACCGTCCCGAGAAACCGTTACGGCACGTCTTGGAGGAGGCGTCCACCATGGACCTGAAATGGCAGAACACCCCTCGGCCTATTCAGTGGATGCTCCAGAATGCGATCCCGGTGCCTGTGAAGCTGTAGCAAAGTTGCCGGTTTACAATTGGGTGATCAGCTATATCCATCGAGTATATAGAAGCTTTTTTTTTTTCTTTGCTTGCATTAGCAGTACATAGACCCCTATACCATCGTTTTCCGGACCTAATTTGGATGCGATGCTAATTGTACATCTATACAGCTGTACATTAATGTATCATATAGAAATTCATGTCTCATATGGCCCCATTGCCAGTTATAATAATAGCACCTAGCTGAATCTCCTCTAGATACTCCCCAAGCCCCGCTAGCCCCCCGGGTATCATGTCTATGCTATGGGTTCCCCAATTAGAATCATTTCCATCACCGGGTCTCCCTACTCGTTTCCATATCCTTGAGATAGGAGTGCAGGCACCGGAGGCGCGTTAAGATCGAGGCCCGTCCTCATCGACCCGACGCCATCCCTGAGATAAAGTACAAGCCGGTAGGCCGAGTTGCCGTTCAGGTAGTACCGATGCAAACGTTTGCTGCGCAGGAAGCCCAGTCGTTCGTACAGTTTAATGGCTGCCGTATTGGACGTTTCGGTTTCCAGCACAATCTAACAAGAAAAAAGGGTCAGCGAAGAATACTCCATCTATCTAATCTTGTGTGACTGTGTAGAGTGTGGCCACCTCATCAGCATCACGTTCAATCATGGCATCAATAGCCATCCGGACCAGCCTAGTTGCGATCCCCTTGCCTCTGTATTCCTCGCGCACGGCCAGCATGGCGATATACCCTCTCAACGGGCCGCCGCGGTGCGGTTCCAGCTTCGACACGACGACGCCGATCAGCTGCTGCTCCTGCGCCGGATCCATGGCCATGAAGCATAACTCCCCCCATTGGTAGAGGAAGTACCGGTACACGTAGATACTGTACGGCTCGGACAGGTCCTTGGAGATCAGCTGGCGCATCGCGGGGACGTACTCGTTCTCGCGGGCTGGATCGTAGCGCACATAGTGGGGGGTAGTGGTGGTGGTGGTAGTAGACGGCGGCTGGGCTGCTTCCCCCAGAGAAGCGGTGGTGGCAGCCTGGCTCATCGTTTGTCTCTCATGAGAAGATGAGTACGCCTATCCCTATCAACAAGAGCTGAGCTGAGGTGGAGAGGGGGGAGAGATTCGGATGACGCGGACCGGAGATTTTCGTATTCGCTGCACTTGAGAATAACTAATGACCTTTAGCTGCGTCCGAGCTTCTTTCACATGCTTGGGCTCCCCTTGGAGAATATACAGTTTTCTTTTTATTTGTCACAACGCTCCCTTTCTTTTTTTTTCCCCTTCTCCTCTCTTGTAATCCAATGGTTGGAAGTCTATAACTGCGATGCTGCGTCGCCGTGTGGTCCAGGAGGAGAAGTCCTCCCAGGATGCCACTGACACTTCCACTTCCACTACCACCGTCACAACGGTGACTGTCGAGAGACCCTCGCTGGGTAAACGCGAGTCGTTCATCACGAAACCGAAGAGCAAGCGGCGCAATGGATTGATTTTCGCGTTGGGCGGGCTGTTCGGTCTGCTGGTTGCCTTGTTCTTTGCCAACCATCAGGAAGTTATCAGCTTCGATGGGCTCATGGATCTGAATCTCGAGTCCTTGATCGATGTGATTCCCCAGGGGATTGTCAAGGACGTGAGAGAATTCGAGGTAAGCAGCTTGGTCTTATTTCCAGTTTTGGTGCTAACCTTCTTTTTTTCTCTCTTTTTTAGAAACACGAACGTGATGCCGTCAATTACGATTCCTTCGCTGTCGGCCTGCACCTACAGTCACAGGGTGTGCACGCGAAACACCCCGTCGTCATGATCCCCGGCGTCATCTCGACGGGTCTCGAGAGCTGGGGAACGGATATCCCCTCGCGGCCATACTTTCGCAAGAGGCTCTGGGGCAGCTGGAGCATGATGCGGGCGCTGGTGCTGGACAAGACCGGGTGGAAGAATCACATCATGCTGGACAAGGAGACGGGCCTGGATCCGCCGGGCATCAAGTTGCGGGCAGCGCAGGGATTCGATGCGACGGATTTTTTCATCACGGGCTACTGGATCTGGAACAAGATCCTGGAGAATTTGGCAACGGTCGGCTACGATCCCACCAATGCCTTCACGGCCGCGTACGACTGGCGGCTGTCGTACCCGAATCTTGAGTTGCGTGATCAGTACTTCAGCCGGCTCAAGTCCTACATTGAGACAGCGGTGCACGTCGGCGGGGAGAAGGTGGCGTTGACCTCGCACAGCATGGGCTCGCAGGTGGTCATGTACTTCTTCAAGTGGGTGGAGAGCGACGCCCACGGCAAAGGGGGTAAGGACTGGGTCAACCGGCACATCGGGTCGTGGATCAACATCAGCGGTTGCATGCTGGGTGCCGTCAAGGGGCTGACGGCCGTGCTGTCCGGCGAGATGCGCGACACGGCCCAGCTCAACACCTTCGCTGTGTACGGGCTGGAGAAGTTCCTGTCCAAGGAGGAGCGCGCGGAGATCTTCCGCGCCATGCCGGGCATCTCCAGCATGCTCCCCAAGGGCGGCGAGGCCGTCTGGGGCAATGCCACCTGGGCGCCGGACGACCAGCCCGGCCAGCGCGTGACGTTCGGCAACCTGATCAACTTCCACGAAACCAACTCGTCGTTGACGCGCAAGAACCTCACCGCCACAGAGAGCCTGGAGTACCTACTGGGTCAGAGCGAGGACTGGTACCGCAACCAAGTGCTGGGCAGCTACTCGCACGGTGTCGCCCACACGGCTGCCGAGGTTGAAGCCAACGAGGCCGATCCGCGCACCTGGCTGAACCCGCTCGAGGCCCGCCTGCCGCTCGCCCCGGACATGAAAATATACTGCTTCTATGGCGTTGGCAAACCCACCGAGCGCAGCTACTTCTACCAGGAAGAACCCGATCCGCAGGTCAACCTCAACGTCAGCATCGACACCACCGTCACCACCGACGACGCCACCGTCGACCATGGCGTCCTGATGGGCGAGGGCGACGGTACCGTCAACCTGCTCAGCACGGGCTACATGTGCGCCAAGGGCTGGCACATCAAACGCTACAATCCCGCCGGTGTCCAGATCAAGGTGTTTGAAATGCCGCATGAACCGGACCGCTTCTCGGCCAGAGGTGGCCCAAACACTGGTATTCCATTTCCCCTCTTTCTATTTACAGAACAAATCAACCCCTTCAAAATGGCGTAAATCTAATGCTTATAGGCGACCACGTCGACATCCTCGGCCGAGCCTCGCTGAATGACCTGGTCCTCCGCGTGGCAGGCGGCAAGGGCGACCAAATCGAGGAGACCTTCTTCTCGAATATCCGCGAGTATGCGGAGCGTGTACAGATTTTTGATGATGAATGGTGTGTTCTATCTACTTCTGCCTTGGACCACCCCCCCCCCCCCCTTTTTTTTTTCCTACTTGTGCTAACCTATTGCTTAGATTATGTATGACCAACTCGACTATATAGGCAGGCGTAGAAGACCATCTTAGATTCAATGATAGAGGCTATTGGTTTAAAACTATTCGGGAATACTACACATCTCCTCTTAAACTTGGGCTAGAACGTCCACTGTTCACTCTCCCTCGAGTACAATTCATGTCTAAGATCATATTCCTAAAGTACAGTCAAGTACGGTCCAGTACAGTCTATCGGATAGATTCATAATGTACAGTTCATTAATCATATGCTATCAACATTACTATTAATAGTGTTATGGATAATCAGGGGCATGTACAAGGCATGACCACCTTCCAAAACAGTTGAGGGGGCTGGAAGTACACGTCCAAGAGAAGAACAAACCGGCGTGTAACATCCGGCATCACGGAGTGGGCGGAAGCAGCAACCACACACACAATATGACTACCTTACTCTGGATCCGGATGAGTGAAAACCGAATCCTTTTTCTCTTTCTCTCTCGCAGGTCGCAAAAAAGGCCGAGAGCGTCTCCGTGTCAGGTGCTCTGGCTTCTTGGTTCCTTTGGTTGTCGTTCGTTTCCAAGTCGTCACATCAACGGGATAGCACGAGCGATTGGGTGCTTGTTTTTTTTTTTCTTTTTGTGGTCGAGGCAAATGCTGTGAAGTAGACGGCATGCCTCGGTCGAAAGTGGAACAATGGTATGCTTCTCATGTTCCGAGTAACCAAACGAAGGTATGTATGTTCGTGTCGGGATCACTAGAACACGGGGTTCAAAAAGTAGTGATCCCATCTATATGCAAAGAAAATCGTAAATAGAAAAAATCTAATTCACCACGAATGCAGTGAAATCCAAGACGCCTGGGAACTTTTGTTGGGATCCCGTTCCGTTTCTCCAACTCCCAGGCGTCGAGAAGAAAAGTGAGCGATCGACATGAATTCAAAAAAGGTCGCAATGAGCCTGAAGTGAATAAGGCAAAAAAAGGGTGGCTCAGAGGATCAAAAAATGGTAGCGAAAGACAATGGTCGAATCGAATTGAATTGTTGTACAAGCGAATGTCTCCAACGATGGGACGGAAGTTCTTAAGTCCACACCGGTATTAGCATTATGAACGGAGAGCTGAAAGGTCGATGACTTAGAGACGAATTATGGTAAACCCGGTCGTGTGCAGTATCGTATGCATGTACAGTCGAAAGAGAAAGAATCCGCTCGGTAATACCAAACGGAAGAGGGGGAAAGCTCATTAGAAAAAATTATGTCGAATCCTGCCCAATGCAATCAAGGTCCGAAACGTCATGAACACATTAAAAGCCGTTTTTTTTTCTGGCTGGATGGATGCTGAAAGAAAAGTTGGTCGAAAACAAAGAAAAATAGAAAAAAAAAGGGGGGGGGGGGGGTTGAATCAACCTGACTTATATAGTCAAGTCGAATCGATTATTGTCGCCCGGACTCGAGATCTGAGTTGGATGTCAAGGTCTCGCCTTCCCACGTGTAGTGATCGTCCACGGGGCTTAACGACCCCGAGGATACAGATGAGGAGGAGCCCATAGCCCACTCGTCGTTGTCGAGCTGGAGGTCACCATCCAGACTGGCGAGGTCATAGCCGAAATCGGTGTGAGAATCGCCCACTTCCACGTAGTCGTAATCCCAGCGGAACATCTTATCCATTTGGACGCGAGGCAAGAAACGGGTCTGGGCAAAGTAGAATGAGACGGCGGCGATCAGGCCACCGCTGACCAGATCGACTGCGTAATGGTGGGACAGGTACATGGTGGCCCACCACATCCAGAGGGTGTAGATGACGAAGAGAGGCTTGAGGCGGGGGAACACATGGCTCATGAAGAGGGCAGCGAGGGTCGAGTCGGCGGCGTGGAGGGAAGGGAAGGCGCCAAAGACGACAGGCGACTGGCGGAAGTTGGAAGTGTACAAGTCAATGCCGAGCAGCGCGTCAATGCGCGCGAGTCCGGCGGGGTTCCCCTGCATCGAGTAGTCGGCGGGGGCCAGACCGTAGAGATTCTCGTACCACGGGGGCGAGCATGGGAAGAAGAGCTGGATGGTGACGGCAAACATGCTCATGTATCCAAACGTGCGAGCAAACAGAGGCACGGTTCCCGGGGGACCGAAGATGAACATGATGAGCGAGACGACAAAGGGGGCGCCGTAGTGACACAGGCCGTAAGGGATCCAGGCCAGCACGTCAAGAACGACATTCTGATGGGCGGACAAGATGTTGCTGATATTAGCTCCGTAGAGGATGTTTTCCAGAGCCGGAAGCACGCGGACCCAGATAGCTGGACGCCATTCGCTAGGGATAAACCTAAAAGAGTGAGGATGAAGGTGAGTATGAATTCGGTGCGGTCGGAACAGAGCAGCGCATTTAACACTTACTGGCAGGCGTAGAAGAAAAGCAGCCACCCGGCGATGGGAAGAAAAGGGAGGAAGAACTGGCGGGTGATGGGCAGCAGCAGGGAGAAGATGAGCAGGGTGAAGATGCCCGTCTTGGTCAAAGGTTCAGCGGATTCGATGATGGTGAGGGAGAAGATGCCGACGATCAGCAAGAGAAGGTATTGGAAGTCGTAGAGAGTCCAGCGATGACCTTGGAGCGACCGCAGCGTGTCCATGGGTGAGAAGGAGGTTTGTAGGGACGCGATCGAGGACGAAGGGGACACCCGGCTGCGCAACTTGGATCGAAGCTTCCGTCGCATCCGGTGAGGCACCAGCAGCTGGATCGAGCGCCATGGAACTTGTAGCTGGAGCTTCCCAAATTGGCCTTGCGACCGGTCCTTCCACGAGGGAAGTGAAGCGTTCATCTTGTGGTCTGACAATGCGATTGACACGAGAAGACAAGACAAGGATAAGGGGGGGGGGTGCGGGTTGAGCGGACTAAAGGAGGAGGGTGGGGAGGACGAGGGATGGAAGGAAGGATTCGTTGAGGTTGATTATGTCCAAGTGGAGGAAGATCGTGACTATTATCTCCGTGGCACCCGTCAAAATGGTATGAGAGGAGCGAAAGAAGGGGCTGCTTCCAAACTTCCAACACGCGGCCTTCCAGTCTCCGGTCGATCTTAAGGGGGTCACGTTGCGAGGACGAGGGCCTGACGCAAGGTGGACAGCAAGGGCGAAGGAGAAGCGAGTCGCAACAGCGGCAGAGCGACAAGCCGGGAGGACGGAGTGACGACCGCGGAGGGAGGAGAGGCGACGGGAAGAAAAGATGGGAGAGCGAGGAAACAGGAAACGAGGAAGAAAGCGTGGATATGAGGATTTTGGCTGCTGGTGAGCAGACGCCCAAAGGAGTCGATGGGGCGGAGAGCGACGGGAACCAGCCACGGGTGCTGTATTGGTATTACGAGTACGAGTCTGATGTCATCACTCACAGCACTGTGTACAGGTACTACTAGTTAACCTTAGGTACATAAGGTAACTAGTAGGTAGTAGTAGTAGTACTGCCCCTATGGCAGGTACCGGTATTACCGAATACGACTGCGGATGGGGCGGAACACATAGGTTGGTTCTATGTAGGTCCTTAGTAACAGTATTATGAACGGCGTATGAGCATTACCGGGGCCGAAACGGCATAACGGTTCCTCCGGCTTTCCGAGGGCGACTCGTGCAAATTTTCAGGCGCTGAGGCCTGGATCTTCCCGTTTGGGGTCAAGCGTCTGGATTTTCCTCGATAGTGGGCCCACCGCAGGCCTTGAGGACCAACAGGAAGCCGTGGATCTCCAGTGCTAATTTCGCTTAGTGTCCTGTCCGTAACCCGAATTGTCTCTCGTATTGTCTCTCGTCTAGTAACTTGTACTGCCATATTACTCCGTATTCCGTACAGAGTCCTCCGTACTCGTATGAACTCGGCAAGCTGTCCCAGTCCCTCCCTCTCCTGACTCTCGAGGTCCATTCCGAACGATGGATACTCGGATCGTATACCAGAAGAGGAGAACGATAGAGTTTGATGATCTCGACCAGACTCGTGGGTGGGATGCAAGGGAACGAACACACGACCCTGATCAGGTGGGAGTAATTACAGCCTTCAGCCTTCAGCCTTCAGTACTTGCTGAATGCATGCCTACGTGGCTGTGTTTACTGGATTAGTGAACAAAGTCTAAGTAGGAATTAGTTAACTGTATCAACAACTACTTCATAGATGAAGCTGTATGTAATTAACTCTGTAGTAAGTTATACCTAAATCTACTACATAGGTACTCGTATCAGATATCCCAGCCTCCTGATTCAAGGCAGCAGGAATATCAGTAAGCGCTACATTTACCTGGTGAAGGACTAGTCTTCACAAGAACTACATAAATAGGTACTGCCAGGTACTTAGTGCTCACGGCTCAGCCTCTGACAGGACCCAGTAAGAGACAGCAGCCTGGCCAAGACTGTGTGATTAGCTCACTGTAATCAAACCTGGTACTGGCCTGGCCTATCCACGTTGAAACCTTGGCCATCGTGCGACATGCTGGCGCGACCGTTCTTGTTGGCTGTATTATACGCTGTAATTTACGGGTTATTAGCAACCTTGGAAGGGTCCTCCCTGTACTCCGTACTCCGTACTTGGTACTCTATACGTATACGCTGTACGACTGAAGAGTGAGACTGCTATCAAATATGAGACGTCAAATAAGATTACTCTGATACTAATAAACAATGTTTAAAATGATGATAGTCAGTCAGCAAGTACTCCTACCTAGGAGGCTGTGTTTTTCAAGTTATACCTCTGCACAGTCAAACTATTCCATGACTAATAGGAGCCTGATGCTTACTCTTGGGAAGTTGTTGCCTACCTAAGTTATTACCTATGTAGCTGTCTTATGCAGATTCATACTGATGTCATCATACTGATGACTATTATAGCTGAAAGATATTCCTAAATATCGTAAATTAGATAACATAATTATATTAACCCCAAGGATCAACTAGATCAGTGGTAGTACTTGATAGAATGACTATATTGAGTGCCTGATGCCTGATGCCTTGATGCCTTATGTCTTGATGTCTTGATAACAAAATAGTAACTATAGTACTCCTCTCTCTAATATCTCTAATAGACTACTGCTGCTGAAAATACTGCTATCACTTCTACTCTATTCAGTCCTTATAATCATACCACAAAAAATATACTAGGCCAGTACTGTCCAGAACATAATGTCCTGGCTAGTTCCTCCATCGAAACCGCCTCCGACCTGCACCATCTGAGACTAGAGCTACCCATATGTAGTACTACATAGTACATAGCTGGACAGCGCAGCAAATACCCGAGGGAGCAAAAACACCATCCCGCCTGGCATGTATGCGGGGGTCACCATTGGCTTTTCTCGTCCTCTAAGAGTAATGGGGGCTGCAGACTAGTGATAAGTGAATGTCAATCCTAAATATTTGAAACGTATCTTCCATTTAGCATACTGTCATAGCATATGTGAGGCATAAGAAGAGGAAGAAGAAGAAAACACAGTGATATGTACATCATCCGAGCCGGTCTCGGTATAACCATCCATCCTAAACGCCCCCTTTTCCCATTAGAAAACCAAGAGTAAAATGTGCAAGAGTTCAGGAAGCAAAACCAAGCAAGAAAAAAAAAATTAGGGCAGCACGTGAGAGGGGATCATTAAGGGTGCTCGCGATTGTGGTCGTCCGGTCCGCCCGGCCCGGAATGTGCCAGGACTTGGAATGCTTTGACGAGGGCCATTGCCGAGCCGGCAGCGACCCCCCCGACGAGAACCATTTGGAAGCCGCCGATGACGCCGCGACGGATGTTTTGTGCGCCGCGCCAGCCACTGACGAAGCATGTCTTGGTGTAGCCGAAGAGGAAGAGGGCAAAGGCCATGACGGCAATGGACCACTGCAGGGCAACAAAGGCGCCGTGGGGCCCGACGAAGAAGTAAGGGAGCAGCGGGATGAAGCCGCCGATGAAGTAGCCCATGGCGATGGTGAGGGCGCAGACGAGGGCGCGCGAAGCTGCGGGCTCCTCGAGGGTGTGGTGGAAGTTCATCAGGAAGGAGGGCAGCTCGGGAGAGGAGGCCATGTGCATCGTCAGCTGGCTGACCAGCTCCTCGGGAAGATCGTAGGGTGTGAAGATGTCGGCGATGGTGTCCACCACGGAGGCCGGGTCAATCAGGATCTGTTCCTTTGTATCCTTCAGCGTAGCCCTGTATGATTCCCTAAAAAAAAGAAAACAGTTAGTATTCGGTGAAGCAATTATGCTCAGCATAAGAATCACTGGTTATATGCTTACTCTTCACTCTTCGCACCCAGATATCCGCCCAACCCCATAGAGATGGCACCGGCAATGAGCTCGGCCATACCGCCAAAGACGACCACTCTGGTGTCGCCCAGGGCAGACAGGCCTGCAGTCAGGGCGAAGGGCACCGTCAACCCGTCGGACAGACCGATGATGGCATCGGACACTGTACGCCCGTCGACGATGCGGAAGCTCTTCTTGTCGGCGTCCTGTTTACGCAGACGAGCAGCGGACAGGCCGTCAGCCAGCTCGACGTCGGAACCCTCGCGCAGCGGGCGAGCAAAATCCTTCTCCATGTCCGACGAGTCTCTGTCCGAGACAGGAGAGTAGCTGGCGAGCAAGCTCTTGATAGACGAGATGGACATCTTTGCTATTATTCAAGTGTTGATGCTCCTTTCTTCTGTGCTTCAGATTGACACAAGAGACACAAGAGACACAAGAGACACAAGAGAAAGAACGGGTCACACAAACGGGTAGGAGGAGCGACCACACCGCGTGATATAAAGGCATGCCATTGCCCGCCCTTGCAGCAAATGAACCGCGCGCTGATTACTGGCATTTCCTCCGCTGGCTCATGTTGCACGGAGCTCCGGACGGCGAATTTCTGGAATCCTGCACTGAGCCCACTTTGCAGCCATTGGGAGCCGGTGGGTGCCCTCGTGCGCTGAGGACGTATTCGCAATGTTCGTTATCGAGCCTATGGAGAGCAGCGAGCAGAGAACGTGAAGGACCGGCAGTTCAACATGCCAGGCACGTGGGCGTCTTGATTCGTGGAGGGCGGCTGAGAGGTGGGGCGGGGAAAGCTTGGTCCTGGTCCCCACAGCCAATCAGCCATCATGTTTTATAAGCGGAGGTTGCCTGGTCACGATACCAATCCTGACTCTGACATATACTTAGGTACCTAGGTACCTGGTAGGTAGGTACCAAGGTAGGTAGTTACCTACTTAGATAAATGTGTAGGGTGAGTAGTAGAGACTAACAGTAGAGGTATTTACATTTTCCTCTATTAGTATTATTAGTTGGGTAGAAAATAATTGTGCTAGGAAATAATTATTGTAGGAAATAATTGCGGTAGTGCTGCCAAGAATGTACTACATTGTAGATAGTACCCATAGCATTACTACATGTAGTATAGAAAAAGTAAATAAGAAAAAGGATTCGCTTAGGCATACTACATAGTACCTACCTCTTATCTGTCAACTAATCTATCCTATCCCAGTTAGCAAGCTCGTTACTCCTCACACGGGATCTCATTCACTGCTCTGTATGGATGGCTTCCAACCTTCCAACCTTCTAGACTAGGCCTCTTCTCAACACGGAATAGCCTCCCACCTGGTCCAAGGCTGATCTTTGCTCTTCCCATCCACGTACTCCATCCCCCCAGCTAAAAGACGCACTAATCCCGACCATTATCACCAACACCACCACGTGCTTCCAGTCCGCCATGGGGATGGAACCGGTTGACTCGGTTCTCTTCTTCACTATCCACCGTTCTCCCCATCAGCCGAGCGAGATGATGGAGTCAGCCCCGTCTGATTGCGATGGAGGAGTCGTCATTCTTGCTATAGACGCTAGGTAGACCTGCAGAAAGGCCCACCACAGCTAATCTATCGTGGCGTGACCTTGCTGAGGTTGTTTGCTCATAAATAATGTCTCCCGACAGCTTTTTTTTCTTTTTTTTTTCTTGCAGGACTGCTCGTTGCCTTGCTGCTCTTTGTAACCTTCTGACAGCAGAGTATTGCCCGAGACAATGAAGTCGACTCTTGCCGTGGTAGCTGTTTCCGCCCTGGCGACGGTGAGCTCTGCGCTCCCGCACAGGCGCAACCAAGATACCTGGACCCAGCTGCGGTCGAACGTGAGTTTTGCTTCACCTTATCCTCCTCGGGGTCAGATCAATTGGAAGCAGGCTGATGGTTCAGATCAAACATGTCGTCTACCTGATGATGGAGAATCACTCGTTCGACAACATCGCCGGTTACTGGGACTTCCATCCCGACATTGACAACCTGCGCAACCGCACCTTCTGCAACGAGTACACCAACTCTAACTGGACCGTGTGGAATGAGCCGATCGACATCTGTGCGGCCCCGTACGAGCTGGAGGTCCCAACGAACGACCCGGACCACGATTTTGCGGGAACCACGTATCAGATCTACCGCAAGTGGAACGCCACCAATGACGATGTCCCCAACATGGGTGGCTTCATCGAGCGCCAGTCCGAACTGTATAGCGCCACTCCCGGTGATTCTGCCTATATCATCAAGGCGTACAGCGAGAAGAAGACCGCCGTCTTGGCCGAAGTCGCCAAGAACTTTGCCTTCTGGGATACCTATGTACGTTGGAAACCCCTTCACCCTCCTTTCTGCCTTTTTTTCTAACCCCTGTCTTCGATTTCAGTTTGCTGAGCATCCCGGTCCCACCAACCCCAACCGCCAGTTCGCGACGTCCGGGTCGACCTGCGGTTTCGTCGATGACACCACCCAGGCTGCTGGCTTCTGGAACAATGTGACCGGCACCACCTGCGCCGTGTCGATCTTCGAGTCTCTGAGCCAGAGCAACATCTCGTGGAAGAACGTAAGTAGACAGACCGAACAGCCACGATAGTCACTGTTACAATTTATTGACATTGAAAAAAAAACATTAGTACTACGAGACCGACATCGTCGATGCGTTCAACTACAAGGTGAGACAACCCAGGTGGCCCAGACAGTTCAACTTGTCAGGCATTGAAAGTTTTCAAATGAGACATGCAGACAATGTGGCTAACGCTGTCAACAGTGGGTGCAAGACAACGCCATGGACAAGCTGGCCCACTCCAGCGAGTTCTACCGCGATCTCGAGGAGGGCACGCTGCCTGCCTTCTCCTACTACAACCCGGAGTGCTGCACCATCGACTCGATGCACCCGGAGAGCAACATGGCCGCGGGCGAGTCGCTGATCAAGCACATGTACGACGCGATCCGCAGGTCGCAGTACTGGGACAACGTGTATGTCTGAACATCTGAGTGATTATGCCGTTGTATACTGTATAGCTACTGACCTTTTTTTCTTTTCTCTAGTCTGTTCATCGTCAACTTTGACGAGCACGGTGGATACGCCGACCACGTGCCTCCCCCGGTCAATGTTCCCCAGCCCCAGGACAACATCACCTTCACCGGCACGTCCGACGGCCACCATGTGACGTACGACTACACCCGTCTGGGAATCCGGGTGCCGGCCTTCCTGATCTCGCCGTGGGTCAGCCCCAACACTCTGATCCACGACGAGGGGACCATGTACGCGCCCAACTCGGCGTACACGCACACCTCGTTCCTGCACTTTCTGCAGGAGCTGTGGGACCTCAAGGGCCTCAACAACCGTGTGCAGTGGGCCAAGACCTTCGAGTACGTCTTCAACAGCGAGCCGCGCACCGATGCGCCCGAGACCCTCTCCAAGCCCGTCTGGTACGGCGGCGGCGACCAGCCGGAGCCCGAGGTCTTCTACAAGCTGAACCAGGACTACCCTTACTACGCTGATATGTAATATGATCTATGATCTATGATATGATCTGATAAGATCTGATGTGATCTGATGCGATCCGATATGATCATGATATGATCTTGTAATGATAATGGAGGATGAATTCTTGACAGGGTATTTCTAATCTTAATAGTTTTCGCAGGCCTAGCTCGAAAACCACCTAACTAGTTAGCAACTGTCTAATAAGAAGACTTTGAAACAAGATGTATAAATAAGACGTACCCCCTTCTCTTCTCCGGCTCGCCAGACATATTCCACAGCCGACTCTTATAATTCGGGAACGAGGTATGATTCCACATATTAACCAGAACACTAAACAGTCAGTAATGAAAACCACAAACTATACAGGGGGGGGGGGGGGGGGGGGGGGGGGTAGGGGGGGTAATAAGGAAACCTTTGACTCTTATCCTTGTATTGCTCATCATTCACCTCCTTGTATTCGACCTTCATCCCCTCCCTGCTCAGCGAGACGTGGTGTTTCGTCTCCATCTTGGCGCGGGTCTTGTTCGAAACATCGCGCACAATGCAGTAGGTTATGTAGCCGATTGTCGCGAGCACGGCGATGACAACCGTCAGGGCGGCGAGGGAGAGGAGCCGGGGGTTTGCCATGGTTGTACTTTACAGAGTCTGTAGTATGTAGTATTCTGTAGTATGCAGTATTCTGTAGTATTGTGTGAAGAGTAGAGGCTGAGCAGGGATTAGAGATCAGAATTTGGTGTGGGGTGCTGATGACGTGGGCGTTGATCGGAGTACAGGTACAGAGCACAGAGTACTATTATGGTGTACTAGGTAGTTAGGTACTCTATTGTATGCAAGATAGAGATAGTATTCATAAACAGAGAACAGATTGTAAATATTTAGTACAAGAGGGGACGAGAGAAGAAGGGAATAATTATAGTCATGCCAAGTACTTGAGATCACATGGATACACTGCCACTATTATGCAGCAATCTGCATAGTAATCACTGTGGCTGTACTGTGGCTCGGTAATTAGCAGTCATTTACAGAGTACTCTGTACCTAACTAGTTATATGATACCTAAGGTGAGGTAGGTAGTAAAGGAGATACTAATTATAGATACTTACTTAGAATGCTTTCACCACCACTGCATGACTCGTGCTTATTAGCGAGTCAGATGAAATCAAGTAAGGCCGTTCCAGACATTCCAGACATTGACAACCTGTACTCCAACTCTATACTACCTACCATCTGTTCATGCGTCATGATGAACACATCAACTTTATTTAATACCTCCCTCTCTTATAGCCAGGGTCAGCTAATCAATTATCCTACATTATAACCATAATCATAAAATTATAATTTAATTATAATCTAATCTCGACGGTCATGTCTGGCATCCCTCTCCCCATCCTCCCCATCTGCTTCCAGTGCGGTACAGACCAGAATCCCTGCCACTGCAAGGTTGTCGGACCGACCCTCGGGTTTCTCACCACGGTCGTTGCAGCGGTACGTAAATCTTCCTGATTCCATCCGTTGCATTATCTCTGACTGGATAGATTGTTTGTTGGCCTGCTTCCCTTTTCTGCGGGTGCTGTATGACCAAAACGGGGAATGAGTGAGTTCTTTTCCTGCAGCCAAGTTACGGAGTATGGGTATCTAACAGGATAGTATGCTGGGATATCCAGTTAAGCTTAATGGGATAGTCAGCAATGCGATTCCAATTTAATAGTTTAATAGTACAAAGGACGCCAAGGATATATAATGAGAATAATTCAATAGCATTGATTAGTAGTGCAAGCGGGCGTAACAGGTATCCAAGTTTCATAACATCAAAACGCATCAGATGTAAAAAGAAAACATCCTATTTAAACTTCTCCTTCAGTTTCTGGAAGAAACTCAACCGGTGCTTCTTCTTCGTCTCCTTGGAGCTCGTCCCCGTCCCCGCCTCCGCAGTGCTTTGCTGCTTCTTCCCCGGTACGGCAGTAGACACTTCGCTGGTCGGGGCAGAGGCGACCCCTGACGTGACTGTAGGCCCTGTCGTGGTACCGCCAGGGACAGGCGTCGTGGACCGAGGTGACAGCTGTCGCGACTCAGCCTGTTGGCCGGCCGCAGTTGGGGCGGGTGCCGTCTCAGTCGCCACCGCAGTCGCCGTCGGTGCAGGTTGCCCTACGGCTTCACTGGGGCTGACCTTGCTGCGCAGTTCCTCCTCGGTGGCCGTCTTCTCCCTCACGGCTTCTTGATTTGCGGCGGCTTCTGGGGATCGGTGCGCCTCCGCGATCGAGTCCTGAACCACGGCAGGGACCGCGCTCACGGGAGCCTCGCCCCCTGCACCACCCGTCTTGGCGAGCAGCTCCTGCTCCACCTCCTTCTTCTCGCTGACCGCCTCATAGCTTGCAGCAGCTTCCGCCGGTACGTGTGCCTCGACCATTGAGTTCTTCACCACGGCAGGGACCTCGCTCACGGGAGCCTCGCCCTCTGCACCGCCCGTCTTGGCGAGCAGCTCCTGCTCCACCTCCTTCTTCTCGCTGACCGCCTCATGGCTTGCGGCAGCTTCGGCCGGTTCGTGTGCTTCGGCCATTGAGTTCTTCACCACGGCGGGGACCTCGCTCACGGGGGCCTCGCCCTCCGCTTGTCGCCGAGACTCCAGGGGCACTGCGGCCGCGAGGACGGCCGTCGTTGAGGTGGGAGCTGCAGACTGGATGGTGACGCCTGGATCCGTCATATTCTCCGTGTTGCCCCCAATCGGTAGGCTCGACTCGGGAATCATGTTCTTGGACACTGGGGGAACCGCAAACGCACTACCATTCTCATCGGTCTGGCTCGCGAGCGGGGCGGCGCCGGCGGCAAAGGGCGCACTGGCATCCTGTTCATAGGCGGCTTTGTCGGTCCGCACGGTCGATTGCACGGTGTTTGATGTGATGTTGCCGGCCGCGGGGACACTTTCGCCGGGGGTTAGCCGGATCGGATTCCCAATTCCGTTCGTTGCTGGGAGCGGGTTCACCGAGAACGTCTCGGCCTCTTTAGCGGGAGTCTCGGGAAACGTCCCTGGGAGTCCCTCGTTCTGTACCAGAGGCACGTTCTTGGCGAGCTCGGCCGTGGTCGACCCCGGGGCGACAGAGGATAACGTGTGAGCGCCGTCCTCGGCGGCGGTGATGTTCTTCTCCGATTCTTTGGGCACGGCGGCCGCAAGAGCAGCAGTTGTCGAGCCAGGAGCTACGCCAGACATGACTGCTGCCTGGGGAGTGTATTTTTTGATGTCTTTGGGAAATAGAACGTTGTTGATGTTGTTGTGGCCGTCGTCTTCCTCGTACGCGTGACTATCTGTAGTCCAGATACCGTCAACGACAAACTGTTGATAACAGAAAAACAGGGAGGAAGGAACACGTTAGCCACTCTGGAACCTTGAATGCAATTTATACTTCTGAGCAAGGAGGGGTAAAAACGACACGAGCAGTTGCCTGGACACCTGTGAAGCGGCTTTGTCCCGAGGCGGTCAGATGACGTCAGTGGACGCACAAAGCTCGGCGTCATTGAGCAGCATGTTGCTCACACCATGCCAAGGTGCTTTTGCGCAAAAGAAAAAAAAAATCATCATCTACCTTGTATTGAACCTCCTGGTCTGCGGCTGGCAGGGCCACCTCTTTCTCAAAGACATCGCCCTTCTTCTCCAGCTTGACCGTCTTTCCCCAGTCATCGAACGTGCCTGTGACGAAAACCTCGGTCGCAGCGTGCGGCCTAGAGAACCACCGTCAGCGACTTCTGAGCATTAAATTATCCCGGGTAGGTAGTAATGAATTGTAGTCCAATCTCAATGGATCGCCTCGTCGTCTGTGCGAGATCTGCACCGGGGCGGGCGGGGACCGACTCACCATCGAAACACGTAGGTTCCCATTTCTCGCGACCCTAACGTTTGCAATTCCTCGTTGAACTCAGAGTTTCGAACGTGTGAGAGAAATTGAAGAGTCGAAGCAGCTGGCGAACAGGTATAGATAAGGCGTCAGCAGCCAAACTGCACTGCACTGCAGGCTGTTCCTGGCAGGGTTGGATCCGGGAAGCTGCCCAAGCGGGGCGGGGGTGTAGTTGCGGTGTAAAAGCCCGGGCTGTCGATTATTATTATTGGCCTGACGAACTCCTATCACAGGAAGGGCGCTTACGCCGAGCTTGAAGGACAGAGCGAGACAGAGCAAGACAGAGCAAGACAGAGCGAGACGGTTAGAGCAGGCAATAATAAGAACATCCCAAGCTGTCTCAGCTGAAGGAAAGAAGCGCCGGGACCGAAGACGCTTGGGCCACCGGCTGTAATGCTACGTAGCTGGCCTCAGGCAACTGCTACATGATATCAGGAGCTGGCCTTAAGAGTGACGGTATTAATATTATCATGTCTCATTTACGGAGGAACTGCTACAGCTACATACAGTATTTGCTAATTTACCAAGCCTATATACTCTTTATATACCTCCTGCCTGGTATGAATCTATGCTATTGAGTCGAGCGATGGTCTCCAGTCCGTCTAATTATTGAGTTATCCACTTGCTTCAGTCAATACCAAGGCATAGTTAGTCATACGACTTAAAAGTGCTATTTTCTGGATTTCTAAACTAATTATCATTCTATCTGTCTGAAAACGGAGTAGGAAATACTACATACCTACGGTGTATGAGCAGCTCAAGTGTTGTCGTCATGGCTGTGGCAAAAGCCCACAAGCCCGGAACTCCTCGTCCGCCCTTCTAGAAAGCAGATGGAAGCCGTACAAGAAAGACAGTCGAAGCTTCCACGCGTCGCTCTAGCAGTAGCCCGTGCTTATTCCAGGGTATTCTCTGGAGAAACGACTCCATCTCCTGTGGGAGGAAATTGTTTCTGGTGATACAAAACGGCCCAGTTGCTGTCCAAGCGATGGCGATGACGTCTTCTGCTTTGGAGGGATCGTATGCGTACGAGAGACTTTTCTAGACCAGTAGGAAGTCTATCGAGGGGCTTAGATCATAGAAAAATTACTCTTCCAATGGTAAATCCAATCTAAATCCAAGAAATCAATTCCGTCGTGCTCTCTCTCCCTCTCTCTCTCTGTCTCTCTCTCTGAAGCTCAGACCATCCAAAGCTTCTCCTGTTCACCTCCTCCTCCTCCTCCCCCCGCCTTTCCCCCCTCTCTTGCACCAGAACCAACAGAAGCATTCTCGCAAGCATTCTCTTGGCTTTGCGCTCGAACTCTCTCTCCCAACCACCAGTCTTCTTTTCCTCTTCGTGGTGATCTCTTTTCCGGCTATCGCTGAAAAATTAAAATACCGACAAGTTTGCTTGCTACCCCTCCCACACACCATCGTCAGGCCACGAAACACCGCCTACCACACCTCTCCCCGGCCGATCCCGCGAGAGAGACTGACTCTACCGGCGTGAAAGAAGCGACAGGACGCCTCCAAGACGTATGGATCCCTTCTTCTGAGACGCTGCCTGCTTTTGCATGCCCCAATTAGCCTCGTTTTCCCGTTACCCACCTCGGCCGGGAGGGTGTTCCCCTCCCCGCCCAAGACTCCCTTTCATCGCTTGCTGATCTGCCATTTTTCCATCCTCCTGGGTCTGGCTGCATACATAAATGTCCACTGTTGGGCGTTTCCCCTCTTTCTGTCCTCCAGTCTGATGCATCATCCTCATCATCTGCCGCTGCTCGCCCGTTTCTCTGACTCCTGTCTGCAGTCCGTTGTCCACCCCGCCCAGCCTTCCAGCTCGACCTTTGCTGGCTTTCTTCCCTACGGCCGGAGCGCCAGCCTCTCCGGCCCCAACGACCACGACGACGACACCATGGCCGACAACAGTAACAGTTCCTTCCCGGGTACCAACCCGTTTCTGCACACCGACTTTTCCACCAGCATAAAGGGCGATGCCCACAGCTCGCCCTTCCAGAAAATTGAGGAGGAGGATGAGTTCGAGGTGACGTCACCCACCGATGCCACTTTCAAGAGGTCGAATGCCGGTGATAATAGCACCGGCGGCGGCGTCTTCTTCAAAGGTGATGCCTTTGGTGGCGGTAGTGGTGGTGGTGGTGGTGGTGGTGGGAACGGTAATCACTCGTTGTTCAGTCGGAGTCCCTTTGACCAAAGCCCCAACGAAGGCAGCCCGTCGGAGCCTTCCCGTCCCACGGGGGCGGCCGCCGGCCAAGGGTTTCCAAACAATTACGCTCTAGGCCGTCGTACCTCGGTGTCTGCGGAATCACTGAATCCGACATCCGCCGGCTCGGACAGCTGGACGCCGCCCTTCCACGTCAAGAGCGAGGAGCAGCTGTCGCGCCTGAAGACGGCTGTCAGCAGCAACTTCCTGTTTGCCCACCTGGATGACGAGCAGTTCAAGACGGTGCTGGACGCGCTGGTCGAGAAGCCCATCCCTGCCAAGGACATCAAGGTCATCACGCAGGGCGACGCGGGTGATTTCTTCTACATTGTCGAGGATGGCCATTTTGATATCTACATCCACCCGTCGGGCGCCGCGCAACCCGGCCCCGACGGCCTGGGCAACAAAGTCAGCACGATCGCCCCCGGCGGCTCGTTCGGCGAGCTGGCGCTGATGTACAACGCCCCGCGCGCGGCAACGGTCATCTCGGTCGATCCCAAGAGCACGCTGTGGGCTCTCGACCGGGTCACCTTCCGGCGGATTCTCATGGACTCGGCCTTCCAGCGACGCCGCATGTACGAGGCCTTCCTGGAGGAGGTGCCTCTGCTGGCCAGTCTGAAACCCTACGAGCGCTCCAAGATCGCCGACGCCCTTGACACAATCAAGTTTGCCGCGGGAGCCACGATTATTACCGAGGGCGACCCGGGCGACGCGTTCTACCTGCTGGAGGCTGGCGAGGCTGACGCCGTCAAGGAAGGGGTCGACCGCCCCGTCAAATCGTACCGCCGCGGCGACTACTTTGGCGAGCTTGCCCTGTTGGACGACAAGCCGCGCGCGGCCAGCATCGTCGCCAAAACGGAGGTGAAAGTCGCCCGGCTGGGACGCGACGGCTTCAAACGTTTACTCGGGCCGGTGGAGGAAATCATGCGACGCGCTGAATATGAGAAACCTGAATAGAGAGGTTCTTGTGTTTTTTCTTCTTCCTCTTCTTCTTCTTCTTCTTTGCAGCAGACACTTGTCTACAGTATATGTAGTTTCTATATAACTAATAGTAAGCTCTACTTGCTATCTAGCAACCACCAAATCACTCCGTAACACCCACTTCTCCCCCTCCCTGACTTCCCCCCCCTCATGCAGCAAACAGCGCTCCCCATGTCGATGCAGCAGAGCAAGGCCCATCTCCGGCACCACAACCACCGGGTCAGGACGCCGGTTCTCCCTGCTCGGATCGGGGTAGAAGACCGTTTCCCCGCCCGTACAAGTCGACAGGTAGATGAGGAGTGTCCAGGTAGTCCGACATGCTTCTCCATGTAGCGTCAGGGTATTTGAGTCGTCATCTAAAGGCTTATTAGGATATGTTCGTCTTTTTTTTAATATATATATATATTTTTTAGGTATACGTACAATGCTGTGCAAAGAACTGACCAGGAGAATATCTGTAGACGCGTATATTGGGGTTCAAGCCTAGAGGTTTCCCCCCCCAAAGACGTGTATCTGCCTCTGAATCATTTGAAAGAATACCGTGCTTGAGGATGGCCCATAGCGAGTCTGCGAAGGAGGGGTCGTCGATCTGGAACCGGTCGTTGACGCGGACGGCGTCGCCCTTTTTCGGTCGGCCGGGGGTTGTCACTAGAGGTAGGGATGAGAGGAAGGACACGTAGTTCTTGCAGAGGCTTGCTGTGAAGAAATTGCGGATGAGATAGATCTGGTCGGCGAGGAGGGGGGTGAGGAGCAGGTCCGAGGAGGGGATGAGGGGGCGTAGAGGAGGCCAGTCGGGTTTCTGGCTGTTTGGTTCTTTGGATTTATCTTTGGGGTTGCCTTTGGGATTGTCTTTTACTTTCCCTTTTGCTTGGTCTTTTGCTTTTGCTTCTTTCTTGCTCTTGGGAGGCATCTTGTGGTTGCAGAAGATTTTATGTTCTGTGTTCTATTTTATATCTGAGTCATTATTCACTACATCTTACTGGCTGTATTCGACTTTCGACTTTCAACTATTCCACCTAGTACTATTCTACTATAAATATAGATAGAATTATATTGAAATGTGCTAAGATTACTTGTGACTCATAGTCCATGAGTCAATATCACTAGTAGAAATCACCAACACCAAGGATAATTAAGCATACCAATATCAACATATCAATACTAACGTACTAACATATCAGCCAGCATGGCCCTTCGTTTCGTCACACTCGACGTCTTCACGAACCAGCCATACTTGGGCAATCCCCTGGGCGTGGTCTTCCTCTCGAAGAACACGCCCATCACGCAAGCCCAGAAACAACGGATTGCAAGGGAATTCAACCTATCCGAAACAATCTTCGTCCACCCTCGCGATGAATCTCCCCCCTGCTCCCGACGCATCGACATCTTCACCACAGACGAGGAACTGCCCTTTGCAGGCCACCCGACCATCGGTGCCACCTCCTGGTTCCTTGAACACTCTCCCGACGCAGACGACCGGGCGAACGTGCACACTCTTCTCACCAAAGCCGGGCCGTTTTCCATTTCGCGCGTCCCGTCCGCGGGGGAGGGCGCCGTCGCTGCAAAGATCGCGCATAACGTGCATATCCACTCAGCGCGATTTGCCCTCTCGGAGCTCCTAAGACTGCACCCATCACTGGAACCGTTCTTCCCCACGACGCCCCCTGCAAACGCTGCAGAGGAGGTTTCCTTCCCCGTCTTCTCCATTGTCAAGGGCATGAGCCAGGTTCTGGTCAGACTTCCCTCTCTGGAAGCCCTGGCAGCCACACAGTGTCCGCACGGCGGAGAAGCCATCCCCTGCACAGCTGCGGCGGAGGGCGGCTACCTCGACGCAGGATGGGAGAGTCAGGGTCTGGTTGTGATTTATTTCTACGTACCGGACGTGTACGACTCTGCCATTGGGAAACCTGTCATTCGGTCGCGCTTGTTTCTGCGGAACTTCGAGGACGCTGCGACGGGGAGCGCAGCGAGCGGGCTCGCAAGTTATCTGGCTCTCACCGAGGCTGCCCCGGGAACATCTCGGTATACCGTCGTCCAGGGAGTGGAGATGGGGAGGAGATCGGAGATCCACGTTGCCATCGAGCTGGGAGAGGATAAACGGCTGGAGAGCGTCGAGCTGGGCGGATGTGCTGTTCAGGTTTCTTCGGGTGAGTTGGTTGTTTAAGAGTGACCATCCATGGATACAGAGTTGCTCGTACAAAGGTTATCTGTCAAGTTACTCCTTGCTGTTAGTAGTCTATATGACAGTATATGCTAGATTATATTGCTGAATGATAAATACTGATGAACCTGGCTCATTATGTCAAATCCTGAGCCGCTCTCAACAACAGCCGGGCTAGCTCAATCGGTAGAGCGTGAGACTCTTATATCTTGCGATCTCAAGGCTGCGGGTTCGACCCCCGCGTTCGGCTTTCTTTTTTCTCTTTTTTTTCTTTTATTTCTTCTCTTCTACTCGTACTAAATTTGCCTTTACTCCTAACCAAGTCTTAACTGCTCACTATTTGACACCGTCGCAGGTACTAGCAGTAGGCCCATTTATTTTTACCTCCTAATTATTCTCTGTACGGAGCACCAATGGTCGCCACAGACTCGTACCAACCAGATCACTTTCAGTGACAGCAATAATACACTCTCAGTAGAACTACTGGTTTCAAAGCATAACTAATCCATCAATCCATCCTAACTATTCACTACCATCTCCCTCCGTATGATTATTTTTTGCAAGTGAATAGGCCCACTACGGCGGCCTGCAGCGACCAACAGCGCCGCCGACAAAATCCATCGAGACCTTCTCCTCACCAGGCGTTGAACCTCACCGCCCTGCTTCAGCCTGCAATCCCCCCCCGGCAAAGCAGCGTGTCATGTCGTCGTCGCAGACCATGACAGCGCCAGCGGTGGGCCATCGACCTCCTGATCCTGGCCCAGACATGTCCATGTACGACTATGGCGGTCTCCAGCCTGACGACGACCGAGCCTCCCCGCGCAGCACCTCCGCAATCCGCGACCTGCATAATTCTGCCTCGGACCTGCCGGCCACGCCCCCCCGCTGTTTTCGCGAGATTCCCGGCATGGTGGACGTTAAGACCGAGCCTAGAGACGATGGGAACATGGGGGCCTCTGGTGGCCGTCGGGACGACGCCTCCAGGCAGTCCGCTGCCAGTGCGTTGCTGGCCCAACTCCTCGGGAACCACCCGTCCGACGACGGGCCGGCAGCCCCTGCAGACGGTTCCGGCATCAAACAACTAGAAGACGCCCCCCATCTACCGGAGAATCCCGCTTCTCTGAACGACGACTGTCTCATGGTTGATCACAGGCCTGCGGCGGAGTGGGAACAACCGGGCGAGCCCCCGAACCAGCATCAACCGACCTCGACCGTGCCTTACCAGGGCGGTCAGGAGGAGGAGAAAAGGATCGAAGACGGCCTGTTTGACGGCCAAAACGACCAGGAAAGTGGAAGCCATGATGTTTCCAAGGCATTGGAGTCCAGTGTTGCCGCCCTCGAGGACCCGTTGATGGCTAAAACAACCCACCTCGAGGACTCGGATATTTTTGCCTCGTTCGACCTCACCCAGGCCCCGCGAGGTTCGCTGGCCGAACTCCAGCAGAATGATCTACTGACAGCGGCGTATCTGTCCCAGAGTGCGGACCTGTCCGCGTTGGGGTATTCCCACGGCCAGCTGGTCCATGATGGAGCCTCGTCGATTGCAGGCTCCGAGCCTCGCATCCAAGCGTTCGCCAAGCTCGAGTTCGACGACGGCCATTTCTACGTCAACACCTACTCCTTCATCCTGGGGCGTGATGTTCGCGCCGCCCGCGCAGCGCATCAGCGCGAGGCACATGCCCGCCAGGCGATCCGCCACTCGCGGGCCATGAGCTCCAGCGGCGGCAACACGTCCCATACCCCGATCCGGGTGAAGCGCGAGGAAAGCGCCCTCATTGGCAGCGTTGTTAGTGACCGTGGGGGTATCATGGGCTTTGATCCCGATGTCCCTACGCACTTACCCCCAAAGCTCAGCCGGAGATCTTCCAACTCATCCTTTGCAGAGGCGCCCTTGCACGCCACTCCGGCTCAACTGCAATCCACTGACTACAATGCCCTCGCTATGCAGTCTCTCAATGATAGCAGCAGGGATGCCAAGCCCGTCGATACGCTGGCCTTGCTTCCGTCTCCCGACGCCTGTCCCACGATTCCCATCCATCCGCCCGCAACGTTGGACGGGAGCGCTGCGGGACATCGGGGCATCTCTCGTAAACACGTCAGGATCTGCTACAACTTCGATAAGAACCTGTTCGAGATGGAGGTTATGGGGCGAAACGGTGCTTTTATTGGTGCTGATTGGTTATCGCCGGGCCAGATCAGACCTCTACACAGTGGTGACTACATCCAGATCGGAGGCGTGCGCATTCGGTTCTTACTCCCAGATGTCCCCATCGGTGAGACGGGTGCCGACCGAATGGAAGAATCATTCTTGGGAGACGAGACCGATGGGAACAACGCTCAATCGTCTGTGGGGGCCGAGTACCAGCAAGGTAGCGGTGCCGAACGTGTTTCACAAGGACCAGAGAACAAGGACTCCCCTTCGTCAAAGCCCAACAACGGCAACAACAACAACAACAAACTCATTTTGAAATCCCCCAGCAAGGAATCTGACCAGACAAACCCGCTGTTGCCATCCATTGAACTCCTGGAGAATAATGGCCAGCAACCGGCGCGTCGTCGGGGACCCGGAAGACCACCAAAGGATGGCATCATGTCGAAACGTGAACGCGCCGAGCTTGCCAGAGAACAGAAACTCGCCGCCAGGCGCGAGGCCAACGGTGGTGTCACTCCGCCACCATCCAACAGGTCCAAGGCTGGTAGACCTCCCAAGGACCCATCGGTTCCTGAAGGAAGCGGGTCGCCGACAAACAAGCCAGAGAAGCGGAAATATACCAAGCGGAAGCGTCCTGATGGCACGTTGATGGATATCCCTCTCCCATCGATGGAAGGCGGCGGTGCCATGCCGATGCCTTTGGACCCCCAATTGCAGCAGCAACAACAACAACAACATCATCAACAACAACATCATCAACAGCAACAGCAACAACTGCACCACCAACAACGGCCGGAGGAGTACATCAAGGCCCCGCCGGTCAAAAAGCGCAAGCCTTCTCGTTCTCCGTCGCCCAACTATCCACCGGAATCCGCTTACACGCCAGAGGACCTTTCCAAACCACCGTATAACTATGCGGTGCTCATCTTCGATGCACTGACCGAAGCGGGGAACCCTATGACACTCAAGCAGATCTACCGTGCCCTGAAGCTCAAATATCCCTATTTCCGCTTCAAGTGTGAGACGGAAGGATGGACGTCCAGTGTCCGGCACAACCTCAACGGGAACAACCATCTGTTCATGCATGCCGAGCGAGACGGCAAAGGATGGTCCTGGCAGCTTCGACCGGGTGCTTCTGTCGAGAAGGAGAAGAAGAGACGGCCGTCGCCGCCTCCATCGACTCAGACATCGGCGGCCACGACCTCGACACCGCACTACATGCCCCAGATGTCGCATCCTTACAACCCTCCCGCTCCCGCCCCTCTAGGCATGCCGCCGGCTCATGTGGCCAGCCAGAACTTCCAGTTTCCCCCGTACATTGTGCCCCCCGCCCCGGCGGCTCCTAACCAGAATCCCACCCCGACACCTGCGCCTCCTCCTGCTCCTCCCGCATCATCTGCACATGCGCATACCCCTACGCCTGCACCTGCACCTCCACAACCCCAACAACAGGCAGTTCCTGTTCCTCCTCCTTCTCTCCCGCCAAATTCCTTCCCTCCTCCGCCTGCATCATTTGCAATCCCCAGCCCGATCCGAAACAACCTTCCTCCAGCCTTTGCGCAAACCATCCCGTCCACCTACACCTCGCCCTATGCTTCGGATCCTCCGCCCCAGCTTGCCCAGTTTCAACAGTCCCAACAGCAACAACAACACCAACCGCTCTCTGCCTTGCCGACGCCGCAGTTCCAGTCTCCCTATGCTCCAACTCCAGCTCTACCGCCGCAACAGCAGCAGCAGCAGCAGCAGCAGTACCCGCCGCATCCATCGCACACCAACGTGAACATGCAGCCTCCTCGCGCTCCCGCACCGGGCCACGGAGGTGGTCCTCCTCCTCCTCCTCCTCCTCCGGCGCTACAGAGCTCTAACCCGGCCAACCCGATGGCCGCGCCAACCGACAGCTCAGACGCGTCCTCGTTCAACGAGCGGGCCAGCAAAGCCATTGATGACTTCGAGGCGGTGCTCATGGAGGACTACGAGGACAAGAACTATATCCGCGAGGTGCTCAAGAGTGCGCGGGCCCGCGTGCTGGGCGACGCCAAAGAGAGCTCGTTTCCGGGCGGGGAGCCGAAAGACGAAGCCGTCATTCTGGATGCGCTGAGGAACCTGATTGGAAGTCTCAAGGAAGGATGATTCTTTTCTTTTTTTCTTCTTTCTTTCCTCTTCTTTCTTCCCCTAACTGTTAGGGCTCCTTGAGGTTTTTATTTCCTCATGATTTAACGAATGGGCATGCTGGAGGTGTCGGGTTGCTTTCTCCCTCACGACGTATCGGACAGTATACGATCTTCTTGAGTTTTCATTCTATGATATCCACTGTTGTTTGATTCTGCGGTTTTCTACGCATTGGGCAGGAACTTGGGCCAGAGTAACTCTTTGTTTACTTTCCTGGCTTTGATTGATATTGACTAGGTTAGTTTTTTTTTTTTTTTCTTAAAAAAAGTAGACAGAATAGACAAGACCGCTATTTAGTATATCTACTGTAGTACTATCATTGTTTTCGGAATACGTACTTGTGTTTGAACTACTCACTTCTACTTGTCCACTACCCCTCCAAAGAATGAGTCAATTGTCTCGGGTAACCGCGGGGCTACCCCCTGTGAATCGACCCGTAGAGGGGTAAAGGGATGAGAGTTCTCCGTAAAACAATCCGGGTAAGTAGAGAGTTGGAGACTTGGAGGGGTAATCTGCAGAAGAGGGGTAGGAGTACGGAGTATAGGTAGTTACCTAGTTACGGAGTAAATGTAAATGCAAATAACCGATGCAAAGCTAGGCTAGGGACCTGCTAAAAGGAGAGCAATGCATATGGGGCTGAAGCAGGCAACAAACTAATGCAATGTACTGGTTTGTAAGCTGGCGGCAAAGAGGACAGGGCAGAGGACCGCATTTCTGCCCAAGGCTGATTCCGGGCTGAGTTGCCTGGGCTGGTGGGCAGTACAGAGTACAGCGTATGGCAGTAGCATCTATGTAGTATGTACATGTTGAATGGTTGTACTCCGTAATCAGGTAGTTGCTATACGGAGTAGTTGCGGAGTAGTAGAAGTAACTGAAGATATCTATAAATTATGTGATAAAAAACTAAGCTATTATAGTCAAAATAGGAACTTTATCTATCATGTTGGCAAGGTGGCCGAGTGGTTATGGCGCTAGTTTTAGGTCTAGACTTTCACTAGTGGGAAACTTCGCGGGTTCGAATCCCGTCCTTGTCATTCTCTTCTTTTTTTTTGCCCATAGTCGGCTCTGCCCTGATTATGCGTATGTAGTACTCTGTATTTAACTAGTTAACTATGTCGTAACTATGTACTGCTTGCTTACATGCTTAATAGAATACTATGACAGTATGTGTATCCACATCCATCTGTCCGATATACTCCGTAAGTCACTCCAGTCTACCAGCCATCTGGTCATCAGTGGAGTCGAGGCAAACCTTCACGAATATTCTGTACAGAAACTAGGTCCTAGGCAACTTAGTAACTAGGCAGTAAGTAACTGGTTACTGTAATTGCTGGTTGGCCTGTCTCCTGGCTGGAGCGCTGTCCCGGCGGGTAAGTAGTAAGTACCAACTAGCTAATAGTTAACTAATAATGGATGTCTTACGAGTCCCTGGGATCCTTTCCCGCCATCAAATTAGGTGGGCACCACATGATATGCTACCTACTACTACCACACACCGCTTCATTAAACAGAATAAGTTTTTTTTTTTTTTTATTTTTTTTTTTCAAACAACTTGATCAATTAAGTGCCTATAACTACGTAGGTAGCTCAAACCTTTTTAGAGTGTATGTACAGTTATGACGTCGGGCCCGGATACGACGTGATGCAAGCGGTTTGCCTGGCATCTGCTTCCTGCAGGGCAGGCGTCAGATGGCTCGACCATAACGAGGTGTAGTAGGCTGGAAGGGATGACGTTGCCTGGGAAGAGTTTGCGAGTGGCAAGTCGTAAGTCGACGTACTCCGTACTATGTAGTAGGTACATGCACTGGTGCAGTCTGGTTCCGACGAGTACTTGGCAAGGTAGATATAGACCATAGATTGGACAAAAGTTATGAGTACATAAATAACTACTAGGTAGGTATAGGTAGTTACCTGGTACGGAGTACGGAGTCCCTTAGGTAACTAACTACTCTGTAACTAATAATAAAAGAATTCCTGTCCGAGTCTCAGCAGACGTGACACGGACCACATTCAGGGGACTAGGCTCAACAATTAATAATAACCGTGACATGGAGAAGATTCAACGGCGTGGTGCCGGTGAGGCGCAGAAGTTTTCAATTTGGTTCCAGCGGCCGGATTTCGGGTTACAATACGGTATTACTAGGTACTACCTGGTAATGATAGAGGTATGTAGTATATTTCAGCTTAAATCGAGGCAGGCCTTTAAATATTTCCTTTATAGATATAGATATAGATATAGATATAAGAAACAAGATTACCTTAAGATATTTTTTGAAAGGATAGGAAAGGATAGGTATTACCCAGGTGTACTGTATGCTGTCCACTGTCCACTGTCCAGTACAGCTGATCTGCTGACTTACGGCTGCCTTCGGATGGTTTGAGGGACTCGGCGTATCACGGTATTTTCCAGATTAATCGTCGCGCATAAGGAGCTGCCACCTCAGTCCCTGATTAGTGTATAGGTACTGTACCTACTACCTACTAGTTACCTAGTATTCATGTGTAGATTAATTCTTCATACATTTACTATAATATACTTGGGTCTATACTACATATAAAAAAATAGAAATACTTAACTACACACTAATTATCTCTGAATTTACAGACTATGTACAGAGTAGCATGGCCTATTTGTGGTACTGTACTACCTGTTAGTTAGGTAGTTAGTTAGTTAGTACATACATACCTGGTAGGTACTCCGTACCTCTGTCTGTGCAATCCCAATGCAGTGGCGCAGTGACCCAGAGCCCCGGCCCTCAGGCGCCCTCGTTGTTCGCCGTTCCTTTCCTGTTTCCCGATCGCCAACCGTGGGCATGCAGAGTCCAGAGGGCGGCCAGTCCCCGGCGGGCCCTCAAGTCGCCCCTCTTAACTAAAGCCCCCAGCCTCTGTCTCTGGTTGGTGTTACTCTTAGCAAAAAAAAAAAAAAAAAAAAAAAAAAAAAAAAGGAAAAAAAAGCAGAGGATGAGAAACAGAGGAAAGAGAGGGAAAAAAAAAAGACGTTTCAGCACCAAGACACACCGAAATAGGCCCAACACGCTACCACTACTAGAGCCTTAGTCCTAGTGGTTGTCCCTAACTAACCCGCCTCCCAGGAGAAAGTAAACTTCGTAAGAGAGAGAGAGAGAGAGTAAGGTACTCCGTACGGTGTGGTACGTAGGAACGCTGTAGGTTGTTTGGTTCGGTTACCTGGTGGTTACTGATCACCACCACCACTAACTAACTACTTACTACTGCCTACTGCCTACTCTTCCACCTGCTCTTCTCCCTCTGACTCCCTCTTCTTCCTCCCCCCCCCCCCCCCCCCCCCCCATCCTCTCCTTTTCTCTCTCGCTCTCTCTCTCTTCCACTCCTCTCTCCAGTCGATTATCCATCTACGACGCGTTGTTGCTCTTCTTCTTCTTCTTCCCCCCTCTTCATTATCCCCTTTCCCCCCCCCCTTCCAACAACTGCTTCTGTGTGTATTCAACGAGCTTTTCACTAAGTGTCGTTGCCAGCCTGGAAATCGTGTCCGCGCAAGAGTAGATTCCCACTCCGGTCGGGCCTTTTCAATTTCTCTCCCCTGTCCGGTTCCTAGGGGAAAAAAAAGCAAATCAAAAGCTCTTCCCCTCCCATTCTCTTGCAAACTTGTCACGTTCCAGCGAGGTTCCCACCGCTCCATCGTTGCTAGATAGGTCCCTACCTGCCGTCGACCGTCGTGCACAAACGCGAGATCACCACCACAACAACGAGCGAGCGGAATTCGGCGTCTGTCCTGTTGCCAGCCAATTTTCCTACAGCATCATCTCTTTATATTCCTAGTTTACTTTTTTTTTATTTCTTTTTCTTTTCTTCTTCCACAGTTTTCTCTTTTTAAGTGGACCACCTCGATGTCATTCAACTAAGAGACGTCCATCACGATCACACAGAGCCGCGGCTCGCCGAGCGACGCTCTCTCCTCCCCCCCCCAGGATCAGGGCGCGGCGGACGGTGTAGACGGTGAGATTTTTTTTTCTTTCTTTCTTGCGTTGGTCCTCTGAAAGCCATCTGGGAGTTCTCGCTGATAAATATCTCTCTGGATAGATCGTCTACTTGCCCGCCCTGAACAGGTCCCCTGTTCTCCCCTCCTCTCAAACTCCCCGACATGCCGTCCTTCTACGCCCCTGGCCTTCACGGCCTTCCTCCTACTCCCCCTCATGTCAACCCAGGCCACCGCATGGACAACGAGCAGCCGGTCTACGTGATCGGGAACTCCGCCTTCCCGCCTCGCTATAGCCAGAACGGATGTGAGTTTATCGAACAGTACTCGCAGGCCGCCTGTTACACCAAGTCGGTTCCGATGAATATGCATGCTCACCCGACCCACGCGATGCGGAGCGGAAGAGACCTATCTGCCATGCACTCCGCCATCGGCCAGCCCATGCTCGCCGCCATGGCGACCGCCCCTGTGCTGCCCCCGCTGCGCTCGAATGTTCAGCTTCCTCCAATGGACACCACCATTCCGCCCCAGTACCGTCGGCACGAGGTGATGCAACAGCAGCAGCAGCAGCAGCATCAGTCGGAAGCGCAACAGCAGCAGCAGCACAACCGCAAGGAAGAAAAGGCAACCGGAGGCGTGGCCGCCCACCTGGATTACGAGATGGATCAGATGTCAGACTTCGTGGCCGAGATGGCCCAGGGAATGTATGCCTTGTACATCACCAAAGCGCACCTACCAGATATTGACTTGGCGCGAAGCGTTTTTCCAGGATCATCAGTCCCACCTCAGTTCCGCAAATACGTCTTTCAGATCTTGTCCTCCACCCGTCTGCCCAGCTCGACGATTCTGCTCGGTCTCTACTACCTTTCCGCCCGCATGAAGATGCTCTCGGCCGCCAAGCTCTACCACGCCGGCCCTGGTCAGGTCTATCGCATGCTGACCATCGCCCTACTGCTAGGAAGCAAGTTCTTGGACGACAACACCTTCCAGAACAAGTCTTGGGCCGAGGTGAGCAACATCTCCGTCGCGGAGCTGAACACCATGGAACTCGACTGGCTCTTCGCCTTTGACTGGAAGATCCACGACCGTATCTACGATTCCCACGACGGCTTCGCCACCTGGCGCGCCCACTGGGAGACCTGGCGCGCCAAAGCCACCGTTCGCGCCCATGAACCCTCCCGCCACCATCTCGCCCCCATTGACACCAATGTCTCCCGCGCCTCTCATCTAACCTCCAGCAAGCAGGCGCCGATTATGTCGCCCGAGGGGCCCATTCCGCCGCAGTATCAGCGCAACCCGCACCTGGAAACCTCCTGGCTCAACCCGGCTGCTTCGGAATACTCGCCGCCCTCGGCGCCACACAGCGGGCCTAACACCCCGGACTATTACCCGCTCGGCTCCTGGGCTTACGCCAATCCTCCTCCACCGTACTCGCGTGCTTGGATCCCGCCCCAGCATCAGTACCTGCAACCGCCAGCCCCGCGCTCGCAGCCCCCCTCGTACCACCACACCCCGGCGTATGCTTTGCCCTTTGCCCAGAGTGTGTGGACGGGCCATGGCTCCTCCTGCGGCTGCTTGTACTGCATCAAACATGCCGAGCACTACATGTGTGCGAGTGCCATTGGTACCATGCAGCCGATTCTGGCTGGGTGAGCTCCGACTGCTGTTCCTAGACCTTTTGGACGGCCTTTTCTTCTCTTTTCTTTTCTCTCTATTTCTTTTCTAGATTCCACTTTTTTTTTGATAATCTTTTTTTTTTTCGGTCATGTCTCAATTGTTCATCTGTCTACTCTGCGTGATACCGTTTTCTTCCCTGTTGCGACGATGCCTCGTTTTTTCTATTCGCCTCGCCTCGCCTTCTCGCATCAGCCCGTCGACCCGGAAAAAAAAAGTAATCCGTTTCTTAACTCCCTTTGTGTTGGAAAAGCGCAAAAAAAAAGTCCAGCGATCTTTGGCACGATTTGCCACGTCTTCAATCCCCCCGAGCTTTCTGCAATTTACGACATGGCATAACCGGTTCCAATACAAAGAAGCATTGTGTCACCCTTTTTGACTTGTTTGAAGTCCTGCTTGATCCTTTGTGACCACTCAAGTGCCATCGCTACGACGATTATGATTTTCATTGGCACGGTTTCTCTGTTCAGGTCTTTTGTCATTTTAACGAATATTCCCACCAGTTCTTTTTTTTTTTTTTTTTTTTTTTTTTTTTTTTCTCTTTTTCTTACTGCTTCTCTCCACCCCCCTTTTTTTTATTTACCATGCCCCCTTACTATCATCCCTCTAGGTTTTTTTTTTTCAATCGGCGGATACCACCATAGAATGCTTCATTGGTTCCCTTGTCACTGTTGGCACATTATTTCTTCTCCATATTACAGATCATGGCGTCCATATCTTCGTCAGTTTTGCTCCTGTTCCATCTTCGGCCGGGATGTTTTGAGCACATTGAGCAGTTTCGATACCGGTGATCTCTAGCTGACACCAATGTGTCTAGCAGAGATGCTCCGATCAGTTTGCAGTACTTCTTGCTGGCTGGTCTTGTTCTTTTTTTTTTTGAATGATTTTCTTTTTTTTTTTTTCAAATGATCTTTTTTTTTCTCTGACCACGACCTCTTGATATGTGCTGCACATACCAGATGCGCCGACTCTCTTTTGATTAAATGGAAAAAAAAAACGGGTACCTCTTTTTTTTATTACATTACTTTCTACTTTTGATGTTTATCTTCACTATTGTTTTCCATACTCTCTTCTCTGCATTACTTTTACCCTCAATTTTCCTTGCAGGATCTGGTGATGACAGTTCTGCATTCCATTTGCGGTTCATTCGTCGTGGAATCTTTTGATTGTAAGTTAGTTAAGGTCACCTCTCTCTCTCTCTCTCCTCTTCTCTTGAGACAGAAATAGCCTATCGCAAAGCCTTCGAGAAAAAGAAAGAAAAACGAGAGCCAAAAAAAAGAAAAGAAAAGAAAGATAAACACAATGAAACTTCGGAGCTACTCTGCTCGTTCTTCATCATTCAGCATCTATTCTATTCATACCATCTATTCTTGGATAAGGAACGGAGTACTGTGCAAAGGGGTACATCTATTGGGTAGGTTCGGGATTTGGGAATGCATAATAACTAATGATGTAAAATAATGACTGATGGGTATCATGATAACTAAAATAAGCATAGCCGAGAATAAGCATAACCGAGAAAGCATCCAGTGTAAAGTTGCGAAGGTGTAAAGTGTGTGTGTGTGTGTGTGTGTGTGAGAGAGAGTAGGACTCGATTAGTAGACACTCCCTTGGATACTTTGATCCTGGCGGCGCTCTTCCTCGAGATCTTCACATCTATCCTCTACTTCATATTGGTTTTGGTCTCTGTCTTCTACATGATCTAGATCGTCGCCGTCGCCAAGCACATTCGCCATCGCATGGTGTTTTGGCTGTTGGTGTGGTTGTTGGTGTCGTTTCGACCTTGACCGCGACGCGCCACTACTCCCCTCGTCGTCACCGTCATGTTCGATGTCCTGTACAGAACGAGAACGTAAGTGTAGCAAATGCTGTGGTCTCAGTTTCTGGTCAAGACTAGAAGATCCCTCTGCTTCTTCGTCGGAAGGGGCAACGCTGTTCGCCCCGCTGCGGGAGCCGCCGCCGTCGCGGCCGTGCAGGTGGTGTAAGGGGAGGGCCAGGGGATGCTTGGGCGGAGGTTGTAAGAAATCATCATCGGTGTCGCGGCGGAGGTAGGCGAGGTTAGGCCGGCGGGGCAGTTGGTTGCTATTGCTATTACTGCTGCGTTCTTCGGGGGGTGATGGTGTCGAGCCGGGGTTCACGGGTGGTGGTGGTGGTGGAGGTGGTGGTGGTCGGAGGGATGTGACGGTCCCGTCGGGTGAGATGGGCGGGGTCCCGTCAATGGAGGAGGTACGTTGAAGAGAATCGCTCCTTTTGCGGATATCTTCTTCAAGACTCGACTTCTTCTTCTCCGTGTGGTGAAGATCGGTGGTGGGGTTCGTCTTGGAGGAGCCGTCGTATGATCCATGGGTACACCCGTCAGGACAGCCTCCCCATTTCCGTCGAAAGGGAACCGGCCGGTGGTCTGGTGAGGGTGCGGCAGGCAGGCCCTTGGCCGCTCGGTCCCGCTGGTTCTCCAGCTCTCGTTCCCGACGCAGCTCAGACCACGTCCGCAGCTGGTTCTCGAGAACGTATTTGCCGTTGTCCGAGTTGAGCTTCATCACGACGAACTCGCAGTGATTGATGTTCCGGAGATCCTCAAAGTACTCGACGCTCCAGTGGTACCATTTCATCAGGAAGATGCGCGTCATCAGGCCATGGGTGACTAGGACGCACACGCTGGCAAAGTCATTTTCGCCAAACAGGCGCCACAGCGACTCGTTGAAGCCGCTCACCCGGTCATAGGCGTCTGCGGCAGACTCGCCGCTGGGGATCCGGTAGAAGAAGTGCCCGTAGTCCGCTCGTTCATGCCACATCCGCTCCATCTCGGCCGTGCATGGCTGGAAGTTTCCAAAGTCTTGTTCTCGCAACCGCGGCTCCTCGTATACTTTAATCGTCTGCCGTATGAACGGTGAGGGGGAGGGCCGGTCCGAGGTCAGCGACTCTAGGATTCCCTGGGTCGTCTCGCGGGTCCTTCGATACGGAGAGGTAAAAAAATGCAGCGTGTCGTCGGGACGCAGCAGTGCACGCAGCTTAGTGCCCGCCTCCCTTGCTTGCCGGTGCCCTTCAACTGTCAGTTTCACCCGGTGATCCGGCACGGTCTGGTGGATTTCCCGATTCTTGTTTCCCTCCGACTGCGCATGGCGGATCAAAATGATCATCTAAGCATGGTTAGAAAGATGGACTCTGGCTCAGGGGAAGGGGGGGGGAACAAACTCGTGGTTTACCCATGGTTGTTGCATCAAGGTTGCGGTACGGAGACGGGGCAGTGATAACGTGTAAAAACACAAAATATCGTCAAATTTCGAGACAGCTGCTGCAAAACAAAGACAACTTGATGACTTTAATAACACTAAACGTTACCTTCAAGATGACATTCGATGAGTGGGAAGAGAAGTAGAGTTCGGGTGAGGGGGACTCTGTTGGAGATTGCACAAAGTGGCCGCGATGGCCACCGTATGGAAGGTGTATCTGAAATCGATCCCGCATCATTGGGAATTCCGCTATCTGGCCATTGCTGATCGTCGTTCGATTTGCGATTGCGCGCGAGATCTGCAGATATTTCTGCTTGAAACACATCAGCAGCCATGGCAGACTCTTTGTTTGAGCTGCTGGTGCCCCATTTCACCTCTAGCGATGGTTCAACCGCTCCCCAGTCCCCGAGTCAGAGTGCAACTACTGCTCAGTACCTCAACCGCATCTCCACGCTCTCGCTACAGGCGTTGAAGAGTACAGAACCGCAGTCGCTGGCGCAAGCATCACATTCGACCGTTGTGTCGCTTCAGGCATTGTCAAATCGCTCCCACAAGAGCTTTGTTACCTCGGCAGACCACCTGTCGACTCTCCGCACGTCGATTCCGAAGCTCACGCGTGAAGCACGCCAGCTGCGAGATGCGATCCCCAAGCTCGATGAAGAAGCGGTGGGATTCTCCAGGACATATACTAAGACAGCAGAGAATGCAACGCTCGAGCGGCGGAAAAAGGCGATGCAGCTAGCGAGAAACGTTGATAGGCTGTCGGATATCCTGGAGCTGCCTACCCTGCTATCGACAGCGGTATCCTCTGCAGCCGCGAACTCCATCACGGCCGGGGCTTCCTCATCCTCCACGTATTCATCTGCATTAGACCTCTACGCGCATATCAAACGACTGCAGACGCTATACCCGGAGTCACCCTTGGTGAAGGATGTGGCATCCCAGGCAGAAGAGGCGATGAAGGACATGACGACAAATCTCATCACGGGTCTACGGTCACAAAACATTCGGCTTGCGGCTGCGATGAGGATGGTAGGCTGGCTGCGGAGGGTAGCCCCCGAACTGGACGGCACATCGGGTGAGTGCGAGGCTGCGGGTGCGCTGGGTGCACTCTTCCTGATCTGTCGGCTGGCAAGTCTCGTGTCGACCCTCGAGGCGCTGGAGCCTTTGCGAGATCTGGCGGATCAGGAGACCCAGCGTCGATCGAACAACGTCGAGAAGGAGCAAGGCTCCACGACCGGCACCAATCTCTGGTCAGAAGGGCACCAAACCGAGAAATACTTGAAACGCTACATCGAGATCTACCGTGAGCAGAGCTTTGCCATTGTTTCTCTCTACAAAAGTATCTTTGCCCCCGACCATTCTTCCGAGCTGGAGCTTGCCGGCGTAGTAGGCGCGCGAGGGATCGACGCGGCCCTTCGAGCGAAGACGTTGTCGCCACAGCAGCCAGAAAACACCCTTGACCCGCTGCTTGCCCACCCGTCCCCTCTATCAACCTTCCCTACGCACATGGTCCAGCTCCTTGCAGAGACCCTGCGTACCTACCTTCCAAACGTGCAGGACAAGAGCTCCCGCGAGAGCCTCCTCACCCAGGTGCTATACTGTGCCGCCAGCCTGGGCCGTCTCGGAGGCGATTTCAGCATGATCCTCACCGAGCTGAGCGATTTGGACCCGGACAGCGAGGACAGTGCCAGCTACGAGTGGGAAGAGGTCATCCGCAAGCACCGCGCCTTGGCAGGGCGCCTCGAACAGCTCACTAGCGGCAACGGCCCTGCCAGAAGCACGGCGCGAGTCACCTCTCCCATCCATTAACCACGCAGCCGCCTCTCTTCCCTCCACAATCCCTCCCCGTTTCTTTATCTTCGCTTTGTTTCTCCCTTTCTATCCGGGGGGGGGGGGGGGGGTGGTTGCTTTGTCCAAAGTTGTCCAAAGGCTCCTCCGTCACGCTAGCCACAACGGGCACTAGCGGGTGGGCCACCCTCGGTCGCTTTCTCCGCCTTGTCCAGACTCGCCCGCTCGCTCTGATCTCACTCCCTTCGCCCCTGTTGCCCGTCCTCTCCTCCCTGAGAGTTTCTGTCAACTTCCATGAGACCGTATTAACTGGGTGTCCCGTTTTTTTTTTCTCCCTCTCCTTGCTTCCGGGGGCTCCTGCGGAACCCTTTTTTTTTTTCTTTTTTTGTCATCCTATACGTTGTGACTCCGCCGTAAATACATTTCGCTCGTTGTTGATTCGCTGCCGATCGTCGGACCTCGTCTTGAATCTGCCCTCAACAGTCGCAGCCTGGAGCAGCTTTCCATTTCCTTGAAGGGAAAGTCACGATTTCTCTGGACCCGCCCTCTGAAACTGTCACTACAAGTGTCGACTGACTATCTCTGAATCGATGGCTGCTGTATCTGCTTCGTCGCCTCTCCCCAACGGCGGTTTGATCGACCCTACCAAACAAGGCGAATATCCGATTATACTGGGAGAGAAGCTGGCAGGACGACAGTCGACGCAGCAGCCACACCGTCGCCTGGTTAACATCAATTTCAACTACAAGAGCAAGACCGCCACGCCGCAGCAGCGATCACGCCTCACCCGCTCCCCCCGCACCCCAGACATCTACAACCTGACCATCACCGACAAGCCGCCGAACTCGGAACAGCAATCCCTGGTGTATAGCTATGAGGGCAGTGTTGACCCGTCACAACCGGTGTCGGAATCCGCAGAAGGCAACTTGGTCTTGGTGTTCGACCCTGTTCGCAAGGCGTTTGTGCTCGAGTCTGTGGAGACGCAGTTGAACTTCAATCTGCGCTCCGCCCCCGCCAAATCGGCGGACCAGGTCCGAAAACAATACGCGCAGCTGAAAACGCTCTCAGAAGACGAGCAATTGTCCAGTGACGATCGGATTCAGGGGGCTACGAGTGGGGACGATGAGCCGGCAGACGACAGCAATCCGTACGACTACCGTCATTTCCTCCCTAAAGCTACGTCGGAAGCTAGCCGGAAGTCCGCATCATCAACCCTCGCATCCCCGGAGCCGCCTCTGACAGCAGTGTCGAGCAAGGATTCCACCCCGGTCTTACCTGCAACCAAAAAGCCCACCACTCCAAACCCGGCTTCCCATCCGCCGCGATCAAAACCACCGCCCAATCCATTGCGCCAGAAGAAAGCAGTGGGCAAGCCGTCGCCGGCAGCGACAGCCTCTCCCGTCGTCAAACCAGGTCTTCAGCTGCCGTCTCGTGTGGAACAAGAGGAGAAGGAGGAGGCCACATCGGTACGGTCGGCGGAGCTAGGCTCCGCATCACACAAGACACCTGCGGCTCCATCGCCAGGGCCCAATATTATCATCGATGGCGACCTGATCATTGACATGGGCTCGCCGCCGCCCTCACGTCCCACGTTCAGAGTGAACCCAGCACACTTCACCTCGACCAACACTCCCTCCAATATTCCAGAAGATGACACGGACGATGATGAGGAAATCGAAGACTTCCGACTACCGTCTCCCGCCGGGGGCCCGACAGCACTGGCACAACCGACGGGTTCCTTGGACGATGAAGAGATGGAGGATGACGATGGCCTGTTAGCCGAAATGGAGGCTGCCTTGGAAGAAAGCGCCCGGGAAGAAGAACAGGCGCAGCAGCAGTATCACCAGCAACACCAGTACACTGTGCCCAGCGATGATGAGAGTGAGGTCAGCGAAGAAGAGTGAATAGAGACACCTTTTCCCTGCCTCGTACAGTCTTGTTCTCTTTTTTTCCCCTTCTTCTTCTTCTTCTTCTTCTTCTTCTGTCTGCATAGCCTGTGGTGTTGTTGCCATATAGAGAACCACACAGTACCTACTCACCTACCCTCCAGTGTTTGGATAAGAGGGATTGTTTATTTCCGCATATTAGCCTACGACGTTCAATGACCACATATGATACCACTCGAGTATTCAAACTATCTCTTAATAGCATTCATCATCGCCTTGTCTTTGTCTCAATTGTTGAGTGCCGGCATTCAGCTCCTCATAATCCATTATTCTGTTAAGAGAAACACGTGACAGTCCAAGTTGCGGCCGGAACAATAAAAGTCCCGGCCGGGTAATCCATCTGTTGCGCTCCAGAAGATCTGAGCTGTTCAGGGCCCTTCTGACAGTGAAGGCAGCTCACTTTTCTCCTCCTCTTAAGCTAATACACATTCACTGAGGTGTCTTCTGAAACCCACGCCTCCTATCAACTTGTCTGTGGTTGTTTTTTTCTCTCTGCTCCGCTGGGAGACCTTCTGAGAAGCAGCCTTCGCAGCACCTTTCCCGAAGCTCCCAAGTCAGTACTATTACTCTTATACCATGCAGTAAGGTGTATGCGTGATGGCCTGCGTCTGTCCATGAAAAGAATTCGCTGGGGTTATTTACCTGAGAAGGGGGCAGGACAGTACTGGGCCTTGCGGAGGTCAAGGGCTCACCTTCGGCGTGTGAACGAAAACCATTGAATCGACGACGCTTCACCACTTTTTTTTTTTAAAAAAAAAAAAGAAAGAAAGAAAGAAACCAGAATACCGTCCTTCATGGCATCCTCCTCGGAGGCTCGCGACACGCCTCGACATATCCCCTGTCCATCAAACCCTATCCTGCTCGCCGCACAGTCCCAATGGCTCTTTACCGATGAAGAGCTGACCCGAGCGCCGTCGCAGCTTGACGGCATGGCCCTGGAGGTGGAACATACAAGTCGTAGTAAGGGGGTCAACTTCATCACTCAGGTCGGGATCATGCTCAAGCTGCCGCAGCCCACGCTCGCGACGGCTGCGGTGTACATGAATCGGTTCTTCATGCGGTACAGCATGGTTGATCTTCCGCAGCGGCCGGGCATGCACCCGTACCCCGTGGCTGCGACGTCGTTATTCCTGGCGACCAAGGTGGAGGAAAACGTGCGCAAGATGCGGGAGTTCGTCGTGGCTTGCTGCCGGGTAGCTCTCAAACAGCCGAACCTCATGGTGGACGAGCAGTCAAAGGAGTTTTGGAAGTGGAGGGATACCATCCTGCACCACGAGGATCTACTACTCGAGGCGCTATGCTTCGACCTGCAGCTCGAACAGCCGTACCGCATTCTCTACGATTTCATCTGCTTCTTCGGCGTGAACGAGAACAAGCCTCTGCGCAACGCCGCATGGGCCTTTGTCAACGACTCGATGTTTACTGTTCTTTGCCTACAGTTTACCGCGCGGGTCATCGCCGCCGCAGCGCTGTATGCGGCTGCACGCCACTGCGATGTTGCCTTTGGCGACGACGTGGCCGGCCGCCCCTGGTGGGAACAGGTCGATGTCGACCTTGCCGAGGTGCGCAGGGCCTGTACCCGGATGGCGAAGCTATATGAAAACAACGCCATGCAGCGGCACAGCCAGCATTACCCGACGACACCGATCCCGATGGAAAACGCCTCGGAGACGACCAGACGGGCCTACCAGTCCGCCGAGCCACAAGACGGGGCCGGGCGGAAGCGGTCGCGAGAGCCGTCTCAGAGTCGAGCCAATCCGTCGTCAGAGTCCACAGCCCCTATTGACGATGAACGGTCACCAAAGAGACAACGAGTAGACAACAACAACAACAACAATAATAATACTATCACACCGGAGCACGACAAGCCCCGAGCCCGTATTCCAACCTCAGCCGGGCCGAGAATCCCAAGTCTGAACGGCCATCATCACCGCTCATCCAACATGCCGTCACGACCCCCACAAGCACAAGCACAGGCACAAGCACGTAGCCATACCATCCCACGCCACCCGTACGGCAAGGGCAGCAATCCAGCTGACGATCCGATCCAGCAGCGTATCGACGAGATAGTCTCGCAGAGCATGTCGCCAGAGAACACCGCCAGCAGCACTGCACGCCGTCGCGAGAGGGAGAGGGATGGTGGTGATAGGCGGCTCTCGACAACCTCGACCTCCAGCCGGTACGACTCCAGACGAGATCGAGATCGAGATCGGGAGGTGGACGACAGGCCTCCTCCCCCGCCGCCACCGCCAGAGGAAGTTCCTCCTCCACCGGAAGATGAGGGGAGCGAAGAGGGAGAGGTTTAGCTTAGAGATAACTACTAGAAGTTTAGAAGTATCCTTACAACAAACAACTCTAACAAAGTACGCCTATTGCCTATTTTTTTTTTTTACTCTAAATCATGATTATGCTTTTTTCCCCCCCTCACGCCTCCGTCTCAACTTCCATCCCATCATTCCTACATCACCGAAGGCCCATGTGAAGAGTAGAGGGAGAGCAAGAAAAGACAAGGCATGTAGAAAGAAACCGGAAACCCTTTTCCAGAAGTTGGGATCCGGTCTTTGTATAATCTTCTGCCGTTGATTCTCTTTCTTCACAGAGTGTCCAGCCTCGAGAGAAAGAGGTAGGGATAAATACATAAGTCAACAAAAAAAAAAACAGACAACAAACAGACGGTAAGAACAAAGACGGATAAACAGAAATATATGTACAGCCCGCAGGACACGCATTAGATAGAATGTACAGATTAGATCACGCGTAGATAATAGTAGGAGTGGCGAGTTTGGAAAGAGAAAAAAAAAAGAAAGAAAAAAAACGCTGTCAATCAAGGCAGTCGTCAAAGGAAAATCGTCAGGGGGGGGGGTTGCTTGCAGGGCTGCAACGAGATTAGATCTCTCCAAACATCTTGTCAAGCTCGTCGACTTCTACAGTCTCCGGGCTCTGCAGCTCGATCCACGAGTCGGACACGACGTCGACGTCCATGCCCATCAGACCCCTACCGAGGGAAAAGTCGTCCCAGTCAGCGACGTCGGACATCTTCATGTCCACGCCCGGCAGACCACTGTTGAGCATGTCGATCGACCGCTTCAGCGTGGAGGCGGGCCCTGCGGCGCGTTCCTTGCTGACCACCGCGGCGGCGTGGTGATGGTGGCGCAGCCCCAAAAGACCAGCGTTTGGGATATCATCTGCTGTCGTCGCCGCGGCGGTGGCAGTGGCAGTACCATCCTCCTCCGTGTCAAGGTCGCCGTCCGAGTCGATGCTCGTACCAGACGAGATCGATGAGGCGACCGAGACGAGAGAGGGGGAGGGCGAGGTACCAAACAGAGCCGCAGCCGCAGCCTCGTCGAGGTCATGCTCCTGCTGACGCGCGCTGATGTGAGAGAAATAATCGCTGTATTGCTCATCAGACATGCGCTCGCCGTCGTCCATTGGGGTCCCTGAGATGCTCATGTTTCCATCCTGCATCTGGGTGCTACTGTTGCTGCTGCCGCTGGGACCAGAGATGGTGCTGCTGCAGCTGCTGTTGCTGCTGCTCTTGCTGGCAAGGAGCCCCTCTGAGATGGCAGACAGACCACCTCCACCGGTCCGACCGGTAAGGCGGCTGGCCTTTTCCTCTGACGCGCGCTCACGCACGGCACTCGCCGTCTGGGTGAATTCCTTTTCGTCACCTTCCAACGGCGGCGAGGCGGCACGGTGCGAGTGAATTAGACGCGGGTGGGTTCGGTGGTCTGTGAACCCGTGGTGATGACCGGCACGAGACGCCGCGCCGGGATTGGCACGGTCGCTCAGAGCCATGTTGCTATCATCCTCATCGTCAAACTCCGGAGAGGAGAGATCGACTTCGGGACTGGGACTACGCTGTCGCGTGAAGACATCCTCTTCGTCCTGGTCGAGACTCGAGACGCTGGGAGTAATGGTGGCGTTAGCACCCACGGCGGGGATGACTAGATCCCCGACGGTTTCAGGAATAGGCTGGCGAGGCAGCGTGGTAAGATAGTAATACACTTTGCGCGGATGGATCGGAACCAGCTCCTTGGCCAGCGGGCAGGGAGCCAGTGCCGTCCACGGACGCTTCAGATATGTACCTAGTCGCGACGACAAGAGGGCCGCTGGATTCGCAGAGCTAAAGGGGATTGATGGTCAGTAAATCATCAAGATGAAAGATTATTAAAACGGGGAGGACATACTTTGCCACGTTATCGTTGAGGGTGACGAGTACGGCGGCGAGTTCCTTGACGAGATGCGGGCGGTTGCCAGTCTTCTGCAGCTGCTCGATCACCGCGACGACGACATCGTCGTTGATGCCGTCGGTGTCGATCTTGGGCGCCGCGTCTCCGTCCGTAGGCGACGGAGGCGGCGTGTGCTCAAAAGTACCGCGGCGGCGGGCAGCGCCAGCCCCAGCGCCGGTGCCCGGCAACCGGTCCTTCGCGTCCATCGACGAAGCCGACTGAGGTTCTGGCGACAACGAGCTGGTGTCGTGCGACCTCTTGACTTTCTTGGCGGGAGGCAGGTTGTTATCGTCGTTCGTCGCGATGGACGCCTTGGACACGGAGGGCGAGCGGCGCGAGGAACTGGGCACATGGATGCCCAGCGACGGCAGAGACAGCGATTTGCGGCGCGTATTATAAGGCATGGTGATTATCAGATGATAGTACAACGGGGGGGGGGGGGGGGGAGGAGAAAGAGAAGAAGGAGGAAGAGGGGAAGACAGAAGACAAGAGGTGATAATACAGGGGGATGATAATAATAATAATAATAAAAGAAAGTGAGTGTTGATGATAGATGATTAGGGGGGGAGTAGTAGTGTGTAGGTTGTAGAGTGAAGTATGGGAGTGTCGGATAGGGGATACAAGGCAGACGCCGCGGGCGATGGGAATAGCAACACTAACCAACACGACGGGCGGGGGAAAGAGGCGAAAGAAGGGAAAATGGAAGTGCAAATGGAATGGACGATTTGATTTCGCGGGCCGAGTGGACCAGTGCAGGTAAAGCTGCCTCAGGATGGAATTCCCTGGTTCTCTTTTTTTTTCCTTTTTTTTCTGTGGTGGGCGACTTCAGCTCGGCCCAGAAAGACTCAGCAGAAGATGGCAAAACAGTTTTGCAATGGCAGTGATTGGCCGGCGGGCAGCAGAGACAGCAGCGGTTGACCGGGGCATTTAGGAATGAGAAAAAAACCCACTGTTGAGTATTTTATTTTGGATTTAATTTTTTTTTGGTAATTTTTTGGTATGGTTTACTATTTGTTTTTCTTTATCTTGTTCGGGGAACAAAATTTTGTCTGCTACATAGAAAGGCAGTCTCAGACTAATGCACCTCGACAACCACACCGCTGAAAAAAACAGGTAGAGAGAGATGAAAGAAAAGCCTGGAGAGAGGCTGCAGGGGTATTATGGAGTAGGTACTTACTGGGAGTCCACTTGGTGGTAGTTATGGAGTACACCGTAATATAGTGAGCGGTGAATTGTCATGCTTGGTAACTGAGAAATACCGCTAGAGAAAGGGTCAGCCAATGGGGTTGATGGAGGTGGATCCCCATGTGTCTATGACGACCGACATTCCGTTGACCTCAATCTATATGAAGGACCACACTGCAGAATCTTAGTATGTAGTGCTTGAGATTCTATCACTAACAACTGTAGTCTCACATGAACACAGTACTCCTATAGACAGGTATATTTTACTTGAATTGAAATCTTACACTTCTCCCACTTCTCATACCTCTCATAAAGTAGCTTCTGACAGGTATCCGAACATGTCATAACTCGGACATCTTGAAGTTGAGCTATCCACCCGCCTCGCTGGTTCCATGGATCAGCCTCTCGTCCTAGCGTCACCGTTTGTCTCTGCCTGGCCAATCACTGCATCCTTAGTCAGCCCCACTTGGCGAAAACGCGACGATCGAAAATTTTCTTGCTGCGGCTGGCCAATCGGATGGAGATGGATGCCACTAGCGGGTGGATGCAATCGACCTATGTAGTAGAATGTCTGTCTACATTACCTTACCTTACCTATCCGTCGGTCCATACGCATCATACGGAGTACACCGTAGACTTAGTACCTAGGTACCTACATATGTATGTGGATTAACTAATGATTATTTTGATCAATCATTAACTTTTTAGTTTATGCTGTGTCATAGGACTAGAAGTATAGTACATACGGAGTATGTTGACTATCTATTATTATGGAGCTACAAGACCCCGTACTTCTGTTTGTACAGATGCTGTACTCTACAGAGGCAGTTTCTGCAATGGACCGCATAGCAGCAAGGCGTAACTGCAGTAAGTCTGTAGTATGTACGGAGTACTAGTTATGTGGTACAAGTATGCAGTATAGAATACTCTATAAGAATCCATCCCTTGATACATTCTTCATAAAATTATGAAGAGTTATGTAATAGTAAACAAACAATTAGTAGGCAGATATCATGAATAGACCAATAGTACCTATCTGATAGAGAACTATAACAGGTAAGTATCTACTTACCATGATATAACTAATATGTAGTAGGAAGTTGTTAGTAATAGTTACTCCATACTACATAGATCAAGGTGAAGTTAACGACATTTTGACGTCGTCCACATGTCGTCGATCTACACGAGGATCCAATAGAGTATTTGAATAGGACCAAAGGTCATAATGAAGAATCAATGATATTGACTTATCAGATTATTCTCATCATGTCGTCAATACTACCTAGGTAGAAATATTCTATTTACTAATACACTACACACATACACTACACACTATACATACAAACACTATACTTTCTCTATTGGCCTCAGGACAAACTGCCATGTCGTGCCGAGATGCCACCGCTTCATCTCGACGACTTCCAGCCCGCTCTGCCGCACGATCTCGCCGATGTCGCGGTTCCACCAGCAGCCATGCTTATCTGCGTGGGCAGGCGCGACGTCGTCCAGGATCCGGTTCACCCAGGCGTAGTGCGACCGGCCATGCTCCAGCAGTAGGATCCGACCCTCGCGTGGCTCCGTGATGCTCCCCAGATGTTGCAGCACGCCCACAGGATCCGGCATCGAGCACAGGCCCATCGTCTGCACCACCGTATCGAAATGGGGGCGGCCTTCCGGAGGTGCAATGCTCCCTGCATCTTGTGCTTTAAAGGCGACGGAGACTTGGACCTTCTCCTTGTTCTTGTTCTTGTTCTTGTTCTTATCCTTCATCTTCACTTCGTATTTTTGCCGTGCAAGCTCCACCATCTCCGGACTGAGATCGCTAAACGTCACGCTTCGACAACCCTGCACACTCGCCCGGCCCTTGCTGTCAATAACCACCTTCTCCCCCAGCTCGTAGTATTCCATGTTCCGCCCCGTCCCGCAACTGACCTCGAGCACGTCGCCGCGCGCCCGCTTCACCAGCTCCTCCCGCTTGGTCCCCATACGCATCAGTGTCTCCGACATGTCAACCTCTGCGTCGTAGCTGGCCGCCGTGCGCTGGTACCGGTCCGACACGTCGGGTGGGATCTGTAACGTTCGCGACCGCTCCAGATCGCGCTGGTACGAGGCGTACAGCATCCCCACGTATGCGCTGCCCACCAACACTCCCATCCCAAGAAACGCCATGCCTTTCGGTGACAGCCGTCGTCGGACTTCGCGGGGTGGGTTCGTCAGGAGCGGGTTCGCGCGTTTTGGTAACGACGTCGTCGGGGGGCTTTAACAGAATAGATTCAAGTGTTTAGTTAGTCGCTTGTTTCAACCTTCACTGAAACTTGTAGTTACTCACCTTACAAACTGGGGAGAGGCACGGCTTAGTTTCCCCTGGTTCCCCAGCTTTCCTGCCCCCTGGGCCTTTTTGACGGGCACTCTGCTTATTCGAGATGCACTCATTGTGTCTGTGTTTCTGGTGTTCTTTCGCTCGGAGTTCTAGACCATTCTGACAGCCTGTTATATGGCAGGCATTCTAGTGAGTGATAGAAGATTAGATGAATGAAATAAAGATCTAAAGATAAAGGTAGTTTCACTTGTCACACAAAGGGCGCACGTCAGGATTCTTTGCAGCTGAGCCAGAAGTTTGGCGATCCACTTCCGATCGGCCTTATCGACCCCCTCCTGATCCAGTCTTGACTCTCTCCAGTGTGTTCAACTATTATAAACTACTAACTGCTCTGTTCAACTGCTTATCATGGCGCTGCCGAATAATATTCTTATTGTGGGAGGAGGTGTTTTTGGCTGTAGGTAGACAGGTGTATTCGCCGTCTCGTTGCGTTATAAATATATATATATATATATCTCTATCAGACTAACAAGACAGTGTCGACTGCCGAGGAACTCAGCAAACGACACCCCGACAGCTCGATTACCCTCCTAGAAGCAGCCGCGACCATCCCAAACCCACACGGCTCATCCGTCGATACCTCACGCATCATCCGTGCCGACTACGCCCACCCAGCGTACGCCCGCCTCGCCGGGGCGGCGATCGACCGCTGGCGACACACGGCATGGGGCCAGGAGGGCCGGTACACGCAGAACGGCCTGCTGCTGGTATACACGACCGAGGGGGCGCCGGCAAGCGAGTACGCGAAGAAGAGCTACGAGAACGTCAAGTCGCTCGGCGACACCGTCGAGTTCCTAGCGGGTAAAGCCGACGTGGGCCGCGTGGTGCCCGCCTACGGAGACGACCTCAACATCGCAGGCGGGTATATCAACTGGGCATCCGGATGGGGGGACGCCGAGGCGGGCGTGCGGTACGTCAAGCGCAAGCTTGATGAAGAGGGGAAAGTGGTCTTTAGGACGGGCGAAGTCGAGCGGGTGTTGTTCGAGCAGAGCAAGAACAAGAAGCACAACACAGGAAATGATGCTCCCTCCCGTGCGTATGGCGTTGCTCTCACCGACGGCTCCATCCTAAAAGCCGATCTGGTCATCCTCGCGACAGGCGCCTGGACTCCCAAACTGGTCGACCTGCGTGGCCGTGCCGTCTCGACCGGCCAGGCGCTGGCCTACCTCTCCATCTCAGACGAAGAGCAGGCCCGTCTCGCCCACGTGCCCACCATCCTCAACTTCGACACGGGCATCTTCATCATCCCCCCGCGTGGAAACTTGCTTAAAATCGCCCGTCACGCCTACGGATACCTTAACCCAAGGACCGTCGCTATCCCGGGATCTTCCCCTTCTTCTTCTTCTTCTTCTTCTGGTCAAGCTGAATCTATGACCATCTCCCTGCCGGAGAATGGTCTCCCTATCCCTCCAGAAGCTGAACGGGCCTTCCGCTCCGCGCTGCAGACCCTTCTCCCCTCCATGACAGATCGTCCGTTTGTTAAAACGCGGGTATGCTGGTACACAGATACGTAAGAAGACTACCACCCTGAATACACTGCATACTGCGTATAGAGAGAGAGAGAGAGAGTGTGTGTGTGTGTGTGATGCTGACAAACTAAGACCGAAAGGAGATTTCCTAATAACCTACCACCCTGACCATCCTGGCCTTTTCCTTGCCACCGGCGGTAGCGGCCATGCATACAAGTTCTTCCCTGTGCTGGGCGAGAAGATCGTCGACGCCCTAGAGGGGTCCCTTGAGCCCGAGCTGAAGAAGCTCTGGGCGTGGAATACACCCGAGCCGCGATTTACGGGCACCGAGGACGGGAGTCGGTCCGGGGCAAAGGGGATGCTTCTTAAAGATGAGCTGGCCAAGTCCAAGGGGAGGTTGTAGATATAGCTAGTATTACGACACTCAGCCACTGGTTATAGGTATATAGTTGCTATATATAGAGGATTTTTTTTTTGGAATGGACAGAATGTATAAGACTACTTCACATAAATGGTTCAAACACATGGCTCTAGATACCCGGATCTAAGGCGCTGTGGCTCTACAGGAAAGAGGAGAGATCAATTTTATTTTGACATGGCTGACGCATCATGTTATCACAAGCCATCGTCCCGATCATAGCATGCCATAAATTCCTTCCGACCTATTCTTGCTACCTCCACCCAGTTATAAAAAGCACGCTGCGACAATCTAGAAAACCAGCGGCTATCCACAGCCAGAGTATTACTCGACTGGGTTATGCCCGGCGAGGGGGGGAAAAAAAACTTCACCGAAACCATAAAGATTCTGGGTAATAAGCGGAAAAAAGGTATGAGAGAGCAAAGAGAAAAAAGAAACATTAGAAGGAGGCAACCATTCGACCAGCGCACAGTACCGCCCCCAAATATGCGGAGTGTGCAACCATCTAATAGTAAACAATTGAAAAGGCTTTCGTTCTTTCAGAGAAAGATGGGAAGGGAACAGCCATGAAACTTTCCGAGTCGCTAAAACGCCGTGCAAATGCTAGAAAGAAGCAGAAAAAGAATCATCAAGGTGTCGCCGAAAGAAAGGTGTTTACTCTCCAGACGACGGCGAAAAAAAAGAGGGAAAAAAACTGTTGATACAAAGGCGTGCGTAACGCGGTTAGTTTGAAAGATTGGGCGATGATCACCCTGGGTCCGGTTGGCTGAGCCATTTAAACTTTGCGGAAATCTTAAGACTGTCAGCTATGTGATTTCAAAAAAAAAGTAAGGGAGTGCATACCGGAAAGCACAGGGTAGATCAATTCGAACGCCTGGTAGATCTCCTCACGGACTTTAGCGCCGGTCAGAACGATCTTGCCACTGACGAAAATCAAGAGGACAATCTTGGGCTTCATCATGCGGTAGATCAGACCAGGGAACAGCTCCGGTTCGTAAGAACTGAAGTTGTGATGGCGACTAGCCAGGCCCTCAAGACGGATGGGGAACTTGATGTCGCAAGAACCGACAATGTTTTGGATTTTGAAATCCGTGAACTTGGCGTTGAAGCCGAGCTTCTGGATAATGCGAGCGTACTTGCGCGAGGCTAGCTTCGAGTCATCTTCGGACTTGGCTCCAGTCACGACCATCTTTCCCGATGCGAAGATCAGGGCGGTGGTTTTCGGTTCACGAATACGCATGATGACAGCCGCGAAACGCTAATCGGAAGAAAAAAGAAAAAACAGTTCAGTCACACTATTCTCCCATGGCAGTGCAATTTCTGGGGAGAGACGGAGTTATACCTTTGGGTTGTACTCCGCATTTCTTGCGTGAAGAGCGATGGTCTTCAGGTCCAGGCGACAGTCAAGGTTGACCGTGGCGACAATGTTTCTTAAAAGAAAAAAAAACACCAAAGTTCAGCATTTTCTGGTGACCCAGAAGAACAGCAAGAGTATACTCACTGCAACGTAGGCACAATGCCGCTTCCAGGAGCGTTGGCACCAGGAGTGGCAGCGGGAGTCGCGGGGGTCACCCCATTGCCATTCATGGCATTCGCTCCATGCTGCTGACCGTTCACGCTCTGGCCGCCCATCGCCATGGCGCCCTCCTTTTCAGAGGACGGCGGGGTCAAATCACCGGCGCCCCCAGGAAAAGACAGAGAGGCGGGAGAGGTGAAGGCCCTAGCCTGCTCCGCGTTCGAAGGATGGGTCGTAAGCGAATCCATCGCGACGTGAGACAAAGGTATACTCGAGCTGTAAACCAGCCGAAGCTGAGAGAAATGATATTTCTTAACAAGGGTGAGCGTGCGAAGTGCGTTGGCAGTCTGCGGAGAGAGGAAGACAAGAGTTAGAGAGGAAGGTGAAGCAAAGAGGAAGGTTGTGCGAGAAGGCGATCCGAAAAAAAGGTGGTTGGTGAGGGGTGGTGTAGTCCAGGTCAATAGAGGATGTGAGAGAAGAACATACCCTTTGTGGGAGATGGACAAGTAAATGTCTCCCCTACACTAGATACCCTACCTGCTTAGTTCGAGATCAGGCTTTCTTCGATGATCTGCGACGAGATAGATATTTCCAATCCTCACTGGCGAAGCGTCGATGAGGTGTGTGAGACCGACCGACGAGAAAGGCGAAGACTGAAACGGGAAGGAACCGAAGGCGGCAAGAAAACCACAGTGAAGTGTTTCCTCAGACTGCCTCTTTTTTTTTTTTTGTTTGTTTTGCTGACAAAGCAGGACGACAAGCAAGAAAGGGAAGACGAGAGTTAGATGAGAGCTTGTATTTGCAACAGAATCCTTTTTTTAGTAGGTTTTGTATGGATTGTGTGAAGTCTATCTGGAGGTCTCAAGAGAGCGGCGAAGATGCAAGAGCTGCAACCTTCCTTTTTCGGTTAAAAAAAAAAAAAACTCTTTTTAGGAGGTCGAGAGTTCTTTTTATGTTTCTAAGCTTCTTCCCGGAGAATTAGAGAATGCAGAGGGCTAGAGAGCGACTCTCTGACACAAGGCGTACGAGGCGGGGGTGGAGGGTTGGGGGAGGCCGGCGGGTGGGAAGAAGGCGAGAAGTTTTGGCGTTCCGGGCAGTGCCAAGACCAGCAACAGGATTCCGGCAGCAGCAGGAAAGTGGGAGGTTGGGCCTTTATATAGGGTGAGTCACCGTGCCGGGGTGCTGGCGTCAGGGGTGGCTGGGCCCGGCGGCGGCGGCAAAAGCAGCGACGGACAGATTGCCCTTTCCATGGTTGGGGCCTCTTCCCAGAGCAGGACTAGCGGCTCTTGGGGGGGTATGATGGAGGCAGCATCCTAGGCTGCGCCCCACCCAGCACACCTCGGCTGTTTCTCGTTCGTCCGACGCGTCCTCCACCGCGTTGAGCCCCATCGGCTGGGGGCGGCCGCTGATTGGCAGCGACTCCCTTACTTTCTGTCATTAGTGCCACGGTTGCAGCCAGTTGCCTGGCAGGCCACAGCTACCCTCAGATCCTGCGACTGACCACGGATCCACCACCCTCTCTCCGCCCCCTCGGTCCAATCACGGAGCAAAGACGGTTCACTCGGCGCGCCTCTTTCCTTGCCGCTTTAGCGATGGCAAATGAACAAAAATTCTGCCTGTTTCCAACATCTTTCTTCCACTACTACTCCGTACTCTTGTGAATCAGGTTGACCCTTGACTGAAATAAAGGCTTCATTAATATAAAACTATTGTCAAACAAATACTTTTATATATTGGGATTAAATAGATAATACATCTCTTTCTTATAATTATTTATACAAGTTCTCTTCTAGTTCCCTACTAAATAGATTCCTTTCCAGATGAAATGCTTCTGATTTGCTATAATACTCTCCTTCTCCTCTACAAACAAATTTCTTTTTTGCAGCTGGCAACATCCCAGCTGAGTCGGTGACTCGTAGTAATTTTGGAAGCAAATGATGCTTTGCAGCTGGCCGCGCAAACAGCAGGCGCTTAGCTGCGACAGGTCACTGTGGCGCCTGACCAATCTTACCCGACACAGTCACATTTCCATCCACCCTGTCTTTCCTCCTGGCTAATTAAAGAATCAATCACATCACAAAAGACGTGAGTTTCAGCGACTCAGGATAAGTCAAGTGACTTCGTTTCTAAGTACCTGTCAGATGGAGTAACTACTAGGTATCTAAGTTAGTTATCGGCACTTTATCATCTTTATTATTACTCCGTACCTAGTACTTCCCCAGTGCCAAGGTATTCCCATACCGCAATTACATATGGTATGCTTCATGGATACTCCGTACGTACCATGGGCAAGACAGTTTATTTTGTTCCATGAACATTCCTTGCATAGAAAAATGAAGAACGTTTCATCGAGTATTCTTATCCTCCGTATGTATCACCGTTTATTCAAATAACACGTGTTCTTTACGCAGGTCAGCAATGCCTTAGGTACTCCGTACCTCTCCAGATTCTAGGTACGGAGTACCTAGGTAGAAGGTAGAATAGGCCGAGGTCTAATGTTGGTTATCTACGGGACACTACTGTCAGCGTACTAATAAAGTGAATAGAGGGATCGCCATGTGTACTACATAAGCAATTCACCTAGATCCTTTTCTCCACTACTATGAATAAGTGATAGCTTCCATACTATGTAGTACAGTCGTCGATAGCTTCGAGTTATTCTTGTATGTAGGCCTCATCCTGCTAGAATTGGAAGTTCAGGACTACTTTAGTACTTTACGCATATACCTCGAACAGATCTGATTCGAAAGGCAATACCTGAAAATCATGTAGTATCAAAGGACTGTCAGGAAATTTATCCGGACCTGATGGCTTGTGATTGATTCTTCACCGGCGGAATCGGACCTGTGGACAGGACAGGACAGGACAGGGAAGGACAGTGGACGGTGGACACAAAAACTCGTAGCCGGACTTTTTTCCGGGCCTGCCTGAGACTGTCCGTCGCGACGGAAGCTTCACGGAACGGGCGATTCCCATCGGCGAGACGCTCATTGGTTCGGCCACAGAAAACCCTCGGGTACCACTTACATCAGTTATAAGGTCGAGGGGGTTCCCCAAGAACACCAGCACCAGCCTAGCCTTGAGTGAAGTGGAACTGGCAGTTATTCTCACCGGCGCTCCTTCTCCCGCTTGCTCAGGGAGCAGTTTATTAAGCTCAAGTCCTCCGTGTCGCCTGTCGCGACGGTATGGAGACGGTGCTCCCGTGATCTTTTCTTATCCTGTGATAGCGTTTTCTTTCCAAGCATGGCCTCGAAAAGTGCGGTTTTGCCTCTGATGAGGCATCAAGCGCGATCGTCTACCTCGCTCCCTCCCCAATCATACCGTCGCTTGTCGGTTCTGTCGCGAACTGGTCGCACTAAAGATGGTTTCTCAGCTCTCGCTACAAGGCGCGCCGGTGCCTACCCCTCGGTGCTCGGTGCCCGCAGCTACGGACACGTTCAAGCCCGGCCCTTTTCACAGTCGCTGTCGCGGAATTTGACTGATGAAAATGGTAACTTCGATCCTCGTCAGCTGGATAGAGAGTCGGATGAAGTCGACGTGTGTATCGTCGGTGGTGGTGAGTTAAAAAAAAAAAAAGTCATTTGGTTCCCCTCACCCGGAGGATAGCAACTGACCGTGCTCTCCCCATTTATTAGGCCCCGCTGGCTTATCAGCGGCGATTCGATTGAAACAGCTCGCCAACGAGGCTGGAAACGAAGAATTCCGTGTGATTCTCCTTGAAAAGGCCGGCGAACTGGGAGCCCACATCCTCTCCGGCAATGTTCTCCAACCCACTGCCCTCGACGAGCTTCTGCCAGATTGGCTGTCGGAAGACAACCCGGATCGATTCGAGTTTGCCACGCCGGCGAAAAGCGACAAGATGCGCTTCCTCACAAAGAACTCGTCCTTCCCAATCCCTGCCCCGCCACAGATGCACAACCACGGCAACTACATCATCAGCTTAAACCAGTTGACGAAATGGCTAGGGGAACGGGCAGAGGAGATTGGCGTGGAGGTCTACCCTGGATTCGCAGCGAGTGAGTTGGTCTATAAGCCCGATGGGTCGGTGAAAGGTGTTGCGACCAATGATCTGGGCCTCGACCGGGAGGGCAAGGCGAAGGACACATACGAGCGAGGAATGGAGTTCCACGCCCGGGTGACTCTACTCGCGGAGGGCTGCCATGGGAGCTTGACGAAGCAGGCGATTAAGAAGTTTGACCTTCGTCGCGACAGTCAACCGCAAACATACGGACTCGGGATTAAGGAAATCTGGGAGATTCAGCCGGAAAAGTTCAACTCCGGCGAGATTGTGCACTCGATGGGTTACCCGCTGCCCAAGGATACGTATGGAGGTGCGTGGATGTACCATTTCGGCGACAACATGGTCAGCATAGGTCTGGTGGTTGGCTTGGATTACCCCAATCCGTGGCTCTCGCCATACGGAGAGTTCCAGAAGCTCAAGCACCACCCTCTCTTCAAGGATGTTCTGGAGGGCGGAAAGTGCATCTCCTATGGCGCCAGGGCCCTGAACGAGGGTGGCTTCCAGTCCATTCCCAAGTGTGCGTTCCCCGGAGGCGCTCTGATCGGCGACACCGCTGGCTTCCTGAACGTTCCCAAAATCAAGGGAACCCATACGGCCATGAAGTCTGGAATGCTTGCAGCGGAGGCCACATTTGCAGCTCTTCAATCCACCGACGATGGGACCGTGTTCCTCTACGACTACGAGGAATCGCTCCGCAAGTCGTGGATCTGGAAGGAGCTGCACGAGGTGCGCAACATGAGGCCATCCTTCAGCACCGCCCTCGGACTCTATGGCGGTATTGTCTACTCCGGCCTGGAGGCCTTCGTTTTCCGGGGCAAGATGCCCTGGACCCTGAAACACCACGGTACAGACGCCACCGCCACGGGCAACGCAGCTGATTACCCGAAGATCGAGTATCCCAAGCCGGACGGCAAGATCAGCTTCGACATTCTCACCAGCGTGAGTCGCACGGGTACGAACCACGAAGAAGACCAGCCGGTGCACCTGCAGGTCAAAGACTGGGATAAACACACCGACATCGCATGGCCGCAGTACAAGGGCGTGGAGAATCGGTTCTGCCCTGCTGGCGTCTACGAGTACGTTGAAGACCCGTCCAAGAAACACGGTGTCCGCTTCCAGATCAACGCGCAAAAGTATGTTTCCTGTCATCCCCCTCCCTCTTCGACCCTCCTCTTTGCTAACAGCATCTAGTTGCATCCACTGCAAGACCTGCGATATTAAAGTGCCCACCCAAGACATCAACTGGCAGACTCCTCAAGGCGGAGAGGGTCCCAAATACTTCATGACCTGAGCGCAGGCCTTTCTGGAGGAACCGACATTTTTGCTTGTAAATAATACTTATATACGGATATCATGGCGTCAGTACGGCTTAGGAGCGCCTAGTTATCGCTAGGTACTTACCCCAAAAATTTATATTTTTTTATTCCCCTTCAACAGGAATTTCTCTGTATCAAGACAAGAAACCGTGCTTAGGTAGGTAGACTATTATAGCACAGTGCCGGTTCAGCATCCTGGTCCTTGGGTGGCGAACATGAGTTACCCCCGTGGGGGGGGGGTATTGAACCGTGGAAACCGCCGATTTTCTCTGGTTCCAGCGGTCTAATAGTGTAAACAAACAATCAAGAACATCTACACCATAGAAAATAAAGACCAAGAATAGAATTGGCTTCGTGAAACACAGCGCAGACAGAGCAACCTCTGTCTCTGAGTAACTCCCCTGTGATCGGCTGGCGGTTGCCTTGAGCTGACTGAGTCCGAGGCGGGCCACGTGGATCGACGTTCGAAGTGAGGCGAGCCGTCTGTTTGCTCAGCTCCCTCCACCGCCTCACACCTTCGCTCTCTCTCTTGTCCCCTGCGATCAAAACAATCTCTTTCCCTCTTCTTCTGCCAGCCACCATCCTCTTAACCTTCCTCTGCAGCTTTCCCACCGTTTCTCTGGCCTTATTCCCAGCAATTCGACCGGACGGCCCCCTTATTCCTGGATTCCTTCGCCCAAAAAAAAGGATACGGAGCCACCCTGTCTGCCTTAGGAGCGTACGGTTGTAAAGCCAAGGTTCTCGCCTTTTTCCTTTTGCCTGCCATCGGACTGGAGAACCCGCCGTCAGCGATCTCTGCTTTTATAAATTAACGCGCGAGGTGACTCTGGAGCTGCCAACGATGTCGACCGAAGTGTCTTCAACCCGTCTTTATCTCGGGAATCTTCCCCGCAATGGTATGCAGGCATTCAACCCTTCCTCCCGAAGAAGAAAGTAGAAAAAAAAGGAGAAAAAAAAACCCCCCTCCCCCCGCCGCGTTGTCTTGGATCCTGGCTTGTCTACCGGCATGTCATTCGGAAATTAGGGGTTCTTGTTTGCCTTTTCCCCCCAGTTCTACACCCCTGCCTATGGACAGCCCTGGATGGACGCGCATCGGTCCTGCATGCGTTGTGCCCATTCAGCAGGCTGCTAGGGATCGTGAACGACATGGAGAAACAAGATAGGCCTTGGGGATCTTTGGTTTTCTTCTGTGGCGGTCTTCCATATTTGTCACGAACTGGATCCTTGCTTGGACTGCGAGAAAAGCTGACATTTTCATGGCGCCGATGCTTTTGGCGCTACTGATTTTTTACCTAGTGACCAAACAGGATATCGAGGAACACTTCAGCAGCCATGGCTCTGGAAAGATCACGGAGATTAAATTGATGAATGGGTTCGGTTTCATCGAGTACGAGGATGCAATGGATGCAAAGGATGTTGTTCCAGGTGCGTGCCTCCCTTGCTTCCTTCCTTCGATTGATCGGTGCTGATGCAGAAGTTCTTTCATCTAGCTTTCCGTATGTGATGAATGTCTCTGTTAAACCTTACTTCGCCCACCCCCCCGCCTAACTGAGATGGTATACCAGATGGAAGCGACTTCAAAGGCGAACGTCTCACTGTTCAATTCGCACGTGGGCCACGACGCAAGGAGAATTTCCCCAGTCCGGTGGATCGTCCCAGTGCACCCCGTCCGCGCCGCACGATCTATCGCATGCAAGTCTCTGGTCTTCCAGAAACAAGTTGGCAGGTTAGCAACCCAACCCTACTTCTTCCAAGATCGCTCGGAGGCCAACATGCTGTTGGATCCGTGTATACCACTTGGCTTCTTTTTATATTTCATACCATGTTTTTTGCTTCCTTTTTCTCTCCCCTCTTCTCTTTTGCCCTGACTATAGCACTCGCCATAAATCATCCACTTGGAGCAGGGTATCTCAAGACAACAGACCATGGACTTACTTGACCTTTCCTTTTGGATACTTGACGCTCCGATTTTGGAACCCCCCCTGTGTTTTGATCTTCTTTTGGACTCATACCGGATCTGGACTCCTGGACAAGCAACTGGAACATTCCACTTACACCCTTGCCTCTTTTTTTAGGATCTCAAAGATTTCGCCCGCCAGTCCGGTCTTGATGTTGTCTACTCGGAAACCGGTCGTGAGCACGGCAGAGGGTGGGCCACTCTCCGTTTGATTTCCAGGATGTGTGTCGACTTTTGCTAACCTTTGGCAAGGTTTGTGGAATTTGAATCTGCCAACGACCTGAAGACCGCGGTGGACAAACTCGACGGTCGAGAATTCAAGGGATCCAGAGTGACCTGCGTCGCCGACGTAAGAACCAAAAAACCGCTTCTATCCCATGCAGAGAGGAACCAAACTCATATATATCTATCTCGATAGATCCAGAATCCTGAGGAACGTCCGTTCCGCGACCCCTACCGTTCTCGTTCCCCGCGTCGAGGCTACCCCCCCGTGGATGAGTACGACCGGAGAGGCGCCCCCCCTCGTGGCTACAGCCCCAGAGCTCATTATCGGGAGCGTTCACCCAACTCGATGCGTCGGGACTACTATGAACGTGATGGATACGCCCGCCGCTCCCCTCCGCGCCCCAGGATGGATGATTACCCTCCGCCCCGTCGCCCCTATGAGGACCCCTACGATGCCCGTCTTCCTCCCCCGCCTCCTCGCCACTATGATGATCCATACATGGCCGGCAGACCGTACGCACGTCCTCGTAGTCCTGCCCGGGCCGATTACCCGTATGATCGTCGTGGATATTGGTGATTGCAAGATGAATCCACCTTGTTTTTTTAGAAAAAAAAACAACAACACCCTTTTCCTTGCCCACAACCTCTCAGCGGCCCCGTGTGATTGTTCTCTTTTCCCATTTGGTGAATACCCAATAAGCGATCGCCCTTGATTTATGTATCCATTATGTTGCTCCGAAGTCGAACAAAGTACAAAACTCACGGATTGGCTTTGCTGAATGTACATGCACCCCCTCCCTTCTCTTGCGGCGCAGTTTCTTCCTCACGATTTTTCATGGAGCGAGAGAGAGAATCTTATGATAATGATCTGCTCGATACAAACGAATTTTCTTTTCACTTTACACCATCAGATGGAAAGGAAAAAAGGTCAATCCTGTTGGACATACACATGCCTGGGAATTAACATTCATACTTGAATTTAATGAATATTAAGCCCAGATCTTCAAGTACTGTGGTGTACTCCGTACCTAGGTAGCTAATAACTAACTGCAGTAATAAGCTCTGGTTAGTGATTACCCCACTATGTCGTCGCTGAGGAACAGCACCCCGCCAATTTTATCCCAGCTCACACCTCATCGCGCACATAACAGCAGAAAAGAGCCGAGATTAAACACCTAGCTTCGAGCTCGGAGATACTCTCGAAAGAGGCGCATTGAGGAGACAGCAATTGTTGTGGAGTCGGACTGACGGCACAATTGGTTGCGTTGACTTTTCACAACCAGCTTCTATTTGAATTGCTGAGGTTGGAGCAATTGTTTTTTAGATTATCCCTACTGCCTTTCCAAGATCAACATGGCCGAGCAAAGAATTAACGTGCACATCCCCCCCCCGCCGGCAGTGTTGGACAGCGTCAGCCTGCGCGATATCCAGCTCCCGCTCCCTACAGCCCCTGATCCATGGCACCGCGCAGGCAAGCCGCAGCCCGCGACGGCGTCGATGAAAATCTCATACTCGTCTGCCGTTGCGGCGGCGGCGGCGGACGACGTCTCCCTGTCGCTCGATTACGGGAAGCTGTTCCGCCGGCTGGACGCGGAGGTGCGCGATCTAGGCAAGCAGGGTGCGCCGGGCCATGCGATGGTCAACGTGGATGGGACCCAGCGCGATGAGATCCTCGTCAACGATCTGGCTCAAGATGTTCGTCTTGTGGCTTCGGTGGTCACGCATTGTGGGCTGGATTTATTGGATGAGACGGCGGCGGGGATCCGGCGGATGGCGCATCTTCATGTTCAGACGGTTGAGCAGACTACCTCTTCTACTTCTATCTCTACTTCGTCTTCGCGATTCCCTATTAATGGAGACTACGGTCGGTGTGAGGTCTGGCTGCATCTTCCCAAGGCACTTCTACGCGCCGAGGGTGGATTGCGGTACCGCAGCGTCACGGTCTGGGGATATAAGCAGTCAGAGGAGGAGGAGTTTTCCGAACAGGCGGTGGTCGAGAGTGGCCGGCGGTGTCCCGTCGTGCTGGAGGAGGAGTTTAGGATCGAGGGGATCCGATGCCATTGTATCCTGGGTGTGAACTCGCACGAACGCGTTGAGAAGCAGGCGGTCATTATCTCTTTGGTATTCGAGGGGCCGGGCCAATTGGCGTGGGGGTCTACCGTTATTGATACCTACCAGGCAATGACGAGAGCTGTTGCAGAGGTATTTCCCTCTAGTTTCGTTCTATTCGTTTTACAATCGTTCTTCGTCTTGCTAATCCCATACAGAAAGTCGAAGAGACATCCTTCCAGACCGTCGAGGCATTGGCAACCTTTATCGCACGTATCGCAACCGTCGACTTTTCAAACGAGCGAGTCACCGTGACGGTGGAAAAGCCCAGTGCCCTGTCCTTTGTAGAGAGATCCGGCGTCGAGATTACTAGATCGCAGGCGTTTTTTGAGAAAGCTTGAGAAGTTGACGGGTGTAACCTAATAAAAGCAACGGATGAGACTACCTAATAATAATGATTCAGCCATACTGCAGACTGTCTTCAGCCATAGTACCTTCCTGTTAAACAATCTTCTCTATTGTTAATGCGGGGGAACCTCAACCTGTCACGGATACACGTGACGGCGACGATCTAGATGTGGCTTAGCCTCGCTTAGCTCAGAGTCCCGTGATTGGCTCCCTCTCGCCCGGCCAAGTTCAGCTGCTCTTCAGGTATTCTTTTTGTTCTCGACATCCCACCAACAACACCCCGCTGTGAAGCGTGTTCTTTGTCTTGCGTCGCGGTCCTTACTGCCGTCTGTTCCTACTTGAAACGTCCCTGGGAGGCCTCATCGTCTGTTCCTCTATGTCCCTGTCTGCGTCGAAGCTGTACCTGTCGTCCGCTTTTGTGCCTTTCCCTGGCTCCGTTGCCGGCTCGAGCTCTTATTCTCTGACGTCGAATTCCGACATTTGCATTGCTGACCGGCTGGCTTCTGCTGCATTTTCACAAATTGAGGCCGAGAGCGCTCGTCCATTGTCCGGTTTCTCGATCGGCGAGGTGTTTTGGCTAGGGGTCCAGGGTCCGTCCTGAGGAAGGGCGGACGGTAAACTATTCGGGAAGTTGGGGAGTTTGAGAGAGGGTGCTAATCTAGGGGAGTTGCCTGCGGAAACTCTGCCTACCATTATTACTCAATTGGTTGAATTGGTGTATGAATCTCCTTTCTGTGCTGCTGTTTGTTTTCATATTGATATGCTGATGGTTTCTACTATAGATACTGCTTAACGGGCTTTTTCCTTCCTGCCTGTTCTCCCACATATGCATAAGTGAGCGGTATTAGTTTTGCTGAGACAACCAGCGACCTCTCAGTTGTTTCCTGGCCTTCCGAAGTTTTCTTTCCCCTGGTTTTTATCCGCCAATCCTCGCAGTTTCATTACATAACCATGGACTCCGCGTCGTCTACCGTTCATGACGATCTCTCCGTCGGAGACGTCTTCAGCCCGCAAGCCGACCAGACCCACTTCCGCTCGGAGTTCGGTTTAGTGAACAAGAATAATTCTCATACCCTGAATGAGGACGTGCACGCTGTGCCCAGAGACGATTTTAGAGAAAATGGCTTCCGTCAGGTTGAACCCACCCCTGTGAGCCATCTAGCTGAAAAGGCGCAGCGGCGCAGGAAGAAGAAGAAGCAGCAGCAGCAAGGTTTTGGCCAGATCGCCCCTGCACTCTCGACTGTTCGTGGATTCACGCCCATGGCATCTGGCGACGAAGATTCAGATCTTTCTGCTACGAATTCCAGAGCCCTCAATAGTCCTGTCGTTCAGCCCTCGTCGACAAGTGGAGTCAGTGCTTTGAAGCTGCAAATTGAAGCTCTTAGTTTGTCAGGCGAACGTCCCACCAGTAGCCAGCACTCCGAGACCCACAGCAATGCAAGTGTCTGCTCAGACAGTGACCAGACGGAAGTTCTCACCTGCTACGAGGTGCCTTTAGATCACGATTTTGTCAGCACCGAGGCTGCTGCGCAGGAGGATTCTAACAATGGCCCAAATACAACCGACATTCGTGCCCAGCTGTGCAGAAAGATGACCACGGACGACTTCGAGCCGCTTCTCTGCCTCGGAAAGGGCTCCTTTGGCACGGTTCTCCTTGTGCGTCACGTATTGACAGGCAAACTCTATGCCCAGAAACAATTCCGGAAGGCGTCAATTACCGTGCACAAGAAGCTGGTGGAACAGACCAAGACCGAACGTATGATCCTGGAAAGTGTCAATCGCCACCCTTTCGTGGTCAAGTTGTTCTACGCCTTCCAGGATCATGAAAAGCTGTACTTGATCTTGGAGTACGCCCAGGGCGGTGAATTGTTCCACCATCTCGCCATAGAGCGCATGTTCGACGAAGACGCCGCGGCGTTCTACATGGCTGAAATGGTCCTCGCCCTTGAGCATCTGCACCAGAACGTCGGTGTCATATATCGTGATCTCAAGCCCGAGAACTGCCTGCTTGACCATGAAGGGCACTTGCTGCTCACGGATTTTGGCCTCAGTAAGATCGCCGTTGATGATGCGGACCGCTGCAACTCCACCCTCGGCACGATCGAATACATGGCTCCCGAAGTCGTCCAGGGGAAACTGTATGGTAAGGCATGTGATTGGTGGTCGCTGGGCGCCCTCGGATACGATCTTCTTACCGGGTCACCGCCATTCAAGGCCAACAACCACGCCAAGCTGCAAGAGAAGATAGTCAAGCAGAAGCTCGTGCTCCCTTACTACCTCGGACCCGACGCCAAGGATCTCCTGACTCGCCTGCTCCGCAAGGAACCCTCTAAGCGGCTCGGCTACCACATGCCCAAGGACTTGCAGACCATCAAACAGCACCGATTTTTCCGGAAGATCGACTGGAAGGCTCTGGAACGGCGGGAGCTCACCCCCCCGATCCAGCCGGTCGTTACCGACCCCGCTCTAGCCGAGAACTTCTCTGTCGACTTCACTCACCTGCCTCTGAGCCCGCTCATTGCCAGCGCCGGGTTTGAAGAATCTTATGGTCGCAGCATGGCTCCCCGCGCATCGTCTGCCGGTCTTGATGGCCTGCCCGGCGAGACGGATCCGTTTGGGGGCTTCAGCTTCGTAGCGTCAAGCAGCCTGCTGAACAATGGACTGGGCGCGATGATGGCGGGAATGTAGCGGATTGTTGTATTGACTATGCTTTTTTCTGTCGGCTGCTAGACTTGCCTTGATCAATTTTCTTTTATGTCCTTAAGTCATTGATAGAACTCGAGTCATCTCATTTACCTCAGTGTGTATGTATCCACCACAATCCATATCTGGCTGCATATATTGAGCTTGACGTTTCCTTACTCCGATATTATCCCAGTACCTATTCTCAGACCACTGATTGCGTGCTCGGGGGATGAAGTTGAGAATCAACGCTCCTGTTGATTTGTCCCCCGCCCGCCACATCTTGCTTGGGTTTGCAGCTCCTGAACCAGTCAGAGTTCTTTATAGTAGAGACTTATCTGTTGACAGTAATGGGAATGAGCTATATAAAAGGGTGCTACCGCTCTAGTATCAATTTCCGTCTCTGATAGTTAACTCTATATTCCAGTTTCCTGCCAGGAACAATAACGAATCTACAGTGAACGATCATGGCACCCAATAAACGCCCCAATTTCCTGATCATCGTAGCCGACGACTTGGGCTTCTCGGATTGTGGATGCTTTGGCAGTGAGATCCGGACGCCGAACATCGACCGCCTGGCTCAGGATGGGATCCGGTTCACGGATTTCCATGCGGCGGCTGCATGCTCGTAAGCGATTCCCTTGGTTTCATTTTATGTACAACGTGAAAGATAAATATTGATTCTCCCAGACCGACCCGTTCGATGATCTTGACCGGAACAGATCATCACATTGCTGGCCTGGGGAATCTCATCGAGGTCACCAACAGCCCCAAGCAGACGTCGACGAAGGAATCGAGGATTGCGACAGAGGCTCAGAGAGGTAAGCTAGATAGACAGCCTTGTTGTATCCGTGCTGGACTGAGTCAAAGGATAGGAATGCCCGGGTATGAAGGATATCTCAACGAACGCGTCGTCACCTTCTCCGAGCTGTTAAGAGACGGAGGCTACAAGACGATGCTCGCGGGCAAATGGCATCTCGGGCTCACCAAGAAGCGGTCGCCTCTTGTTCGAGGCTTCGAGCGGTCTTTTGCCCTCTTACCTGGCGCGGCGAACCACTATGGCTACGATCCAGAGATGGAAGAGTATGTCAGAATATCACTGGAACAATTTTAAATATAGCTAATTAAAAAAAAAAAAAAACGGATAGGCGCCCGATATGGCTTCAGACGACGGTGACTGCCCTTCATATGGAGGATGGGGAATACGTCCAACAGCTGCCCCGGGACTTTTATTCCTCGAACGCGTATGGCGACCGGATGCTCCAGTACCTCCGTGAGTGGAAAGAAGAAGAAGAGAAAGAGAAAGAAGAAGACAAGAAACGGCCCTTCTTCGGTTACTACCCCTTCTCCGCTCCTCACTGGCCCCTGCAGGCTCCGAGAGAGTACATCAATCATTATCGTGGAATGTATGATGACGGGCCGGAAGCTCTGCGGCAGCGGCGGCTGCAGAATCTCATCAGGTTGGGCATGATTTCCTCGGACACGTTGCCGCACCCTGTCATCGCAGACGAGGTCAAGGAGTGGGAGGAGATGACCGAGGAGCAAAGGAAGTTATCCTCCCGTGCCATGGAGGCATATGCCGGTATGGTTGAGGTGAGTGTGTGATCTGCAAACAGTGTCAAGAGTTTCGTTTTTTGATCTGATTTTGTCAACTCTCCAGTGTATGGATTACAATATTGGTCGAGTAATCGACTACCTGGACGAGATCGGAGAATTGGATAACACGTTTATCATGTTCATGAGTGATAATGGCGCAGAAGGCGCAGCCTATGAAGCCATGCCGGTTTGTTTTAACCTTTCCTTAAAGAGAAGATGAAGAAGGGAAGAGTGTTACTGACGCGGGATTCTGGATAATTATTAGCTTCTCAAGAGGCCGCTGCAGGAGTACCTTGAGAGATACTATGACAATAGCCTCGAGAATATCGGCAACGGCAACTCGTTCGTGTGGTACGGACCTCGCTGGGCTCAGGCAGCTACTGCCCCGTCGAGACTATTCAAGGCCTTTACAACCGAGGGGGGTGTTCGAGTCCCATGTGTGCTTCGATATCCGCCCGTGCACGGCAAATTAGACGGCAAAATAGTTGACGCCTTTGCGACAGTCATGGATATTGCACCCACTATCCTTGAGCTCTCCGGCATTAGCCATCCTGCCCCGACGTACCAGGGCCGCGAGGTGGTGTCTATGAGAGGATCCAGCATGGTGTCCTGGCTAAAGGTTAGAAGTTCTTTCCCGAGGATTATATTTATTTGTCTGACTTTGAAATCAAAGGGCGAGACCGACAGGATCCACGAGGTTGATTTCGTCCAGGGCTGGGAGTTTTGTGGTAAAGCGGCCATCCGCAAGGGAAACTGGAAGGCAGTCTTCATTCCCAAGCCCAAGGGACCCGAGAAATGGCAGCTGTATAATCTCTCGGCGGACCCAGGGGAAGTGCACGATCTTGCAGAGGCTCATCCGGAAATACTGAACGAAATGATCCAACTCTGGGAGATTTACTCCGACGAAGTGGGCGTGATCCCGTTGCTACCAGAGCTGGGGAAATTCATCGAGGCGACCGAGGAACAAATGCCGGTATGGTCCCCTCCCTTCCCTTCAATTTGTATAGTGCATGTCATTTAGAGACATGCTAACCTGCATGAACAACAGGAAGATGCATGGATGGAGTATGAATACTGGAAACCGGGGGCCCTGAAGAATCCCGAGGCGTTCACCAGGGAGGTGCCTCGCTTCCAACGCTTGAATACCAGGTAGTAGATAGTTTGCAGGCATTCCAAATGCACCTTGAAGAAGACAGTGAACATCTTGACGAATAGATCTGGCGAAAAACCAGCCACTGTCGATACGATCTTGTTTATTCGATGAGCTTCACCAGCCACTGACCCACTGTCAGAATAACCATAATTCAGCTCGTATTGAACACGTCGGATTGAAGGATTTCTAGAGCTGTAGTGCCTGAATAGAGAGAACTGCGTAGTAACAGTAAGTACCTCCACTTGAGTGATTGTTTAGCTAAGGTAGTTGATAGTAACAGTTCTTATAATTATACGGAGAACAATACGATACTTGAGTAGAGAATCACGTGGGTCCTTGACGAAGTGGCGCTTCTTCCATGGTTTATCAACCCCCCACCAAAGGAAGACTTCCTCTCGACTGTTCTGCGTCCCGTTGGGGGTCCAGTTGGCTGTTCTTGCTGCGAGAAATGCTTTTTATCCGTGTCGCGATGCCCCCGCGATCAAAGTGCCGCCTCTCTGTCGATATAACCACGCCTTGAGTGGAGAGAACTGTGGATTTACCGGGTGTGTCGCATTCTATTAATCGCTACCACTAGAACGTCTGGAGGCGCTTTATCACCATGGAGCAAGCTAGCGACAGTACGCCGTCGCAGGCGGATTCGCTGCAGGTTCCGACGAGACAATCAAAAAGCAGTTCAAACCCTCTCAGTTCCCCGGGAGAGACGCCGCAGACTTCGTCGGGGAGAAGTGACTTTTTCGCCGCTCACGGGGCTCCAAGACCAGTGCCACCGTCGAATGCAAAGGTTGCGATACCGCGACAGCGAACAAACACCGTCCATCGAGCGACCCGACGGGTGCCGAGAGCCTGCGAATCTTGTCGGCAGCGAAAGACAAAATGCAGTGGCGATACGCCTGTTTGCCGCCAATGTCGTGAACTCAGGGTACATTGCCAATATCCAGTAAGCTGGCGGGAGAGAACAAAAAAGTAAGATATTGAGTCTTGTGTGTGGTATGGACGAGCTGACTCTTGGAATCAAATAGGCAGATGGACCGGTTGACCGCAAGAGCCCATGACTTTGAGGCTCTGCTGAACGAGATCGGCAATAGCGTGGGAGGAAAGACTGCAGAGAGCATCCGCCAGTTGCTAGACAAGGTATGTCGGATCTTCTGTTAAGGGGGGTAAACGTGTCTTGAGTCTGACTGCAAGTAGCATTCTCTAGATCATGACTTTCATTCAGCCGACCCCAATTCCCATTCCGAAGTTTCTCGTGACGAACCTGAGATCAGCTCACCGTCCTCAATTGGATCCCTGGATGCCATTGACAGAGTTGAAGAAGACCTCAACCGAAGCGAGAGTTCCCGCGCCACTGGATATATGGGGAAGAATTCAGAAGTTGTTTGGATGCAAAGACTCCTCAAGGAAGCCGAGCAGCGCTCGAAAGGGCAGGCAGGCACCTGGGAACCGGATATGGAACACTCACCATCCGGTGCTGACCTCTCTATCAACTCAATGAATTATCATCTCGACGACATAGATATTTCTGTCCCGGAACCAGTCCAGATGGACTGGATCCCTCCACGAAATATCGCGGACCATCTTTTTGAAGACTATTTGAAAACGGTTCATCCTTTCTTCCCCATTATCAACCGCCCCCTCTTTACCGCACAGTACACCACATTCTTCGATCGCCACGGTCAACCTAATGCTAAGTGGATGGCCATTTTGAACATGATCTTCGCTATCTCCGCCAAGCATGCGCATCTTACCCAGGCTCCATGGCGTGGGGAGGAGAAGGATCACTTGTACTACTTTACTAGAGCAAGGTTCCTAAGTATGAACGGAGACGTCCTCTTCAGCCATCCAGATCTTCAACAAGTCCAGGTGGAAGGGTTAATCTCGTTCTATCTGCTTGCATCTGATCAAATAAATAGGCAAGTCATATTGCACACATCTATTCTGAACATGCTTCAAGCGCATTGCTTTCTCTATTCATTATAAAAATTCATTCTTTCTAACGAATCATTAGGGCGTGGACAATATCCGCCTTGGCCATCCGTTCGGCAATCTCATTGGGAATAAATATGAAGATCATGACAGACTCGACTCCAAACACGGCAAAAGAAGCACGCTATCGAGTCTGGTGGTGTCTTTACACCTTTGAGCACAAGCTTGGGATAATGACTGGCCGGGCCACATGCATCCTAGATGGCATTTGCACCAGTCCCTTGCCGATTCCTTTTGAAGAAGATCACCTACAAGACCCAATCCCAACCCAGCTACTGAACGACCCCAACATGCGAGATGAGAAGGTCGGATCCGCAGTGGCGAGCAGCCTGGTCCGATTGATGCCACTGAATCCAACAAATGGCAAGGAAGCGCATCACAGCGACCTCCCAAGAAATACGTCTTTCCTGAAAAGCATACCTCCAAACCAAGGCCTTTGCTTTCTTTACTATACCGATCTCGCCGTCATTGCACAGGAAATCATCGACAAGGTCTATTCAGCGCAATGTGCGATGACTCCGTGGGCGCATATCGAAAACCGAATCGGAGAGCTGAAGGCTCGAATCGACCTTTGGTACTCCTGTTTGCCAGAAGTCTACGATTTCACCAAGAAAAAGGATGATGACGGGCCGGAGTTGATCCGTGGAAAGTTACGCCTTGCATTTCACTACTACAGCAGTCGAATTATTCTTGGTCGTCCGTGTCTTTGTCGCCGGGATGCACGGGCGACAAGTCCAACAAAAAATGAATCTTTCAGTCACAAAATGGCCGTCGTCGCTTTGGAGTCCGCCATGGGGCTACTGGATCTCATCCCGGACGAACCCGATGCTATCCAACTGTACCAGATTACCCCATGGTGGTGTGTCCTGCACTATATGATGCAAACCGTGACCGTGCTTCTCCTGGAACTATCCTTCGGAAGCGTCCATATGCCTCAGAGAGAAAAGATTATCCTCGAATCAACGAAAAAGGGGATCCGTTGGCTTTTTGCAATGTCCGAATATAGCACCGCCTCGCGGCGGGCATGGCAGTTATGCGATAATACTCTCCGCCGGATCGCCATCGGAATGGAGTACGATGTCGAAGACATGCCCTCATTCATATACCAGCGTAAACCGGAATCTCCGATCCGTGCCCCGGACGTTGATTCAGGTCTGCCATCTATGGTATCCCCCACTCCATACTCCTGGGGTGACGGTCTGAATGCCACCCCTACAACTAATGGGTTTCACCAAGAAGCCCATGGCTATACGGTCCCACAACAGCCTCCCCTGACATCAAATTACATGCAGGACGCTTTTGGCTTGGTGGATCGGCCGATTGAGTCGGATACGTTCTTCCCATATGACCCTATCAGTGGGGAATTCATCCGCTCCTTCTTCCCTAATCCTACTGATGGGGACCAAAAAGATCCTTGGATGGAGTAAGCGATATCATCTATTATGAGGGTTTGAATCTCTTCGGAAGTTCAAGTGCCATGTATTCGGAGCCATATATGCCATATACTGTACTATTATACCTAGGCTTTCTAAGAATGAACTTGATACAGGTTATCCTTAGAGTCAAACCTATTTTATTTATCTAAGAACTATGATCTGTACAGGTAAATCCCAGCTTGACAGGTAGTATACACTAACTAGAGTAAAAAAAAAGAATATAGATACAGATATGTTCGCACGGGGTGTAAGCTTGTATGGTGTATATAAAGCCGCAAGAAGGGCAACGGAGGTTTCATAACGCCAGTATGCAAAAAATCGACTTGTGCCATCCCTGTCTTTCTATTTGAATGCCGGACCCTAAGATGACCAAGGATGTTGTATAGAAAGGGAAAAAACCAGCTAGTGTTTCTTTCCGAGGTGTATCCGATGGTAATTCCTAATGCGCTCGAAGTGGCCGCCCATCTCTCTCTCGATCTGGTCATCGGATAACTGGAAACGCCGGAATTTGCCGAGACAGAAACCGAGAACAACGTCCGGGTCTGTGGTGGTAGAGGTGGAAGAAGGTTCGCTGCCCGCGTGGGCCTGAGACTCCTCCGACTCTCGAATAGCCGCCTGGGTGATGATGCGGACGGTGTTGAGATCTGGAATGGCGATTTTGCCGCGTTGCTGTGCGAATCGAACGGGGTCGAAGTGCGGATCGCCTCTTCGAAAGTTGCGTTCGTGGGCGCGGTAGAGATTCGTGATACCGCCCTCCCGCAATCGGCTCGCAGAGAGGGACGCCGGTTCGACGCACCACCGTTTCCAAAGCTGTCTCCCGGCTGCACTTCCAGACACGTCAACAACCGCTGCAAGGAGGGTGTTGAAGGCTTCCGCGGGAATGTGGACGAGGGTCCGTCGCGCGAACTCCGGATTGTATTGCAAGGTCACTTGGGGAGCAAGGTCCTGTAGAATACCCGGGATGGACTTCAGGACTTGATGTAAGCTGTATAATGCTTTGCGGTGAAAGTCTCTTATTGGCAGATTTGTTGGAGAATCAAACTTCCCATTGAAGAGCCCCAAGAAGAGATCCTTTGCTTGGGCTAATGATTCTTCTCCCTGTTCATTTTTCCCGGCATCAATTTGATTCTCAGCACCGTTGTGGTTCATGCGAAGTAGAGCGGCGGCCAATGTGGTGACATTGCTATGGCCCCAGGATCGCAGCTTATAGTCTCGGAGATATTTCAACATGTCTGTCGCCAGCTGCAAGTTCCCCGTGGAGATCCTGGCATTCAGAATGGCTTTGAGAGTATTCGAGGAGAGTGGTGGAGAAAGTGATTGGGTGACCTGATTGCAAAGAGTAGTGTTTTTGGTAGCGGACGCGAATCGAAGGATAGACGGCGCAATCGCCTGGTCACCATATTGAATGGGAGAGATTGGAGGTCCGTCCACATCGTCAGAAAAGAGCAACCAGTTCCCGAATTCATACGCCCGGGATGCCGTGGCAAGGTCGAGCAACATGGCGAGAGTCACGTTTGAAAGGCCTGGAATAGGTGACCCGTAAATATGACCTGTTTCGGGAGGCCCCAAGTCAAGAGACGTTAAGTCTTTGGCATCAAGCTGTTCGAATTTCTCGAAGAACTGAAGGATGCGTTGGGACTTGTTCGAATCAGCGATCTGCTGTACCCAGGTAAACGAGTCAAATGCGCCTCCGATCTGGCATAAGAAAACATAGCATCGAATATTGTATTCGATAAGGCCCGGGAACGCAAAAGTCTCGTCATATAGTTGCGTTTGGGTGATATTAGATAACTCCTCTTTAAGGGTGGATACTTGATCGTCCCAGGGGGGTCGAACATTGTTGTGGGATTTCAACAACTTTTCCAAAGAGGATGGGTCGACAGCAGGATCAATGCACTCTGATTCCAATATTCGAATAGTGAGCCTGTTACTTGTTCTCGTGGTTGAGCCAAGATCCGTACAGGACTCCTGATTGATGATAAATCGCAAGCGATCGATGTTTTGCAACAGGGCACTTGGTGATAATCCACTCGGGCCCACGCCGAGATAAACTTGATTCACTAAGCCGTCCATTAACGATTCGACAACTTCCTGGCTGATTGTTCTTTTCGCGAGTCCATGGAAGGCGGTACTCTCCTTTCTGGATCTTGTCAAAGAATGATCGTCGTTTGAATCGCTCCAGAATTCTTGGATATCAACGTTAGTTTCTTTTACAGCCTTGAGGTTCCCGAGAAAAGGTATCCAGCTCTTTACGCCCCAGGCTAGATGACCAGTTCGCGCTTTCATTTGTTCAAGGAGCCATATCCCTTCCATGACATGTCCATGCTCCACACAGCACCAGAGCACAAGTTCAAACCATATCTCAGGGCCCAGTTTTCGAATGCCTATGTTCCAGTGATTCAAAGGAAGATACGGGGATTCCTTTCCCGCAGCAGCAGCTTCAGCTACCATGTCAGCCTCGTGAACGCGCCACGCCGCATCGGTCAGAACATTCATGATATGCGTTGACAAAAAGTGCATGCTCGGGGGTCGATACAGGGTCACACCGTCATCTGGCCGAGTATATTTGTATACTTTTTCTGAAATCGAACCCGAATGATGCAGGCGTGCCAACAAATGGAAGACGTGAGACATTGCAAGGTCTGAGGTATTCGAGGGAGAATCTGCGGCTTCCAAGATGATCAATCCGAGACCCCGCCAAACCTCAGCCATGCAACGTTGTGAGAGGTTGTCTGTACGCGAGCGCGCCGTCGAGGTATTCAGACTGTGCCTAAAAGCCGTACTTCGTGCATCCGGGGCTAGTGGAAGAGTAGTCATCGGCGTGTTGCTAGAAGTCAAGGCATCCAAGCTTTTTCCAGTGCTTAAACCCCAATCTAGGTTTGACAGAGGGCGAGCAGGTGTCGAAGTGTGTCCAAGAGCCTCGGCAGAGTCGATCAACATGCTCAGAAGAGAGTGTGCGGCGTCCCACCTGTTGTGTTTGAGACCAAGATCGACGATGGGGTTAACGTTATCAGAAGCTCTCGCTTTGGAGAGCACAGTGCATAATTTGAGACTTCGCTCCGACATGACGTCGATTGCTTGCGATGCATTTCGGGGATCGACCTGTCCTGTAGACATCGGGCCATCTTTTAACGGCGGAGGCAAAAACTCTTCGAGCTGGTGTGTCCAAGTAGCCAGTCTTGATTGCGCCAACTTTGGCTGTCCGGGGCGCACGGCGCCGGCGGAAAACTGCCGACTCCATAACCGTGACCCATCCTGATTTCTCTGGGTATTGAAACTGGGTATACGAAAAAGCCACGAGCGGCGTGTGGAACCAGCGAGTTCGAATGAAAATGACCTGCGGCCTAGATGTACAAGACGGCCTGACCCGAGGCACTGTTTCATGACACGGCGACGAACGGAACAGACGAGGTCAGGAAGAGAGCGAATAAATTCTCAAACGGGTGTGAGCGAGGTCGGAGGCGCATATCTGGTCAATCGACTATGTTCAATTCCTTTCTGAAATAATAAGCCAGAGCTCCGCAAGTTGCTGTAACTGGAAAAAAAAATCGCCCTCTGTTTTGACGGCAGGAAACCAGCAGCGAAGAAAAGCCGCGATTGGGCTGAGTCAGCAGCTGGACTCAACAGCCAATCAAGGCGAGTTGAATCCATAAAGCTCTCGAGGTGATATGGAGTGTTTCTTCGCTTTTCATTTATTGATATTAGATGGGATTGAATCTCTAAGAATAACTACTGACTGGGTAGAATTGAAGTAATGGCAGAGTGACTGGGAATTTAAAGGTTGCCTATCTATTTAGAAAGGCAGTCATAGTGGCGGCTTGAGATTAGGTGTAAATAGATAGATAACTAGTTAGTACATAACCATGTACTAGGTAGTAAATAAAATAGTATATTAGCCCAGCTGCTGTATTATACTGATATGAGATACTGCATTCTTAATATCTATAATGTAGTATATGATCTTTATCTGTGCTATACAAGAGTTAAGGTATTAGGGATACCTTAGGTACCTCTATATCTACCTGTAAGTAAATACCTGCATTCAGGTACCAACACAACCTTTTAAGAGCTGCTATAGAACTCAGCATCTTGGAATCAAGCACCTCAAGCATCATGAGCAATGATTTTCCAACTAATTGCCAGTTTCTTTGCTGTATCTACCAGTTGATTCTACCCAGGTACAATCCGGATTACCTCCGGTTGGGCTGTTATCGATAAGCGAAAGTGGAGCAATTCGGATTCATCGCAGAATGTCTTCACTAGACGGAGCGGGGAAGAAACGAATCTTCTTGCCTGGCTCCCTAAACATTATCTCACTCAGGGCATAGCCGCGCTAGCCGTATCAGAGAATCCTAGATGCATATCTTGGTAAACGATTGCTTTGTTCCTGCTATTTGGACTGCAGAATACGATGCTGACGAGTACGGTGTCATTCAGGTCACAAACGACGACGGTCCGCCGTCCAACCAGTCGTCCCCCTACGTTCATTCGCTAGTAGACTCTCTCCAGTCTGCAGGACACACTGTGTCTGTGGTTCTGCCTCATCAACAGCGGTCATGGATCGGTAAAGCACATCTGGTGGGGGCGTCAGTGAAGCCCACCTATTTCCGCCCCGGAACCCTCCACCAGGACGACGGCACCGTGCACCACCTTCCTCGGGGCGAGAATGACGAAGACGGCGATGAGTGGATTCTGATCGACTCGACACCTGCCAGCTGCGTTCAGATTGGTCTTTTCCATTACTTCCAAGACCGTGGACCCATCGATGTTGTCGTTTCTGGCCCCAATTATGGCCGCAACACCACCACCCTTTTTGCCCTGTCTAGCGGAACCCTTGGTGGTGCACTGGAGGCTGCTGTGTGTGGAAAGCGCTCGATCGCTCTTTCATATGCATTCAGCTCGCGTAATCACGACCCTGTGGTTATCGCGGAAGCCTCCCTCCATTCCGTCCGATTGATTGAGCACCTATGTCAGAATTGGGCAGAGGGTGTCGACCTCTACAGCATCAATGTTCCGCTAGAGCCTGGTGTTAGTGAGAACAAAGTTCTTCTAACCGAGATGCTCGAAAACCGTTGGTCAGGAAGCTGCTTCGAGGCAACGGATCCTGCGCTTTCCGGAGAGGGACCTGAGCTGCAGGAACAGCTTTTACGAAACCAAGGTGAAGGAGGGGAGGCCATACAGGATGATTCCAACGTAGAGACGTCTGGGAAGAGGAACAGAACTCCACACAAGCACTTTAAGTGGGCTCCAAAGTTCACAGACGTTTATAAGAGCGTCGAGGAGAGCGAGCCAGGGAATGACGGTTGGGTGGTCAAGGAGAATATGACTAGGTATGTTGTGCACTCGGAATACTTGCATGTCTCTCTTGGAGAAGTCTGCTTATCTATTATCCTAGTGTCACCCCGCTGAAAGCAAACTTCATGCATACTCCTGGTATCCAAGGAGAGATCAAACTGTGAGTCGAATCTGCCGGTGCCGCGCTGTCAAGTCAACCTGTTTCAGGGTATATAAGCTTTTACTACATTATATATATATATTTATATAGCCTTATGGCTCTAAGATATATATGCCTGCTTATGTTGGACCTGTTTTCTGCTCCCGCACATCGTTATGATCAATTATGCATTTATTCTGATGGCCATGGGTTGTAGATCAGGTAGTGGACCAAGCTTCTACTCCATAATCGACTGCGATGTTCCATATGTGCAGAGTTTAGTGGAACAAGCTCTTCAGAGACGTCTTCCAGGGTCAAAATATCAATCAATCTCCTCGGTTTCAGAGCTCCCGGATCACACCAAGCCTGTTTTCCAATACCGTGAATATGAGCGCCTCGAATTCGACCATATCATATCTCACTCCTCCACGTCTCTGGCAAATGCGTACATTATTCGCAAAGCTCTTATTCGGAAACACTACCTGTCGAATACTATAGCGAACTGGATATCTAAGCACCCCGAGAGTCTATTAAAGAATCACTTCAAGCCTGCGGTTGATTTCGAGCTTGATTACGCTGAGTTTCTTGACGAGGCTCTTATGGAAGCTTATGAACTACGGGAAAGCTTAGAGCTCAATGAACAACGGTCCGAAGAAGAGAAGGAATGGTGGATCCTGAAGCCAGGAATGAGTGATAGAGGCCAAGGAATCCGTCTTTTTAACAGCGAAGAACAGCTCCGTGAGATTTTTGAGGAATGGGAGGTTGACGACTCGGATGACGAGAGTGGGTCAGAGAAGCCAGAAGATGAGGCGCAAAACAGTGAGCGAGATGACCACCGAGTCGTCACATCTCAATTGCGCCATTTCATTGCTCAACCGTACATCGACCCGCCTCTGCTGCTACCGTCATCCAGCCAGAAGTTCCATATCCGGACTTATGTTCTGGCTGTCGGTTCTTTGAAGGTTTATGTCTACAAGGAGATGCTCGCCCTGTTTGCCGCGAAACCGTATTGTCCTCCCTGGGAAGAGGAGGATGAGGTCAAAGATCTTGCCAGACATCTGACGAATACGTGCTTCCAGGAAGGCGGAAGCAGCAATAAGGAAAGCGTTAGGCGATTCTGGCAGCTAGACCATCACGTTCCTGGTCTCACTCCCGACTGGAAAGAGAAGATATTCGATCAGATCTGCGAAATCACAGGCGAAGTCTTCGAAGCTGCCGCTCGGGGTATGATGGTTCATTTCCAGACCCTCCCAAACGCCTTTGAGTTGTTCGGTGTGGATTTTCTAGTTGACAAGGAGGGTAGCGCTTGGCTTTTGGAGCTCAACGCTTTCCCGGACTTTGCCCAAACTGGAGAGAATCTGAGGGATGTGGTTGTCGGTCAGCTCTTCGAAGAAACTGTGGATATTGCCGTAAAGCCATTCTTCGGTATCGAAGCAGCCAAGGAGACCGATAACCTCAGACTCGCTGTCGATTTAGACCTGGGAAGAAACACATAGAGGGGCGTTGCTATTTCAAAAAGCTCGATATCTTCCTTCGATACATATTTACTGCATTTTGGCTGGTTAACCGGGGAATCAATCTTATGGCGAATTGCCTACTAAAAGCAATATTAGACTTCAGACATTGAACTACTTAATTTGTTGTATTGCGCCAACAGATTTATGGCTTCAAATTGTTCTATCTTGAACCTGCATGAAGATAAACGGCTCTCTTATGATGATGCCTGCTCTTTCCATCTGAAGCTATAGTGAATGACCTCCCAATGGACAGTGACGGCCCCTTCCCAAAACAGTAAAACTCAGGTGATCTGCTCCTTCCCTCTTTCTTCTTTCCCCCCTCTCTTTACGATTTGATTTCTCTAGATTTGTTTCTCTCCATCAACCTAGATTCGATAAATAAAAAGCTAACTCAGCGTCCGGCAAGCTCTGTGGGTTTCTGGTTTCTATCTTTGTTGCCCGTCTACGGCATCCAGTACGCTGTTTGTCGTGTTCATCTAGGCATATCCCAAAATGAAGGACTTGATGCCTTACAATCCTGGACAGGGAGGTATGCCTCTCATTGAGAGGCTTCACTGGTTCTCGCCGGGCATCGCTACAGCTTACTATCTCGTCTCTCTACTTGCAAGCATCGCCTGTGGTCATCATGGACAGAGAGACGGAAGGCGAAGAACTTCCCGGACAGTGTCATTCTGGTCGATCTTGATTGTCCTCCTTACATACGTGGGTGACCTGTGACCCTTCCAAATTCTTACCAGAGTCCTAAATCAATAATCAATCCTAGGTTTTTGAGTCTTTGATCTTGCTCCATGTTCGATATGCCCGCAATGATATGACGATCAACAGCATGGTTGTAAGACTACATGCTCCTAAAAACAGAATCCTTCTGTTATCTCAAAACTAATTGAATGGCTTCTTAGGTATTTGCGTTGAGTTCTGTCTTCCTTTGGTTCATCCTGCTTGTGGGATACATAGAGCGACAATTCCAACCCATTTATCCGCCAGCTGGATGTTTCATCATATACTTATTTACGGAGACCATACTCCTGATCCTACCTTTGACACATATGGAGGACATAGACCAGATGACTATGGGTATTGATAGTGTTCGAGCCCTACGTTTAGTTCTGATCGCGGTCCTCCTCGGTACTCTGTCATTGCGAATCAGACACCATGAGGTCAGGAGCAATCTAATGGACGAAGAGACAAGGCCTCTCTTGACGGAATACTGTATACAAAGCGGCAATAATCCGCGGTCATACAGAGCCTATGACTGTAGTAGAGCAACTAAGCGCAGTCACTCGAATCAGAGAGCTTCCGGGAATTTGCACCAGGATTCATCAAGAATGTTCAGCGCAATAAAGGTACGTGGATAAAATCATCCCTAAAGATGTTACAGGAAAGAGCCTATCCTTATTAACTACAAGTTCTTTCTTCCCTTTTTCTGGCCCAAAAAAAATCGACTTCTTCAGTTAAGCTACCTTGGAGTAGGCCTTTGCTTACTAGCGGAGCGTGTTCTTAATATGCTCATTCCTCTACAACTGGGAAGGATTGTGAGCTTGTTGAGCCAGAGCAATGGTATGTAGCCTCACCTTTGAAGACGTGATTCTGGGCTGTTTCCCTAAGTAGCAAAAAGGAATACTCTGACAAAAATACAGAAGCCATTCCGAATAGAGAGCTGCTAATAATTGCAGGCTTGCAATTCCTCTGCTCCAGTGGTGGTATTCCCGTGGCGCGAAAGTATCTTTGGTTACTTCTTGAGAATTCTTCCTACATTGGGATCAGCACAGCTGCATTTGAGAAGATTATGTCATTGTCTGGTGATTTCCACGATGGCAGACATCCTGATAAATCCTGGGAGTCCATCAACAGAGGGCTGTCTGTTAGATATAGCTTTCGCACAATCTTATTCCAGATACTTCCGCTAATCATCGACCTGCTTCTTGATATGAGCATGTTATGCATCATATTCGGGGCGAACATGGCACTGATTACTGCAGCGGTGATCGCTACTTTCTTGTGGTCATCGTGGAAGATTTTATCATTGCGGCAAGAGAGGAAAAAGAAGCTGATAGCAGATCAGGAAAAAGAGCAGAGTATTCTCCGCGAATCGACGTCAAATTGGCGAACGGCAGTGTGCTTCAACCGCGCCTCTTATGAGAGATCACAATATCGATCTGCATTGATGAACAAGACCAATGCTTCCGTCAGCCTTTGCAAGTACATTTATCTTGAATCAGTTATACAATCGTCTCTGTTGATCGCAGGAGTAATGGGGACATGCTTTCTAGTATTGTGTTCAGGTACTCAGGGAGATCAAACTGTGGGCGGCTTGGTGGTGCTACTCGGTTACTGGGCCCAATTGGCTGGTCCTCTTCGGTTCTTTGCAAGTGGACTTCAGAATGTCAGATTTGAGCTCATTAACGCCGAGGAACTGATTTCTTTGATGAAAGAAGCACCTAGTGTTGTTGATGTCTTACATGCAATGCCTCTAATGCTGGAAGAAGGGGTAGTCCGGTTCAGAGATGTCAGCTTCAGTTATGATGGCCCAAGGCGAGTATTGCATCGTCTCAATTTCAAGGCCGTAGGGGGCAGTAAGACTGCAATCGTCGGCGAAGCAGGAGCCGGCAAGTCGACTATCTTGCAGCTCATTCTCCGTTTGTATGACAGTACAGACGGGAAAATCACAATCGACGGGCAGAATATCCGGGAAGTCACTCAAGAGAGCTTGCGGGCCAACATCGGAATCGTCCCCCAAAACCCAACTCTTTCCCATGGTACGATCCTTGAAAACATCAAACAGGCCAGCGCGTTCGCCACAGATGAGCAGGTCTATGAAGCATGCAAAGCAGTGGCTCTTCACGACCGATTCCTGGCACTGGCAGACGGATATCAAAGTTTAGTTGGTGAGGGTGAGGTTGATTTATCCCAAGAAGAGCTTCGACGTATCGCCTTTGCACGAGTAATCGTCAAAAACCCAAAGATCGTTCTCCTGGATGAACCGAAGAGAGAAATAGAAAGGAAGGCAGAAGAGTCGATACAGGCTAACCTTGACAAATTCTGTGCTGGACGCACAACTATTGTGGTCTCGTAAGAGGATCTCTCTAAGCAGGGCTTCCAAACCAGATAACCAGGCTGATAATTCGAACAGGCATCAACTTTCAACTGTGACCAATGCCCAAAAGATCTTTGTCGTTCGCAATGGGAAAATAGTAGAGCATGGATCTCACAACTTATTGCTGAAGACTGGTGGCCATTATTCTCAAATGTGGTCACAGCAAAATGGAATAGGGCAGACTTCTGACATCATTGTGTCAGATACAGGGAGTCAATCCCAACAATATGCCTCAGTATCAACGGGTTATGATTCCTTTAAGCTTGGCACCAAGGAGAATGACCATTTCCCTGAGTGGCGAACGGCTGTAGGGATGACTTCAAGCGAACCACATTCGGAAAGTTCTCGACAGCCAACGTTGACCGTCACCGGACCCGGCAAAACAAATAAAACATGCAGTAAGGCTTTGCGACACTATACCGCAGGGGTTGAAGACACTGGCCTGAAGAAAGTCATCTGGAAACCGGATGCTCCGGAGTTCATCCCACATTCAGGGAGGCCTGCGCTATTGGACCCGAGGTGTGGAAGTGAGCCTACATTTGGCAAACCAGAGAATTATGTGGAACACGGTAATATTGAAAAGCCTGATATCTCGAAAACTTGCCCTGTTCTGGACGAGAACAACGGAATAATACGAAGGTATCTCGAAAAGGTAGCGGAAGGCGAACGATCCAATCACCCAAATGAGGATGTGACAAGGTCCAGTTCTGTCTTAGAGGAAAGGACAAACACACAAAGAATTAACACTGCCTCGGTGAGAAGAGCGAGCGAAGCTCTAGTGACAATAAGACGGTTCAAGAGTCGAATTCCACGTCGAGGGATTTCGAAAAGCGAGCCTGCCGATTCTGGGATGGCGGAGGTCTGGAACGGTTCTGATTACTGAATATGGAGTTCAAAAGAGATGGGAAAGAAGAAGAGAAAAAAGAGAGACTCGGAAGCATGATACAGATATTATCGAATGATGCAGGACTGTTTTCCGGAACCAGGGCTGGCCAGTTGATTTCAGTATTTAGGCTGTCTCGATGAAGGCTTAAAGTCGCGAGGTGGATACGTTGAATGAACACCTCAAAGGCATATAAAACATGACTGCCTTGTCTGACTGAGAACGAGGGCACTTAATAAAATAGCATGACTTTGGTAAATGCCCGGCGTATCGATGTATTCACCCCGACGTGTTGCTCTTGCAGTGCCGTGCATATTGCAATTGCGTGGGCAGTTTTATTACCAGTAAGTGTTGCTGGATATTAGTAGATTGGCTTTCCACACATGGCAGGTGAATGGCCAGCGTCTAGTTTCAGCCGAATCTTTGTTTTGCGAGTGTTTTCAGCCAGCCGATAGTCTCTTCTTCTTTCTGGCGGTACTTTTGCAGTCGTTCCTCGCGCTCAGCAGCGCGGGCCCGCAGAATCTCCTCTCGGCGGATTTCCCGTTCGTTCTTCTTGCGGCTCTCCTTTTCCTGTGCCTTCTTTATCTGGTCCAGATCGTTCTCTCCGGAGCCCATTAGTTCGTCGTCCGGGGCCGCGTCGGTCGGCGAGCCACCGCGGCGGGACTCGGCGAACGCCTTGTTGGCGGCGGCGGCTTCACGGCGTTTCTCAAGGCGTCGCTCGTGGGTGCCCGGTTCTGCACGCGGGGCGATCTCGTCTTGGATATTACGAATCTCGGATTTGTGGGCACGGAATTCGGCGCGGTCCTGCTTGTATGATTCCTCTCGGGCGGCGATGGCGTCTGACGCGGCGAGTTCTGGAGTATTCTGTCAACAAAAGAAAGCTCTTTAGAGCTTCAAGAAGGAAATAGACATACCCCTTTGTAGTTGGAGGTCCTGCAAATTCGGGATCGTCGGGCCAGACGACTGTGCAGGGCGATACGCGCCTTCACTAGGTAGCATGGGCCCGTAATCTTCATCAGGATCCTCGTTCCCAGCCGGCGCATGTTGCGATTCATGATCCGGGTCCGGAAGAGGTGAATCATGTCGCGGCTGATTCGCAGTGGTATGTGATGGCGGTAGCAACGCGTTTTGGTTGGCTTTTTCCAACATGCTAGGATCGTACCATCCTTCGGCGAGTTCTCCACGGTTCCTATAGATTATTTTATTAGTTTGCGTGGTCCTGAGAGATATCTACATCCTGGGGAACATATTCTCTCACCATTTATGAATGAAGCTCTTCCATCGCCCCTTCACCTCGTCCTCTGGCAGTTCTTCTAGCAGAATACCCTTTTGGATGTCCAGGTACATGCCGAACAAAGGCTCATACCGCTCCAGATCGCGCTTTGAGAGCTCCCGTGCTTGGTAGGGGAGCACTACCGGAGCCACGGGGATAGAAGGGCCCTGCCTTGTGTGTGTCTCGTTTGCCTCGTGTCGCTCGTGGCGTCCATGGCGTCCGTGATGTCGGTGCCGGTGGTGGCGGTGGTGGTGACGCTGGTCTTGTCTATCTCGGTCTCGGTCACTTCTTCTGTCTGGGGAGCGCGAGCGCGTATCGCGGTGACGGTGGTGCTTCTTCGGTGCGGGGGATTGTGAGCGCGCCAACGTTCCGGAAGTGGATCTGTGCTGGTGAGACATTACGCTGGAAGTGGTGGTGGAAGGTGAAATAATGGCTCTGATAGATGGTTTGGATTTGGGAAATGGATTGGAAGCCGAGCCAAGCCTCCGAGCCAGCGGATTCGGAGGAATTACCAATAACCATCCGAAGTATACAACAGAGTAATTGAGCACTGGAGATAAATAGAATGAGGTTTTAACGGTTTGGATGTAAGTTTACTATAGAATCATTGTTTTGATTATCTGCAATGGCTGTCATCACTGTTGACATTGTTTCCGACACAATATGCCCATGGGTATGATACTATTTACTCCACCCACTATATCAGATCATAATTATAGGATACGATGCTGATTATCATAGTGCTTCATCGGCTACAAAGATCTTCAGAAGGCGATCAATTTGTACAAGAAGACGATTCCTGGGGGATCAAAGGATGAGATCGATATCAACTGGAAACCCTTCTTCTTGGACCAGGAAGCACCAAAAGAGAGCATTCGAATGGGAGGTGAAAGCACACCACTCATTATAGCTGCCATATCAGCTGCTAAAACCAACATATTTAGATCGAATGCTGAAACGCATGACTCCCCAGCAAGTTGCTGCTGCGCAGCAGCGACTGAGACGTGTCGGACAAGCAGCAGGCATCAGACTCTCCTTCGACGGGTACATTGGGAGTTCTCGGCTATCACACCAGCTAATCTATGTGGCAAGGATGAAAAAAGGATCTGCGATGCAGAGCAGAGTGACGGAAACGATCTTCGAGTACCAGTTCGAACGGGGAGCAGATCTCAGTCGACTAGGAACAGTGCTTGAGGTGGCAGTCGAAGCCGGTCTCGATAAGGATGAAGTTCAGGGCTGGTTTGAGGATGGTCTTGGGCTGTTGGAGGTAGAAAAGGAAGCCCAAGAGCAAAGGGAGAATGGGATACAGAGTGTCCCACATTTCATTATTGGACAACATCATGTCGATGGTGCGGTGGACATTGGAGCCTTCTTGGAGATGCTTGGAGAAGCAAAACAAGACAAAAAGCAAGAGTGAATGAAAGTTGTAGTAGAACCACGGTGCGATGGATTATTTATTCTTTAAAACCCGACCCTTATGTAAAGCTATACCGACGAAACAAATATCGAAATGTGAATAAGATATACAGCGCAGAAGTAGCAGCCATCTTCTCCCTAGATACCAAGAGCTCAGTTGGCCGGAGTACTCTGGGACTGGCTGTCTGTATTGGTCGAGCTAACTCCGGAAGGGGCACTGGAAGCTGCAGGCGAGGCAGTCTTGGACCGGTTGGCAGCAGCCATCTGCCAGGCCGGGATAGAAGCAGATCTTCCAAGTTGCGAAAGGGCAGTGCTAGGAACGGAACTGGTGCCCTGACTTGAAGTATTGGCGACAGGGATCTGGCTGGTAGTTTCGGATGGAGAAGACTGAGACTCAGCCTGGGCAGAGGTCGAAGAAGCGACGCTGTTCGTTACGGTAGGTTCGCCGGCAGGTTTCGATGCGGTGGGCAAGACCGGTGTTCCAATAGTCCTCCCGGGGGTGGGCGAACTAGTACTTCCGCCTCCACCCAGTCTGTTGCCCAGCAGGGTCTTGAGGCTCCTCAGTTCAGTGCTCAGTTCCTTTATTCGGTTTTCATTCCCTTCCCGGGCACCTTCCAGGGCCTTGGGGATTGCGTCCTTCAAGGTCTTCACGTCATCGCTGATGCGGCGTGTTTCATCGTCTCTCCGGCGCGAGGAAGTCTTGAGGTCGGAAATCACATTCTCGACTTCCCGCAACACAGAGTCAAGACGCTCTGTGCGTGCCTCCTCAGCAGACTTCAAGCTAGCTGTATCAGTGGAGAGTTGATCGATCAAGGCAAAGGCGCGGTTAAACTGCTCATTGATGTTCTCCTTGTCTTGTTCTATCTGCGGTGGCGTTGGTGGTGCGATAAGAGGCGTAATGTACCGCTTTTTAGTGAAGCCATCGTCAACAGATGCCAAGTAAAGAAGCCAATCATTCATGTAATTACCTTTGCGACGAAGTATAGTCCATACCCGACTCCTCCTACCGTCGTAGCCATTATGAACCAATCGCGCCAGTCTCTTTTCGGCGGCCTAGACAATAGCAAAAAGAAGAAAACAACATCAGCTTAGCTCAACCTATATTTCACTTGAACTAGTCGCAGCGCACTCACTCTGGCGGTGCTTGCCATTGTCCATAGGGGGGATACCCGTATGCTTGCGGTGACGGCGGCGGCCCTGGTCTATAGGCCGGCGGCTGCGAAGCCGAATACATTTGAGGCGAAGCTGCTACAGCAGCTTTCGGGTCCTCGCCAACGCGGGAAAGGGCAACATCAATCTCCTCTTGCGTCAGATTCTTGGACTGAAGGAATGCAATCCTCTTCTCGATCGGCGACGACGCTACCGACGGATCCTGGAGGACTACTCAAAGAGTCAGCCAAAGATTCTTTATAAGCTCTACCGGACTGTCTGTTGTCTCATTTTGCCAACACACGTACACGTAACCTGTATATAGAAAACGGCGTCAGTTGAAGGACCACAGAACGACAGATAGTTGGATAGATAGGAGACCGGGACATACAGCAGAGGAGATGAGCTCCCCGCGAACCATGATGCCGAGAGCTCTGTTCCAGAGCTGTACCCGTCAAGCTCACAGATCAATGAATCCCCATGTAGCAGGGAGTTGCTCAGGAGGAGGAAGTCTCGTAACTGTGATTGACTCGGCATATGCTGACGGACCTCGGCGTGTGACGCAGTGGAGCAACAGTGAGGCTGAGTCAGCTTCCCCAGAGTCCCGTGATCACGGCTTCGGAGAATGAATGTTCCTGTATCTCCAGACCGCCTTCTTCTTTGGGTGGCGGCGGGCTGCTTGTTTACAGTTGGATTTGGCTGTGCGCCCGCACCATCAACAAGAGCCATCACAATAAAGAAAACGCTGCTGCCATCCTCGCTCGCCTAAGGCACTCGTGTGCGCAGGCCCCTTCAAGTGGATTTTGCGACTCGGATTTTGGTCTCTTCGGATCTCTCAAGTTCACTGAATATCGCAGCTGCGACGTGCTGCCCACCATGTCGCAAGAGACAGGGCTGTTTAGCATCAGACGCCCCCGAGAAGTATGAGATATGGCGCCTCGCATTTGGGGGCAAATACACCCGTGGTGATGGAGAGATTTGAGGTTGCTAACGCAGTAGTTTCTACAGACTCTCGGGAGCGTCCAGAATTTCTCGGCAATCCCGCAGCCCTCGTCGGCCATGAAACGCACGAGCTCCATCGGCGCCTTCCAGAATCCTCCGTTCACGTCGCAGCACACGCGGTCTGGGTCTCTTTTGAACTCGGTCGGCCGGCCACAGCAACCGAACTTCCAGCGCTCCTCATCGGGCGGTGGCTATGGTGCAGACGCTGGTCTGTCGTCGGTCAGACGATCCGTGTCCAGCAACATCTTCCATGGCGCCGGCTCTGGTCGTCCTAGCTATGCCCCCGGCTCGCTCTCTTCTAGCGCAGCGTCTCAGAACCTGCAGCGGAGGAGTAGTGTCTTCTCACGTCCGTCGATGGGTCCGATGGTCCATCAGTCATTCTTTACCCAGGTGCCCTCTGCTGCCGGTGTACCGCGAGACCCGCGACCACTCCGAGACCGCTCCTTTCAGGCTCGTATTGGACAGGAACTTTTGGAATATTTGACCCATAACAATTTTGAGCTGGAAATGAAGCATTCGTTGAGTCAGAACACGCTACGATCCCCAACACAGAAGGATTTCAACTACATTTTTCAGTTCCTCTACCATCGGATCGATCCCGGGTATAAATTCTTGAAGAGCATGGATGCGGAGGTGCCACCGATTCTGAAACAGCTGCGATACCCATTTGAGAAGGGAATTACCAAGTCACAGATCGCGGCTGTGGGTGGTCAAAACTGGCCGACGTTTCTTGGAATGCTCCATTGGCTGATGCAAGTCGCTCAAATGATGGAACGCTTTTCCCTAGGAGAGTACGATGAGGCATGTGCGGAGGCTGGAGTCGATGTATCGGGCGACCGCATCATCTTCCGGTTCCTGACGGGTGCCTATCACGACTGGCTTCAAGGGGGTGAAGAAGAGGATGATGAGACGGCCGAACAACGGCTGGTACCACATGTTGAAGCTATGGCCTTGGAGTTCGAGAAGGGAAATGAGCGATATGTGCAGGAAATGCAGGCGTTGGAAGCCGAAAATAGGGCCCTTCGTGATCAGCTGGAGGAGTTGGAGAAGAATGCGCCCAATATGGCCAAGTTGGACAAGGATTTTAAGATTCTGGAGGGCGATCAGAAAAAGTTTGAAGACTACAACCGGAACATAGAAGGCAAGATTGAGAAATACGAAAATCGGATCAGGTTCCTGGACGAGGAGATCAGGAAGACTGAAGCAGACCTTTCAGCTGCTGAGGAGGAAAGGACGGGTCTTCAAGCGAGTGTTGACGGGCAAGGCATCACAATCCAAGATATCGATCGGATGAACACGGAACGAGAGCGATTGCAGAAGAGCCTGGAAGACACTATGGGCCGGCTGGAAGAAGCGCATGCGCGCGTGATGGAGAAGGAAGCCGAGGCGAGCAAGAAGCTGGAGGATCTGGAGGAGATTGTCAAGGCATACAACACCCTTGGCTATCAAACGAGCTTGATCCCGTCCTCTGCAGTGAACGCCAAGGGCGAGGAGTATGAGCTCTACCTGAAGGTCAACGAGACCAACTTCTCGGCGTCACAGATCGGGGGCAGTGCACCCAGCAGGATCTCATCAGAAGCGGACAGGCTGGTGGCAGAGCCGTTCACGGGCTACCACCCTGCTCACCTCCTGAATCTGGACCTACGCGGCGTCGTCCGTAGCAACCTGAATGCATTGCGCAAGGAGATCAACGAGCGGCGCAAACGCGCCATCGACGACGATCTCGAACGCCGTAATCTGCTAGATAACATCAAGGAGGCGATGGACGAGAAGCGAAGCGAGGTCGAGGCGCTCGAACACAAGCGGCGCGCGGCCGAAGAGGAGTTTGAACGCACCAAGGAGATCACGACAACCCAGAAGCTTGCGTCGGACGCCCAGATCGAGAAGATGGAGAAGGAGCTGGCCAAGATGCGTGCGACGTTGACCGAGAGTGTGCAGCTCATGGAGCAGCGCGAGATGAACACCAATATCGAATACGAGCAGCTCACGCTGCGGGCCAACGCCCTCCGCGAGGAGCTGCACACCAACGTAGAGAGCATGCTCAACGACGTGATTCGCTTCAAGGTGCACGTCCAGAAGGGACTGGAGGACTACGAGAGTTTTGTCGTCGACGAGGTGGAACAGGAGCTGGGTGGTGATGAGCTTCAGCCGGCTGAGGATGTCCTTGTTGAAGAGTGATTGTGTTTATTTACTTGACTTGCTCCCTCTCCGTCTGATTTGATTTACGGGGTTTCATGGATTAGGATGGGTTTGGGTTGGCAATGATATATTATGAGTTCGATATCCATTTTGACAGCGGAGATTGTTTAACATCCATGACTCTTATGGTATATAAAGTAACTATAACATCAATGCCCATCACGAGCTTGATGACTTCTGCGTCGCTGGATACCGCGCGCTTCAGCACTCTCCAGCCCCGTCCCTGTACCAACGCCAGGATCGTCGACGTCGCTATCCGCGCTAGTATCGGTGGTGATCTGTTGAGGCTGGGTCTGGTCTTCTTCTTCTCCTTCTCCCCCTTCTTCTTCTTCTTCTTCTTCTTCTTCTCTTTCTATAGGAAACTGTTCCGTCTCCTCGTCGCTTTCCTCCTTGATAGAAACATCTGATTCTTCAGGTTCTTCTTCCTTTTTGATGGCCTCGTTCTTTAGTTTCGTTGGAGTCTTGTTTCCCTTGCCTCCAGCAAAGGAAGCAAGGACAAGCCATGCTATCGAGGCCGAGACCATCGAGGTACTCCAGAATACGGTCGTGAATGTTACAAACGCCGTGATCCGCCAATTATACATGATCCGCCTTGAAACAAAAAAGTTAGCTTCTGATTTAATTGAATACTGTTTGAGAGAGAGGAGGGCATACCGTAGACCCGAAAATCTGGCTTTGAAAATCACCGTAGCCGAATAGATCTGCATATGTCGTTTACTCTGCAGCTCCAAATGCACCCTGCCCGGCCGATTGCGTCGACCGCGGACAAACTCCGCCTGCAGCATAGGCACGAGCAGGGTTTCGGCCTCGCGGCGCCAACCAAGCAAGTAGAGCGGCATCTGGACTAACTGGCGAGCCGTGTCGACAAGGGGGGAAGCATAGGTGAGGATCGCGGGACGCTGAGCGGTAATGAATTCGATATCCTCGTGGGGGTCGATGTTCCCCTCCGTCGTCAACTGCAGGTTGAGCATAAAGTTCCCCGCGGCGAGGTTGCCCGGCGTACGAGGCATCTCGAGCTGCACGCTGATATCGTACACTTGCTGTGATACCAGGACATCGTCGAGAACAACGGTTCCCCGTGGATGGCCATCACTGAGCTACTGGTTAGAGAGGGTACCTAAATACTCATTGCAAATATATATATATAGTGAGTGTGTCCTACCCGAATTGCAGGTAGACGGGGCGCTCAAGACTGATCTGCGGAATAAACCGAAAGTAGAAAATCCAGTACGCGACGGTCGCAATCCCTAGTAGGATGATCGAGGCGCTGACGATGAGCAGGGTGCCCAGATACGCTCTCAGGGCCTGTTTGGAGCCGAGAACCCGCATGGGAGAGGTCAGCGTGTCCTGCCCATGTGTTAGTGTCAGAATTTATATCGAGATTTTAATCTCAAAGAGAACACAGAGTGAGAGTCCTCTAGACACGCACCGCTGCCCGCGCGAAAGGGCCCTCGTCGCTCTCACGGTCGTCTGAATAGTCTGACTCCATATGAAAAGTACGATGGAGGTGGGAGGAAACAAGCAAGCCCCTGCCGAGGGATGCGATAGCACGACGTCACTGGGAGATCAACAATATTATGTGCGCCTCAGGCTACGAATTCACTAGCTACGTACGGAGTAAACGGACCAGGTAGTTATGACTCTAGTAGTACGTACTTTTAAGGGATAATTAGACGCATTTTGATTCCTTGAATGCATAAAGTGATGATCATTAAGAATATATCATAATCATACCAATGCGCGCTTTTCGATCTTATCGTTACACAGTCCGTCACCCACACAGCAGGCATCTTAAGGCATTCCATAAGTAAATGACGAAGAGAATATCATCACATGTAGCTTATATCGCGCTGACGAATCCCCCGAACCCAACTACAAGGTAGAAAGAAAGATTCCTCTAGAAGATCTTGAAACAATACAAGGAAAAGGAAAGAGAGACAACTCCTAAAGCAAGATTAAGAACGCCGGAGAAAGAAGGAAAAAAAAAAAAAAAAACAAAAGCAAGAAACAGAAAGCAAAGGGGAGAACATAAAAGAGAAGTCGCGAGGATGAGCAATTATCTGCGACTTGGCATCGTTTGCGTGGTTGTAACATCATGAAGAGAAGGGAATGTAAGGCCTTTTATCATATGACTTATAGAGCCTTCTTACGGCAAGGCCCTCGGGCTCTGCTGTTGGATATGCTGGAGAAGGGCATCGAAAAGACGGCCGATCTGGGAATCAAATCAGTACAAAATCCATGTATATATATAAAGCTCAACTGACCTCTGGTGCCGCCTGGATGAAGGGAAGGCGGAAGAAGGTATAGCTCCGGTTCTGCAAGAGCTCCTGGAGGGTGATGATCAAACCCCATGGGTGTGGCCGATGGACGATAAGGCGTTCGAGGAGCACTCGGATGATCTGCTGTCGGATATCCGAGTCGTCTTCCTCCGAATAGTCGACGCCGAACAGCCGGAGGATGGCAAAGCTGAAGAAGTAGGTGTGGCTGTTCGGGTAGCGCAGCTGGTTGGCCATGGCGCTGAGAAGATAGTACCGTGCCTCGGGACGAAGGACCTTGGCCAGCCGTTCCAAAAGAGCCGAGTGGGGGGAGTTGTCAAACGCGGCCCGCGAGTTGCCCTTGGGAGCGCTAGTGTCGGAGACCGCCTCTTGTCCGATGTAGAGGACCAGAGCATTCACTAGCACGACGTCCACATTGATGGGGGTGTAGAAGAGGCCAGTCTCCTTGCTCGCGGAGGTGTACACCGCGTCGCAGATCTCCTGGAGCGAGGTCTCAGACACGTTGTCGCTCTGCAGGGCACTGTCGATGACGGAGAGGATGCTGGCACGCTGCAGAGGAGCGGTGACATCACCCGCGATCTTCGGCGACCCCCGCATCTCTTCTAGACGTTCGACCTTCAGTCCCTCTCGGAAGGGATCCGGAAGCTTATGGAACGACGACGGGTAGGCGCTGAGGACCAGGTTGCGCAGTTGAGCGCAGTGGGCAGGGATCACGTTGCAGAAGTTGAAGTGGTTCTCGGCCACGAATTCCGGGAAGTCGTGATGCAGGATCAGCAGGATGCGCAATACCCCCTTGTAGAGGTCTTTGGCGACGTAGGAGATGTTGGCGGGTTTCAACTGTTCGCCAATGTAAGAAAGGAGGGCCTGCATGATCTCGCAATAGGCTTCCCATCCGGCACGGTCGGGCATGTTCAAGATGCAGGTCATGAAGACTCTGTGAGAAATAAGCGAGAGCCAGCCGTACACAAAGGCAGGGACGTATTGTGGCTGGAGCGACAGGAACTTGTTGGCAAAGGCGAGCATCATCTCCTGGTGATGCTCGCTCTGCTGCAGTCCGTTCATAGAATACTCGCAGAGAATACCGGAGAAGAGCCTGAAGAAGACGCGCTGGTTGAAGGCTTCCCCACGCATCACCTGGTGATGGTTCAAGACAAGCACCAGCAGAGACAGGACGGAGTTGAGGTAAACGGGCTTGTTGGCCTTGACGGCCCCTGTACTCTCGCCCTGGAACTTGACCAGCAAGACGACGAGCTTCGCGAGGGCGTCGATATACATGAAAGCCTCGTCGAGACTGCCATTGGGGTTCTGCGACTCGTGCTCAAACATGGCCACGGAAATGTCGATGCTGAGCCGGAAGAACAAAGCGGAGTCCTCCTGGTTATTCATCACCTGCCGCTGGTGGATATCCTTCAGGAACGAGTAGTAGGTGCGGTTCGTAGCGGTTGGGGACTTATAAATTCCAATCCATTCGCTGAAGATGTACTCCATCTGATCGCGCTTCGATCGGGCTGCGTCCGTAAGGAGGGGGTTGACCACCTCCGGAATGCCGGATTCGCGCAGTTTGTGGATGATCTCATTCGCAATCGACAGGTTCGAGTCTTCCGCCAGCCATTGGCTCATGGCTTCCAAACTGCCCGAAAAATCCGATCTCAGAGCAGACGGCTCGTCGTTGAAGAGAACGTGTTCCATGAGGCTTGCGAGCAGTTCGAGCGCACTCATGTTCTTCTGCAGAATCAGTCTCGTCAGGATCATATCCACCCGACGGATGTCGAGAAGACCCGCATCGATCAGCGCAACGGTGACGGGGACATTGAACATGTGCTCATCATCAACCTCGGAAAGGATGGCCCAGGTGTACCGCGCCACCAGCGACGACATGTCGCAAAGCTTGGCCAGGAAATGGACGAGCACCTCAACCTCCAACAGACCTTGAGTCTGGGTATACAGGTTGGTGCAGATCTTCAGAGCCATCAGTCTAGCCAACTCTTCGCCATTAGGCGAAGCAAGGATGGCGCGCAACGCCTGGTTGTACTCCTGCAGGACAGCGCTGTCCCGGCCCAGATCCTTGACGTGTTCCTCCGGCGCGTTGCGCGCCGCCTGTTGGAGCTCCGAGACAACACTCTCTACCTTCTCACGTGGACTTTGGGCTTCAAGAAACCCGTTCAGCTGCGACTGAGCGCCAACAAGGCTGGCCTGCTGCAAGCGAGCAGCATCTTGCTGCGTTTGCGGGGTTCGGAGGGGCACGGCAGGTTGCTCGGCAGGGGTGGAGAGGTTGGGAATGGTGTACGATTCTTGCAGCACGTCGGGAAGTTGGCGGCCAGAGTCGGTGGAGACACTGGGGACATGAGCGGGTGCAGAGCCTCTGGATTGACGGGCAAATTCTTCGTAGATTGCGAGTTGTTCCTTGTTCAATCCGCCGGGGGCCTGGCGGTACGGCTCCGGGATGAAGAGCCCCCATCGGTTCATGGAGGGGTCGATGAACGGTTCATTCGATCGGCTGGTTCGATGACGGCGACGAGCTTCTAATTGAGGCTCGATCACCTTTTCTATCTCCGGTAGGGATTTCTCTTCGGCAGCCTTCTCCACAATACCGCACGCGGCGTCAAGGTTGTCATTGACACACATGAGGATCAGACCCTCAGGCATAGGCTGGTCCGAGTATTCTTGCTGGATCATCCGGATATAGTTTGTCATGCTGACCTTCAGCGGCTCCTTGCATGTGACGAGGGCTAGGCTACCTGCAAGCTGCCGCACCATGATGCCCGCTGCATGTCGCACCTTCTCCTCGTCAGGCTCCATGGCGAAATCCTTGGAGATCAACTGGACGGTCGAGATGGAAGCAATGGTAACGGACCGCTCTACCACAGGTGTGATGATTTCCGCAATGGCTCTTTCCACCGAGCTGTGGACGATCTGCCGGAGAACATTGGGATCGACCATGCTGCTCGCTGAGGATGGCAGGACGAGGATCTTGTCCAAACTCGGGAGGGTCGACATGAGAGCGGCAGGCGACATCCTCTCATTGCGCATGGCCTGGTGGATCCCGCCAAGTGCCATCTCCTCAAACGCCTCCAAGCCTTCAGGAACATTGCCGGTCACAATCGTTTCTTGAGTCAGGGCGGACCGGTCCCGGATGATGATTGACGGCTCGATGACTTTGTGGTCGAGATCAAGATCCTTGCACAATACCTCAATTTCGAATTTCAGGTTCAACTTCAGTTCGGCGAAGTGATAGAGTTCCAACAATAAAGACAAGATATCCATGAGCCAGGGGTTCGGAGGCTTGAAGACCGTGGATTTGGTGGCCTGAACAAGAACCTTGCAGGTAAAGGGGATGACAATCATCAGACGCTGACTATCAAACCCTTCCATGAGGAGACCCTTGAAGTAAACATCCTTGTGCTTGATAGGCTTGTCCTTTGCAATGGTCAGGGATCCTAGCCACGCTCCGAGGTTCTTAAGGTGGCCACGGTCAGTGGACGAATTCAGGGTTGCTTCCGAGTTGAGCAGCCGGTTTAGGCTGACATAGGTCTCCCTGAGGACTTCAGCCCAGAGGATCCGATCACCAATGCGCTCAAGGAGATCAAGGTAGAGTTGCTGGAAGTTCGGCTGCAGTTTCGCACGTTCCTCGACCAGGTAGGAGGCGAACCACTGATGGTGTTGATCGCGCAGCACCTCTGTCAGATCCTCCAACTTCTCGTCGATGTTCTGCTCCGAGACGTTGTTCAAAACGAACAGGATCTTATCCTGTACATCTTCACCTGGATCCTCATACAACTCCGGCCGGAGAGGCGGGTCAACATGAATGGAGCGGAATTTTTGAGGCGCTCCGTCAGCGGCAGTGGATTCATCACCATTGCCATTCGTCAGGCCGGAAGGCCCGGCCGCCTCATCGATCCTTGCGCCATCCGAGTCGGGGGCTTGATTACCCTGTTCGCGGAGGACTTCCTCCGCTTTCTGGAAGATCGGAGAACCCCGCAAGCTGGGAATCTGGAGTAAAAGATGGCAAAAACCGGCCCACTCGGACAGACGGTTGATGAGCTGTTCGATCGCCTCGACGCCAAATTTGTACATTGGGTCGTGTGGCTCATGTTCACGCACAGCCTCGAGGATCATACCCAGTCCGACCTTGAGCGTGATGCCATCCACCAGTCTGAAATTGATGATCCCGCCGAACATCACAGCAGTCTTGGTCAAGGCTTCCAAGGGGTACTCGTTATAGCAGTGGTACTCATCAATTAGGCCGTGAACCATGCATGCGAAAAGATCCTGTTCGGTTGGCTCACGCGACGTCTTGTAGCGTCTCATCAATTCCAGCATTTCTCGCAGCGACAGCTCCTCGTGATACATCTTGCCAAAGAGCTCTTGCATTTGCTTGTCGACAGACTCGGGCAGGGAGTTGCCGTTCTCACCGTTCGCATCGATAATGTCATCGAAATCTTCACCGTAGTTGATGAGTCGCGGGTAGGTTTGAATGCAGATACGCTGGACAGGGGTGAGGTTCTCGCGGTCTCCCACATATTCTTCCAGAACGGACAGCAGGGTGTAGACGGTCTTCACGGCCAGGCTGACCATCTGAGGTGCAGGCTGCTCCTTTCTCTGAACATGAAGCTCGTCTTCCGCCTTGATCCGCAAAAACCTCGACAGGAGACTGCCCATATCCATCAGACCCTTCTGCGCAGTGTTGCGGACCCATTGCTCGAGATCAAAAGAACTCTTCCGATGAGCCAAGCAAGCAAGGTCCATAGCAAGCCCGTTGGTGAAATCAAGGAGGTAATCAAGCCAGCCATATTCGATCGAGTGCTCGTAAATGGCCGCGGTGGAGGTAGGGTCTTGAGTGAACGCCGCGAAGAGCTGCTCCGCCACCCACTGGCGATCTTGCTTCCAAGCTCCTTGGAGGGCAAGTTGGTAACCTTCTTCCTGTTTCAAGATGAAAACCACAAAGGTCCGCAGGACGAAGCTTTGCTGGACACTAGTCCAGGGCTGAGGAAGGGCAAGAGCGGAGCAGAGGAAAATGGGCAGATCAGTTTGCACCATGGCTTTAATGAGGGCCTGGCTCTCGGCTGCTGCCCAAGCGGCCTGAGAAAATAGGGCGATATCAAAGACGGCCCGGATGGCGTCCAATGACCGCAGGGGAGACTGCAGTGCACGGTCAGCTTGTAAACGCACGATCTCCGTTCCGTCGGCGAAGAAGTCGATCGGGAAAGCGGCCCGCAGGTTCGGGATTTTCGAGACATCGATCCGGGAGGCGATGAAAGCTGTCAGGAAGGACATCTGCGTGTCACGGTGTTCCCAGTCGCCACCCCAGAGTTTCTGGATATCCAGAGTCGAATCTTCTGCTGCGATCTTCAGAAGGACGGTGCAAAGCTTCGCGAACTGGGCCGGTTGAATCCTCAACCCCTCCCGATCGAAGTATCGGAACACGAGCGGCCAGTCGACACCCTTGTCCGCATAGTGCTCCCGGACCGCGGTCAGAAACACTTCCAGCGAATAGTGTCGCCCGTTCTGGGCGAGAAGCATGAAGAGTAGGGCACTGGCAATGTTTTCCTCGCTCCAGCTTTCTGAACCCGCCAAATTCATGACCTCATTGACAGCATCCTGGTTTGCAGTCGTCTTGGGTCCCTTGGAATGCAGCTGACGGACCAAAGTCAGCTTAGGGTTGAGAAAGTTAAACATTTGCAAAGCCGAGGAAACTTCTGCGGGCATGTCTTGTCCCAACTTCTGATAGCGCAAGGTGACCGCATAGGCCAATTTGGCCTTGACCTCGTCGGTAAAATTCCGCGGAGGGTAAAGGATGAAGCGTTCAATGGTGATGCCGATGAAGGAGGTTTGGTAATCTTGACTGGACTCGGAGGGGGTAGCAAGCGTCTGTAGGAAGGGGAGGGTAGAATTTGATAGGATTGCATCGGCTGCTTCATGTTAGTCGATGCTAGTCAACAAGAACAATAATAAGAAAAAAAAAAAAAAAAACTATTCCTTATACCTTTTGCACGAAGGTCGGACTTGGCTGCGGTCTTGAACGCAAGCGCGAGAGAAACCTTGGCAACGGGATCGAGTTTGAAGTGATCCAAAAACGTGGACAGGTCAAAATCGCGGAAGACATCACCTTCCGATGTATCGATGGTGTCTGCGATCTTTTGTGCCTGATCAATGTCTTGGGTGATCTTCTGCATCTCCTGGACAAGGAGAGGATAGTTTCCCGCATTCTCGACGGCCTTGTTGAGCCCCGGGAAAATTTGCGGGGCATTGCCGATGAGAAGGCGACGGAAGTACTTTGAAAAGACCTCCATCCCGTTGGACTCGACGAGCTAGAAAGATTCAAAAAGATGATTAGATCGTTTCGATATCTTTTTTTTGGGGGGAGGGGGAGGGACGTTTTTTTTTCCCTCCCCTTCGGTTGAGGGTGACTCACTTTGTGAATTTGGGCAGCCTTGGTATCCCACTTCTCTTTTCCTTCTTTATCGGTGATGGAATCGAGGAGAAGGAAGACCTGAGCGATGGAGATCTTGGTCAGGGAGGACTGACTGGCGTGAGAACCGGCGGCAGAGAGGGCGGAGCCCGGTTTGTCCGAGGGGAAGCCGGTGGGCGAGGAGAGCAGAGGAGAGAAGGCAGCACCTCTGGCGGACGCAGGGGCGCCACCACCTCCGCCCGTACCTCCAGCAGGGGCGGACGAGGCCGCGGCGGAGGAAGGAGTGATGGCGCGAAACTTGGGGGAGGAGAGCGAGGGGCCGGAGAGCTGCTGCGAGCCAGATTGGAGCGAAGCAAAGGGCGAGGGGGTGGAGGAAGGGGAGGGGGCAGAGCGGCCGGCGGACAGGCCTCTGGCAGAACTCAGGACGGCGGAGAAGGAGGAGACCAGGGGAGAGGCGGCGGACAGGGCAGGGCCCGGGCTGTTGTTGCTGGAGCCGCGGACGGCGGGCGGGAGGACAGCGGCGGCGGCGAGGTTGCTGGTCGCGAGCGGCGACAGGCCACGGCGGATGGAGGACTGCGGCGCAAAGGACCCCCAGGCGGACGGCAGAGGCCTCGCAGAGCGTGCAGAGGAAGACTTCTCGGAGCCAGAAGCAATCGACGACTGGGTGGAAGGGGGAGGGGGAGGGAAGGTCATCTAGGAGACGCGATCATTTGACCTGGCGTGTGTGCGGTGCGGACAAAATTTTATTGGCAGTGGCAGCAGCGGGCAGGCAGGTTTCGCAGAGGGGCTCGAAGCAAGCTGAGACGAGTCTGGACGATGGGAGGGACGGGTGGGAAAGCCGGACAGGGCAGAGGGTGGTCGAAAAGAAGGCTGGCGGTTTGTGGCACCAATCGAAGTCCGATGGAAGAAGTGAGGACATGGAGGTGAGGGCAGGTGGAGATGCCGCCGCCGGGCCTCAGGCTTAGTCCGAAGGAGGCTGAGGCTCTCTCTCTCTCTCTCTCTCTCTCTCTCTGCTGGACTCTACGGCTCGAAACAGGCCCTGCTGGGTGTGAGAAGAGAGATAGAAGATGCAGGATCGAGTCGGAACCGGTTGATCTCGCACGCTGATCTGCCAGCGAATTCTTGCCCCTGGGTGACGCGCTTGTCTGCGGCCTGAGGGCAGACTCTGCCGATTAGTCACGTGCGTCACTATACGTAGTCGTACTGACGGTACCGTAGACTGTACACTGTAGACTGTACACTGTACTCCAGACTCTACCTAGGTAGACTCTATACCAGATAGAAGGAAGAATGCATAATGGAATGCATATTGACTTTCATAATTAAATATATAGTTCTATGTATACTACTAGTCAGATAGTAATAATCTGTTGATGCTGGACTATTAATCCACAGAAATACATAGTGAAGATCAGTCGAAACTCAAGCCTCAGGCAGAAATAGACACCCGAATATCGTCGTGTAGTGCGCAGTGCGCAGTGTACACCTACCAAGGTACTGAAGGGATCACAGGAAGATGCTATACTACGGAGTAAATAAATGATAAGGTTACTCCGTAATTGAAGTTCAGCTCAGCTCTAAGCGCCGCTGCCCAAGTCTATAAACCGGCTGGTGTCGCGCCCTGGGCACATTCACGGTGCCTCCGTGGGCGGTTGCCCCGAGTGACGCTATAATAGTAAACACAACCTCCGCTCTGTAGTGCCAGGCCAGGCCGAAATACCATGACGTTTGGTCTTGGTTTCCCACGCGTTTCTGCTGTTGTTCTCTCCAGAGACCTCGTGTGGTTTGATTATTGTTTTCTCCCATCTGCCTGACCTCCCTCCATCTTTTCTGCATTTGTTTGTTTGTCGCTCCTACTCCTACCCAACCTACAACTGGGGGTCTTCTACACCCTTTTTGAGAAACCACCACCATGCCGGGCACGATTGCCGAGGGACCAAGTGTCTCTTGTTCATGTGAGATGCTGTTTCTCTGTGTTTCTTCGCTATGACGATTTCAGAGCTGACTGGAGGTGCTCGCTTTCCACAGTCGCGAACAATTTCTGGGGCAAAGATGACGCCGGCGTGCCGCCCATGCTGGACCGGATGCACAACGCAAAGGTCACTTGTGATGAATTAAAGGCCTTCTACACTGGTACGTTGTCGAGGGGTTTCCACCGTCGGATACGCCTCTAACAGATTCACAGCCCGTGCCTCGATCGAAGAAGAGTACGCCAAAAAGCTCCTAGCCCTCTGCCGAAAACCGCTGGGATCGTGCGAGACAGGGACTCTGCGCGAGTCGTTTGACTCGGTACGCACAGAAACAGAGGCCATCGCCAAGGCCCACTCGGCGATTGCTTCACAGATAAAGATCGAGCTGGAGGAGCCCTTGGCTGCATTTGCAGGCGGTATCAAGGAGAGGCGGAAGATCGTACAGAACGGCATCGAGCGGCTACTTAAGACTAAGATCCAGCAAACACAGGCTGTCAACAAGGTAAAGACAAGATCTTCCCCAGACTGCCAGGCGTGTCCACCACTAATGGTCCATTTCAGGCGCGAGATCGCTACGAGCAAGATTGCCTACGGATCAAGGGTTATCTTGCACAAGGCCACATGGTCATGGGCCAGGAAGAACGCAGGAACAAAGCAAAGCTCGAGAAGACACAGGCCCAGCTCGCGTCCAATAGCACGGACTACGAGGCGGCTATCAAGATCCTTGAAGATACCACCGGCCGCTGGAATAAAGAGTGGAAATCGGCCTGCGATGTAAGACATGACGGACTACTGGAAGGAGATTAAAACACTAATATTCGACCAGAAATTCCAAGATCTGGAAGAGGAACGACTAGATTTCACAAAGAGCAGTCTCTGGACCTACGCAAATATCGCATCAACAGTCTGTGTGAGCGATGATGCTGTACGTTGATGAACCCCCCCCCCTCTCGACCACCATTTGCAATTCTGACCGTCCTACTAGTCATGCGAGAAGATCCGGCTCTCGCTAGAGAACTGCGAGGTTGAAAGGGATATTGTCATCTTCATCAAGGAAGCCGGCACGGGCCAAGAAATACCTGATGCGCCAAAATTCATCAATTTCTGCCGTGGCGATCTGAACGACAGCAGTTCCGAGATCTCAGAGGAGGATGGCTACTCTGTTGCCCAGTTCCAGCGAACGATCAACCCTGCCTTCCGCAGCTCCTCTCCACAGCCATCCACTTATGAATCTCACCATGACCCAGATTGTGATCTTGCCGCCAAAATGAACTATGGTGGTGTGTCGGCGCCATCAATCAGGGAGGCTACAGTCACTCCGCAGAAGCCTCCCATGCCACCTCAACAACCAGTGGAAGAACAGCCGCCCCAGCAGTCATTTCAACAACCGCGACAGCAACAGTACCAGAAACCATTGAAAATGCTACCCCAACAGCAGCCCTTGCAACAGCAGCCCCCGCAGCAGCCGAAGCAGCCGCCTCAGATGCAACAGGCACCGCAAATGCAGCAAGAACCTCGAATGCAACAACCGCCTCAGATGCAGCAAGAACCTCGAATGCAACAACCACCTCAAACGCAGCAGGCGCCTCAATTGCAGCAGGTCCAGCAGCCTCTTCCATTGGACCTTCGTCGTGGCGGTCAGCCCCCCCCGAACTACGATCCAAACCAGCATGGCGAAATCGGTCGTGTGCCCCATAACGCTTACCCAACCGATGGCATGACAATGTTCTGCCGTACGGGACCCCCCTCTGAGCGCAGCTCGGGGACCAGTGCATACCGACCCTCCAGCCGTGATTCGCAGAGCGAATGTTCCAATCCCACCTCTGTCTCTAGCCAGGAGGCTGTCACTGCAAAGCCTTCGCCTGCTAAATCTAGTCCCACTAAGCCTACCAACGGCGTGGCGCTGCCTGGGATGAATGAAGAGAGACAAGTCCAGAAACGACGAAGCGCCTTTTTCAGCAACAGCCCCTTCAGGCGGAAGAGTCGACACGACAAGGATCGACAGGCCACTGGATCATCATCCCGGAGCGGCTTTGATTCCAAGCAGAGCAGCCCCGTCAAACCTGCGGCTGTCCAACCGCCGGTCCTTGATCAGGGCGGGTCCGCCAGTCCTGAGCCCGTGGATCCCCGCGCGAACTTCCAGCTCAATGTTGGCAATAACGTGTTCGATGTGGCATCGCCCGAAGCGGACAGGGCCAAGAAGGCTGCTCCAAAGACAAAAGGTGGTGAAGGAGATCTTGACCCCATCGCTCGTGCGTTGGCGGATCTGAAGGGACCTGGGAAGCAACCAAGTACCCGGGTCTCGGCGGACCGGTATCACGGTATCGCTACGCCTGTTCCTTCGGCTCCTAGTTCAACTTATGGCTCGACTTCGGTCGCAACCCCCCCCCCTGCTTATGATAGCTCTTCTCTCAAGCGCCTGGATGCGCCACAGCCCGCCTTCACGTCGGCACAGATGCAGAAGACCACCCGAAAATATGTCGACCAGACACAGAACATGTTCCGCACGAGCAATCCCTCTTCTTCCTCTTCTTCTTCTTCTCGGCCGGCCACTCGGGGTGGTGAGCCGCCCCAGGAGGTTCCCCGTGCCAGGTCCCCAGCGCCGGTCACCAGATCTCCAGTTCCCCGTGCCCGATCCCCGGCACCTGCTCCCAGATCTCCTGTTCCCCATACTAGATCGCCAGCACCTGCTTCCAGATCCCCAGCACCCGCTACCAGGTCTCCGGCTCCCCGTGCCCGATCCCCAGCTCCCCCGCGCAGTGTCAGTCCCCAGGTAGCCCCTCGCGTGGATACCCGAATGAGTCAGTATAGCAGGGGGGCGAGTCCAAGCCCGTCGACATATCAGACCAACAGTCTCAACAGTCGCTATGCCCAGTCTCCCACCATGGCCCCCGCTTCCCCTCGGACCAGCGATGTGGGCTATTCACCTCAAGAGTATCCGAAACGAGGGTCGCAGAGCAGCTACACACGAAACGCATCTCCGCAGCCACAGTTCAGGCAGCAGGCGCGGCCCTCTAGTGCAGGCGGAATGGAGCTGCAGCTATCCGGCAACCACATGGACATGTATGACAGCGGGGGCCGTCAGGATCGATACGGCTCACGGTCGTCCAGAGATGGCCGGCCCGCCTCCTCGTACTATGGCAGCCATTCAGATGCGGGCAGTCAAGGCCGCGCGCGGAGCCGGACTCTGACCGTGGCCGATCCCAACAGACAGTATAGCCGTGATGGACGCGCCGTTCTTCATTTCGGTAAGTTCATGGCCCTTTTTTTTTGCTCCCATTTTTCTTCTCGTGCTAGGCTAATTTACGTAGCCCGTGCTATGTACAGCTATACCGCTGCCATTCCCGAAGAGCTTGGCTTCTCCAAGGGCGACGTCTTGGCCGTCATCCGCTTACAGGACGATGGCTGGTGGGAAGCCGAAGTGACTTCGACGCGCGGTCACCCTGGTCTGGTACCCAGCAACTACTTACAGATCATCTAGATACCCCTTCTTCTTCAGAGCTTTGATTTGTTGTTTTGTACATACCTTCTGGTGTGATGTGGTTTATGTCCTACTACCGTTCTCCTAATATTTGATGCAACCTGTTTCTTTCAGTCTATACCTGGAATTGTTTATCTCCTTGTGCTTCTGCTTTTCAAATTGGAAACATTCTTCACTTTATTTTGCCTTGTTCATGACCCCTCTTTCTGCCTTGTTTATGATCCTATGCCATGTCCCTATTTTCTATGTCTGACTATGCCCTCTATGAATCTGGATTTCTTATCTATCCTGCTCATGACTTAATATGAAAGTACCATACATAATAATGTCGTAGTCAACTAGTCCCGGGTAGACAGTAGAAATAGCGTTAGTATTAATATCAGGCCGTTGTGCTCCAGCCTATACAGTAGTAGATTTTCCCTACTTGAACAGCAGCTACAGTTATATCGTCCTCTAGACTGGGGTATAACAATAGAATTATCGAGTCATTATTAGTATTGACAAAGGAAAGATCATAAGATACAAAGTAAAACCATGTACACTTCCCGGCAAGCAACAGGAATATACACGGGGAGAGAGGAAGTCGCATCAACGCCTGGCCATGCGAGAATCAACATAGGACATAGGATAAGAAGGGTGTGTATATCACTCATTCGTCGTCGACAAACGAGTTCGCCAGACGGCCGAAGAAGGGAACCTCGTAGTGCTCGAGTGTGTCGACTATTAATCCCAGTAAGTATATCTCTATGACAATCGAAATAGAAGATGGAAGTATGAATGTGATCTCACCATCTCTGTAGGCCCGCATGCTCAGGAAGCCGATAAGGGCCAGATCGACGATGAAAAGCAACCAGGAGAGAAAGCTCGACCAGGCGAGGAGAAGATGGAGGATCTACAAAGCACAGAAGTCAGTAACCTAGAGATTCCATCTTGCAAGGAGAGGAAGTCGTACAAATAGAGCCGTGAACAGCATGCTAGACTGCCACGCATGGAATCTATAAACATTAGTATAGAGAGAGACAGAGAGAGAGAAAGGCCAATAAAAGGGGGCAGATACCTCACGTAGTCACTCTTATGCTCTACCAAGAGGAGGAAAACACCCCCCGCCGGAGGGAGCAACAGGTAGGCCAGCATGGCCTCGACATCCATACGGACGGGGAGACTGGTTTCGAACGCGCCGAGACTCAGCCGGCCGCTCTCGACGTCGCGACCGAACCCGGTTCCAAACCCTGACCCTGTTCTCTGTCCGTGTCCATGACCATTCCCTCCGGCGGATATGTTCTGGTAGCTGGTCGGGGCGGCAAACTGGGAGGGCGAGGGTAACGCGCTGCCTGGGACGGGGGGGGAATGGCGCGGCGAGCGCACGCCGGGGGATTTGATGCGGCTTGCGTCGTTGGGGGGGGAGAGGGCGCGCTCCGTCTCGGGCGATTCGTCCTGGTAGGGAGCGAAGTTCATTTTCGAGTATCTGATAGGGGATAGAAGTGTGCAGTCTTAACTAGGTAGACTGACTACCTGGGTTCTAAGTTGTATGGACATCTCCTGTTTCGGTCGCGTGGGTCAGGCTTGGCGTCGCTATCGATATCACGTTGCCTGTGGGCTTCCCTTGCTTGATACGTAATAATCAGGTAGGTACTTCCTGGATGGTAGTATCTAGTTCTATTTTGATTTCGTTCGTAATGTACATGTACACATATATGCTAGTTATCCAAGTTCCGTACGTATCATCCCCTGGAACGCCCTCGCGCGATCCCCGTCCCACGCGCAATCCCACTCGCCGGCCGTCTGCTCGCTGTGGTCCCGGCTGCACTCGTGGTCGTCGTCGCGGTTGTTGCAGTCATCGACCGGTTCGGGACTCTTGTTCCACTGCTGCTGGTGGTCGAGTAGGAGACGCTCGGGGTTCGGCCCACGCTGGTCGGCCGGGCTCGACCTCGAGCGATCCCGCGCGTACTCTTGACCCCGGTGGAGCTTGCCTGTACTCTCCTCCGTCGCTCGTCTTCTTCGGCCTTCCTTGCTGCGGCTTCTCGCCGTTGCTGCAGCTCCAGTTCGCGTCGTTCCGCTTCCTGCTGTTTCTGTATGGCTTCTTGTTCCATGTCCGTGATATCTTGCGCGGCTCCTTGCCAATCAGGATTGAGGATGAGTCGCTGGTTATGCTCCGTCTGCGAGAGTATCCGGGTCCATGTGTTGAGAAGGGTCGACGCAGATTGCACGGTGCGTGACACGGTCTATCAATCAGTAATCCATAAAGAGAGAGAGAGAGAGAGAGAGAGAGCTTCCTCAAAAGAAACGAAAAAGAAACATACATCCATGTTGCCCTTGGCACGATCTAGACTATCTAGCAGGCCCTCAATCACCTGGTTGATATTGCGAACACTCTGCAGCTCGTTCCGAAGGGCCACCTCCCGCGCCTCCTGCTGGTCAAACAGCGTCTCGCCGTCCGGTGACCGTCCCCTGGCGGGGGAGGCCAGTCGTTCCTCACGGGGTGCTCGATGTGACTGCTTCTTGTGTCGTTGCGAGGGCGAATTCCACAGCTCTTCTGTGTCTTCGTCAGACAGCTGGAGCCTGTCCATCTCTTCGGTCGCGTGGAAATCCATAGCGTACAGCGGAAACACCGTGTAATTTTTTCTCTCTAGCCTGCTATTCGTAAAAAATTTAAAGCGGGGGAACTATCCAGCTCAATGACATCAAGAATATCGATAAGAACACCCTGATACCAGTTCGTCGCTCCGTAAAACGCAGTCAATATTATCCTCGATGTTGATGATTTTCCCCTTGTGGTGGGGCGAGGCCCTTTCATTGGTGCAGCCTCCCTGCGTGGAAAGCGGTGGCTGGTCGACGTCAAACCAGCATTCCTTTGTTGCTCGTCCACGACACTCACTCTCCCTTGGAAGGCTTCTCGCTCTCTTCCAGACACACACTCCCTCTCTTCAGGGTCCAGCCTGCCTCCTTCTCCATTATTACGCGTGCAGTGCTGCTCGTCCGACTTGCAGATTGTCCGAATTGCCTGCAGCCTTCGTCGGTATATACGCTTCGGTCGGGGTTGTGCACTGTCGCGTCGTCGTCCTCCCTTCTTAGCCATCGTCTAGCATCAGCAGAAATATTCTTGCTACTGGTATCGATTATATTTTGTACTCTTGTCAATTGCTAGGATTGCTATATCTGCCGTGGAAGAAGAACCGACGCCTGTATCTCCCGGAAGTGGTTGCACACAAACATTTAACTCTCACAAACCCAGACCAGACGCCATGGCGACCACACCTCCCCCACCGTCAACACTGAGGATCCCTCCCACTCCTCGACACGGCGCTGGGTACGATCAATATTCTCCCTACGCTACCCGTCACTCGGCCAGACTAGCTAGCCAGCGACCTGTGCGGGAGTCACGAGTTACTCCGCCGCCCAGCTTTCCTGACCTTCACCACCTGGCCAGCCCTAGGACTGGGGCAAAGGAGCGAGGAAGTCGAGCTGAAGCGTTGTCCCCTCCAGGATCTGCCTGGAGCTCTCCACGGAAGAAGACCACAGGACGGTTGGGTGCTGCTGTGCCGCCATATTCACTGCTGGGTGCCTGCACCTCCGACATGGACCTTTCAGATCCCTTCGACAACACCGCTGCCAAGCAACAACAACGTCTTCACCACCCATCTCACACCACCACCATGACTGACGGTATGCTGCCGACTCCTGCCAAAACGCCTAAGAAAAAAGTTGTGGGCGATATTGGAGGCACAGCGCGCACGCTGTTCCCTCCAAACCCCATGTCTGGACGCACCAAGCGATCGAAAAAGCACACGGGATTCTCCCTCGATAGCTTCACTGAAGATGCCAGTGGCAATAAAACCAAGATCGAGATCTACACGGATTCGCGCGATCGCATCCCAGAGCTGGACGAGAGTGAAAGCAACCCCTTCTATACAAAGGTCACAGAAAGCCAGCCTGCCCCCCCTCCTACCAGCACGCGTACCTCCAGACGGCTCAAAACAGCAGGAGGAAAGCGTAGCAAGGAAGTCGACGATGCGATCAAGCGTGAGGATGGCATGGTATATGTCTTGTAAGTTACCCTCCTCTCCTCTGTCTTTTTATTTTGGTTTACCAAACTCTTTCTAACCTGTCTCCTCAGTCGCGGCAAGAAAACCTTTCGCAGATTCATCGACGCAGTGGAAAGTGACGGCGATGATGATGGCGACGACGACGATGACTTGGGCCTTTTCGCGTCTCGGCCCGATCTTCTGGAACCGTCGTTGACCAACAACGTTCGACCTCTCACCCGTTCCTCCATCAAGCCGCGGGTGCTGTTCCCTAGTGCCCATGCTCCTCCTACCAGTCAGGAAACACACTCGAGCGATGCCGACGAAGAGGCGGCTACCGATATTGAGGACGTCGCTGCACTTAAGACAGACGCGCCTGAGCCCAGTCACCCTGTGGAAGCCAAACAGCACGAACAGCTGACGACTCCTTCGGTCGCACCGCCTGCCGATACCCCATCCTCCCCGGGAGCTACCCTTCGTTCCCTGCGATCTCGTGCCAAACGCGATGGGGTTGAGCATGACGCAACCACGCCTTCTGGAGCTGAAGTTTCGAAGAAACGAGTCAGCCCCTTTGACGGCTGGCTACGGAAGAAGCAGGTCCCTACCACCACCGGTGTCAAGACCAAGAAGCGAGATGCCGAAGCTGTCGACAGCCCCGCGGGTCCAGCCATCAAGAAATCCAGAGTCACTCGTGCCACTGCAACATCATCGCAATGAATACGGCTGTACAATGTCTACACAAAACCCATGTCAATAACTGGTCATAATCTTTACATTCCGAGCTTTTGTCCTTTTTTTTTCTCTATCTTTCTCCCAGCACATTTGCATCTCCGTTCTGCGCGGCGCAACTACAACCGGTGTCCTTTTTTTCTCTAACGAGTTTATTGTTGGACCACTGAAATGAGGTTCTTTTTTCTCTGACAGGATCCCTCCCCTTTTTCCCCTTTTCTATTCTTCTCCCTTTCGAACAGAATCTTTCCTCTCGCCACTGGTGTTCTAATGGATGGCGGTGTCTATTGTTCCCCGGTACATTGCCTTTGTTGTTTCCCTTTCTCTTTTTTTTTCTTTGTCATCTTCGTTTGAAGTGTTCGGTTTTCTTCTCTGGCTGGAATGGAAGGAATGGATATGGATGGGAATGGACGGGTAAATGGTAAATGGATGATGTTTCTTTTTTTTTCTCACTCTTCAGGCCTGGAAAGGGAGTTTCGATTGAATTCTTGCTCAGATGGGCTGTCTTTTACATGGGCATCCTCTCCTGCCAACCCTTAGCTTAGCTTAGTTAGATATCCCAATTCATGAATGCACAGCAATATGGACGATTACTCTTGCAAGTACATAAGAAGTTTTGGAATGCAACAGCGTAGATTGGATCCATAATAAATAAGTCTAGCCTGCTAGAATCGAAAATGAGCGAGCAAGGAGGGAAACAAACCAGTTCTTGTAGTTACATAGGAGAGGGAGGGATAAGACAGGCTTTTTTTTCTACATAATGCATCAATCAGACAGGTATCATAATGCAGTTTCCCCCCCTTTCATGCCCTGAAGAGAGAAGCGAAAAATCCTACCACTTGAATACTACTCCAGTATTCCATCCATGATGAAGAAAAAAAAAGAGTGAGTGACTGTCAATCATTAGTTAGATGATGTCTAGTTCGTCATCGTCGTCATCGTCGTTAGTATGCGTGTCCTTCATCGCTGTATCCGAAGCTCCACCAAGACTGTCCCGGCCGGCTTCCTTGATACCCCGTGCGGTGATGAACCGGGTCTTCTTCACACCACTGCTTCCCGGCCGGTCACCGTCGTAGGCGCGCTTCTTCGGACCGAGGCGGATGGTGTCGGCGCGCCGGAAACCGCCGAGGCCAAATTGATGAGAAGAAGCATTCTGCTGCATTGGCGAAGGTGTGGCGGCTGCGATTGCTCCACTATTCGATACCAGTGCAGATCGGGGAGACTCGAACCCGTTGGCCTCCCCGGAAGTCACTTTGGCGCGGAGGTACTCTGCCCCCACGCCGCCTCCACGAGAACTGACGAGTTTCTTTGCGATTTCGCGCTCGCGAGCTTGCTCCGCCAGGCGACGCCGCATTCGTTCCTCCTTGTTTTCCATCCCGCGGCCCATCATTCCGGCGGCGATGAAGGGATCTTCATCGGCATCGATCAGGCTGGAGGCGGACTGGCCGGCCGCTGAATGGTTGAAGACGTAGGATGCGCCGCCGGTATTCCTCGACCTTGGGCCCGGCGCCACGTAGTACACGCTTTGCGACTCAGCATCGTACTGCGCGTTGTTTGCTGCCTTCAGTCCGGTCTTTTTGTCGCCTGTCCGTTTCCCTCCAAAGAATCCTGTTCGTGAACCCGACAAGCCTCCAGGCCCCAGCATACCCGGGCCACCGTTGACTCCCATTCTTTGAGATTGCGTGCGGCGCACTTGGAGATCGGTGTGGAAGTCGCAGAATTCCGTTTTGCGGGCGTCGACCCAACTCTGGCAAGTCTTCCCATCCTTCCTAACTGCCTTGCAGAAGCCGATATCCTTGGAAAATCCAATTTCCAGGATCTTGTCGTCAGACGAAGAGATTGCGAGACTGAAGCGGTTAGTATCCAGCTTGTGCTTCGGCGGTGGCATAATGGTGGGATTCAAGATGGCAATAAGGACGCCTTCCGAGAGCTTATAGTATCTCGGGAATGCCGTGTCGAAGAGGAAAAGGTCAATCGACCACTGGAGATCGGTGAGAGTTATCGCCATGTATTTATTTGTGTTATTCAACCCGTCGTCATACCGGTCAGCCTCCTTATCTGTGGCGTTTTTCGTTCCTTTGACCTCCTTAGGGGAGGATTTCGATGCAACAATTCCGAAGACTACATAGTCACCGTCTATCTCGGGTGGTAGCTCAAAGTCCGGTGCCTTGATACTTTTTAATAGGTCTGGTATCTGAAGTATCTTCTTCCCGGTAAGAGTTCTGGTGAGAAAAGAATGAGGCAAAATGCGGCTGGACAGATTCATTGAAGAATGGGGCTCGAATTTCGACGAGTCTGCTGCCTTTTCTGGAGATCCGCCTGTCTCCTCGAAGGAATGACTAGGTAATAAAAGGGGGGTTCGTGCGGTAGAGTTGGATCGGTGGTGGCGTCGGTTCGTTACACTGGCATTTCCGTATAAATTGGGGGAAGAGGTGACTTTTGCGAGACTCTGTACGCTCGGAGCAGTGTTACTTCTTTTCAGACTTGCCATGGAATGCTGCTGTAAAGACCTCATCACTTCTTCACGGCTAAAAGTTTCCACTGGTCGAGCTCTTGTTGGCGACTGGGTCCGGGGGTTCTTTTGCATGGTTTCAGCCGCGGTGGCCTTGAATGCTTCCATCTCTGCCTTGTCAAATTGGAAGGCCGAGCTTCTGTTTGCCTGTATCTGTTCCGCCCGTTCTCGACGAGATTTGTCGAGCTGTCTCGTCTCAGCAATCCTTTCGCTAAAGCTTTTGATTCGTTTGCTTGGATCCTCCCTTGGCGAGAAGTAGAAGTCCTCGTGGGAATCGTCACTGGTGCGGGATAAAGCACCCTCGCGTAGTCCAAATTTACTGCCAGATCGAGCCAATCCTCTCGAGCTGGGAGGGCGCTTCAAAGACACATCTTTCCCCTTCAACCCTTTGTCAATACCGAGGAGATAGCGGCGAGGTGACACTGGGTCAGCTGGAGCCGGTGCCCGTCGTAGAGGTGACACTGGTACCTGGACTTCATCTGACCGTGTCCGTCCATGTATCATGCGTGGGCTTCCCGGGGCTACCAGGCTGCCAGTATCATGCTCGGGCAAGCTTGACGAGGTTGCCGGCCGGGAGGAGGACGCGTCGCTCACATCCGCACCGGGAGCAGAAATCGCCGATCTGGCACGGGACTTCTGTAGTTGTTTAAGTTTCAGTCGTGCCTCGATCGCAGCTAGCTTCAGCTTCAACGTCTCCTCGTCCTCGTCCTCGTCCTCCTCGTCTCCCTCCCGATTCTGGTCCACCCCGTCGCCTAGCACCTGCTCGGTCTGCGCTCGGAAATTCGGCGCTGTCGAAGAACGCTTCAGAGGCGATCCAAGTTGTCCTCGGCGGGCTTGCATTTCCTGGAATCTCCGCCGCCCACTGGGGGAGCTCAGCAGCGCTTCCCGGGGCGATCGCGGCGGCCACGAAGTTTCAACCACTCGTCACAATTAGCACGACGACCGATAGCACAATTTCAACAAATAGGAAAATGGGAGGGACATACTCACTGCTGCTCATCATAGGACTTGAAAATGGAAGAATCGTGGCAGCGACGGCGATGGTCACGGAGCTGAGGTGCCTCTTTCCATGCCAACCGACAGGGATATGGAGGGGGCTCTTCTCTTGTCTACCAGTGGCTGAACAGGCGGCTGGTGTCTCATCTAATTTCCAGAACAGCCCGTCCGAATCACAATCGAGAGACTCCTGCAGCAGTAGTGCATCTGGAACGTGTGAGCAAGCCGTATCTTTCGTGGATCAGCACCGACTGTTTCCTTGCCTGACGTTTGCGAATTGCCGCCGTGATTGGCTGCGGGGGGAGGGGAAGCGCGTGTCGCGTCTTTTCCTACCCTTGAGCTTCACGCGTCTTGCTTGGAGATATTATTGACGGTTATTGCAGAGAATCACGTCGATTGATTTCTTCATGGGGCTTTTTTTGAATAGCAATTGCAGGCCAACCATCCACAATACTCCAAAATGCGAACACGAGCGTCTGCACCGCCGAAGCAGGCCGTCTCCGAGCAACAGCCTCCAGCACTCAGGACTGCAGAGAAACCAAGCAAGATCTTCATATTGCCCAAAGCTGCGAGCAGCAATGCACGGTTTTTGATGTTGCCGAATCCGCGAACAGAGCTGCTTAGTCGGTATTTTTTCTGTCCAGAACTCGGGGTGTTTGAGTTCACAGTCATCGCACCGCCGCCCCATGCGCAACGCAGCGTCCTGTTCACGACTCCTTCCGAGAAGGAAACAGCAAATTCTAAAGAGGACACAAAGCCAGGATGTGCATCCATCACGAAGAATGCCCAGTTGCTAGTTGCGACGCCAGTCGACATCATATTCTTCATGATTCCTATCCTACGAGCTGCGTCCCAATCGGGTCATACCAAGGGGCTGTACCAACCTCTCGACGATATCATTGATTCTCAGGATGAGATGGCCAAGCATCTCAGATACGTTTTGAATGATCCAATCTTCCGAGGGAGTCTACAATCGCGGGTGGAGGCTATCTGTGATAGTGTCGAAGCAGGCGATGAGAAGATGCTGCGGTTCAGCGAGGAGAAGCTCATGGCGGAGCTGATCTCGAAGGCAGAGCGCACTGTTGCCCAGGGCCTTCCGGTAAGCATGGAAGACCGGTTTATCCGTCAAGCGCTGGCTACTCCGTTGATGGCTGTGAAACGGGACGAGCCCGTGACTACTGTAACCGAAGCCGAGGTGCAATCCTCGGAGGAATCCGAAACACGATCAACAACAACAACAGCTAGTTCTGCGACGACCCAAATAACCTCAGATCAGTCGACTCCGACGCCGAACCCGGAATCGGCTCCCGATGTGCCATCGACCCCGGAGCATATCACCCGGTTGCTAAGGCTCTCCACGGCCCTATCGTTCATGAAGGAATCATATATTGCAGGGGATCTCTGCACCCGGCTAGACGAGATGCTTGCCTCTACGCAAAGTCCTATCGATCTCAAGCCCTTAACAGAGCACCTGCAGCATGTTGCCGAGCTACGCGCCAAGGCCCTTTCATCTCGCACCTTGACGGATTTCACCCGCAAAAGGGGGCTGGAGGACGAAGAAGCCGCCGAGTCACGGGCAGAGAAGAAGCGCCGGATGGAAGAGGAAGAGAAGAAGAAGAAGGCTGGGGAGTCGCGTGCCGTGCGGGATCTGAAAAAGGTGAACACCAGCGGCATGAAGAAGATGAGTGCCTTCTTCTCCAAAGCTGCAGTGAAGAAAAAGTCGTGATATGACGCTTGGTCATTCTTATAATTTCAAATATTCTGGCGCCCTGCGACCAAGTTCAGGACAGCCGCGAAGGCTACACTTCTATCAGACCAGGTCAATCGACCGGATTCCTACGAACGCGCAGCGTATCAAAGACCAATTGCAACCACCGATCGATCTGGGTTCAGGGAATGCACTGATCTGCCGTGTCCATGATAGAAGGCTATACATAGGATATATAGGGAGCTTCTGGAAGACAGTGTCGTACTATGAAGACAGCTGCATAGATAATAATGAATCTTCCCGACGAATGTCATTTTGAGCTGTTGAGCTGGTGCTGATGATTGCAAACTGTTAAACATCGAATTGAGTGATAGCAGCACCCGTAACCCTATTATAAAAGTCAGTGTGGGGGTGCTCTCCGTACTCTCCAAGGGGGAAAAAAAAAAAAAAAACATACATGAAGGAACCATTCGACGGCTTGCTAATGACGATTGCCTGGGCGAGCTTTTCTGGCGAGATATCCGGAAACTTCTTAAGATAGTACTCGTTTTTCAGGGCGGCGATGACGGCGTCGACTTTATTCTGCGGGAGGATGTGGACGGTACATCCTCCCCAGCCGGCGCCCGTGAGGCGGCTGCCCCAAGTGCCGGCGCGACGGGCGATGGCGCAGATCTCGTCGACTTCAGGACAACTACAGTCGTAGTCTGACCGACAGGAAGCCTGGGACTCGTTGAGCAGCTGGCCGAGGTAGGCGATGCGGGTGTTGTCGAGTTTGCGCGCGTTGGTAAGACAGGCCTTGAAGTCTAGCACGCGACGAGCCTCGCGGAAGCAGTGCAGGGCGCGCTGGCGGAGGAGAAAGGCCTCGGTCTGGACGGGAAACGCGGACAGGAACTGTGTCTCCAGCTCGGCGACAGTGATCCCCAGCTCCTGTGCGATCTCGGAACGCGTGTACCCTTCTTCCTGGCCGAGATGGTCGCGGGCGACCTGGATGACGGCGTCGAGCTGGTACTCGAGTGGGTCGCCCAGCCGGCCTTCCTTGCGCATCAGCTCCTGGTGGAAGTTGCGCAGACTGTACCCGAGCGAACTGGTGTCTTTGGTCAAGGTGATGTTGTACTTTTTGGCGAGCACCACGGCTGCCAGCGTGCATTCGGCTACGCGGAGGTTGTAGTGGCGGGGCGCTGTTTCGGCTTTGTTCGACGTCACGAAACTCTGCGCCATCAGGAAGGTGATCTCCTGGTCGGCCTTGGGGACGGGGACATGCTGCACGGAGAAGTTGGGGTAGAACTGCGTGTACAGCAAGTACCCTCGAGAGGAGAAGATGGAGGCTGCTTGGTCCATACTATATAGTTAGTTTATATAAGTTAGATTATATAAGAAAAAAAAAAGAGAGAGAGAGAGAGGTACCCTCCAGAATAAACACCAACGGCACGTTCCGACACTACCGCCAGGTCCAAGAGATCCTGCTTGGAAACATTGTGGTTGTTGGCCTTCATGACGGCCAGGGCACTCGCACATACAAAGGCGGCACTGCTCGAGATGCCACCACCGGGAGGCACGTTGCCGTCAATCAGGATCTCCATGCTTGCCGGCGCGAAGAGGTTGTCAGCCGTCTTCTTGCGCAGGTACTTGACGGCACCCAAAAGGCCAGCCTTGAAATAATTGATCCATTCGTGCTTCGTCGGGTCGATCTCGATGTCTGCATCTCGCGGCACGGTGAACTCGCGGGAGGGGAACTTGTCCGGGTTGACATTGGCAATCTTGACGGTAGCATCCAACCCGTGCGGCGGGATGACCTTGACGGCCACGATCACATCCACACTGACCGCCGTCGGTAGCACGTCGTAGAGATTGTAGTCGATGTGTTCGCCGATGATATTGACACGGCCGGGGCTACGGGCGACGAAATCCGGCCGCTGGCCGTACAGCTTCGCAAAGCCAGTGACCAGACCCTTCCATCGCGCCTGGATCTCTGGCGAGACCGAGGTGGTCGACGCCTCGTCGGTTGCGTAGACCTCTGCGATGGACTCGGTTTGAGGGACCAGCTGCTGCGGGGTGGCCATGGCGGGGTATTTCTTTATCGCCTCGTGTTATATAATGAGAAACGGGACTGTATCACAGAACACCAAAGTCAGTCTAAGCACGATAGACAGGTAGACAGGTAGACAGATAGACAGATAGACAAGACAGATAGACAAGACTGAAGGAATGAAGGAATGGAAGAATGAAGCTCACAACTCGCCTCCACAACCGACTGAGTACTCCGTACCGAGTAGTTAATATATCGTCCTGGATAATTCAGCAAAGACACGCCCCACTCCCTCCTGTAACTCTTGAGGCTTGAGAAGAGTCGGTTAATTATCTGACTCGCTCTAGACCAACTGTTTGTGGCTGTCGGAAAACCCGAGGTCTTTGGATAGGATCCACGATCTGAGTCCGTCGGGATTGAACCAGGTTGAATGGCCATGTGATTTAGTAGTACGGAGTATGGAGTTCTCTCTACAGTCTACACTACTACTACTCTATTACTATTACTACTACTACTATTACTATTACTCTACTCTACTCTATTACTATTACTGCTACTACTGATACTATACTCTACTACTATTACTCTACTACTAACTATTACTCTACTACTAACTATTACTCTACTCTACTAGTTATTACTACTCCTACTACTACCCTTCTACTCTATTACTATTGCTATTATTACAGGTATCATCTATGTCACCTGGAGACACTGAGCATCATTTATCTTCTTCATACCTACTTGATCTTTTCTCTATGGCTATATTATGCTATTAGTCATCTAGACTCCTACAGCAATGATTTAACTACTACCTATTCCCCTACAGAGCTGTGAGGCATCACCTCATCGGATACGGTCGGATACACGTCCAATTGGAATATCTCGGCCGCAAGGTCAGCAACGGATTTCATACCTCCAATGGGGTAGCAGCGGTTTCTAATAGCCCCTGGCGATGGCTGCTGGCTATTATTATCCTCATCAAGATCTCTGCTCCAGACGCGAATCTCCATATCGAAATGTTGATCGAGTCGGTTAGGATCGGGCTAGACCCAATCGGGTCGCACCGGTGAGTTAAATTCCATGTATGTGTAAGATACCAGGTATGTATTATGTGTAAGATATGTACAGTGTACGATGTGTATGTACATTGTGTATGTACTATATGTATGTGTACAATATACAATGTATTCATGAGATCATATTGAATAGGATCAGAAGCTCCAAGTCACATTCTTCAGCCTCGACAGACTTGCCAGGTCAACTACCTAGGCACACTACATATGCAGTGTCAGAGTCTGTACCAGGTACGTAGTCGGTACGTAGTCGGTACGACGTAACGCCAGTAGAAGAGTCAGGTGACTTTGCGAGTCCAGCCGAGATCGGAGGCAGCGACCCAATTATGGAGGCGAAAGATGCTTTGACTCAAAAGTATTTCCCCCATTTTTTGAACTCCCGTTCCCTTCCCTCTTCCCTTCCAGAATCCCGTCTGGCCTGGTTATCATCGCCATGATGCCGTTGAGACCGTCCAACAGCGCAATGCGTGCTCTGCATTGCCAGAGGTATCTTGCCTCTGCCCGGAGGCCCTTCTCCTCCTCCTTGGCCGCCGCGACGCCGTCCGCCCACCGCTCTATCCAGACGTCGAAACGAAACCAGAGCACTGTGGCTGCTGCTTCGTGAGTGATCCCCTTGGATTGCTTCTTCTCGATTCGAAAAGATATGGGAGGGGAAAAAAAAGGGAAAAGAAAAGGCCACCGCTGACCGATTTTTTGCTGTCGCAGAGATGCTAGACCGAGACCCAGTCCCGCCTTCAACCAGGATCCTCAGCGGAATGAGGCCTCACCGCTGCACAACAGACAGCTCTCGGAGCTCGACGACTCGTACGTCTATGCTGCTGTTTCTTCTTCGACCGTCTAGGGAGCTCAATGGCGCGCTTACACTCTCTTTCGTCTATAGATTTGTCGGTCTGAGCGGTGGCGAAATTTTCCACGAGATGATGCTGAGACTTGGCGTCAAGCATATCTGTGAGTCACGGAGCGGAATTGGGTTGGGGGTTGGGGGATGATGTTTTTTTTTTCTTTTTTTTCTCGCTCTCTAATTCTTCTCTAGTTGGTTACCCTGGTGGTGCCATTCTCCCCGTCTTCGATGCGATCTACAACTCGGAGCACTTCGACTTCATCCTCCCGAGGCACGAGCAAGGTGCCGGTCACATGGCCGAGGGTTATGCCCGTGCTTCTGGCAAGCCGGGGGTCGTCCTCGTCACCTCTGGCCCCGGCGCCACTAATGTCATCACCCCCATGCAGGACGCCCTGTCCGATGGTACCCCCATGGTTGTCTTTACCGGGCAGGTCGCGACCGCCGCCATCGGTACCGACTCCTTCCAGGAAGCCGACGTCGTCGGCATCTCGAGAGCCTGCACCAAGTGGAACGTCATGGTCAAGAACGTCGCCGAGCTGCCCCGTCGCATCCAGGAGGCCTTTGAAATCGCCACCAGCGGCCGCCCCGGCCCCGTCCTCGTCGATCTCCCCAAGGATGTCACCGCCGGCATTCTCCGGAAACCCATCCCCATGAACAGCACCATCCCGGCCCTGCCGAGCGCCGCCACCCTGGCCGCCCGTGAGCTGAGCATGAAGCAGCTCGAGGGAAGCATCGGCCGCATCGCCCGCCTCGTCAACATCGCCAAGAAGCCCATCCTCTACGTCGGCCAGGGCCTGCTCGCCCGCCCCGAGGGCCCCGAACTGCTCAAGGAGCTGGCCGAAAAGGCCTGCATCCCCGTCACCACCACCCTGCAGGGCCTCGGGGGTTTCGACGAGATGGACCCCAAGTCCCTGCACATGCTCGGCATGCACGGCTCCGCCTACGCCAACATGGCCATGCAGGAGGCCGACCTGATCATCGCGCTGGGCGCCCGTTTCGACGACCGGGTCACCCTCAGCATCGCCAAGTTTGCGCCGCAGGCCAAGCAGGCCGCCGCCGAGGGCCGTGGTGGCATCGTTCACTTCGAGATCATGCCCAAGAACATCAACAAGGTGGTCCAGGCCAACGAGGCCGTCGAAGGCGACTGCGCCGATAACCTGCGCCTCCTCCTCCCGCACGTCAAGCCCGTCAAGGAACGCCCCGAGTGGTTCGAGCAGATCAACTACTGGAAGTCGCGCTTCCCCCTGTCCCTCTACGAGCGCCAGACCCCCGAGGGCCCCATCAAGCCCCAGGCCGTCATCGAGAAGCTCAACGAGCTCACCGCCCCCATCAAGGACCGCACCATCATCACCACGGGTGTCGGCCAGCACCAGATGTGGGCCGCCCAGCACTTCCGCTGGCGCCATCCCCGCACCATGATCACCTCGGGCGGTCTGGGCACCATGGGCTACGGTCTGCCCGCCGCCATTGGCGCCAAGGTGGCCCGCCCGGACTGCCTCGTCGTGGACATTGACGGCGACGCCTCCTTCAACATGACCCTCACCGAGCTCTCGACCGCCGCCCAGTTCAACATCGGCGTCAAGATCCTGGTCCTGAACAACGAGGAGCAAGGGATGGTCACCCAGTGGCAGAATCTCTTCTACGAGGATCGCTACGCTCACACCCACCAGAAGAACCCCGATTTCGTCATGCTGTCGCAGTCGATGGGCGTGCCCGCCCAGCGCACCAACAACCCCGCCGAGCTTGAGGAGAAGCTCAAGTGGCTGATTGAGAGCGACGGGCCGGCCCTGCTGGAAGTTTTCACCGACAAGAAGGTCCCCGTCCTGCCCATGGTGCCTGTTGGGTCTGGTCTGCATGAATTCCTTGTTTACGACGAAGGTATTTCCCCTTTCCCCCGACTTGCAAAAAAAAAAAAAAAAATCATCCCACTAACTATTTCATTAGCCAAGGAGAAGGCGAGAAAGGAGCTGATGAAGCAGCGTGGTGTCAAGCATATGAGCCAGTAGTCCCTCGACTTGAATTTTTTTCTAAATAAGTTGGAGGCGGAAAGACTAAAAAAAAAAAAAGGAGAAAAGCTGTTGGAAAAATGAGACGGGATCATAGGTCAAAAACTTCGTCAAAAACTTCCTCGATGAATCCCCTAGCCGGATTTCATCATCATCGTCTTAATTTGCTCATCGATCTGCATCGCACATTCTCACTTTGGGCTGTTTTACTATCTCATGTATATAATATTGGTCGTGCCTGCGTTCTGCCCCCTGGAAGCGCAACGTGTCCGGAACTCAATCCCAGCATCAGTTCAGTTCCTTCCTCTCTCTTCTCCTTCCCCTTCTTCCTCTTCTTCCTCTCTCTTCCTCTGGCATTCGAGAAGTCGATTTAGACTCGGCCGTAAGTCACGTGGCCATATCGCTAGCGTGCTGACGTAAGCCGCTCAACAGCCGCGGTTCGTATCCGAGAGTCCCGATCGGGTCTAGTGGCAACTCGAAGCTCCCTCCAAGCTGACCTCCCCTCCTTGCCAGGCCTTGTTTTCTTCCCCCCCCCCCCCAACCAGACAGTCGTTGAACCCGCGCCCAAAGGCAAGATTCTCCACACGGAAATGCAGTGGTTTGGTTTCCCAAAATAGCATAGCAAGCAGAAAATCACCCGTTGAGTGTGTGTTGGTTCGCAGTATGGCGTCGTTCCCCAGCTTTCCGGCGGGCGGGAGGACTCGGTCGTCCGAAGGCGGCCAGGCTTCAGGGCAGCAACAACAGCAACAGCAGCAGGAGCAGCAGGAGCAGCAGGAGCAGCAGTCGACAAGAGATTCTTCATCGTCTGATTTGGATGGACCGGAGACGGTGGTGTTTAGTCAATCGGCGTCGTTGATCGAGAAGACAAATGAGAATAATACCAATGCCTCAAAAACTACCGGAGCAACCGAAACGATAACGTCAACGCCAAATGGTCATACGGACATGTCGGACGTGGAGCCGCGCAAGTGTTGGATCTGTTACATGGATGAGACGGAGGATACACCGTTGAACGCGGAGTGGCGGTCGCCGTGTCCGTGTGCGTTGACGGCGCACGAGGCGTGTCTTTTAGACTGGCTTGCGGATCTGGAGAGCCCGCGGTCTCGGAAGCGGAACGGCCGCGAGGCGAAGATGCTGTGTCCGCAGTGCAAGGCGGAGATTGTGGTGTCGCGCCCGCGCAGCTACATTGTGGACGTGGTGCGCGCGCTCGAGCGGGTCGCCGGCCGGCTGGTGTTGCCCGGGATGGTGTTCACACTGGCGGGAACGGTGTGGGCGGGCTGCTGCGCCCACGGCGTGTACTCGATGTACTTTGTCTTTGGGGCGGACGAGGCCCGGCGCATCTTCGAGGAGAACGCCGACGGGCCGTGGAGCCCCGGCGTGAACCTGGGCTTACCCTTGATCCCGCTCGTGCTCATCTTCTCGCGCACCCGCTACGCCGAAAGCATGTTGCCCGCCATCCCCGTCCTCTTCTTCGCCATCCAAAACCCTACCCACGAGCCGGACTTTGATCTGTGGCCGCCCACTCCCGCCATGACCTTTGCCGCCCTCCCCTACATGAAAAGCTTCTACACCGCGCTCTACGATCGATTCTTCGGACAACTGGAGAGAAAATGGATTGCCGAAGTCCAGCCTCGAGCCGGCGAGGCCGAACCAGACCCGGCAGCAGCAGCTCAACAGCCACTACAACAGATGGATCTAGGCGGCGACCCCGCCGCCGCCGCCGCCGCCCAGGGAGACAACGGGCAGATTCTCATGGAGATCGACCTCGAGCTTCAGGTCGGCCTGGGACCTGACGACGATGAGCCGCCCGATATCTTCGGGTTGCCCGGTGCAGGCAACCCACACCTCCCGGGGCTCGGGGCCCTGGACGGCCAAAACCTGGCGGCGGGCGCGGGCGGAAACGGACAGAACGGACAGATTCTGGGGCGGCGACAAGACCAGCTCATCCACGAGACCAGCAACCTGGCCGACACCATCCTTGGCGCCCTGGTCTTCCCGGCCATTTCGGCGTCGATGGGCGGCCTCCTGAAATACATCCTGCCCAAGTCCTGGACCACGGCCTCTTCTCTTTCTTCTTCTTCTTCTTCTTCTTCTTCCGTGCTTGAGAGGAGTCGCCCGGGCCTCCTCCAGACCCGATGGGGGCGCACCGTCATCGGCGGCTGTGCCTTTGTCCTCCTCAAGGACGCCCTGGTTCTCTACTGCCGCTGGAAGCTCGCCCAGACGCACCGCAGAAGAAAAATCCTCAACTACGACCGAGCGAAAAAGCAGGTCTCGAGATCGTAGAAGTTTCTTTCGACAGTTTTTTCAACAATAATGAAACATCATATTAGCGGCGATGGGGAACTTTATGGGTGATCTTCTTTCTCTTGTCTACATGACGCCATGACTAGTACAATACCACTTATTCTAGAGTTGTTGTACTCTTCAATAGATATTACGTAGTTACTCTAGGTATTTAGTAGTTACTGCCTACCTACCTAGTAGGTACCTAAAGAGAGGTACGCACCAATAAGATCCCCCGCGCTTAACGCGGCTAGCTCAGAGTTATCCAGAATGACAAGACTCCAAAGACTCACTCCAGAACATCAAACATCAACATCACACACGCCCACCATGCGTCTCTCGCCCGTTCTCGCCTCGCTGGCGAGCGTGTTCCGGATTCCCCTGCGCCCAACCCAATCTCTCGGCCAACCTCTTCCGCGATCGTTTTCGTCCACGCCCTCCATGGCGAAGAAGCAGGCCGCCCCTAAAGACAAGAAAATCAGTAAGCCTTATAAGATCATGATATACGATATAAGAACATGACTATATCAATCCACCCGGTAACTTATTTTCTAATACTTACTCTAATGTCTAGCTATGATTCGTTATTTCCTCTGGCACCCATTAACCCCCCGGCCGCTCCGGTTCTCACGGAACCGATACCTGCGGCACTGGACGATCCACCGCGCGTGGCAGCTGTACACTTCCCAGCAGCGGAGAAAGGGGGAACTGGAGCTGCAGCGGCAGTGGCAGGCGATGTCGGCGGCGTGTGAGGAGCTGCGCACGGGGGCAGGCGATGGGGGGAGGCTGTTCCGCCTGTCGATGAATAAGAAGGGGGTGTTTCGCGATATGTTTCCGATCGAGTATGGGCGTTTGCAGACCGAGACGCCTTCCAAGGAGGGGTGGAATCATGCTTGGAAGCGGATTGAATGATCCTTTCTATCACGTCACGTCTATTTTTATCTCTACTTGTATTATACTGTCATTGAATACATTGAATTGTTGAATTGTTGAATTGAATTGAAACGAGGCTAAGGCTAAAGGCTAGACGCTGTAAGGAATGAAGCATCAGTCGAGGCTCGTTATTGTGAAACACGGTCGTCAAAAAGAGGGAATCGGTCGGTGAAGAAGCAGGCCAAGACAAAAAATGGAATGAAATCCCGAAAGGAACGGCATCGACAAGCTACTCTTGTCGCCCGGATATGTAGACACAAAAGAAAGGGAAAACCGTATTGTGCACGAAGAGAGGGCAGAGGGCAAGAACTCGAAGCGAATAGACTGGCAACAAGGGATAGATAGAAAAAAAAGAAAAAGAAAAAAAAAAAAAAACCTCCAAACGCCGCTGATGCAAGATTTGTCAAATCAAAATTTCCCCCAACCGGACATTGCGAAACAGTTAGGAGAGAGCTTGTCGATATGGATGATACAGGGGGGGGGGGTGTCGAGTCCGTTATAAGACAACACAGCATGAGCTTTTGCGTTTTTCGAATGTGAGGAGAGCAGCACGGGTCGCCGCCTCGAAGACGTCGTCGACCCCTTCGCCCGTCAGCGAAGAGCATTCGAGATACTTCCGGGCGCCGATCTGCGCCCCAATTTCGCTTCCTTCTTTGGACGTGACGAAGCGCAGCGACTTCTTGCGCATCTCCTCCACCGCAAGAGGGTCTTCACGGAGATCCTTTTTCAGCCCGACGAGGATGATGGGAACACCGGGACAACGTTCATTCGCCTCCTCGATCCACTAAATTGTCTTCAGCAACAAAGCGCGTGTATACAGTTGCCAGGATGCCCGCTCACCTTATGTTTGACGTTCTCTAACGAGTCGGGCGTGTCCACGGCAAAGCCAATCAAGATGACGTGCGCTTTTGAATATGCCAGCGGACGCAAGCGTTCGTAGTCTTCCTGTCCAGCAGTATCCCACAGCGCCAACTGCACCGACCGCCCGTCGACTCGGCAATCCGTCACATAGTTTTCGAAAACCGTCGGGACCTGTATCTCACATTATCAATTCGATACTCGCACACGTGAGGTAGCGGAGATGAAGAAGAAAAAAAAGACTGACGTAATGCTAATAAGACGTTAGCAAAGGTCCACCACCACCACCATCATTCAAGGTCGTCGATCAACTCACAGTGGGAAAGTATCCGAGAGTGAAGACACTGAGCAGACTGGTCTTGCCACAAGCACCATCGCCGATGATCACCAATTTCCTAGCAGGCGAGAGAAACCGGAGTCAGCGTGCCCGTTTGACAAGTAGCATCATCCATCTCGCACCCACGCCAGCACCGGGGCGACGTACCTCTTCATCACATTGTCAACCTGTTGTTGCGCCATTCTCACCGACAGCCTGGATTTATCGAATAGCTTATCGAAACAGACAGACACAGCTTCACAGCTCGTTGAGGAACCCCGGGTTAGGCAGCAGCGGGCGGAGACAAGACGTTTTAACCCCTCTGGCGGGCTCTCCCCTTGAATTTTGGATTTTCCTTTTCTTTCGTCCTGTCTCTGTTTACAGCCAGTAGAATAGTTGCCTCAAGAGTCTCGACAAACACCGAATCGATGCGTAGTTAAACACTGGTCGATCAACGAAAACCGCGTGGTGTGAGCGGCGGCAGCGAGGGAACAACAGGGGCGAAACACACGGCGCGGCGGAGGAGGAGCAACAGCAACAGCCAGGGCGAGACGCGGTAAGACGAAGAATAACCAGGAACGGGAAGAGGATGGAAGATAGAGGGAGCGAGAGCGAAGGAAAAAAAAAAAAAAGAGAGAGAGAGAGAGAGAGAGAGAGAGATTAAATGACGATTACGACAACGACGGGTGTTTGTCGGCAGCACTACGGCTGAGGACTTTGTCTCAGGCGTCCACGGAGGGACTGTGCCGCGATACGAGGGGAGCCGCGAGGAGATTTGAATATGGCACCTCCACCACGTCCACGTCGACGGGGAAGCGACGAGACACTGTAGACAGTAGATCTGGAGTCATGAAGAGCTAGCCAGACCCTTCTCTCCCCCTAGACGATTCCTCTCGTGCCTCCTGCTGGGCCAAACAGGCCCCATCGCTCGCTTCCGGCGGCTATCCTGGTGCAGCCAGGGCCAGCAGGACGAACAACCGCCCAGGCACGATCCACCATCCTCCTGCCATCGCCAGACCGTCCGGCGTCCGCTGCCCTGCCCAGAGAAGCCCGCGACCGAAGAGCCTCCCGCCGTGCGTCTCGCTCGCCTTGCCGGCTGCCCCCTCCTCCCAGGCTTCCCAGTGCGTGTCGTTTGGGCCTGCCTCACAGCCTGTGCCTGTTCCGCGTCCGCGGGCGTCTCCCGCCTTGGGGCTTTTTCACCTCCCGGAAACCCACCCCCCTCCATCGCCGAATTCCTCTCCCACCGCTCGCCGACCGACACGAGCAGCACATTTCCCGGTTCTTTTGGGCTTCTGTGCGTGTCCTGCTGCGAGGATCGCTTTGTCTGCCGGCCTGTGGCTTTTATCATTGGTCCGGCCTTGCGTCTTTGTGACTCCCCCTCCCTCTCGTTCCGCCAGTGGTTGGTGATCCTTCTCCGCTGTTTGTTCCCTCTTCTCGCTTCCGAGCTTCTTCTCTGCTAATGCTTACATCTTATATTCGTGCCCTCAGTAGCGGAAATCCGGAAATCCTCTCTGCGAGGACGACGAAATACCACCTTCCCCGCTCCTTACTCTCCAGATGGCTCCCTCTCATGTTCCTAGGGCGACGCCCGCCGCCGCAAAGGCGGAGCGCGCAACGCCCACCACCACTACTCCGGCACATCTAACTAACGGGCAAGCCTCTCCCCCACCCGTCTCGGTCAACCGGAAGAAGCAGAAGCGGAGGCAGAAGCAGGCTGCTCGCCTGGCGGCGGAGCAGCAGCAGCAACCGCCGCCGCCGCCGCCGCAGGTTCACAGCGGGTACATGACCTCGGACGTGGCCCAACAAAACGGGCGGCCTGCCGCCGGTTACGATGTGGACGAGGAGCCCGATGACTATGAGGACGCGGAACCTGACCATCAGGTAAATGGTGACGGATACTACGACGGCGATCACGCGCATCACGGGTTAGCGGCGTCATCCCAGCCACCCACGGGCAAGAAGTCTAAGAAGAAGAGAGGGAAAAAGGGTCGCTCGGGCTCGCAGACGCTGCCGGAAGAAGGCTCAACCCCCCTCTCAACACCATCACTCTCCTTGTCCCATACGCTGCCGCACGCTGCCCCCCCTCCACATGTCGCTCCCCGATCGGCCCCAAAGTCGACAAAGGACCGCAGCATCTGGAATACGTCGACGCAAGAGGAACGGGAAAATATCAAAACGTTCTGGCTCGAGCTGGGTGAAGATGAACGGAGACAGCTAGTCAAGGTAGAAAAGGATGCGGTGCTGAAGAAGATGAAGGAACAGCAGAAACATTCGTGCAGCTGCACGGTCTGTGGCCGGAAGCGCACCGCCATCGAAGAAGAGCTGGAGGTCTTGTATGACGCGTACTACGAAGAGCTCGAACAGTACGCAAATACGAACCAAGGCGTCTTCGATAAGGGCTCCCCAATCGTCCCGCCGCCACGGCTATACCAGCATTCTCTGCGTTCGCCCGGACTCTACACCCGAACACAAGCACAATTCCATCCTTCTCGTGGACGCGTCCAGGAGTTACCCGAGGAGGAGGAGGGTGATCTTGAGGAAGAGTACGACGAAGATGAAGAAGAGGAGGAGGAAGAAGAAGAGGAAGAAGAAGAGGAGGAGGAGGAAGAAGAAGAAGAAGGAGAAGGAGAAGGAGAGGAAGGAATAGAGGGAGAAGAGAATGACGCATATAGTGACGATGGTGTCGAAGACGAGGAAACCCGCGCTGCTCGTGCAGACTTCTTCGCGTTCGGAAACAGTTTGACGGTAAAAGGTACGGACAGAGCCTTCTTCCCCCCCCCGAGTTTTTGCTATATGGCTAACGGCCTCTCTCTCTCTCCCCCAGACGGTATTCTCACAGTGGCAGACGATCTACTCAAAAACGATGGGAAACATTTCATCGATATGATGGAACAGTTGGCCGAACGTCGAATGCAACGCGAGGAAGACACTCAGTACGGTATGGTCGCGGCACATCAATCTCTCCATGCAGGTCATAATCACGGTCCCCTCGACGAAGATGACTACGACGATGAGGAGGAAGAAGAAGAAGACGATGACTACGATAGTCAAGAAGAGGAAGAGTATGAAGATGATGAAATGGTCTGCTCCAGATACCGCCGATTTATTGTTTTCTTTTTCTCTCTCTCGACCCCTGTGCTGACCAATTGTTAGGATGCGATGACCGAGGAACAGCGCATGGAAGAAGGGCGCCGGATGTTCCAGATATTTGCGGCTCGAATGTTCGAACAAAGGGTATTAACGGCGTATCGCGAAAAAGTTGCGGAACAACGGCAGCAGAAGCTGATCGAAGAGCTCATGGAAGAGCAAACGCGAAACGAGCAGCGTTCAGCCAAGAAAGCCCGCGAAGCACAGAAGAAGAAGGACAAGAAAAAGATCCAGCGGCAAGCCAAGGAGGAGGAGAAGGCCCGGCGGGAGGCCGAGAAGGCGGCAGAAGAAGCGGCAGCCAAGGCTGAGCAAGAGAAGAAACTGGAAGAGCAGAGACGAAAGCGCGAAGAACAGCGAAAGAAAAAGGAGGCCGAGAAGAAGGCACAGGAAGAGGAACGGGCTCGCAAAGAGGCCGAGAAGCAACGCCGGCTCAAAGAAGAGAGGGACCGGCAAGCCGAAGCGGAGCGAAAGCAACGCGAACAGAAAGAGCAGGAGAGGAAACGCCGCGAGGAGGCCCGACGAAAGGAGCGAGAGGAACGAGAGTCGCGGGAAAAGAAGGCCAAGGAGGACCGGGAGCGGAGAGCACGAGAGGAACAACAGGCGAAGAAGAAGGACAAGGCCGAGCAAGGATCGAAGGACCGGGATAAACGGGACCCCCCCCATGTTGCACCCCAGCTGGTTCCAACAGCGATCGCCAAACGCACCTCGAATCCGGGGCCTGTCCCCATCCCGTCCGGGCTACAGCACGCCCCGTCGCCTCACTTCCAGGTTGCTACTCCTATCGTCGCAAAGGCCTCTACCCCGGTTCGACCGCGCCAGCACTCCCAGCACGGTTCACACACGTCGTCACCCCGGTCTCAACCGGGGAGCACCGAACCATCGCAGCTATCCATCTCTCCGCGCTCCGTCCCGCTGTCGCAGTCATCAGGCACTTCGAGTGTGACGTCTCTCAAGGGTGCCGCAGCCCAGCAGCCGATCCTATATCACCCACAACCCTCGGCGCCGTTATCACCGCTAGGAGCTGCGGGGCGTATGCATCCTCATGGATTCCCAGCCATCAATGGGCTCCCGTCGAATCCTCCCGGGCTCTCGGGAATGGTCCCTCGGCCACCGCCGATGGGTCATGACCTGCCGATGTACCCGCCGCACACGGGGCCTTTGGTGAACCAGTACCGGGGATTTCCCGCGCCGAATGGAATCCCGATACCCCCGGGAATGAACGGCGCTCGCCCTATACCCTCTGGTCGGGGGGGATTTCCTCTCGAACCCGGCCAGGGACTCCCTTTCCATGGGCAACAAGCGATATCGGGAGCGTTCTCCGCTCAGCCGGGTGTGCATTCCAGACAACCTTCGAGCTCATTTGAACGATCTCCCCTCCAGTCGCACGCTCAACCATTCCCTATCTCCCGCCCAAGCCCCATCAAACGACCATCAAGCAGCGCGCAAGACCAGCAGCACAAGGAAAACGGCCACGCAACGCAGCGAGATGTGGATGATCTGAGTGCGCATCTGGGTAGCAGCGCGCTTCTTGACGATACCGACATTCCGGCTCCATCGAGCCTGTCACAGTCGTTACCAGGCGCCACTGTTGCGGAGCCTTTCCACGGACCAACGCGAGCCAGTTTTGGAGGCCCTTCGCTATTCACAGACCCACTGGGTGGTAAGTCCTATCTCGCTTGGAAGAGACCATTTGGATTAGTCTTGTTTTTCTAACAGTTGAAAGTGGTACCAAAACCTCCAAACTTCTCGATCAGTCCTGGCGTAGGGGGGGCCACCTGGGGGATGCAGATTCCCTTTGGAAGCCCTGCGTTTCCCGGTGCCCCGACGTGGGGAGGGTCAAGTGGTGAGTCAAAATAACCAGTATACTCTGAATTCGGAAGAAGAATCACACTGACCGATCAGGCGGCGGCTGGTCGAACAATGCGTTCGGAACCTCAGGTCACCACCGTGCTCACACATCCCGGCCAGTTGCCATCCGACTACTGGTCATTCAGGCCTGCAAGCAGCTCAACACCATGAGTCCCGGCAAGACAAGCTCTGCGGGCGGTCACTTCCACGACGCCAACCTGGTGCTCCGGCAAGTAGAGCAGCTGCGGCCGTCGAACGAGCCGGCCATCTCCCTCAAAGAGATGCTGGACATCTGCGACACAGAGGGCAACCCGCAGAACGGCGGGGGGTCGTTCCTAGTCCGCGACGACGCAGACGAGGGCAAGTTCGTCAAGTTCGAGCCGGACAGCAACAGCGCCACCCCAGGCCATCACCGCGGCAGCATTGTCCCGGGCGAGATCGGTAGTCCCATCCCGAGCAACAGCTTGCCTGCCTTTGGCGGGATCGGGATGTCTTCAGTACTACGGCAGTTCTCCTCACCCCCGACAGGTTTTTAAAAAGTTGTGGCCGTCTGTCTCACCGATCTCTACAATACGACTTGACTCTTTTAAAGTGTGATTAATCGTGTTGCATACGTCTTGGATGAATTCTCTTCTTCTTCTTCTTCTTCTTCTTCTTCTTCTTCTTCTTCTTTTTCTTCTTCGTCTCCTCTTCTACTCTACTACTTCTCCTTCTTTTTTCTCAAAGCGTCATGTTCATGCTCACCCACGTATGTGTAACCCGCATTTTCTTGGCTTGCTCTCGAGTCTCACGCTTTTTCTATCATGTATGAGTTATGTGCAAACCTCTATGCAGCGATCTCTGGAGAAATACCTTATCCTTGTGATTGAGTAACATATTCCTTTTCCTCTTTCTTTTTTTTATACACCATCATCATAAGTAGATTAGTTATGTAGAGGGTTCACAGTACCAGTTTCCTATATAAGTACTAACTACACAGTGTCTACAAGATTATTTTTTATGTGAACTTTGTATAATAAAGAAAACTCTCTTGTACATTCAATCAAAAAAGGAAAACATAGTATAGGCAGTCAAGGAAGACAAAAAGCAAAGCTAAGAGAGGAGGGGGGAAAAAAAAAAGCGTTACTGCCTCGGATCAGTGACAACCCCTTCATATTCCCTCGAGCGGATATACTCGAGTGTGCGCTGGAAATGGCGCTTAGGGTTCTCCAGGCTTGGGTTCGGCTCGTCCTGGTTTGTCTGCAGGTTCGAATGGATCAGCTCGATCAGGCCGTTGAGATACTTGGTCGTCACCGTCTCGTTCTGCTGGTCAAAGTAGTAGACGTAGCGGTTCAGGATCTCGACAAACAGCTCCACCGACACCGCCGTGTCCATGCACGCATCCGCCACGCGGAGAGCACGCTGCAGGCATTCTAGTACGCGTTTGCCGTCGCGGTAAAGCTGAATGGGATTAGCAAGAAGAGTTCTCTTGTAGGAAAAGAAAAAGTGTAGCTTACATTTTTCGCGTCTTCTTCCCCCCGGTGCGGGTTCTCGATCACCCACCACAGATGGCTTGCCAGGTACACAGCACGGCACTGGTCGGGTTTCTTGAGCAGTTTGCTTCCGTGCAGGGCGGCCTTGGTGATGAGGGTGTCGTAGTTCTCCTTGGAGAAGCCGCGCGTGCCGTGTAGGGCGCCGGCAATGATGCAGACGGCCTGGAACTGGGCGCGCGAGTCGCTAATCGCGTCCTCGTAGATGGTGAATGCCTGTGCAAAGAACTCGTAGCTGAACTCCTCGAAGCCCGTCTGGTCGGCGACCTCGCCGCACATGACGAAGAGACGCAGGGCCAGATCGGCGCACCCGGGGTTCACCCGTTGGTACAGGTTGCTGACGCACTGGTGCATGAAGCGGTAGAGCGCCGATGACTGGGCCTGCCAGTTATCCTCGTAGTGCTCGCGAGACTTCAACCGGCGGGCCAACTGGAGAGACGCCGTGATGATGGCTGGCGTGGTATAGCGGATTCGTTCGTTGCCCTCCGCGTAAGCCTTTCGCGTTGCTTGCAGTAGCTACCATCGAAGGCATATATTAGTTTTCCATCTAGTTTTTTCTAGAAGCAGTTGGCCTTGTTATCCCCTTACCTTGAGTTGCGTGTCATTGTCGGTCCCTCGAATTAGATGAACCAATCGCGCAAGCCACCCCTGCTCTTCGATCGTCTCGTCAGTTTCTCCCCCTCTCCGCTGGGACTGCAGCCCGGGGTAGCCGACGGCCTGTTGCACGCCTTCCTTGATCAGGACCTTGACCGTGAGCAAGACACGATCCAGGTGCTCGGCAGTGGCGATCTGGGTCCTGTTCTTGAGAATGCTACGGATCACCTCGCCGGCGACGGATCGTCGCGTGGGGTAGGACTGCGTGCTGAGCAAGGGGATATAATGCGGCAAGGCGAGGGCCGTGAAGATCGAAACATAGGATCGCAGAGGCGCAACGAGCAGATGAAGAAGGTTTTGTTGAGCAGGAGCGGAATGGAGATCGGCATGGTCGGTGTACTCGGCAGTCTTCTGCGAGGCGAAGTCGAGGATTTGGTCCACATATTCTAACTTTTGAGGGTAAATGTTCCTAGATGAGCCTGTTAGCTTGAGAAATCAAGAGACGAACCGGCCGTCGGTCTTACAATGCAAGGTTGACAAGAGAGACGAGTAGCGCCATGATATCCTGGATTGGCAGCCCGCGGGTCTTGATCAGATTGACGACCTGCTCGTAGAAGATGTCGTATAATTTGACATCGGAGGGGATGCCGGGCTTGGTTCCCGGGGCGCTCCCGTTCGGTGCCTGTTCGGTGTTCGGCTCATGAGGACGCTCTTCGCTGTCTTTTGCCTGTTCCTCTACACCATTTTCCTGGGTGGCACCCGCTTCACCCTCACGGGGAGCCTCAGGCTTGGGCGAGGCCTTGTTAGAGATTTCCAGATCCTGGAGTAACTTGGAGACGGCTTCATCTTCATTCTGCCTTTTCGTGTCTGGATCAAGTGTCGCCTCGGTATCTCGCGCAGCATACGACGACAGGCGATCCATGAGCCCGATCACGATCTTCTTCAGGTCCACATAAGGGTTGAGGCGCGCGATCGCAGAGAGCAACAGGTCCAGGGTATGAAGGTGGAACTCATCCGGGAAGACCTTGGTGATGACTGCCACGAACGGGTCAACATCTCAAACCCAATATGAAAAAAGAAAAAAAGTGGTAAGACTGGTTAGCTTACCTTCCAGAAGGTATTCCTGTGCCAGAATATCGCGACACTGCACCACCTGCTCCAACAAGGCCTGCAGGATGCCCGACTTATACGCCTCCAGATCGACCAATTGGCTGAGGCGGACGACGTTGCTGCCGACGAGTAGCTCCAGCTCGCGTCTCTCCTGCATTCTGCGTTCCCGTTCCCGCGACGGACCCTGGTGCTGCAGCCGGACCCAGAGCTTGTTCATTTCCACGAAATTGGTCAGAACGAAGTTGATCGAATCCTGCAGGTTGCCTTCCGGTCCATCGCCCGTCCCCGTAGGCAGGTAATCTCTTGCCTGTCCGGAGAGGTAGTATCGTAAGAACAGGCCGCGGATTGGGTGTTGCACGCCACGGCTCATCTCCATCATATCCTTCATAATCTCCTTGACGGGGGCATCCTCGACGGACATATAGACCGTGCCCACCGTGATCATCAAGTACAGTCGAGGCACGATGTTTCCGGCATACTGGACGAGCTCATACAGGTCCGCCAGATGGTTGACCGGGTGGTTCTCTTTGAGGTAGACGGAGAGATGTCGCAGCGCATCAAACACCGCCATGTACAATTCGTAATATTGCTTCGGGCCCAAGCTGGGCGTGCGCAGCTCGGAGACCAATGTCGACCTAAACCCAATATGTTGTGGTTAGCAAAGAGAATCGGGCCGTGGTATAGAGAGAGTGGCTGCCTGGAAACAAAAACACACTTACCCGCACTTGAGCGCATCCATTAATTTCCCTGGCGTCTCGAGACATTTTCGCATCATCACCGACTGTTGTCGCACGACCCCCAGTGCCTCTTCGAGCAGGCGGTTCTGGTCCTCGGCGCCAGCCATTGGAGCGGCCATCTCGTAGACCGGGTTGGGTGTGGACGAGGGGGGAGGGGCGCGGAGAGGCGCGGAGAGACGGTCTGCCGGCGGATCAGGAGATCTCCACACCTGGAACACGGGGAGACGGGGTAGTTTACAAGGAGGGAGAGATTGTTTGAAGGGAGAATGTCAATCAGCAAGGAATTCGGGCTGCTGAAAGGCCTTGGAGCAGAGGGCGCGCAAAGAGAAACAATGATGTCGTTCAGGCAATCGCTCTCGTGGCTTGTCCTTGAGGCAGCGCCGGGCACTAAAACCGGTGTCACCGCCCTGAGCCTCTTGGGCAATTGATAGCGATAAGATAGATTGAGATTCAAGAACGATAGTTATTGCTTTTTCTGCTTTTATACTTGTTGAATGCCTGGGTGAATTAATGATTTCTGCGATATGATGCTACGTGGATACTTGCAGGGGGAGGTAATATTGCTTTTTATGCAGGGAAGCGAAACTACCGAAATATACCAGAACTAGAATATCCAACTCAAATCATTCAATCCATTCAATCCATTCAATTCATCAGTCTAATAATTCATTAGTATGTCGTGTCGTCCAGTCTATTCCGAAACACCCATAGTAGAAATCATCATGAACAAGAGGGCAAAGATGTGTACACGAAAACCAAATATCCAAGTCAAAAGTAGACCCCCAGTCAATGTACAATGGCATCTGAACAGTAGCAAAAATAAGGGAGGAAAGAGGGTCATGATTGTCATGTATCGTGACGTTAAATCGCAGAGCAGAAACAGCCGGTATGCCGACTCGGGTCTCCTATTGTCTAGGCAGTCGGCCTCGCCTTCAAAGGATACCTTGATGACTGAGCAGCGGCCTTTTGATCTGGATGAACGAGGCTGTGGGCAGACAAAGGAGCTGAGGTATTCCTCGTATCGCGGCGGAAAGCATGAGGCTGCTCGTCTCCTGGGAACCCGCTGGCTGAAGGATGAGCTGCAGCACTTGAACCCCAAAAGGGCACACGTGAAGACACTGGAGAAGATGTGATGGTGGGGGTTGCAGTTGCAGTTGCCGTCTCCGTAACGTCCACGGTGATCGTTATGGGCGACTGCGTGACGGTAGCCTTGACGGTGGTGGTCTCGACAACTGGTGTGGGCTTGGTCTCGGCACCACCGACGTTCACAACTGCGTATGAGGGCGCCGCTCGTCGCACAAGAGAGCTGCTGTGGACGAGGGGAGCAGCATAAGAGGCGCCCAGGCTGGACAACACGAAGACTGCGGCAGCAGTAGAGAAACGCATGGTCAGGTCAATGGATAAGACTAGTTCAGATAAACAAAATATTGGTCTGAAGGCGATGCAGGACTTGAAATGAGTCTTATGCACTCTGGACGGTAGCAGGTAGATTGAGAGTCAAAGTCCTAAATAAGTCCTTCAGTCGTGCACTCTGTAGTACGTGCATTCTGTAGGGAGAAAATAGAAACACTGGATATATTCAGATCTTTGACCAGCCTCACCAACAGTGGCGATTCTCAGGAGGCTGGGATCAAGCCCAGCCACACCAATTTCAGCAAACCATATCTAGCCAACCCTTAACAATGGTTTCCACTGTAATAAATAGAAGTAGGCTGAGTCGTGAGTCCACTGATTTAGGCTTCACCATTTGCTGTGTAGAGTAGAGTACCGAGGAGAATTGAATTGCATCACGCAAAAGTTTTGTCTGTTGCTGTCGCAATAATGACTCAGCCTCAAAACAACAGCCCAGGTGTGGCTGGTGCTCCACTCTTCCCGCTGTGGCGTCATTTGCATGGCCGTTGCAGTTGCCGATCATCAACGATGACCTCAAGTCATGGAGATTGCCACTACTGCTGTTTCAAAGGGGTTACCGTGACTCCCTCAGAGGAAGTGCTGCGTAGGAGAAAGGGAGAGCTCGAATCTCGGGATTCCAGGCTTCAAGTACTCTCAAGAGCCATAGTGGGCGAGTGACCAGATACCTGCCTTATTCAAGCAAGCCATGCGGAACCACTCAAGATGGTATTCCTTCAATATCAGATCCTCCAGATCTTAGTGACTTGGGCAGTATCCAGTTACCAAGAGCTACTCCATAGAAGCTCTACTACGGAGTAGAAGCCCTACGATCTAAGCACCAACCCTTTTCTGGGCGAAAGATCACGTGACATATATTTTATTGCACTCTCGACCAGGATAGACTTCAAGCGTTGAAACTCGAATGCTAAAGGGAATACAGCTAAGAATTGCTTGTATATAATGCCAACGAGTAAGTAATGCATCGGTACGGAGGTACCTGATAGCTGGTACCTAAAGAAAGTACTTTGGATATCAAAAGCGGAATCAAAGGCGGTGAACCGCCGAATCCGTACGTGTTTCGTTCTCACCGGATCTGGCAAGTTGGCCTTCGTGTTCCGGCAGTCAACATCGCAGTCGCTCGCTTTTTACTTTGTTCGAACCCCTGGACGGATTTTCCTTGCCCCTGTTTATTTCTACCTCTTGATAATTAATATTCTTCTTGCTTCATATTCACCATGGGCGCCCAGAACAAGTACACAGTCATTCTGCCTACATACAATGAACGGAAAAACCTCCCTATCATCTGCTGGTTGCTGGAGAAGATGTTCCGAGAGAAGTGCGTTCGTTGTTCAGTTATGTGTATTTTAGAGTGTGAAAGAAGAAGTTTATACTGATAATGCATTGTCGAACTCTAGCAACCTGAACTGGGAAGTGATTATCGTTGACGATGGATCCCCAGACGGTACTCTCGAGGTCGCGAAACAGCTGCAGAAGGTGTGGGGATCCGACCACATCATTCTCAAACCACGCGCAGGCAAGCTCGGTCTTGGTACGGCTTACGTCCACGGCCTGCAGTTTGCGACTGGCAATTTCGTGATCATCATGGACGCCGACTTCAGTCACCACCCGAAGTTCATCCCCGAAATGATCAGAATCCAGAAGGAGTCGGACGCCGATATCGTCACCGGGACCAGATATGCCAACCGCGATAACGTCAAGGGCGGTGTCTACGGCTGGGATTTGTTCCGCAAGTTCACTTCGCGCACCGCCAACCTGATCGCGGACGTCATGCTGATGCCGGGTGTGAGCGACCTGACGGGAAGCTTCCGCCTCTACAAGAAGAGCGTTCTCGAAAAGGTCATCGGCAGCACCCAAAGCAAGGGCTACAGCTTCCAAATGGAAATGATGGTGCGTGCCAAGGCCATGGGCTACAAGGTCGAAGAATGTCCCATCACCTTTGTGGACCGCCTCTATGGCGAAAGTAAACTCGGGGGGAGTGAAATTGTCGAATACCTCAAGGGTGTTCTTACGTTATGGCTAAAGGTCTAATTATTTCTCTTCCATATTCCACTCTCCTTCCACCTCTTTTTGTCATGTTTCTCTTAGGACGAAGCTCGGCTAGGTCGGGAGAGGCATGTTTGCCCACCCGGATGCCGAGAGTGCCCCTTTCTCCCTTATGGTTTTCTGTTATACCCTCCCCCTACCCACCGGATCACCTCTTTCTTTTAGCCTGCTGGTTTTAAATTCCCTTGATTTTGGATTTTCTGTGCCATCTATTATGTATAGTATGTTGAAAAAAGAATTCCCGAGAGGAGTCTGTCATATCCCAAGGCAGCGACTTACATCAAAAAAAATCCATGCGTTGTCATAGGTAATGAGGAGAAAAAGGCCAGTGGTAGTTGTCTTGCCCAAGCCCGCCTAAATACGAGCCAGATACTCAATGACTTTGTCGACAAGCTCTTGAGTCGGGGCTTCTCCCTCTCCGGAAACGTTGTGGTTCGCGTCTGCAATAACACCACTTCCTTCACCATCCCATTTGTCTCCTGACGCGCTCTCCCATCTCTGCAGGAGTGCCTCTTTGTCCACCCAGTCGGGGACATGTTCGTCTTTGCCCGAATACAACACCAGGAGTTTCGACCGTAACAAGTCACGTTTGGCGATTGCTCCGAACGTCCTTTGCAGCCGTTCGTCAGTCAAATCGGAACTGAAAAGATCGTCCTCGGACGGTTTTTGTGGACTGTCAGGACTAGCCAGGCTGAAAAATCTCCGGCTGCTCAGAGGGGTATCTTCTGGAAAGCCCAGCTTGGCTGTCATGTTCAAGGGGAGCACTGCATTGATGCCGTCGGGAGTGAACGGTTGCCTCCTCGCAAAATCCACGAGCAGGCCGTAATCACCGGCGACTTGGCCTGGTGTGCAGGTGGCTGTACCATTTCGAATCGAGCGCATGAGGGCTTCTCTATCGGAGACAGGGGCTTGAAGGATCGCCCCGTCCACCTCTGGGCGTATCACATGCTCGAGCTTATCTTTGGGTCCCGAGGCTCTGTACGGTGTTGGGTTCTCAGAACACAGATAATGGAGAACGTCCTGGCTGCCGGTGGAGTGGCCCATTATCACGACCTTGCCCGGCTCCGACTCCAACTCCGACTCGGCTTTGTAGTCGCGCACAAACCGAACACACTTGGCGATCTCTTCAATGTCCTTGTCTAAGCTTCCGACACCCCATCCTTTATAAGAGGTTGACAAGAGCACCGAAAAAACAGACCAGTCCGTATCCTCCAGCGCCTTGGCGAGATGCTCCACGTACGGAACCGTACAGAGCCCATCCGTCAGACCTCCGATGAAGAGAAGACTGTTTGGTTTCTTCGCGTCCGAAGAAGATGAAGCGAACTCAAACGCGACTAGCTTAGGGGCCTAGCAGACATGAACATGATTTCTCATCAGTCTTCTTCTTTTCTTATCAGTCAAAAACAGCATAGCTTCATATATATAGTTGATGTCCAAATCCTGTACATACATATTGATGGAGGACCCCGGAATGTGACTTGGAAGACATGTCGCACAGTTCAATAGATGTAAACTGTCGCCTATAGAACTCGAGGGAGAGTGATAAGTAGATTAACAACAGTAAACCCTTCCACCAGTTGTCAATTTAAAGAGGTCGTTCATAGTGTTTATCATATGACGGAGCCCCTTAAGAACAACCCCACCAGAGCATGGCACCATTACAATACATACATGGAATGGTTGCTGCCCATGTTCAGGTTAGGTACCTAAGTCACCATCTGATCTATTTGCTGACCGATGGCTGTAGGAATGATTCTTCGAGTACTAGATGCCTCAGGTGCTAGATGCTAGTTAATATATTTATCTTATATTTATCCTGGTTTTGATATCATGTCGAGTTCGTTTCATACTTGATCCGTATGTAATTTACACGCCGTTCTGCCGCTGGTTGCCGCCAAGCTGCTGGTTTTCCTGGACTGGAGTTCGACAAGCAGAACAATTGCGAGGACGTTGCAGAGGAAACAACCTCTGTGGATGAGCTCTGATTCGAGTAAATCTGTGTTGGAAAAGGCCATGCCTTGATTCTGTTTTTTGATGATTGCTGAATCCGCGCCAAGATTCCTCCATTGCTTACTACCTAGGTAGTAAGTTTAATATGGCACCTGTGCGCAGATCTGGACGTCTTAGCAACGTCAGGACCAAGTATTCCGAGGATCCATTCCTGGATGCAGGGATAAGCGGAGGAGAGTCGGATTCGGCATACTTGTCAGCTTCTGAAACGAAGAAACAGAAGGGGAAGAAGAAGGCGCTACAGGTGGATAGTTCGTCGGATAATGACTTCGTCGCTGTGGAACGTGACGACGACGACGAGTACAATAGTCCCGATGAAGTCAGCGACGAAGGGGATGCCCCTGGTTCAGATTCTGACGCTACTGATGATGATGATAATGACGATATGATTGAGAACGGGGGGAAGCCTTCCATCTCGACCTCTAGATATCACAAGAAAAGGAATCCGGATAGGGCAATTGTACTGGCAGGAACAGATACCCATTCGCGGGGGATTCTAAACCCTATGGAACATGCCGCCAAGCCAATCCACCTCAGGGTGACGTTTGGGACGGATCAGCGGGATCTGCTAGCGATCGTATACTCGCGGGATCGGTGGTTTCGAGGAATCGATTCTGGATTCCCATCACGAGCATCGCTGAATGAGGCCAAATCTCTCCCAGATTACGGATACGGTCTGACCTTCGGCCTTGGCCGCGAAGAGTGGAAGACCGACAGCACGCGGGCCTGGGACTGGTACTACCAGGATCTAGATAATGGCAGACCGAGCAAGAGACAACGCCTGGAGACCATCGCCGAAGGGGAAGCTCGACAGGCTTACCTGCCTCCACCTAAAGCGCAAAAGCATACAGTCATCATTGGACCGGCTGATGAGCAGCGTGTTTTCCGATTAGGGCAACACGAGAGTCTAAACTTCGGTGATGCGTGGGGGGCAAGACAGCCTCAGGCGAAAAAGTCTGGCCCTCGGGTGGAAAGCAAGTCCAGGAAATCGTCTTCAAAAGTCGGCGGGACAGGGAGTACCCCTGTAGCTGAGAGAAAGATACGCGAGGGCTGGATTTTGAATCTAGGAAGCAAAGTCCAGTGTTCAGCGTGGGTTCCAAACCAGAACGGCCTGACTCAGTTTTTAGCGGTTGTGACCCCGGTGTCTAGAGAACAAAGGATAAATCACTCGACAACGTCGGAGTCTAAAGCGGCTCCCGCATTTTCGCCATCTCTGCCAGATCCTGCTGCTTTGCAGATTTGGGCATTCAAGGCCAAAGATGACGGCTCTCTCACAAAGACTATTGATATGAACTTTGAACCTCGACTGCGATTGACACTATGCACCGACTGGGGTGACGTCAGGCGGATAGCATGGTGTCCGATGGCGCGAGAACCGCGAGAGGAAGATGATGAAGATGTTTCAAAGAATGTTGGACTTTTGGCAGGCATTTGGGGAGATGGGAGTGTAAGAGTCTTGGATATCAAAGTTAGTCGGGATCCTCGAGGCTCTGAATTCTGTAAGACTGACTCCTATAAAACCATGACATTCTGTCTCTCTACTGACACCGTTTTTCCTTTAGACAAAGTTGCGTCTCCTATGTTTACCGCCAAGCCCCCATCGACTGTTTGTACTTGCGTCGCATGGTTGTCCCCGAGCGACATTGCTGTCGGCTGCGCCAACGGATTTGTGGCTGTCTGGAGTATTGCTGCGTCTCAAAAATCGACGTCCCATCCGGCTCCCTATGTGTACCGCCAGTTCCATTCGACCTACATTCTGAACATCGCCCCTGCCTACCCTACTCATCCTCACCTGTTAGGGACTACCTCCATGGATGGAGATACCTGTTTGACATCGATTCTCGATCATCAGGTGGACATGGTTCAAACAACTCGAATGCGAATCGGTTCATCACACATTTCGTATTCTCCTTTTCTTCAGTCGTTCTTTTCTAGCGATGAGAACGATTTTGCAAGACTTCTTGCGATGAGACGCTTCTTTACAACCTCTGCAGTCGCACGGCTACCGAGCACCATCTCCGCAATGGCGCCATGTAGCTCCTGGCATCCATCTGCCTTGTTGGGGTGCACTGGCGGGTCCGTCATGGCCACTAACCCGCTACGAAGGCTGTTGCATCCGAAAGAGAAACAGTGGCAACAGACATGGTTCGCCCATGAATGGGTGCCGGGGCATGAAGGTGATGACGACTCTGGCGTCAGTCGGTTCCAGGACGGATTCAAAGCGGACAACATCAGTCTCCTCCGGAATACGCTGGGGGAGCGGAAACTGATTAACGGAACCTCGGTCGTCACTATCTTCGAAGAAGGCACCCACATCACCTCGCTGGCTTGGAATCCCAGCCAGATCTGCGCCGGCTGGGCTTGCGCTGGTATGGGTTGCGGGCTCATTCGAGTGGAGGATCTGGCTATATAGTAATTTACTCTAATGTTCTTTGCATACCACTTATCTGCTATAACTACAAGTAGATAAAAATAACTCTTCCTCTTCACTATAGATACCACTGTTTGGTATTGTTCCATCGTTCTAAACTATTCCATATAAAGCTTAGCGCTAGACCTCGGAAGTCACCGCCTGGACTGCCCAACGTACAACGTCTTCTACCCCAACGCCGCAGGTGTCTTTCCTCGTCCTCCATTGTGATTAGGATAAACGGAGTATATGCATTTGAGACGGTAGTGATAACTGAGGCCTTGGAGCAAAGGGCAGGCATCTCTAGCCGGTTGGACTTTCTTTATACAGCCCCCAACGCAAACCGTGTTTGAAGCTCTTGCTAACCGAGCATCGTTTTTTCCCCAACTCTGAAGCTCCTACAAGAAGGACCTCTCTCTATTTGGATACCTTGGTGTGTTTTTTTTTTGTGACGATGGTGTCGCGTGTGTCGAGGTCTCCGTCAACTCCTTCGGAGGGTGAGATCGTCGAATCGGGATCAGAGACGAAGGCAACTACGTCGCAACCTCCTCTTGAAGGCAGCAAGGTTGACCGTCACACCAGAGACAGCACAGCATCATCTGCGCCCAGATCGCCAGCGTCACGGAATAGCAGGTCGCCCCGCCGGCACAGGTCAAAAACCCGATCCCGTTCCCCCTATCGAGACTCTAGGAATCACAAGCGCCGGCGCGACGATGAGCATGACGACAGATATGGATGGTACGGGTCTCGACGCCCCGGTCCCCGGTACGATGATCGAGACGACTATGATCGTGGCGGTCCGCGTAGGCGAGCAAGGCCTTACTATGATTACGATCGTGAGGAAACTTACACCGGCAGTCTGCGCTATAGCGACGATTACGACCGGCGAAGGGAGAAGCATCCGCGCACGCGGAGTCGCTCGCCGTACCATGAGGTCAGGAAGCCCAAGAGATATGCGGGTGATGACGAACAAGAGCAGAGGAGCGAAGAAGGCCCTGCCTCTCGTGGCATGAGGCGACGCAGGTCTTCCACACCTGAACAGTCAGTGAGCGAGCGAGGAAGCACTCCAACCGTCGCTCAAGATTATAAGCGCAATGCTGAAACTAGAGACCACCAGGTGCAGCAGGCTTCGTCTGACGCCGATTCTCGTGCATTAGACAGGTAGGCGAAGCAAATATCCCATCTGCCCGAAATGAGTGTATATTTTGCTGATTCTGGCTACTTTTTTCTTTCTTGATTTTTTTTAGTACAAATGAGCAACAACCGATCGAGCCGCTTGATGAGGCGGCGCAACTCGAAGCTCGCCGAAAACGACGTGAAGCCATCAGGGCCAAGTACAGAGGCCAGGCTACACCGCTGCGTCTACAAGCGTTGAATATCGGCACAGTTACCGACTCTTCCACGCCTAGTACAGACGTGAATATACCCGTTGAAGCCGCCACAGGTACGCCAAACCAAAAAAAAAAAAAGAATCAAATTGTACTCTCTCAAATTCCAGTCAACTGATTGCTTTTCTGTAGATTCCCCACGCTCTCCGGCTCCGACTCCGACTCAGACTTCTGCAGAATCGTACTTAGATTTCCAGGTTAGTGGAGATGCCGATTTGTTCAATTCCACGGAGGTGGCGGATGGTGTCGACAAAGATGGGCCGTCTGCAGCAGATTACGATCCTACAATGGATATGAAAGAGGAGCACCAAAAGCATGGGAATGGAGCCGGCGTGGACGAGTTGCCTTCGAGCGCATATGACGAGACTCGAACTACGAAGCAGGACCTTCTCCTGCCTGACGCTCCCCCAGCCTCGCTTCCAGCGGACCAGACAAAGGATCCGTACGACATGTTCGCCGAAGACGATGACGATATGTTTGCCGAGGAAACAAAGGGGTCTGCACAACCCGCGCATGCGTCCGCCAAGTCTGCAGTCCCCCAGGCGCAGGAGCTTGACATCAGCATGATGGATAACTGGGACGACCCGGAGGGGTACTACAACGTGCGGCTGGGTGAATTGATCAACGGTCGGTACCATATCCAGCAGAATCTCGGCAAGGGGATGTTCTCATCCGTGGTGCGAGCGATGGACTCGAGGACAAACAAACTCGTTGCGATCAAGATCATCCGACAGAATGACACGATGAAAAAGGCCGGCCTGAAGGAGATTGCGATCCTCCAGCAGCTCCACGAGGCCGACCCAGACGACAAAAGGCACATTATCAAATTCGAGCGTCATTTCGACCACAAGGGCCATCTGTGCATGGTGTTTGAGAGTCTCAGCATGAACCTGCGTGAGGTGCTCAAGAAGTTTGGACGCGACGTCGGGCTGAACCTGCGGGCGATCCGAGCGTACGCCCAACAGATGTTCATCGGGCTCAGCCTGCTACGCAAGTGCAACATCCTGCATGCGGACCTGAAGCCGGACAACCTGCTGGTCAACGAGCAGCGGAATGTGCTGAAGGTGTGCGATCTGGGCTCGGCGTCGCCGGCGTCGGAGAACGAGATCACGCCGTACCTGGTGAGTCGGTTCTACCGGGCGCCGGAGATCATCCTGGGGATCCCGTACGACTACGCGATCGACGTGTGGTCGATCGGGTGCACGCTGTTCGAGCTGTACACAGGCAAGATCCTGTTCACGGGGCGCAACAACAACCAGATGCTGCGGTCGATGATGGAATGCCGGGGCAAGTTCCCGCCCAAGATGCTGCGGCGGGGGTCGCTGATCCACCAGCACTTTGACGAGATGCTCAACTTCCACAGCACGGAGGAGGATAAGGTGACGGGGCGGCTGACGACGCGGGTGCTCGACTTCAAGAAGCCGCCGCGGGACCTCAAGACGCGGCTGATCGGGAAGGGGAGTCGAGGGATGAGCGATGGCGAGGCGAAGGAGCTGGCCCTGTTTGTGGACCTGCTGGACCGGTGCCTCAGCCTCAACCCGGAGAAGCGATGCACGCCCACCGAGGCGTTGAAGCATCCTTTTCTCGCCAAGGCCAGGTAGAGAGAGAGAGAGAGAGTTGGTACAATAGACATCTTTCCGTTGACTCCTAGGAGTACTCTGTAACGATCTGCGAGGTGGCAAGGTACGAGTCAAGCATGTATATGTACTCCATACATCCTAAGTGGTATAGTTACTCTGTCCTCCATACATGTGCTACCGTGCAGGGCGCATTATCCCTGTGCATCTTAAGGCTGATCTGGTTTGAATCCTACATAGTACATATGTAGTATGATGTGGAAAAATCAATTCTATCTGATAGTACTTTGCCTAGGCAGTTAATTACCTAGATAGATACCTACCTACCTACCTTATAGGTAACTAAAGTAACTACCTAGGTACCAGTGGTGAGTGGCAATCGGATGAGACTATCCGAGCAGGCTTAAGTTCAGAGAATCAAAGTCTAGACTGCCCAAGTGAGACTAGCAGAGTCTATCTGGCGGTGAGTAGACAGGATAACTTGATTAATTCAGTATCTAGAATACTCTACTCCGTATCTCTTTGTCCTATCCCTTGCTGCGCCATGTGGCATGGCGCTTAAGACAGGCTATCCGTACGGAGTACTCTGTAGAAACTAATTTAAAGAGTATTTACAGAGTATTTACAGAGTATATTCAGTAAATTAATCTATACCATTAATAACCTAATATCTAGTAACCGCTATTCTACGAATATCTGGCACTCTCATACTACAGTCTACTACCCGTACCTACATACTAGTTAGTACACTAGCATAGAGCATCGAGCATCGCCCCTTTGCTGTCACGCACAGACCAATGAGTGCGCCCTGCCGTCCCACCTGGTCGCCTCACTTTGACCTTACGCAAGTGGAGAGGAAGGAAGACTCCATAAATACTAACAAGAGATCCACTGAGAGGTAAGTTCAGTGGGAATGGATAAACTTTGTATGGAGATATACGATCTGTGACTCGGGTTGGTTTCAGTCCGTTTGCAGTCGACAGTGTACGGAGTAGTATACTAGTAATGACCCTTAATCTAGATACCTAGTAATTATAATTAGTGCTACCGTATGTCGCATCTATTTTAAACTACCTAGTAACTACTAAATTACTAGGAGTAGTTACTACCTAGTAAATACTGATTCTAGTCCATAGCATCCATTAGTACTGTATGGAGTACTAACCAGTGGCGACGAGTAACAATGAGGTCACGTCACCTGTCAGCCAGAGAAAAAGAAGGCAGCCTCTTAGCAGAGGCCAGCCGCCTGCAGGTCAGCCTGGCCTGGCCACTAGGCTGAACCTTGCCGTCCATGACTAGGTCCATACTAGGTAGTCGCCTAGCAGGCTCCTCTTTCCCCGGCTAGACCGAGTGGGAGTGGACACTACCACTGATTGTAGTCGAGGCTATACCTACCTCGGTACTCCGTAGGTGTAAGCCCGGCCAGTCAGCTGCAGTGGCGCCTGCACCTGGAAGCAACGGTGATTCAGACCTGTCACACAGTCATTGGCGCTCCCGCCGTGGATTGGCTGGCTGGTGATGCTTGCATGGCTGTGGCCAATCGTTGCCAGCCACCTCCCGTGTGACCCTCTGGTCCTTTCTCAGCCAGTTTTGCCGCCACGCACTGCTGGACCCTTGGACCCACGCACGGGCGATTCTCGAACGGCGTTGCTTAGAATAGTCGACTGGTTACTACCTAGGTTAGGTACCTACCGTAGGGGACTTACCATAGGTACCTTAGTTACAACTAGTTACCGTAGGTACCTTAGTTACCTAGTAGTTAGTAGTTACTCTGTTACTAAGAACTTACTCCGTACTGTTACTGTATGTAGGTAGTAGAACTTAGTGCTCCGTACTTACTCACTAGGTAGCAAGGCTGGCCTTCCCCTCCTTTCCTATTTGCGGCCTCGACGCATCATACATATTGCCTTCTCTCTCCACGCGCCCCCCGGGGCTGATCCTTAACCACGAGGCCTGAGTATAACTCCCGCCTCCTCTTCCTACACCTTCTCCTTCACCTTACCTTGCCTTCTTCACCTCACCTTCACCTTTACTCTTGTACGCTTGTCTTGCCATCCCCCTTTTGTCTCATTTTTATTCTATTCTACTCTATTCTATTCTATTCTATTTTATATTATTCTTTATTTGTTCTTCACTCCTTTTCCTTTCTAGTTCGATCGCTCTCACCGAGGATACCTGTCCTCTATTCTCTCTTCACTTGGATCGACCCCCCCCAAGGCCACCCACACCACCACAGGATCGCGAACCCATGGATTCCTAGGAACTTGCCAATGCCACTGGATTAATAAAAATATATATATACGTACCACCAGGAATCACCTTTTCACCCCTGCTCCCTCTCTGCACATATTGTTTTGTTTTGTTTTGTTTTGTTAGCATGTATCCGCCCGTGTCTCCCTCTCCGCCCGCCTTACCGCCCGTCCCTCGCTGTTATGCCCCGGAAGACCGTTTGGGACTGTTGCTGGCCAACCGCCTGGAACTGACCAGTATCCTGGGCGTCGGCGCCTATGGTGTCGTCTACACGGCCATCGACATCCATACCAACGTCCCCTATGCCGTCAAGGCCCTCAACAAGACTGGACTCGATGCCCGCCAGCTCAAATTCCAGCAGCGGGAGATCAAGCTGCACCACCTGGCCAGCCAACACCCCAACGTCGTCTCCCTCGTCCGCATCATGGACGCCGCTGACTGCACCTATGTGGTCATCGAGTTCTGTCCCGAGGGCGATCTCTTCTCCTCCATCACCGAGCAGGGCCACTTTGTCGGCAATGACCCCTTGGTCAAACGCGCCTTTCTGCAGATCCTGGATGCCGTCTACTTTTGCCATTCCACCGGGATCTATCACAGGGACCTCAAGCCGGAGAACATTCTTGTCAAGGATCAGGGAATGACCGTCAAGCTGGCCGATTTCGGTCTCGCCACCACAGACTTTTATACCTCGGACTTTGGCTGCGGCTCTACCTTTTACATGTCTCCTGGTAATCCCATCCCCTTCCCCCCCCCCCCCCCCCCCCCCCCCCCCCCCTCTCTCGGTATAATGTTATGTTAATCAGAATAGAATGCCAACAACCAAACCCCCGCCCCATGTCCTACTACGCTTCTGCCGCCAATGATGTCTGGAGCCTGGGTGTCATCCTGGTGAATCTGACGTGTGGCCGCAATCCCTGGAAACGCGCCTCCATTGAGGATTCCACCTTCCGTGCCTATATGAAGGATCCTTTCTTTCTGCAGTCCATCCTGCCCCTTTCCCCCGAAGCTGTGGCCATTCTGAGCCGCATCTTCGAGCTGGACCCCGCCAAGCGTATCTCCATCCCGGAGCTCCGCCTGAGGATCCTGGAATGTCCCTGTTTCACCACCACCACCACCACCACCACTATTCCCTGGGTTAATAACGTCGCTACGGCCAATTCAGCCGCACCACCCGTCACCCCTCTTCCCCTTCCCCAACAACAACAACCACAACTACTACTTCCCCTGCAGATCCCTGTGGAACCCCTTAACGCCCTGCCATCCGACGCCTCTGACTCCTCGTCGGCTTACTCCGACTTCTCTGACTCGGCCGTCTCCGACGGCTCCTCCGTCACGGACCTGTCAGATGTCGAGAGCATGGCCTCGGTCTCCTCCACGGGATTTCTCCCTGATGATCTCCCATATGGTCTTCCGCAGGCGGACGCATGTGGAGTAGAGTGCCACCACCACCCGGATCTGCCCAGCAGCCAGTCTTCGGAACAGCCTATCCAGTTTGTCCCTCTTACGCCTGTTCTTGTTGCGCCTGTTTCTGTTGCCACCTACTAAACAGAACGATTCACGATTATGATTGACGCTGTTTCTTCTCATCAAGAAGAGGACGACCCAAAAGAAAAAAAAGAATTAAGAAAAAAAAAAAAAAAAGACCTCAACACACAAACAAGCGCTAAGCACTTCTATTCTGGCTATTTCTACCATATACCATCTTTCACCTGGATACTGGACTCCGGTTTTTTTTTTTTTTTTTTTGGACATATTCCCGGATATACCCCCCACATACTTTTTGATACCTGGATGTTAATACCTGATACCTGGATCTTCCCTTGGATCCCCCCACCGTCCCACCCTCTCAAAGCTGGTCTTCGACCTGCTGTGTTTTATTATGCCTTCTCTTCTTGACTTTACGTCTGCAAGTTGCTCTTATACACTTGGTTTTGATGCACGCGCTTGCACGCTTGACTGGGGACTGGACTGGGATTTGGCCTGGTAAGGTCATTGGGGCGTTTTGGCGTCGGAATAAAATGAATACCCCATCGCATGCATGGAGTTGTATATACTAATTTCTCAAACTCAATACATTCACTACCTACTTCACTGGACTAGTTCGGTAGTATGTAGTATTATGCCCAATATATATCTCCACGAATTCCCTCTCCCTCAATCTACACCACCCCCGTTCGCCGTTGGCGTCCCTCTGAGGCGGCCAGGGCAAGGGCAATCCTTGGCGTCGCGAGTCCGTACTTCTACGTCTCGGGGTGAGACCATTCGAGTCACTGGCGGGAGGAATATGTAACTGACTAGGTAGTATAAAACGGAGTACTATATATTATTGATGACTCTGACTAAAACATCTATTCTCGTCCCGTACTGCACGCCCAAATGATACAGACAACTTTCCGGCGCGCTTTGACAACGACAGCTGTCCAGCTCTCGCAACATTTCCAACAGAGGCTTGCATTGGTATAGCACTCCTCGTAGAATAAACGCCCGGATGCTGTGTCGTTCAGCCGGACCCGCCTCGTAGTCCCCGTACCGGACGACCGCGATGTCGTCCTGCTCCTTCTGGCTGCTGCTCCATTGTTCAAACAGGTGCAGCGCAAAGTCCAGGATGGAGAAGGATGCCAGAATATTTGCATGTTCCTTGTGGCATCGAGTGCATTCAAGGAAGAACTGACAACTGTTCAAGGCCGCCTTGATCCTCGACAGAGCTTGGTCGAGCCGTGGGTGAGTCGTCTCCACCGCCAGCTGCTTCAATTGGTCTAGATGGAAGAGCTGGCTTTCGAGACACTCGCAGCCGTACATAACCGGTAGGCCTGTTTCTTTGGAGAAATCCATCACGTCTGGGAGGAGCTCTATTGGGCTTGCTGCATATCCCCAGTCTTTCAGTTGGTCAAACGGAAACAAGGCGTCCGCCAACATGGGTGTCTCGGGACCTTCTGTTACAGGGCTAGGGAGGCTTCCATTTGTGGCGCCGAAAATGAGGTCTGATCTCTATCAACGGTAAGCACGCTCGAAAGTTTAATGGGCTGAGGATGAATCCTACCTTACTAGTCTTACCAACAGCGAGGGTAGCCTTTTCATTGCTGTAGTCCATATGGAAGATGTACCCATCCTGCTGGGCCCCCTGTCCAATTCTCCTCAGCGTGGCTCGGTTCTTGCTGCCCTTTGGTTTGCCGGAGCGGTTCGCAAATCGATATTGACACTGCAGACCATTTCGGAGACAGCGAATGCATGTTTTCTTCTTGCCAGACAGGTCGCACTTCACTTTAGACTGCCGGCAGTTCTCACAGGCGGACCTGAGTTTAAGACTTTCCTCTTGGGACTGTCCTTCAAGCATAGTTTTAGCCATGGGTTGCAAAGCATACATTGAACCTCTCATTAATTTAAAGCCCGTTTCGGAGGGGTATCTGGCTAGCCTATTTGTAAATATATTGGACTCGACTAAGAGTCCCAATCCCTTTTTCGTATGCAGTCTCCATACTAGCGGTAACTACACATGAACTCAGCCGCTGTGCAACACGCAGGAGCCTCATCTGATCAACAGCGCATCAAGCTTGCAAATAAAGCCGCCGCTGACTTGGACGAGGCACTGCTTTTTCGCCTTGGCGGTTCCCCTAAGGCAAGTCATCGCAGAGAGCCAATGCGATGGATTCTTGGTGTTTCCGATGATCATCTCCAAGTTGAGTCATCTTATGCAGGCTGAGTTCTTGTCTCATTGTCAGCGTTGTACACTGGGTGCCAGGGCACAAATCAAAGTTGCGTGTCGACTCCATATTTACTGTAGGCTTTATGACATGGGGAGACAATAGCATATGGACACTGGTGGCAACGAATAAAGCAGGATTCATTCTGTTTTAGAATTTCTGACTCCCAGAGAATGATGGACTCAGATCTGAACCCAGAATAGGCTGGCCCTGAATTCTGGACTGAGACACCCGTATCACCAGGCCTCGATGAGGTCTCTCGTCGGGTGTCCGATGTAACCAAGATTGGTCAGCCTTGCGGACGCGTACGACGGAGCACAGGTTCGATCCGAATCGGGGCGTCTGCATTTCTGGCTCAAGCACATGTTTCTGCAAGGCCACTATGCCAGTAATCAAATGCACGCAACAGACCTGTCAGATGAGCCACAGCAGCACAGACGACCAGCACATGAAAGATTTGATGTGAGCTGCCCAGAATATCGAACTTTCCCGGCAGAAGACGCTCAGGAACTCGAGCTGCATAGATTGTTGCGCCGAGAATGTAGAGCAGACCTTGAAGCAAGAGCCAGCCAAGGCCGATTTGGCGCGCCATCTGGTTGATTCCAAACATCTGCAGTCCATGTAGCACGGGAAACACCGCCGACAACCCCATGCCGACAAACATCGCGGCCCGGAAAGGGCGCCATCCCGGCGTCCGGAACTTGGGGAGCACAGAGACACACGCGCAGCCCAACCCAATGGTACAGATCATCACCCAGTAGAGCTTCTGAAGATTCGGGTGACAGTAGAACCCGTAGTAGATGCTTGGGACAAAACTGCCTACGATGAGTCCCACGATGCCGACGTAATCTAGCGCATTGCCTACCCGCGCTACAGCTGGAGAGTGATTCGAGATGGTATGGTAGGTTGCAGACATCCCCAGGCAAAACGCGGCACCAGCAAAGAAGCAGGCAAATACAACAATGTCGGAATGTGCAGCACTTTCATAACGAGGCTCTAAAGCACGGTAGAGAACGACCGCCGCCGGAATAGCCAGCAGGGAGGGCAGCAAATGCGAATAGATGTTGACTGTCTCATTATGGATATAGGTCAAAGACTGAAAGGAAATCAGGAAGGAAAATGATGCCGGTCGGTATCCAGTATGGATATGGTGGTTATCGCGTTGCCAGTGCGGAAGGTCGTCCCAGTGGCAAAGCCTCCTGATTGCCTGAGGGGGTTTCTCAAGGATCGTGGCAGTCGCAGCTGGTATGCTTGGAGAACTCCCACTGGCGTCGTCATGTTGTCGTTCAGTGTGACGGCGCTGGCGAGCGGACATCTTCACATGCAGCGTCAACTACTCTTGAGTAGTAGATGCCACCTAATCTCGCCTGCAACCGGTAAAGAACCAGCAGTGTGCTGCAGAAGACAGTGCTTGTTCGATATTCAATCGGACTGATATAAGGAAGATCGTCAGCTACAAATGGCAAGAAGTGTTGAGAGTCGGCCCGAAAAAGGGAACTGTCCCGTTGGGGAAGAAACGACAAGAGCAAAGCAGACAAACAGAGCAAACAGAGCAAACACGCGGGAGGGGATTGGGGATAGTTACAACCCAACGCGGAGTGATCGCAACAGTAGTAGGAAGTTAGTAACACAACCCGCCTGCCCCAGAACATGACGCAATGACCACAAAATTACACCAAGAGCAGCCCGGGACAAGCGGCAGTCGACTGCGGCCGGTAGTTGTGGACCCTGACTCACTCGAGAGCGTGGGGTTTGTGTCCAAAGGCGACAAAAAGTACAGAAGCCCAGCCTTGTGGACAGTTCGAAGCGGTGCTTGGCTTGGATGCTGACATTCTTTTTGGGTGATAGGTTAACAGAGCTTGGAGCTCAGCAAGAGTACTACAAAAAAATCGTGGAGCGGTATTTGCAGTTCTGTGCAGATCACACGGATGACTTGAATACGGCGTTTGCGTCTCTACCCACGAGCGCCTCGGCCGATGCCACACAGAACCCCCCCGCGTCCGCACCGAGTGTAGGACCACGACTAGCAAAAGATGGCCAGCGACGCGTCCAGCCTCCTTCGAACGAGCTCTCTACCCTCCTTATGTCGCTTCGGAAGCTCCGCGAAGCCATCCTAGCCACCTCTTCCACCACATCGGTGTCATTTTCGCAACAAGTGCACGTCTTCTCGGTTCGGCTGGCCATTCGCGCGCAACACCCCCCATCATACTTCCCATCCCTCCGATATCTCATCGATCGGCTGCATTCCCCTTCTCATCCACTGTCGGACTCGGACTTGAAGGCCGTCATCTCATACCTCATCCTGGACTATGCGTGCCGGCAGAACGACATGGTGGCTGCATTCGAACTCCGAGCGAGGATGCATAGCAAATACGCATTCAAGTCAAGGACTGTTGACGATGTGCTCGCGTCTTTGATGCACGACAACTGGGTCGTTTTCTGGCAGGTCCGGAAAGGCGTGGATGCATATATGCGGGCTATCATGACCTGGGCTGCAGAGCGAGTCAGGAAACATGCCATCAAAGCGGTCGGCCGCGCATACCTTACCGCCGACGTGAAGTGGGTCGTAGAGAGCTGCACTGGGGATTCCCTGGGCTGGACCTGGGAGCAACTGGCGGAGACAGAGAACCTTCAATGGGATAAAGAAGGTGAGAAGATAGTCATTCGACGAATGAAACCCAAGCCCGACAAGAAGCTTGAGCCAATAAAAGAGATTCCATAGTTGGCCATGGGAGAGAAAACATGTACATTCAATTGAGTTGACATCCTGGCCTACTGGCATCCAGGAGACAGCCATGAGAGTCGCGTTCTGGGACACGACGGTTTAGAAGCAGGATTCTGCGGAGGCTTCATATCATAATTTGAAGTCGCTGTTCGGATGCTCAAGGTTTGTATGTCCAGAGACAGGTTGTTTCGAAACTCTCTCTACTAGCTGTGTCTTCAACGTAGCGGCCTTTTCAGAGCACAGCTCGTAGATAGTCGATAAGTTGAATGTCAGACTGCCAAACGAGTTGTTTTCTGAAATCAAGGACTCCAGAAACGGGCGGGCCTTTTGCTACAAGTCAGCCAACGACCTATCCGTGTATGGTCATAGGAAGGGAAGTGATACCTCATTTAGCTGTCCGGTATACAATAGACACACCGCTAGGTTATGAACAATCATTGCTCTCTCGGATTCCTGGAATGCGCTGTCCAGAAGAGCTCGCCATTCAGATGTCGCGTCGAGGTACCGACCTTCTGCCATACTAAGCAGGGGTTTCAGAAGCGAATCATCTGATTCACCGGCCTCGCTTTGGAGTTTCTTGGCGGCATCTAAATCGCCAATCTTCAGTAACAGGAGAGCCTTCCTTGTCCTGGCGACGTGGTCCATAGTCCTACTTGCTGTCAAGTTGGCGAGAGATCGTCGAGCTGTTTCAAGGTCCCCCATCTCGATGAGGGCATTGACGCTCCGAACACCCAGATCGGCCAGTCTGTCGCTCCATATAGCCCTCTCGGAGTTCGTGGTCCCCGGTCGGAGTATTTCTCTCCGTGCCTCAAGGCCCAGTTCGTAGAGCCCACCAATACCTCTGCGAGGATCGCCAAAGCCAATACTCTGTAGTCTCACGGCGAGGAGTCGGAGAGGCCACGGCACAATATGACGAGGAGCTCCATGATGACCGTGTTCTGGCGCTCCCTCAGAGGCTTTCTGGTCAGTCCCCACGTAGTAGAACGTGGAGCTCAAGTCTTCCAGAGCTTTCGATTCCTGCGCGGCAAGAATTGCATTGCCTGATAGTTCTAGACAGGCAAGTCGCAGGTAAAGAACCGTGAAGATGGAATTGGAATCGGTTGCAGAAATAAATGAGGGTGTCAACAGCGTCGCACAGAGGTGTGCTGCAACTAGAAAGTGACCCTCTGCTAACAACCGCTCAAGAGCACCGAGCAGAGTTGACACAGTTTCCCCTGGAACGGGCACAACAAACTCGGTACGAAGAGCAGGCGGAACACTGAGTTGTGAGAGTGGGTGATAAATATCCGATCGTAGAAGATACGACAGGTCTTTGCCATGGGAAGAGAAGAGGTCGCCCGACATTAGGGGGTCTAGCGCTCCAAGAGATGTCCCACCAACGCCTTCTCCAGACAAGGTTGGTGAAAGGACCCGTGCCATTGAAAGAGAATCCGGGGCAGATGAGGGCAAACTAGTCGAAACAGCGTCAATAAGTGTTCGATCCCTCGAAGGCAATGAGGAGTTTACTCTTCTGGGGCATCCAACGGGCCTTTGGTAGAGCTCCGAGGACGAGAGGCTAGCAAAACATTAGAACCTTATCCATTACCGAGAGGAATAAATGAATGTTTTCTTACATTTCGACATATTTCGGCGGTGTTTATTCGCAGACGACTCCATTATTGCGTCCTATCTTGGATGTGCCTTGGGAGTGGAATGAAATCGAAGACAAGTCCTGCTCACTTGCAGCTTAGTTACAGTACAATGAGCTAACTCTCTGTCACCGCCAAATGCTCTAGGAATACTACTAGACTACTAATAGTTAACATATAGCCTTTCCCTAACTATAAATTAGAAACATGAACCGTAAAAGATAGGCATTTAATATATAAATTATTAGCCCTAGGATTTATGACATATTTCTATATTCTTTTCTATTTTAGAATGCTGAAAGTGATGGTATGTGATTCTATCCTTCATTACTGCCAGAATATTGCCTGACCGCCTTCACCCCGCATACGATAAGGAGCAATTTATTATTAGGGAGTTCACCCTGTCCACCGTAATTTTTCCAGACAACCGTTTCTCTCCCCATCTACCTTTCTCATACCCGTTGTTGTTTCAAAAATTTCCTGAAAATGGGCGGCGCAAGCAGAGAAGGTAAAAAAAATCCTTCTTAATTATTTTTTCTCTAAAAAACCTGTCATCGTTTTCGCTCGCTAACTCGCGTGTTTTCCCTCAGGTGGCAAGGTCAAGCCCCTCAAGGCCGCAAAGAAGGAGAAGAAGGAACTTGATGACGAGGATCTTGCATTCAAGGAGAGGCAGAGAGCCGGTGTGTCCATATTCTTGACTATTAAACACATCTGTAGTAGCAGACACTAACGTTTCTACCTTTCTCTAGAGGCCAAGGCGAAGAAGGACCTGATGGATAAGGCCAAGGGCAAGGGACCTCTGAACACCGGCCAGCAGGGAATTAAGAAGTCTGGAAAGAAATAGAGAGTATATATCAGCTTGGATTTGAGCGAACATGATTCGACCATATCTCTCACCAGGGATCGTCGAGTCGATGTGATTTCTTTTTTTTTCCCTTCACGATTCCACGAGCCATGGGAGACGATGATTAAAAGGTGTTAATTAGCATTGAGCTTGATCCTCCTCAGGCAGATATACAACTAGGGCTCTTGAATACTTTTTTATATACAAGACATACTTAGTCCCGAGTTCAATTCAAGGTTTGGGGCAGAGCAGAAGTAATGATATTCAGCATCACTAATAATATCTACCTTCAAAAAAACCATCCGGGCCCATGTCTTGGTGTTTTCTCTTTTTAAAGTAAACGAACAGGGTATTTCGCTGTGTTATCAATCGCTTTACAAAATGAGGTGCAACCACGCTGTCGAGAAAATGGAGGGGAAGAAAAGTACATGTATTTCGGGTTGCGCCAGGCCAGGGTAATGAGTAGTGATAGGAAGTAATGGCCCAGCCAAGGATAATCATAAAGGAGAAATCAAAGATGTACAGGACAGTAGTGGAGAGCATCAGCTAGTCACTCGTTTAACCCAGAGACCGGATCCGCTGCTGTAGATGTCTTGCTCGTCGCGTTTTTTGTATGCCCGGAGCAGCTTCAGGCCGATTTCATGTTCTTCCCGTTTAATTTCGGCAAGCTCGTTGTTAAGACTGTTCACAGTCTTCTTGACTTCCTCGCGAGCGGCCATATCGTAAGCAACAGAGCTGGGCTGGATAACCTGTGTAAGCTCATAGATGATAGTATTGATATTGGCCTTGCGACGATTGAGGTTGTCCCGCCTTGCTTCCAGAGCTTCGATGCGAGTCTGTGCTTGACTTTCAGGCGGAGATTGAGGGAGAGCCTTGAGCACTCCACCTTCAGCAGGGGTGGGCTTTCGAGTAGGCTTAGCGCCATATGCGCTGGGGACTGGACGTTTTCTTGACATGATTGAAGGCACGTTGCCACCAGTTGGTGTATCGCTCTCGATCAGACTGTCCCTAGGACTGCCAGTTGCGCTTTCTGCTTCGGTGGGCGCATAAGTCGTTGCACTAAAGCGACTCACCGGTCGCTCGTCTACATGCATTCCAGAAAGAGCATCGTCGAGATCGGGTGTAGAAATATCAATACGCGGGGGTATGTCTGGAGTCCGGCGAGCAGGGGGGGATTCCTCTCGATTTATGGGTTGAAATTTCGTCTCGGATCTTGCCGGAGCGATCGCTTCTCCAGCGGTAATGGTAGTAACCACAGTTGGAGTGAACCCAATCGACGATTGGAATTCTGCCGCCTCCTCTCGTGTTTGTAGGAGATCTTGGCTTCGTGTTGAACGCAGACGGCCAACAAATTTGCTACCTGGCTTTTCCTGAATTGGGGTAACAATGGGCGCCCGGCCACTGGCTCCCTTCCACGGCTCACGAACAGGAGGCTGTCGGGGTTCGTTTTTATCCATGAGGCTTGTAGAGCGTAATTTTGGTCTTGCAGATTTCTTCTTCGGCTGCAGTTGCTCTCTGCCCCAGTTCAAGAAACCAAGAGATCTCTGGCTTTGGTGGCTTTCATAGACTGGGCTTCCGGGAGTCACCTGACCAGGCTTTCCAGAGTTGCTGGTGGTCGGTTCACCTGAATAGTCATCCCATTTTGTCTTTTTAGGTTCGCCGGAGGAAGACTTGCTTGAATCCAGGTCGGACTGTAATGGAAGAGTATCTGCTCTTGCGGGCTTGCGCAAAACGGGTAACTGGCTGGGAAACCTTTTGTCCGGTTGCAGGGCTTTGGCAGGCTGCTTCCATTCCTCTTCTACCGGAGATATACGGGAACTATCCAAGCGTTCAAGAGCATTGTCAAGAGTCACCGGTGAATCGGGAGGTGAGATCTCTGGACTGTAGGCTTGGAGTGAATCAGTTCGCTGAGGTGCATGGTTTCCTGTGAACTCATCGAAGTCGTCCTTGGAATAAACAGACGATGTCACGCGTTTCTCTGGAGCCAGAGGATATGATTGAAGACTGGACTCTGAAGGGTTCCTACTAGTATATCATGGTAAGAGACTCGGTTCCTGGTTCTTTGTCTTGCACACAAGCACTCACGATGGCAGGGTAGGCAGGCCTTTGGACCCAAGAGGTCTCGAGCGAAACACCCCGTTGTCCTCGACCAGCGTGGGCTCTTGTACCGTAGCCTTGCGAGACCGTATGAACTGAGGTTTACCCCACATTGTGATCTGCAATAGCAGTCATGCGGTATGAATAGCTTCCTAGGGATGTTGTAGTAGATGTCTCTTGTGGAATGTTAGAGGAACCGGACAAGGTTGGACGAGCGGGGAAGCAAGATGAGTATGGAATCACGAAGAAAGATGAATGTATGAAATGAAGGCTAAAAATAACGGCCAGCGAATGAATATCTCGATGATGAGAAACACGAGTACCAGACTCAGTTGGGCGAAAGTACTATTATTGACAAGGAGATAAGAATTGGTGAATGGCAACCACTGCAAACAAAGCGAAACAAAGACCGCGTTTTCCCAGAAAGCGAGGAGGAAGGGAAAAAAGATGAAACAACGAGGAGCACATCCAGATCGTCAACGCGACCAGGGACTCATCGTCTGGCCCATCGGTTGACGCCTAATAGGAGTCGTCGAAAGTAATTGCGGATGTTTCATCGCGTCTCACCAGGCGGCCACTAAACGGGCGGGGCCGTTTCCTCAGGCCCTGGAATCACGTGCTGGCGTGATAAGCAGTGATGACATCCCCAACCATTGCGCAGGTGGCTTCGCTGTACAAGCAACGTGGACTCGATACTCTGTGAAAGCCGCATATTCTGTGTCTGTACCGTACATTGAACACTATGGATTCTGCAGGTAATCAGAGACCAATATTCGATCCCCGGAAAGACCGACATATGCTGACCCCGCTGCCTTCCTAGACGGCGCAGTCTCTCCGCCAGCCGAAGTGTCAGTTCTCTTGTCCTTGAGCATTACGAACAAAGTACCACAGGCTAACATGGGCTGTCTGACTATGTAGGATGTCTATTGCATCACCGATTAACCTGATTCTGCTCTCTCTCTTCGTCGTCGTGGTCTACCTGCAATTCCGTCCCAAGGCTCCCGTCACGCTCCCTTCAGGGCCTCCCCCAGTCGTCTTCCGCACGTTCACACCCTCTACTTTGCTCCCATTTGATGGGAACGATGAAAGACCTGTCTATATCGCCGTACGCGGCCGCGTCTTCGATGTCACTCCTGGCAGAAACTTCTACGGACCGGTATGTGGATGGCATATTCAGACTAGCTTTTACCAAATGCATTGGATATAAATACACAGACGCTTACAAGCTATTCTTAGGGCGGACCTTATGCGAACTTTGCCGGTCGGGATGCGAGCCGCGGACTCGCCTGTCAGAGTTTCGATGAAGAGATGCTGACCAAGGATCTCAAGGGACCTCTGGACGAGCTCAAGGATCTTGACGAGGAGCAGCTAGAGAACCTCGCATCTTGGGAGGCGCGATTCACGGAGAAATACCTTGTTGTTGGAAAATTGGTTGCTGAAGGTGACCTGGAGGCGTCCAAGGCCTCGTAAGCGCTTGCGGCTTACAAGCTAGCAAGCTAGCAATTTTCTCGGAAACAGAGGTCTTCCCTGCCAGCGAACGGCTTCGCCTCAGGAAAAGTCCTCGGAGATCATTGCATCGGTTGGAGCATACCAGGCTTTTTCCATTATCTATCAGTGAGACAAAGACATTACAGATGGAATTTATCGAGATATTAGATTCTTCGGTACTTTCGTTCGAACAGCAGCAGAAAACTTAAAAAGGAGAACAAAAACGATAATTAACCCAGGTTTTGCAACGGGGCGTACACTATGGTTTTTGGTAGATTTGACAAAGTACATTCATGACGTCATTTTGAGTGCGTTCCAAAAGCCATGTCAAGTATAGAAAAGAAACCATCCCATCCTAGGAAGCCATCAAGCACACTTCCCAGACTATAATTCAGAACGAATCTGCTCCGACGCCTCTGCAGCCTTCTCTTTCACCTTCTCGGCTGCTTCCTGACCCTGGGCTCGACCGCTTGAGGCGCCAATCTTCAGCTGATCCAGAGCCCAATGCAAATTATCTTTTAGCCTAGCGTAGATGGTTCCCTGGGGGGTCGAGGTGCCGTATCGGAAGTACTGAGCGTTACGTCTCGCGGCGGCACGCAGCTCGTTCACACTGGAGCCCTGGTAGGTGGGGATACCGTAGGAGTCGAGATAAGCCTTGAGTTCGGAGTGAGACCAGGTATCAAAAGTTGAGTCTTTGGCGGCATCGGTGATCTTGGCCATGTGCGCGGTGGCCGACGCCAAGGTTGCGCCTCCGGTTTTGGACGCTTTGGCGTAGGCCTCCTGTGCTTGTTTCAAGAGCTCGTCACGGGTAGCGCTGGCGCGGTGCGATGCCTTGACATTCAGCGATGAAAGGTATTTCCTAGATTGAACCATGAGCTGAAATGCTACAATATTAACTACGCGATAGCGGGGCGAAGCTTACTTTAGATTCTCCGTCGTCCAGGTGTCAAAAGTCCAAGCGTTCCAGCCTGTGGCGGCCTTGTGTCGGTTCAGCCTTACCTTGGCAAGAAGCTCATCTCGCTTGCCACCTTGCGGAACGGGAACCCCACGGGCATCAAGATATGCCTTGAGGCGCGAATCAGACCATGTTGCAACGGCGGTGTCGAAGGCGTCATCGGCCTTCAATTTGGCGTCTTCAGAAGCGCGAGCATATTCATTACCAGCTTTGGTGGTTGCAGCACCGATGATGCTACTAGCTGAAGCAGATGCAGTAGCCGACGCAGCTGACGCCTGGCTAACCAGAGAGGCGCGGTGCTTCCTAGCCAGGGCTACGAGTTCGTTCCGTTTGGAGCCTTGGGGGACCTTGACATCGTGTTCGTCGAGAAATTTTTTCAAATCCGAGTCAGACCATGCGGTGAAGAGCGCTTCACTTAGGGTCTTCTGGGCGGCTTCGGCCGAAGAGGAGGCAGAGGCGGCAATGCTTCGTGCTTGGAGGCTAGCCAGGCGTGCGTTGCGGCGCACCAACGCGATCAACTTATCTCGAGAAGAAGGCTGCGGAACGGGCCATCCACGCTCATCAAGCCATTCCTTGAGATCTGATTCAGACCATTGTTCGTAGAGCCAGTTGCCGGGGTAAGAAGCCGTTTCGCCAACTTTCTTCGCGATAATTTCGTAGTTCTCACGAGCGGTCTGCAGAAGGACGTCGCGCTTGCGTGGCTGAGGAGCGGGAATCCCATGGCGATCCAAAAAGGCCTTCAAGTGAGACTCTGACCAGCTAGAATTGAATCGTCAACAACGGTACAGAGTGAGTAATTTAAGACCAACACTTATACATACGTATCGAAGATCCATTCCTTTGCGTGATGTATCTGGTCGGTCGTCTGATCCGCCGCATACCCCAATGGTTTCTGCACTCTTTGATTCCAATTTGATTTCACCAGATTTTCAAGTTCCTTGCGATCGGCAGGAGTGGGATACGGGATGTCTGCTCTATGAATCAGTTTCCCCTCGTCTGCAAGAAGTGAGAAAGCCACAACGTACCATGGTCAGAAAGCCACCTTTCGAGTTCTGTCTCATGCCATCTGTTGTACACTGCATACAAGGGTCAGGTACCGTCCAAGTTGCACGTAAACAAATCTGGATCTACCTGATTTGCTAAACCAGTTGCTTGCTCCCACAGCCTCCGTCGCGCCTAACAAAAATATCAGGCAAGGTCCCCAGTGAATCTTCATCTTTAGGAGTATGCTGCGTGTACAGCAAAATAGTCGTGATTTCGTCCGTTGAAGCTACCGATGGATTAAAAGTAACAGGGATTTTTTTGAAAAAGACGAGTAAAATCCCAACCTCCAGATCGAGATTGTGTATTTATTGAATTTCCACCAGAGCCATATCCAAGAGCAGAAGAGAAGCCTGGATGCCAACTATATCTGTATGATGACTGTGTGACGTAGTGCTGCGGCGGCAGTCCCAGAATCTAGGGTGAAGATCTCCCTGGCCACTGCGAGGTCTATGGTTTGGCTTGACCGTTGGCGTCATCGTTCTTCATGAGCTCCAGACCTGGATCGCCGGCCTGGTTTTGGTACGGGAGTACTTTTGTCGAGCAATAACAGTGTCTCGCATCAGAGTTGGAGACGCAAACGTCCGACAGCCTAAACGATCTCTGGTGACGAATATAGCTTGGGCGGGGACACGCTAGAGGCATTCTTATCTTGACGGGTCATCATCAAAACAATTTGTACGGAGTCTTCCGTGCAGACAGGACAGAGTAACTCATCTCATCTCATCTGTATGGTGATATTTGATCGCTCGACGCCGATCTTCTCGAGTCTTAGACTCTTGGGCCGAGAGGAGTCACGGGACCGCGCGATCCCAGCCACGAGGTACAGCCTACAGGTGTACAGTACAACCACGACCACCTCTGCCAACTAACTGATCCGACAGCTCACGAGCAGGTATCTTGATGTCAAAGGAGCAATTCACTGTTTACAGAGGCTCGTCTTTTTTCTCTTTTATCGACAGAGAGGTTTCCCTAGTCCCTTGATTTTGCTGACAATGGCGGACCCTGTTTCTTCCCACTGCCAGGAGCTGGCCTCCTTCGGGTACTTCAACTTTGTTCTTTCAATGTATGTTGGGAACCTCTTCCCCCTTTTAATGTACATGTTCACAGTGACAGACGGCTAACTAATGATAATAGTCTCATTCTCATTGGCATCCTCATCTCGTACCTCCCTCAGCATGCACGTATCATATCCCTGCGGAGCTCCTTCGGGATATCTCCGTACTTTATTCTTCTAGGCACGACGTCGGGAACATCTGCCTTTGCCAATATATTGGTTCTGCCACAAAGTGCACGGGACGTAGGATGCTGCCGGGAGATCAACGGGCTGGCCTGCTTTGCAGGGATGCTGGGCATCTATCAGGTTTCGGTCCAGTGGCTCTGTTTCTTCATCATGTATGTCGAAAATTGTTTTTGTTATTTGTTTTCTTTTCTAGGCCTCACACTGACAATCAGCCTTCTTCTCTTCGTCATATACTTCCCCCGGGCGACCTCGTCGACGTCCCCCGTTGAGCCTGAATCTGCCGAAGACGGACCGAGTTACCAAACCGCTCTGATCGTGACCGCGCTGTGCATCCTCCACGCGGCCATCATCTTCATCATATCCGTTACCCTAGCAGTTCGGCATCCGTCCTCGCTGCAGAACTGGGCCAACTTCCTTGGCGTCATGGCTGCCGTCCTCTCCTCAATCCAATACTTCCCGCAGATCTACACCACCTTCCGACTCCGGTGCGTGGGCAGCCTGAGCATCCCGATGATGTGCATCCAGACCCCCGGTAGTATTGTCTGGGCAGGGAGTCTTGCCGCCCGTCTCGGCACAGAGGGCTGGAGCGCGTGGGGGGTATACCTCGTCACTGCGTGTCTGCAGGGCACGTTGCTCGGCATGGCCGTGTATTTCGAATACATCAGCCCCACGAAGAAGGAGGTACATCACTACGATCAAGTCGAGGGGTATGAGCATGTGCAAGAGCAGGAAGGACATGAACGCAGCCGTGACCTTAATCCGTCGGAAGAGACTCCTTTGCTCGGTAACTAGATATTAGAAACTATAATATCAATTACGTATACTATATACTACCTACATAAGCCTAAGAGAAATAAATTACCGGCCCTCCCCCTCCGTCCAAAACTTCTTCTCCACCTTCCCCGAATCCCCTATCGAATTGTACGACTTATCGTGCCTCTGGTCCATCTCGGCGTTATGCCTCTTCACATCCTCTGGGATATCGGCGCGGTGATTCCCATCCTCGTCGATGTTGGGACTCGCCCAGCCGTTGGAGAGAGTAGGATGGGCTTTGTTCGAGGGGATGGGCGTTGTCTCTCTCTTTGCCTGTGCTCCCGTCTCCGTCTCTGTCTTGGCTGTGTTGGGCTTTTTCATGTCGGGAGGTGGGGGTCCTGGATGCTCGATGTCACGCGTCGCACGGCTGGTTTGCTCGGGGTGAGGCTCGCCGTCGCCGTATGAACTGTTGGCGTAGAGTCGGACATGTCTCGGTGAGTGGGTGAGGAGGCCTGGCGAGATTCTTCGCAGGGGAGCTTGAAGACGAGCGGGGAACATTATACTTGGGATTTAGTGTTAGAACCTATATGAGTGCTAAAGGTATAGGGATTATAATATCGGAATACAAGCTATCCTACACTCTTATGGTTTCTTAACTAGATGTGGCGATGGGGTGACGTAGCCATGTCATAAGGAATACTTGATATTGCGAACAAAACAGGTTCGATGATAATCGACCATTGCTAGACAGAGATATGTCCCTGGATCAAAGATAATTTAAACAAACGAGCAGAATATCGACGGCCTCTGCCGAAGCTTGCTGTTGCACCATGCCTTCCCTTATAAACGCCATAGGGTGAATCCAAAAAAAAAGAGATATAAGGTAGTGCGGAAAATATGTCAGACAAAATGATGAAGAAGATGAAGAAGAAGAAGAGAAGAAGAGAGATATAATAAAGAAAATAAGAGGGAAAAGAGAAAGGAAATAGTTTCGCCGTGGAGATCGGGTCGGATATGACATGACAGTTTTGAGGAGAACGAGAGAGGTGAAGGAAGAAAGGAAGAAAGAATTAGGTCGAAGAAATTCGTATGCACATAAACCGGTAGAGTGTTTCCCACATAGCCCTTTTCCAACGCCAACGCCAGGGCAAAGTCCTATGGTATATGTTTCTCCAGTCCATCAATACATTGGGGGGGAGGGGGTTGCGGAATAAGTTTCAGTCAGTCAAGGAAATACAATAACAGGCACTTTCATATTGTGCCTTTGCGGTGTAGGTCTGTGACCCGCTCTGGCCAGTCCCCGTGACGGTCGTCGTCGGGGTCGGTTCGACCTCCTGGATGGTGATTGTGTCTGGGGACGCGGTGACGACCTGCCCATCATCCAAAACCTGCATCTGCTGGCAGTAGGGAGCCAAGGCTTCGGCGTAGTCCCGCTTCTCTTCGATCTTGATACGACGCGGGTAGTCCTCAAGCGAATCGCGCTTCACCTTCTGTGACGATCCAGTCGTAGCGGCCGCGGTGGTCGCGGCGGTCGTGTTGGTTGCCGTGGTGGACTCGTTGATATACAGGAAAAACTCCATGACGGTGCTGTTCCACCAACAGAAATATGGTAGATCGCCCGCTTTGGACACCTGCTTCACGTTCCAGCTGCTGGCCAAGACGTCGCGCTCGGTAATGGCGCGTTTGGAGGAACCACTAGTGGGGAAGCTCCCTTGGGGGACAATAACCAGCTTGTCGATGTATGTGTAGAAGAAAAGGGCAGGGCCCAGGGCCAGCTCACTGGTATCAAACATCATGCTGAGGGATTGGGTGGCCGTGGGAAGATACGGGGCTTGCGCACCGTAGGTGAAGGAGCCGGTGATGGGCTGGTTGGCGAAAGAGACGGTGCGTGAGGTCGAGCTGCCTCCGACATCGATCGTGACGCCGCCTTCGTTCATACAGCCCCAGGCGGAGCGGTAGGAGGAATCGGCCACACAGAACTTGGACTGATTCTTGGGGCTGGCGGGGACGTAATACTCTCCGGTCGGCAGGGGCAAGAGGTTTTGGTAAGTGCTTGAGATCGGGGTCGCATCCATCTCCGGGGTGGCGGTGACGGTGACGATCTTGGGGCCTTTGGATTTGTGGCTCCCGTCCTGTGCCCTGCGGGCCCCTAGGACGCCACCGATCACGCCGCCGATGCAGGCACCGATCAGCAGCACCACCCCGATCAGGACGAGGGTCCAGATGGGCAGGCCGCAGCATGCCTTCTGCCTGCCCTTGGCCTTGAGCTTCTCCTCGAAGGCCATCACCCCCGCGGCGGCGGCGGTCATCATCACGGGGAGGCGCCGGTTCTCGTTGGCGTCTGTCGTGACGCCAGCGGCGGGCATGAGAACCCTGGACGAGGATTCCGACCCGAGCGCTGCCTCGTAGCCGCTTGGATGGCTGGCTTCCCGCATGACGCCGGCGTCATGGACGGTATCAGCGGCCAACATGCCTGCCGCCGGGGCAACCTTGGGGACCACGCCATCCGGATAGCGCGAGTAAGGGGGCAGTTGTTCGGTATGGCCATCCGGGCCCACGATGTCCCCGACATCATCGGCCGCCTGGCCACCACCGTGAGGAGGCTGGTAGCCCAAGTTGTGGCCCGAAAAGCCGAGCGGGATGGCCGCAGCGGTGGTGGTGGTGTCCATCGAGTCCTCCTCCAGAACGACATTCTGCGGATACATCGCATACGGGTGCTGTGGAGCACTGGCATCACCCAACGGTTGCTCGGTCGGTCGCACGGTCGAGGTGGTCGCAACACTCGGCGAGCGACCAACGCCCTGCGAATACATGGCGTAAGGGTGGCTGGGACCGGTGGCCCCTGTATACGGGCTCATGGGCTGGACTGGTATCGAAAAACGCGAGGAGATGCTCTGGCTGCGGCGGGCACCCTGGTTGATCGAGTCGTGGGGATTGGTGTTCTCCAACTGGATGCCCTTGGGAGGCAGGCTCGAACGGTGCGGCATCTCGTCGGGAAGCTGGGCGTCATCCCCAAAGGGATCCTCGGTCGGAGCGGCCTGGGCCTCTGGGGTCGGCGAGTCGAGGGGTTTCGGGCCCACAACCGTCGAGGAGCGGAATGGAGAGGCAGTCACGGACGAAATAGACGCGCGGGGCACGAATTCTTCGGCGTTGATCGAGTCGAGGGCGTACTCATCCGAAAACACATTCGGGTTGGAGACAGAGACACGGTCGGCGGCGGTTGACCGCCGGTGTGCTGTCGGCTCGGGCGGCTGCGAGGGATGGCGAGAAAGAGAGGTCTGGGAGAGCGAGCGAGAATGATCTGACGAGAAACGCCCAGGCATGGCTATGCCCAAGCCCTGTCGGGCCTGCTGTGTTGGTTCAATCAGTCGTGTCAAAGAATCCAAAGGTCCGTCACCAGGAAGACCTCTTTAGGAGAAGCACGAATAGTCCAGCGGCCACAGTGACGGCCGCAGAACCATCGAATCGAAGGAAATAAAATATATTGACGTAGCGTGACGGAAGGGAAAAATAAATATATATCAAAGGAGAGAGTAGAGGGAGAGAGAGCGAGAGCGAAAGCGAGACCAGACGAGACGAGATGAGATGACTGAGGTGTGGTGGTTCTTTCTTGGTGGTCGGATTTGGGTGGGCGAAAGCGACCAGTTGGCTGGAGACGGGATCTCTTTTGGTGAGGGGGCGCAGGCGAAAAAACGATCCGCACTTGAAACTTCCGACCACGACCCGGCTGGGACTACGCTCTTGGCTCTGGGTTACAGTGACATCTCTAGGGGTTTCAACACGGTGACAATTAATATATATAGGGAGGCTAATTGACTATTCTAGACGGGTGATTCTGCTGGCCCCTGCCCCGCCCAGGTTTATCAGATGGTGAGTTGATTCGCATCGCTGTCCTTGTCTCCACGCACAGGGTGCTGTCCGCGCTGACACCAGGCGGACCCTTACGGAGCAGGTACTACAGACAGGTACGAAGAACCGAGTACATGGTGGGAGTACTGCATACTACTACTACACTACTGCCTAGGTACGGAGGAGGCAGCCTGTAGGCTGTAAGGCCGGCAGGTCTGTGTCGTACTAGACTACTCCGTACTAGGACAAACGAAGGGGACTGACTGGGGCGTTGCACTCTGGTGAGTGGGAGTCGGGGATCCTTTTGAATAGTCAGAATATTAATCTGCTCAAAAGAGCCTTACGGAGGACTCCATAGGAGGGTTTAAAAAACCCTGTTTCCCCTCCCAGACGACGAGAATGGGCGACCTGCGAATAACCTGGTCCACCGTCCAAACTCTGGCGCCGTATGAACGGTCACCAGTAGTGGAGTGGGAAAAAACACGCGTTTGGTTTGCCCTTATATCGCCCACCAATATTAACTAATAACCAACTAACATTAATCCTGACCCGGGGGCTGCCGGTCGCCTATCACGACTCACGATTCGTCAATGATATCCAACGTCCAGATCTTCCGATGGATCGATCGCTCTTATAGAGGATAATAATGTTCTGGCCATGCATTTAAATATTTACGGAGAACGGAGTATAAATTACGACTCTGTATTTCGTACAAAATACAGAGTAGGGATGCTGCGGTCTGGACCTGAACTCCGTGGGTGCAGACATCCGAAACCTCCGAAATTGAAAAGAAGCACCACTTCGCGTGACTAGCAGGACAGACTACTCCGGATAGTCACTTGGGCCAAGACGTTGATCGGTCTGATCACATCAAGGGTCAGTCTTGGGATGGAGACGATCGGCGAGGAAAGGTACTCGCTCGACACTTTGGCCAGTGGGTTCTTCCGCCGTCACACCTCATTCTAGAAATCTTCCCTCTTGGATCGTCTGTTCATCAGAGACATTAATGTCCCTAATGAGGCTCCTAAAGGTTGGCATCGTGAGATTACTACTAGAAAGACCGCCTACAATTCGATTGACACACACGAACTACCTACGGGCTTTCGGGTTCTTCCAAATAGCCTTCAATTGGACCACCCAACCCAGATGCCGGATCCTTTTCGGTTTCCACCAGAGAAACCATAGGATGGTCGCTGGTACTCCGTACATCAGGTCAAAAAAATGATCACCACATGGGCAAGGTCCACTGTTTTTACATTAACAACCAGGTTAATGGATCAATGCTCCTGGAAATCGGGTCTATGGTTCATGAGATGGGATGGGTAAGCTCAGACCCGGTGATGATGGCATCAGGCAGGTTCTAGCCTGACTGAAGAGATAATTCGGGGACTTTCCGCTCGAACTCACAGTGACCGGGCAGCTATTTGCAGACTAAGAGTAAACCATCCATCAGGCTCTTCGAATCTCAGCCTGATCTCTCTATCTAGAACCCGCCGGGCAGAGGAACTGGTTTGCCACCCGATTTGACCATCAGATAAACCCGTGGTGCCACTATCACCGGGAATCAGTCACTGCTGCTCAATCTCAGATACCTACCTCTCTCCATGGAGACTCTGCTTGTTCGCCATGCTTGTGAGAATCATAGCAGCCATCCTTACCTAGGGTTTCATAGGCCTGGACACCATACCTGGCGTGGGGGTAAATATCTGGTATCCACTAGTCATTTGATAGGAAGGTTTCCCTAATGACAAGGCTGATTTTATTGTTCTTACTCCGTATACCATATCTGGGTTTTCTTGAAAGGATACATTTATTATAGGTAGCAAAATATGACATTAGATGATGGAGGGTTGCGCTGCTTGATGGCACAGGGATCAATAGGTATATTTCTTGAAAATCCCCTTGAGATGAGGAAGATCTCCATTTATTTAGAGACAACTACCTATCTCAATCTCCAACTATTCACCAGACTACTTGAGCCCTAAAGAATAAGCTATTAAAGCCTTCGGCACTTTGATAACCTGTATCTCAAGCCCAAATATAATCTTATTGTACTGAAGAACTGATTGTTTTCATAGGGGCAGTTGTTGACTGCCAGGTGGTTAAGGCATCGCAGCCGCCGCCAGCTAAACCCCATTCGAGCTTCCTTTCCTCCAACTCCAGCCCAACCAACCCCAGCAGCGTCACTTTTGCTGCGTGTCGCAGCCCCGACAAGATGGCAGAGGATTCGAAGGGGAAAGGATTCCCCGATCTGTCGACCAAGCTATCTGCACCTACGAAAAAATCGCTTTTCGAACGCCAGAAGGCGGAGGCGGAGGCGAAGCGCGCCCGCGAACGGGCGGAAACCGCTGCGGTTTACGAAGACTTTGTCAAATCGTTTGAAGAGGACTCGCAGGGGGCAAAGCGTCAGTTCACGGACGGGAGAAGCAATGCATTCAATAATAATAATCGGGCTCCTGCGCTGGGAGGAGGCGGCCCCGCGAAACGCCATTTCACGAGCTCCGGACCACGCAGCAGTGGCCCTGGAACTCTCGGCCCGCCGCTCTCTTCGCTGTCTCGCAAGCGGACGTTTGACGGATTACCGCCCTCGCAACGGAACCGCGATCCAACCACACAGGGAGGGATCTTTGCGTTCGAAAACTCTGGTCCCGTCTCGCTGGGCCTGCCGGCGGGATTCCATGCTTCGGACGATGAGGAAGACAGGGCCGCGGAGACAAAGGAGGCCGAGAGAGCTGCCGCGAGGCCGACCTTGTACCTCGCGTCTCTCCCGCCAGGAACCTCGCCCGCAGCGATCAAGGCTCTGATCCCGTCGATGTTGGCGGTCGATAATGTGAAGATCCTGCACCCTCCCGCGCAGTCGTCGACGGATCGCAAGTCTGGCTCGGCCATTGTCACCCTGGCTAGCGAGTCTGCCGCATCGGATATCGAGAACGCTGTGAGCTCCCTCCAGAACCACTATCTTGGATGGGGATACTTCCTGTCGATTTCTCGGCACCTCTCGTCCGCCGCGATCAATTCCACCGTTCCTGTGACCGTCGGCCTTTCGTTGACAACCAGCCAGCCGTTCGGGGCGAAGGCTGTACAACAGAATTTCGGCGCAAGCTTGAGTCGGGCACCGCCGCCGGGAATGCATCGGGGCGGCTTTGCGCCGCCAGGTTCTTACAATACAGCCTACGGAAGAGGCGGGAGTGGCACTCAGGTCGAGGTGAAAGCTCCGGCAGACCTCAAGCAGCTACGACTTATTCACAAGACACTGGAAAGTCTATTGGGTTATGGCCCGGAATTTGAGGCCTTGCTCATGAGCAGAGCCGAAGTCCAGAGAGAAGAAAAATGGGCTTGGCTGTGGGATCCGCGGAGTGTGGGCGGCGTGTACTACCGTTGGAAGCTATGGGACATCCTTACAAACACACGGTCCAGAGAGGCTCGCAGGAAAACCAAGCAGGTCTCGTCCACGATCTTCGAAGGGGGCGCCAGTTGGATTCCTCCGGAAACTGAGATCAAGTTCGAGTACACCACGCGCCTTGACGAGTTTGTTTCGGATGCAGACTACAACTCCTCGGACGAGGAACACTCGGATAACGAAGACGAAAAGCGGCAACTTGGGGGTGGCGGGCCACCTCCGGGTGATAGCTTAGGTGGACAAAATGATGGATCAGGCTATATGAACCCTCTCAAGAAGGCGAAGCTGACCCATCTTCTCGCCCGCCTGCCAACCACTAACGCTAGGCTGCGGAGGGGCGATGTCGCTCGGGTAACAGCCTTTGCTATCGAACATGCGGGCGCCGGTGCGGAGGAGACGGTCGAGATGATCGTCTCGAATGTGATGAAGCCGTTTGCTTACTCGGGTGGCAACCCAGATCATGAAGCTGGAAAACACCCCGTTAGATCCGAGAGCGTCGAGAACTCCACGGCAAACGACGACTCCGTCCAGGAGGGAAAACCGATCGGTAAAGACAATCAAGATCTTTCTGCTGCGAAATTGGTCGGTCTGTACATCATCTCCGACATCCTTTCAACCTCCGCTACTAGCGGTGTACGGCACGCATGGAGATATCGGCAATTGTTCGAGTCCGCCCTCAAGACTCGCCGTGTCTTTGAGCATCTCGGGCGACTGGAAAAGGACCTGAACTGGGGGCGCCTCAAGGCCGAGAAGTGGAAACGAAGCGTTGGGACCCTGTTGCACCTGTGGGAAGGGTGGTGTGTCTTCCCGCAGTCCAGTCAGGAGCATTTCTTGCGTGTCTTCGAAGAACCGCCGTTATCCGAGAAGGAGCTTCAGGAGGAAAAGGACAAAGCCGAGGCCGAACAAGCTGCCGCTGCCTTTGCGAAAGGAAAGAACCGTTGGAAGACCGTTGACGAAGACGCCACAGCAGCGGGGAAGTTCGACCCGACTCGAGCCCCCAAGGTGGACCACCAGAACAAGATGGAGATAGATTCCGGAAACCCTGAAGAAGCCGAAGATGAAGACTTCGACGGCGAGCCTATGAGTGACATTGATGGCGTTCCCATGGAAGACAGCGACCTTGAAGAAGAAGAGGGCGATGAGTCGGCACCAACGGACGCCGCCATGATGCAGGATGAGCCTCAAGAACCAGCTCCGGTGTCGAAGGGCGTGGATGATTCGAGGCAGCAGAAGCCTGCGAATCCGGAGCGCGAGCCCGTTGTTCGCAAGCCACGGCCCAAAGCTGAGGACATGTTCGCTGATTCCGACTCTGATCAGCACGTATAGAATTTGGAATATATAGTAGATCTATGATTGATCCGAGGAATCCCTTGTAATCTACTCTCAGCTTTTCTTCATGCCTCGATTGATACCACAATCGAAAGGCATCCATGAACGAGGCTGCCAGTCTAGATGGCTACCCAGTAGATTCCTATCAAAAACCCATACTCTCGAACGATCTATCAAAGGCCTGAAATCCAAAGTAGAAGAAATCGATCGAGACCCCATCAGGCCTGCTCCTGTCAGCCTGGAAGTATTGTTGTTGGTCACTGTTAGGCAGTTTGCCTGCGGTCGACCACGCTCCGGACAGTGTCTGCCCCACACAACCCAGCTTCAAATATCATCATCCCCTATCCTCTGTGAACTTCAACCTCCCAAGACCTGCTTTCTTTGCCTGGAATTTCCCTTGGTATCTCTTCTACACATCTCACCATGGCTGGTATGTGTGACTCTCCTCGTTTTCTCTATAGTGCTTCCTGCACTGCTTGTCCTCGAGGCAGGGCGTCTGTTGTCTTGTTATTCTTTTTTTTTCGCGTGTTTTTACCCCTCTATGCACAATCCCCCCCCCCCACCTTGATTGAAAGGGAACGCGCAGAATTGTCGGACAAGGAAATATGCTGACTCTCTTGACACCATGTAGACTTCAAAGGGATCGCGGGTACGTGAAATTTGCCTTGCCTTGCTTCCACGATGATTCGAAAAATCGATAAGCTGAGCGATTCTAATGCATGTTCCGGCTACCAGACCAGTTCGTCGGCTTCTACTACCAGACCTTTGATGCCGATCGAAATGGCCTTGCTGGTCTCTATGTAATGCTGGCCAATCTTATGTTTGGATGGAATAATTCGATGACTGACGAATGATGCGATCGATTCCAGCGCGACCACTCCATGCTTACATTCGAGGACTCCCCGTGCCAAGGCACTGCTGCCATTCTGGAGAAGTTGACGGTGCGCTATCTCTCTCTCTCTCTCTCCAGCGTGCTCTCATTTAAATCTCGCATGATTTGCTAATGCGGTTTCCCCCCCCGTCCTTTAGAGCCTCCCCTTCCAGAAAGTCGTTCACCGGGTCGCCACCCTCGATGCCCAGCCTGCCAGCGAAAATGGGAGCATTCTCGTCATGGTCACCGGCGCTCTCATGGTACGCGGATCTTGAATCATTTGCCAGAGCTCTGAAGCCGATTATTCTTTTTTTATTTACACACGTTTAGGTCGACGACCAGCCTCAACCCATGAACTACTCTCAGACCTTCCAGCTTCAGCCTGATGGACAGGGCAGCTACTTCGTCTTCAACGACATCTTCCGCCTCGTTTACCCTGCCCAGTAAATTGGAATGGCGATAAATGGTGCTTTTGCGTACCATCTCCAGGGGATCAGCTTAGACAACCTTGAAGCTTGAAAGAAGTAGATTTGGAGCCGCCAGATCACCACAGGCAGTGTGGTGAGATGGTTCGATGAAAGATGATTTATGAGCAATACGTGCCTTTCGGCGATTAGTGCTTCAACAATTTTACATACCTTTTCTAATATTCCTCGATTTCTTGGTGAGATTTCGCGTGAAATCAACCTCATTCCACAACAGTAATCCTCTGCTTGGCTGTATAACGAACTAGCCACGTTCCACGGTATACATCCCTAGGCTATGCGACTGCCTAAGACGATAGCTGCTCACTCTCTACATACTACATATGAGATGAGACGGCAAGTAGTGTGGCTTGACACCGGAGGCCGCAACAGTAGGCTCCACCGTATCCAAATCAAATAAAGACTTGCTGAAACCACCTTGCAACCGCCTGAAGAATTCTCCTGGTTGTTTTAGTTTGTTTCCACTGCCCTGACATTTAAATCCCTTTCTCCTATCCACTCAACTATTATCGTCAGCCTCTGTCAGCCTCTGTCAGCCTCTGTCAACCTCTGTCCACCAGTCAGACGAAACAGGTAGCCACGCGCCGTTGCTACCGCCTTGACGCAGCCGCGTGTACTTCTGCCCCAGCAAAGCCACGCCGGGTTCTTTCTCATCTCCAGCTTCCCACGCCGCAGACTCAACCCACCTTCCATAGATTGGGATATCTCGGGTTCTTTTTTTTTTTTTTCGCTTTCTTCTAGAACGGAAGACCACCGCGAGTTGATCTACGCATCCCCCTTGGGTCGAGAGCGTGACGGAAGGCCACCTATTGATTAGGAGGACAAAACATTTTTGCTTTGGTGAATTTGGTATAAGAGCTCTTATTATCAAATCCGACAAGATGACGCTCGCCGAGGAGTTCCGCTCCAGAAACTTCAGTATGTCTTCTTTCAAATACCCCCTTCTGCAGAACTGTGCTGACGGCTTGGACCTAGGTATCTACGGACAATGGTTTGTGTCCCCCCCTCCTTGCTTGCCGTGTCTCGGTCTCGATCCATGATATTGTCTTATATACTATATACGGAGTACATCTTCTATGGTTGTCGCTGACAGTTCAGGACGGGCGTTCTGTGCATTCTTCTCTGCCTTGCGCTCGGAATCGCCAACATCTTCACCCTGCATCCGCTGCGGATTGTGTTTAGTGTACTTTGCCTGTGAGTTGAACTCTCATGCGCCAAAGACCACCAGAACCATACTGATTGAGGTTCCCTTTCGCAAAAACAGAGTCTCCGCCTTTGTCATCGTCTTCATCGAAGTGCCCTTCCTCCTGAGAATATGCCCGACCTCGTCCAAGTTTGACGAGTTCATCCGCCGCTTCACTACCAACTGGATGCGCGCGGCCATGTACTTGGTTCTCAGCGCTATCCAGTGGGTCAGTCTGGTGGCTGGCGGTTCCAGCCTGATCGTCGCGGCCGTGTTCCTGCTTATTGCGTCGTGTTTTTACGCGCTCGCCGGTCTCAAGAGCCAAGAGTTTGTCGGCAGCAAGACTCTGGGTGGCCAGGGTCTTGCGCAGATGATTGTTTAGATGGATAAGTTTGTGGATATGCTTGTGGATATGCTTGACTAGTTCTTGGATAGAACTAATGTCAGCAGTCGGCAGTCAGCAGGTTTAGTGAAGGTCTGGGGGGGGTGGTAAAAGCAGGAAAGCAGAGAGCATGCTCTCTCTTCGTCAAGAGGATGGGAAAAGCTTTTCTTTTCTTGCATGAACGCGATATGACTACTGCAAGTGTTGTTGGATTGTCTTCTCTTTTTGTCGGTTCCGATGAGATTGCCCCGAGTTCTGTATTTTTATGCATGCGATAGCCTCGGCGGGGCCATTAGGTCCATTCTTGTTTAATAGTTGTATGCAGATAGATGGGCAATTATTGAGTATGTATTATCTTGACATATTTCTCATGATGTTTAATACAGTGCTAGAAACGACAGAGCCTAGAATGAGCTCATTCGTATTGATAGCCCTGTTGGGTTAGGCACTAGATAATGACTTGGTCCGTCACCAAGTACTGTTAGGTACTGAGGTAGGTAGGTAGACTCGAAGTGATATCACAGGTACATAGGTACTATACTCATATCCCCACGGATCTAGACCTCCTCTGGATCCCTCGGAGTACTCGGAGTACACAAGGGAGCCTTGTATTAAATTCCCGCAACCCAATAGAAAGCAAGATATTCGAGGAGAAGGCAGAGGCGTGCCTTTTTGTGTTTCTCATTCGTAGAGACTCCCGTACACAGACGGTACAAGAGACCCTACGTCATGCAGGAGGATGTCAGTTACCCCTCCACGAATACTAGACGCACATGTTCGGCACTGAGATTTGATATAGGGTGTTTCTGATAGATGTTATCTTGACGGCATGAGTAGCGGGGAAGTATATGAATGTATTTTATTGATGGAAGATAAGTACCTAAGGTGGCAGCAGGTCTAGACTGGCATTAAGTACACGGGGTACAGTTACGAGTCAAGATACCTTACTGTCAGATCCACCGTGACGTTGGGGCGGTGGCTTGTACCAGCAGATACTCTACAACAGGCATAATATTGATATGAAATATATAAGAATAAATGACTATTTGTTTTGTCAATGGACTAAGCCATAGAATTAAATTATAATTAAATGCTGTAGGGATAGTGACAGCCATTCCTTTAAATTACCCAGTATCACTGCTGTAATGATTACTGTACTGACTGCCTACTACTAATAGATGATGCAATGCGGGGCTTGTTCACCGCCTCAGCCTACAGGGCGAGACAATATTAATTGCTCGACGATGAGTGGAAGATAGTAGAGTACCTTGTTACAGAGTACTTAGGCAGAGGTAGGAGGTAGCTACCCATTGAAATGGTGCTTTTTACTATTTACTATCTATTATTGAGTAATAAATAACTAGTTCGTGAACTACTACCTATGGGTTGACTCTATTAATATCTCGACCATGGTCTAGGCATCCCAGGCTGAACGGTTGCCCCAATGACGGACCAGCCATAAGGGTTAGGTATCTTAGACCGATAAAACTCTACAAGTACAAATGACCAGAGTGTACTTGAGAGATTATGAGGCCCCTGAAAAACGATCGGCGGAGATTCGATGCCTGGACACTGGCGTTCAGAGCAGCTGAAAATCCCTCATGACGGGTTGTTGGCCCAATGTTGGGAGATAGTTGAGCCAGTGAATAATACGCAGTTAACTAGTAGTACCTACTAGGTACCTATAGCTACAGAGTACAGAGTACAGAGTACCTCCAGAGTACTCCGTAGAGACTCTCAGAGTAAGAAGTAATTACTGGTAGTTACAGTAGGTACTTAATGCCACACACCATTCGTAACGATACCGTATTGCAGCGCCGAAGCACGAGGCCGGCCATACCCACATGCCGTCAGAGAGCGTCAGAGAGCGTCACGCGACGGGGCGGTGGGCCGTGGCAGCAAAACAGGGTCTGCCTCTTTCTGTACTGCCACTGCTCCGCTTTTTGCTTCCATGGCGCCTGCGCGCATACATCATCTGTGGTCCCCTCGATTGCAACTCTTTCCCTGCACTTTTGCTTTCCATTCTGACAGTCATCTTGGCTCCAGAATTAACCCTCATCTCCTTCTTTTGTCTGTGGTTCTATCCTATTCTATCCCTGCACTGCCTCAGCTTGTCAATTGAGGCTCCTTCTGTCTGTATTGCATTGCCTGCAGCTACTTCCTGATACCTTGGTAGGTAGAACAAAGAATCTACACAGATTCTTTCTCTCTTTTCACTCCAACATTCTTGTTCTCTTCATTCCCTTCCTATCTCTGTCCTCTTCCTTTCTATCCACTCGTTTTGAGGTCTTCATCTACGTGGGAAGCTCCAAAGCTTCAAGACACCACCTCTACTGGTGTCGACAGTGAGACCGATAGATAAGGATTTCACTCCTCTTGCTAGGCTCGAGCCATCAAGGCAAAAGACTGGACTTGTTCAATTCTGAGTCAGACCCTAAATTCTTGATAATCCTTACTTTTTTCAGTGGCGTTGGTCTTTTGCAGGGTCATTGTGGTGTACACCACCTTTTTTTTTTTGTCCACCTTTTGCGCTTCGGCTGCCTGCTCCTCCTCCCAGCTGATTAGAAAATCTCTCTCTCTCCCCCAAGGACTTGATCGTGCTAATGTGGTGACCCTGGCAGATCCCTCTCTATCCACCATGGCCACACAAACTGTTCCCATCGTTCCCCCTCGACCGTCACGTTCTTCACAGCAGCAGGGGCTCGCCCCGGAATCGTCGATAGCCATGCCTACCATCCCTCCTCGCCCTGCGAATAAGCGTCTTGATCGCTCCATCTCGCCCATGCGCCCCAGCTATGCGCCCTCGCCGCTGAACGACTGGCCCGGCTCGAGTGTGAGCCGCACAGCCTCCACAGAACCCATTCAGCGTCCGCCCAGCGTGACGATACCCTCCCTGGGCGAGGAAGGCATCGAATACGCAGATATTGACAGTCACCAACAAGCTCCTGCCCAGACGCGCAATGTCGGCAGTGATCTACAGCTCCATGCCCCCAGGCCATCTCTGCCTACCTCGAGCGCCAAGGCACAGGTGCAGGCGGTCACCCGTTCAGACTCGCGGCAGCTGGCTGAGGCGGGCTTCGGCAAAGCCGGAACCCCCGTTAACGACGACAACGAACGGTCCAGTCGTTCGATCCACTCGGTGGCCAACGGGTCCCGCGCCGCCTCCTCAACGGCCTCCTCCGAGCGCCGTCAGTCGGACGACCATGGCATCCCCGAGATCGGCCAGCGAGTTCCTATGTATCCAGGCGCCGGTGATGTGCAAGCTCCCTCGCCCAGTCCTTACCTTACCCCCGAACCCACAGCTGCCGCTTCCGCCTCTGGCAGCCCTCATCGCCCCGCCCGCCACCACCAGCGAACCCGCAGTGGCCGCGAGGTGTCCCTCCCCCCGGGCAGTTATGGCCTCCACGGTCATGGCGTTCAGCACAACGACAAGTTCGAGAAGGCCTGGTACGAAAAGCATCCGGACGAATTTGTCAAGGAGGAGGGCCAGTACGGTCCGGGAGTGGGAACTCCCCGGCCCGATTGGGCATTGAGCAGTGATGATCTGAACAAGATCGTTCGCGGAGCTCCGAAGCGCTCCGGTCTGGGTAGGTGTTTCTTTTCTTTCGGGAATTCTATATTTCATTGTTCTATTTCTTAATTAACAAATTTCTTTTTTCAGGAGCTACCGGTGCTGTAGGCACTCCGGAAGAGGAGGTCGGGTATATTGCCTCGGAAGAATACACTTCTCGCCTGGCGTCACCTCCCCCCGACTCTCGTCGTCTCTCGCAGCCCGTTGCCGAGTCGCCGCTGCGGAAGATGAGCTTCCCCGTATCCGAAGTGGGAGAGAAGCAGTCGACGGTGGCAGCGCTGAATGATCACGAAGAAGACCATTCTGAACAACCCCGCGTGATTCATGTTGATGATCCTTATCACCCTCTGCATCACCCTGATGGCTTTGCGAAGTCCCCCGCGTCGGGCGAACATCTCCCCGGGTTGGTCGACGGTGGTGTCGAGGGTCGTCAGGAGCCAATCTTGGCAGCCGATGAGATCCATCCGGAGTCAGCCCACCTGCACCCGGTCATCTCCCCCACCTTTGAGCGGAGAGTCAGTGAAGACAATGAATCACGAAGCCAGACGCCCAGTGTACATAGCCGTCCGAACAGTCGCCCATCCAGCACCTACGGGATGATGGCCGCTCTGGCGCGAAACAATTCGCGCGGTGAGGAGCGGGAAGACGTTCACACTCCCCTGGAGGATGTCGAAGAGTACGAACCGCTGTTTCCCGAGGACGGTGGTGCCGACAAGGCCAGGCCGTTGTCCGAGCGTCTCAAGAGCCGCCCTGATCTGGCCAAGCATCGGTTTCCGAGCGCCGATATCTGGGAAGATTCCCCGAACAGTCTCCAATTGGAGGCGACCGTGACGACTCCCGACCTTCCCAAACCGGAACCCACTGGCGGCGTCGCCGTCGCCTTCGAGACTCCAGACCAGGAGGTGGCCCGCAAGGGTCAGACCCCGCAGATCAACGCTCACCGGGTCGCCTCGCACATCCTCGGGGCGACGACGACACAAGGGACCCAACAACCGCAGGGTGCGACTCGACCTGACCTGTCGAAGCAGCGGTTCCCCAGCCGGGACGTTTGGGAGGATGTACCCGAGAGTCACCAACTGGTCACCACCATCGAACCTGCGGGTGAAGATGAAGTCAAGAGCCCGGAGGCTGCCAGTAAACCGCCAATTCCGACTCGTCCGGCCCGACGCCCGCAGCAGGATGTCACAGCAGCTGGTGCTGCTGCTGCTGGTGCTGCTACCAAGTCTCCCGTCTCTCCCACTGACAACCGCAAACCCCCCATGATCCCCGACCGGCCCAAGCCGCAGATTCCTACCCGACCCGTCCGGCGGGCCCCAGAGGCCGAGCAAGCCAAGGATGCTTCGGCTGCTGCTCCCGCAGCCGCCCCAGCGAAGAGCAAACCCGCCGTCCCATCCCGCCCCGTTGGCAACAAGATAGCGGCTCTCAAGGCCGGCTTTCTGTCTGACCTGAACTCACGCCTGCAGCTCGGCCCGCAAGCCCCGCGGGTTGCCGAAAAGAAGGAGGAGGAAGACGGCGAGCCCGAAGCTCCGGTCGAGAAAGCTCCTCTGAGTGATGCACGCAAGGGCCGAGCGCGGGGCCCCGCTCGCCGCAAGCCTGCTACTGAGCGGGCCAGTGACGTGACAACGACGACGACGACGACCGCCAAGCTGCCGCCCATCCCAGAGATCAAGATCACGGAGACGTGGAACGTGTGGCAGGTTGGCGTGGACGGAAGCCTGACCGTTGGTGCTACGCAGAGTGAAGCAGCGGAGCCGCTCGAACCTGTACCACCGGTCGAGGCCGCGCCGGCTCTAGCCAAGAATATGGCGGGCGAACCTGTTGACCCCGCGGCTGCTGATTCTGAGCCCGTTTCCAACGGAGTGGAGGAGGATGTCGACGGCCCCGAGGTCGAGCTCTCGACCGAGTCGATACCCACAGAACCTGCTGCTGCTGCTGCTGCTGCTGCTGATGTGTCACCCACGACTGCGGCAGAGACGGTGCAGGATTCCCCTGCGCAGTCATCGTCTGTGTCGGAGGAGGTGCTCGAGGACATGGCTGCGTCGGCAGACGGGAAGAAACTCTCTGACGGGGATGTCGAAATCAGTCAGTAGGTAGTTGGCGGCAGTGAGTCTAGTGGCATTATTATGGTTTGAACTAGTGGTAGTCTCTATTAGTGTTAATGAATGTTTCTTCCTCTTGTTACTACACTACTTTTGATCTGTATACAGTATGTAGTATACTTATCAACAGTATATCAAAAATAGCATTGATCATAACACCATCCATGCAGGATATATATCATTGGTATGTACACCGACACCGAAAACAGAAAAAAAGAAAGGAAGAGAAAAAAAAAAAAAAAAACACCTGTTGGAACCCCGCCTCTACCGAGAGAATAGAAGAAGACGAAGAAGAGAGAAGACAAGGATTAAGGCATAGACAACCCAGACCAAAACTTTATATGCCGACCCATGCAATGAACCGTAAGAAAAGAAAAGAAAAGAAACAAAAAGGAAACATGCAATTAGCAGTAGGAGGGGGTAAAAGGGAAGGAAAGAGGACAAGAAGATGATCAAGGAGATAAGAAAAAGAAAAGATTAAAATGCAATTAAATTTACTTTCTGAAACTTTCTACGCCTAGGATTGGCGTCTCGACCATTCGATCGGAGGGGACGCCTTCGTCGCGGCGACGCGCGAAGAAGCAGTCGCATTCTGCGACGATCTGGGCCCATTCCGCGAGGGCGCGGCCGGCGTATTTGCTGGCCACGAGAGGGTTCGTGGGGAAGGGGACAGCCAGCTCGGGGAGGCTGACGGACGAGTCGGTGGGAGGAGGGGTGGCGGATACCTCTGTTGCTGTGACCTTGTCGTCGTCTCCATTCTTGGATGCCTCGTTTTCGACATTTTCTGTCGGTTTCTTGATGCATTTCTCTGTCGAGGTCTCCGAGGATCGAGGCCGAGACCGAAGCTGGACGTGTAGTTGCGCCGCCACAGGGAGGGAGGGCGTATAGAGACGTTTGTTTTTGCTGGGCCACTGCGGCCGATCCATCCATTCCAGGGAGAACCGGAAGGAGAACGGCTGGTGCGGCGTCTTGGGCCGGAGATGCTCGAGCGACCCGTTATGGGATCGGGCGTGTCCGTCCGAGCACCGGTCTGACGTGACGGTCTGGTCAAGAGTCTTCGTCTCGGGCTCGTCCACGGCGGACTCTCCAGACTTGGCCGCTCCGAACATGGACTTGAGAAGTCCCCACCGGCGTTTCTGCGACGATGGTTGGCTTTCCGACGATGGCAGATCGGCAGTACTGTTGATCTTCGCGGCCAGTGGCTGGCCAGTCGATCCTGGGGGAACAACGCGATCGAACGAGACAAAGAGATTATTGGGTGGAAGGTGGTTATCACAGCGAATGATGATGATCCGGCGACCGGGAGCAGGGGTGCAGGGGGCGGAGGAGAGAGGAGCGGTCATCTCGGTCCCGGCTTTGGATTGAAAGGCAAGGTAATACGCCCAAGTACACTGGAGACGGTTTGAGAGTGTTTCATAGATGGTTCTGAGAACGGATTAGCAAAATTGCATGGTAGGATCAAAAAAGGGGATCCAAGACGTACGTGTCAAGTGGCGTTGGCTCGCCATTGAACCGAGCGACTCGCCAGCACAAGAGACGATGGAAGTAAGCCCGTACCATCGGACTCCAGTGGTTAAAGTAGTGATAGAAAAAGGGCTCATCGAGGAGGACGCCCAGACAGACGTCGCCCTTGCGTTCCTCGGTGGCCACCCAGGTGTTCCAGATGCCAAAGAGGAAGGAAAAGACCCGGATCTCCGTGAGGGAGTTGTGGCTCTGCATCATCTGCCGGCAGACTACTAGCCAGAACTTCCAATCAAAGAGCTCTGATTCGATTGACTGGGCGTACCGCGTGAGGATGGGGATGACTTCCTCGATGAAATCACATAGGAGGAAGCAGGCATTATGGTCGAAGAGGGAGGTTTTGCGGGCGCCGGCCTTCATCACGCTGCAAAACGACTCGGCATAGAACAAACGTGCGCGGTTGGGCTCGACCGAGGACTCAGAGAGGAAATCCCGGAGTAGGATGACAAGTCGGTTCTCCGCCATGGAGCGGTGGCTGTTGGCTGTACCCAGAGGCAGGGCTGAGACCGATGCATCGGCACCCTCGATGAAGTCGTCGAAAGTGATGGCTGCGACCGAGTGCGATGAATTCTCTGCAGAAGCTGCCGCGGAGGGTGAGGCTGCCGACTGCTTGTACAGCGTATCCTCTAGCACGACCAGAAGCTGGCTATGAACGGGCAGGAGACCGGGAGCCAGAATCCGGTGCGATTTTTCAGTGCTGGGAGGGATCGCGTCGGCGAAAAGAATATGGATGTACTTGACGAAAACGAAGAAGAGGTCCGTGTCACGACCCGACCACCTCGATACCCAGGGGCTTTGCCAGGGGATCTGCGAGGCATTCAGTGGTACATCTGGTTTCCGGCGCAGATAGCGGACTAGACTGGCGTGTGAATGGAAGGAGAGGGTGCGCAATGCCGGGGGAAAGTTGAAGGCCAGCTCCTGGGCAAATGACCGGGCGTTGATACTTTTATGCACCTCCGACTCGGACAGGATTCGCCGGAAGATGTCTGCTGGCGTATTCCACAGACGCACAAGGATGTCGGCCACCCCGGGGCAGAAGAAGAACGCGTATGCGCATGCTTTCCCGCAGAAGGCTACCAAGCTGGCTGGCGCGTGTCGCATAGACATCCGTTCCACCACAAAGGCCATCTGCGACAGCAGATTCTGGACGAACAGGTTCCGGATATTGTGATGGATGGACTCGATGAGAAATTCCGAGCCGGAGGAACCCTCCGATGTCTCGGAGACCGAGGTCGAGGTATGGTCGAGCGGATTGGACATGCTACCGTTGGACTGTGTTGCCGACTGAGCGGCAGGAAATGGGATCCTCCACTCCGGTCGAGTCATGATGCCCACGACGGCTTCCAGGTAGACCGGCCGGTCAGTGCCAGAGATTGACTGATTGTTCTTGCCATTCAGCATCTCCAACAGCCCGGTCCACCATTTGTTCAGAATGTTCACTCGACGGTCGAGGTCTTCGGGCCTAAGAGATTTGCAGGAGGTATGGAGTTGATGACGGCTTAGGAAAGGGAGGAGGGAGGATCGAATGACATTGGCCTTGAGAGCACTTGATTTTGTCTGAAATCTGTTTTACTATTAGCAAAAAAGGAAGAGCCTTTAATGAGCGAGAGAAAGAATATAGAAAAAAAGAGCCTACTTTTGGTAATCGGCCTCGAGACCTCGAAACACCCCCCAGAGCTCGTCCTTTTTCCGCACGGGATCGATCCCCCCGGCGAAAGCGGCTGCCGTGGCAGCTGCCGCCTTGGGCATGGGAGGCAGGACTGGGGTACTGACATTGAGCGAGGCGGTGAAACGCTCGAGAGAGTTTTTGGTCCGCAGATTATTGGATGTGGTCGGACTGTTAGGAGTGCTGGGGTTGCTCTCTTGGGCAATGACAGCCAGTGTCGGTCGGCGCGGCCGTTTGTAAAGGATCGTTCGCTTGCGGGCCGGGGTAGGCGATTCGTCCGTGCCGTCGGCCGGTTCGACGGGGTTTTCGAGAAACTGCGTCTGGAGTCGAGTGGGCGATTGATCGTCTCCGGAGAAGGGTCTCCGTTTAGTGATCTTGGCCGAGGGGGAGGGCGACCTGGATGAGGAGCTAGAGATCCAGGGCTTCCGGGCTAGATGTGCTAAGCGACCGGACATGGACCGGGCCTTGGTCGGGCGGGCAACGGGCTCGGGGGCCCTGGTTTCTGGGATCGCGTTGGCAGGTTGATCGGGGGATGACCCGCTAGCCATGGTGCTCACATCTTCGGCGGAGGAGAGGGTGAAGTGGGAGACGGCGACGGTCGCCGTCTTGTTCTTGGCCCGCAAAGAGGTCCGCCGGAGGATGTCCTTGCCCGCGGCGACAGTCTCCTTCGACGGCGAGGGCGCCTCCGGGTTGGAGGGAAACGTTTGATCGGAAAAAGTGCGTCGTAGGCCCGGCGAGCCAGGCTCGGTCGCAGGTAGGTCGGGTAGGTTGTTGTAGCTGGCGGCGCGCGACAGCGCTGATGAATCGGCCTCCAAGGGCAGAGCGGCGACCGCCGTCATTATCGAGGGCGCCGCAGACATTTTTCTGGGGGTTTTTTTTTTTGGGAGGGAGAGATTTTTTTCACGAGCGTCAATCCTGCTAACAGGACCGTCTAGAAGCAGCTAACACAGATTATCGTCAAACACGGCTGCACATCTCCCAGATTTGTGGATTGCGAGACTATCGGCGGTGGAGAGGCCAGCTCTTCCATGCACAATGGTCGACGTCAAATTAAACCATATAGCTCGCTTCCATTGAAGCGTAACAGCGCGATTATTTTGAATCAAAACGGTAAAAAAGAATATGGCGGGGGCAGCAGCAGCAGCAGCAGTCGGCGAAGCGAAAGGAGACCCGGACGGGGTATTTATTCTTTAAAAGACGCGAAGCGAGAGCGCGGATTCCAAGGAACACAGGGTCCTTGGGCTCCTTAATCGAGAGGGAAAAAGACAACCGTCGCCAGGTGCTATGAAGCGATACGGAGCCTTTGGCCTGCTCGGGGGCCGCTGTGGAACGAACGGATGAAGCGGAAATTAGAGCTGCTGGCCCAGAGCCGATCACGCCAGCGAAACAGCCCCCCAAAGAGACGAGCGAGCGAGAGGACGAGGGGAGGAAGGAAGAACGAACGAAGGACAGCCGCTGAGGCCCCGTAGCTTTGGCGGAGAAGAGACGAACGAGGGGTGGGAGGGAGAAGAGGAATGTCGAGGGATGTGGATGGGGGGAGAAAGAGGGGGGGGGGATTCACTGAAGGAGGGGAGCAGCGAGAATGAGGAGGAGAGGGTGGAGAGCTGCCTGGAACAGGGAGCACAACGACAATAAAATGGGAGGAAGTTGGTGAGATTGTCGGTGTCGAGGGATATATTATTGCCTTTTTGATATTTTTATCCCCTCCGTCTCATGAGGCTGCCTTCTTATTCCTCTTGCCCACCCAGTGCCGTTTTTATATGGGGTGAGAATTGAGGCTGAGTTCCCACTGCCACACGTATACACACACTCTCATCTCTTCTTTTCTCCCTGCTTGGATGGCCAGTCATGGAGCTTTATGGTTTATGATTATTATGATGATGTGAACTTTCGGCTCGTATTTTCCAGGCAATTGCCAATAGTGAAAATACTCCGCTGCATTCCTCGCCTGCACACGCCGACGCCTCTGCATATAGCTGATCCACTGCTCCTGACCTCGATCTGGGCTTCCGATTTCTTGTTTCAATGGGCTCTCGAGCCATTATTTATGAAGACCGTGATGACGATCAAGTATTATTGCCTTTGGTCTCAATTCTATACTGTTGTTGGCAGTGTTTCCAGTGTCCGTTTATGATACACCCACAGGAATGCCATCCACCACCGGACTCGAAGCGAATCCCCGGCATTCCACGACGAACATGCTGTTGCTGTGGAATCTAGGGCATCGGGACAAGTTACCACTCTGTGCAATCCTATAGAAACTATATATGGAGTACATATTGGGTTTGAACCTTCTGAGGTGTCAGATTGATCGTCGTGATGCAGCTATATAAGGACCATCCCCCCCCCTTTACGTAGACGGCCTCGTAGGCCCATTCGTAGACTCGCCGGGAACCAGGTTGCCGACTCCACTCGGAGGAAATAGTCTAATGTATCCTGTACGGAGGAAGCGGAGGAAGGATCTGGTCTGTCCATCGTGTCATCTTGCCAGCGATGGTATCAATCAAAACGGTGTACAGCGTACGGCGTACTTTCGTACCGGCTCCGTTGGGTTGATCTGCAACTGGCCCTGGATATCACTGTACCGATGCCGTACAACCATGGTGTACTACGGGAGTACAGTCTACAGTCTAGCAACACGTCGGTGTTGCTGTAGCCTATTGAGCATTGGTTGTATGCACAGACACACACTTGTCAATTGATCTAGAGCTGTGCAGGAAAAAAAAAAAAAAGAGTAGAAGGAAAGAAGAAAAATGCCATGAGGTTAATTTACAGGTTCGTCGGGGAAGCCATGCGAAATATTAGGAGCCCTCAGCAGCACATTTAGTGGGCAGCGTGGGCATCCTCCTCAGGCTCCTCCTCGAACCAGCTCTCCTCAACGGGTGCGGCCTCGCCGCTGGCGGCCTGGCCCTCAACCTCGACCTGCTGGGCCTCGTAGGCGCCCAGCTCGTTGGCAAGGTTGGCCTCCTCGGGGGACTGGGGAGCCTGGGGCACGCGGAACTTCTGCACATGGGCCTCGGCGTCGCTGGCCTTGACGGGGGTCGGCTTGTAGGCACGCAGCTCACGGAGGTACAGGTCCTGCACGGGGTCGGCTGCAACAGTAACAACAGTCAGAACACGCTCAGGAAGCAATCTCTCCATCTGTATCTTTTTTTGGATGATTGAACATACCCCGACGCACGACGGTTGTGAGGAAGGTCCGGCGGGCCACAGAGCCCTGTTGCCGGGTGGCGCGGGAGAGCAGAGAGCGCTGGGAAACAGCCAGTCAGTTCGCACAGTCTGCAATTAAATCATCAATCAAACAAAGAGGACGGCCATCTTACCGACGCGCGGAGAGACTGGGACATCATCGCGGCGGTGGGTGGATGAGAACAACGCGGCGTAACAGGGCAGGATGCTTTCTTTCGACGTCTTGCGTTGGAAGTTCGAAGTTGCTTTGCCGGGCCGGATCGGTCTTGGCGCTGCTGACTCAGCAGGCGTGGCTCCGACCTCGTTCAAGCCTCTTTCTTTGTCCTTCTCTTCTTCCTCTGCTCTCCATCCCCTTCTCTCTGTCGCCTCACTGGAGAGTCTTCCCCAGACACTCTACAGCTCTCACCTACACCGTCTGTCTCAGTCGTCAGACAGTGTATGTTTGCTCGTCTCGATTCCCGGATTCGATCTGCGGCCCTTTTTCGTGAGATTCCCCTCTTGCGGAGACCTTGACTGGTTTCTCTCGCGGTCGGCCACGCTGGACTGGGAAGTTTTGAGAGTGGTGTGCTGTCTTGAGCCTGGTGAGATCAAAAAAAGACGCTCTGCGCCTTTGGAGGTGTGACGGTGCTGCGAGGGTGCTTGAAGGTGCAACTGGGCTCTGTCCTTGGAAAGGTAAAGCGCCTGATGTCTTGAGAGCGAGTGCAGAGATGGTTTTTCTTTTCCTCTTTCCTTTTCTTCTCAACTATTCTCGTCTTTGGAAAGATGATGTGTATAAAAAATTATTTGCAATATACGATCGTTGGTGATGAAAGCTAATAGTCTGAGGCAGTGGCACGGAGAGAGACCGACTGATCCGTTCCTATTACTGCTGTCTTTCCTTCGTTGTCGCTACTGAGCAAAGAGAAACATCCAGAAATCATTACCCACAGGACGATACAGTCGCCACCCTGTATTCGCCGTTGTTCGTTCGTTTTTGTGCTCGTAAATATAACCCCACGTTCACTCTGAGAAGGAAGAAGAACAAGACAGTAAAGAAGCCATCCAAAATGGCGGCAGTCTCCTCGGTTCCGCGCGCAAGCGCCGACCCCAACGCATGGAAGAAGAACCTGGCGGCGCACCTGATCTGTCCGGAGTGCAAGGAGGTGCCCCCGAACCTCGAGTTCCCGGACTCGCATGAGACGGTGTGCGGCTCCTGCGGACTGGTGCTCGCGGATCGCGAGATTGATATGCACAGCGAATGGCGGACATTCTCGAACGATGACCAGAACAACGACGACCCGTCGCGTGTGGGTGAGGCGGTCAACCCGCTGTTGAACGGGGACCAGCTTGAGACTCAGATCGCCAGCGGCGCCTCGGGCCGGGCGCGGGAGCTGTACCGTGCTCAGAACAAGCAGTCCAGTGAAAAGGCCAACAAGTCGCTGTTGGCCGCGTACAAGGAGATCGGCGCGCTGTGCGACGGGTTCAACATCCAGAAGAACGTGGCCGACACGGCAAAATACCTATTCAAGGTGGTCGATGACGCCAAGGCGTTCAAGGGCAAGTCTCAGGACGTGATTATCGCGGGGTGCATCTTCATCGCATGCCGGCAGTGTAAAGTGCCGCGAACCTTCACCGAAATCTTTGCGGTGACGCGCGTGTCGCGCAAGGAGATCGGACGCATCTATAAGGCGCTGGAGAAGTTCTTCACGGCCCAGAACCTGGAGCGCATCAACAACGTTGTCTCGAACGGCGGCGTGCCGGACCCGAACGACACATACACGGCGACCACCTCGACGAAGCCCAGCGACCTGTGCAACCGTTTCTGCAACCTGCTCGATCTGCCCTTCCAGGTCACGAGTGTCTCATCCTCGCTGTCAGACCGCGTCACGGCCATGGGCGACCTGGCCGGGCGCTCGCCGCTGTCCATCGTCGCCGCCTGCATCTACATGGCCTCGTACCTGATGGGCCACGGCAAGTCTGCCAAGGAAATCTCCCAGGTTGCCCACGTCAGCGACGGCACCATCCGCGGCGCCTACAAGCAGCTGTACGCCGAGCGCGAGCGGCTCGTCGATCCGGAGTGGATCAAGGATGGCAAGGGCGATATGAAGAATCTTCCCGTTAGCTAAAGCCAACTACCTACCTACATACATATAGTCTCCCTTTCCCTTTACCCTGCTTTACCCTGGCTATGACTTGCTTTTTTTTTTACCTCTGAACAGAATGATAGATAATTAAATATGACATCTTGACTTATAGCTTATAGTCATATCCGTACTTTCCTTATAATTATAACTTGGTTGAGCAGCAAAAATATGTTGTCAACTACCTCGCTGGTATGATTAACATGATTGAAAAAAAGATATGATATGACATATAACAAGAAAGGAAATGTATGGCTAGTAGGACAGAGAGCTAAGCTCATGTACAGACGGGTATAGGTCCGATTCATATGTACGATATAAACGAAACGAGACGGGGACGGTAGACGTGGACGATGTAAGGAAGTAAGACGAAGTGTGTAGGTGAGGGAATTATAGGTAGTTAAGATAGAAGGTACAGGTTAGTAGAGCAGCTTCCTGCTCGCCTTGGAGAGGATGTGCGCCGTACGATCGATCCACGCCTGGGTGGCCGTCCAGTCGCGGGCATCGATCGAGTCCCGGATGGCTGGGAAGAAGGCCTCGTCGTATCCGGACCAAGCCTGCGGGCCGAAGAGGATATGTTTGAATTGGGTACGATTGGGGATCTATAGCATATTAGCATGATGGACGATGAACGATGAACGATGAAAGGAGGTTGATGATGGATACATACCCCACCCCCCTCATCTAGATCTAGAAGATGAGTCTCGAAATTGGCCATCCGCGAATTATGGCTTAATCGCTGGACGGTCATGACGCTGCTCTCGTAGCCGCCGGCGCCCCAGACGGTGTCGTGCCACATCTGGTCCCATCCATGAAACAGGACGGCGTTCTCGCGGAACTCGGCGGCGGCGTTGTACAGGGCGTTGAAGCGCACGCCGCCGTCGGAGCCTGCAGCGTCGAGCGGGTCGAGGATGGGCACATGCTGGTTGCGTGCGTAGGTTTCCAGCTCGGCGACGTAGCTGGACACGTAGTTGGCGTAGGCTTCCATGTTGAAGGGGAGGATTGGGTTTTCGGCCAGCTCGAGCAGGAGGAGGGCCCAGAACTGGCCCAGCATTGTGTGGTACTGGAATCCCGGGTCCCCGAACCGGACCATCCAGTCCCAGTTCTCATAGCAGCTGTGGTAAGGGTAGGGCGCCCCGGTGAAGCCGAAATCGATGCTGGACGTGCCCGCGATGTCCTGGAAGGCGACGTAGTCGCTACCGGCGCCCAGGCCCTCGATGCGCAAGCCTTTCCTCTCCCAGATCTCCTTGAGGGTCGCGTTGCGCGCCGGGTCCGAGATGCGGTTCAGCAGCTGCAGGACCACCGACTCGTACAGCGGCGAGGCAGCCACGCGGAAGTCAGGCCCGCTGACGCCCACGTCGACGTTGAGGTAGGCGTAGGCGTCGGCGCGCAGAGCGTCCACCCGGTCCTCGACATGCTCGGTCGAGCCGATCAGGTTGTACTCCTCACCGTCCCAGCTGGCGAATTCGATCGTGCGCAGCGGCCGCCAGCCGTAGGTGAGCAGCTCGCCGAAGATGTGCACGATTTCTAGAAACACGGCGGTGCCGCTGCCCGGGTCGGCGCTTCCGGTGCACCACGAGTCGCGGTGGTTCCCGATGATGATCTTCTTCTCCGGCTGCTCCAGGCCGATGATGCGGCCCAGCACGTTGTAGATGGGCTGTTTCTCCACCTCGTCCTGCAGGTTCATCAGGTTCACCTGCGGGGACTGGGCGTCGCCCGTCCACCACTGGTCCACCTCGGGCACGCCACCGACCCAGTCCTGGGGGACGAGGAGGCCGTGGCCACGCAGGGCGTTCAGCAGCCTCTGGGCGTCGCGCCAGGCGATCGGGAGGCTGGGGATCTGGACCAAGCCGGGGCTTTCTTCGGGCTTGAGCCGCTGCTTCTTCTGCTCCGGGGTCGAGGCAAAGCCGGGCGTCAGCACATCCCCGACCACCCACGACATCAAGCTCACGGCGCCGCGCTGCACGCCGTCGGCGGGCATGAAGCGCCCGTCCGGGTAGGCGGGCCCCTGGACGAAGCCGTCCTGGGCCGGGTCAGAGTAGATGATACAGCCGGCGGCTCCGGCCAGCTCGGCAGCCTTGACCTTGAGGGCGCGATCGGTCTCGGTGCCATAGTAGCGGACCAGCGCGATGGCACCGTCGAGCGAGATCCCCAGGTCGGCCAGCATTTTAAAGTCCTGGCGGGAGCCGTAGTTGGCGTAGACGAGCGGGCCCGTCACGTTGCCCGATTTCGAGTGGCCGTGGAAGACCGGGGCCTGGGCATCGTCCTCCTCCAGGGTGGCCTCCCAGGCCAGGTCGGGCGGGTCGACAATCGCCACGCGTCGGCCGTCGGCGGTGGGATAGTTGAGATAGACCTGGAACTCCTCCGAGACGACCTCGTCCAGGCCGGCGATCTTGAACTCCTGCTCGATCCATTCGCCCAGGACAAAACTGCCCTCGGTGCCAGCCATGTGGGGGAAATTGGTGAGCTTCTTGAGGTTCTCGGCGATGCGGGTGCCGTTGATGTGGCCCTGCACGTAGTTTTCGACCGAGGCCGGGCTGTAGGCCTGGGCCATGTTGAGCCGGTTCCCGAAGCTGAACAGATCGGAGAAGAAGAAGAGGTAGACGAGAATGACGACGAGGATGACGGCGAAGAGCCGCAGGACGAGCATACAGGCGTTCTTCTGCACGTGCGTGCGGGCGCGACCCAGGTCGATCGTGAAGCGGACGGTGGGCAGGTACTGGCGTAAGGGCAGGTGGATGGCCGACAGCGTTCGAGTGAAGTCGTTGAGCCGTTTCGAGAACCGGTGGCCTAGCTGCGAGCGCCCTCGCCGTGCCCCTGATGCCGATGATGAGGCACCCCCCTGGCCCATGTCTTCGATGTCCATCTCGTCGATCTCGCGACGCAGCTGCTCCATCGACCCCCGCGCGGAATTCGGCGCCGATGAGCCCAGATAGTCCAGGCTGGACCGAGCCGACTCGACCGTCGGCGGTTGATATCCATCTCCTCCTCCTCCTCCTCCTCCTCCTTCTTCTCTATCTCTTGTTCCTCCATGGATACCCCCGCTGCCGCTGACCTCGGAACGCCCCAGCAGGCCCTGTCGTTCTGCATCGTCGCCGGCTTCTTCCACGCTCCGGCGAGACCGCGAGGAGGTGGCTTCTTCGTACGTGGGAATCGGGAGGGATTCGTAATGGTGCTTATCGTCGCCCATGGCGGATGGAACGGAGGGCCGCAGAGCCCAGTGAGATCGGTAGTGTCACAGCCGTGGACGAAGGCGAGCTCATGTTCTAGACGGGCGAGCGATAGGGAACACACTGGTCCATCTGGATACCCCGAAATGGAAGATGGGGATGGAGAGGGTAGGATAGAATAATATTAAATCTCCGGTCGATGAGTGGTGCAAAAGACAGGAGAGAGAAAGTATCGTCGAAAGTCCCCTGGCCTGGCGATTCTCCCCCCGGAGTCCGTGAGACCGCGTGGCGCAGTCGTGGCCGACCCACGCCGACACTGACAGGCCAGGAATTACTTGAAATATGTAGTATACAATGTAGTACATTATTATTATTACTATTATTATATCTGTGGTGATTGTTATACGCCTGTGGAGTTTTATTGAAAAGAGTCGTGAGTCGAAGGGAGACAGACGGTCGATTGATTGTTCGTACGAGTTGTCGTCCTTTTGTCTGGACTCTTGAGGATCTATGGGTCTGCCTGTCTGGTTAACTCGATGATTGCCATGATCTGGTCTAGATCAGTCTAGATTTGTATTCTTAGATATTCTATTGATAGTATAGTCACCATTTCTCGACAAGGCCCAGCTCAAATGCGATCCGTCCTCTTGTTGAAGAAGAGCAACTGCGACCATAATTCTCTCTGTCTGCGCAACTATCAAGACATGTCGGGCAGAAATCTTTTCAGTGTAACCAACTAGGTCTTTCTGCGGATGCTGATATTCTCATATGATATGGTATAGTAGTCACTGCAAGTGTTGAACTTGTATGGCTGTAATCGACCGATCCACTGGCTCGGAACAGTCCACGATGACCGGGGTTCAGTCGATCTGTTCGCCTTTTGCCTTGACCATTGCTAGATAGCAGAGAAAACACGTGTCAGTAGAAACCTTGATGGAATTGGAACGGAGAAGGGGGTTTCTGTATCTCTTGTCTCGTTCGTTGGCTCTGTCTTTCCAGCTCGACTCGAGATCTCATCAGTTTCAGTCTGTTTAATCATAAAGATAGCACAAGATGAACAATTTATCTATCGATTACTATCGTTCGCTGACCGAATACCAAATGGATAGGTCTGGTGAGAGTAGAAGAGAGAAAGAGAGAGAGAGAGAGTGGAAGGAAGAGGGAAGATGGAAGAGGTGGAAAGACAGCAACGTCTTCTTCTACAACCACCTCATTCTGTCTGACAGAGCACAAATAGCATATTCTTCTTTAACTTGGGTAACTGATATACTACATACTTCGTCTTCTGTCAGTATTATCAGTTCAATCCCTACACAGCCCTACTGCATAGAAGTGTCGATTTCGGATGCTTTCCGAGCCTGAAACAAATAGAAAGAATCAGGAGCAAGTTTAATTAAGTTTAATTTATATTACATAATTGGCTGTGACTTGGAATCACTCCATCGAAGAGTGTTTAGAGAGTATACGAGATATCACTGTATAAAACCAGTACAGCAAGACCTACAGTATGGGTTCTTACCCCAAGCTAAAGAATACTCTCTCCAGAACTACGCATATCCATCGATGCAACAACTGCACGAACAGAACGTTACAAGTACATCCGACAGGGACGACAGAGATCCATATTCCACCGTCTACCACCCGCCATCGCCATCTGACGAGCGGCCTGCGTATGCGTATCTTGCGGGCAGCACAGGACCCAGGGGTCGTCACCGCTCCTTGACCCGGATCTAGTGGCGGTATTTATCCAGAGCAAGAAACCGCTGTGGCAGCATACTACATATAATAGCATGCTGCGTAGCCTGCTTGAGGCCGAGGAGACTTCCGCCCATTCTCCGTCCGCGCCTCCCCTCTATCGCTAGGTACTGAATAACGGCGCGCTACTGTTCTCGAACAGAGGTACGGAGTACAGCTGTCAACTAAGACGCAGCTCAGCGCAGACATTCTCGGCATGCTCCAGTGGATGATGGTGCTGTCGCCGGCGGTGGAAACAAAGTCGGATGGATATTCGACTCCAGCGGAGCGATATGGCATTGAACGACGAGGACCATCGCTGGTTCTACGGGGACAACCGTGGGTATCTCTTAGACTCGACCGAGTCGATTGAGGGGGATGACAGACTAGGCATGACTGCAGAGCAGACGCATCCAGATGGTAGAAAAGGCATGGCTAACGAGTGGTTTTGTTATAGGTTTATCGTCTGCTTACTGCCAGTAGAATAATGCTTGACTGGCTACACAGTCACACCGACATTCCAGGCACCAGGATTTCTTCTTGGCAACCCGATTTCCCCCTCTTCTTCGTCAGTGGTGTAGTGGTGGTAGTTCGTATGCTGATTGTGTGGTGTAGTGAGATAGTTAGTACCTGACCAGATAAGATCTATGATATGATGTCGCACGAGAACGACGAGGAAAACAACTGGAGAAAGACCGGTGAACATACCCAGGCAATCGAGAGACCATCCAGCTCCTCAGCCTGAGAAACAAACAATGGAACACCATGCGTGTCCCTTTGCTGCCAGCATTGGCAGATACTCCACTCCATTCTTATATCTACTCCGTAGATTTCGTCCTAGATAGGAGATATATAAGTGGCGTGGATTCCCTGGGACGGTCGCTGGTAGAAAGGGGCGGATCGTAGAATTTTCTCCAAGAAAAAATTCCCTGCTTTCAGATTCTCTTTTTTTTTTATCTTCAGATCTTCTTCTGTCCTCTGTCTGTCTGGTGTTTGTGCCACGTACCTGATTGTCATTGTCACTGGAATTTTTTCTCTCCTCCCGCTTCCTCTCACCGTCTCGGCCTCACCCCCTCACTCAACCCCTCTCTCTCTCCCCCCCTCTTCTCTGCTTGAGTTTATTATTCTCCCACGATTAAAATAATCATGTCTCGTGCTCAGAATATCGGTATCAAGGCCATTGAGGTCTATTTCCCCAGCCAGGTTCGTCGATCTCCTTAGAAGTCTTTAGTGTGGCCTGGTTCCTGACTGTTGTTATCAGTGCGTCGATCAGAAGGAACTCGAAAAGTTCGATGGCGTCAGCGAGGGAAAGTACACAATTGGTCTGGGGCAAACCAAGATGAGCTTCTGTGATGACCGTGAGGGTGAGTTTTCCTCGGTAGTCTGTTACAAGATAAGGGGGTAGAGAGTTAACTAACCGGCTTAGACATCTACTCGATGGCCCTGACGACGCTCTCCTCCCTCCTGCGCAAGTACAACATCGACCCCAAGTCGATCGGCCGCCTCGAGGTCGGCACGGAGACCCTGCTGGACAAGTCCAAGTCGGTCAAGTCGGTGCTGATGCAGCTGTTCACCCCCCACGGCAACAGCAATATCGAGGGTGTGGACAACGTCAACGCCTGCTACGGTGGCACCAACGCCGTCTTCAACAGCATCAACTGGCTCGAGTCGTCGGCCTGGGACGGCCGGGACGCCGTGGTGGTCACTGGCGACATTGCCCTCTACGCCAAGGGTGCTGCTCGTCCGACTGGCGGTGCGGGCTGTGTGGCCATGCTCATCGGCCCCGACGCCCCCATCGTCTTCGAGCCGGGCCTGCGCGCCTCCTACATGAGCCACGCCTACGACTTCTACAAGGCCGACCTCACCAGCGAGTACCCGCTCGTCGACGGCCACTTCTCGCTCAGATGCTACACCGAGGCCGTGGACGCCTGCTACAAGGCCTACAACGCCCGTGAGAAGGTCCTCCGCGAGCAGAACGGCACCAACGGCGTGCTGCACGACGAGACCAAGACTGGCCTCGACCGCTTCGACTACTTCCTCTACCACGCCCCGAACTGCAAGCTCGTGCAGAAGTCGTTCGGCCGCATGCTCTACAACGACTACCTGGCCGACCCGTCGCACCAGGCGTTCGCCGAGGTCCCCGCCGAGCTGCGCGACCTCGACTACACCCAGTCCCTGTCGGACAAGCCCCTCGAGAAGACCTTCATGGGCCTGACCAAGAAGCGCTACAACGAGCGTGTCCGCCCCGGTCTGGAGGTTGCCACCATGTGCGGCAACATGTACACCGCCACCGTCTACGCCGGTCTGGCCGCTCTGCTGTGCCTGGTCCCCTTCGACCCCAGCGAGCCCAAGCGTATCGGTCTCTTCAGCTACGGCAGTGGTCTGGCCAGCTCCATGTTCAGCGCCAAGATCGTCGGCGACGTCTCCCACATGGTCAAGAACCTCGATATCCCTGCCCGTCTGGCTGCTCGCACCGTCCTGGAGCCCCAGGCTTACGATGATGTAAGATCCTTCCTTTTTTTTTGACAGATCCTTTCTTTTTTCTATGCGTTGCTGACTCTACTCTTCTAGATGTGCCTTCTCCGTGAACACGCCCACCTGAAGAAGAACTACACGCCCTCGGGTAACACGGAGACGCTGGTTGCCGGCACCTACTACCTCACCGAGGTGGACGATATGTTCCGCCGCAAGTACGAGGTCAAGGCATAGATCCTTCCCCCTTTTGTTTCTTGTCTTGTCTTGCATGAGCGTCGCTTCTGATCTTTCTTCAATGTTCGTCGCGACTTTATGACCCCCATTATTAGACGGTTACTAGATTCCCCTGAGTTTGACTTTACTGTCTGTCTGCGGACCCGTCCTTATTAGTATACCACTACTACTACTACTACTACTACTTAATTGAATTGACGAAGATACTACGATAGTTACAACCATGCTCGGCTTTGTGTACTCTAGAGCTTCGATCTAAAAAAAGATGTAGTTGATGCATAGAAAAGAAGAAAACCTGCCATTCTGTTTCAGCCTTGATTCTGAAACAGGTTCCTTTGTTCGCTGTCATGTCATTCCAAGCGACAGGCTGACCAGTTGGCAGTGACAGGTCATGTGCTTTTTTGGTTCCTCAGGCATCCACCCCAATATCAACCTCACCTCCTCCTCCAACCTCAGCCAACTCTCCGTCTTCCCCCCTTTCCCACTTTTACCAAAAAAAGAAAGAAGAAGACAAACACTGACAGACAGCTATTTGGATACACAAGCCGCCGGGACTCCTGATGCTATATTCTGCCCATGGAATACACCAGTCAGCGTGCTTGACGCCCCGCGATGATTGCCCGGCGCTTACTGCGACAGGGACAGGGACGGCACTTGCACGAACACATCCAGGGGAAAAACGGAGGTGGAAAGCAACCTGAACTGCCGCAGCCGCCGAGATGAGGCCCTCCGACTGGCTGTCCGAATATAGATCGTTGGAGTGGAGAGGTACAGGTATAGAGGTTCACCGGGTGATCAACTCCTCAGGGCAAAAATAGCACACTGCGCGTCTACGATGAAACGACGCCACTGTAATCGCGATCGCGATCCCCATGCTTGCCAAGGTGTTTTGAAGCATGGAGGCTCTTGTTTAGGGCCTGCGCAGACTCTATTTTCGGATGAACGTGGAGTGGTGTTGTGTTTCATCTGGTTCTGAGGAAGAAGTTACGGAGTATAAGATATCGCTTGTGCCTTTGCTTGAATCAAGGTCTTAGCCAGTCTATTGCTCAAACATTGACCATCAACATACCTGATTATCTCGAAAGATTCTCAATTCTTGTGATGTATCATCCGGCTACGCCGCCGAGTACATACTCGGACCACAGCCGCAGTGTCTCCGGCTCATCCATCTACTCCAACGACTCCTCACCCTGGTCTGTGATCACGGGGACGACGAGTCCTGTATCTTCGCCGCCGAGACACCATCATGGCCCGCCGCTGTTGCCCAGGATCCGGCCGCAGGACGTGGTCATTGAGCCCGTGTCCGTGGGAGGTTGCCAGCGCCACCGGAGGGTGCTCTCCAACACGCGCAACCCGCCCGGGTTTGTTCCTTATCCCACATCTTCTAGCAGATCTGCCTCGGCTCGCCAGCAGCATACGCCAGCAACAACAACACCAACGATAACAACAGATGTCTATTCCCTCGTCTCGCCCGTTTCCACCTCGTCTTTCTTCGGCTCGACGCTCCCTTCCCCCGTGAGTGTTGGGCCGTCAGTCACCAAACGCAAGTCTGCCGCTGGCGGGGGCCATGCGCGCTCTATTTCTGTCTCGAGCATTGACGAGGCAACCCTTAATCGCTATGGCTATCCGACATACCGCCAACTGCCGGTATATGTCTCGCATGCGCTCCAACAACCAAACCCACCGCATCCACAGCCGCCGGCACCACAGGCATCGCAGAGGTCGCCCACTACTTCCGTGGTCCCGACGCTAATGTATCCTCTGCCGCGGATGGCTTCTACGCCCCGGTACAGTCTTCTCTCGCCGACTGTGGTCGATCCGAGAAGCGGCGGCGGCAGCAGCTGCTGTAGCAGCAGCAATGAGATGGATTCGACAACGCTTCTCTCGTACCTCACTGCGGCGGTGCCGGCGATCAACCTGGTGCGCAACGTGAGCGTCGTCCCCACCCGTGGCATGCACGACTACTTCTGGTGGGATGTGCGCAACCTGCGCAGCTGGCACTCCTTTTCTCTGGCAACCTTCAACTCAATTGACGGGCTGTCGAAGCTGCTGACCACCGAGATCTCCACCGAGCTAACACCCCCGAGCCCCGTGTCGGCCGCACACCTGGCCCCGGAGTCGGAAGCCGCGCTCGTCAGCACGGTGCGCGATCTGTACGCATCGCGTGTCAACGCCGCGCTCGCCGTGTCGCAGGGGGCGGAGCATCTGGTGCTCTACCCTGCTCCCGACCAGCAGCGCGCGACGGGCCACAAGCACTACGGCGGCCCGCACTTTCTGGCCAACTACGCATCGGACACGGAGCGGACACCGTCCGGGGCCCCGCGCGGCCGGCTGGTGGGCGTGGTCAAGAGCTTTGACCGGTGGAACAGCGGGATGCGCAACGAGGGCCCGCCGCGACGGGTCGAATATTTGAATGGGCTGGCCCATCTTCAGCGATGCATGCGCGAACATTCGTGCCGCTACGGCTTCATCATGACGGAGATCGAGCTGGTGTGTGTACGCGCTGGCTGCGACGAGGGCGACGACGTTCCTTATTTTGGCTTTCTCGAGGTCTCTGCCCCGATTCCAACCAAGACTGCAGCCGGTTTCACAGAACTACATCAACAACAACAGCAGCAGGATCAGTACAACTCTCCCGCTCCTTCAGACCGCTCGCGCAGCCAGACACCCGAACTGGGACACTTTGAGGGATTCCATTCTTTCTCCGGGCCGGCTCCCATGACCGCCAGCCTGGCACTTTACTTTCTCCTCATGCTGTCGAAATCAGTGCCCCTCCCCTCGCAGCCGTCAGCGCATCTCAATGTCGGCGGGCCAGGAGCCCTCACACGCCAGCGGGTGCTGCCGGAGGGCAAAGACAAATGGATCCCTGTGCCGCAGATCGGGGAACAACGGGATGCGAAGCGTGTTCGGGGATGGGTGCTTCCACAGGATCCCTGGCACCGGCGGGAGGGAGGAGGAGGCAAGGGAAAGCGGAAACGTAAATAGTTGAGTTTCGAAAATGTTTAAAGTACAGCTTTATTGTTTTATTTTAGGCATGATAATGATAAAAAAGTCTTCTAAGGTCCTCGTTGCGTAATTGACTGAGTACCTTGATACTCTGGTTGGTACCTTGATAAGTTGATACTCTTACCGTCTATACAAGAATGTACCATTATCCTCTACCCTCTTCAATTCTATTTCACTTTGCCATTCTCCCATCCTACTATTCTCTGCTATACTATTCTCTCCATGGAATACCCCGACATCCACTCGGTGGTGATCATCGGCGCCGGCCCCTGCGGGCTGGCCGTTGCAGCACGACTGCGCGAGGAAACCCCCTCGGCTCTCTTCACCGACGAAGAACACCAACGATACCACTGGATACGACGACACACAGGGCGCATGAACATCCGGAACAGGAACAAAGCATCCTACTCTGTTCGAACGGACTCGGGAGCCGCGAGGAGTAAAGGCACAGGTACAGGCACGCTCGTGCTCGACAGTACGGGGACCAGCTGGATGCAGAGGTGGAAGACGGCGTTTGCCACGCTGGAAATCGCCCAGCTGCGCAGCCCGATGTTCTTCCACATTGACCCGGCAGATCGGGATGGCATGCTGGCTTATACGAGGGAGACGGGGCGAGAAGAAGATCTGTGGGAGATCCGGGGATGTGTAGGTCGGGAACTGAGCAAGCATCGAAGAAAGAAACGAGATCATAGGTAAAGTTTTTCTTTCCCCCTACTACTGATACCAATACGGTGTTCTTATGTTGATTAATATTTGATAGATCCGGCGATATCGACGAAAGAGATCGGAAAGATTACTATTCTCCCTCGACATCCCTGTTCGACGCATACTGCTCCTCCATCGTGAGGCGATACTCTCTCGACTCGCCCGGGCAGATCCTCCACGCCGAAGTCAGCGATATAACCTACAGCCTCCACCCGGAGCTGGACGAAGAGAAGGAGCTGTTCTGCATCACCGGCTCGACGGGGGAAACGTTCTATGCCCGCTCTGTCGTCCTGGCTGTCGGCGCGGGGACCGGCGGCGCAAAGATATTCCCCTTTCCTCTTTCCGAACAGGAGAGGAAAGCAGCCTGCCACAGTCTGGAGATCACCTCGTTCCCCCCGGCGGGACTCAGGGGCAAGATCTCTCGGCGGGAGGAGACAACCATCCTTGTTGTCGGGGGTGGGTTGTCTTCTGCGCAGATCGTGGATATGGCCATCAAAAAGGGAGTGAGTAGAGTACATTTACTCATCAGAGGAGACTTGAAGGGTATGCAAAACAAAATAATAAGAAACAGAGGAGAAGCTGAGTCGTACAGTGAAGCATTTCGATATAGGCTTGACGTGGATGGGCAAATTCAAAAACTTCGAAAAAGCAGCCTTCTGGTCAGCAGACAGCGACGAAGAACGCCTCGAGATGTTCCACACAGCCCGGGACGGAGGCAGCATCAACCCTCGCTACGTGAAGATCCTCAAACAGTACGTCGCAAGTGGCAAACTGGTCATCCACACGCATACAGCCATCGCCGACCACCGCTTCTGTCCCGTCACAAACACATGGGAGATCACGACGAACCCGCCCACGACGCCCGCCTTACCACCGGCGATCGATTACATCTACTTTGCGACGGGCGTTCGATCGGACATCACTGCTCTCCCTTTCCTGCAGAGCATGCTTGAATCGTACCCGATCCCTACGTGCGGGGGGTTCCCCTGTCTGACGGACGATCTCATGTGGAGGGAGGACGTTCCCCTCTTCGTGACGGGGCGATTTGCTGCTCTCCGGCTGGGCCCCGGGGGTCCCAATCTCGAGGGTGCAAGACTAGGCGCGGAGCGGATTGCGTGGAAGATGCAGGATATCCGGGGGGATACTAGTGACCAGGAGGCTGATGATTCGTTTCGTGGATATTCGGACTGTTTTTGTGGATTGGGGAATCGGTATGCTGGGTTGGCATGAGGATAACAAGATTAATAATATCCATTAGAATGATCGGTCTATATCTACTATCTATGTACTATCTATGTACAGCGAAGGACAGCTAGGCCCTGCACATTCTGCCAGACTCATCCACCGTCCAGGCCTCGCTGCCCACCCCCTTGAGGACGTAGAAGAAGGATTCCGGATCCCAGATGGCCTTGACGCCGGCCAGCGCTCCAAAGCTGGAGCTGAAGAAGGTATCCTCCCAGTCGAGCTGGCGGAAGTTGGCCTCGTTCTCGTACGCGCCGGCGCCCGGGGTGACGGCTTCGAGTTGGGGCACGAAATCATAGGTCATCTGCAGCTGGTTGGCGATCATCTCGTCCCAGGGGGCCGTCTCGTTCCAGAGGGTGCCGATCTGCATCGTCACCGCTGCGCGCCGCCATTCGGGGAGCACGGCATTAGGGAAGTCTGCGGAATCTGACACATCCAGCCCGACACCCACGGCCAGCACGCCGCTCGCCGTCAGGTTGCGCAGGGCGGCGGTCAGGTTCGCCGCGTCCGACTCGAGGGTCTGCCGCGGGATCAGCCGCCCGCCGTACTGGTAGGTGCTGACGTCCAGGTTACCGTACGGCAGCGGACCCATGTAGTTCTCGTAGTGGTCGTAGTAGGAGTCGTACTGCGTGTAACCGACTTCATACGTGATGCCCAGGGAGGTGAGCTCGGCCAGGAAGGGGGCCAGGATAGCCTTGACGTCGTCCTCGGTCTGGTTGAACGCGGTCACCGGGTCGATGATGAAGGTGTCGTAGTCCAGCTCGTAGATGACCGTGGCGCCCGCGTCGATCATCGCGGGCAGCAGCGTGTGGAAGCGCTCGACGGCCTCAAAGAAGACGTCGGTGGTGATGTTGGACGAGGTGAACTCCAGCGACGCGCCCGACACGGTGGCGTCTGAGTGCGCCTTGACCGTGAGCGACACGACGACACCGTAGTTGCCCGCGCCGCCGCCGCTCAACGCCCAGTACAGATCCACGTTCTCCGTGCGCGAGGCGTTGACCACATTTCCCGCCGCCGTCACCACCTCAAAGGACAGGGTCTGGTCGGCCGCCAGGCCGAACGCTGTGCTCAGCGCCGAGTGGCCACCGCCCTGCGTGTATCCGCCCGCAAGACCAACGGTCGGGCATTCACCACCGACGACCACATACCCTTGAGGACTGACGGTGTCGAGAACCTGGTAGCCCATGACACCGGCGCCCATCTTGAAAGCAGGGCCCTCGTAGGTGGGATCCGACCAGTCCACGTATTCGATATCATTATAATGGTGCATCCATACCGAAAGAGCACCGGCACCGGTCGAACGGCCCAAGTAACTGACAATCAGTACACAAACACATATAGCTATAGAAGCGCTGGAGAAGCCAAAGTAAAAAGACAAGACTCACTCATGACCGGTGTTGCGAATGACGAAGCGGACGTTGTTGGACTTGGCAAACTTGATGGCCGCCACCACGTCGTCGCTGGAGGAAACATTGACGGCATAGCTCACGTAGTTGCCGAGCAGACACGGCCGGGACTCGGCAGTAAACGGGTCGCAGCTCTGGTTGGCGAAGTAGGCCTGCATGACCGAGGAAGAGGAGCTCAAATGAGTCTCCGGCAGGTACCAGTTCGCCTGCAACTCAGCACAGGCGGTCTCATTGTACGTCGGATCGTGGCAGGGCGTGCCGATGGGAACAGTTGCAACCAAGCGTCCGCCCACTGTGGTGTTCAGCGTCGCCCACTTGGTATCAGAGGGCCAGCAGCTATCGCCAGGCAGGCAGTAGCAGTCGCTGGCCGCCAGCGCTGTCGAGCTGAGGGCAGCAGCAGCCACAGCAGCAGCCACAGTCCAGGCCTTCATTGTCGTTTTGTTTTTGAGAATTTCTGTCTTGGTCTAGCCGACTGAATCGAGAGAGTGACAGCCATTTATATTCCCTGCAAACAACCAAGCATGCCGTCGAATCCGTTGAGCCTCCCAGGGGGGGGGGACGGGGAGGAGGGATTCTGGTACACCAGGGCCGGAATAGTTCCCTAGAACGTCTAGTGCCAGCATTGCCAGTGGAGTTAGCTATTATTCTGCAGGATTCAGATTTCTGTGAATGGACTGGAACGGCTTTCGGCAGGAGACAGGGAAACCCAGGGCCTGGCAATTCCGTGCAGCTTCAGGAAGGGGTCTGAGAGGTCCATAGCACGGTTGCAGTGGGGTGCGAAAATGTATTTCCACCCCAAGCAGCACAAGCTATTATTATTACTCGGGCCTTACTATCATTTCTCTGGTTAGCCTGACTAGCTGCTACTGTAGTTTGTTTCATTTAGGGGACGTTTGTCATTATAGCGAGTCCTACTAAGAAGTAGTAGCTACTCCAGACTCGAGACTCCAGGCTCCCACTCACACTCAGACTCACACTCTATCTGTAGATCAAGACGCCGATCGATCTCAGAGATGTATGTTTCGACTGAATTCTCTTATCCTCTTGATGATCCTGCTCCTTCGTTCTGCGCCAGGAGGCCTGATCGACTGTCTGGTGGAGTTTCGACGCCAGAAGTTTAGCTTCTTTCTCTCTTCAAGTCTGGGAGTCTCGCACGGATCTCACCACAAATACGTAGCCTCTCTCTCCACTGCGTCCACTCACCTCCGGTTCTCGACCCCATGCCAACCCTTCAAGGGCCAAAGCACCCTGGATTGAAGCCTGTCGCCACCGAATGCGGCAGCTGGTAACAGCGGGTCGCTGGCTGCGGCGGGCCGAAGTTTTTCCACGGTCCGAGGGCGTGACTTCACGTGACATCAGCCTGGGACTCTCGCGGATTGTCCCTGCTGCTCATAGGCAAGAGTCAGCTCCAGCTGGAGACTCGTCTAAGGGGACGAACCAGAACGTGGCGAAGGATGCGAAGAACCTTGGGAAGGCAGCCTGAACCCAGCGCAGGAGCTTCGAACCGATGGTTCTTCTCAAAGTTTAATCATGTTTGGCTGGGACTATTGGGCCAGCCATGCGTCTGGCGTATGGCCGAGTCTCCTTTTCTTACTTATTAAATGAGAACGAGGAGACTCGGCTGGGTTGATAGGGATGATGAGCTTGCTGCTGCTGCTGCTGCTGTTGTCCATCAGACAGAGATGAGCTCCGACTCAGAGACGATGTCGAACCGGGGCCCTGCGCTGGCCCAGGGCATGTGGGCGGCGATGGCGGTTGCGGTCGTGATCGTCGCCCTGCGGGTGGTTGCGAAGATCAAGATTCATCACTTTCGGGTGGACGACATGCTGATGGTATTGGCTCTGGTGAGTTATCGTGGACCATAGGACTTTCAGGCTGTTTTCTATACAATTGGACTCTTTTCTGACTGTACTCTATTAAGGCCCTGTCGATTGCATCTACCGTCTTCCTGTGGCTCTCGGTCCAAGATGGCTTTGGACAAGATCTGGCGACGCTGTCTCTACACAAGCTGGAACTGGTTTTGAGAGCCATTGCCATCCAGGTGCCGCTGATCACCTTCAGCACAACCATCGCGCGGTCGGCGTTTATCCTCTATCTGCTCGGCATCCTGGGTTCCAACCGTGCCTACCAAGTAGCTCTGTGGGGGTCGCTGATACTGCAGCTCGCCTGCAACATCGTGTCTGGAATCCTCCCGCTGAGCATCTGCAAGGATGTTCGGGCGTTGTGGGATCCGACCGTGGCGGCAGCGACAACCTGCGGCAATACGGCCGACGTGATCAAGTTCTCCTACTTTTCTTCCTGTGAGTTTTCCCCCTCCCCATTCAATCAGCGTCCTCTTCATAATTCTCATGTTGTATGCAGCCATCAATTCCGCCACAGATCTATTTCTAGCGGTGTTCCCCACCGTTGTCTTCTGGAATCTGAACCTGAAGCTCAGTATCAAGCTCAGTTTGATCACTCTCATGAGCCTGGGCATACTGTACGTTGTCACCGAGAATCATTATCCATACTCTCTTACTGACCAGCAGGGCGATGGTTGCATCGATCATCAAGACCACCAAGCTCAAGTCGGTCCCCAGCGTCACCAACCTTGGCGCCGGCGGGGGTGTCGAGCTGATCCGCTGGGGCTACACGGAGAATGTCATCATCATCATCACCTCTTCGGTCCCCTGCATCCGCCCGCTGATCATGTCCTCGGTGCGCAAGTTTTCCAGTGCCGCCCGCTCACGATCGTACGAGCTCACCGCCCCTTTCACGGGCAACAAGGCCACCACACGCAATGCGACCGTCCAGTCGCGCACCCACGAGCGGTACGGCATGGGCAGCATGAGCCGAAGTACCGAAACTGGCAGCATCGAGCGCATCCTAGGCCAAGACCACTACCTCGATTCCGAGGCGGGTATCACCAAGCAGGTGGAGATCTCGGTGATCTCGTCGGGCGATCCTTCTATGCGGTGATGGGAGCTTTATAAGACTTACTTACGTTCTCTGTAACATATTAGATAGACCTTTAGAAGTTTAGAAGTTACAATACTAGAGGAACAGAATATTCACTTGCCTATCAAATAGTTAAGCTTTGTCGTATTTCGAAAAGTCCAATGCTGTCCAATCACACCCAGCTGATTGTTCATGCTCCCGATGCGCTGGCATCGTATTCCTCCTAGCTGACTCTAGATACTACTATATAAGAATCAATATAGAATACCTTTAAGCTCTGACACTGCCTCTATACCTGATCTTAGAACTATTACTGGCGCTACTACTACTACTACTACTACTACTACTACCACCACCACAAACCACAAACCACAAACCACACCATGGGCGATTATACACCCACAGTCACTATAAACCCCTCTCCAATATCCAAACCATTGCGCTTTCTCGTCATCGGAGCCGGGTCTCGCGGGAACGCCTATGCGCGCGCCGTGCGCAGCGTCACGAACGGCGTCATCCACGCCGTGGCGGAGCCCCACGCCTTTAAACGCCGCGAGTTTGGCGAGAAGAATATCTGGGGGAAAGGAGGGAGACCGGGCGAGGGACAGGAGTTTGACGACTGGAAAGACTGGCTTGAATGGGAGACAGAGAGGAGAAAGCTCACTGCTGAAACGAATACCACGGCTACCAATGCTAGCACTGTTGGCGTCGACGGCGTCTTTATCTGCACGTTGGACGAAACGCACGTTGAGATACTGCAGGCGATCACACCCTTGAAACTACATATTCTCTGCGAGAAGCCGTTGGCCATCTCGCTGACAGAATGTCTAGCAGCGTACCGCAGCCTCTCGACACACTGCGAGGCGTCCAAGATCTTCTCCGTCGGCCACGTCCTCCGGTACAGCCCGCACAACATGCTGCTACGCCAACTACTACTTCTTGACCGGGTCGTGGGGGATATAGTCTCGCTCGAGCATTGCGAGCCCGTGGGCTGGTGGCATTTCTCGCACAGTTACGTGCGTGGCAACTGGCGGCGCGAGACGGTCAACGGGGACGGATCCCTGCTTACCAAGTCCTGCCATGATATCGACTTTATCTTGTGGATGTTATGTTCACCATCGCCAGGAGGATCTTCTTCTTCCTCCTCCTCTTCAACGCCTTCATATCATTTCCCCCGCTCGATCTCCTCCTTCGGCTCGTTGACTCAATTCCGCCGCGCACGCAAACCCATCAAAGCAGGAAACGCGACAAACTGTCTCTCCTGCCCCGCGGAGCCGGAATGCATCTACAGCGCCGTGAAGATCTACGATGGCAAACATCTCGCAAAGCAGAAACTGTCCCATTCCGCCCTGAGCATCGTCTGCCCAGACATCGAAGACGTATATACCACCCAAGGCGAGCAGGCTGCACGACAAGCCCTCCTGACCAGTTTATCAGAAGACTACGACAGATCGACGACCGAGGACGCCCTTATCGCCTCGCGACCATGGTACGGCCGGTGCGTCTATGAAGCAGATAACTCTGTTTGTGATGACCAGGTTGTCATTCTGAAATGGGACGACCAGAACACTACTGCTAGTACTAGTACTAGTACTACCAGTAGGACCTCCAAAACAGCTCTCTTCCATATGATCGCCCCCACGGAGAAACAGTGCGAACGCCGTGGCCGCGTCTACGGCACAAAAGGCGAGGTATCTTACGATTCAGAAACGATCACCATCCACACCTTCGAATCCGGGACCACGACGTCCGTCCCTGTTCCGAAACCCGCAACGGAAGAAGAAGCCCAGGGCCACGGTGGAGGCGACTATGGCCTGGTGCGGAGTTTCGTTCAGGCCGTCGACGCAGTCGAGAATAAAGGCTATGCTGTTGCTGATGCCCAGAGGTCCTTCATCGGGTGTACCCTTGAGGAAGCTGTGAGGAGCCACGCCGTCGTCTTCGCCGCCGAGGAGGCCAGACGCGACGAGAAGGTCGTCAAGTGGGATGAATGGTGGGAGAAGAAGATACGCCAGTAATTTTTTTTTCTTTTTTTTTTTCAATCCATTAATTCTTAGACAGTGGTTACACGAGACAAATGATTAAAGGACGCATGAAATTACGAACTTGCTTGTTGCTTTTACAAAACTAGTGCTATCATTACTCATATCATCATCATCAGGTCCGGACATCAGGCTCCTCACGGCCAACGTACTCCTTGAACTTGAGCAGAGACAGAGCCAGGGCCACGTTGTCCTTGAGGTACTCCTGGGTAGCGAGGCCCAGGTGGCTCTTGTCCGCCTCGTACTTCTCAATGTACAGCCGGATGGTCGCACCGCTGCTTCCAGTGCCCGACAGGCGCACGACGAGGCGGCTGCCGTCGTCGAACTTGACGTACAGACCCTGATTCTTGGTGACGCTGCCGTCCAGGTCGGTGTAGGCAAAGTTGCCGGCATCGGTGACCTTGCGGCCGGAGATCTCGGAGCCGACAAAGGAGGCCTGATTGTTGATCTTCTCGCTCAGGTTGGCAATCAGCTTGTTGGCGCCCTCGCTGTCGACGTTCTCGTAGTCGTAGCGGGTGAAGAAGGTGCGGCCGTAGATCTGCCAGAACTCATTCTGAATCGAGGCAATGCTGGGAGTCTCCTGGGGCTTCTGCTTGGCGACACCGGCAATGATGTTCAGCCAGGCCACAACGGCCCAGACGCCGTCCTTCTCACGGATGTGGTTGCTGCCGGTGCCAAAGCTCTCCTCGCCGCAAATGGAAATCTTCTTGTTGTCAAACAGGTTGCAGAAGAACTTCCAGCCGGTGGGAACCTCGTAACTCTGCAGACCCTGGGCCTTAGCCACCAGGTCGACCGCACCCGACGTCGGCATCGACCGCGCCAGACCGTAGACACCCTGCTTCTGGAAGTAGGGGATGAGCTTGGCGTGGTGAGCGATGATGGCCAGGCTGTCGCCGGGCGAGACAAAGGTGTTGGCACCGTAGATCATGTTGCGGTCACCATCACCATCACTAGCAGCACCAAAGTGGATGCCGTTCTTGTCGACCGCCTCGACGAGCTCGTGGGCGTAGACCAGGTTGGGATCCGGGTGGCCGCCACCAAAATCAGGCGAGGGCACGCAGTTCATGGTGCTATCCTGGGGCAGACCAAGCTCCTTGATAAAGATGTCGACGCCATAGGGGCCAGTGACACCGTGCATTCCGTCGAACAGAACCTTGAAATCCTTGTGTGTGCTCAGGAACTCCTTGATCAGATCAAAGTCGAAGATCTCCTTCATCATGGTGACATAGTCCGCGGTCGAGTGGACCACCTCAACCTCCAAGGGACCGTAGGTCTGCACACCAATGCGAGTGATATCCACGGTGGGGATCTCGGCGATCTTATACGAGGTCAGGGACTTGGAGGTCTCGAAGATCTTGTTGGTCACGGTTTCGGGGGCGGGGGCACCGTTGGCGAGGTTATACTTGATACCGAAATCGGCGTTGGGGCCTGCCACATTAGAACTATACACACACACACACACATATATATATATATATGTGCTAGATAAAGAGGGTGCAGTGCTTACCACCCGGGTTATGACTGGCAGTCAAGAGAATACCACCCGTCGCCTTCCTGACACGGATCAGGTTACTGGCGGCCGGGGTGCTGAGAATGCCGTTCTGGCCGACCAGCAGCTTCTTGACGCCATACGCAGCACTGATCTTGGCAATCTTCTGGATCACCTCGTCGTTGAAGTAGCGGCCATCACCGCCGATGACCAGGAAAGCGCCCTCGGCACCCTCGGGGATCGACAGGAGAATGCTGGTGACGAAGGCCTCGGAGTAATTGGGCTGTTGGAAGACCTTGACCTTCTTACGAAGACCAGAACTAGAGTCTTGTTAGCTGTTCTGCCCAGACCGTATAGCTAGCTCTACGCCACCGGGTTTTCGTCTCGACTTACGTTCCAGGCTTCTGGTCCGCAAAGGGCTGGATGGAGACAGTCTGAACAGACATGGTGAAAGCGAAAGAAGAAGAAGAAAAGAGCACGTCAACAGAAGTAATGAATCAGCAGCAAGGTGATCCGAAGAAATTCACAGCTCGAAAGCACAAAGTCGACGGTCAAGAAGAGAAAACGAATGCCTCACCGACAGTTGGGAGCTGGAAGAGGGGCGGCTTGTTTGTTGGGTTTTGAGCCTTGGAGGGGCTTCGTCATTCTATCGTCGCCCCGCCGCTTCCAGACACGACACGGCAAGAGCTGTTATTATTGGCAGGTGTGAGACATTGAGCATTTAACCTTATCAAGCTATTATTTAGCAGAATAAGTAACAGGTTTATCAATTTACACGAGCTATAGTTATTCAGCTACTGAACAGTTTCTCCCGGTAGAATCGCATCTCCTCGATACTCTCCAGGATATCGTCGCGAGCCAAATGCACCTCCCGCTTCGGCGGCACCTCCCGCAGCAGCTCGTCGCTTGCCCATCGCCTCGCCGCCTCCTTGATCGTACTGACGTCCACGATACGGTAGTGTAGGTGTTGCAGCACCGCCGCGTAGGGTCCCTTCGCCAGGAACGCCTTGTCGGCGTGCACGCTGTTGCCTGCCAGCAGGCCCACGCGCGGCTGCGGCACGTACCGCTGGATATATGCGAGCAGGCTACTCGCTGCCGTAGAGGGGGTTATCGTCGATGCCTGTACGGCGGCTGTCAGGCCAGAGCGGCTGTGCGTGTCGATACACCACTCCGACATGGCAGACATGGTTGCGTCTGGCTGATGGATGATGGTTTCGAACCCCTCGGGCTCGAGCAGGTTGAGGTCTGCATCCGTGATGAAGCAGCAGATCTGGATGATCTGGTCGGTTTCAGAGTCAAGACCGGTCATCTATGGAAAAAAGACGAATCATTAGGGGAAAAAAAAATATAAAAGAGACCAACTCCCGCTCCAGTACTAGAGTAGCTGTTTAGCTAACCTCACAGTCGATCCACACGAGGGGATCGGACGACCGTGTCAGCGGCATCGCGGCTGATCTGCCCCAAGGTGTAATTGCAGATGCAGCCGTGTATCGCTTCGCAACGCGGATAATCGGTGTCGACTGTGTCGAGGAGAACCGCGATGAAGAGAGAGAGCGTGGTGGAGCAGAGATGAAGTTAGTGGCCCGCAGGACCACCAGACGGGAGATTTTCATAGAGAATTAATTCCCAGACAAGTAAACAAGTCTCGTGTTGCTGGATGGTTTTGTTTTTATTGATAAAATGGAAAAGAGTGTGTATTCATTCATACAAGAGAAGAGAGAAAATTATTGATATGGACATCACATTCCTAATCTATGGAGTTCAGTAATCCAGAGGCGCTTTTCCATCCACTCTAAACAGCTCCTCCCAACCGTACAAATAGACCAGAAGATCCGCCTAGAATATCCAGGGCTCAATAGTGGAAGGAATAACTTGGCAGTGGCTGAGCAGTTTATCAGGCAAGATAGCTCGCAAAAGGGCAGAAATTTTTCAGGGGGAAAAAAAAAAAAAAGCAAAAGTTGATTCCATCAAAGTCGTGTCTGTCCCATCCGAAGGGAAACCTGCAGGAGTAGCTCTAGTCGAAGGAAATGGGGAGGGGGAACATGGTTCCATGCCTTCTAGTGCAACCAAAAGGAAGAAGCTGAAAGACGAGATTCACCATAACCGGCGTGAAGGGTGTGGAAGAGAGGAGAATTCGATCTGTCAGGGGAATGCCCGCTGCATCAAGATTTGTCACAACTCCTCGTCTTCGTCATGCGGGTTTGACGCAGGCGGTTGTGTTGGCGCTGGTGCCTGGAAAGTATCTGGAGCGCTACTAGGTTTGGGCTCTTCGATAGCAGGGATTGCAGGAGCACCACTGAGCACATCGCCAATGTTGTTGGCAAGCCCCGACTCGATGCGGCGGCGTAGAGCGCTCTCGTCGGGCCCGGAAACACTCGCTCGTTGCTTCTTCAGAGGACTGCCGATGAATTCGCCATTCAAGGAGTTAGCAGCTACCTTGGCGAGCTCACTGCTCGTCGTGGTGGCCGCATTGGGAGGGGTAGTAGATATACTCGATGAGTCTAGAGGTGACTCTCTCGAACCAGGTGGGCTTGTAGCGGCGGTGGAAGCAGCCGTAGCAGCAGCAGCAGCAGCAGCAGCAGTAGAAGTATCTTCCTTGCTCGCTGCGAGAGGCTCGGCAGAGTGCTGGCGTTTGAGCTATGTAGTTACGGCTGCGTCAGTTTCAATCTAAACTAGGCCCTCAAAATGAGATAGAAATAGAGCAGAAGTAAAAAAGGCTCACCTTGATCTTACGAACGCCTTCTGCAAGCTCGCCCTGTCGCTGGATATCGTCGGGGGACAAGAACTGGTTGGCGTCCTTGCCTTCTTCTTCATCAGCCTTGCCTAGAATCGAGTCGTCGTCGTCATCATCGCTATCCATCTCCGCATCTCCAGACTTCCTGCGACCTTTGCTCTTATCTTCGGAGTCGCGAAAGTTCAAAAAGCCAACCCCACCACCGGGTTTGAGAGGGCCTAGATTGGCAAAGTCTGGCTGGAGCGATCGCCGTTTCACCGAGGCGGGAGTCTCCTGGGTTTTGGTATCTTTCAGGATTCCCATTTTCTGCAATTGTCCTGTGGACTGTTAGAAGTGAAGGGGCGAGAGTGAAAGAAATAAAGAGGGGGGGGGACGAAAGAAGAAAACACTTACGTTCTCCTCGGTACATGAACGTGAAGACAGCGTATGGCTTATCCGCCGGATCGATTCCTGTGACGGTCTGCGTACTGATGGATTTGGGATCGAGGGTTTTGGGCTTCGCAAAGCTTGTTGTGTGGTCAATATCATCGGCTCCATTGTTTCCTTGACCTTGTGCATCATCATCGTCGTCGTGCGCGTCGAACTGCGGCGAGTATTCCCCCCGCTTGATCTCCCCAGACGCCAACACACGGACCAAAGCCACTTTGATCTGTCCTGCAGACTCCGGGATAGGATCGTCGTCCGAGTCAGAGGACATGTCGTCGTCGGAGACGTCCTCGAGTGGTGACTTCTCGTCGTTACCATAGCGCATGACCCCCTTCCCGTCCTCCTTGTTAAGTCTTCCGTTCAGATCCATGCCTCCGTTCGCCTCCGCCTCGCGCTTTAAGCGGCGTTTCTCCATCTTTTGCCGCCTCCGTTCAATCTTGGCGGCCACGTCCTTGCCCTCGAGATCAAGTCCGTTGAGCCATCGTTCCAGACCGACTTCCCGGAACAAGAATTCCCGCTCAGCCAAGCCCCCACCTTCAGACTGGGGCACGCTGACCCATCGCGAATTCACCCACGTCTCCTCGCCGCGTCTGAGGAGGGTGGCGACCTCCTCCTTCTGCCTTCCGTCAAAGTAGATATAGGCTGCCACGGTCTCGTTGGGCGAGTTGGTCAGGGCCTGGTAGGGAGCGACACTATTGCTATATTTCCCGTGCTCCTCTGTCGTAGCAGACAGCCCACCCACTTTTTTCGGCTTCGGAGTCGGCTCAGCGGCCGTCGGTTTCGGCGTAGAATACGGGACATCCTGACCGGGGTTCAGCAGCGTGATCGAGATGGCAAACGTCGATTGTTCCGGCTTCCCATTGCCAGCTTCGGGGATCTTGGGGGGGGGGACGGGGATGTAGCAAGCTATCCGCGAGGCGCGGGACTGGCGTTGAATCGAGTACTCGGAGATCGGTCCATCCGGGGTGTGGATGCTCACAGCGAGCCCTTTGAAGCAGGGCATAGCGGGCGGTTCGGGTGGGAAGGATCTGCCAAAGCCAAGCAGAGGGTGAAGAAGAGGAGAAATGACGGAGATCGTCTCGCTCTCACGTTCGGCTGGTGCTGTGCGGTGTTCAGCGAGGCGGTCAGAGCAAAAGAATATCCTAGAGAGGGACCCAAGTGGACGGTTCCACAAAGAGATGCTGTTGTCACACCCGGCGCAGGCTCTCTAGTATAAAACGATACGAGGGCACTCTCCAGCCGGAGTCGGGCGTAGGCTCTCTCGCTAGACAATCGTCTGCTTTATTTTTTTTCGATCCCCCCGGTCAGCGTGCGGCTTGTTTGGGTTGGTGCGGAGAGTGTGGCAGTTGTTTTGGGGGAGGGGAGGGGATCCACTTGTACACACCAAACAGGCGATCATGGAGGGACCTCAGGATCAAGAACGTACCGAGCAGAGATCGTGGGCTCTTGCAGTCGCAGACGCAGCCTGAAGTCGACACAGAAGGCCTCCACACCGGATCGCAGCAGACTGGCCGACGGGGCACCCTTCAAACAGCGCTGTCCAAGAGGCTGAGCTGAGACGAGGTCGTCTTCTGCAGGGGCACCTGACATTGCGTTCAACTGTCGCGTCGTTGGTGTGTCACGTGATGGTTCTTGGATTTGGCTCGTCCCAGATCTTTTTCCCTCCTTTCAACTCTCTGGGCGGCTCTTAGAATATTGTTCCAAAGGATATGGGGAATGCCTTGGGTGAATCATTGCGATTAATCAAGTTCTTTGGCCCCTTGATGGGCTAGTTATGAACTTCTCTTACTGATACAGTTATAGCTAACTACTTCGCAAAATATAAAGTGGTACAAAGAAGGGAAATCGACTCTATAATTCTCAATAATTGACACATTATGAGATAGATAAAGAGTTCTTTATTGGCAGTGACCTAATCACTACCAGTCAGCAGTGGCTACACCTATAATTGCCCCTTTTTCAGTGCCTTCCATGTCTATTCCATGTACTTACAGATTCTGTCTTGCTTCTTTTGATTGTTTTGTGCCAGTTAATGGGTTATACCTCTTTTGGCTACTCTCCAGTCACGGGCAGGTCAGATGACCGGGGTTCTTCGATCCCCCTCTTGGAAAAGGGGGTTTCTCTCGCTTCTCTCTTTGAGATTGAAAACAAAAACGGCTACTTTCTATCATTTTCAGAGGGCCATGCTTACGCCTCGTCCGACTACATACTGCTGAGGGCTACATCATGATATTCTCGCTGTCCTTGAGAAGAATTTGATCACGGTAAGTCGCAGCCAGCTCCAGGGGCTCTCTGTGTATGCTCTAAGATATGCTCTAGAAGACAGCTCCTTTGGCTTGAACCGGATATAGATGATCTTCCTTCGAAATAGAGAAAGACTCGGTGCTGCCGATACGCGAGACTGACATAAAATGCCATGATGGAGGCGCCGGTGGGGAAGTTAGTACAAGAGCTGTATTAAATGAAAGCCAATGGGCCAGGTAAGCAGCGAAGAAAGGCTTCCGAGGCTGAAGAGCAAGACTATGGCATTAGAGCAATCCGGTGAGACCATTGATGGCGGTTCTGTCCACCATGGCAAGGAGAACATTGCGTGACGCCGGAGCTCTTGGCTCATGTGGCAAGCCGCATTTTCAGCACATCAAATGCCCGCACAAGTGTCGATCTACGGTTATATTAGACAGCTGCCAGGTTGGTACATGTGTGTCTATATGCTTCATGGTGATCAGACCTTGGAATTCCAGAATTACAGACCCGCAGCGAAAGCTGCTGGCGCTGTCGAAAAGAGTCGGCTGCCAATCAAGATTCATTCTCTGAACCAGGAAGAGACAGTACAGTATCCTGCTGGCGAAAGGCAATGCACTCAGTGACATTACCCAGACCCCATCAGCAAAAGAATTACCACACGTAATCAAGTGTGAGAAGAAACAACATACCGCCAGCAATGGATGCGATTTCCCGATGAATATGGCAATAAATATTGTGCGGAAAAGGGTGGTTATAATGGCACTTTTTGCCAGCGAGACGCAGCCAGAAAGACAATGATAACAAGTGGTCCTGATACTATGGTGTGCCCCCATCAGTATCTGCGACACTCGAAAACGGTTTCCAGGAGGCAATCATCAAAACCTGGAGACCAATTAGACCAAATCAAAAGCCTCGGCGCAGCTCTGGGTGAGACCAAGGCAGTCAGCTGCTGTTTATAGGAGGTGGATTCTCATCAAGCACATCCGTCTTGATACTAATCCTCGATTTGACAACAGTATTCATCACAAAACAGACGCGATTGCAAACCGAACCTAAGAACTGCGCGCTACCAGGCATTTCCTGCCCTTCGCCAGCTCTTCTTATAGGGAACTCTCATACTTCCATTCAAATTCCTGTCCCGCCATCTCTCCTAACGCCTCACTTTCCTCAACATCTCCTCTGTTACCAGACCTATCGTCACCGAGATAGTCGCAACATCAACCCAGGCTATTCTGTCCTCCTCTATAGCTATCTGGCCCATCAAGAAACTTGGAAGAGCGGAAATCCTTCCGACATGCTGTTTCCGAGATTCCGAGATAAGCAATAAAATCTGGGGTAAAACCCAGGATCCGCCTGCTTATCTGGCCAATAGCGGGCACAAGCACCAATCTGTGACAAATGGATTTGGACGCCTGCCTGAAATAGATCAGGCCATGCTGCTGTGCAACAGTAAGCAGTATTTATATAGGGTGCACTGTCGGCTCAGTGAAGAAAGATGACACGCCTCATCTTTCTATGTCACCCTATCCACAATGCCTCCTCATCCGCTGGCCATTTTGTCCGAGGCAGAGACTAACATCGCTCGCGATGTGATCATTGCCTCGTACGGCAACGAAGTCATTGATTTCCGTGAGATTTACCTGCAGGAGCCACCAAAGGCTCAACTCAAGGAGTACCTGGCGCTGGAACATTCTGGCCGCCTGAGTCCGACCAGCCCCCGACCGGCTCGGTTGGCGTTCTGTCAGTACGATGTGATCGGATCCAATCGCGTGCCTGAATTCCACGAGTCTGTTGTAGATGTCAATCTACGGAAACGGGTGTCGCACCAAATGGTTGGCAAGCAGCATCATGCCAGTTTGACCCTGTTAGTCATGAAACGAATTTCGCGTATCGCAGAGCGGACTAGAACTAACAAATCATGCAGGAGTGAATTCGACACCTTCATTGAACGTTGCAAAGCATCTACCCTCTTCCAGCAAGCACTCGCTGATTTCGATCTGCCCGAGGGTTTCGATGTTGTAATTGAGCCCTGGCCTTACGGTGGCCCCGATCTCACCGAGGAGAACCGCCGGTACTTCCAGGCACTCGTCTTCGCACAGGACATGCGCTCTGGTAACCCCGATGCCAACTTCTATTCATACCCTCTGCCCGTCATCCCTGTCATGGACGTCCTCACCCAGGAGGTGATCCGGGTCGACCGGCCGGCGACTGGTGGCAAGGGAGACGGCTTGTTCGATCAGACTTTCAAGCGCGATATCATCGGCCACTGCAAGGCCTCCGATTACATCCCCGAGCTGCTGCCTCATGGAACCCGCCAGGATCTCAAGCCGTTGAACGTAGCACAGCCGGAGGGACCCTCATTCCGGATCACGGACGAGTCGCTGGTGGAGTGGCAGAAATGGCGTTTCCGCGTTGCTTTCAACCCGCGCGAGGGAGCAACGATTCATGACGTCTGGTACGATGGTCGTAGCGTTATGTACCGATTGTCTGTGAGTGAGATGGTGAGTAACTCTATTCTTTTTTTTTCGTCTATTCTGCCCTTCCCCTTTCTTTTGTTATTTAGATAGAGACTCACAAGAGAATGCATCAGACTGTTCCCTATGCCGACCCGCGACCTCCCTTCCACCGCAAGCAGGCGTTTGACTTTGGAGACGGAGGCGCTGGCAACATGGCCAACAATCTCTCACTGGGCTGCGACTGCCTGGGTGTGATCAAGTACTTTGACGCGGTAGTCACTGGCGCCGACGGAACGGCCAAGCCGATGCCCAACGCCATCTGCCTGCACGAACAGGATAACGGGATCGGATGGAAGCACAGCAACTGGCGCACGGGGCGTGCGGTTGTCACCCGGCTGCGCGAGCTGGTGGTGCAATTCATCATCACGCTGGCTAACTACGAGTACATCTTTGCGTACAAGTTCGACCAGGCGGGCGGGATCACACTCGAGGCCCGGGCGACGGGCATCCTCAACGTGGTCAACATCGACGCCAACAAAGTCAGCGAGTATGGCAACGTGGTCAGTGGGGGCGTGCTGGCGCAGAATCACCAGCACATCTTCAACGTGCGCATCGACCCGGCAATCGACGGGCACAACAATTCCGTCGTGGTGGAGGAGTCGCATGCGGTGCCGATGAACCAGAGGACCAACCCAAACGGCAATTTCTACCAGATCACCAAGTCGACGCTGGAGCGCGCGTGCTACCTAGACGCCGCACCGCAGCACAACCGCACCATCAAGATCATCAACCCGCACAAGACGAACCCAATCAGCCAGAATCCCGTGGCGTACAAGTTCCAGCCGCTGCCAACCCAGCTGCTGCTCGCAGACCGCCAGTCCGTGCAAGCGCAGCGCGCCCAGTTCGCCCAGCACCACGTCTGGGTGACCAAGTACCGCGACGGCGAGCTCTACGCCGGCGGCCGCTACACGCTGCAGAGCCAGGTCGAGGTCGACGGGGTCGCAGATGCTGTTCAGCGCGGCGACCCTGTCGAGGACACCGACGTCGTCGTCTGGAACTCGTTCGGCATCACCCACAACCCGCGCGTCGAGGACTGGCCCGTCATGCCGGTGGAGATATTCCAGCTGATGATCCGCCCTGCGGACTTCTTCACGGCGAACCCAGCTATCGACGTACCGTCGAGCAAGAACGTCTCGTCGCGCCTAGTCCCAGATGAATGCTGTCGTAAGGCGAATATTTGATCTGTATAGCCTGTCATCTGGTGCATCCGTATTATGTATACATGGTTTATGATAAATATAGTGTTTTTCTAGATAATTTTCTTCAAATAGTAAAGTGTTGTCTATATATCTAGTGAATATCTTGAACAATTCCATAGTAATTATTTTGCATCTGCCAACTGGTCACTGGCCTTAAACCCCACAGGCGTTATCAGCCTCTTTATCCACATCCGAGATGCTCAACTCAGCATCCTTTTCATCTCTTCCCCAAACATCAAAATGAGCTCCTCGGGGTCTCCTCTAGTCAAACATCCAGCGGATTCAACCGACTACCCTCCGGGTAGGAAACGAGCCAAATATACCCAAGTTGCATGGTAGGCCTCACCGACAGATGGATCCAGAGAAAACAATCTGACAGGCTCCATCTCAGCAACGAGTGTAAACGGCGCAAGCTGAAATGCACAGGCGAGAGCTCCTGTTTTCGCTGTGTCTGCAATGGCATACAGTGTGTATATACATCCAGCAGGCCATTGACTGAGTCATCCGAAGCGAAACCAGACTCGTAGGTATACACTAGCTGGAGAAGAAGAAGAAGAAGAAGAAGAAGAAGAAGTAGAAAGCTAATAAACCACAGGGTCAATGCTCGCTTCCAATCTGTTGATAAAAAAATGGAGAAGTTGCAAGGAGAAATGAGGTCGTTGGCGGCTCGAATCCAGGAGCTGGAGGGGAAGAAGGAGAAAACCCATGAAGACCTCTCCACCTCATATACACAGATTAGAAACGACCGAGATCCCAATGCCACCCCGACTACAGCCCACACCGCGTCGACAGACCCTGGTTCTGCCCTGGACCGGATCATGAACCCGCCCATGTCGCCCACGTTTGTGGGACCGACGAGCGCCGAGTTTGGCCTCGGGCACGGTGTGGTGGGTGGCTCCCATCGTGCCAGTGACAGTGATACCGAGACTTGGACGAGCGACGATGCGTTGGAGACCTGTGGAGAGGAGAAACCCCCCTGCGCGTCGCAGGGCGAGGATGGATTGACCTCACCGCCGGACTCGTTGGTGGGCCTCGGCCTTGACGAGGCCCTGCGTCTCGTGCAGGTGTATGAGGACACGGTCGGGGTTATGTACCCCTGCGTGGATCTGGACAGTGTGCGCGGGTACATGAGAGACTTTTACCGCAACCATGGTGACCCGACTGCCACGGCGGGCGCGGTGCTTGCCGGGCAGAAGAAGAAGCTCCCCGAAGAGGCCGACTGGTTCTTTGCGCGTGATGTGCAGGTGCTGAAGATTATCCTGGCCATCGCCTTGCTGAGCGAGTCGCATGGCCGCAGCGAGCGTGCCGCCCAGCTAGCCAACAGCGTGGAGGACAAGTTCTCGACGAGGATGAAGGTGGCTACGGTCGATATGAAGGAACTCCTGATTCTGGCTCTTCTCGTAAGGTTCTCCTTCCTAAAGAAAAAGACTCGCTATTTACTTCTTCCCTCCTAACTAACCCTTCAGTCTATCTTTCACTCTTACCGCGATGACGAGGTCTTTGCGTGGCGCTTGATCGGAATGGCTGTGCGAGGCGCGATGGAGCTCGGTCTCCACTGCCAGGAGGCCTGGTACAAGTACGGAGGCGTCTTTCCTGGTGACTTGCAATGGACATGGGCCGTTCAGCTGTGGTGGTGCATTTACTTGCTGGACCGCAAGTGGTCGTTTGGGACGGGGCTTCCCTTTGCCATCCAGGACTCGGACATGGATGGCAATCTACCAGAGCCGGTAAGGGTTCTTTTTGTTCTTCTTCCTACCTTACAGGCACGCTGATTGGATGGTTCTCATGATTGATCAGGCCTCATCACCTTATCTCAAATGCATGATCTCCTATTCCCGCCTGAGCACCAAGATCTGGAACCTCGTCGTGGGCTGGCACAGCCGCCCCCGCGCAGTGACCACGGACAATTGTGCGTATCTCGACTTTCAAGTTCAACAATGGATCCAGTCCATCCCAGCCGAGCTGCGCTTCGATCCCACTTGGCGGTCGCTGGCTGGGGAGCGGCCGCCGGACAGCCTGATGACCCTGCAGGTCCTGCTTGCCCTGCAGGCCAACCAGCTGCGCATCCTAGTCTATCGGACCAACCTGCTCAGCGCAGAGAGCATCACGGCCGACGAGACTGCCGCCTCCACCGCGGTCGAAGCAGCCAAGAACACCATCCATATGCTTGACTACTTCAGCCGCGTGGCAGACATCTACTTCCATCGTCCAGAACCCTTCAACTACTTCCTCCTCTCCGCGCTCGCCGCCCTCTTCCTGGCCGTCCTGCACGCCCCGGTCCGCTTCACGCACAGCTGCCGTCCGGAGTTCCATACCGCGGTAGGGATGGTCCGTCGTTCCTCCACGCGTGCCCGCACCTCCCGCCGTCTACAGAAGATCATCCGCGGTCTGAAGCGTATTCGACTGAACCTGCCTAAACAGTCGGATATGCCCGGCAGCAACCACTACAACCAGAGCCATGAGCACAATAACAATCACAACGATTTACACATCATGCCAGAACAACTCATCCGTCCTTCTTCCTTCTCGTCTCCCATCTCTCCAACAGCAGAGAATACATGTATAGACTTGACATCCTTCTTCGAGATGGCAGGCGAGTATATCCTCGACGCACAGCCAGTCTCCGGCCTCCCGCATATAGAAAATACAAACACGCCTGATTCTTTAGGTGGGCGACCGAATCTCGAGGCCTTTCAGGCGGAGGATGAGGCGTTGACGCGAGTTATGGCTGGATTACTTTAGGTTTTCTTATGCCTCTTATAAGACTACTAGGGAAAGACCATGAAAAAGTCCAATTTTTAGACAGAGCTCACAAGGTAGCTACAAGGAGATTTATTAAGAATATCTAAGACTTCATTCGTAGCAAATGCTAGCTATGTTTAGTCTAATATCTAGGCCCTGTAGTTCGTATCGGAGATCTATGTCCCAATAACCACCATATCCAATGCTGGAATTGCATTAGGAACAGGAGAAAAACAAAAGGCAAATGCAAAAGGCACAGTATATCTGTCAAAAAAGATTAAACCACATTAAGTAGTTTTTTTTTCTTTTCTTGGTCGATATCAGCCTGAGCATGAAGGCGTAAAAACATGAGTCCAAAGGAAGTAAAAACCAGGGTCGTGTCGAGTTTTATCCAGGAACGCGGAACGGAACCGGAATACCAAGTTGTCTCTAGCTAGAAGTAAAGCCATCCACTTCCAAGCTGGTTCCGGTATCGTAGCGGTCGTTGCGAGGGACGGGCTCGTCGAAGTTGTAAAGCGGCTCGAGCTGGACATCCTGGCGCAAGATGTACCGTCTGACCCAGTAAGGGAGGGCCTTGGTAACCTGGTAGTGCATGTGGACGGAAGTCGGCACGGAGAAGACGCAGTCAAGTTCTTCCAGGGTGCGTTGCTTGGTCTCGGGGACCCAGAGGAAGATCATCACGAAGGCAGTCACGTTCAGACCAGCGTAGAACCCGAAGGCACCGGTCGAGCCCATCACGCTGAGCATGCGGGGGAAAGTGATGGACAGCACAGAGGCCCAGAAAAGGCAGGTTGCCACAGCCCAGGACATGCCCACTTCGCGGTGCGACAGGGGGAATACCTCGGCCGAATAGGTGTAGGGAACCGGGCCCTCGCCGGGAGAGTAAAAGGCCGAGAACAGAAAGACGAAGAGGGCGATTGCGATGAGATGGGCGGAGTTGCTCTCGGGGATGTAGAAGCAGAAGCCTGCGGCAAGCAAAGTCCATGCCATCTGCGGGAAGGTAAACAACAGAAGCGCGCGGCGGCCATAGGTGTCAATGGTGAAAACGGCTGGCAGAGCACACAAGAAGTTGACCATTCCGAAGCCCCAGGATGCCCAGAGCGCACCGCTGGTGCTGGCCCCGGCCTCTGCGAAGATGGTGGAGGAGTAGAACGACACGATGTTTATTCCACACATCTGTTGGGCGATCATGACAACGAATGAGGCCAGTGTTGCCCGTCTGTTCCGCGGGATGGTGAACAATTCGACGATCCGGGTGGCGTAGCTGCCTCTGCCAGTAGCGATCTCTTCCTCGATCTTGATCTGCGAATAGATGAAGAAGAGATCACGAGCAGCCTGCACCTCGGTATTCCGCAGACGACAAAGAGACTTGTATGCCTTGGCCATCGACCCCTTTCTGATGTACCAACGAGGTGACTCGGGACAGAAGTAAACGCCGAAGAGCAGGGGAACAGCAGGAATGAAGGCCGACCCGAACTGCAGACGCCAGGCAATCGCACCCACATTTTTGACGGCGAGATTTGCGCTGAACCCAAGAAGAATGCCGAATGCCTATTTGAAATAGAAAAAAAGATGTCAGTTCTTAAAGCCCTGGACGTGGTGGTATGATTGCTACCTACAGTCCACCTATAATTCAGAAAACCATGTTAGTTTCATCTGACCTAGATCTTCATCTTTGTGTTGAGACAGAGTAGTACTTACAATTGCCAACACATGACGAGGCCACCACGGATAGACGCAGGAGTGTTCTCAGCACAAAACATAGGCACCGTAGACGCCTTAAGTCCCATGCCAATTCCTAGAAGAAGGCGAGTGACCAAAAGCTGTTGCCAGTTCTGAGTAACAGCAGAGCCAATGGGGGATAAAACACAAAAAATGGCCGAAATGAAGATAGCTCCGCGGCGACCAAGCAGACGATTAACGGGGTCAGAGAGCCAGCATCCGATCAGAGCACTGGCCATAAATGGAGCACTAGAATAGGTTGTACCCGTTAGCCTAAGTATACGACCAGCTTGAAGGGGGAGGATGAGTTGAGGTCATACGCATTCACCAAGCCGATGATCCACTCGTTACGAGCCGCGTTTGGGTCGTCCTTTCCATCAGGAATCCCGAAAGCCTGAGGAAACGAAAGATTTGCTCCGTTTGATCCGGTCTGGTCCCATCCCCTATAGCAGGAGGTCAGTGATGAAGGTCTTTAATAGGGGGGGAGAAGATGGCAACGTACTGCACGGCAGCTCCGATAGAGCAGAGGATGATTGTAAAGTAAAGGGCAAGAGGCTGTCTCCATTTATGGAGAACCTCATTGCGAATTGCAACGGCCTCGTCTTCGGTAAGTCCAGGAACTGACTCGAAGCTGGCAGGATCCTGGGCGACAAGAGCACCCTTACGCAACTGGGGAAGAATCTCTCCCAGCTGGAATTCGGCGGCAAAGCTCTCAACCTCGTAAAGCAGCTGGGTCCGGCTAAGCTCGGCAAGAGGGTTCCTGATTCTAGAAAGAAAGAAAGAAAGGAGTCAGTATCTGTTAGGCAGGAGAGACAGTGGGGTGAAACAGAGTCACTTACTTTGCGGCGAGGTCGTTGGCGAGTTCCACGACTTCAATATTGACATCTTCTTCCTCGCCAATCCTGCACACGAGTCCATGAGCAAGAGAATCCAACCACCAAGGGTATCTAAGAGGCAGCAACAAACCTTGGATTAACGGGAAGTGAGCCCATCTGGGCCTCAGGGTGGTCCTTATCAGTCATGGAGAGACTGACTAGGGGTTGGGTGTGAGTGTGAGTGTGAGTGTGCAGAGTATGTGTACGATCGATGTGAAGCAGAACAGGGGAGAGAAAGAGAGGATTACAGCGATGAGGTGGGATAAAAAGAAGAGATGGAGGGAATCGCACAGAAATTTGGGGGGTATTTATACCCTTTCTATTTTCGGTAAAGGAGGGTGGGCTCCCTAAAGGTCTCCTCACAGGTTTTCAATCTAAACATCACTTTCTCTCACTTCTTTCTACCCAATAAGCTGCCGGTGTTTGATACTGTTAAACCTTTCACTTGGATGACTGTCTAATCTCATTGGATCCTCCTCTTCTGCAGAACTGAATGTACCAAAGCCTCTCTCTAATAGGATGAAAAACAACCCCCCTTCTTCTTTCTCTCTTCACCCCCTCTCTTTCTCTGTCCCCCAGATGGAAAGCACAAAGTGAAAGAACCGACCCGGGTTGGGTCCTTTCGTAAGCTATAGGAGGGTTGGCAACGGATCCTCCAGGGGAAAAGAGAGATTCCTGGCCAATATGGCCCCCAGAGACGAGCCCATATCAAGAACTCCTTGGGTAGGGACATTCAACGCTTCCCAGAAAAGAGCTATAATTTTGAGCTCAATGGTGTTTGGCTGCTCTACCTAAGAATCTAGGAAAGCATTCTCTGTGTGAGTGAGCCAAAGATTGGTCATTTGCTTTCGTCGTCACTGAAATCCTTGCTCACTTACCTAACCAAGTGCCGTCAGAAACTGAGAACCGAGGAAGATGGCCAAGGTAGTAGCATCCAGTCTTATCAGCAAGTTTCAAATGAATATTGCCCAAAAGCCTCGGGTTCCAAGATTATGTCACTGTCGGGGTCACCCTGCCTATTTCAGGTAACTGGCTACGACGCCTCATATTCGGTCTCTGCAGCGAAACATGGCTTACTTTAGCAACAGATCATCCGCAACACCGACGCAGAGGGAATAGATTGGGTACTTACTTTTCTAGTTCTTCAGAATGAGACCTCGAAGGATCTCTGGCAGATCTCCAAGTGGTGACGAGGGAAGACAAATCGAACACTCAAGCTCGGGGAATTAATCGTACAGGCCATTTTTCAAAACACATCATTGGAAGATGATCTCCTGAAGAGATTCTCCAAGAATAGCTTCCCCAGGGCTGCTCTCTGCCAATGGCACGGTTATGTGGAGATACGTTTTCGAACCCTCGTGTTTTCCCTCCATGCAGGCGCGAACATCTTCGTCGGCCTGAACGACATCGCGAGCAGTATCGAAGGAGTAGCGAGAGGTTTTGCAGATGCGCGATAAGGCATCCAATACCGCATATGCCGCTTCCTGGGCCCTCCTCTCTTAGCGCTTTCACGTTCCATCTCACCGATGACCATTCAAGCAATGATCTCGACTGGCAGAAGATGGCAAGCATACCAAGGATATATTTATAAGACTAGACAAGTCGGAGGTCGCTATCAGAGATGAGTACGGAAGGAGAAAGGCAAGACTCAGAGTCATGAAGAGTGGGAGAATTTATAGCAGAGCTCAGCTGGTCTATTCTGTGTCAATAAATATAAGACACTATATCATAATCGGCACTGTAAAGACTTCTAAAGAACTTCTTATACTAATTCACCAGTTCTTTCTCTAGGTCATTGAATCTTTGTTGTCAAAAGCAATAAGATATGAAATATTTTTATAATAATATTCATTATAAGTAAGGATATCTGTTATGCCTATATATATAATTTGAAGGTTTTTATATGGTTATTTCCTTTTATCCTGGGATCATCTCTTGTACCTCCTGAGAATGACAGGAAAGCTATTTGTTTTTCCCAGAGAAGATTAAATAGAATAGATATCATATTAACAAGCATATATCTATATTAAAATTACAGAATATTGTCATAAAAATTGTTTCTTCAATATAGTCTGACAACCTCGATCACCCTCCCTGAAACTCAGGCATCAATCCCAAGTAGACTTTAGTTACCTGGCCATTAGTGATATTCGAGAAATAAACTATCTCTACATTTTTCATATAAATATAATATACCAAATAATTATTATTTACAACTGATTTATGACATCACAAGTCTAGTTGCCTAAACGAGTTAGTCACTGTTGGTTAGTGAATAGTTACTTTGTACCTCCAGGACTTCCGGTTTACTAAAGAACTCAATTCACATTTAATTTCTAGATAACCAGTCACCTATTTATTTATCAAAAACCACAAATCATGCTTCGCCCTCTCCTCCGCCCTAGGTCTCTCCCCAAATCCATCAAACTACCGCCATCATGCGCCCTTTCCACCAAACCGGACATCACCCTGTACACCTGGGGCACACCGAACGGGATCAAGGCATCCATCACTCTCGAGGAACTGTCTCTACCGTATAAAGTATTCCCGATTGACATCAGCACCAACATACAGAAGGAAAAGTAATACCTTACCATAGAAATATATATATATATATATATATTTTCATTTCCTTGTTTCTGATTGAATAGATGGTTCCTCGATATCAACCCCAATGGGCGTATCCCTGCCATCACAGACGGGACACAGCGCGTCTTCGAAAGTGGCGCCATCATGCTCTATCTTACAGATCGATATGACATACGCCGAACCCTGAGTTACGAGCGTGGAACTCCAGAATCCATCGAGTTGCTTTCCTGGTTGATGTTTCAGATGGGCGGGATTGGACCTATGCAGGGTGAGCAAGAAAAAAAGATAGATTAAAATAAGGACCCTATCGATACTTTCATATTAATTAAAATGTTACAGGTCAAGCAAATCATTTCAGGGTATATGCAAATGTCCGCTCCGATTACGGGATAAAGCGGTACATCGACGAGACACGCAGGCTGTATTCGGTTCTCGACTCGAGACTGGCCAAGAGCGCATATCTGGCCGGCTCGAAATATACGATCGCGGATATTGCGAATTTCGCATGGGTCCGCAGCGGGCCAGTCGCCCTGGAGATCGGGCTTGAGGAGTGGCCCGCGCTGGCGAAATGGGTGGCGGAGATCGAAGCCCGAGACGCTGTCAAGAAGGGCGTCGTCGTGCCATATCGTGAGGGCAATTCGCCAGAGCAGGTGGCAGAGAGATTCAAGGGGTTACGGGCACGGATGGATGCTTTGGGGAACACTGATAAACATTAATGTTTCTCCTCCGTTTCGGGTGTAGAAATTGGTATATAGGAATAGTACTACCGCGTACATAGATATCTACCTGTCTATATCTCCCCCGGCCGGTAGCTTCGCCATACCTTGAAGCCCAACTGCTCATACCAGCCGTCCAGGCTGACCCAGTCAACAAACACCCCTTCGATCCCTCGGCTCTTCATGTCCATCATGGCGTGACAGAGAAGCGCTAGACCGACTCCGGCCTTTCGACACTCCTTATCTACCCCAACACATCCTATCAGGCCGGTCTGCGGGCCGCATAGTGGTGGGAACGCCCACAGTCGCTGTAGAAAAGAGGACGAGGGCGGCAGCATCAGTGTCCAGCCAACTTGTCGGCCCTCAGAGTCGAAGGCCACCATCACGTTCGAAGGATACTCGCTCGGGTTCAATTCAATGTAGGCTTCGACCCAGCCCTGAACTACTTAGTACACAATGATAGATAGATAAACTTGGAAAATAGAAAAAATAGACTCACCAGGGACGCAGAGAAATTCCGTTTCTGTGCTACCACACAATTATCGTAATGCTCAGGGAGGAGAGGACTAAATATATAGCCGCGCTCTTTGGCACGAGATATATACTTTTCGGGGGGCTGGAAATTCCTGATATCCTGATACAGGTCGACTGACCTCGCCCCAGGCGGATTGAGACGGAACCCACGGTGGATGAAGAAATCTTGTACCTGGGAAGGAAGTTCTCGTGGAATCCCTGGCCAGAATCGTGGAAAGTTGCTGGTAAGCTCAAGGGTATTGAGCTGGAATTTGTTTCGGAAGTGTGCCCGAGTCTCATTCAGCAGAGCTGTTCCGACTCCTCGTCCTTGATGGCCAGGATCCACGGCCAGGACTGCGATCCGACCAGAGATTTTCTCCTGATTGGTATTGGTATAAGCAACGCAGAACCCTACCATGGTAGATCCAACCCGGGCTACAGAGTGGTGTCCATTGGCGCGATCTAGGAAACAGCGTAAGCTGCTTGCTGGCAGAGGGTAGGTGGGCAAAGCAGTCTTCCATACAGCAGCCAGCTCATCAATATCACGGGAAGCATCAAATGGTGTAACGGCTATGGAAGAATGAGCTTTTGCCTGGCCAATTGGCAATGCTCCATTGGCGGTTGCGAGCCCAAACATGATTTTGGTTGCCTGAGTAAACGCTTCAATGGTCGGTTCGTACGTGGTGATGTACGTAGTCATTTCCAGGGCCTCCAGGAAATCATATGGAGCGCAGCCCGCAATTGTGACGAGCGATCGAGCCCGGCTGGAAAGCTCACGGCCCAAGGCCATTTGATATGGGGATTCTCGCGCATTAAAAGAGACAAAGATGACCACTTTCGCCGAGTCTACAAGGCTCCACTGCTCAGCTGTCAATCCAGAATTCCCAAAGCGGATTTCCTTGACAAGAGGATTGTGAAGTCGAAGAACGTCACTGAACTCTGTAGCTTTATAGGACCCTTGACTTCGGATCCCCTCGCCATCAACTGCTCCGCCAGCAGGGGTTTTCGCTCCAGGAAAAAGGAATACAATGGGCAAGTCTTTCGGCAGAGGCAAAACCCCAGGTTTCTGGCGAACTAGCGTCACAGACCGCGAGTATGCCACTTCTGAAATTGCAGTTGTCTGTGATCTCAGAGCAGTAAGACTGGCGAGGTCCTCCCTGTGCAATGCACTTTCCCAGCTCAAGAAGCTGCTCTTCAGCCTATTGATGCGCCGGAGGGCGTCTTCTAGACGTGACTGCGGAACAATACCGGATTGTATCGCCTCGCAGACCTTGTTGATTGAGGCAACCTGGACATCAAAGGTATGACATACCATGATACTGTCGCTACCTGCGCTGAATGCGAGAACTGATCCCTGCTCGGTGCCGTACGTCGCCCGAATGCCATCCATCTCAAGGCAGTCGGTGATGATCATGCCATCATACTTCATATCCTTTCGGAGAATATTCATGGCGTCCACTGAAAGTGTGGCCGGATATTTTCCATCTCCAATAGCCGGCAAGGCAATATGAGCAGTCATCACAGCCTCAATTCCTTCGGCCACGGCCCTGCGAAAGGGAATCAATTCACACCGCTCAAGTTGGTCTCGTGTCTTGGGAATAACTGGGAGTCCATAATGAGAGTCTACAGCAGTGTCTCCGTGGCCCGGAAAGTGTTTAACGCTGGGGATGACCTTGTGTTCCCGGAGTCCTCTGGAGGTAGCGCTCGCGAATCGACCAACGAGTTCGGGATCATCACCGGCACTACGGACGCCTATAACTGGATTTAGAGGCTCCGAATTGACGTCACAAACAGGCGCATAATTCATATTGATCCCGAAGAAGTTCAATATCCGACCGGTTGCTTTTCCCACATCATAAGCGAGATCCGGGGAATGAGTAGCTCCGAGCGCCATCTGCCCTGGAAGCTGGGGAGCGATCGGGGGGGTTATTCTCGTAACCAGTCCATTCTCCTGGTCGATTCCAATAAAGAGAGGATGCTCATGTCCGGCATCTTTTGCCTCTTGTTGCAGGGCCAGTGTGAGAGCCTAGTCAGAGAAAACAGTCAGTCAAAGTACGAGCACCGATCCACAAGACAGTACCTGAAGCTGCTCTGCATCACGTATATTGCGCCTGAAAAGAATAACGCCTCCTACTCCATACTCCCGGATCAGAGTCTTGATTTCCACACTTGGTGTAAGACCGTGGAAACCGACAGCAAAAAGCTAAAGACAGAAATACAGTTAGTCGCGTCCGAGTCAAAAACGTCAGCTTCATCGGCATCCTACCTGCCCCACTTGCTTCTTCAAGTCTGAGTCCTGCATTTGTTGCATTGCGTTGCTGTTTGCCCTCCTCCAAATCTTCTTCGAGTCCTTTGTTGTCGAGAGGAAAGAAACGCCGTCGTCGAATTTACCCCCCACAGCAACCACGTGAGGCGGGGGCTTCCTGTTTGGGATGAGCACGGCGATCCGCCAGACAGCTTCAGGTAGGAGTGGCAGATCAAAGGCTATCGAAGCCACCTTACATTCTGAATAGACGGATTCAGGAAAATCTTATCGGCTTGAGTTTTGCTATCCGTTACACCACATCTAGCTGCTACATCTGAATGTGTTGCGGGGTAGGAGGTAAGGGATGGAATAGGTTCTACCTTGCGATATCGATAGCTAGATCAGAGAGACTATTCTAACATGCAGGTTTCTTCGAGCGATTTAGGATCAGAGATCGACTATACAGTGTACCAAGAAGTTATTCTGTATCTGTCGCTAGGCGACGATGTCGGATCTCAACCTGATCACTCCTCAAGATGAGCCGACAGCAATTCAGGCTGCAGATACGAACCTCCCGGATTCCAAGTATAGGCAGATCAGGTCGAATGTAGAAGAAGTCGAGCGTCTGGTCGGGGCTGATGGGGATTCCTATGAGCAACCAACGACGACACGAAAGGAGCTGTGGGCATACTACCTGTATTACAATGGCAAGAACGCTCTTCCAGCTACTATCTTATGGCTCTCTAGGAGTGATAATATTGCATTTGCCATCGCTGACTGTCGCTGTTTAATCTAGGTGATAATGGAGTGGGCCCTGGATCTTACAGTCAAGCTCTGTATGTGATAACTAGCAGGAGCAGCATACATGAAGACTTGGTTGCTAACCTGTGGCTTTGACCATCGGGATAGATTCCAATGGGCATTGAATGGAGCTGGTTGGCAACCAGGGACAAACCCTCGGCAGGCATGCACCGATTCATCGCCCTGTGTTGTTTCTTGGGCAGGGGGGGAACGATCTATATCATCTGTTGTTCTCATTGCAAATGGGCTCTGCTTTACTTTCATGACTGTGATCTTCGTCTGGCTAGGGAGTGCTGCTGACTATGGCTCATTCGGACGCTGGCTCCTTCTGGTGCTAACAGTCCTTTGTTGGGCCTTGCAGTACGGCATGATGGCCATTCGAGATCCAAGTCAGTGGCCCGCGGCAATGGGCATGTACGTCGTGGCTTATATCGCTTACGGGGCTACATTGGTGTTCTATGCTGCTGTTTTTCCTCGGCTGGCCCGCTTCATGCCTCATGTTCGAAAAGCACGCGAGGAGGATCTGAAGGAAGAAAAAATCACTCAAAATGAGTACGATGCCATCGAATCTTTGGAAAGAAATCATATCAGGCAAGTGGTAACTATTTGAGCCCGTAGAGATTGATTACACTAATCCGAGTCTTGACAGCAACATTTCCACTGCTCATAGTAACATCGGATATTTCATGACACTGGTCCTGAATTTGAGTGTCCTTATTCCTCTCGAGAGCAAAGAATTCTCTAACAATCTGGCTCTCTGCCTTACGAACTCATGTCAGAAGATTCCTCTGTCTCTGCTTTGAAATTGTCTGTCTGACTTTCCCCATAGATTGGGTGATTTTGGGCATCTGGTGGTTCATTTTTCAGCAAAAGCGACCAGGCCCGAAGATCCCCAAAGGCTCCAATTATGCAACGATTGGCTTCAAGCAGATTTGGCTTGCTATTCATGAGATTCGAGCACTGCCACAGACATTTCTATACTTTATTGCATATTTCCTTCTAGCTGATGGTCTCAACACGACAGGTGAGCGAGCCCCCCCGATGACGAGGACTTGATCCCATACTAATTGATTGATGTAGGAACATTGGTTTCAATCATCCAGAACGACTTCGTGTCTTTCTCCTTCTTGCAACTCACATACCTTGGGATTACACAGGCAGTGTGCTCTATTGCCTCAACCTTCGGGTTCTGGTACATCCAACGTTACTTCAAATTCGAAACAAAAACAATGTTCCTAGTGACGAACTTCTTCAGCGTCTTCATTCCATTTTGGGGGATGGTAGGATTATGGACCAACAAAATTGGTTATCATCACTCAGTAAGTATTTGCACTGCGCGCACCATCAGCACGTCTAGAATCTTGACTGCGAATAATAGTGGGAGTTTTACTTCTACAACGTCATGTTCGGGCTTTTCCAAGCACCGTACTACGCGGTAAGTCAAGTATCACAAAGGCCCCGATAGACCAGCAAGCTGATTGATTAATATGCAGTACGCTCAAACCATGATCAGCGAGCTCATGCCGCAAGGATATGACAACATGTTCTTCGCTCTCTTTGGTATCACTAACAGGGCTGTGAGTAATCACTCAAAAAAAGGAAACTCAGACTCTTTTGACCATTTACCCCCCCTATAACAACAGTCTTCGATTATCGGCCCTAATGTCGTACAAGCCATCATCAACGATACCCAAAACAACTGGATGGGATTCCCCTTCCTTTTTGCCATCTGCACGGGGGCCATGGTCGCCATCTGCTTTATAGATATCGATAAAGGCCGCGAGGACTGTCGGAAGTTCTCTGAGGAGCGAAAGCTAGCTCGAGTAGCTGCAGAAAGCGGGCCTATCAAGGGTGCAGTCGACGGCGTCATATCCGGTGACAGCACAGCAGCGGGAAGGCATCAAGCTACTTCTACCTGAATCACGGTTTGTTGTTTCAAAAGGCGTCTTCTAATATTCTATGACTACTTTCGAACCCTACGTTGAGTATCTCTTTCCAATATAACTAAATGATAATAGATAAGAGTGCTTTTATTCGGTGTTGCTCTGCTATCTGTAAATGTATCTATGTAGGTATATAAATTATTATAATTGACTAGATATTTTAGAGCCCCTTCTTCCTAAGCTGGCAACAGATTCAATACGATGAATCCCGGCCGTTCTTTATCGATTTTCGACGAGTCAAACTTTGACCGGATAGCGTAGACGGATCCTCTCGCCGTAGAGATACAACGCGATCAAAGCCGGCGAGAAGGCCAAGGTCAAGAAGGCCAGCAGGGAGTTGCCCCAGCCGTAGTTCAGGGAAGCATACATGCTTTCAGCAGCGAGGGGGAGCAGCGCCCCGCCGACGGAGCGGAGGACAGTGTTGGCGGCCACGGCGCTAGCGGCGTAGACGGTGAAGGCGTCGACCAAGTATCCCATGACGGGCATGAAGAAGAGCATGTTGCCGAGGCCGACCAAGGCAGAACCCACGATGGGGGCAATCCAGAGAGTCTTGGCCTGGGCAGTCCAGCCGTACCAGAATAAGCCTCCGGCGATCAGGGGGCCGGCAACGAGGAAGTACGGGAAGAGTCGGTCCTCCGGCTTGAGCTTGCCCTGTGCAGCGCGGCGGCTGACGTACCGATCACTTGTCATGCTGAAGATAAAGAGACCAGCGGTGTTGCCAACAGCGAGGCCGATGTAGGTGAGGCCTGAAATGCCGATGGAAAACCCGTACTGGGCCTCGAATACGAGTGGGAAGGTCGTTAGAAGCAGGTACAGGATGCCGTAGATAAATGCAGCTGTGATTGAGAGCAGAATACTAATCGGGGACAGTAAGGTGAGCTTCGCAGGGCGAATGATGGCTCGTATGAGGATTTCCCTCGCCGGAATGCCGCTGTCGAGTTTGGACCGGAGCTGCAGGTTGCCTGTTGACTTCTGCAGTCTCTTAGTCTTCCGAGCGAGAAGGGTCACGGCATATGTCTCCTTCATGAAAGCTATTTGTGCCACTGTTATTGCTCCGCTCTAGGGGAGAGGGTCGAATGTCAGTTGGCCACGCTATTGGTTACAAGAAGATTCGTATGCTTACCATGATGGTCAACAGCCAGAATATCCACCTCCATCCTTTTGCTTCCGCAAGAAAGCCGCCTACAACGGGGCCTATACCTGGGCCAACGATGGGGCCAAGAGCGTAGAATGACAAGGCTAAACCTCTCTGGTGGATCGGGAATAGGTCCGCGATGGTGCCTGCGCCAATAGCCAGAGGCGAGGACCCTGCACAACCAGCCAGAAACCTCCATACGATCAGCATGCTCATGTCGCTTGAAACAGCGCAGGCGATCGTCATCACGGTGTAAAAAATGTTGGACACGGTGTATATGACCCAACGGCCGTACACTTCACTGAGCGGGGCCAGTAAGAGAGGCCCAAAGGCCAGGCCGAGAATATAGATCGAGACCACGAGCTCCTCGAGCATTGTGTTCGAGACGTGGAACTCTTCCGTGACCTGCGTGACACCAGGCGCAAACATCGAAGAGGCCAGGGGCCTATGGATTGATATAGGTCAGAGACGGCGAAAAGAGAAATACTGCAAGCCAGCCCAGCACATACACAATAAAAGTGATGAGCGAGACAATCCCCGTCATCGTCCACTTCATAGTCGCACTCCAGTTCATGGGATTAGCAGGGTCCTCGTCACCTTCCCAGCCGACAATGTTCGGATCGTGCAGTTCTGCCGTTTGTTCCTCCTCGTCTGTCTGCTGGGCGTCAGTTCCCACCTCGAGATCCTTGTCGCTACCTCCATCCCGAACGGAGGAAACCCTTCTCTCAGAAAAGGCTTTCTCTTCTTCTATTGCGTGCTCCTCTCCCGCGATTTCCAACTGGTGTGTATTTCTAGAGAGGTCAGTTTCGCCGCGATAAAGAAAGAAGCAGGGCGGAAAGTGTTCAATAAAGAGGATAAGGCCAGAAAGTCCACTGGGCACTCACTGGATCTCGCCGCCTTCTTCAAACTCGAGGCTCTGGGTTAATGAAAAGGAATTCATGTTTCTCAACGCGCATCTAAAACTCTCGCCTTGGGGAGTTCAACAACCCACGCTCGGCCTCTGGCAACAGCCCCCAGAAGTCGCCTCCAGTCCATATTATAAACAAGGCATCCATAGTGCATCTAAAAACCTATGCAAGGATTAATAATAGAGTCCAGGATCGATTCGCAATTGACTCAACTCCGCAGCCCCCGCTGCAATAGAAGCAGCCCCCAGCCTCGACTAGCTGGGGGACTCGGCGATCCCACGAATCAATTGGGCCATTCTCCTGCGTGACCGGCAAACCGGCACCTCTAGAAGGATTTTGTCAAATTCTACAAAGCAACTTTGTGATAAGGTGTGTCGACAGAGCACAGACAGTAATGAACAGTGATTTGGGTATTAGTTGGTTGGTTGGTGGTTGGTGTTAAGAAGAGGTGGTTTAGGCTACTGCCTACTACTGCCGAGAGGGGGGAGGGGCCTTTTTCCCCTCCTCCATGAGACTGGCTGGCTTGGACCAGTTTACTAATGAGCCTTATGAAAGATGGAGTACTTTTTTGATTAACTAGATAAGCGGAATATGCTGACCCTTCCAGGTACAGATGCAAGGGAAATCAAAACGGACGTGACAGTCATTCAAACGCTCCCTCGGCTCAAATCTGCTTCACGCCTTTTCGTCGACGGCGACTGCTTGAGACTGTGCTTGTTTTTGCGTCTCTTGGGCGTCTCGCGTAGCCTGCTGGTGGCTATTACGTTCGTCTACGCGCTGTCGCCATTGGGACCCGAAGACGGTGGTCAGCCAGACGGTAAAGCCCGAGAAGGCCAGGAAGAGAGCGCTGATGGTGCTGAACCATCCAACACCGATGCTGTCGATCGCAGGGAGGACGAGGCCGGAGCCCAGGGCGGCAAAGATGTACCGGAACATGTAGTTGCCGGCGATCACCTCTGCGCTGCGGCCTTTGGATTGCATGACATCCAAGCAGTATGTGTTGAGACTGGGGAAGCAGAAGAGCTGGGAGACCCCCTGTAAGAACATGGCTATCACCGGCACAGCGATGCCGCCCACCGCCTTATCTACCGTCCAGCCATATACCAGGATGCAGAAGCAGATGACGAAGATGAAGGCTATGCAGGACTTGAGTCGATCCTCTGGCACTCGGACGCCGTTGCGTTTGCGGATCCACTTCTTGACGACGTGGTCCGCCCAGCGGCCGCCGACGAAGGTTCCTGCGAGATAGCCGCAGCCGGGGGCGATGTAGAACAAGGCAGACTGGATCGGGGTGGTCAAGTGGAATCTCGGGTTCAATACATATCGGATGGGGGTCAGGAGGGAATACTGGTTCCAGACAAGAGCGCCTGCCGCCACTCCTGCGAAAAGCAGATTGGGGTACGAGAAGAGCAGGATCCCCACGCGGAAGGGAGACACGCGATGCCAGAGAATCTTCGTTTTCTCGGCAATGGTGTGGTCCGCCAGCTCGCCGTTGGTCTTGTACGGAATTGTTTCGGGGAAGAGAAAGAAAACCAACAAGGTTGCAACGCCACCAAGGGCAGTCTGCAGCCAGAAAACCGTTCTCCAGGAGCTGTATGTGACAATTACGCCCTTGATCAAACGTTAGCAAAGGCAATAGGACTCTCTCTTTGGTGCAGATTGGCATTCATACAGCGATTACTGGCCCGAATGCAGGCCCGAGCAAAGTCCCGGACAAGAAAAACCCCAGGGCGGTTGCACGAGCACGAGGCTCGTATACGTCGCCAATAGCCGAGCTACCCACGACGAGGAAGCATGTCCCTTGGCAAGCACTGAGTATACGAAAGACAAAGTATGCCCCAAGATTAGGGGCCAGTGCAGTACCAATGCTAAAGACGAAGAAAAGAAAGGCGCATGTGAGGAATATCTAGGGCTTTTGTTAGCGATATTTTTGGGCAGCCATGAAGAAGAAGAAGAGAGATCCCTCGTAACGTACCGGACGACGCCCCCAGACCTGACTGAACGGGCCCCAGAATGGCGCAGCAATGCCCATGAAGGCCAGATACAGCGCATTGCTGGCGTTGATGATACTTCCCGTCGTGTTGTATGTTGCTGCTACTTCCGGGACCGCCGATAGGATTGAAGTCGAGCCAATCGGGGCCAGGAAGGAGCAGAAAGAGAGAGAAAAGACGATGACCCTCTTGCGTGCTGGCGAGAAGCGAAGGTATTGCTCGGTATCGGTTTCGTTGTACGACGTCGTCGTGGCCGCCATGTCCTGGTGCGACATATGACTCGGGATAATATCAAGATCCCCGGTTGCTGCAACAGGTGCTTGTCCGGTTTTGATCTTCTCCATCTGCGTCCCACCGGCTTCTTCCAGGTCCAATGAGGGCCTCGTGCGTTCTCCTTCTGATGACATATTGCAGTGTGTTTTGTTCGGTTGATCGGCTCAAACAACGACAGTAGAGAACATGTCCGATGGTGAATTCAATCCAACAGACACTCTTCAAAACAATTTGAGGGTGTGAACACTATTTGGAGAATATCTTGCATGGAATTTCTTTTCGAGACTTCAATCCAACTATCTAGTGAGCAATTGGTTTGACGAGTAGTTGACAGGCAAGGTTCCAATTAAGTATGGACAATCTCTCTCAAAAGACCGGTGATGGAGCTCTGCAGCAAACCCAATCCAACGACCATGGAAAAGACGGTCTCGAACAGATGGGTGTGAGTCAGAAAATGAAACTACCAATTACAGATATGGTGAAGACGAACAGGATTGGAAGAAGCCGATCAATTTCTATTTCTACTCAGTGCGGACGGAATAACCCCGATCAGTTTATCTCGAATGGCCCCCACCGAGGAAGATACGACCAGGAAAAGCACAGAGAAGGGCCGGTATCTGCGTCTTGGATACCCAATGACACTAATATGCCTTACTGCATATGGATGGTTTCGAACGTTCAGAGATAATACGGGCGACATGGCATCGGACTTGGGCTGCCGGTTTCGTCTTTTCCGGGATATGCTGCGGATTCTTATCCGAATAACTTCGGACTCATATCCAACTTGCTAACAGCCGGTCCAGACGGTAGAAAACTTGGGCTCGGACAACTCATACGGTGTGGTTAGTGGCTGCTAGCTGCATACCAGAGTGCTCGGGAAATATATATGGAGGATTATACTGCCTGGTTGATGGATATCGTGAGGATCGGTTCGGTTTCTGTAGCGGTCGGCTTTCGCATAAGACACCGAGAGAATGACCGATGCATCGACTAGAGTAGTCTACCTATTCGACAATAATATTATTGAACACAATCATAGCTGGTAGATGGAATATAATTGTTGAAGGGGTAAATCCGTTCGTCCCTGGGCGAAGCCGTCAGTGGCGCAAAAGAGACATCCATGCATTCACACTGGATGCCGAAGCGAGTTTGCCACAACTATTCGGTCCGATCAACGCTTTATAGTACTCCGTGGTTATTGTGAAAGTGAGATGTCGTAATCCATCTTGATTCAAATCGCTAGGCAAACGGCTCGGTACTATTGATCACACGAGTCAGCTCAACGTCGAAATATGCCCATTGTTTACCTTGAACAGTAGTAGTGTAGAAGTCTACAGGCTCAGTCAGCCTCAACCTCAATAGAAATTTTCAAATTAGAGACTCAATCCAGTCCGTGTACATCGTCGAACACTGTGTAGTAACCAACAGCTCTGATCGTCGTTGCGGGGCTGGTGGATGACGTCGTGTGCTCGTCCAACCTCCAGGGACAGAATTTCTTCCTCCTGATCCGCCAGCAAACAGACTCTCTCCCCACTGCACGATCGTGTTTCAAGTTCTCTGTTCTGATCCTCAATCCTTCTAGACCGTTTCTCTTATTTCCCCCCCTTTTTTCCACCCGTTTCGATCGATTGCAGTATTTCTTGGTTGTTCACTGGTCCCGATTTCGCGGAAAGGACAGAATGTCTTCCAAGGATCCACACAGTCAGATTCCGGCCAGCAGCAGGGGTTCGTGGTCAAGCTTCCTGAAGGTAAGCAAATTGATTACTTCTGAATCCGAGATCGAGCTAATTTTATTTACTCCGTAGTCTATCGCTTCCTTCAACGGTGATCTGTCCTCGCTGACCGCTCCGCCCTTTATCTTGTCCTCGACTTCGCTGGTCGAGTACTCTGCCTACTGGGCTGAGCAGCCGGCCTTGTTTGTTGCACCCGCCAAGGAGTCGGACCCGGAGAAGAGGGCCTTGCTGGTTCTAAAATGGTTCCTCAGCACCCTCCACCAGCAGTACTGCAGTCGGAGCGAGAAGCTGGGCAGCGAGAAGAAGCCATTGAACCCGTTTCTCGGGGAGCTCTTCATTGGCAAGTGGGATGAGGACGAGGAGGTTGGCGAGACTTCGTTGATCAGTGAACAAGTCAGGTGGGTGTCGCGTTGGGGAGGTGGTAGATTAGCACGTTCTGCTCTGACACTGACGGGTATTCCAGCCACCATCCACCTGCGACTGCATATGCAATCCGGAATGAAAAGCACGGGATCGAGGTGAGAACCCCCCCCCCTTTTTTTTTTTTTTGTCGCACTGTCTTGGCTCAGCTGGTTAATTTGTGTTTTCTGTCGACAGCTTCAAGGCTACAATGCCCAAAAGGCGTCGTTCTCGAGTACCATTCAGGTGAAGCAGCTCGGACATGCACTGCTGACCCTGACTCCTCCCGGTGCGGACAAGAACGATCATTCCCAGAAGGAAAAGTACTTCATCACGCTACCCAGCCTTCACATCGAGTCTCTTATCTACGGTACTCCGTTCGTTGAGTTGGAAAAGACCACCCGTATTGCCAGTACTACGGGCTATATCGCCAAGATCGATTACTCGGGCAAGGGCTGGCTGAGTGGCAAGAAGAACACTTTCAGCGCCATCTTGTACAAGGAGAGCGAGGGTGAAAAGAGACCTCTGTACACCATCGACGGCCAGTGGTCGGATACCTTTGTGATCAAGAACGCCCGGACCAAGAGCGAGGTAGAGAAATTTGTGGTGGGGGAGAACAAGATCACGCCTCTGAAGCTGGCGGCCCTCGAGGACCAAGACATCTACGAGAGTCGTCGGGCCTGGAAGGACGTGGCGGCCGGCATTGAGAACGGCGACATGGACGCGGTCTCTATCGCCAAGTCGAAGATCGAAAACGCCCAGCGCGAGCTGCGCAGGATCGAAAAGGCAGAGAACCGGGAATGGGAGCGCCGTTTCTTCAAGCGCATCAATGAGGTTCAGGATACCGATCTCATGCAGCTCACGAGAATGCTGGATCTCATCGGCTCCTTGGAGAGCGACAAGACCGGTGGCGTCTGGCGGTTCGATCACGAGCGAGCAGCTGGTGCCGCACCGCCCTACCACGAGGACGGCGGCAGGGGTCTTGGTCTCCATGAGTAGCGGGGATAAGAATAGGAGTAGGAGTGGATGGGGGCCTACGTTCCCTCCCGTGCACAGGATGATTTGGAGTTTTGAATATATCTTGCTTGATTCCGACGTTTGTCCATGCGATATTCACTGAGGGCTCGGGCCTTGTCTCATAGACTCGATTCCCCCCTCCTCTCAGTAGCTTCGGTTTTTTTGTTCCACATTGGTGTATATATAACATGAGATATAAGGATCTTCCATCAATCAACTTAGTCTCGTTTCTTTTCGACACTTCAAGATCAAGCATGATATCATTTTTGGTGGTATATTCACGACGACTCTGATATATAGTCCATCTACTACATATATATATAACCCGACAGTACAGACAGTTACGTATACATCTCTTGACACCGTAGCCTTGACACCGTAGCCCGGAAATACATTGATCTACATTTTTCGGCGCTATTTCTAACCATTGGTCAGTGAGAAAAAAAAATTGGTAGTTTTCTAAATTGGCACATCGAGTGTTTCAAACGTCGAAATCGGCTGATCCTTATACACTTCTAATAGAATCTGTGTGATAATGCCAAAAGTGGAGGTCTCTTCAACAACGGCCCGGGTGGTCTAGTGGTATGATTCTCGCTTAGGGTCCACCCTACAGCATAGCATGCGAGAGGTCCCGCGTTCGATCCGCGGCTCGGGCCATTTCTTTTTTTTTTTTCCCTTTCTTTTTCCTTAACACACCCAAACACCAGCCAGCCAGCCTTACTTAAATTAACCAGGCACCTGACCTGACCTGACAACTTCCTTCTTCCCTTCCTCAGTCAGCCCCTTGGATTCTCCAACATTCATTCATCCCTGCTCATCTATCCCATCTACCCCTGCCAGTTATCCATCCATATAGCTGGAGATACCGAATATTTTACATACCCTGCCTTCACTAGTTCACGTCTTGCCCCACCTCAGCCTACTACTATTACTCCTACAGCCCTGCTGCTACCTTCCTACTAGTTAGTTACTACCCTGCCCTGTATGTACTCCATACCCCATGCTACATCGACGGGTTTAACCTCTCTCCGTCAGTATAATTGGAAAAAGTCCGTGCCATCGACGTCATGGTTGACGGAGGGGACTACAGAATCGGAATCCTGCTTTGGAGCAATCGACCCTCTTCAACACGAGTTGGCTGCCGAGGAGGTTATTTCGTCACCCCCCACGCTTACGGGGGGAAGGAAGAGGTCCGTACAGAGAATTTTTTTTCTGATTGAAACGCACCCTGACACTGGATTAGACCTACTTGGCGAACTGAGACATAAAGCCAAGGGTCGATAAAGCAAGAGATGTTTGATATAAGCGATTATTCCTTGTTCTGCCTCCTCACCTGGCAACCCCTCATAGGCATGCATAGCTCTTGTATAGAGTACTGCGTAAGCATGTACCCGACCCCCCCCGCGCGGGGGTCCCGTGGGGAAAGATCTACTGTGGATATTACCAAACCGGGGGAACTCATGCCTGCCATTGAGTGGTCTGATGGAATCATTCTGCCGGGAAGTGTATGAAGCAACATGAGTTTCTGCTTTTAAGCAGGGTTCTGCATTCGTTCGTGAGAACCGGGGATCCCACACTTGCAGTGAGTGCGGAGACTTTCCCTTTTCTGCCGCCGTGGGGTAGCATACCACCATGTGTCTGGGAGTCAAGGAGTGAGTGAGAGATAAAGAGCGGCCAGGAGAGGAACACGATGGAGGAAGATCCGATTCCTCGACCGGTTGGGTGTGTGAAAGTACTTAACAAGCCCCGGCGCCGCGTTCGGTTTGCCTTGATCCTGCTGACTCGCGTGTAAAGATAGATCTCTTTCTGCTGCCCTTTTTTTTCCCCCGCCTGTGTTGGTCCTGTTATTCTCCTTCATTGCAGTGTATTACAAACAAGCAATATGCCTGGCTCGCATATGAAATTTGGAGACCACAAATGGGTCTATATTTTCGGCATGATATCGGCCCTGGGGGCACTGGTGTTTGGCTACGACAACACCTACTATAGTGGCATCCTGGACATGCAGGAGTACAAGAACCACTATGGGAACCATTATGATTCCGACGGCAAGAAGGCGCTGGCCACCTCATTCACCTCGCTGACCACCTCCTCCATCTACATTGGCGATCTGCTCGGCGCCTTGCTGGCCGCCCCCGTCAACGAGCGATGGGGCCGCAAGAAGACGTTTTTGCTGGCCGCCTGCTGCGTCATGGCCGGTGGACTGGCCCAGGTGGCCGACACCCACTACGAGGCCGTGATTGTCATCGGCCGTATCTTGATCGGTCTAGGCATCGGTCAGTTCACAGTGACCTCGCTGCTGTACATAGGCGAGATTGCCCCGGTGTCCATCCGTGGGCCCGTGCTGCTCATGTACCAATTTCTACAGTCCATCTCCCAGTTGGTGGCGTCGGGCATCACCCAGGGCACTGAGGGGGTGAAATCGACGCTGTCGTACAAGCTGCCCATGGGTGGCCTCCTCATCCTGCCGCTGATCATCCTCCTCTTCCTCCCCTTTGTGCCCGAGAGCCCCGTGTGGTACGTGCGCAAGGGCCGCCGTGAAGCTGCGGCCAAGTCGCTGGCGCGCATCCACCAGAACAAGGACGGGTACGACCCGACGGACGACCTGAACGTGCTGGAGGCGGCCAACCGGTTCGAGGAGGAGCAGCAGCAGGCGTCGTCGTGGTCAGCGCTGCTGTTCGACCCCGTGGAGCGCCGCAAGCTGATCTGGTCGTCCGGCGGCATGTTCGCCCAGCAGATCTGCGGCATCATTTTCTTCTACAACTACGGCGTCGTCTTCGCCGCCGACATCGGCATGAGCGACCCTTACCTGGTCACCCTCATCACCAACATCCTGCAGGTCTTCGCCGTGGCCGCCTCGGTGCTGACGGGCAACAAGATCCGCCGCCGCACCAACCTGCTGGTGACCACGCTCACAATCCAGGTCGCCTTCCTGGTTATCGGCGGCATCGGAACCCAGGGCACCATCTCCCAAGGGTCCAAGTACGTCATCGTCGTTTTCTCCTACGTCGTCATCGTCGCCTACAACTTCGGTCTGGGGCCCCTGACCTACATGACCGGTCGCGAGTACGCCGTGGGCGTCAACCAGAACAAGATCATGTCCGTCTCCGTCGTCGTCCTCTACTTCAGCGTCTGGGCCGTCTCCTTCACCGCCCCGTACCTCTACACCACCGCCGGGCTGGGCCCCATGCTCGGCTTCGTCTACGCAGGCACCTCTTTCTTCTCCCTTGCCTGGGTCTGGTTCTGCGTCGCGGAGACAAAGGACCGCACCCGCGTCGAGATCGCACAGTTCTTCACAGACGGCATCCCGGCTCGCAAATGGCGCACCCATGTCTTCACCGATCTTCCGGGCTATGTGGCTACCGACAAGGCCGGCCTCGAAGCTGAAGATATTCAAATCGAGGATGTCAAGGCGTAACTTGTGATCACTCTCTACTTAATACATACCTACCTACTACTACCTACATATACATATTATATTTATATATACCCTTTTTACCAGATGGAAGTCTCTCTCCATGAGATGACCATGTAGATCAATAGTCTCAACTCGTACGGTGTAACTTCCTACAGCAGAACTGAATGAACAGGTTGCCTCTCCTTCCAGGCTTGAAATGGATTGATTGATGCCAATACAAACAAACGCCTTTCCCGAATTTCCCGATTCTTTCTTTTTTAACTGATGATGATGAAAAAAAAAGAAAGAACACGTTTCCCTACCGCCCCATTTCATGCTAAAAGATAAAAAAAAACACTGGATAATTTTTTTGTAACCCCTTTCCTTCCCTGCCTTCTTTCTCCCTTTTCTTTTCCCTCTTTTTTCTTGCCCTTACTTACTTTCTAGTCTCGGTCGAAACTGTCGTCGTTTTCGTTCGGTCATTTTCTTCTTCGATCAGAGGGGGGGGAGGAAAAAAAAGACGAAACGAGATTGACATGACATGGTACAGAGAAAGTTTGGAATGTGCAATAAGAGGAGGAAACAAAAAAAAAAAAAAAATAAGAAGCAAGGAGTAAGGAAAAGAGAGAAGGTAAAGGAACCGAGGAGGAGAAAGAGAAGGCAACACCGGAGAAGATGGAGATTGAAAAGAGAAAAAAAAAAAAGAGAAGAAAACAGAGATTTGTGGCAGGCCGTTTCCCCTTCACATAATCATAACTTTGACGAAAAAAGCAAGAAAGTCCAGAAAAGAAGAGCCAGCCAAGCTCCCATAGAGTAGAGATTACACATTCGAGACATTAAAAAAAGAAGAGGGAGAGAGAGAGAGAGAGAGAGAGATGGAGAAGATAAAACCACGTTTCCCATGTTAACAGACACATACACTTTATCTTCCATGAGGCATATCAAAAAGAAAACCGGGGCACTTTTTCCGTTTCTTTTTTTTCTTTTTTCATGATTTTTTCTTAATGTCCATAGTTGCCTCCCCATCCTCCGCGGCCAGAGTTCCCGTAGTAGTTCCCAAAGCCGGCAGCGCCTCCGTAGTTACCATAGCCGGATCCCTGATGAGTGGCGGCGCCCTGGTGTCCTCCCAGTCCTCCCAGACCGGTGCTGTACTGCGGGTTCAGATGGGGGTAACCGCCAAAGCCCTGCTGGCCCTGCTGGCCCTGGAGGGGGGGCAGGACGGTCTGCGACTGGGGCTGGCCGGGAGCGTTGTTGGCGGCCGAGGCGGGACGGTTTGCCTGGGCCAGGGACGGGCTGGGCCCGCCGGCCTTGGGGGTTTCAAACGACTTGGCAGCCTCCTCGGTGGTCACCGGCTGCTGCTGGGCCATCTGCTGGTTCTGGCTGAAGCCGCCGGCTTGGGGGCGACCGAAGACGTCCGACATGCCGGTGCCGAAGGCGGTGGTGCCCGCGGCGGACTGCTGGCTCTCCGAAGGCTGCGCGGAGCCGGTACGGGCGTACACCGAATCCCGGCCGGGAGTACCCTGGTTGAAGGAGCCGGCGGTGGCCGGGGAGGAAGAATGCTCGTAGGAGAAGCCAGCATGCTGCGGCTGGCCGTACATGCCACCCTTGCCGCCATAAGGTCCGTACTGGCTTCCGTAGCCGTACTGGTTGCTGTGGGGCTGCATGTAGTGGTCGTCGTAGCGGCGAGCGTCGTCATACATCGGGCGGTTGCGGCCGTACTGATGCTGGGTCATCTGGCTCATGTAGGAGGCGTAGTGAGGGTTCGAGTAGTAGGGGTACCCATAGCCGTACCCGCCGTGGGCTGCGGCGGCGGCGGCCTGGGCGCCGGGCAGGTGCTGGGCAGACGGGGTCTGCGTGGCACCGGGGAGAGTGGGGTTGGGGGTATTGTGGCCGCTGTTGGGGGTGTCAACGTGGCCATAGCGAGTGGGAGGTTGGGTGGTGGGAACGTGAGGCTGCACTTCGGCTCCCGAGACACCGAAGCCCGTGGCGGCTCGCTGAGCCGCGGTGGCATCTTGGGACTGGCCGTACGAGCCGTAGTAGGTGTAGGGCAGACCGCGCTGTTGGTCCGCATAGAAGGGTGAGTATTCGCTGCCGGAGGTCACGGTAGGCTGGGTGGGGGCCTGGTTGGCAAAGGGTTCCTGGATCGGAACCTGCGGCTGAGAGACCTGCTGGGTGAAAGGGTCGTAGGGTTTCTGGGTGTCGGTGTAACGGGGGAAATCGTTGAAGGACTCGGCGGCGGAGGCCTGAGGAACGGGAGGCAAGCCCGGGGCCGGGCGGGCAACGGCCGGGGTCTCGATCGGAATGGGGGCCTGGGTGGAAGGAGGCAGCGCGGCGCGCGGAGCGACGGGCGAGTGCTGCGGGGGCTGGGCGCGAGTCTCGGCCTCCTCACGGTGTTCGTCGATATCAATATCAGTGGCATCGCCGTTCAGACCCATGCTGCCGAACTGCACGGCGGCACGGTCAACCGCATGGTTTCCGGGCATGACCACCGCTTCTTGCTGCTCCATGACCCGTCGCTGGAAGGCCGGACCACGGCCGCTCTGCTTGAAGGCACTGGTCGGGTAGCCTGAGGGAGTGGGCCGGGCGGGAGTCGCTGCGGTGGACAGGGCAGAGGGATCCGGCACGCTGCCGGTGGTGCTGGCGGCCGTAGCGGTGGGAGCAGGAGCAGATACGTCAGGAATCTGTTCGAGGTTTCTCTTTGTCAGATCGTCCTTGGCAGCAAGGTGGGCGTCGTCCACGCGAGGGGTTTCGGCAACAGGAACCTCAGCCGGGGGAGGAGCAGCAGCAGCAGCAGCAGCAGGTTCTTCCGTTGTCTTCTCCGCGGGAGCGACCAGAGGGACAGGAACAGGTATAGGTACGGGTTCAGGAGCCTTCTGTTCCACCACGGGTTCGGCCTGTTTCTCGAGAGCGACGGGAGCAGCCACAGGAGGAGCAGCGGGCGCCGCGGCAGCGGGGACGGCAGTCGACGCGGGAGTTACAGGGACGGGAGCAGGAGCGACAGCAGGTTTCTTCGGAGCAGCGGCAACAGGTGGAGGTGTGGGTTTGGCGAACAAGCTGGCCCAACCCTTCTTGGCCGGCTCAGCTGTTTTGGCCACAACATCTTTGGTGGTGCTCTCGGTCACAGAATCGACAGGCTCCTCACCATCAACTGGGGTCTCCACGTTTGTAGGGGCGGCGACCGGGTTCTCCAGAGCGTCTGAGGCAGCGATGGCAGCAGCAGTAGAAGCTGTCGCGGGCGGACGGGACCCATTGACATGAGCTCCCGCCCTGCCGCCACGACCACCACGGCCACGATCTCCACGAGCGCGGCCACGGCCCTCAAATCCACCGCGGCCACGACTTCCTCGCATCGCAGGGGCGGCTGACTCGACAGGAGTGCTCTGCACCTCCTTGGGCTTGGAACGGGTGCGGTCGACGGTCTTCTTCTTCACCTCTCCCCACTGCGAGACATTGCCTATAAACAGTCAGCATAATCCAGGCTATGAAGGATGTAAAGAAAAGAAAAGAAAACAAAGAAAAAGAATGATCCAGACCTTCGGTTATCCGCTCAATTGCACTCTCGAGGTCGCCGTTTGAGTCTTCCAACGCGAACACCAAGTCTTCGTCTGTCCAGTCGGGGAACAGCTCTTTCAGAGTGGGCAGGGTGTCGGAGTATTTCTTCTTCATCTGGCCAATCTCGCCCTCATCCTCAAAGGACAGCGTCGCATCATCCGAGCTGTCGACCTTGGTCGACCTGCTCCCACCGCGACCGCCTCTATTGCTGTAACCGCCCCGGCCGCCCCGGGCGGATACCCTGCCACGCGAGGCAGCAGCTGGCCTTGTTTGAACGTCAGACATGGCTGAATATTAGACTGGTGAGTATTTCTGAGATGGAACGAGATCGTAAAAAGCCGCAGCAGAAGGTAGCTGGCGACGTAGGAGGACAGGTGGTGGGTGTGTCCAAGGGAGAGTCGAGTGTTAAGGTTGAGGGCAGTGCGCTAGGCAAAGAAAAAGCGAGACGATCGTCGATGCTCCCTCGCTGAGAGGTTCGCACAGAGCCACAAGTCACAGCGTGGCCGCCAGGCTCCTTAGCAAAAGCACACGGGGAGGGTGATGGGGGAAAGAAAAGTGGCGAGAGAGATGCGTAGAGACTCAACGGGGGTTGCTTCGTGCTCACGGAAGGGTTCGTCGTGGAGTTGCAGCGAGAGGCAACTTTCGCGTTTCCGCTTAGCGAGACGACGCTAGAGGCTCTTTTGGCCGACCGTCGACCTCCTGTGCCAAGGAGACGTTGAGGACATATTAATTTGTTAATTGACGACGAGTTACAGTTGGTAAGTTTGTTTATTTATTTAAATTGATCATTGAATTAATTACTGATTGCTAGAATCTGATATCCAGTTCTCTCTCTCTCTCTCTCTCTCTCTCTCCTCTCCTCTCCTCTCTCTCACCGACTGTCTCTGTCATACGATACCATGAAGAAAACGTCGATCTTTGGCTTCAACGCCTGGTCGAAAATCCATCCTCCGTTGCCTCGGACACCGAGAGAGTCGCAGCAACTATTGAATGCTTTGACCTCGTCCTTTCGACGACAGCTCGACCGAGAGTATCCGCAGCCGAATGCCTCCGAAGAGGCGGTGCCCACCACCACCACCACCACTACTACTACCAACTCATCAACGCACGCGACCGAAAAACACTTGAGATCGATTCTAGAGAATCCGTTATTCCGAGTTGCACCGCAGGTTGACCATGCTGGTCATCGGGGCGGGGCAGATCCCCAGAAGAGATTGGCCGAGGAGCCGATGGCTGTGTTTGACGAGTTGGTCGCCTCGGGGTCGGTCACAAAGCAGGCCATGTGCAACTGTCTGAAGAGCCAGCTGATTCTGGCGAGTCTGCGACCGCAGAATCTGGGGGTTAGCGAGGCGATGAGCAAGTCAAAGGCTGCCTCCAAGGTTGTAGAGTGGTTCTGGGCGTCCGATTCCGGCTCCCGAAAGATGCTCTTCAAGTCTCGCAGTACAACGTCCACCCTGCTCAAATTCATGGCTGCCGAAGGCCTGCAGGAAACTGTCGCTGCCTGGTTGAAGATGATTGTCACCCGCGACCTGGGAGGGTCCAACGGTCGGATCCCAGAAGGGGTGATGCGGAAGTTGTTCGGCAACTTTCTCAAAGATGCAGTGGCGGCTGAACTGCGCTACGGAGCCGGGATCACCTCGGCCTTGACCCTCTACACGCAGTCGTGCCGGATGTACCTGTCGCTGGTCGACAAGCAGCCGGTCGAGTCGAGGGAAAATGAGATGGTGCTCTTCGCCGGAGGCTCCTATCTGAGCCATTGGATCGTCGACAACCCCCAGAAGGAGGTCCAGGAAGTGCCTCAGGAGACGTTCGATGAATTCGAGCAAGTCATGTCCTCTCTGTTTCCTGGAACCCTCTTGACGGCATGTGTGCCCTTGTATAATCCGTCGTCTCCGCGGCCAGGGCCGCTGCTGGACTTTATGAAGAGCATATCTGCGGAGAAATACCACACTTGGAGTACTCGCAAGAGGGACGCCTTCTTCATTGTCAGTTCCGATGCAATCAGCGTCCTTATCGATGAGGGCAAATACCGAGAAGCCTCGAACATGGCGCAGCTCCTTCAGCAACTACTCAAAGACAATCTCCGTGATAGCTTGCCAGAAAAGAATCACCAGACGACTTTGGAGGTTGATGAATATGCTTTAGGCCGGTTAGGGCTGGCTCTGACATGATAGCCTGTTTATTCGTTTCCTACTCCCACTCCTCTCTCCTATCGATCAAGTTGATGGAAGAACCATCTCAAGACATCTCTCCGCTTTATAACGAGAAATCCCAACCGCCACATTTAACGCCGACATGACTGCTGTGAACTTTGGAGCGTCCCATGGCCACTCTCGACCGGCCATCTCTTGACTGGCTTTCTACTGAACCAATCTGCTCTTTATTCTTGACGACTCAGCGACTCGAGGTACCTATTCTCTACCGTTCTCTTGTCTCTTCTACGAACTTTACCAACTGTGTTGGTCAATTTTGAGCACCAATTGGAGGTCCCAATAGCCGTCTTGTCCGACTCTCAACATTTATGATCATTGACCCGAATCGCATCGCACTACAGCAGCAGCAGCAGCAGCAAGGGGATGCACCGTCCGAGAAATTCGATCGATACAAGGTCGTGTCTCACTTCTTAGATAGCGGGAGTTCTTCCATTGGTGACTGAGAACAAGGAGTATCCTCAGAACTAATATTACATCATCACAACTACGACGGCAGACTCAGCCGTGTGTCCAAGGAGCGATATAAGCTGGGGGAAATCTCGGATTACTGGATTGACCACATGTGCATCTCTTCATCGGCAGAAATGCCCCCTAGAACTAGGTTCAAGCAACCGCCATATACAACAATATATCCGTCAAGATCTCTAGCATCTCTAGCATACTCCATAATACATAGTCAATGTAAAGCTCAGTTTAGATGACTCATATCATGATGCCCGCGGATCGGAAGAACATGGCCGCCCCGCTATCGGAGGACCAGTGATATAAGGGACATTTGCTACAAAAGCATCCTAGAACGCACCTGTACTTTAATTTCCAGAAGAAAAACCCCCCCCCCTCAGAAATCGAATTCTTATCCCTTTGAAAAATGTCCGGAACTAAGATCTGGCTGCGAGCTGAGACCAAGCCTGCCGAAGCGCGGTCGGCCCGTAAGTTGATTCTTTGCCTACCCCTCACATTATATTCTAAACGATGCAGTCACCCCGACGACCTGCAAGGCGCTTCTTGATGCTGGCTATCAAGTGACGGTGGAGAGATCTACTCAGCGGATATTTGATGGTAAGTCAGGGACAGGACTGATTCAATCTGCCGTTTCTTGTTCAAGGCAGGTCCGAACTGACAACTGACTCACTCATGTAGATGACGAGTTCGCCAAGGTACACACACCCAATTGCTGCGATGGAACGAGACAAGAAAGCGAATGATTGATTGATATGTTCAGATCGGAGCACCCCTCGTCGAGGAGGGCTCGTGGGTCAAGGACGCCCCCAAGGATGCCTACGTGCTTGGTCTCAAGGAGCTGCCCGAGGAGGACTTCCCGCTTGAACACGTTCACATTTCCTTTGCGCACTGCTACAAGCAGCAGGGTGGATGGGAGAAGGTCCTGAGCCGTTGGCCGCGTGGCGGAGGTACCCTGCTCGACCTCGAGTTCCTGACCGATGATGTCGGGCGTAGAGTGGCTGGTGAGTTTGTCAAACCTGCCAGAATGATCCTTTCAAGAAATAAAGACTGACATAGTATCGAATTTTATAGCCTTCGGATACTCTGCTGGTTATGCTGGTATTTCACACACACACACACCCCGAATACAAGTGCTCGTGTAGCGATACTGATGACGGATAGGTTCCGCTTTGGCCGTGAAGAACTGGGCCTGGCAGTTAACACACCCGGAGGGCCAGCCTCTCCCCGGCGAGACTCCCTATGCCAACCAGGAGCTGCTGATTGAGTCCGTCAAGAAGTCGCTGGAGGAGGGCAAGAAGCAGTCGGGCCGGTCGCCTCGCGTGCTGGTGATTGGTGCTGTAAGTTTTTCTCTCTTCCATGAGATCGAAGGGCCATATCTAAATTGGTGTAGCTCGGTCGTTGCGGCAAGGGCGCTGTCCAACTTGTCAAGGATGTGGGTATCCCCGAGTCGGATATCATCGAGTGGGATATGGAGGAGACCAAGAAGGGTATAAATCTTGCTTTCTCTTGTTTTTTTTTTCTCTTGTTTTTTTTTTTTTTTTTTTTTTTTTTTCGCCGTTATATACTAACTGAAATTCAGGCGGCCCTTTCAAGGAGATCGTCGAGGATGCTGACATCTTCGTCAACTGCATTTACCTGTCGTCGAAGATCCCCCATTTCGTCAACGTTGAGTCGCTCTCCACCCCCAACAGACGCCTCAGCGTGATCTGTGACGTGAGCGCCGATACGTAAGTCACCGTGCTATTCTTCATCTTCAAATTCTAAACAAGTTTAGTACCAACCCCAACAACCCCATCCCCGTGTACAGCATCACCACCACCTTCGACAAGCCCACGGTGCCCGTCGAGCTGCCCGGTTCGCAGGGCCCCCCGCTGAGCGTCATCAGCATCGACCATCTCCCCTCCCTGCTTCCCCGGGAGAGTTCCGAGATGTTCAGCGAAGCCCTGTTGCCTAGTCTGCTGCAGCTCAAGACCCGGTCGACTGCCCGGGTGTGGACACAGGCCGAGGACCTCTTCAACGAGAAGGTCGCGACTCTGCCTGCTGAGTACCGTTCTTAGAGCTTCCTGGACATATTAAAATAAAAAGTCTCGGTATTATAAAATAAATGATGACCCTGCTGGATTTAGACTGCATAAATTAGAAATCAGCCAGGACAATGCAGAGAGTGTATTTTAGGCTGAAATTAGCCGACTATTTCCCCATACTGTAGACCTCTCAATCAATCACCTGTACTCGGTCCTTGGTACAGGAAACTACTTATGCATTAACGAGATACTAATTACTTTTATCTAATAGCAGATAATTACGTTACTTCCATCATCCAGCAACCCCGGACTTCCGGCTGGCTTTTCTCAGCTCGTCCTGCTTTGCCCACCGTGAGGGGGAATGGCTGACAGTCCCAAGGATGAAGAGGGGCCACCTTCTCCGATTATGAAGAAGCTCCTCTTCACTAACTAACTACGAAGTATAAACTACCTAGTTACTTGGTATTATTACCATTGACTTACCACTTAGCTCCAAACTAGGTAGCATGTCATCTTCCAGTGGCAGCCTGGGAGGAGAAATAATGCCCCCTGTGGCCCCCCCCCGGATCCATCAGCAAACCCGAGTCTCCGTCCTCCTTTAGCGAAACCCCCCCCCCCCTCATTCCAATTCTCTGCTCGAATCATCTTTTTCTTTTTGAATCCAACTAATCTACAGAACTAGTGACTGGCTCTTCTGTTCCGGAGATACCAGACGGCGATACGAGATCGTTTATATACGCAGGTTGGTTCGGTCCTTTTGGCTCCCCTGTTTTTCCCTGTGTCCCATCCACTTTTCCCCGTCTTCTCCGCACGCTGTATTATTCTAGTGCTGACCCTCCCTCTCCCAGGTACAGACAGACACGGACAGCCTCGAGAGCGAGAGGACCGACGCCCTTGTTATTATTGTTATAGACTCCTCGTTCCCTCCCCCTATCGTCGATGGAATAAACCTACGGATGATTGTGTGGATAGAACAGCAATGAGGAGAAGAGAGACGTTGGGCCACTCGCGCTAGGACACCTCCGTACCGACTGTTTTTTTTTTCTTTTTATCCTTCTGGAAAAAATAGATTTTGATGCAGGAAAAACCCAGCACGGTGGCTGCGTATGCGGCCGGGGCGTCGCTGGCTGCCATTGCGCTCTTCTATGTGTTCGGGCCGAATTATACGATCGACGGGGAGGACTCGCTGGATGGGAACCGTAAGAAGAGCATCGTGGGGCTGTCGAACCCGGCGAACGACTGCTTCATCAACTCGGTGCTGCAGGCGCTGGCGGGCCTGGGCGGGTTGCGCGTGTATCTGATCCGGGAGCTGCATCGACGCGATCTGGACGGGCCAGAGCTGTACAACGCCCTGCCGGCTCTTGAAGAGATCCCCCGCGGACAGCGACCGGAGAAGCTGCGCGAGCTGCAGCAGGGACTTATCACACGGGCGCTCAAGGACATGTTGGACCGGCTGAACGAGCGGCCGATCTATAAGAAGACCATCTCGGCGCGGTCCTTCATCCAGGCCCTCGAGTACGCGTTTCGCACTCGGATCAGCCGCAACCAGCAGGACGCCCAGGAGTTTCTGCAGATCATCGCCGAGCGCCTCTGCGACGAATACCACGCCGGAGTGAAAGCAAGGCAGAGGCTGCAGCAGTCGGTTGAGCTACCTCAGGAGGTGGAGGGAGATGTCACCACCACCACCAAAGACTCGACTGAAGACTCAACCGCACAGCCCGCCGAGGTGGAAGTCCGCATCGACGACGGAAGCGAAAAGGGTCTGCCTGCCATCATCGACACGAAGCTGAAGGAGCTTGATAACGATTATGGATTCCCCTTTGAGGGGAAGCTGGAGTCGCAGATCGTCTGCCAATTCTGCCAGTACCAGTATAAGCCGAACCAGACGGCGTTTGTCAACCTGACGCTGCAAGTACCGCAGAAGAGCTCGACTACGCTCAGCTCGTGCTTCGATGGCCTGCTGAAGACGGAGTATATCGACGACTTCCGATGCGACCGGTGTCGACTGCAGCACGCGATAGAACTAAAGACACAGGAAAGGGCCGCGGCGCGCTCGGAGAAGGAGACGGAGCGGTTGGGCGAGGAGATCGACCGGATCCATCAGGCGCTGCAGACCGACCCGGAACAGGCCTTGGAGGGAGTCCGCCTGCCGCCGGCCGAGGCAGCGCCCAAGCGGCGGATCGCACGGCACATGCGGATCACCGTCTTTCCCAAGATCATCGCGATCCATCTGTCGCGGTCGATCTTCGACCACAGCAGCTCGAGCAAGAACGCGGCCAAGGTGTCGTTCCCGGAACGGCTGCCGCTCGGCGGGATCCTGAACCAGAAATGGTTCAAGCTGCTGGCCATTGTCTGCCACAAGGGCAGCCACAACAGCGGCCACTACGAGTCCTTCCGGCGCAACAACCTGTACGCGCCCTTTTCCACGCCGGACGTCTTCAGCTCCTACGCGCAGAGCCGTGTCGCGAGCGAGAACCCGTCGGCGGCGCCGAGTCCACGGCTCGCCGCCCGCCGCACCACGCCCGACTCGGAACCGGCCTCGATCAGCCTCTCGACGACAACGGTCGGGACTCCGTCGTCGCCTTCGCTGTCTGGCACTTCTTCGCTCCCGTCGCCTTCCCCTTCCTCGGCGTCTTCGCAACTCAATAACAATAACAATAACAATAATAGCCGGCTACCTGCCGTCACCACGGCGAACAGCTCGCGTCTCTCTCTGCAAAGCAGTCTCTCGCGGTCCCCCGCCATCAAGCCGACGAGCAGCAGCGGCGGCGGCAGCGGTAGTACCACCGCGCCGTCATCGCAACCACTGTCGTCGCTCTCCCCGACCTCGACCGCCCGGCTGCGGCGACGACGACGAGCGAACGACCGGTGGTGGCGCATTTCCGACGAAAAGGTCAAGGAATGCAAGACCTCGGATGTGATGGGGATGCAGAAGGAGGTGTACCTGCTTTTCTACGAAACGGAGGCCGTGGAACCAGTATAGATCTACATACATATACACGTTGGCAGTGTGATATAAAAGTACAATACGGACGGGGCAGCATTGGATATGACACATATATATATATACCTTGTATAGCTGTACAGTGTACAATATAGATACTATATAGATGAATACCAGTCGGCAAAGGGGTTTTTGATTCCCTCGGGATTCGGCCTAGACTCTTTACTATAATTACGCTACGGAGGAACTGTATAACTAGCAGCAACCTGTTATTATCCCGGGTTGACGGAAGATCGTCCCACACATCGCACGAGGCTTCTTATTTTCCCGCGACGGAGATGGATTTCCCCGGGACGAAAGAAATACGGGTTCGATAATAATTTACCTATACTGTAGTAGAATTGAGATTGTCTTTACAAGCATACGAAACGAGACTATTAATGATTAATCTCAGTAAGTACTGGAAAGCGTAAGTACTGGAAAGCTGCGTCCTCCATGGAATTCCATTGAACCAGCTTGATCATTCCATAGACCAGCAGATGGAATCAGCAGATATAGACCTAGTACTAACTACCTACCTACTACATACTGGAGTACTGAGTCCTCAGTCTAGAATAACTACCTAGTAACTACCTAGGTAAGGTAGTGAATAGCGGGGGTTTCCGGAGCATCGAGAGCGTCATCCATTGACCCCACCAAGAGAGGGGGCAGCAAGACAGGATAAACCGGTATAATTATCTTCTACCATCTCTCACTTACTTGACTGTTTGTTCTCTCTCTCCATCTTCATCACCCTTAACAGACATCAACCCATCTGAACCTTTCAGGTGAGTCTCCATTGGTTAAATCACTGTGACCTCACCTTGCCATCTACTCCACCCCTCGGTGAGTTCTTCGAGCTATTGTCACTGCTGCGCTGCCCCTCCTGCCCCTCCTATTTAGCTCTCTTCTCACCGGATGGGCCAGTCGTAGGATCTTCAAACTCATCTTTTCATCTTTCGAACTCTTTATCATCTCTGTTAATCCTCTCTGTCTATCCAGATTCTCTCTCTCTCACATACAACACTTCCATCATGGGTGCCCTTGACAAGCTCTCCCGCAAGACCGGCGTCATCGTCGGTGATGACGTCCTGCGTCTCTTCGAGTACGCCCAGGAGAACAACTTTGCCATTCCCGCCGTGGTAAGTTGAGCTTGTTCAACTGGTTATGAAATCCAATCCCATCCATTCTGACTTGAATTTCATAGAACGTCACCTCCTCCTCCACTGTCATCGCTGCCCTCGAGGCTGCTCGGGACCAGGGCTGCCCCATTGTCCTGCAGTTCTCCCAGGGTGGCGCTGCCTACTTCGCCGGCAAGGGCGTCAGCAACGACGGTCAGAAGGCCTCGATCGCGGGTGCCATCGCTGCCGCGCACTTCGTCCGCAGCATTGCCCCCGTCTACGGCATCCCCGTCGTCCTGCACACCGACCACTGCGCCAAGAAGCTCCTCCCCTGGCTCGACGGCATGCTCGACGAGGACGAGCGCTACTTCCAGCTCCACGGCGAGCCCCTCTTCTCCAGCCACATGATCGATCTCTCCGAGGAGCCTGTCGAGTGGAACATTGAGACCACCGCCAAGTACCTCAAGCGTGCTGCTCCCATGAAGCAGTGGCTCGAGATGGTAAGCCAATCGAAATTAGATGGGAAGAAAAGGTTCTGACTCTGACTGATTAGGAAATCGGTATTACCGGTGGTGAGGAGGACGGCGTCAACAACGAGGACGTCGACAACAACTCCCTGTACACCCAGCCCGAGGACATCCTGGCGATCCACAACGCTCTGGCGCCCATCAGCCCGTACTTCTCCATTGCCGCCGGCTTCGGCAACGTGCACGGCGTGTACAAGCCCGGTAACGTGCGCCTGCACCCGGAGCTGCTGAGCAAGCACCAGAAGTACGTGCAGGAGAAGCTCGGCTCGGCCAAGACCAAGCCCGTCTTCTTCGTCTTCCACGGCGGCTCCGGCTCCTCCAAGGAAGAGTTCAAGGAGGCCATCAGCTACGGTGTCGTCAAGGTCAACCTCGACACCGACATGCAGTACGCCTACATGTCCGGCGTCCGCGACTACGTTCAGAAGAAGAAGGACTACCTGCAGGGCCCCGTCGGCAACCCGGATGGCGAGGACAAGCCCAACAAGAAGTACTTCGACCCCCGCGTCTGGGTCCGCGAGGGCGAGAAGACCATGTCTGCCCGTGTCAAGGAGGCTCTTGAAGACTTCAACACCGCCGGTCAGCTGTAATCTTCCTCTTCTTTTTTCTCTTCTTTTTTCTTTCCCCCCCCACCATCAACCACCACCATAATAACGACTATCTGCCGATCGGTCTACGAAACGATCTTGGTTATGACAGAACATACTAGAAAAACACATATTTAAAAAGTGTATTCATATGAATTAATGATACCTCTACAGAGTAGCTTGATTATAATGGACATTGTAGCAAGTAACTACCTAGTTATACTACATGCCTCTAGTAGTTACTGTAACTTGAATGGTTACCTAGATACGGAGTACTCCGTAACTAACCACCCTGTAAGCGCAGAGCTGACTCAGCAGTCACATGACATTAGTCAGGCATGTTTCAGGCAGGATAAAAATAGACCAGCAGCCAATAGGAGAGCCGCCAAGAGAAGCACCAGGGCTCAGCTGGTTCCTGAGGCCACAAATTCCGTCTCAAGATTGACAGGGAGAGCATGATTTGTTGGGATTCAGTCTTCAGATCAAGAATTGACCAGGGAACAGGGAACGGGGAACCGCATGACGATGGCGTCTGACTGGAAATAGAGACAGCAGACGGAGGAGTCTGGTATAGGCAGTGATGGGCAGTGATGAGCAGAGATCTACGAGTACGGAGTAACATATTACTACTCATAGAATTTGCCTACTCACATAACTCTAGTTATGATTTCTGGCATAGCTGACTACTCAATAATATTGATTAGTGATTCAATTGCAATATCCAGTCTATTGTCCTCTATTATTATTCAATCCTCTTCTTCTCTTTCTAGCGTGTCTCAGTCTAGACCGACGCCAACAACCCACCCTCGCCCACTTTGACTGAACCCACTTCACCCCAGCGTCGTCATCTTCCATTCTTTATCATTTCATTCTTTTCTAACCCCAGTGGTTGCGGTTGTACAGTTCTTCTTCTGTCTTTATGGGTATTGTGTGCTCCTGTCTCCAGGGTTGACACGTTCGAGATGGATCGACTGGATCGACTGGATCGACCCTGGATGGCTCCTCGCCAGGAGGAGACTTCGGCCGACCAGTTTCTCAAACTCATCCAGAATCCTTTTTCATCTTCGGTAACAATATTATCTATCTATCTATCTATCTATATTATTGATTGCATCAATTTCTGACGAAAGCAGTTCCAGGTGAACGCTGTCTGGGCCTCGCTGGGCACCTCCATCGGCATTTCCGTCTCGCTCGCCATCCTCTTCTCGCTCTTCCGCCCACGCCATACCCTCGTCTACGCCCCCAAGGTCAAGCATGCAGATAACAGACACGCACCTCCCGTGGTGGGCAAGGGGATCTTTGCATGGGTCAAGCCCGTCCTGCACACGCACGAGGATGAACTGGTCAACACCATCGGCCTGGACGCCACGGTCTTTCTCCGCTTCACCACCATGTGCCGCAACATCCTCGTTATCATGAGCATCATCGGCTGTCTGGTCATGATCCCCGTCAACGTCACCCAGCAGAATAGCAGCGAGGAGTCTAGCTCCAGCACCGTCTTCACCAAGATGACCCCGTTGGATGTCAAGTCCACCGCCATCTGGAGTCAGGTCGCTTGTGCTTGGGCCTTTGATCTCATCATCTCGTATTTTCTCTGGTCAAACTACAAGGCTGTTCGTCGCTTGCGCAGGAGATACTTTGAGAGTTCCGAATATCAACGCAGTCTGCATGCAAGGACTTTGATGGTACTTTTCCTCTTTCTTATTACTCCGTACACTCCGTATACCCAGTGAAGAATCGTCTAATATGTGTGTTTTTCTTTTTTTTTTTTTTAGATCACGGATATTCCTCCCCCCGCTCGCTCCGATGAAGGATTGCTGCGCTTGACAGATGAGGTCAATCCTACAGCGGCGCTCCCCCGAGCCGCCATCGGCCGGAACGTTAAGGATCTGCCGGATCTGATCAAGGAACACGATGAGACGGTGCGCGAGCTCGAGTCCGTTTTGGCACGGTACCTCAGGCGGCCGGACCGGCTGCCGGCCAAACGACCAACCCTGCGGCCACCGAGGAAATACCGTGCTCAGTACAAGAGCGACAAGGTGGACGCCATCGACTACCTGACGCTGCGGATCAAAGTGCTGGAGGAAGAGGTCAAGCATGTCCGGGCGTCGATTGACCGACGCAACGCCATGCCCTACGGCTTCGCCAGCTGGGAGATGATCGAGCACGCCCACGCGGTCGCCTTTGCGGCGCGCAAGAAACACCCGCAGGGCACGACAATCCGTCTGGCGCCGCGCCCGAGCGATCTGATCTGGGAGAACCTGCCGTTGTCCAAGACGAACCGCCGGTGGAAGCGCTTCATGAACCGCATCTGGGTCACCCTGCTAACCGTCGTCTGGATCGCCCCCAACGCCATGATCGCCATCTTTCTGGCCAACCTTAGCAACCTGGGTCTCGTCTGGCCTGCTTTCCAGACCTCCCTCGACGCCAACCCGGTCATCTGGGCCGCTGTGCAGGGTATCGCCTCCCCCGCCGTCACGTCACTGGTCTACCTCGTGCTGCCCATCATCTTCCGTCGGCTGTCCATGCAGGCTGGTGACGTGACCAAGACTTCGCGCGAGCGTCATGTCCTGCACCACCTGTATGCCTTCTTTGTCTTCAACAATCTGATTGTCTTCTCGCTCTTCTCCGCCGCGTGGACCTTCGTCGCCGCCGTCGTGTACTATGAGAAGCACGACGACAACGTCTGGGAGGCCTTGCAAGACGGTCATCTGTACACAAAACTCGTCAGCGCCCTCTGCCAGGCGTCCCCCTTCTGGGTGACATGGCTCCTGCAGCGAAACCTCGGCGCGACCATCGACCTGGTACAGATGGTCAACATGGTCAGGGTCTGGTTCGCGAAGACCTTCCTGGCGCCCACCCCGCGCCAGGCCATTGAATGGACCGCCCCGCCGGCCTTTGACTACGCCAGCTACTACAACTACTTCCTCTTCTACACCACCGTCGCCTTTAGCTTCGCCACCCTGCAGCCCATCGTCCTGCCCGTCACCGCGCTGTACTTTGGCGTCGATGCCGTGCTCAAGAAGTACCTGTTGCTCTACGTGTTTGTCACCAAGAACGAGTCCGGGGGCCGCTTCTGGCGCGTGCTCTTCAACCGCCTCATCTTCGCCACCATCTTCGCCAACTGCATCATTGCCCTCGTCGCCAAAGTCAACGGCTCCTGGACCATGGTGTTTTGCGTCATCCCACTGCCCTTCATGATGCTGCTCTTCAAGTTCTACTGCATGCGCACCTTTGACACCGACATCGAGTTCTACAACCGCAGCAACCTCAGCGACGCCGAGGCTCTCGGCGCCCCGGGTAAATCGACCAGAAGGGCCGCCGACCGCCTGAGTTCGAAATTCGGCCACCCGGCTCTGTACAAACCGCTCATCACCCCGATGGTACACGCCAAGGCCGCCGATGCCCTGAAGCGCATCTACAGCGGGCGCATCGGCACCGCCGACACCCTGGCGCTAGGGGGGGAATACTCGGACATCGCGATGGACCCCATGTCTGCCGGCAAGCCGGGCAAGACCGAGGACCCAGTAGTTGCTGCTGCTGCTGCCGACGCCACGGCCCCCTTCGAGGTCGTACCGGAGAACCACCTGGACTTCTCCTACTACAAGAACCGCGCCGACTTCCGCGACGAGTTCGGCGGCGGCATCTACGGCCGGCCCGAGGATCTCATGACCGAACGCTCACATACCCCGCGCAGCTTCATGGGCGAATGGTCGCCCAGCTCTTCTCGCGCTTCCTCGCCCACCCCATCATTATCCTCCCGGCAGCCAGAACCGGGGGGCTATTATGACCCGCTCGACGCGCGTGCCCAGGAGTTCGACCTGCGGACACAACAACAACAACAACAAAATCATCATTCTGGTCCCTCAGGCACCGGGTCGGCCATGTACCGACAATCATCAAACGGGAGCGAGACACAGTTACTCCGGCACCCGCAGGAGCTCTCGCAGACGCAGTCGCACAACTCCGACGTCCTTGCACCGCTGGACCGGTGGCGGACAGGCGGGTATGGACCTGTCCAGCAGGAGGAGGAGTTTATCTCTTACGAACATTACAGGACGGCGCGGTAGTTTACCATTCTGCTGTCTTCCCTCCTCTTTCCCCTCCCCCCCCTTTTTTTTCCCCAGTATATGCTTTGTTTTACGTGTTTGGTGATCTATAGACTTGGTTATGACGGTATGACTTGTATTTGTATATATGTATATACAAGGAACTCAGCAATATTGACTGCTACTACTCCTACTCCGTAGCTGGTTCATACGAATACGAGCAGGGATTCCTTGCCTTGCCTCGAATCGACCATACAGAGTACTCTACATCTCCCTCGGACATCCATCGAAGTCGGATGATATTTGTGCCATTGAAGCATTTCGACTAGACCCCGCTATTCTCGTGTTCTTTGTATATTATCAACTCAAGAATCAAGAATCAACTGCTGTATTCTCAGCCCAACTAATGCATATCATGAAATCCACTATTATTGCCCTCTTCCTCCTCGCCGCGGCTGCGCTGGCTGCCCCCATTCCTGTTGTAAGTGTCCAACCCCGTACGTTAGCACCGTGCTGAACAGACAGGACGGTGACGACAAGATTGGCGTGGTCGACAGCATGTCTGTTCTGCGGATAGCAGGAGTCTAGTGATCAATGAATATCTAGGTAACTAGGAACGATGGATTGAAGCAGTAATTGGAAGTACTCTTGGGGGAGGAAGTCCTAGTCATAAGTCGACCATAATTGACTATTTATCTAGACTGTATCCAGCCTGCTTTATTGTCTCTCCATAGAGTGTCCGCGAAAGCCCCGTCAAGTTCCCGCCGAGAGGATCGTCAGCAGCTGTGCGTTCTACAGATTGAATATTCACTCACGCGGTAGTCTTTGACCCTAGAGGGGGGGAGTAGCAGACCTGACAGATAAGAAATGCCGTTGCCATACTGTTCAGGGGGAAGCGTCGTTTGGCTGTATTTGTTTCGAGAAGGCAGTAGGCAGTTACTACCTGAGGTAGTAGTGAGTGTAGTTGTACAGTGAAGATCACCTGACCCGAGGTCATGCTTATGTTTTTCCCAATCGGAGCTTTCGGATCTCGCACTTTCCGTCGTCCACGTCTTCTCTAAGAGAACAGCAAATACCAACTCCTTGTCTCTTCCATACGATGTCTTTTTTATAGGACCAGACTGACAGATTGACAGACTGACAGACTCTGCCTACGTTGAATTAGCTTGTCTCTCTTTCCTGGCAGTGCCCCCCCACACCAGGCCTATGCTCTCGACTCGGTGCTGACTGGGGTAAATCCAGTACTTTCAGTCTCTCTGTTATTCCGCCCTCTCACTCTCTCCGATTTCTTTCCAACCTTCTACGCGTATATATCCTCTTCCAGATGGTGGATGGTTGCGATAACCCCTATTCAGCGGGGATTTGACTGTGGATCGTGGATCGTGGATCGTAAACGAAATCGGTCGAACACTATCGATGCTACTCGAGACGAAAGAAAAGGCCCAAACTTAGTCATGGCGTGGTACTCGATCCTCCCGTCGCAATTTCTCTTTGTTGAGAGCTGGGCAGCCAGGATATTTGTATGTCCCAGATACACAACACAGATGGGCGAAACATGGCGAACGGACTGACACCTCCTTACGGAGTATAGATCCTTCTCGGTCTCATTACTATGGGCCCCTGGGCTGCGCTGGTGATCTTCGATGTGGTCCTCTACGTTTATCGCATGGTGATGTATGAGATACCGGTGATCGGTGGGCGAGCCCGTGGGCGACAGAGGCCTCGGGCGCCGAGTCTGGCGGAGACGACGGCGCAGAGAAGTCCATCGTCAGCCGACTTCAAGACTCGACCGACAGGGCAGGGCGGCGGTTTGAAGATGAGACATTCCCAAAGCGAATGATGTTCGACTACACGCTGGCGTGTTGAACAATATCCAGGTAATATTTGTGATGGTCCGAGTGACTCGACTGTTTGAATTATTGATACCCTAATATTAAATTCTACATCTACTACTTCCTGATAATGATAAGGCTGATCTCATATTTAAATACTGAATGCTGCGCTCTAATATATGGTGTTTATCTCTATCAATGTAAGACCAATATTGAATCTAGGCTTCATCTGTATAGACCTGCTCTTTTGGTAACTCGCATTGGATTGCCAAGTTGGGACAAGTGAGGAGAAACTGATAAGCATTTCCACCTCGAGTCACACACTCTCCTCCATACAAATCCCATAGACTTTTCAATTGTATATTGTATATTGTATATTGTATATACTGTCTGTCTCATGGCGTTTAAACCCGTCTTTCCATTGCATTCCCACCTCCCATCATGGTTCAATCTTGGGACGGGCACGATCCTCCTGGCCCTATGTGCCCTGCTCCTATGGGCCAGAGGGAGAATGTCGGTGAGTACCAAACTCATCATCTCCAGCCTTGCAATCTAGATACTTACGACTAGCAGATGCATCGCAAGCGAGCTCCCCGTACTCCTGGGTTGCCGCCGATCGAATCGTTGAGCGGCTTTGACTGGACGACTACGACGCAGCTGAAGTTCCGGCCATTTAAACCGAAATATCACCTCACGATGGGTACAGTAATTAGCCACTCGGTTCAGAACTATGTCTTTTGTATTCGGTGAAACTAACAATACCAGCCCTCGAGAATCTCGATCCATCCGACTGGATCCCCATGGACAAGACGTACAAGGACCGGTTGAAGCTCCGCGCCTCATTGCTGGAGAAGCACCATGACGTTGTTCTCGGGATCAACAATGAATCAGATCCCCGAGTTCGTGCGGCGGTCGTTGAGCTCTACATGTTCCTGCTGGGTACATACCTGCCTGGTCGGTATCCGAGAATGTTTACCCTACGAGATAAATCTTCATCAGCAACCCTCGAGAACCTTGTTACGGGCGAGGTGTTCCCTGTTGACGAATCCGTATCCACGATCACCGCATTGGAATCGCTAGCCAGAGTTGCCGACGAGGATTTCCTCATCCTCCTTCCTGACATCACTACTGCGGCTGCTGCGGGGGAAGAAGAAAAGTATATACTAGAAGCGTACGAGACATGCTTCCCTGCCGGCTTCGACACCCGCACGAAACTCGGCCTCCGTCTCGCGAGCATCCATGACCCCGTCCCACACTACACCGACAAGCTCGAGAAGAGCATGGACCGCTTCTTCGCCAAGTTGCCCGTCGGTCGGTACGTGAAGCGTGTGAACTGGGGTATCACTACTGAGCCGGACCTGTTTGCTGCCTTTGGGGGGATCCATGCCTCTGAAGAAGAAGAAGAGGAGGAAAAGCCGATCCGTTCAGAAGATTTGGATTTAGATAAGGTAAGAAGTTCGTTCGGAAGAAAATGTGAATTCGGCCTTTCTCTAACTTGTAGACCTATCTTCGCTGTGAACGACAAACGCTCCACCGTCTGCCGACCTCAAAGGCGCTAGTCTTCGCTTACCATACCTACATGTATCCTCTGCAGGAGATCAAAGATGAGGGACTGGGCGAGGATCTTGCAATGGCAATCGACGGGTTGAAGGAGGGGAGCGCACCGGGGATTCATATGTACAAGCGGGGGGCTGTGTGGGGGGAGGCTGTCAAGACATGTCTACGAGCTTAACGATTTCATTTATTTCATTCATTTATTCTTGATCCTTTTATCTTCTCTTTTTCTATTGACGTCAATCGGACAGGTCTACTTGCTAGTTTAGAATGGCCAACACCTTGAGAAGGTCTGCCGTGACGCCCATGGCAGTGACATCGCCACCAGCGCCGGCGCCCTGGACGATCAGCGGGTTGGCACCGTAACGCTCGGTGTAGAAGGAGATAATGTTGTCGCTGCCCTTGAGCCCTGCGATGGCGCTATCCTTGTCGAACTGCTGCAGGCCGACGTTGACCTTGCCCGCGGCGACATCGATGCTGCCGACGTAGCGCACGACCTTCCCGGCGCGCTCGGCGGACTCCTTGATCTCAGTCATCTGGCCGTCAAACTCCGGCAGCCGGCTCATGAACTGCTGGATTCCCTCGGATGTGGAAGGGATGTCGGCCAGCTCGGCGGGGATGAGCGACTTGATCGGGAAGGCGTCCGGCCGGGCGACCTCGAGTCCAGCGATACGCGCCAGGATGGTCAGCTTGCGCGCAACGTCCATCCCGTTCAGGTCGTCGCGCGGGTCGGGCTCCGTGTACCCCAGCTCCTTGGCCTGGGCGACAACCTCGCTCCACTTGGCGGTCGAGGAGCTACCGACGGGGGCGAACGTGTTGAACAGGAAGGAGAGAGTACCCGAGAAGACACCCTCGATGCGAGTTACCCGGTCGCCCGTCGCGACCAGATCGCGCAGCGTCGAGATCACCGGCAAGCCGGCGCCCACCGTGCTCTCGTGGTAGACGAGGGCGCGGCCCTCGGACGCCGCGGCGAAGATCTCACGCCACAGCGAGATGTCCGACGAGAACCCCTTCTTGTTCGGGGTGACGATGGAGATGCCCTTGCGCAGGAAAGTCGGGTACGCGCTTGCCAGCGTCACGTCAGACGTGTTGTCGACTAGGACTGCCCGCCCGGGCGCAGCGGCCAGGTACTCGGCGATCTCCTCGGGGGACAGCGCGGGCCGAGTAGTCAGCGAGGCACCGGCCGAGGCGGTCTTCCAGTCCCCGGCGGGGATGGCGGGCGAGTAAGAAGGCGTTGGTGAGAGAAGAGTCAGCGATGAACGAGCCAGGAGCACCAGCTGGGGAGGATTGGGCAGGCGAGCCAGCTGGTTCAGAAAGGCCGTGCCGACGCCCCCAACGCCTGTTTCACTGTGAGTATATCATAGACTAGATGGGGGAAGTATGGACGAATGGGGGACTTTTATCTTACCAACAACACCGAGGTAGATAGGCTTAGACATGATGCAATCGATTGACTGACTTGAAGCTATACAGCACTCCCAACACTCACGGTTTGCAGTGACTCTCACGTAGAGAATCTGGCGGGGTTGGCGGGGCCGAGACCGGCGTCGCTTATCTTATCTTAGCCTGAGGCACTTTTTGTGCCTTGGAAGTCAGGCATGAAATATTACCTCAGAGCCAACAATTTACAAGCTATCAACCTACGGAGTAGGTACCTAAGCTAGGTAACTACTACATCAACTACTGTTTACCATGTCGCTGTACGGCCAAGCACGTTCCAAATCCGCAAAGAAAGAAGCCTCGACATCGACATCGACCTCGACCTCCACCCTCGCCTTCAGCACACACCTGGCCTCCCTGATCGCCGGATCTCGAGACTCGGAGGGGACCTCGACCTCGAGCTCCAACGCCGCCTCACGAGGACGCACCCGACCCTCTCGAACCAGCAAACCGTCAGACCTCTTCGCCCGACCGAACCGGGGCGCCCAGAAACGCGCCGCCGCCGACGAAGCAGGCGATGACGCCCACCATGTGCGGCAGGTGCACCAGTCTAGCGCGGAGATCGGGACCATCGACGCGGCGACATTCCACCGCTCGAAGCGCCGGATGGAGGAGAAGGCACGCCTCTACGAAGATCTAAAGAGCGGGCTATACCTTGCTGAAAGCAGTGATGAGGAACCAGACACAAGAGATAAAGAGGACTATCTTGCCCGACTTCGACGGAAGGAAAGGGAGGGACTTGTCGATTTTGACAAGAAATGGCAAGACAAAGCACAAGATGATGAAAACGAAGAAGGAGAAGAAGAAGATGATGATAATGCATCGATTGTTTCCTACGAAGATGAACTCGGACGCACGCGGCGCGGTACACGCGCCGAAGCCGCCCAAGCCCGAGCCTTGCAAAACGCAAATAACAGAGATACGACTCAACGGTGGAAACCCGTCCAACCAGAGAACCTCATCTACGGGGCCACCGTGCAGAGTGAGGCGTTTGCACCCTCCTCGGCGATGACACACCTTGCATCCCGACGGGACCGATCACCCACCCCCGAGACGGAGATGCAGATGCACTACGATGCGGAGGCGGAGGCGCGCGCACGGGGGACGGGATTCTATGCGTTCTCGCGCGATGCGGCCACGCGCGATAAGGAGATGGCGGAATTGATGCAGGCGCGCGAGGAGACGCAGCGGGAACGCGAGGCCCGCATCGCCAGGCGGGCGGAGAGGTTGGCTGTTCGGGAACAGAGGAGGGTCAAGGTTGACGAGTTGCGGGCGAAGAGGAGGGCAGACGTGTTTCTTGCTGGGCTGTAGTTGTTTCTTTCTTTTCTGATTCGGATTTAGTTTCTGATACTATGCACATGATACCCTCTATCGAAATGGACTTGAATGGATGTTATATAATTCTTCTCCTGCAACCTTTTAGTCATAATCCGTAAATCGTTATTCGTTATCCATGCAATACAGGTTTGAACCACAGTCTGAACTACAGTTCTGCAACTTCAGCAATCGTTTCCATGAAACTATCGGCATCTAGATTCGTCAGTATAAGTGATGCTGTTAGGAGAAGGTATGCGTACCATCCTTCGTGGTAAACTTCAAGATATGCTCACCCCGCGAGGTCCGCGGCGGCGAGTAATCCGGAGACGCGAAGATGGCACGCCTCAGATCGCCAAGGAGAACAACGTTCGAGTCCTCACGGCGGATCCAGGCGCGCGAGCTGGCGTGGTGGGTGATAAAGGCTGTCCAGACAGGGGTGCGTTTCATCTCGCCCCGTAGGATGGAGGCCTGTAGTCGGACAGCACCGGAGACGGTGTCACGGTAGATGCGGAGGGCGTGGAGGTAGCTGTCGTCCATGATTTGTCTGGAAAGTGAGCCTAGGAGTCACTAATGTAGTCTTTGTGTTTCATGTGAGGTTACTTACCCTCCGAATAACTCTTCTTCGCGTTCGAGCTCATAGTCACGGATCCGTTCCACGGGGCGGCCGTTGTCTTGCGAGCGGAGGGCCAAGATCGTACAGAAGAAAAGGACCATTCCTAGGATTGTCAGAGCCATGGACTTCTCTGTCGCTCTTAAAAAAAGGGAGAGGCATCATACGCTCGATCGTGTGGAACTTAAGGTTCGCCCATAACTCAAGCTCGCTGCCCGCGTTCCGCCGGCGACAGAGCTGCAGACACGACCCTACACGATAGATCTCCAGCATATTCAGGGGCATGCAGAAGTATTCGCTCGGTCGGGAGGCGCGGACTGACTTGCACATGATGCGGGCGCGATGGTCGTCTTCTCGGGAGTAGAGGTATACACGGAGTTGTTGCTCTCCATCGAAGATTCTAGCCCATATATTGGTGAGTATGTTTTCCCCTTTTCTTGATATGTTTCACCGTACAGCTGGAACAATTCCTCGAAGCCAGAGTCCCGCAACCAAGACCTCAATCCTTGCTTTGGCTCACCGAAGCACTTGGAACTAGATAAATAGTCAGATGGACGTGCTAGCTTTATAGAAGAAGAAGAAGAAGAGAGAGAGGGAGATTAAGATATCCAACGCTGTGGTACCTCTCGCCTACAAATGGAATACGTGTGGCGGAGTGGTTGTCATCAAAGACCTTCTTAGCCCAGTGCTCGCTCATGTTGCTAGACCCCAGCGAGCGGCCCGTGGCAGAGCTCGTGGGCGGGGAGTCAGGAGCCTCAGGTGCAGAAGGAGGGAAGATAGCACTATCCGACGAAAAGGTCAAGGACGAGGGGGACAGAGGAGACAGGGGCGACTGCGGGGAGTGCTGAGGGTGGTAGTAGTTGCTGGTGGTGGTGGTGGTGTGGTTGTTGGGCCTCGTCCGTTCGTACGACCGTCGGCCGCGTGGTCGACGAGGACTGCCCTGATCGGCGATATTACTACTGCTGCTCGACGGGTTGTATCGGCCTAGATCAATGGCTCCGATACGTGTCGCCAGTCCTTTATCCTGCTCGGCCAGCAGGGCCTGGAGACTGCTTCGGAGGCCGGCCATAGGGGTGGGGTCGAAGGGTTTACTGGACGGTTAGGTACCAAGGTTAGTAAGAGACAAGCTACCTAGGTATCCCATGGATACCTGAAGGTAAGTAAGTACCAGGTCAGGTACATTACTTGCATTGCTATCGGATATCTCTTACCCCCTCGTCAAATCCTCCAGGTCCCGAAGGAACAGCTTATACCTGCCTAGGCGCGGGGATAAGGCTGACTGAGCCTCAGTGCGGAAGAACGTGCACAGCTCCAACCAGGCGCGTTTGAAGGTCTCTCGATCAGAGCTGGACCGCTGGTCGACCGCCGCGAAGAAGCGCAGGATATCCTCGAGGGTGTAGTCGAGGCTGGCACGGACAAGCTCGACGTCGGCGCGCACCAGCACCTGCTGGCGCCGGTAGAGCGGGCTACGCAGCAGGTCCTCGATGATCTTGAGCAACGAGCTGATGGCAAACAGATCAGCCATCAGGCTGGTGATTTCTGTCGCGTGTTCCGGCAGAGGGTCCCGGAACAGTCGAAAGCCTGCGGCGACATCCTCTGCGCGGTCGGCAGACATGCGCAGAGCCATGGTGAGGGGATTTATTTTTTTATACTCCGTAACTAGTGTGTATTCATTTTAGAGAAAGGGTTGGAAGAATCTCAAGGCATTTAATAAAGAGAGAGAGGAAGGGACTCGAAGTCCCCACCGAATTTTATTTTCCCAGGCCACCTCACACTGCACACACACAGTTTCTCATCATTCGATTAATTATTATTGATCACTCGAGCTGGCGGGACAACATGGCAGGTGGGGTATTTCCTGCATAACCTGCGGCTCTTAGACCTGACTAGAAGTTAGATACTGTCAGAGGCACCATTATGACTAGGTAAGTAGTAACTGCAAACACAAGCAAGTCGACGACTGGACAAGGGTACTCGTAGAACAAATAAAGACTCAGACTATTCTTTGTACCTAGACTTGACAACGCGTATTGGGTTGCGCCCATCGTCAACCAGAGACGGCCTCGTTCATCGAACTGTCTTTCTGTTGCTTCGCCGTTTGCTCTGAAGACATTAACATGGGACGAAAAGATAGCTCGTTATCACCAGAGACGAGTAGTTGAGGGGATGAAGGACCGGGAAGCAGCCAAGATGAATTCTTGGCTTCAGTATCCGGATCTTGCAAGTTACCTCTTCTTCTTCTTCTTCTTCCTCTTCTTCATCATCGTCGTCGTCTGCAGCACCACGAATGGCGGCAATACGATACAGGAAGCATTGCACCTCCAATAGTTCATACGATGGCAAAGGATGGTTGTCCGGGTCGTCAGTTCTGAAGGTGATGATATCACCAGACTTGATGATGCGATCGGTCAACCCGTCAAACAGTTTGACACGGCGACCAGTGGACGGAGGTCTGGAGGGGTGATGAGCACCATACGGGCCGGAACATCCTTGCGTTTCACGACGACAGTCAGCCAGAAAAAAGCTCGACTTGCATGGTCTTGTGGTCGGGGGATGGCTGACGGGGCTTGAGGGCGAAGAGGCAGTTATCCCAGTAGGCATGTGCATTGGGTGAGAGAGTGATGAGATTCTGACACTTTCCGTGCCTTCTCCCTGGTCAAAATACCCCTCAGTCCAGTAAACTTCTAATGATGCCTAGAATTGCTGGCAGTCGGTCTGGTTCTCGTTTTATAGGCTATATAACAATACATGGGCTCCCTCAACGACCTGGTCAGCATGTGTGATTACACAGGCGTTATCATCTCGCTCCGAGCACTGGAGTAATCAATTAGTTGAGGTAGAAGATCAAATTTAATAGCCTGTTAGGTGACTGTTACTACTCACCTCCTTGACAACTCGCTTAGACCGGGTTTCCTTCGCGTTCCGGAGGATATTCCTAACTGAGTCGTCCCTCTTCTTTCTTGTCTCACCTGCTGGCAAGTTTTTGTCTTCTGTTTCGAGCTCCTTCTTGAGCGAAGTCGATACCGTTGTATGTTGCGAGCATTGAACAACTAGAATTTTCAAGACAATTAGCAGGGCGTTATATGGCCATTTATCCTGCAATAGGATGCGATATTACTGCTTGGTATTGTGGAAACGATAATGATAATCAATCAGACGAGCAAAGAGGTAACCCAGAAGTCCAGCTCCTGAAGGGAGGAGAGAACAAGAGGGAATATTCGCCCAGCTGCAAAAGCGGTGGCAACCAAGGCAAACGCAAGCAAAACTTTGGCTGCCTGAGATATCAGCAGATCTGCGTTTTTGCTGAGGTAGGAGGTATACTCTCCCTAAGTGAGTGATATTGTACCTGCAGGCTTAATTACTCCTCATGAAATATAGGATCAATAGTCACTGAAAATAGTAAATGCCTAGATGCAGTATTACTACAAAGTCTTTTGACAGGGATATTTTTGCCATAGAAGTATTAAGCAACAGGTAACTAACTATCTACTAACTATAACTACCCTCTCTGGAGACCAAAGCGATTCTATATTTATCTCGACTAATCCATCCCAAGTTAGTCACCTTCAAATGCAGGGCAGCGGAGAAGAGCCCGGAGAATCAAAGGCCCGCGACGCGTCCGGTGTAAACAAATGGCGCGTGCGACAAAAAGTCGAACAAATCCGACCCGGCAGTTTGGGTCGATCTGATTATAGGCTCTAAACTAGTTATACATAGTACGGAGTAGTACGGAGTAGGTAGGTGGTTGCCGTTACAACATACTAGGTATTGTCTAGTCTCAAGGCAAGGGCTTGATTAGACTAGTATACAGCGGACTTGCCTCGAACCACCGCTGGACCTGCAGTCCAGGAAACACATGCCATGCGAAAAACCCCCGATCATCAAAGGAAAAGGAAACAAGAGGAAATAAAGCAAGGAGAGAAACCACCGTCATCCCATTACCAGAAGCCGTTGAACTTGGAAAAGAGACGAATACAAAGAACAGCGCAAAAGCACACAGAAACGCCCATCTGTCAAGACAAGAGACTGAAGTGCTTAGGCAGACTCCTCGTCTTCTTCGGCGGCCTTTTGAAATAATCAGTTAGTGCTTACTCCCTGTAGCTCAAGGAAATAGAGTCAACCCACCTGGTAGCTGGACTTCTCATCTTCATATCGCTTCTTGTCCGCAGCAGCCTTCTCCTCGTAGGGGCGACGGGCCTCGTCGTCCAGGCTCTTCCACTTCTCGCCGAGTGCTCTGCCGAGCTGGCCTATAAGGGTGTTAACTCATCGTACTGATTTCGAGGGAGATTTTCTCCTCCTACCGAAAGAAATGCCGGGGTTCTCCTCGCGAACCTTCTCGCGGTTCTCGTTGGCGAAGAACATGTACGCAGAAAGACCACGCTTGGGGGCGTTGGGGTCTAAATCGCCTGTCAGTGTTTCCCCCCTAAACCGTCAAACGGTGGGAGGAGATCAACGTTACCCTTCTTTCTGCTAGTGGTACGGGCCTTGGTCTTGCGGGTAGTCTTTTCCTTGGGCATGTTGGCTGTTTGGCTGTTAGTTTTGTTTGCGTTATCTGGAATTGGTTCTCAGAGCAGATAAAACAGGATAATATAAGTCGTGGTGGTGTGAAAGACAATCGGATCAGAAAGAAGGAGCGCGTAGGCGGCCGTTGCGCAGGCCCCCAAACAAGCAGCGAGTCGCGGTCAGAGCAGTTGTCGAGGGACAAAGACAACCGAATGACTCTCAAAGGAGAGTGAAAGCGAGCAAGGAAAAAAAAAAAAAACAAAAACACGCGTGCGACCGGGGAAGAGCGACCAAGAAAAAGGCAAAAAAAAAGGTCTGTGGAGGAGAGGAAATAGAAGACGTCGATTCAGTCTCATCTGATCGCGGAAGTATACGCGGTATTGCAGCGCGCGCATAGGGAAGCGCGACAGCGAGGTCGCGCGGCGAACATAGCAAAAAGCGCCGGGCAGAAGAAGATTGCGGAGAGACAATCAAAGGAGAGGGAAAAAAAAGAAAATGGCAGGGTGGTGGGTGGTTGAGTGTCAAGGTGTTTGAATAGCAGTATGATGTTTACTTGGGGGGGGAGCTTCTCACCGGTGCGGATGTGCAGTAATAATTTTGTATGGGAGGCAGTTGGTAGTAGCAGTCGCAGTAGTAGCAGTAGTATGAGAGAGGGAGGGAGCGCAGTGTGAGGGGAGGGGGAGAGTAGTAGTAGTTTGTTGCGCGAGGGAAAGGGAGGGCGGGCCAGCTGGTGCAGAACAGCAAGGAAACGTACGACGGGGTAAGAATACGGGTTGCTACCGAGATAGTATGGCGTCTTGATGGCGTATTGGTGTTCCGTCATGTATGGTACCCGTCCTAGCTGGAAGGTGTGGGCTCCTACGTATTCGACACGCTGAGAGCAGCTCTCGAGCTCTCTGTGTGGTGCGACCGCTTCCCATGACGCGGGCTGGTCAACCGTCAGACTGCTTGGGTCGGGAGAAATTGCGGCGTATCTTATTACCATACATTTACATACACAATTCACAATAACTAATAAACTAATGGCTACTTGGCAGTCCTTGGATTACTAGTAGTACTACATACCTAACTAGTTAACTTATCTCTAAACCCCTCTTCTTAGAATTCACTCATTCTAATAGTGTCTGGTAAACCCGAGGGCGACTTGGTACCGTTTCTCTCGTAGACTTGGGTCTTAATTACCTGAGGTACCATAGGACCTGTACCTACTCCGTACCTTTCCGTACTAAGTACCTAGTACTCCGTAGTAACTACCATAGTTACTAGGTACCTAGTACCTAAGGGACCTTACGTAAGGAGCCATGTATTGTACTGGAATGTTAGTAGGAGGTATTTGTTTACCCAAGCCAAGAAGGGCTACTCCGTAATTGCTCGAAGAAACCTGTAAGAAGCCGCAAGTCGCCAGGTGGCTGCAGTCCTGGTCACTCGTTTGGGAGTCAGCATGAGAAAGAAGCTTGTGAATGGGGGAGAGAAAGTCGACTCCTCTCTCGAGTTAGGCCTAGCCTTCTTCATCTTAAAAAGTGACGCGAGCCGTACGAGTATTTTATTCCTCCGAAGTTACTAGCTAAGGTAAGGTCGTACGTAGTACGGAGTACATAGTACGTACGTACCTGCTCCATACAAGGAACCGGTGTGTGCCAGCGTTAGTACCTGCCTACCTATCGCAAAGAGTCATTGTAGTACAGGCTGGGAATGCTACCTCCCTTTAATAATACGAAGTACCAGGTAGTTACGGAGTACTCCATACTAATAATAAGAATGGCCAAATCGAACTACGTGGTACTAAGGTACTCACCTAGGTGTACTAGTTACTGCTTACGAAGTCTATCCTGATAAATTAAATAAATGATTGATCATTGAAACTGTCGGGCACGCGTCGCGCAAGTCCAGAGGTATTAATAAACTGCTAAGCTTCGCACAGACATCGAGGAACAGCTTGTCTAGCAAATAAGCGAGTCTGCAACTCTGTATGTAGGTAGTACCATGTACTACCTCTCCGTAGATTACCAGTTAGGTTACTACCTAAGGTACTAGGTAGGGAGTTAACTAGTTATGTATTTTGTACTGAAGTGCATAGTGCTATTCTAGTAGTAACTCTACAATTACTAGTACGCTGCAGAATATGTGGCTATCTACTTTTAGTCTACACCCCATGTTAAGTTGCAGAAGCGACGGAGTACTGACTCAGTACTCGGTAGAGAGTGTGTTGTGGAGGCCAGACTGCGTATCTATCATTCAATTATTGCCACGAACTATAATACATAATAAATTTACAATTAACCCGATTATAGTCAATCTTCTTCGTCTAACACGAGTGCCCGGAGGTCTGCATTTTCCGCCCAGTTCACTCCGCTGCCGACCACGATAGCACTGGCGATGTTTTGCATAATCTCCCATCTGGCTTGAACCTTTCGGCGGTCTTTTTCAAGCCCCTCTAGTTGCGCAGCCAGTCCCGTGTCCTCGAGTCCCTCTTTCCACGCGTCTTGCTGTCTGGCGAGACCGAGAAGCTCCTGCGTCAGGGCGCGGTTCTTCTCAATCAACTCCATATTCTCGACTTCCATATCTGATAGGTTTTTCAAGGTCAAGTCATGGGCAGCCGCTAGGTTCTCATGCACTAGAGACAGTATATCGCGCCGGTTGATCAGTTTCAATAGAGCCCTGTATTCACTTGGTGAGCTGCATCACGACGGTTCACGAGGAGATGTCTTGACTCACCGTTCAGGTGGAGAGTTAGCCTTGAGATGCACGGCCTTGAGGATTGGGTCGGCCATCAGTATCGTATTGATGGCTTTCCTCCTCACGGTGTGGGTGGCTCTCGCCTCCAAGAGCTCCCGCTCTGCGACCGCCAGCTGTGCCTCGACATCTTCGCCAGAGTACGAACCCGGTTCTATCCCTTTAGTCAGTGTGTGCCACAAGAAAACCATCACAAGTAGAGTAGAAATAGATATATATACCTTGGCTCAGGAACTCCTTTTCAAGCTCCAGCTCCCCGCTCTTGCGGTACAGTTCCAGGATCAACGCTTCCTTGTCCGATAAGGCTACCGCGTCCTGCGAGTCATCCTCCACCAGACTGAGCAGGGCACCCTCACTCTCACTCAGGTGAGGCAGAGGACCTCGAATGTCGACGTTGGATGCCATGGAACGACCCCGTGGCTGACCAGCAGACGCATCCTGTGACGATTCAGGCCTGGGGGAGAAGCTTTTGAGGGGTCCCGCTGGGCATGTCATCCCAGCAACTGCTGCCCGCCAAGGCGGAGCTTCTGAACCACCAAACCCAGCCTTAAGACCCTCCCTATCTCCACTCCTACATTCCTCATCTTCCTCCCACTCTCGAGCGCGGAGTTGGCTCGGCTAGTGAGGAGGGGATGTCGCTGAATATCTATATCGCTCTGACAGGGGAGCGTCTGGTTGCAGATCCGGTTTCGTTTGCCTCGTTCGTGTGCCCCCTTCCTTCTTGTGTGTTCAAGGTACTACCCTGAGGTACTTCCTAAGGTACTAATATAAGGTCACTGGCTAGACCGGACGCCCTGCGATCATGGATCTCTCGAAATACACCTATACCAGCCCAGCGGCAGATTTTGATGACTGCCCGTGGTAGAAATGTTAAAGCCCAAACACTAGCAACAGAGGTATTTTTGTTAATGAGCTCTCCCCGTTCATTTATCGCCAGTTGTTGACCGCCGTTTTACCTTTGTGCCTACTCTACAGACCGAGATATTTGTCTTCGACCGACGGTATATCGGTGAACCAGGAAACTACGAGATCGCCGAAACACCCCTTCCGCAGTCGTTCCGACCGGAGACTCCTCCGGATACGCTGGCCGATCAGAATGACCTGCAAGCATGGCGAAACCTTTACATGTCTCGAAGGAACTGGGCATTGAATCTTTCCGAACGTTGTGAGCAGCTTGCCACAGGTGCCTGGGAACAAAACGAGCGGACTGCAGTTATAAACCGAGCGGTTGGAGTCGCCTTGGAAAATCTGAAATCCCACGTGGGCAGCTTGGAAAGCCGTTTTCAGGAGGCACAGGCGTGGGCGGATAATTTGGTGAAGGAACAAAAGGCAGCTCTGGACGGTTGGCAACGGGCGCTGGGAGCCCTGGACACGATTGCTGCCCGGAAGGACTTTGCTTTCCTAGGACGGCCTTCGACGCCTAGGAATGACAACGATGCATCGACGGGGACGCTGAGGGACTTTGTGGACGTAGGTGATGTTTATCGAGCCGGGGATGAGGCTGCCTCTGTGCTACCTCGATTTACGCAAGAGGTTGGTGAGATTGAAAAGGGCGTGACAGATATTGTATCGGACACGCAGAAATTGCTGGATGAAACACTCCCTCCGGTCGTGGATGGGATTGATGGACTTCTTGAAGAGGTCGAAACCATCACGAAGAAGATCAGTTCCGACTATGAACATGTTCTCGGGCTGCCCAACAATCAGAAGGCGCTGGCTAATGCATCGAGGCTTGCCTTAAGTCATACCAAGGACCTTCTCCCATCACTCCGAGATATAAGCGTCGAACTGCAGGCCGGAGGTATCGAGGCTGTTCAGCGACGCAACGCCGCTGTGAGAATATCGCTAAGCCACATGCGAGCCATCTCATTAATTGAGTCGCGTTTGGCGGACGTCCAGGCCCAATTAATCAACCTCGATATCAACAGTGACTCGTTTGACGCAATATACGTTGTTTTTCACATGCCAATGGTGTACGGGTCGATCTTGATTGAATCTGTACGTCGGCGAGAATGGAATACCAAGATGAAGAACGACTCTGCAGCGTTGGCAGAGGAAATGGCTGTCCTGCGGGACGAAGAGCAGCGTCGGAGAAAGAAATGGTTGAAGAATATGGGTGAATTTGTCTCGCTGCCCGATTCCACAACTCTGAGCATCGAGGTCAATCTACAGGGACAGGAGCCCGAATGGCCCGAGGTGTCTCGGAAGGAGGTAGAGGCCTATATCGAAGATATCAAAACCAAACCAGGCATGGATACTTTGGCTGAAGAGCTATCCCAACTCTACAAGGAACTGGATGCTCCAACCCGCCAACAGCGGCGCAGAGCCAAAGCCTTCAAGCAAGGTAGCGTTTTTGACATGAGCCGAAGTTCTTTGCTTCTTAGAGGCGACGACATGATCCGAAGTCTGCAAGAAGAAAAGTCCAAACTGGAAGAACGTCTCAAGGGCTCCGACAGCCGTGTTCGCAAATTGGAAGATCTCCTCCACCGCCAGAGTCAACTGGGACGACCTGTAAGCGGGAATTTCGGGATCGACTTTCCTACCTCGCCAGCTTCACCTCTTCCCGACCCCCTTTCGAGGAGATCCTCTGTCTCATCGAGACGGATGTCCTCCAACCAGTCTCCAGAAGACAAGGCCCTTGTTCAACGCATTGCTCAGCTCGAAGCCGAGCTGGCCACCGAGAAAGAGACTGTGCAACGAATGCAGAAGGAAGCCCACGCGGAACGCCAGTCCAACACAGATAAGTTCCAGGAAGCACAGTCCACCAAGAAGGATCTCATGGAGAACCTCGAAGCTCGCCAGCAAGAGTTCGATGTCGAGCGCAGGTTTCTGGAAGGAGAAGTCAAGAAGTACCGGCTCCGTGTCGAGGAAGTCGAGGAGGAACTCGACAGAACGATGGATGGCCACCAACAAGAACGACAGGAGACCGAGGAACAGATCCGTAACCTGGAGAACGAACTGCATGACGCCCGTAACGAGGTCGCGGAAGAGACCGAGAAGTTGACCAATTTGAATGAGGAAGTCAATTCCCACAAGGCGGACAAAATTCATTTGCAATCTAGGATCGACGAATTAGAAAAACATGAAAAGGAACTGGCAAGGAAAGACCAGGAAAATCTCAGTTCTTTACAGGCTATCTACGTGAGCTTGTCTCCGGGAGGCTCTGCGCCGGCCGATCATGCTAGTCTTATCAAAGCGATCGAGGTGATTTCCGAAGGCCTATCGATCCATGTCAAGACTACAGAAGAGAATCTGGCCAAGGCGCTCGCCGAAGGAAAAGAATTCGAGGAACGTGTGTCCCAGATGGAAGCCGCCGCGACTCAAGCCGAGAAGACCGTGACCGAGCGTGACGCCGAAAATACCCAACTGAAGGCTGAGCTGGCCCAGGAGCAATCCGTTTTGTCTACCGTCACGGCCGCATTGAACGAGGAACGGTCGAGACTGAGTACCCTACAGTCTCAACTTGCCGCTGGCGAGACCGGTTCCGATGCCCTCCGAGAACGTGTCGCTGAAGAACAACAGAAGCTGGCAGACCTGTGCGAGAGACTCTCAGATGTCGAGTCGCAGGCCCGCCAATCTGAAGCGGAGGTTTCTGCGTGGAAGGACAAAGTGATCGCCCTGTCTGAATCTGAGCAGCAAACCGCGGCTCTGATGAGGGCGCGTGGCCTGCGGTCCGAGGACCTTTCCAAACAACTTCTGACGCAAGTGGAAAAGCTGGTACGGATGCTCGAGCAGCTCGGATTCACTGTTACACGGCAGGATAACGTCATCTCCGTTCAGAGGACATCGAAAGTCAACGCTGCTTCTTCGACCTTGGGCGAGAGCATGACACAATCGACTGCAACCTCCGTGAAACCCGATGCCGACCTCTTGAATTGGGTCCGGGCACGAGACGCCGAGGAAGAAGCGACCAAGTTTGCGGCTTTTATGGAGTGTCTCTCCCAGTTCGACGTGGATACGTTCGGGGAGGCGGTGGTGAAACGGGTCAAGGACATTGAGCTGCTTGCCCGGAAGTGGCAGAAAGAAGCGCGCGGTTACCGGGACAAGTATCACCGCGCGCAGAGCGAGGCGCATGAGAAGATTGCCTATCGCTCGTTCAAAGAAGGGGATCTGGCCCTGTTCCTGCCAACTCGCAACCAGGCAATCCGGTCATGGGCGGCATTCAACGTCGGTGCTCCGCATTACTTCCTGCGCGAGCAGGACGTGCACAAGCTCTCGGCCCGGGACTGGCTGCTGGCACGGATCACGAAGATTGAAGAGCGTGTAGTCGATCTCTCCAGGTCGATGAGCGTCGCCACGAATGCCGACCGGCGCTCGGTTGGCGGGATCAGCGATACCACTTCTTTCGACGAGGAGAACCCCTTTGAACTCTCCGACGGCCTGCGCTGGTACCTTGTCGAGGCGACGGAGGAGAAGATCGGCGCGCCCACGACGCCGGGCCTAAGCAAAACAACGGTGGCCTCGGCGAATGTCGACGTCCGGGGCAGCATCCGCCTGAAACGGGCGGCGAACGGGGGTACCGTCGCGAAGACACTGACGCGCAGCCTGGACAGCCGCCGCAACAGCTCCACATCGAAGAGAGGCCCGTCAACGCCCAACCCGCCGTCATTACCAGCCGGGGAGTCGTCGGGGGGAGGAGATCGAGTACGACCGGCCCCGGCGGATGCTGCCACCTCAGCCTCCCAGCTCCGTGAGACGGCCCCGATCTTCGACGAGGTTCGCAGAGATCTTCTAATGGGCCCTTGAAAAGAGAGAAAAAAGACACACATTCATACTCTTTACCTCTTCTTTTTCTCTCACCCCCCTTTCTTTTTTCTTTCAAAAAGGGGCCCTTTCTGGTACGGGATGGGCTGACTGGCGAAACAGGGCTCGGGCTCGGGCTCGCTCTGGGCTGAATCCGCCGCACGAGAGCTGTCAGCGTCAGCGTCAGCGTCGGCGTCGGCGTCGAAATTCCTGACGCCTTCCTCTTCCATTGTCCTCGCTCCCAACGGCCGCGGGGACTCGTCGCGTTCGACCTCGTCCAGATACCAGCACGCCGCAAAGCCGCGGCCATGGGAAAAGCTCTGGTCACTGGATTACCGGTTAGAAGGGGGGAATCGATAGACCTTTTTTTTACTATTTTTTTTTCTTTCTTATCTTGGGTAGTATATCTTAGTTGGTCACTGGGGGAAGGGGGAGGGGAGTTTACATTTATATGATAGCCATCGGAATTCATCAGTAGTGTATCTGAATACGATAGATACCCATGGATTTTTTTTTTAAGTAATAATATACAATGTGATTTACATAGTGTGAGGTGCAAAGGGCAAACACAATTCAGTCTAGCTCAGGAATGCCTTCCATGCCGCCTACATCCTGCCAGAAGCGCGCAAAGTCGACGTTGGCGTCTTCGAAGAGCTTCTTGGCCTGAAGCATGGCGGCGCGCTGGCGGTCCGGCGTAAAGCCGCCGGGCTGGGTACTCTCGTACTGGATGAGCTCGACCCAGCGGAAGAAGAGGTCTTCCTTGCCCATGGCAACGAGCTTGTCGCGGAAGGCGAGGATCTGGTCGCGCTGGGTGGAGCGGGTTCGGCCGGCGGCGGTGGTGTCCTGGTCGCCGACGTGCCAGATGAGCCAGCCGTCGGCGTCGGTGTGGACGAGGACGGCAGTGCGGAATTCGTCGAGGGGCACGCCTTCACCCTTGCGGGTTGCGTCGACGAGGACATGCGCGCGCAACATGGCGTCGTAGTCGAGGTCCCAATCTGCGTCGCTGAGCAGGTGGCCCGTCTTCGCGATGCGGTCGGGGGTCACCGCCGCGACAATCCGATCGCGGGTCGCCTCGTCGTCGCGAATCCACCGGTTGCGCTCCAGCTTGGCACTCCAGCTTGGCTTGCTGCGCCGCACGATCACCTCGTGCTCCCGGAAGCCGATCGTACGCCGGCAGTAGACCGGTCCGCGCACGAACTCGACCGGCCAGGACGCGAAGAGCACCACGATGCAGTAGTCGAGCAGTATCGTGCCGGTCCGCTTCAGGATGATCCACACCAGCTCCCCCCATGAGCTGGTGGCTGTGTCCACCGCCGCCGCCTGTCCAAACAACGAGGCCAGCATGTCCGGGTATGTGTAAAGACCCATGTACACCCGCAGTGTGATTATAGCGATGATCACGACGTTCAGCACCACCGACGTACTGAACGTCTGCTTCTTCACATCGGGAGACGTCCCGTCAATATGCACGAGGTACACTTCGCTCGTCGATAGCGGTGCTAGGAACGGCTCTAGGCTGGCGGATGCCTTGACAAAGGGCGGGAGGGGGCCGGCGGCGCTGGACCGTGAGCTCGGCGTCGAGGACCCGGAGGAGGTAGACGGTGAGGGCGTCGACTTGGCCTTTGCATTTCGTTTGGCAGATTTTGCCATTGCGTTTGATTCGAGCTTCTCAACGAAAGAAATTGAACAAAAAATATAGACTCGTCAAGATTCACTTAGCCATGTATGTGTGGATCAAAGAACCTGTCTGACGACGACTTGACCGGCTGATCCGGGCACATGAACGTGTCTTGCGATCACTATGATATACCTGAGCGATTCTGTGATACCAAGAAGCTTTCAGAGGCCACCAGACAGCTGCAATGTTCGCTGGTTCTTGTGCAAATTCCTCTTTTCTTTGCAACACGTCGTCGAGAGACTCAAAAGACTCAAAGAGGCGCTCAAGTCATGTGCTATGACGCTTTTCTATTTTGGGCAGAACCGCTTCTCTCCGCCCCGCTAAACCCCTTTGGGCGCCAGGCGGGATTCCGCCCAGCCTCAAGACGCGTCGCTGACTTTACTTGGAGACGGCCGAAGTGAGAGCCAGGCGGAGCGAAAGCAAACGAGTAGTGAATGGTGCTTGCTGCAAAGCCTCGAAAGGACCTCCACTGTGCACCATGTCGACGCCAGACCGCGATCTTGACCGCCCATACTCGACGCGTCGCAGCAACGAGCCGTACGGGTCTCCCTTTCGTCGAGCACGCCTTGAGAGTCGCGTAGGGAGCTACACCGACGCTTCTCGCATCCCCAGCCCGTCACCGAAACAAGGAACACGCTCACGAAGACAATTTGGGCAGACAAGGACGTTAAGGGGGGCTTTTGAGGCTGCGTCGCGGGCAGTCGCAAGTCCCATGAGCATGTCGGACGGTGACCAATTGGCACAGACGACGCCCAGTCCACATAGGAGGAGGCCGCGGGTGAACAGCTGGAAATCGCCGGGATCGGATGCATCGGCTCCGCCTAGAGAGCTGGCAGAATCCTACCAAAGGATCAACGATGCGTTCTCGTTGTCCGATCTGGTAGAGCAGGAAGATCAGTCCCAGCTCGAAGAGACACGAAAGAACTGGGGAGGAGGGAATAATCGGGACCTATTCGATTTGGGAGTCGGGTTTGCGGATGAGATCCATGGCGAGCCGCGACCTACCCGGTTAGCAGATCATGCGAGAGATGAGCAGCGGCTGCGGAGAGCGACCTCAAGTCGCTCGCCCGTATTCAGCAGGGCCCAAATGGGTGCTCAGGCAGCGCTGACGGCGGAAAACCTACAACGACGTGATGGGGAAATCAACCAACAGAAGGCGGAGGACGGGGGGGGGCATGAGCCTTCGTTGAATCTCCCCCGGAGCTGGGGTAGTCGTGGGAGGAATCTGGACTGGCTGAACAGTATTGACCACCAGGCTGAGACTGGATCGCCAGATGTGAATATGGCCCCCCGGGCTTCATACTCCAAGTTTGGCGCCGAGATTGATTCCAACACGCGATCTCTGCAGCCCACCGATCAATCACAAGGAGGGAAACAGTCAGAGAAGTTTAGCCATCATCGAACTCGTACAGCCAGCACGTCAGGCAAAGCCCAAGTCAACGACTCATACAAAGATACAGCAGAGGGGAATGCCATCCCGGACACCCCGATCGTGATATACAAGAATTCTACGTTCAATAGGCCGAGTCCGTCGAAGAGAGATTCGCAAGATCTGCTGCGAAAATTGGCAAGAGTAGAGAGCCCCAATCAAGTGAAGACACCGGAACCGCAAAAACCCACTGAATGGCATATCTACGATAAAACCCCCGTTGTCACAGGCGCGTGGGTAGATACTCCGATAACTGAGCGACGAGAAGATCGCATCATGAAGGAGGCCGAACCGACAATGCAAGCTATCTCAGAAGAAGAGGTGCAACAACAACAAGAAGAAGAACAACAAAAACCAGAAACTGGATCTTCTATCGATAACAAGCCTCAACCTACCCCCCAGGATCCACCCTCGAAGCCTGAGAAGCAGACAGAGTCGCAAGAGCCAGTACCGGCTCCAAAAGACGTGAAAAAACAACCGCCAAAAAAGCGAGCTGTGATCAAACCAACCCTCCCAAAAAGTGCATTGGAAACAATAATCAAAGCTGCCAAGTCAGACAAGGATCTCGATCTCGGAGACGACACGATCGAGTCTCTCCAACAGTTGCTCTTAGAGGAGGAGGCACCATCCAAGCTGAAGACCGAGGAAGAGGAAGACGAGGCTTATAAACAGGCCATCCTCGCAAAGCTTGGGTCTCCTCCGCTGAACGACAGTGAGATGGCCGATTTCGACCGGCTAGATGCCAAGCTTCTCTCGCTGGCTCGGGGGATGGAGGAGGTGAAGCAAGGAATGAACAACCTGGGGGTGCAGGTGTCTCACTACACGAGCAGCCTCACCTCTCCGACTGTTGCCACTAATAAGAAGAACCGCACAAACGGCGGGTCAAGCTGCCATGAGTGCGGCGCCGGCAGCAACAATCTACAGGCTTCCTCGATCCGCCTCCCACGTCTCTGGACCCGGAACCAACCGACGGGACGGACACGTCCGACGCGGCTCGGATGGGCAACGCTCATCTTTACAGCTTGGTTGCTCACCGAGTCCACCATGTGCGACCTCTACTGCCATCCGAACGTGTCGACAGTGTGCAAAGGAAACTGCCTGCGGCCCGATGCCCCGGATTTCCCATTTGTACTCCCCATCATGCTGTGGCGCTGGTCGCGCCTGTCAAATATTCTAGCCCCCCTGTTTGCCGTCTTTGTCGCGTGCGGCCGGCTCATCGCACAACTACTGGGCATCTGGGACGGCTACGTGGAAGACGTGCCACGACGGCCTCCAAATCTGACGGCGGGGGAGATACGTCTGCACGGCACGGTGGTGACACAATTCCCTGCCGTTGCGACTGCGAATGTGCCGGTGAAGGAAGAATGGCTAGGACAGAGGCAATCGACCGATGGATGGGAGGATTATCAGTATTCTATGGAGGATGACGAGATTCTTTAGCGTTGAGTATGTAACGTAACTTTCAGTTGGATCAATACCCTAATTCTTCGCTATATCAAAACTATATGACATGACAATTATTTACTTTGCTATGTGGTATCTCGTGTAAACTAATAAGCAATCAGCATAATACAGGGTACAAGATGTCCTCTATTTCTGCAGCTCTTTCTCGCCCTCAACCCGCCAATGCTTTGCGTTGCGCAGGAGTTTGTCGACCTTTTCGTCGGAAGGTAATTCCACCTTATCGAGGGGGGTGACTTTAGTGGTCTTTTGGTGTCTGAACTCGATGAAATCAACGCATCCGGTTCTTCTTCCAGCACTGCTGTCTTGCTCCGCTGCTTCTCCAGCTGCTGCCACAACCTTTCCAGCGGCAAGATCCCGATAAAAGGACGCACAACCCTCGAAGTAGCGATCGCTACCGCGTGTGCCTTGCATGACCAGGCCGAAACAATGCGGCATTCCCTCGAACTGCTCAACGCAAACGGCGACCCCCGCCCCGTGCATCCTGCGGGCGAGCACAAGGCCTTCATCCGCGAGCTCTTCTTCGCCCATGGATATAAACACGGGCGGGCAAGTCTTCCACAGCTCGGTGTGTGCCGCGACCGGAGAGGCGAGCGGGTGTATCACTGCGGTGGCGTTGGTGTACATGTCCACGCGCGGCGGGGAGCAGGGCCACACCTCATCCGCTGGAACGGGGGCGGGCAAGTACGGGGCATCAGACGGCTGAGTCGGGGGTGGAAGGTAGTCGAGGTACGCGTTGGAGGACACCGAGGGCATGGAGCGAGAGATGTCGCACCAGGGGGAGGTGAGGGCAGCACCCTCCGGCAGGTCGATGGGCACCTGTTTGCCGTGGAACTGCACCGAGGCGCCTCCCTCGCCGATCCGCCGCAGCGTGAGTAAGGTCTGGAGCAGGCCGAGCGCGAGATTGCCTCCCGCCGAGTCGCCGGCGAGGACGATCTTGTTGGCGGGCACGGCGGTATGGAACGAGCCCGGGGGAGGAGACACCAGCGACAGGTACGCCACCAGGGCGTCCACGATGGCCGCCGGGAAGGGGTTCTGAGGCGACAGGCGATACCGCACGGAAAGCACAGGAGCGCCTGTCTCTTTCGAGAGCCGCGAGACGGAAACCCGATGGGTAGAGGGATCCATCAAACTAAAAGCATGAGCATACTGTACTGTAGAAATCTTTTCTTTTCTTGAAAGTGGTTTCTTCTCACAAATGAGCCCCTCCATGAAAGTAGAGAATGACCGTATCGGTCGTCGTTTCATCCTTCAAAGCTTTGTACTTCTCCTCATCAGAGAGATCCGGCCAGGGAGCGTTCTTACTGACGCCGCTTCGATAGCCAGTCCATTCAGCCTCGACAGGTAAGACAGCGGGAATGTCGAACGTCTCGTCGCCGACCTTGAGAGCCTCGATCGCGCGTACCACCGCGTCTCTCACGTCTGGCTCCGGCGCCGGCAACACCACCTTGGACACCCACAGGGGGCCCTGGAGGCCCGTCTCGCGCATGCTGGCCCTCTGCTGCTTGCCGATGGGCTGCAGGGGCTGCTCCATGATCGACCGGATGAGAGTGACGGTCAGTTCGGTGCGCAGATCCTGCTTGCCGGATCCAGGCGAGAGGTGAAGTCCATGGAGAATGGCTGTCTTGATGAGCAGCGGGATATGCGGCAGCAGCGTCGTGAGCGTCGTACTCATGATGGCGGGTGGTTTGGAGATTGGTTGGGAAGGAAATCTCTCCAAGTCCTGTCCTCTCGACGAGACTCAAGGACGCAAGGTCTTTCCTTGAGACCCTCCTTGAAAGGGGGGCGGCTTGAGGCTAAGTTAAGCCAGCCTAGGCTAAGATTCTCATGGTTGTTGTTATAGGCTGCGTCATCCATGTGAAGTCGGCATAAATGTACAATTCTGTTATCTATACATGGAGTGGCAACATAAAGTACCAAGACTAGAACTATGTAGTATGAAGTAACTAACTAATGTTCATTAGTCATTTACTACGGAGTATATATTATTTGGTATAACCTTTGAATAGTCTTGAATTGAATAGAGTGGAGTTCTTGAAATATGTGCAGAATTAGCCAGAAGTATAAACCACTCACTTGATGCGCATGATGAACATCACGATCAATGATCTGAACTTTTCGAAGCAGCAGACTCCTCCATTTCATCGCTGGCTTCCAGAGCCCTCTGTCGTGGATCGAGAGCCTTCCTGTACACCTGCTCCTCCTCTTCCTTGAGTCCGTAGCCTGACGGATCTCTGCGCATGAGAAACCCCTGGACCCGTGCGTCTGTCGAGTCCATCTGCGTGACGGTCTGATGACGCCGGCCCGTCAGGAAGCGCATGGACTCCTCGTTGATCTCCCGCAGCCGCTGCTCATACCCGGAGCTGTACTGGCTGATCCAGGAGGCATGTAGCGCCCCGCCCAGCAGCGTCAGCAACACGATGAACGCCGTGAACGTCCGATTGTCCACCGAGTGCCGCTGCTTGGGCTGGTGTCGGTTGTGCCATTTCTCCCAATCCTCCCATGTTGCATTGCTATAGATCGGCCCATAATCTCGCTCTCCATACCGGTACGACGGCGTAGACGGCGAAGACTTGCCGGCATCAGGCGAATGAGCCCATCCAGTACCGGACTGGTCGTACGCCGCTCGTTTCTCGGGGTCGGACAGGATCTCGTGGGCCGTCACCAACAGCCGGTACCGATACAGCCGTACCTCGGGCGAGATCTCGCGGCAGAGTGGATGGCCGTTGCACGACCGGTCTGGGTGGTAGACCTTCACCAGCTCGTAGAACCGACTCTTTGAGTAAGGGTCGCCCCGTTTCTGATGGAACACATCGTACGGCGTGAACCCGGAATGCGTGGGCCACGTGTAGGCACTGCCTGCTGGGCTCTGCGTGGCATAGAACCGTCCCGGTCGTAGCCGGGGAGGATGAGGTCGAGGCGGCGACGATGAGAGACACGGATTCAGAAGCGGAGGGAGTCCGCCAGATCCGATGAGTAGATGTTTCTTAAGCATGGCCGCATTGTTTCCAAGGAAGGCAGCACGCCTCCCACCACCAGGAATGGATTGTTGTGTTGAGGGGAATAACAATACCGGCTCAAGTCCCCCTCATCTGCCGTCATTTACGTTATGGCCGGGTCACGTGATTGGCGGAGAGCTTCAGCCTCCAACCTTCCGTCTGTCACAACTGCAGAGAAAAGCCTCTTGACCAGCCCCTCCTAGGCCCGGTTGACTACAAGCATGATACGCCCCGAAGAGGAACGCAGCGATCGAAACCACCGTCGAAGTCGCTCGCCGACAGACTCAGATCGGAGACGCCGAGCTCGAGAAGAGGATTACAGGGACAGCTATCGGGGCTCTCAGTCCGATAGTCGCCGACGACGAAGCTCCAAGAGCCCGACTCGAACCAGCAGCCGGAGAGACCGCGACTCTCGCCATCGAGAGAGCGATTCACGACATAAAGACTACGACTCCCGCCACCGTGAACGTGAACGTGAACGCGATGAGCGGCGCAGACGACACCACGACGACAGCCGACATGACGACGACAAGGAGCGATCCTCGCGACGACGACGAAGCACATCGCGGACACGCACTGGGCGGTCGTCACCACAGCCCTTGCAGCGATCAGGCCGGCCTCTCCCTTCCCAGGCGGACGCCTTCACAACCGAAGTGACCAAGTCCGGGTCCGGCGAGATCTCGACCGACGGGAATCTACCCACGGAGAAGGAGAAGCCGAATTACGGCAACACAGGCCGGCTGGCGGCTGAGAGCAACACGGTGGCCGTCCACGGTGGCGGGACTGTGGTGCTGAAGTACCACGAGCCACCGGAGGCGCGCAAACCACCAGCCAAGGAAGCCTGGCGACTCTACGTGTTCAAAGGGCAGGATCTACTAGAGGTGGTGGAGCTGGGCGAGCGCAGCTGCTGGCTGATCGGACGCGAACGCTTGGTGGTGGATTTCCCCCTCGACCATCCAAGCTGCTCAAAGCAGCACGCTGCCCTGCAGTTCCGCTTCGTGGAGAAGAAAAACGAGTACGGCGACCGCATCGGGAAAGTCAAACCGTACCTCATCGACCTGGAGAGCGCCAACGGGTCCAGCCTCAACGGCGACAAGGTCCCGGGGGGGCGCTACCTCGAACTCAAGGATAAAGACGTGCTACGCTTTGGTCTGAGTTCGCGGGAGTACGTCCTGATGCTTCCGAATGAATAATAAGATAAAAATGATACCCTTGCAATATCAAAAATCATTGTACTTATTTTACATCACTGAGATCTATGTGCATTTACACCCCCATCTTGCCCGACACCTCATGCGCCTTCCCCTTGGCCTTCCCTATGGCCTCCTCCGCTTTCCCCTTTCCCCGACCGGCCAATTCCTCTGCATCCCCCTTCAATTCCTGGCTTTTACCCTTGACCTCCGAGCCTTTGATACCGAGGGTATCTTTGGCTTTCTGAGTCGCCTCCTCTGGTATGGGTTAGAAAAAAATCCCAAGCTATGTCCGTGTCAGACGGGTACGTACCCCCCACTTCAATCCCCTTAACCGCTACATCGGAGACGAGACGGTCTGCTTTCTTGAGCGTATCTTTAGTCGTCTCGACGGGTCCCTTGCGCAACGTCGCGGTGCAGCTGATGGGTCTCGTAAGAGCTGGGCTGCTTCGGATGAGGATAGGAAGTCGAACGCGCGTGATGGATGCCATTGTGGGTAGTATATTAGAGATAGGATTTAATGATTAATTCAATATTTCATTTGATATATTCTACTAAACGCATCCAGTCTTGGTATCTTGCTTCTACTTTATACTTCATCTCGATCGACGTAGGCATTACGTCGGTATAGTGTCATTGTTGATGCTTAGTAACCAAACAGGGATATCGACATCATCCATTCATTCTTGAAGAGAACGTAATTCCAGAAAACCAGTATTCCATTGAAGTACTCTATACTCTATTATTAATCTGTGCTGTATTCTGATGTATGGTATTGTATTATTTTGTATCAGTTTCCTCATTGCTAAGAATAAAGAATCATCATATCACAATCGAGTATAAGGGGTATCATCAACAATAACAAGCAAGAACAGTTGAATAGAAAAAATAAGAAAGGGTCTATATCTAGCCTATACCTCACTAGCATGCTAGTTTTAAACTCCTTAGATGCTGAGCAGAATGTTCTGTGGGTAGTCATAGCAAGAAGAGGAAGAAGAAGAGAAGAAAGAAGTAGAAAAATTAATAAAGGAAGGAAGAAAAGGGGAAAAATGGATATGGGAAGATACAAGGGAAAAAGAAAGCATAGGTAAATAGAAGAAGAGAAGAGAGAGTGAAGACGACTGAAGCATTCTTATGGCAACCGCATACCAAGCCCGTGGTAATCAGGTCGAGGGGGTGAGCTCCCACTCCGGGGCCTGAGACCGTAGTCATTCTGCACAGAGACGAAGTCATTCTGCACGGAGGCGTAGTCGTTCTGTTGGGGGACATAGCTGTTCTGCATGGCGAGGATTGTCTCGTGCGGGATAGCCTCAGAGGGATAGGAGTATGGCATGAGTCGAGGGTTGTGCAGGTGGGCCGGATGATACGCGGCGGCCAATTCAGCCTCGAATCGGTAGTCGTACGCCAGGAAACGTGAATCGACAGAAGGCCCTAGTGCTGGGGCTGGGGCTGGATGCGGCGGTCCCGCAGCGTAAAGACTCTCCGCTTGCAGAGCACGGGCAAAGTGTACATCCCCGATCCAGCTGCCAGTGCCGGAGATCGCTTGGTGCTGAGGTGCAACCTGGGAAACGCCGGGAAACACTTGGCTGTTCGAAAGCACAGGCGAAGCGCGGTACCGGACCGGCTCGGTCGACCAGGAAGCACGAGATCGTCCCGAAGCGTCTCTGGACATGGGCTCTCCCATTGGGTCAGAGACATGGGTCTTTGCCCGCTCGTACTCGATCGAGGGGGGTGATGTACCGGGCATGATCGCGGACGGGTGGGCCTCTGGATTCATAGGCGAGGATGCGGGCCGACGGATAGCGGACAGTGGAGAAGGGCCAGTAGAACTCGGGTGCCGGGACCGCGTGACGGTGATGTTTTCTTCATAAGGAAGAGGCGACACGATGGTTCTGACGCACGGCATGCTCGCAGACATGTCTTGCGCTTGGAAGGGCCGCACAGCCGAAGGATGACGGGTGTGATTCTGTGAAGAGGGTGCCGTCCTCGCAGCCAAGGGAGCGGCAGCATACTGGTGGCTGGTGGCATCACGGTTCGCAGACTCGTGCCCGGGCTCACTGTACGTGGACTGCATCATCAGGTCTTGCTTGAACTCAGGTCCCCCCAGGGTGGAGGACGGTTGGAGATTGCTGCCTCGAGGTTGCAACGACTCGGCAGACGATTGATTCTGTAGACCGAGAGGAACGGGGAGTCTGTGCGGACCACCAGGTGGAGTAGATGGGTTTGATAATGGCGAGATCTCGGGCATGGCAGGTTGGACGAGATGGTGACTCTCTCCGCCAGAGCGAGGCGAGCTGGCCAGCTGAACGGCCGCCAGTGCCTTTTCTGCCTCAGATGTCACCGATAACGGCCGTTTCGTATCCTCCGTATCTCTTGAACGGCTGGATCTACCCTCGCCTTCAATGGAAGAGAGCTTCACCAGAGAAGGCACGGTTTTGCCAATTTGATGGGGGAATCGGATCCGTTGTTTGGAGCTTCTGGCCCGGACAATTCTAGCCCTGGTTGGCCTTCCGACCCGCCCATTCGGAGGGCTAGACGGTACAGATGAAACCTTTCTCATTCTAGCAGTATCCTGGCTGGTGTTGGATACGATAGAAAAGGTGCGGTGAGCACGCCGACGGCTGCGGCCGCGGCCTTCTCTATCAGATTCGTAGCCCATTTCGTGTGCCAAACGGTGCCGAGACACTCGGTAGATATGCGGCGGGAACGGACCGAAATTGAACTGATGCGGAGGCAGAGAGATATCGTCTGGCGATTCCACCGTGGGCGATGCCTGGTCGGTCCAGTCCAGAGTCAATTGTCGCGAGGGGCCCTCATCCGTTGACGACTCGGGCAGAGACGAGGACGAGCTGCTTGAACGATCAAAGACGGATTTCTGGGTCCGAGCCGCTTCGGGGCTGTCACTCGGTGACATGTGATTGATCTGGACTGCGACACTTCTCAGGAGTTGTCTCAAGTCGGCTCGCGCATCGCGCACACTTGTCGATTTCAAGGCCATTCGCTTAGGGAACAGCTCGAGGATATGCGAAGCCTGGGTCTCGTACTCGCGAAAGTCGGTCACCAGTCCACAGTCTTGGTAGTAGTCGATTCGCTCCCGGGCGTTCTCATACGACTGGCGGACAACCTTTGTGGCCACGACGATCCAGGAGTCATAAAACCCCATCTCGTTTGCTTCCGGGACAAACCCCTTGAGCCTGCGTTCCTCATCCATGATCGTGAGCTCATCTCTGCAAAACCGCTGAACGACACTGTGCAGCCTCAGCACATCGACGGCGTTCGATCCCGAGTCCTTGTTCTGGCCCTGGACTTGGGAAGAGAACGACGTCTCAGGGCTGCTTTCTCCCGTGAACGAGTCCGACATCTCCCACGACTCGCTGGATTTGGGAGCCATGGCATCTTCCCCGTCGGATCGCTGTGAAGTACCCTTGGAAGAGAAGCTGCCCTTGTTGTACACGTCATTGTTATTGAGTCTCAGCAAAAGCCCATATCGGATCAAAACTCCCAGTGTAGTGTCAATATCGCCGGGCTCACCTGGCCGGCTGCTCTTGAAAACAGGGACATTCCAGGCCTCAAGGGCCATTTTACCCAGGGTGATCAGTGCGGTCGGTACATAGTGCCCAAAGAAGGACAGCAGGTTGATCAGGTTCAGCGCTTCAAAGTGACGCATGCGGTAGAGATCGTGCATGATCCCCAAGTAGGGCTCGGCTAGCTTCTCATCCGTCAGATGGGAGTTGATCCCGTACCGTTCGATGGGCTTTGCTGTTGCGTTCAAACGGTGGGCAATGGCACGGATGGCCAGAGGGAGGCACTCGTAGTGTTTTACCAAGTCCGTAGCCTTGCTTATCTGGTCAGGAGTCGCGCCCTTGATCCCAAGATGCTTGAAGAGCATCTCGCGGGCCCTTTTCGACTCCAAGGGTTGGACCCGGATGATATACGGCTCAAAGAGTCGGTGCTTTTTTTGAAGGGTGATGTCCACCGATGTATAGATGATGGTACAGTTCTTATTGAAAGGAAGAAATCGCCGGATGTGGTTCAGGTCTTCATCGTTGTTGAAGGTGATGCCGTCAAAGATGAGCAGCCAGTACTCCCTAGATTGCAACCAATTGCGCACCGCATCGACAAACTTGGTAGGGGCCCTCCAGCTGGGGTCATCGAACTCTTTGGCCTTGTCCGCCGCGCCCGCCTGCGCAATGTCCCAGAAGCTCTTGTAGATCGACTCCCAGGATTTGGAATCAACCCAAAAGAGGCCTCCCGGATATTCCGCATGAAAGCGCCACGCGAATTGCCGGGCAAGATGGCTTTTCCCAGCACCGGCAACGCCACAGATCACAGCGGTCAAAATACGGTCCGCTCGCTTTGGATTGTCTAGAAGCCGCTCTGTTAACTTGGCCAACTCTTTTTCCATACCGAAGAAGTCTTTGTTGGGATGGAATCCAGGAGGAGCGACGACAATGAAGTTTGGAGGACCAGAGGGGGCCTTGCTAATGCCTATCAATTCCAGGTTAGGCGAGTTGGAGGCGGTTCTATCAGAGATTTGCAAGGCAGGAGGCAGGGGACTCCCTAGAAATTGAGAAAGAAAAAAAAAAGATATAAGAGTCAGCCTAATTGATTGCCGAAAGATCAAAGACTAAAGTTGGTTTATTGGAAGCAAGAGCATGTATAGTATAAGCAACGAAGAGAAGCTCCCCCCATCGACCCCAGCTTCAAGATGAATGGGAAAGATCGACATGAAGATGTGAAACAAGAATCAGGACAAGAAGTGTTGGCGTTCAAAGACTGGGAGAGAGGACCGTTCGGCCGGTTCCTCGATTTCATAGTCCTTCACGGTGATCATACGAACATGCTCGGGGGGAGGAGATATCCTACCGGACAATCCTATCTCTGAACCTCTTGGAGCAGCCGCCCCATCTAGGCTCCCGCGAGGTCAGCAACAGGATGATCCGGAGGCATCTTGGGGGAAAAGCATTCTTTTTGGAAAAAGAAAACAGATGCCACTAACCAGTGAAAACTTCATTTGCCTTGCTCTGCCTCTCGAGGAGACGGACCTTCCTCTCATCCACCCAGCGCTCAGAGATCCTAGCGGGAGCTTCGCGCGAATACCGCAGCAAGGCCTCAGCGACGGCCTCGAAGCCCGGTGCATTTTCATCTTGGAACTTGCACATATGGCTATGGTCAGCCTCGATGCCCATGCGTTCAACGCCGTCAAGATAGGGCGCAGCAGAGCTTTCATCGACGATGATCTCACGAATGCCCTTGAGGTCCGTGGAGCGGGTCTCGTGGAAGAAGTAGATGTGAAAGCGGCTGATGATATCGGCGAAGAGACTGTTGATGTTCTGCAGCGTTTCGTTGTTGGTCTTGAGGGCTGCGATCAGCTGGGGGGACGACTCCATGAACTTCCTGGGCAGCACGGCCGCGCAGATGTTCTGCAGCAGCAGCCCCCATTTGGCAACGTCGGACCCGTTGTGCGGTGTACCAAGAAAGAGAATTCCATACGTCGAGACGTAGACGGACCGCAGATGCTCGATCTTCTCGTTGGTGACGCTTCGGCAGTAAATCAGGGCACGCTTGACCACCAGACCACCTAGAGAATGGCAAACAAAGATGATCGGTCGTTCGGAACATTCTCGAAGCTATCAATCACATTAGTTCTTGGATTGAGTTAATAGATCCAATTGATACACCATAAATAGGCAAAAGAAAATACGCACACTCCTATTAGCAGCCAGCCCGGAAACGAGGGTCTCAGCATGATTATGGATCTTATCCTTGGAGGCCCCGTCTGTGAAAGCCGTAACATTTGCGTTGTAGCCATAAGTCAGGATACGGACACGCTTTGCTTCAAGAAAGGGTGGGAGCAGGTCTGCAGGCCAGAAGACGCCCGAGTCTCGATGCGTCCATGTGTCTTTAGGGTTGCCATTCAGACCGTGCACGAAGACGATACTATTTGGTTCGAGAGATGATTAGTTTAAACGCTTGGCTTGGCGGCATCTTCATTATCCTCCACCAGATTCACCAGTTGTGCGGGGGAAAGAGTCTTACTCGACGAGGGGCTCTTTGGAGGAGAAGACCTGGGTAAGGCCGAACTGTTTGACGGTAGCCATCTCCAGTTTCCAGTTCTTTCGCCAGAGCTCGCTGTTTTCATGACACAAGAGTCCCCATAGACAACTGGAGGGAAAATGGCAGAGAAGATATACAGAGAGAGAGAGAGAGAGAGGAGAGAAAAACAGTGAGGGGAGCGGAGGGGCTTCAGCAGGGGAAGCTAAATAGGGAAGCGTGCCTGCGCCCCGTGAGCGGCTCAGCTGGTCATTCACTCCCAGGCCGAGTCAGAATATTCTGACACTTCTCTTGCACCCCCTGGTAGCCTTTCTCGATGGACATTGGATGGAAAGAATACGGATACCTGGGTGTGCCTTACCGGCGGCTCTGCGCTTTCACAGGTTGCTGGTGGAGGATCTCACACGAGGCTGGGCTGAGAGGTAAGTGGGCGGCTACAGGACAGGATATATTGGAGGAGTTATTTTTGTCGTACAGCGTAAGTACCTGCATAACTATGGAGAATACTACATGAGATACGATGCAGTAACTGATCTCTTGTATTTGGTGAATAGGCTCTATACCGAGGATACTGGGTAAACAGTGTTGTTGACATGATAGGGCATCCATGAAACAGACATTTACCACGAATTAATTGGATGCTATATCCATACACACAGCAAAATGAGTCAAAATTGAGTCATAAAGATTCAACATGATATCTTCCTAATTCAGAATCACCTTCCCCGGAACGCAGGCTTCCTCTTCTCCACAAACGCCTTGAGAGCCTCATACCGGTCCTCTGTCTCAATAACCCCCTCGTAGGCCTCGTTCTCGGCCGCCTCCCCCCTCTCAAAGCCGTGGATCGCCTGAAGAGCCTGCCGGAGAGCAATAGGCCCTCCTTCACAGATATCCAACGCCAGCTTGATGCTCTCCCGAAGCACCGTTTCCCGTGCCCTGCCCGCTTCGTTTTGACCTGCCTGGCCTGCCCCTTCTGCCTCTTCCTCAGGCACCACATCCACCAACCGATCACACAATCCAATGAAATATGCTTCTGGACCCGACACCCGCCGCCCCGTGAGGATCAGATCGCGCGCCCTCGTCGCCCCAATCAATCGGGGCAGCCGATACGTGCCCCCCGCCCCGGGGATGATCGCCAGCCGCGTCTCCGGCAGTCCGACGAGAGCGCTGGACCCAAATACGCGCAGATGCGTGCACAGCGCGAGTTCTAATCCGCCGCCGAGAGCGCTCGCCGACACAGCCGAGATGGTTGGGACGGGCAACGCAGCGAGCAAACTGAACGTCCCGCGTAGATTCGTAAGAAAATCGACCGTCCTAAACATCGTCAATATAAGTATTTAGAGTATAAATTTTTGAATCAGTCGAAAGAAAGTATGCTTACTCCTCTCTACTCATTTTCGCTCTCTCCTTCAGATCTGCACCCGCACAAAACGCTGCGTCGACATTACTCCCCACGACGAGCGCGCGCGTCGGCCCCGTCCCATTCTCAGCAGCAATGGCTTGGATCTGTCTATTCAACTCGCTCACTAGTTGTCTTGAGAGGGCGTTCCGTGCCTGTGGTCGGTTCAGAAGTAACACGCGGATATGTCCTGATCCGGGCGCAGGCACTTGCTGGAGCTTCAGGACGGGTTCGGTGTCGGACGCGCTGTTTGTGCTGAAGCGGGCGAGTCCTCGCGTGGAGAGGGTAGCGCGTCCTCGGACGAAACGGAGAGATAGCATTGTATCTATCTAAATACAGTAGTCGAAAATTGATGGAAGGGATGGGTTCAAGAATTCACTTCCCCTGTTGCTGAGATGTCTGGGGAAAGCTTGCGGGGAGCTCAAGCTTATCTATATAGTAGAGTGGTTATCCGTAACTAACCGAGAAGGCAGAAGAAATTACTAGACATATGTAGTTACATAAGAACTATTTAGTTTATTAGGTCCGTGTGTATCGTGTCTATTATATACTACAAAACAATTTATTGTACATTTCGCTCTCCGTAGAGATACGATTGAACCTCTTCGTCCGTGGGCCAGGATCCCCACAACGGCGTGGCGTCGAAGATCGCCTTCGCCTCCCCGGCTGCAGGGTTCGTCGGGACGACATCGTCGAATTCCCTGCTGGTATCAAGGACCGGATGCTCGAACCGGTACACCTCCTTTGAATGAAGTGCCGACGAGGCGGTTCGCCGCCACGATCCCTCGATAAATACCCGGACCGCAACCAGTGTTCGTCGCAGCATGCGCTCCCCATTCAGGTGTTCATCCGATGCTTCTTTGAGTGTTGCCGCCGACTGACTCATCCATCGGAGGAGATTCAGTAGGCCTTCAGAGTCCTCTGCCAGTCCCAGAGCTCGCACAAAGGCATGAAGTGTCGCTGAGTGGGGGACCTTGAGCATTGGAGGCAGCGGGGCGGGCGACGAGGAGGAGGAGGAGGAGGAGGAGGAGGAGGAGGAGGGCTCTTGTGGGTCGGTGTTAAGAAACCCTCCTTCCTTGTTGACGTTGTCATTCGAAAGAACAAGACCGTTGAGCTCGTTCTTCAGCAGCTGGAGCCCATCGCAGACCATCTCGTCCAATGTGCTAGGTATGTGTTGCGGACGGAACATGTCTTTCAGACGGGATGCCTCCTTCGCCAGCTGCAAGGACTCTTCGGCAGCACTGGGGTCTTTGATCGCGGTGCTCAAGGCGTTGGAGAATCTAACACAGAGGTGACGTAATGTCTCGGTGTCGATCTCGACACCACGTTTCTTCATCCATTCATAGATGCATTTGACCTCATGCCAGGCGAGGATATGTTGAACGTTCCAGCTCAGTCTTTGATATGAAGGTCTCGCACGGGGTCTGCCGACTGCGCGTAGCAGATGGTGCCAGGATGGCTGGTGAGTCGAATCTCGTAACGACATGAGTTGAACGGCGTGAGGCAGGACCGATCTCGTGTCTTCAGGATTCTCCAGCAAGGCTTGGGGCATCGTTTCGTGGGCATTCTCGGCAGCTGTCATCGGAAACGTATCGGTGGCATACGATCCATTTCTGGATATGCTGGTAGAAATGTTGCACAGGAAAGCGATGAAAGAGGAAAATATATAGCCCGGGATTTCGTTCAGGCTCTGCAGATCGTAGGAATCGGAATGCCGATGAACGGTGGTCAGAGCCTTGACATGCTCTTCAGACATGTCACTGGACTGAAGAGTGCTCAGCCCAGAACTGAGAGTAGGCGCGGTTGTCAACAGTCTAGCCAGTAGTCGGCCGGACGGCCGGATTCCGTGGGACACCATCGTCTGGAGGAATTCATCTATTGTTGGCGGTTCCGTTGCGACGTAAATCACGTCCCGAGCAGATGATGGTTCCGGATAGACCTCGGGACCATCCCCCGGTAACGCAAGGCTTTGGTGATCAAAGCCGCTTTGGATTGCCTTCTGGCGAAAGGCGAGTTTCTCTGCCATGGCGTGATAGACGGTTTTATGCGCCGGAAGGCCTTGGTCTTGGTATGAGAGGAAGCAGGCCCATGCCTCGCGCACGGTACGCGTAGTGAGAATCCGGGCTGTCCAGATCGCCTGGTGGTTGGGCCGGCTTCCACGGGGCTTGGAGAAAGCTGATGGCGATCGAGGCGTTAACGTGCGGGTCTGGATGGTCGGGCTCTGATCGGTGTCCCAGCCGGCAAAAATCGTAGATACTTCCTCCCAGAGCGTGTGGTTGTAGCCCGCTTCTTTCATCTGGGACATTACTTGCATCGCACGGCTTTTCATTCCCTCAATCCCGCGCTGGAAATCAAGTCCCAGCTTCTCTTCCTTCCATGGCGGCCATGAGGGTGATTTCAGTTCGGCAAACTGTCTTTCGGCTTCCGTTTTCTTGTGGGCTAACTGAACAGCGACAATACCCTGGTATCCTTGCCGTAGAATGGGGATAATGGGCTTATGCGCTGCCATCGTCTTGAGCAACTCGAACTGCGCCTGTTGCTGGATTGGGACCGACGCAAAGGGGGCCACCGCTGAGGGCAGGGAAAGAAGCCAGAGGCATGTGTTGAGTTTCTTGGTTTTGAATCGAGCCCTTGCCAGGACAGCAGGTGTGGTGTCTTTGCCCTCGACGTTGTTGAGAAAAAAGGCAAACGCGCGCGCGATTGTGAGCTGGGCCTGTGGCCAGACCTGGCGGGCATGATGCAGTAGGCGTACCACGATTGTCATGCAGGTGGAGGGATCAACCAACGAGCCAAACGCTTGAGGCTGAGGTATCGCGTGGAGATGATTGGGCTCGTCCGACAGAATCCCGAGAACAGAACGACCGGTCGGGGAGGGGCGGGTGCCCATGAGATGGAGGGAGTAAAGAAGGAGTAAACGAAAAGTTTTCGAGTCCACTCTTTTTTGTCGCAAAAGCAAGAGCAAAAGAAACGACGGGATGCGTTTTTGGTCAGATATCCCCCCCGCAAGCCTGTAGCTCTCATCTAGTAAAACCAACCGAAGAGCTCTCCGGGAAGCATCCTTGCTCTTCAGTATCCAAGCCCAAGCCATAACGTCGCTAGGGTCGAACCCTCGCTTTGCAAGATAATCGAGGCTTTTAAGAGGAAACACCTCCGCTAGCACTTGGTCTATTTGGGGTGATACGGCCGTATTGTCCTTCATCCGACTCAGGTGAGGGTCCACGCGTTGGAGGTACTCGGCTAGAATCCCTTGCAACGACAGACTCGGCTGCGGTGTACATTTCGTCGAATCTGCTGGATCTTGCGATACTTCAGCGGTTGCCTCTATTTGTACCCATTCGGGACGTATTGACGAGGGCGAAGCGACCTCGTAGTCCAGTCCACATTCCCGCATCGCATCTAGCAGAGACACCGTGGGAGTTGCACATCTTGGTCCTTTGCGCTGTACAACCTGCCGGTCTTCCTGTACATCCAATACCGGTATTCGAATACCCTCCTCAGGTCTCTCTTGCAACTGCACCTGTGAAGCGATGTGTCGAAAGGACCAGGCTTTTCCCGAGCGGAGGAACGATGTCGTATTATTCCACGCCAACGTTTTGTTATTGCAACGGAGCTTCTCCAACGACCTCAAGTCAGACCATCTGCATCCCATACAAGTATCGCCAAACAGAGAGATCGCTTACCTTTGAGCAGCCGACCAGACGCAGGGTCCTCGACGGCCACCCCCCCGAGGGACCCGGAACATGGCTCCAGACCGATGACATCCATGAAGATAGTCATAGGCGGCTGCGACAATGCAATTCTGGCAACTCCTGCTCTCTCGCCGCGAGTCTCGGTCACGAATCACGATGAACTCCAGCGTGGTCCTGTTCCCTCGCTGAAGCCGGCCTCGTTCTTGAGCCGCGCCCGAATCAGAAAATGCGGCTCACGTGACTGATCGTCACGGGGGCTGCGTTTTTGGCATGGCGCGTCGACACAGAACGATCTCTCCAGTCTCCACTACAGCCATCGCACGCCCTCCATCTCGCCAGGAAACCCCTTCGGCTTTTCGTTCCAGTTGTTCTGGCTGTCGTGTTGCGTGCAAGTCAAACATCGGAGAGAGCTTCTGCTGGTTGTCTGTGGTGGTACTGCACTGTCGCGGCGTTCCCCTGGCTGTCAGCCCCTCTAAAATTCGTGTTGCGTCCTGCATTGGCGCATCCGCTCCCAGTCTTCAGGATCCTTAAATTCCGACTTTCCGTCAGGAGCGGCCTCGTGTGGCACAACTGTTCGTGTTCCATCGCCGATCGGTATTTTCACGTTGCCAGTCGGGCTGTCGGGTGGATAGCTTCGGTGTCGTCTGCGGTCGGGCGGTGTTGGGTTCTCGCGCCAAAGAACGTTTGGAGTGGTCACGACGCGAGGTCGCGACTTCGGAAACCATGAGCGCCGACGAGGGTAGCGAGACGGCCTCGATGCCCCTTGCAAATGGGACTCACAACCCGGTGACTCCAGATCCGCCTGCGTTGGCTACTCCAGGCAAGCGGAAACGGGGTCCTAGTCATGACGAGAAGGCCTCGCAGGAAGCAAGTGCTTCCTCGTCTCAGCCGCAGGACAAAGCGCAGCTACATGAGACACTACGTAATCTCGTTGAAGTTCTCAACAAGTACGTTTCGGGGATAGAGAAGGAAACATATCGATGGATTTCGTGCTGACAATGGCTAGGAACGACGCGGACCTCCATCTGCTCACATGCCCCCTACCCATTTCACCGACCAAGCCGCGCTCGAAACGTGCAAAGCTCACGGAAGACCGAGAGGAATACTTCACCATCCAGTCACGGGTCTCTGCCGGTCGTTACAATACAATGCAAGAGTTTCTAGCGGATATTGAAAAGGCCTCGGCGTCTATAATTGAGAGAAAGCAGAGTCAAGGGACACTCACAGACGGCTCGCAGGGCGATGAAACGCCCTTGACTGAGGTAATCAATCGAATCGCCGCGTTCAAGAAGCTCTTGAACAGCCTTATTCGGCAGGCATCGTACATGAAGCAGTCCAAGGTGAAAGCGGAGCCCACGGAAGAGGGCTCAGAAGAGCCCTCGAAGGCGCCCTCATCAAATGAGGATATTCGCGATGAAAGTATTTCATTGACGCTGTTCGGCAACCTGTCCCATCCCAAGCAGCTGTATTCCAGTCTGCAGAAATCGGTCAAGGTCCAACTACCTTCAGAGCCAGGATCTCACGAATACGTCGAGGTCCAAGCACCCCTACATGAGGATGCCCTGCCCAATGGTATCACCGCGACGAAGATCGCCCCCTATCGCCCTGAAACAGTCACACAAGAGATCAGGAAGTTTGGCGATGTCTTCGCACCCCGGCCAAACCTGCCCCAGCTGGAACCTCCTCGCAGATCTCGATCATCTGCTAGGAACGCCGTTGGCACCTGGATTGACCCATTTGAAGCAGCCACCGATATCAGATTGTTCCCGGGCGAGCGCAACAATTACTGTCTCGCGCCACTTCCTTCAGGGAACTGGCTCCAGTATGGTGGAGTCACATCCTCTCCATCTTATTGGAATCGCAGACAAAAGCAGTCTTCTCAGTACCATGGTGACAGTGACACAATGCAGCGACCGCTCGAGGAATCCGGTCTCTGGGCCGAGGACGATGCATCGGTCTTGCAAGGAGTGTATTCATCATTCGCTCCCACATTTGATAGCTCGGGCGCGGTTGTGCAAGGACACTCCAAGGACCTGGTGTGGTGGGGCAAAAAGGGTGCGAAGAGACTACAGACATTGCTTTCTCTCGCCTACTCCGACGACGGTGCAGAAGCTTCGGTGGAGCAGGAAACCAGTCTCACCGAACTCGACGAGGATGGCTTAGAAGAGCTGGTCAAAACCTTCAGCCCTGAACAGCTTCCCGATTTTACTGTGGATGAGAATGTCACCAAGGAGGAAGTAGTTGAGTCCAAGGAGGTGAATGAAATGCTGCGAGATGTGTCAGAACTTTTGGAGACTCTTAGTTCTTACCAGAAGCTCCGCAACCTCGATCCATCACTCCAAAATGGGGAACCGATAGACGTCTCACCCGACTTGGGAACTCCTTATGCTGTGTCCGATGCTGAACAGACGATCTACGAAACGCTGGAATCCAGTCTTGTCGCGATCCTCGCAAATCTGCCACCCTATGCGGTAGCAAAACTAAACGGAGATCAACTCGCCGAGCTGAACATCAGTCAACGGATCGTCCTTGATACTCCTGACTACCGGGGCACCATGGAGAAAGACGACCTTACTCTCCAGCAGGAGCGAGCGGCTGCCATGGCACCCAGCGCGGCGAACCGCAATCCTACACCTAACCTTGGCGCGGTAGCACGGACAGGGAGTTTCCAAGGATCCCAGGGAGGGTACAACCAGCGAGCCTATGCAGCCAATACTCGAGTCCCGCAGACACCCGGCGCAGGGTTCCAGGTACCCCAACAGTACTACAGTGGCAGGCAGCCCTCGGCATCCTACACCCCTGCTGCTAGCCACACTCAGCAGTACGCAGGAGTCCCGCGCGCGCCGGCCACCCCGACTCCCCGCCAAGCCTTTGTTCCGCCTGGATATTCCCATACCCCGTCGCAGTTCAACCAGCCGTACCAGCGGCAATTGGCGAACGGTTACACTCAAGCCTACGCTGCACAGCAAGTGCCAGCAGGCCCAAGCCAGCCCTCTCCACAACCGTATGGACAGCGGCCCGGCCAGCCGGGACCGTACAATGCGTCCTTCGGCGGAGCGAGAAGTGCGTCTCCTCAGAAACCGTCACCCTATGGAGCCCCGCAACCGCGCACACCGTATATGACAGCTGGAGCTAATAATCAAACTCAACAGCAACAGCCGCAGCCACAGCGATATCACCCCAGTCAACCGCCTCCCCCTCAATACACCAATAACCAGCCCGCGAACCCAGTGCTTTCCCCAGGAGCCGCGTATGCCAACTCGGCTGCTGCCATCACCTACGCGAGAAGTGCCGCCGAGCAGGCTGCTTTGATCGAACGCACCAAGGCCCAGCTCGCCGCCAACAGCATCCGGCAAAGCTCGTCGTCGACGCCGCAACAGTCTTCTCAGCCCGGCGGAGAGTACGGCAGCTCCCAGGAAAGGAGCATCACACCGGCTGGTAAACCGAACGGCACCCCGGTCCCATCTTGACTTCTTCTTAAACACACGGAAGACCTATTCACACACGCACACACACAAAAAAAAAAGGCCCAAAAAGCCCTTTACTTTTTTTTCACTTCTTCTTCTCTTCTTTTCCCTGTGTGTCTTGATAGACAGCTCGAGGCGTTTTTTTTTTTTTTTGTTGTCTTTTTTAGCTTTGGAGACACGGAATCAAGTCTGCTTGAGTGGCTGATTCATGCGATGCTTGCTTTATTCCTACCCATGGATATCTTACGGTTCTTCTTCTTCTTCTTCTTCTTCTTTTTCTTCAGCTGACACGCTTCGTTTTTGATGTATGTTAGTCATGGTTTTAATTCTTACTTTGTGGTCCGTACCATGTCCCCTTTGCTGATCTGAACCATTGGGACGGGTGTTGCTTATCCATCTATTCTATTCTACTGAGAAAAGCTCTCTCTTTCTCTTTTTGTTTTAGAAAAAAAATGGATTACTCTTTCCTTCTTGACTAATATCAGAAGCTGTGTCCAAAATGATATTGAAAATATAAAATCCCATTAGTAGAAATACAACAGTGGCCTGCCCTGCCTATTTCTAGTTATCCAAGGGAAATAAAATAAACCTTTCTTTTTCCCTGCCAATTGGCCACCAAACCGTTCTTCTGCCAACGCCGTCCCTCTTACTTCGAAAGAACCAAAGAAAAACAGAAAAATACACTTGCAAGGACACATCTTATGCAGAGGATATCAGGAAATTCGTTAAGATGCATCATCACCAGTCCAGGCTATGGAATGAACATGGCAGCGAGAGTCATAAAGCTGAAATACCTGGGGTTCAGATTAGCACATATCTCTTATTCAGATGGGAAGAGTAAAATTTAGCACGGGAACAAAGAAACGTACAGAGCAGCGCATAGCCATCCATCTCGCGATTCAACGAGCTGGTCCCCACCCGGCGCATAAGTGGCGGCGATGGCAGACACCGAGCCACAGATAACCGTCACGACAACGAGACGACCGAAGAATTCGTGGATCATGCTGAAAGCGAGGAGAGGCAAGAGGATCGCCGTCGAGGCGGCGATGATGGTCGCATAGATGGGGGGGGTGGTCAATTGGGAACGAACAAGGTCAAGGCGCGCGGCAGAGCCGGTCAAGGAGACAAGGTCCTCGTCATGGTTTAGGAAGCGGGTTTCGACCAACGCGACTGGATTCGTCTTCTCCATCCAGGTACGATATGTTGTGATATCTTCTTCGGACGCGGGTGGGAGTGTCTGCAGGACTTTGCTGAAAGCACTGAGCGCATTGTCTACAAGGCATGAGTATGTTGAGTATATTGAAGGGGGAGAAAAAAGGAGTTGGTGAACTTACTGTATTGCTCAGTCTTGTGGATCAAGGTATTCATCAACTCTACTCGTCGATTATGCAAAGACGAGTATACCTGTGCCTCATCCATGCGCCTCGAAGCGGGCAGCGGTTTCGTCCCCTCCTGTTGAGCGGTGGCGACACGGTGCATCTCATCATACTCGTCGAGAGTCTGGATGTCCTCCTCCATCTCTGCGATTTCATCCTGCAGGTGGAGTAGAACGCGATGGTTCAAGGCCTCGAATTTCCGATAGAGCGGAGGTATCTGGAGTTGAGTGTTCGAGTTCTTTGCCGTTGACGAGACCAAGTGGGAGGAAAGAAAACCATAGCCCGATGAGACCTGCATCGTTTTAGAGTGCCGTCTCGAACGATGGTGACTCCGGCGAGGACGCCCCTCTGGACTTTTGGGAGGGGAGGGCGGTAATGGTGGCCGATGCGTGTCAGAAGCATCTTCAGACGAGGTGTAAAACTTCTCCGAGGTAGAGATCTCATATGACTTCTTTTCCATCGGGTTTGAGGTCTCGGTGGGAGATGGTGTTGGCGTAAACGATCCAGCCATGGATATCCTCCGGTCGCCCGCAACCTTGTTGACGAACTGCATGCCCGTGATAACCTTCGAGGTATCCACGGTCATACTGGGGCGGGAACGGGCTACAGGCGCCTGCGCCTGCTTGGACACCAAGGGAGAGGTCTGGATCGGTTTACCCGCGTCCTTGGGCTGCTGATACACTGGCGGACTGGGACGGGTTGACATGGTGGTCGACGGGGCCGTCAACTGACTCTCAGCATCACTCTCTGACCCTGAGCTGCTCATATCGTCCTGCGACATGAAGCCGTTGTTGTCGGTCTTTCCATTCTTCTCGAGGAATTCAAAGACACTCGGCGTCTTCTTTGATGTCATGATAAGTTTGGTTTTAGCGGCCGGCGCTTTCGTAGCAGGCAACGAGCCTGAAAGTCGGTCCTTTGGAGCGCTCGCCGTTGTCATCGCTGTTGTCGACTTGGGCGCGCTCGCCGTCGACAGCAGTGTTGACGACGATGATGTAGACGCTCGCCTTACCACTTCCTTCCGGCTCCCCTTCTTGCTGTGACTCACTCCCGAACGTAAAGGCATAGTGTAGACGGACCGTCGAGACTGAAAACAGGCAAATGCTCCTGCGATATGCTAGGTCATAATGCGAAGACGATTTCAGCGTCAAGACGACGCGTTGGCAGTGACGGCCAGTCCAGTATGTAAATAGGGCCGTCTCTGGAATGACTATCTATCACAAAAATGACCCAAGGAGGCGGGGGAAATGCCAGGCGATACGAGTCGATCAGACCGACCACGCGCGGAATTCCAGAAGGTCGCGACGACGATCAAATAATACAATTTTCTCCTCGCTGTGGTGCGTGCCTTGTTAATAAAGTGAGCGGTAGGAATGAAGGGTTTAGAGGACAGTAGAAGGAAACGGATCTCAAACACCCTCCATGCTCTATCTCTACCGGGGTCCATCTACAGAGTACTTACAGCCCACCTGCGCATGCAGATGGACGAAAATACCCCGTAGGACCGACCCATCCTTTCGTTATCGTCAGCGCCCAAGGGAGGGGGGGCAGCAATCTGAAGCGTCAGCTGCGACGATTCCCAAACCTCCCTGGACACGACGCCGTGATGCAATTCGCCGTACACATCTGCGGCTGCATACATATCGACCAGGCCAACCCCTGCTGCGGCAGTCAGCGTGTTGAAGTAAATGATGACAGTGTATCATCGACGCACTGGCCAGCAGCCCGATGGCGTGCAGCCAACACGACGAATCGCACCCGATTATTTCGATCTCTCCGGATTCTATGCGTTGCTGCCTTGGCTAAGTCTGCGAAATGGCCTTGTTGGGCGCTCGCACGGCGTCAACTGGCGGGCAGAGATGCTCTTCCATTAGTTCTGTAGCCCCTGTTAGCGCTGTCCATATTAGCTGCTCCCAATAGCAATAGAAAATAACATGAGACGTCTAAGAGTATCCCCAGAGACACAATCTTGTATATGCAGCAAGACGTTGCAACGAAGATGGATCCCAACGGAGGCGTTCGGATCGCGCTGAAATTCCGCCCCGAACAAATATTATTGCCTCGAGACTGAGCACAACGGCTTCGCCGACGCTTGACGAAGGACAGGGGACGACTGTCTCTCGCTGTTTCTATATTTGCCTACTTGATGATTCGATCGACGGCTAGGATGCTCCAGCCATGGCTCCCCCGCAACCCCAGAGCAGCGTGTTCGCTTGTCTGCTCACGGTGCCACCAGGCCTTGGTCCTTCAACAACGTCCCCGAATCGCTCGCAGGATATCCCAATCGATTTCTTTTCGGTCATCACGGTGGCTACAGACTGAATCGGCCAGCTCGGCGGACCCCGTGCCGCTTCGAAAGCAGCTCAAACAAGAGGCGAAGGCGTTGCGAGCCCGTAAACGACAGACCAAACAGGACGAGGAAGCCTCACGGCGTGGGTGGGAACTGACCGTGGGAATCGAGATACACGCGCAGCTAGACACAGAGGCCAAGTTGTTCTCCCGTCAGTTGCCCTCCCTGCGGTCTCTTGGGCCGTTGTTACGTGTCTGTACTGACTGTTGGCCTGAACAACAGGAGCGGCAACCTCGACCAGCGACATCCCCAACACGAATGTGGCCCTGTTCGATTTGGCATTCCCCGGTAGCCAACCGGTCAGTTGGACACATGATAGTCTCTAGGGAATAGAAGCTCGATTCTGATTGATATCTAGGAATTCCAAGTCGCAACCCTCCTTCCTGCCCTACGCGCCGCCATCGCCCTGAATTGCGAGATCCAACCAGTCAGCCGCTTTGATCGGAAACATTACTTTTACCAGGATCAACCTGCAGGTTATCAAATTACACAGTATTATGGTACTTGAGGTCTGAAGAAGAAAAAAAAGGAAAGACAGGACTGACGACGCAGAGCCTTTCGCGAAACACGGGTACGTGGACTTGTTCGACTACGATGGCATTGCTCCGGAAGACGGGAGTCGGGTACGAGTCGAGATCAAACAGGTCCAGCTCGAGCAGGACACGGCCAAGTCGCAAGAATACCCTCCGTCGATGCAGCTGCTCGATTTCAACCGCGTCTCGCATCCTCTTATCGAGATCATCACCTTGCCGCAGATTCACACCCCGGCCACTGCCGCCGCCTGTGTGCGAAAGATCCAGGCCATCCTGCAGTCGTGTGGCGCCGTTACCACCGGCATGGAGCTAGGCGGACTCCGCGCCGACGTCAACGTTTCCGTTCGTCGGCGCGACGAGGCTCCCGGGACACACCAGTACCATGGGGTCGGTGGGCTGGGCCAGCGCACCGAGATCAAGAACCTGAGCAGTTTCAAGGCGGTGGAGGACGCAATCGTGGCAGAGAAGAACCGCCAGATCGCCGTGCTAGAGAGTGGCGGTGTGATTGAGGGCGAAACGCGCGGCTGGACGATCGGTAGCACCGAGACCCGGAAGCTGAGAAGCAAAGAGGGCGCTGTGGATTACCGCTACATGCCTGATCCGGATCTCGCGCCGCTGGTCATCGACCCAGGTCTCACGGCCCAACTCAAGGAGACCCTGCCCACCTCCGCCGACGATCTGGTGGAACTGCTCCGGGGCCCCGCATACGGGCTCTCCATCGAAGACGCGAAGCCGCTCATCGAGCTCGACGATGGGGCTCGGTTGGAGTACTTCATGGACGTGGTGGACCTCCTCCGGATCCTCCAGCAAGACGAGGATGCGAAATCGGTCGACAGACTCGGCCGAATCGTGGGCAACTGGGTCCTCCACGAACTCGGCGGGCTGCTGACCAAAGGCGAGCTCGCCTGGGACGCGGACCGAGTGTCCGCCCCGTCGCTGGCCGAGCTAATCGACCAACTCCACCGGAAGCACATCACGGGCGCGACGGCGAAGCTTGTCCTGACCATGCTATTCGACGGGGACCAGCGGCCCATCCGCCAACTGCTGGAGGAAGAGAATCTCCTGCTGCGCCCGCTGTCGCGGGACGAATACGTCGCTCTAGCCGAGACGGTGATGAGCCAGAACCTCCGTATGGTCGAGCAGATCCGCACCAAGAACCAGGTGGGCAAACTCGGCTGGTTTGTCGGACAGATGATGCGGACGGGCGAGAAAGGCCGCGTCGAGGCCCAGAGGGCGGAGGAGGTCTTGCGGGAGCTGATTCTAGGCTCATAGCATGTACAATAGTGATACCCTTATAACTACAAAGCACTGAACAATAGGATTCATCCGTCGTCTCTTCTCCTCTCTTGGCAGTCTTGTTTCTTCTCCAGCCGTCACCAGGAATGTCCCACCGTCATCTGTAGAAGCCCTCCTGGCCCCCTCGGCTGTGATGACTGCCGCTAGCCCTCACCTTGCATTACTCTCTCCCCTGTCACGGAGGCTACCGAGAATAAGCACAGCGTCTACTGGTTCCGTACAGGCCTTCTCGATAACGCGCAGCTCCAAGTTGGCAGGGGGGGGGAAAGATAAAAAATTCAATAAAAGATTAAACCAAAACATTATTCCCACCGATTGCTAATGAAAACTCAGAGTTTTTCGCGCGGCATCGGGGCGATTGCGTTGATCGTAACGCTCTGGGGGGGGGGCTCTCTTCAACCTGTACTTAGGGGAAGAAGATGGAGCAGGCGGAAGGTGAGGGCGGAGAAGGATGATCCCTAAAAGCAGTTTTAGGCGATGCGAACGTCCTCAACAGCAGAAACCACGGAATGCCCCACGGCTCATGTCGGAACAGGCGAGGAGATAAATGAGACAGGATGTCTTCTCTTTCGGTCGTCCTTTGGTCTTCTTGTGGTTTTCTTTTTGCTCATTCCTGTGGTGTTGCTTGCCTATCTTACTCTGCTGCAGTCCAACGATATCGTTCTACTCAATCTCTCTCCTCTCTTCTCTTCAAAAGGGCTTCTTATTGCTCTATAAATAATTCAAAATGACACAGCCGTCGACTATCACACAAAGATTCCTCAGCAAGCCCAACCAGCTGGGCGTGGTGGCTGTTGGGTTCAATGGAGGGCAGGTACGTCATTGATAAGAGAAAAAGAAAAGAGAAAGTGGCTCATAATTACAGTGCAAATTAGGAGTCGAGGCTGCGCCGATGGCCCTGATTGAAGCCGGACTTCTCACTCAGCTCAAGGACGACCTGGACTACGAAATCCACCATGACGACACGGTGCATTTCTACGAGAACCTCATCCCCGCCGAGGACCCAGACCATCGCGGGATGAAGAAGCCGCGCGCCGTGAGCGCGGTGACGGAGCGGTTGAGCCAGCAGGTGTACGAACACGCGCGCGAGGGCAAGTTCGTGCTCACCCTCGGTGGCGACCACTCGATCGCGATCGGGACCGTCTCGGGGACCGCCAAGGCGATCCGCGAGCGGCTGGGCCGCGAGATGGCCGTCATCTGGGTCGACGCCCACGCCGACCTGAACACCCCGGAGATGAGCCCCAGCGGGAACATCCACGGCATGCCCATGGCCTTTCTGACCCGCCTGGCGCGCGAAGACCGCCGCGACATCTTCGGCTGGCTGCAGGACGAGCACACGATCAACCTGCGCAAGCTCGTCTACATTGGTCTGCGTGATGTCGACCGCGGCGAGAAGCAGCTGCTGCGTGAGCACGGCATCAAGGCGTTCAGCATGCATGATGTCGACAGGTAAGAACCACCCTTCCTCTATTCGAATAGATAATAGAAAGAAGAAGAAGAATGCTAATAAAGTAGATATGGTATCGGCAAGGTGGTCGAGATGGCTCTGGCCCATATCGGCAACGACACGCCGATCCACCTGTCCTTTGACGTCGACGGTCTGGACCCCCAGTGGGCGCCCAGCACAGGAACCCCCGTGCGTGGCGGACTGACCCTGCGGGAGGGCGACTTCATCTGCGAATGCGTCCACGAGACAGGCAACCTGATCGCCATGGATCTCGTCGAGGTCAACCCAAGCCTGGAGAGCCTGGGGGCCTCGGAGACCATCCGCGCAGGCTGCTCCTTGGTCCGCAGTGCATTGGGAGATACCCTTCTCTAGTTGCTATGACTTTATGCTTTATGATAGATCAACAGCGGGTTCTCAGGGATGATAATACACATCTAATCCCGTTGATACAGAATACATTTACCTCTCTAGACTGGGAACTTGAGATACTAGAATATAGCAGTGATAACAGCTGCCTAGTACTGCTGCATAAGACTTGATATCCAAAGGCAGTCGTAGAATTGACTAGTTGTTTTTGATATTTGTTATAAGAGCATCAAGCACATATACTACCTACATCCTAAAAAACTATCTCTTAATACTCCGTACTCTGAACTCTTACAGACAATCAGTTATCTAACCCCAGATATTCGTATTTATCAGTCTGTGGAGAATAGATCCTATCTATTCGATCGATTTCCAGCCACCGCTATTTCCAGCCACCCTATTTTCGTCTCCCTCAATTTCGAACGTGAATCATGACGATGGAAAATCTATGCTCTATTCTGGAGTATTATTATCTTCCTTTTTTTTCCAGTTGATTCTCTTACAGCTTAACACCAGATGCTACTGGCAGTTGACTACTCATTACCATCACCCCGCCAACTCATACAATCAACAGACCAACGACATCGCCCTGCTCCATGCCCGATGCGCTGTCCGTCTGCAGTGAATAGTTGACACTACTATCTAGTACAGATAAATACTCTCTCTCTCTCTCTCTCTCTCTCTTTCATTACATTTGGACCGAGTTATTCGTCATTCGACCCTCCCCCGACTACTACACTACTACTACTACCACCCTCGCAATGCCCGTCAGGGTCACTCGCCAGACCCGACGCCGATATCACTGGCCAGAACTCCAGCTGAACATCTGGATCATTATCGTGCTAGCCTGCTCGGCGACATGTTTAGGGATCTTTGCATGGTTTATGGCTGTTCAGTCGCAACTACGATTAGGGACGCCATGGTAAGACCTCAGCCATCACTGAAATATAAGGTATATATATAAAAGTTATATTTACAAAGTCTTCCTGTACAGGCTCTTCCCCTACATGGTCGTCTCCGGCAGTCTAGGCGTGTTCTTCATCCTGCTCATCCTCATCCTCGCCGCCCAACGGTTCCTCCTCCCGGGGATAATCATCATCGGCAGCTTCATCCTCTTCGTCCTCTGGTTGACCGGGTTGATCGAGACGGCATTACAACTGTACGGGGTGAAAAGCAACGTGAACAGTAATTGTCAGATCTACGTTGCCGATCAGCAGTCGGTAGGCGATAGTATCGACACGCTGGCATGGTTGACGCAGAGCACGATATGTAAGTTCTTTTGAAGTCAAAAAGTCGGAAAAGGGTAGAAAACGAATGGCTGATTTTCAGGTAATTGTTGGAAAACCGCGTTTGCCCTAGAACTCCTCAATACGATCTTCTATCTCTGGATGATGATCATGTCCTACAAGGTCAATAGGGATATATACTATTAGTCATGATATGATTTGGATGATTTCGATGATATGCTATGGTCATGATTGCATGGACGGTGTTAAGTTATTCTTGTACATTATGTCAATATATTTATTGGAGCCAACGCCATCGCTATGCGACGAACCTAAACAAAAGACAACAAAGATAGATAACAGGACTATCCGTTCTCGGCCGCAATCTTCCCCTCTGCCATCTCGTCGTAATCGCCATCCTCAAGTGCAGCCAGCATCTCTCGTTCTAGTTCGTCGTCCTCGTCCTCCGGATACGTCACGCTCGCCGCCCCCGGATCTGGCCGCTCTTCATCATCACCACCACCACCACCATCACCATCATCAGGAGTCGGCGTGTCAGTTACGTCCATGGCCGAGGAGGGCGTTGTTATTGTCGTCGTCGTCCTGCCCGGACTGCTGCTGCTGGCGGTGGCCACCTCTTTGAGACTCGTGCTTCGCTCGTACGACCGTCTGATACGCTGCGCGAGGCGTGAGCCGCCGCCGGCCGATGCGTGTGCGTCGCTGGTCTTCTCCCCCCCTTCGCCTCCCGTCGGCACGGTCGACAACTGATCTTTCTCCTCGACGATGTCCTGGTCCTGGTCCTGGTCTTCTTCATCTCCCTCTTCATCGGTATCGCCACGTTTACGCTTCTTGCTCGGTGTCACGGGGGGCTGCTGTTGTTCACTGCCGGGCGCCTCGGTCTCGCTCTCGCTCTCGTCGTCGCTTCCCAGGAACTCCTTGAGCTCTTCATGCACTGCAGCCTGCTGGTCGGCGTCGTAGCCGATCGGAGAAACCTCCGTGAGGCCGGTGGACTTGAAGATCTCGTTGGTCGACTCGGACATGCCCTCACCCTCGTCTTCTGTCCAAAACTCCTTTGTCTCGTCATCGGTCGTCGACAGCCAGGCGCTCTCCGCTGCTTCCTTGGAGTCAGGCGAGATGGGTTCCCCCCGGTCATCCGGATGCACGGGTAGAAGGTAGGGTGTCTCGTCGAGGCGTTTCCACTGCGTAAGCGAGTCGACCAGCCACTGCGTCGTCACGATCTTGATCTTGAGGTACCGCGTTGCCTCGCGGACCTTGGCGGTGCGGTTCCGCCCGGCCACAAGATGGGTCGTTCGCGATGTGATCTTGGGCGCAAGCACTGCTCCGAAACTCTTGGCCCACAGAGAGATGTCGGCGTTCTGCATGTCGGTACCCAGGGGTAAGACGCCCGAGAAGACCATGACAACCCCGCCCAGGACCTGCCGCTTGATCTGCGGCATGACATCCTTGACGTCTGGCACCAGCTTCAGATCTACATCCTTCTCTTTCACTTGCGTCTTTTCGCCCCGCAGCGCAGCCACTCGTCCGCCGAGGGAACGTGATCGTTTGCGGTCATACTCCTCATAGAAATTCCGGTGGACCTGCTGCAGCCGCTCTTGCAACAGGTACAGTTCCCGGTCGTTGTCCTCTAGCAGATGATGCCGGTGTTGTCTACTCAGATCTTGCGACTCGTCCACACTCTGAGAAGAATCGGGTCGGTCGGCTGCCTCATCCTCGGCGTCTAGTTCCTTTTGCTTCTGAAGCAACGGGCGGTCTTCCACCTGATGCATGATTGTCTCCTCTTGCGCGGTGGCTTGTTCTTGCAAGAGCCGGGGATTGTCCCCTCCGCCCATGGTGACGAGCTGCTCCAGCGCCGATATCCCACCCAGCTCGGGCTTGATGGTTGTTCCATTCACATGGTGTTCGGGTGGGGTGTTGTCAGTTGCTGCTGCTGCTGCTGCTGCTTTGGCGGCGATCGGCTTGTTGGGGTTCTCGAGTTCTTGTTTCTTAGGTAAAAAGCTAGAGTTGATATCGCCAATGCCCACAAAGAAATCGTATGGAGAGACCTTGATAAGGTTGGGGTTCCATCGCCAAACGTCACCACGGTCATCGATGATGACCACCATCTTGGTGTCCACGGGGAATAACCGTTGGAGATTCTTAGCAGTCAGACTGCCGCTCTCGTCACGGCTCAGTATCCGATCCCCAAAGAGCGTGCGGTCTGGATCTACAATGTTTGCAATGCTCTGCGCATAGGCTCTAGTCCCCATTGTGTAGATGTGCAGTTCATAGATCTTGGCCACGTTTTCCAGAAACTGTTGCAGCCCAGGCCGCAGCTTAATGTAGTACCAGCAGCCACGCATACCGGGGCCGTCGTCCACCAACTGGAACGCTCGGACGTCGTTGAGGTATTGGTGGTTCGGGTTGTCCTTATCCTCCATCCATTCTCCAACGGTCGGATCGACGGTGGCATGGATGATGGTCTGGTCCAGATCCACCACAAGCGACAATTTCCGCGACGCTAACAATCGGCGCTTCGCATCTTCCTCCACGCGGGTAGCCTCCCTTTCGCTCACCGTGAGGGTTGTGTTATCGTGGACCATCTTAATGGGTGCGCGCATCGAATCCATAACCTCGGTATTGTACGTAGCTCTTATCACAAGTCAGCGATGCTTTAAACCTTCCATGTCCTGTTTCACATACTCAGTCATATCCTTGCCGCATTCTGCGCAAAGACCTCCAAACTGCACCTCGTGCGCACATGGCTCGTCGATCTCCACAACGTCAACCCTGGAGCAATATGAAAATCAGTCCGTTGACCCCATTTATGGCCGAGAAGAAGTAAAAAAAAAACATACGGCTCATCGATGACATCGCCCTTTGTGACGTTCCACCGGACGATTTCGCCATCCACAGTCGACTCGAACTTTGTAGGAAAGCTCCGCTTCACCTCAACCTTGTTGCCTAGACCATCACCCTCCGTGACAATCGTCTGATATACATACCAGAATAGCGCCTCATCCCGTTGCACCGGGTCTCCCGGCTGCTTCAACAACGATGTGACGGTAATCGGGTAGTGGAGGCTGGCCGGCAGACGGAGGAACATCTTCTTTGTTTGTTGTTTTTTTTGGGGGGGGGGCTCTTTTTTTTTCTTTTTTTTTTGTTCGCCCTTTACGGGCCTAGGAGGCTCCAGAAAGGTGTCGCGTGTCTGAGTAGGTTAGAGGAGGAGGGGGGGTTAACGACAGGTCCTCTAACCAGCCATGCTCAGTGAGAAAAGAACGCAGGAGCGCGCCGAGCGACGGGGAATGGGCGTAGGCTTGTGTCTTTCGTATGTGAACAAGGGTGGCCAATAGATGAACTCTCCGACAGGTTATGAGAGATATATAGCGACGACTTAATATTACCGGGGGTGTTGTATTTTGGAGTGGGCGTGTGAGACGAGGGAAAAGGCGGAATGGAATAATGACGAAGAAAAGCAACTCTTTTGCTTGTCTGGGGCGTTGCCAAACGCCAACCTTCCTTTGGGCAAGTTTCCTGCTGCGGGGCCGAGTAAAGCTCCAGCTTCCCACAGCCGATCACCGCCAATAAGACATTCTTTGTTAAAGAAGAGTGTTTATTGAATTGTTTTGATGGGATAAATAATACTTGTAGCTATTTAATTGCTTTTGTAAATGTTGCTTCATAGTATTCTACTAGCTACGATACTACACAAGGTGAGAAGCGAGTCTAGATTGAATCAACTACCGGAGGGGAGAGAGAGCTCTTGGAAAGACTGTTCCTTCTCTTGCATTGCGGAGACAAAACACGAGATAGTTAACTATAATAGGAAACACAAAGAGTATACGTGATAACCCCCACTATGAATGGTTCAGAACAATTTGGGGTATGGAGGTGCACACACACCTCTCCGACTCCCCGACTCCCTCAGGATTGAGAAAAAAAAGAGCTTACTTCGCCTTGGCAAGGCCGACAGCATTGTTGCCAAGGTCGTAGACGCTGTACCATTTCCTCAGGAAGGCGTCTCCGAGGATGGCCAAGGGGCCCACGGGCTCGGGGAAGTCCATGCCCATGAAAGCACTGATGCAAGAGCCCTGGACCTCAAGAGTGTAGTCAGTGGGGCCAATGGTGAAGTTATGGCCAGACAGGGTGAAGGTCAGATCAGGGAGCGAGGAGCGCTTCTCGCAGTCAATGGTGTACTGGCCGTTCCAGGACTTCTTGGCACCAATCTCCTTGTTCCTTTACAATGAAGTTAGCACAAGAAATATGTGGGAGATTGTGAGAGAGAGGGAAAAAAAAAAAAGAATTGACTTACAGGAGCTCGGCAAGAGTGGAAGGCAGAGCAATCAGGGAGGTACCGGTGTCAAGAATAACACCGGTGTCCTCAAGCACAGCGGTGTTGTCACCGAAGGTGATCGAGTCAAGATCGACCTCCCAGTAGGCCTTGCGGCGAAGAGGGATCTTGATCAGCTCGCCAGTGTAGTGGCTCTTGTCGATACCACCGAAAGTGGCCTCGGACGAGTCACCCTCGGAGTTGGCATCGCCGAGGTAGAAGGCGAAGACCGGCTCGTCGATCAGACCCTGGTTAATCATCTGGTAGAAGGGGGGGATGATCTTGTTCACCGAGATGGTATCATAACCAAGACCCAGGATGCCATCGAACTTGCCGAAAGCGAAAGCAAGTCCCGGCTCGCTGGTGGCTTCGGCAAAGTCCTGCTTCTTGATCTTGAGGTCTCCAATCTGGAGAGTATCCTGGGACACAAAGCCGCTCAGGCTACCGGAACCATAGCGGATGGCAAACTCGGAGCCGTTCTTCTTGTAGCTCGACGAGGCGGAAGAGTCGTACTTGGAGTGAAGGTAGCAAGCGATCGACCCACACTCCGAAGATGGAACCCACAGGTTCGAGCTCCCGGTGTCCAGAACGACCTTGAAGCTCTGCGGAGGGTTACCAAGGGAGATCTCGGTGAAATCTGCAAAGGGAAAAAAAAAGAAAACAACAGGTGTCAGCAACTAGTCTACATTAATCTTCAGAGTGTAAGTAGGAATCATACATTGGGCATTGAGGAAGTTGTCAACAAGGACGTCGTGGCGGTCGTTAGCCTTGAAAGCGGTGTCGTGGAATAGGTCCTCGTGCATCGACGGACGCAGGCCCATGTACTTCTGGCCCAGGGCACGAACATGAGAGTCGATGTTTTGGCCATCCTGTAAAATCCAGATCAGTCAGATGGTATCCGGAGAGATCCGAGAGAAAGAAAAAGAAAAAAAGAAGAAGAAGAAGAAGAAGAAGAAGAAAGGATATACCAGTTGCTCCGAAAGGGGGACCTTGTTCAGCTTGAGCTTGTGGACCTCGGCGGCAGCACCACCGAGGAGCACAGAGGCCGTAATCAAGGAAACGGTCTTCATAGTGAGCCCGACCGCCAGACGACGAGAAAGAGCGACTTCAAATCGTACGAGATGAAAAAGAGTGGTGGAGTTGAAGGGTGGTGATGGGGGAACTGTTTAGGAGAGTGAGTTGGAGGAGGTAGGATGACGGAGGGCAGGTTGAGGACGGATGGGATGGGATGGGCTGGTTGCGGAGGTGATTTGACTGGGGCTGGGCTCCTTGCCAGGGCGAGCAGCGGGTCTAGCGGCGTGACTGCGTCACTCATCAGCGATAAGCAGTGAGGCACCAGGGCTGGTCAGGTGACGACTGGTGCCTGCGTCCGACGTCGGTTGTTTTGATTATCTGGGGCTTTCCACCGAGGTGATTTCAGGTAGTAGGGTACAGAGATTTGCCATTATGTGGTAGTAGTTGATAGATAAATACTAGTTATCTACTATGCATCATACCTACTACTACTCACTTCGTTGATGTGGCTCGGGCAACGCCTCTCATGACGATAATCCAGGTGCCTGCTGGGTCTTGGCGAACTTGTGCCTGAAGAATCAGGTACGAAAGTACTAAAGATAGCCTAGGCTTTTCCAACAGGCACGGTGATGACAGGCTCTATCAGATACGATGTATGGACATCTACATGACTACAATGAACATGTAATTTGCATATAACTGAATTGTCTAGATATTGATGGTACAGCTTATGCCCACCTGTTGCCATATAATATCTCATCTTGGCGTGTTTACCGGTAGAAATCGAATCTGTAAAGTCAGTATTGCCAAAAAGAAGGAAAGGGAAAAAAAAAAAAAAGAGAGAGAAGAAGAAGAAGAAGAAGCATAACACACCTATCAGCTTCCTGGCCACCCTTGACCTGGCTGGCATAGGCATCCTCAAGATCTGACTGAATGATGTTGTATCGATTCTTCCGGACAGCGCGTAAACCGGCCTCTTGCATGATGGCGGCAATGACAGCGCCCGAAAGAGGGTCGTTGCGCACGATGAGCGAATCGAGGTCGACCTCTGGCGACAGAGACATCTTGGACGCAATGGTACTGAAAATCAGACGGCGCTCACGGCGGTCGCGCAGAGAAGGGAATTCAATCTTCCGGTCCAGACGTCCAGGGCGTAAAAGGGCGGGGTCTAGTGTATCGGCTCTGTTGGTGGCCATGATGACCTTGACGTTGCTGGTCTGTTCGAAACCATCCATCTGGTTCAGCAGCTCTAGCAGGATACGCTGGACCTCTCGATCCGCGCCGGTCTGCGCATCGAAACGCTTCGTGGCGATGGCGTCGATCTCGTCGATGAAAATGATCGCTGGGGCGTTCTCCCGAGCCATTCTGAACACATCGCGGACCATGCGAGGGCCTTCTCCTAGGTACTTTTGCACAAACTCGGAACCATTGACGCGGATGAAGCTAGCAGTGGTGCTGTTGGCCACTGCCTTGACCAACATGGTCTTACCAGTGCCTGGGGGGCCGTACAGCAAGACACCCCGTGGAGGATCGATACCTAGATAACGTAAGCTCCCTGATTTGTATTTCCAAACCGGATAGCCACTCACCGATTTGACGGTATAAATCAAAGTGGGTTAATGGCAGTTCCACGGCTTCTCTGATCTCCTGTTTCTGCATGTCAAGTCCACCAACGTCTGCATATGTCACATCCGGCTTTTCATTCTCGCCGAGCATGGCGATAGAGGAGTCAGCTTCGGGAGGGAGGATATCGACGAGGGCGTTGGAGTGACGGTGGAGGGCGACCGAGGACGACGGTTTCAGCTTCTCGCGATCAAGGGTGGACAGAACCCGAACAACATAGTTGGAGCCGGTCGACGACTGCACAATTCCCGTACTAGACCGAGTTCAGCGAGACATCCATCCGCAGTCAATCATGAACACCTACTTCTGGTCTATGGCTTCCATAAATTGTCCGATGACCAGAGGCACGCTTTGTATCCGTTTGATTTCCTCCTGTGCTCGAACCAGCTCTCTTTTCAGACTCCTGTAGACGCAAAGTCGTCAGTATAAAGCCCGTCATTTTTACAGTCTTTTTCTATGGATATTGCTTTACCTTTGCTCATCCTTGATGTATTCTTCTTGCAGTTGGATGTACCTGTTTTGTCGTCAGATCATCAATGTAGCTCCCCACATGGCAACGGTCGAACGTACTCGAGATGTCTCTGGAGGCGCTTCAGCGTCGCGTATTCATCACCGCCATCTGTTTCGGAGACCTCAAGGGAGTCGATGTTTGGGATGATGTCCATCGGGACGGGCTTCTTCTGAGACGTGACGGTGTTCGCCGGGTTTTCCACCAGAACGTCTCCCATGATGAGAGATTCCGACTATTGATACGCTTGACACTATATATCTTCTGTGAGAAAAGGGAGTATCTTCGCGTGTGTAAAATGAGTATTTCTTGCGTATGTTGCAGAGAGAAAGGGTTGGTTGGGTGTCCGCCCGAAGCTTCCAAGCGTGACGACCAGCACGTAGACGGAGCTCAGTAAAGTCACATGACCAGGTCTTTATGCTAACCTTTCCGCTGTCCAGGTCTCAACCATCTTTTGAGGCATCAGGCATTAGAAGTATTTATTGGCAATGAAAATAAATCAATCTTCATGGATGTAAACTAAAATGGATGATGATTTTGTTAGATAGACAGCAGCGAACAGATCTTGCTCTCTCCAAGCAGTACTAGTAACTGCTCTTGGTTGCAGTGCTTATACCAATGTAAAATGCTAGGCCTATATTTAGTGTAAACGGCCGAGACCGAACAGAGAGAAAGATAATGTATGTCGTGGTTACGTTAGTTTTTACGGAGGAGAGCTTTTGATATCGCTTTCGATGTCTCTTGCCTGCCTAAATCAATCATAATAAGAGACTACTTTGACAGGTATATATAACTCAGGGATGGCTAGTCGATCACCAAACTATCGCAGCATATTGAGTGAGAACCCGAAAGCAAGACAGGGACCAATCAATCAAACAATAAATGTCTCCCATAGCCAGTATGATCATTACTACATAAATCATCTCGACACCTGTTCTCGCCTCGTATCGTCCGATTTAATCACAGTCTCTGATCCAAGCCTCTCAGTCGGGCAATGAAACCACCGTGGCGCTAGACCGGTTTTGGACAACGATACTAACCCCTCCAGGCATGGCACTTTCAGGTGCCAACGAAGACACCGGTGAAGACATGCAGAGTACAGAATACTGAGCTCAGTACACTGCTACATATCAGAGAAAAAGCTGGCAGGAATTCTCTCGGATCCGGAGTTGAGAACCGTGGTGAAACCTCTGGCTGCCAGATCGCCTACCATGGAAGACTCCGGTGCTCCAGTCTTGTGGCCGCTTGAGCACCGGGAGTGTGTCTCTGTAAAGCAACTTCGACACACACCCGAGGATCAGCAACGGTATGGAGCATATATGCCATGGTATTCTTCTGCTCCATGCACGCCTCCTGAAGATCTCCATTGAATTACCAGAGGCCCCTCAAGAATGACCAAGCCAGTTCCGACGGAAGGGAAAACGACAAAACAGCACCCCCCCAAAAGCGGCATGAGACGAGACCCAACCCGGACTAACCCGGGTGCCACCGGCCGTGCTTTTGCTCCCCCTTTGCAGAGCCCACCCAAAGACTCCCAGCTGCTCACTGCCTTTTGAGTGTCACGACTCACGACTCACCACTGGGAGTTTCCCTAGCCTGAAGTTCAGATCCAGTTCCATTCGCGATCAGTTTGCCCGCCGATTCGATTCCCCTGCTGCTCTAACTGACCAGACCCCCGATCGGTCGCCC